GGCTCAGACCTTCAACGGATGTTGAAGAGAAGTCTCAATTCAGCCTAGTGTATCTTGGCATAGCCCCACCCTAGTTAGTAGGAGACGGCTCTTCAACATACGGTGAAGGTCTGAGGTTATGAGGCAACGATACTACGCACTACGTTCTTTATCCCCGACGCTCGATGGCAAGCATTGATCGCCGTACGGAGATAAAGGACTAGATGAATATAAGCCCCAAGACGGCATGGTTATTTGACTTTGGGGGGGCAGGGAAGCTGTCAAATATCAACGGCGGCGGCTCTTTATGTTTCCGGAAGAATTCTTGAGCCCTACCCTGACAACCTCCAACTCGGCATTCTTAATATACGTATGGAGCTTGTCCCGATTCGCCTGTTTCCCTAAGCCTACAGCATAGGGGCAAGATACAAGATAGAACACCTCCGTACGGCACCACATGCTGAATGGGCACAAATACCAGAAACATGTTCCTGGTTGTTTGTTCTAGCCTCCAGTATCAAGCATTCTATTGCTTCGATCAACAAACTGAGCCCACCTGTTTTCTACTACTACATCTTGGCCAAGATGCCTGCGTAGTTGCCGCAGCTGACGTAGTATGTTACAATCACCTCTCTGGTTCACAATTCTAGTTTCTCTTATCTCTTACATACATACATTAAAACCATTGCTGCTTCTTGGCTTGAGAAAGCCTTCCATGCCGTAAGGAGTATGACCACTTGCGGGGAGCCTTGTCTATATAAATCCATTCCGCTGCCACCCTGAAAATGTTGGGGTATTCTATTACCCACACGCTTCTCAACCTTTCACTGGCACAATGGCGCAACTTTCTTACCTTGTGGCACTTCTGGCACTGCCAGCTATCTCAATAGCGGCTGCGGTTCCTCCAAGACACTCCTCTAGCATCTCCCGAGTGGTGAATGGATCCCCAGCAGTACTGGGGCAATATCCCTCCATATTGTCCATGGAATTTTTCCTAGAAAATTCAACAGCAACAAGACATGCATGTGGTGCTACATTGATTGATGACAGAGTGGCTATCACTGCTGCTCATTGTGTTACATTCCAGAATGGCACACCAACGCCTCCTGTGAGTGGATGCTACTTGACATGCTAAATCACCTTCTGAATTCTGATTCTTTAGAATCTCCCTGATGTTATCAATTCGACAATCGTTCGTGCAGGATCTCTTGTAAGTTGTTAATTCAATCTGCACAAGGCTCCTTGAAGCTGATCTGTTTTTAGATAGCTACCTCTGGTGAGGTTGAAGTTGGTATTTCAGACATCGTTGTGCATCCTCAATACATTAGCAGAGCTCTTCATCATGACATTGCCATACTTCTTCTCGCTGCCCCTATTTCGGAGGGCCCAAATATTAAGTATGCCAAGCTTCCCAAAAAATATTTCGATCCTGCCCCCAAAACCAAAGTATTGACAGCTGGCTGGTGCGTATATGTAACTCCGTATGCTCGTACCGCAAAATAAGAACACCCAGTGCTAACTGAGGTAGGGGTGCTACATCTGTTAATGTCACAACCCCCGATTCTTTACTCCAGGTGGAGCTCCCTGTTATTGAACGCAATGCCTGCAGAAAGATGCATGCCAGCAAGCCCTTTCCTCTTTCGGAAATTGTCACAGACTATACAATTTGTGCCGGTGCAGATTTAAAGTCCTCATGCTATGGAGATAGCGGAGGGCCTCTCCTTGATGAGACTGGCCAGGTACTGCTTGGGGTTGTATCAGCTGGTTATCTCTGTGGTACAGATGGGTATCCAACAATATTTACGCGGGTCAGTAAGTATATCCACTGGATTGAAAAGAATAGCAGATGAAAGCTGCAATTGGCACTGCAGACTTGCAAGGTCAATGGGGGTGGGATGGTCTTTAGGCAAGTAAGAATATGCCTATGTGTTGTTTTCTCCAGTTGCTGGGTAAAGCCTGTAAAGTTAAACTTACCTTCAATGTTTGAGGCCTTCGGTGCAAGTGGATATAGAGAATGGTTGACCGTATAATGGATCACATGTGATACATGTCTATTTGCCAGAGGTTCATCAATCACATTCTACATTTTATGGAGAGCTAAAGTTTGAGTTGAACATGGACTAGACTGGCAGGCTGATTTTAAGCCTCTTAAGCATATTTTACCATTAATATGAGGTTGGTACGGAGTACTCCTTGAGGTATTGACAGGCATACTCCGGACTGCTGGGAGAAATTAAGTTGTGAGTTATTCGCGACTATATTATTGTCAACTTCAACGTCACAACGGGCCGTCTTGATATTCTTGACGTTCTCGGCCATCTTTCTGCTTATATAACATGGCGGCGAGCCCGATTTGGACGGGTAAGTTTAGACTTTTATCAGAAACCATTCCGTATTCGGCTAGCGGCGAAGCGGTCTCGAAACTTCTGTTTGCCGCTCCGATATAAAACGGGGTTGCTATCTATTCACCATCGCCCGAACAACCCGCCGCCACTACCTTTTCGCTCTCTCTTGGTATCTTGCTCGTTTACCTCACATACCATAAAGCGTTTTCACCTGATTTCTCATCTGGGGCAGATCTTGACTATCTCTACGAAGTCACATCAAGCAGCCATCTCTCGTTCTGCCTCTCGCTTCGTTTTACGAGTCCTTACCCCACTACTCCGCTAAACAAAATGGCTGACTGGGACTCCGTCACTGTCATCGGTAGCAAGCACCGTGGTGGAGCCGCGCCCCGTGAGACTGTTGTCAAGGGCCGCTCCGCTCTTAACGCCGCTGCTCGATCTGGCGCCATCATCGGCACAGAAAAGAAATTCGCTACTGGCAACACTGTAAGCCTTCTCTGCAATAAATTCATCCCCATCTTTCCCCCTCAAAGCAGCAAGACCGTCCAACTAATATTCAACCCCGCATGCAGGCCTCTCGCCCCGCCGTTGAAGGCCAACATCTCACCAAAGTCGACCGTTCCGACGACATTGTCAAGCCCAAGACTGTGGGTCTAGAAGTCGGTGAAGCCATCAAGCGTCGTCGCAACGACGAGAAATACAAGATGTCCCAAAAGGAACTGGCCACCAAATGCAACACCACCGTCAGCATTGTCCAGGACTTTGAACGTGGTACCGCTGCCCCCGATCAGAAGGTGCTTTCGTCCATGGAGAGAGTCCTGAATGTCAAGTTGCGTGGTGCGAATATCGGGGATGAGAAGTTTCCGGCGAAGAAGAAGTGAATTTAGAAGCGATTTGATGATATTCCCCTCTCTCCATTGCCAGAATGCAGGTGGTGGTGGGGTTTTTTCACAAAGACGGCTTCGATTGGACTTGCTTCTTCGCCGGTAACCTCTTGTGCTTTTTTGTTTATGTCACGACGCATTTGCCATCATTTCTCTGCCCCTTTTTCTTTTAGCGCTTTGCCCCTTTCTGTCGTACAATTTTTCGAGACTGTTCCCGCTCAATGAACTATTATGGCTATTAGACCAAGTGAATATTTGTGTTTTTGGAGGGAGGTTCGAAATGCATTCCCGCCTTCTCTGAATGAGAAGCTAGGGATGAAGAATGAGATAGTCGAATAAAACAAATACAACACAAAGCATCAAACCCAACTTTGTCACGCCAGCTATTGCCACATATATGACAGTGACCAAGTCTATGGATAGATTGATCTAATAATTACTCAAAGGATCAAATTCATCAAGGTGTTAAATAAACGGAGAACCCTAAGCTATAATGCGTACATACATGGTCCATATCATCAAAAAGCATGTATCATGACAAAAAGGAAAAAAAAAGAAACTTTCCCATCAGGCTCAAACCATAGGTCTATGAAAACATCGGGTTTATATGCGCTGTACAATCTCGAAGATTTTTGACTTTTTTCCAACGACGATATATTCAGCAAGAATGATCGTTTAGAATAACGTTTGCAAGAAGTGTATTGAAACAGCAAAGCTTTTCATGCTAGCATCTTTCTAAACGCTCCTTCGGTGCAAAATACACAAGATGTTTCGCGATCTATTCAGAGCTTGGCGTTCGCGAGGTTGCTGCGAAGTCGTCTCTCGACGGCGTCCAAGTACTCGCGGGTGGTAACCCAGGCTTCCCTGTCCTTTCTGCCGCAGGACAGGGCCAAATCCTTAGTCATAACACCCTCCTCGTCGACAACCTCGATGCAGGCACGCTCGAGCTGCTCAGCAAACGTGATGACGTCAGGAGTCTCGTCGAGTTGACCACGGCGGATCAAGCCACGGGTCCAGGCGAAGATGGAGGCAATAGGATTAGTAGAGGTCTCACGACCCTTCTGGTGCTCACGGTAGTGGCGGGTGACGGTTCCATGGGCGGCTTCAGACTCGAAAGCAGAGCCATCGGGGGTGGTCAAGGTAGATGTCATAAGGCCAAGGGAGCCAAAGCCTTGGGCGACAATATCGGACTGGACATCACCATCGTAGTCTATATGCAATCAGTATTTTCATCTGAAAAATATAGCACTCAAACTCACTCTTCATGGCAATAACGCAACCTCCATCACCCTTGATCATTTGGGCGACCATGTCATCAATCAAGCGATGTTCATACCAGATACCCTTAGCTTCAAAGTCCTTTCTATAGTGGGCTTCGTAGATTTCCTGGAAGATATCCTTGAACCGACCATCGTATTTTTTCAAAATAGTATTCTTTGTGCTCATGTACATAGGAAGGCTCTTGAGCAGAGCCATTTTGAAACTGGCATGAGCAAATCCTTGAATAGATTCGTCCGTGTTGTATTGAACTTGGGTAATACCGGCTCCTTGGAATTCATATACTGTCACTCGCTCCGGCTCGCCGTTCGTGGGTGTGTATACAAGCTCAAGCTTGCCAGGGCCACCAATAAGACGGTCAGTAGCACGGTATTGGTCACCAAAGGCATGTCTGCCAATAATGATTGGCTTCTTCCAGCCAGGTACAAGTCTTGGGATCCGAGGAATGACAATTGGTTCGCGGAAAACCGTTCCACCTCTAATCAATGTCAGCCTGTCGGTTACTTTCCAACCGGCAAAAATAAACTCACAAGATGTTTCTGATGGTTCCATTTGGAGAGAGCCACACTATTTTCATCAGTTTCTAGGCCTGAGATTTCAGGGCAAAGATACATACTCTTCTTCAACTTGAATTCTTCGACACGTTGCTCGTCAGGGGTGATGGTGGCGCACTTGACACCAACGCCATACTTCTTAATAGCCTCTGCAGCGTCGACGGTAACCTTGTCATCGGTTTGGTCACGGTACTCCAGGCCCTGGTAGTGAAGCTGATGTCAGCAAAATGAAGCTTCATCAGGCTCCTAGAATTGTTACTCACCAAGTCGTAGTACTTCAAATCGACATCGAGGTATCTGCACCGAGTTAGTAGATTGCTTCACCCATAATGAAACAATTTCGACCACGAGTGGGGACTAACGGGAAGATGAACTAGCTCAAGGTTAGCACACAAGGTGTAGATAGGAGGAATCGAATGCCCTTACTTTATCTTTGATGTCCTGCCAGATAATTCTGGTCATCTAGTTATTGAGGTAACGTTAGCTATCCACCCCGTCCCCAATATCAAAAGTCAATGTGCTTGGTATAACACCATCAACAATCGGCTACTGTAAAGGCAATAACCTCGGGCAATTGCGCCAACAGCAGATCCACAGGCGCCCAAGAGCAGAGAAGAGGGACATATAACACACCTCATCGCCGTCCAACTCCACCAACGGGTTCTTGACCTTGATCTTCTTCCGTCCGGAAGCCATGTTGCGTGTTTGGATGTAGGAGAACGAGGGGGCAGCAGTGCGGCGATCTGCACTGAGAAGGGCAAAGGATCGTGTGAGAGAGTTGCGATCGAGGCTGGAGCGCTGCTGGACGAGCGGCGCAGACGAGGAGGCGGAGGACGACGACGAGAGGAAAGACAGAGGAGGAGGGGTGGTGCGGGTAGAAAACGGAGCCAGCGCGCGGGAGGCGGGCAGGGACTTAAAGCGCGGAAGGCGGGCCAGTGACAGCCGGGAGGGGGCGGAACTAGGCCGAAGAGCAGGCATGGCTTTGGGGGCCGGGTAATTGGGAGGGACAGGCAGGACTCCGGGGACAGGCAGCGAGCGCGAAGCCAGGGGGGGAGCGTCGCAGTCGAGGACGAGCAATACGAAATCAAGATGAAGCTCCCTGTGTCTGGCGTCTGGTGGGTTCCGACTCGCTTGGGCGGGCTCGCTTTTGGCTTTTTCTTTGTTGTTTTGGCGCCCTTTCGGCCTTCAGGCTCGCACTGGGTGTGCTCTCTCGGGCGGCGAAGAGATTTCCGGCGCGTGGGAACTCTAACTTAAACAGGCGGAGAACCAGATCCAGCGGACGTGAAGATGGAGCGGGCCCGTTGACAGCGTGAGCGGTTCCTTGGGAGCTGCTGAGCCAGCGGGTGAGGTGGCTGGTTGGTGTGTTATGTAGAGTTAGACGGTGCTAGGGCCGCCGGTCGTGCCGCACAGCAGGTCACCACCACCACACACGCGGCCGGTCCAGTGCTGAGACGTGGTGTCTGGCGGGCGGGAGCAGCGCAGCGATGACGACGGTGGTGGCCGATGATTGCTTTTTAATCAAACGGTCCAGCCCAGCCCGCGCATTGCCATGCCTGCGCGCTCCCCGCCAGGCACGTCCCCTGGCGCGCCGCCGCGGGGTTTTCCTCGGCTGGCCAGCGTCGCATCGCCGCTTATCGCTGGGAAAGTCACGTGTGCCTCCCGCGCCGCGCCATCCGCAAACTTGACATCGCCTGTGCGAAGCAACTACCCAGCGCCCGTCTCATCTCACGGCGCAATCCGTTTCGAAGAGACACCTTCATATCTGCCCGGCTCCTCCCATACTCCTGTGCATCGAGCGTATTTTTGGTTTCATCACAGATGCGTGCTCCCCGGAAAACAGCGTACTTGCCCGGAATCCTTTTGCCGCGCTGATCTGCGTCATGATGTGTCCATCCATCCCAAGGTCACAGCGACTCCAAGACCGGTCAATGAGCTGTTATATGCTCAGACTCCCATCCATTTCCTACTCCGCAGCATCCTCTTTGATCCTGCCTGGACCCTTTTCATGTGTACGCCCGTTGCTCCTTTGACATTAACGCCGACGTATGGTCCTCGCTGCTAGTGATGACCGTTGTATATGCAGCCCTGCTGGCATAATTTTGTACATATACATAGCAGGGAAGCTACTTTTCCCTAGCCCCAGCCCCCGCCCAGAAGTTATCCCCTGCAAGCCGCTTCAAGTGTCTTGAGATCCTAGTCTGGCGCGGGGAGAGTCTCGGGATTGAATCGCCGACCAACCGGCTCTTTTTTACAAGGACATTATTCACGACATTATTGCGGCTCCTTGCCTTCTTTGTATAGCCAACAACAATATGAAAACGCACGGCAGGGAACATATCGAGACAGTAGTGTATCTCCTTCTAAGAATCTCTGCGAGATGATTAGAGCGGTTATTTCGCGCTGAACACGCTGATTGGCCGAGAGTCAGATTTCGCTGCCTAAAACCCGCCAATCACAGCATTTCGGCAGAAAAATAGCCGAAGCCCTGCCAAGCCTTCGGCGCCGCGGAGATACTGTCGGATACTAATTAATCCACTTCCGATAGCGGGATGCGCCGGCATTTGGGGTTTCGCATGAACGGCTTCACATTGATGATGAGCTGTTCAACGTCCATCCTTCCCGTCTACATTGAGCATGGACTTTCCTAAAACCCTTAGCTTCAGGAGCTGTTGTGGATATCCGTCTTCGTCATCTGAATACCACAAATATCGTCCCAGACCGTCTCTCGGTGACAAAAACCATGCTTGCAGCAGCATCCCTCTGACTTGCCGAACAATGCCTCGTTTAGCCGTGTTCAGCGAGCGGGCTGATCAAAAGCCACCATGAGCCGAAGGCAACTTGGGCTTGTCTCGCTTTGCCGTCTTGCATCTCCAGACCATATGCCTGGTATCTTTTGAGGGGCCTTTAGGTTAGCCCACAACGCCGGCGCCATCTCTCCAGTAGTTTCATAAGGTCTCTATAGCAGCACTTGGCTGCCATGCCGCGAAAAGCCTCTTTCTAATATTATGGGTGCTGCCCTCCTTAAATTTTCCATATATACCCCTGCTTATGAACCATGTCCCCTCAGCACCCACGCTTCTTTCCTTCCTTCATTTCTACCTAAACGAATGATTATCCAATGACAATGGCTCGTATTGGTCTCGCAGATCGATAATTGGAAATTTTTTCTAAGATGACGATGAGCGTGTAGAAGACACATGCAAATGCCAAAAACAAGCTACTCTATCTGTCTCGACAACATGCCTCCCAAAACTTCAATTCTTGTTCAAAGCCAATCACTGCGTTTTACAAAGACAATCTATGGTGATTTTGCAGCTGTACGGAGTATATAATGAGCATCGAATCGGGCTATCTATTGACATGGTTGGCTAAGTTTGATCACACTCCCATCTATTTTTCAAGAATCGCGCACAAAGGCAATAAATCTACAAATCTCCCTTGATATCACTTTAAACCCTGATGGAAACAAAGGTGTGGTCTATGGTAGCAGCCTTTAATAAGTACCTCGAAAACTGGGCTATGTCTGATCAAATTTGCAGATATACGTGCTGATGCCCATATCACCACAACTTACTTAACCTTAGCCCAGGATCATCGACCTTGGTAGGTGACTATAATTATTTGCAATAAAGGGATGAAAGGAGTAACGCTCCTAAAACTTAAAGAGTCAAATACAGGTCTCCATTAAACACCCACATTAGCATCCACCCCAGAGGTACCTTCTGTGACGTGCTACTGGTATATATGGACAAGCTCCAATAAACCAGAGGATATCAGAGTGGTGGTGATATTAAGATTTCGAGAAAATATATGGACATATCACAATTATGGTTGTCAAACACCCTATATTTTCTCTCATTATAATTAACTTTAACGCTGCTTACCTCTAGCCCGGTAAGAACTAAGAAACTGGTTGAATTTATTGGGAACGGCTTTTAAGATCAATCTGAACAAGCAACAGAGCATAATTCTTATTAGTCCTTAACTTTACTAACGGGTTCTAATCTAACCACCAAGTTGTGCGGACTAATGCTTCAAGAGAACAGAACACTTAAACTCAGATTCAGATGATCGAAACAATCTATGATATTTTTTGAATATTATCTGTTGCTGTATCTACCCCTGTTTTTCAAGGTACATACATTTTGATTATTAACTAGCCAATAAAAGATATCGCATGTGGCTTCAAGAAATCCAGCCAATGAAGAGAAGCATGACTACATAGGGCAAAACCCTAAAAAGCCAACCATACGGAGTACAAAAACTTATAACTATCCGGGCCTGCTGACTAATCTGGCTAATGATCATTATGCCGCTGCAACAATGAAATGACTATAAATTAAGCTCCATCTCAATTAGAGTACCCATGACATACATATAATACTGGCCCCTGGCCAGTTCAGCCGATTTGGCTTGATGTATTGCTTCTAGCAAAGAGTGTCTGAAGGTGTTGAGATGCTTGATCGCCTCTTCTGTCATGTTGGCTGATTTTTAGTACTTGCAAGGAAGCCTTGCTGGTTTATTAGAATGGCGGCGAAAATTATATAAAACGTTTTTCACCGATCACCCCGCAAGAATCTTTTATTAAAATCTCGCTTAGGGGGCCACATGCGACGCTTCCAATTCCACGGCCATATATATGGGCTCCTCTTTTGTATAGGTAAACTGGCATGCAGTAAAGTGTGTTGTTGAAGATAATGCCAAAGACCGCTGTTATCGCTTTTTCACCCATCTATTCCTGATCTAGGTCTACCAAATACTTAGAACCACGCGAGAGGAGACGCCTAAAAATAAGCTTTGTTGTTGAAGGGGCAAGGGGCGTTTTGCAAAAAGAAAAAATCAAAATAAGAAGGGGAAGTACAATTACAGGAACAGGATATAGTAAATAGAATGTGCTGAAAACAAGGGGGTCCGTGTGAATGGGAACACGGAGCGCAGGAAAGTCTGGGGTGGACAAGAAGCGAGATAGTCGGGTGGCAGCCGAAGGGCAAGGTAGAGTTGTGCACCATGACATTTATGACACAGATCTCGAAAGTTGCAGAATGCCACCTTCTATGGAATACATAACTACATTAGTTATGCACATTTGCACTCTATATTGCGCAGACGCTCGCAAATTCGGTCCTGTTCCACCATCTTTCAGAGAGAGATGTAAATGCAGACTGTTTCTTTTAGAGAGATTCCGGGTGAAATGGGTTTTAGAAAAGACCGTCGATTTCGCCAGTTTCGGCATCAACGTCGACGTTGAGGTAGCCTGGCGCAGTAGGCAAGCCTGGAATGGTCTGAATGTCCGCTGCCAGAGCATATCTAAACGTAAAAGCTATCAGTAAACCAAAGCAAAGGTTTGATGTGGTAGATTAGGCGAGAAAGGGGAACTAAGAACTCACAAGTATCCCGCACCGACAGCCAACCGCACGTCCCGAATGGGCACTGTGAAACCTGTCGGGGCACCCTTAAGGCTTGGATCATGGCTCAAAGAGTACTGAGTCTTAGCAATGCAGATGGGAAGATTACTAAACCCTTGTTTCGTATAGGTGTCCACCTTCTTCTGAGCCAGCTCGCTGAATTCAACCTTATCAGCGCCATACATGAGCTGACCAATCTTCTCAATCCGCTCTTGGATGGTGCCTTCGAGGTCATAGAGGAGTTTAAAATCCTTTGGTTTCGAGCTAGCAATGATGACACCCTTGGCAAGGTCAACGGCACCGGCCCCACCTTCGGCCCAATGGTTCGCAGGAATGGCATCTTCTGCTCCCGCGGCAATTGCTTCTTCGCGGATGACGGCCATTTCAGCCTCGGTATCGCTTTCGAATTTGTTAATAGCGACAATGACGGGAATGCCGTATTGCTTCGCGTTCTCGATGTGCTTCTTGAGATTCACGCAGCCGCGTCGCAGGAGCTCAGTATCTTCGTTTCTGTAGGCTTCGGGAAGGGGAGCTCCAGGGGTTATGTCAGGCCCACCGCCATGAACTTTCAGGGCACGAACCGTAGCAACGATGACTACTGTGTCGGGAACAAGGCCGGATGAACGGCACTTGATATTGAAGAAACGTTCACCGCCCATGGTGAAATCGAACCCAGCCTCAGTAACGACAAAGCCGGTCTTGGCTTCATGATCCTCATCAGGCTCGGTACCCGCCAGTTTGAGCGCGAGTTTGTCAGCAACAACCGAGTTAGCTCCAATACTGATATTGGCAAAGGGGCCAGCGTGAACAAAAACGGGAGTGCCTTCCAAACTTTGCATGAGATTTGGCTTGATGGCATCTTTCATTAGCGCTGTGAGCGCACCTCCAGCCCCGATATCGTCACAAGTTACAGGGTCTCCGTTCTTCGAAGTTGCAATGACCATGCGACCAAGGCGTTCTCGCATGTCAGCAAGGTCGTTGCTCAAAGCCAGAATAGCCATACATTCACTTGCAACTGAGATGTCAAATCCAGTCTGCCTCGTATGGCCCTTTTCTGTTGGAGCCTGGCCAACCGTGATGGACCTGAGATGTCGATCATTGACGTCCAAGACGCGACGCCATGTAATGGTATCAGGATCAATATCCAGACGGGCGAAGCGGTGAATTTCATCTTCAGTTAACTCGTTAGGATCGGTCTTCTCGATTCCCAACTTCTTCAATCTCCTGAACATGATTGGCTGGAACTCCCTTTTCCCCTTTTTCGTTGGGACCAGACGCTTGTATAGGGCAGCATCTGATTGAGTGCATTCGTGAAACATTCTCGTCTCGATGGCGGCTGCTAGTAGGTTATTGGCAGCAGTGATGGCATGGATATCACCAGTCAAATGGAGATTGAACTCGTCCATAGGAATGACCTGACTGTAACCGCCGCCAGCAGCACCGCCTTTGATACCAAATGTCGGCCCTTGACTTGGTTGTCGGACGTTTGCAAAAACAATCCTGTTGAGATGGGCACCTAAGGCCTGAGTAAGACCCATTGTAGTGGTGGATTTACCCTCTCCTAATGGAGTTGGAGTGATACCGCAGACAAGAATATACCGCCCATCTCGACGATGGGACAATCGAGTTAAAGCATCCAAGCTAACTTTTGCTTTTGTATGGCCATAGGGCTCTAATTCGTGTGCCGCAATTCCAATCTCGGCTGCAACGCGCGTGATTGGCTTTGGACGTTGGGCTCGAGAGATTGCGATATCAGATGGAACGGGGTTTTGAAGTTTGATGGGCAACGGTGAGATGCGTCTATCCTTTAACTTCTCAAAATATGAGTTTGCCGAGTTCACCACATTCTGGAGGAGCATAGCAACTGTCATTGGGCCAACGCCACCAGGTACTGGCGTGATATGCGAGGCGACCTCAACGGCGGAATCGAATTCAACATCGCCAACCAAGCGCTGTCCAGACTTTTTCGATGCATCAGGGATGTAATTTGTTCCAACATCAATGACAATGGCACCTGGCTTTAGCCAATCGCCCCGCACAAAGCCAGGCTTGCCGATAGCGGCGATCAATACATCCGCCTTCTTGATAATTTGAGGAAGGTCTTTTGTTTTGGAGTGACAAACAGTTACAGTGGCATCTGCATTTTTCAACAAGTAGCTGACTGGACTGCCAACGATGTCACTTCGGCCTAAAACAACCGCCTCTTTCCCTGCTAGGTCCACTCCAGTCGTACGGAGCAGTTCCATAACACCCTGAGGAGTGCAAGGAACAAAAAGCGGCTTTCCTCCACGTTTTGCCAATTCTCCAATATTGTTGGCACCAAAACCGTCCACATCTTTGTGATTGGAGACTGCAGAAGTGACTGTATGTTCAGAGAGGTGGTTTGGAAGCGGAAGCTGTACGAGAATGCCGTGCACTGAGGGGTCGTTGTTTGCGTTCTCGATTTCTTGAATTAATTCCGATTCGATGATATCCTCAGGAAACTTGGTAATTTTGCAAAGGATATTTGCCTAAATTAACAGGTGGTTAGTAAGTCATTGACTTTTCCATATGTAGTAGTGTACGTACTTCCTCCGCAGCCTTCAGCTTCATGCGGACATAGGTACCTATGGAAGTTCAGCGCGGACTTGGGGAGAATTGAAACATAGAGTGCGTACTTGAATCTGATCTGTCGCCGACTATAGTAAATCACATTAGCATCTATTCAGTGCAAGGGCGGTTCGGTAGGCGAATGGAGTTGTTACCCTGGAAAATCACCAGGCTCGGTTGGAATCTGGGATTTGACTCCTGTGTCTTTCGAATCTCAGCATTAAGTCTCTCGCGAATGCCCTTGGCTATCGCCGTGCCATCGATCTTACTGCCGGCCATGTTCGCTGTGCTCGAGGAAAATCGCTGCGCGCAAGGTGGGGCAAGACGGAGGGGCCTGAAAAGCGAATTCCGGGCCCTTGAAAACGTGCTTGCGGCTCTGGAAACTGTTAACAAAGGACTGGCAGCCGATTCTGGAGATGAAGCCAGAAGAGGAGTGTTTGTAGCGGGAGGGTGACGGGCAATCACGGACCTGAACGCGGGCTGATGGCGGGGTATGGACGACGCGAGCCGGGATTGAGTGGTTAGTCGGGCCTGGAGCAGCGCGCCCGGCAGCATGCGTGTGACCCTCGGGACTGTCCCGTCTCGCCGCGACAGGCTCCGCAAGCCTGCTGTGAACATGCGAGCCAGCGGGTGAATTCTCAGCAACGACCAAAGACTCGTTGCCCGCACTGAACGCAATTGACTTTGAGAAACTAGAAATTTTCCTTCACCGCAGGCTCTCGCTCCGTCGCCGTTATTTTTTTTTTGTGAGTCAGCGTTTTTCTTTTGGATTTGGCCCGTGCGCTAGCAACATCCTTTTCTACCCCTGAAGTAGGAAGTTGACTTCGCGCGCCATGATCTACCTAAATTCCAGAGCGACAGCAAAGACAAATTTTTGAATTCCAGCAATATACGACTCTGTATTTACTGTGAGCTGCCTGTTTTCAGCTCCAAAAAGAGAATTTGTTGCTTCATTGCGTACGTTGTCGAGTAAATGGAGGTTTATTTTCGTGTAATTTGATATCCGGGCCTCTCTCTTGATGATGGACCTTACTACTGTTAACTACGTAAGTAGTCATTGGCTTATTAGAGCTAGCTGATCGGTATTCATGTTTAATCTGAATGCTCTTCTTCGGATTGCTATAGTAAGTCAAGTTTTATGTGATATCCTGTGGTATTATGAAAGAGCTTCTCAGATAGAATTTCAATGATGCTGTTCCCATCACAATGCAGGAGAGAGAAAGGTCATTGCAGATAGTTAATACTCTGAAATTTCGATAGTAATTTTATAGTACAGCCACTGAGCAGGTCGCCATGGGTTTAGTAAGCTGATCCCGCGTATGTTAGGCTCGTGGTCTATGACAGACTCTTTATTTCGAGGATACTGTTAGATATTTCAATCCGGTCGCATATTCTCAGAACCCTCATAGGGAGAACGGTTCGGTGGGGACAGAGCAATTTTCATTGGCATAATGTCCAGGTTGGTCTTGACGATTTATCGGACGCTCCTTCCAATGTCGACTAGAATGCAGCTCCTTATACCACCTTTTCGGCAAGCCGGACGCCAGCACTTCTTAAGCACAATGGTCTCAAGACATCTTTGGGTTATTCTGCAATATCCCGTAATTGCCGGACAATTCTGAGGCAGTAAAATATGCAGAAGAAGATATTGCAGAAATATTAAACCCAAAACAAATTTTCTATACAAAATACATGAAATATAAGCTGCCGTTGAGAATAAGCCTATTTTCAAGGCCACAGCAGGTGAAACTCCGGAAGAATACAACTTATCCCACAAGTGATCAATATTAAAGAGCCAAATTTCTCGCGAGCGCAAGAAAATGTTAGGTTCTGGGTCCTCGTGACTTGTACACTTGATGCTAGATGACGTTGAAGCAGTGGATTGATCAGCGGAAGTGGTGAATGTGCTGTAGACTCCTGATGGCTCCGGGAATTGGAAATACGGCCTAGTCATTATGTAGAGAAGGAAGTCGGGCATGGTGAAAGAGTAGCTTCTGGATCACGTATGTTGACGAGAAGAGGAAGGCTTGGGAGAGGGCATGGCTGTTTCATGATTATTGATTGGGCTTCAATAATTCAATTATTGAGGATAAATCTACTAGCGATCTGCTGGATAGGAATAGCAAAAATTCTTTAAATCAATCCTTTGCAGCCTGTCATGCGGTTGCGGATTGATTGAGTTTCAGTTGACAGGATGCCGTGATTATATAATCTCAAGACTAATATTATCACGTGATGGCTGAAAAACCAACTGTCACGTGCATAGAAGTCTCGGCGCAAGGCGAAATCTTGGCACCAAAATCGAACATTCAATGTGCGGGCGGATGACTGTAGCCGCAGCCGTGGGCAAGAGAGACTGATTTGAAGCGCATTACCTGAATAAATATATCATTTGAGTACCTCAGGTTGCAGCCGCTGTCATGAGACCGATCCTCCTCCAGGGCCATGTACGTGAAAAATATTTTACACGTCCACACACCGCCTCGCTAACAAGTTTATAGGAACGGTCCCTCAATCAAATCAAATACAACCACGATGGCGATCTCCTCTTCTCCGTAGCGAAAGATAAGGTTTTATGTGCGTGGTACTCGGCGAACGGCGAGAGATTAGGAACATATGCGGGACACCAGGGTGCGCTCTGGACCGTGGATGTCAGCCCCGGCACAGTTCTTTTGGCCACGGGCGCGGCCGATAACACAGTTCGCCTGTGGAATGCGAAGACCGGCGAGTGTGTGAAAGTGTGGGATTTCCCGACTGCGGTGAAGAGAGTTGAATTCAGCCCCGATGGGTCGAGATTACTTGCTGTTACGGAAAAGCGTATGGGGTACCTGGGCACAATTGTTGTATACGATGTGCGGTATGGGGATGGAGAGGGCAATGATTTGGATGATCAGACTGACGAGCCGAGCTTGAAAATCACTTGTGAGCAGAGTAAGGCTACTGTCGCGGGATGGAGTTTCTTGGGGAAATATATCATTGCGGGACATGAGGATGGCAGTATAAGTCAGTACGACGCCAAGGTGAGTGGTTTATTTTCATGTTCTATGATGGAGGTGCCATGGGTTGATTACTGATCTGTATTAGACTGGCGAGCAACTTGAAAGCGTGCAAGCCCACGAGTTCGACCACCAAGTCAACGATTTGCAATTCTCCCCCGACCGAACATATTGTATTACAGCTTCGAAAGATAAATCGGCAAAGGCGCGTGAATACTATTCTGACTCTTGCTGGAGCAGTCCCGCTAACTAAGCCACAGATTATTTCTTGCCGAGATCTACAAGTCATGAAAACATACGTCGCCGACACCCCCCTTAACACCGCTGCCATGACGGCAAAGAAGGACTTTGTCATTCTAGGCGGTGGTCAAGCCGCCATGGACGTCACCACCACCTCCGCCAGACAAGGAAAGTTCGAAGCCCGCTTCTACCACAAGATCTTCGAGGACGAGATTGGCCGTGTTCGAGGCCACTTTGGTCCTCTGAACACAATTGCTGCGCATCCAGCGGGTACGGGCTATGCGTCCGGTGGAGAGGACGGATATGTCCGTGTGCATCATTTTGACAAGGCGTACTTTGATTTCATGTATGAAGTGGAGAGGGAGCAGGCGAGGAAATGAGCGATGAGTTCGAATCTATAAAAAAAAGACGCCCCCTTTTTCTCCTCCCAAGTCGGTCCCTTTCTTCCTTTCTCTGTTTCTTTCTAATCTCGTCATGATTTTACGGCTTGCGATTGCGAGATGAAAATGGGTTGCTTTCCGCGGTTCTGTGAATTTGGTATTCTTGCTCTTCCTGTGCGGTTTTCTGGCGCCCTGCTGGTAATGTTGCAACAGTAATAGAGTTTTCTTCCATGGTTCCGTTCCTGAGACTCGTAGGTAGAGGTGCCCGATTCTTAGAGGGAGTACTCCGTAGAAAGGAAAACTTCACGAGGGTTCGCATCGCGTGGCGTGCTGAGTGTGGATCTCACCGCAGCTTCACACATTAATGAGGCTAGGTTAGTGTTCCACACACACACCTTGGAGGTGGTATCGGCATTCCGGCAACGCAAATGGCCCCGTAGCCAGCAATAGACTGGAGCGGTGCAAATGTTTCCAAAACCTCATGGCATGCCTGGCCGTCCTTTATATTTGCAGAAGTCACAGCGCGAAACTCCGGCTGCTAGCTCTCCCGGCGACGTCGAATCAGAACGCAGCCCAAGGCGCTGAACTCAAATCCTCAAACCGACTTGCACTGGCGGCGGCACCCCTGTCCGTAGAAGCCAGTCTGAAGCCCCTGTCCCTGTAATCACTGGCTGCTCGCGCACGCAGCCCAATCCTGTCGGAGCATTGGCATGAAAGCAGTATAGCCGCGACGGGCAGCAAAATGAGGCGGGCGTGAGGGCCTCTGATAGGCGTTGTCTGCCCGAATTCCCCGGGGGCGACACCCCCGACGCAGCCTGCGACGCGTACGCTCGACATATACGGAGCACAGCATAGCTGGTGTCCAGGAAACGCACAGAGGCGCTGCGTGTAGATCGGGGCGACTCGGCGGCCAGCTGTCACGTCGTGGATTTAAGCACTGAGACGTGCGACGGGATGGGGATGTCAGCGATGTATTCAGGAACGCACAGTAGTAATAAATTCGTCAAGGTTCCGCCCGCCACGGCTCCGTCTGCTGGCCTGCGGTTACGGTTGGGACTAGCAGGGGGCGCTGCGTCGCCTGGAAGGCGAGTCTGGATGCCGATCGCCTGGCCGCGCGAGCGAGAAGAGGCTCACAACCGATCGAGAGAGAGTATGGAGTATGGAGGAGAGCGTGGCCTGCCGCTAGCTGGCTAGTTCGCAGGCCAGGCCATGGCAGAGAGGATCAGCCTGGTCGGCGTGGCGGGCGCTGCATCGCGCGGCGTGCATTATCATTATTATTTTGCTTCTGGCGCGAGCGAGCGTTGTGGTTGCTGCTGGCCCCTGAACGGCCTCACCCACTCACTAACGCGCTGCTAGCAGCTTAGCCCCGTCGCTCGCCCGCCAAGTCACGATCCGTCTTCAACGTGTTTCCGCTGAAACTGCATCGACTCCTTTTTTCTCGCTTCGCTTCTCTTCTGTCGCTGTCCTGCCGCTGCTCGCTCGCCGGCCTGCCGTCTGCTGCGTGCTCGCCGCCGCCGTTCCATTCGTCACGTTCGTTTGTCCTCTTCGTTGCTTTCCTGTCGCTCTCTTCGCTCTCCCCCCCCCTCGACGCCTGCTGCATGCTGCGCCTGGTGAAACCACACTAGGCCAGACTGCCGGACGCACATCCACTGTCAGTCCTGCTGGTATTTGTCTGTTCTGGGGCCTTGCTTGCGTCTGCAAACACCGCTAACTGCCCTTGTCCATGCACAGATCGTACGGGCCGCTGACTCGCACCCGCTAACGCACGCACAATCCCCCCTTTAATTCCCGGCCAGGCGTCTTTGGCCTCCTCAAACGCCTTTTTTGCACGCCTCAGTGCCTGTTCGGTCGCTCGTTCGTGTATGCTCGAGCTTGCCCTGTCGAGCTTGTTCGACCGTTTTTGTCTGATACCCCCCCGTCGCCGTCTCTCCGCTGGTCATCCGATCTATATTTTGATTGACTGAACGTCGATCGGGGGCACCCACCAAGCCCCAAGTCACCCAGGTGATCCGCTTGGCTGCCTTGTTTGTAAGGCCGTATTTTCACGAAACGTGAGAGTGCTGCCTTTGGCTTAGCTCGGCCTAAACTACAGCGCTCGTAACCAGAGGCACGACTCTGCTGCGCGACATAATGTCATTCTTTTCGCGTGTCTTTCGGAAGGATGGGAAGAAAAAGAAGAATGGCGTACAATCAACTGGCCCCGTGAAGCCCCAATGGACAGATGCGTGGCTTCGAACGGAAGTCAGTCCAGAAGAGGTACAGGAGTTGTTGCGAGGATGTACCAGGGAATTGAAAGCCAGAGGTACGTGCTTCTTCCGATTATAGACATCGTCGATTTGGAAATGTGTTGCCTGTGGATGATGCTCATTTACCTTTGCCGCGTAGCTCTCGATACCCCTTTCTTACTACTTCCCTTTCGCCCAACTTCAGACCCAAGTGCCGCCCGTACATTCATTCGTAATTACTTTAGCCCTCCCCCAGAGAAAGCCAGAGCATATCGTGGGGAAGGTCTTGTTCAAGAATTACGTCTCACAGAGCCGATGGTGTGTTCAACTTGGCCTGAATTCCTTCCGTGAAAACCGGGAACTAAAGAACGACTCCGCTTTTAGGTGCTTTGTAGTGTTATGAAATGGTGTTGGAGTAGACTTCCCGGAGGCATTGTCACATGGGAAGCCTACGAGCTATTCAAGGTTGGGGAACAAGGTACGAAAAATATCTTTATACGAGCTTTCTGTAGGGTCTGTTCTAATTGGCCCCCTATAGATTCCCAGCTTGCTCGTGATGCCTTCTCGACCTTCATTCCAATAAGCGTGGAGTCAGACGCCAGAAGTAAAATTATCTTCGATTTTTTCGATCTCATGGCTGCTATTGCAGCTCACGGAAAGAAAAATGGCCTTGGAGGCCGGAAGCTTTCCCGATATGCCGGCTGGTGGGCGTTTGAACATACCGACACTGGAAAGGGTTTTGAAGCAAGCTACAAGACATGGACTAGGTATGTTCCACTCCTAGAAAAGATGTTGGGGAGCAAATACTAATGCCTCTTAGTGCTGCCGATGCGACAAGTCATTTATTCTTTGCATATCTCCGGTCACTTTCCCCAGATTCCGTCCGTGGCACTAATGGCTTTGCTACTCTTCCTCTGTCACTACAAACCCTACTCCAGGCGACAGAGTACCCGCCTGAAGCACCGTCCTTGCTTCAATCTCGGACTACCAAAGTCGTTATGATTGTCGATACCGTTTCCCCAACCCCATTCGCCCTGTTGCGACGTGCAAAGAACTTTGAATATAGGGATAGCGACGTTATTCTCAGAAATTTCTCAAGTTTTGATGATCCGGCTCAGGCTCTAAGCGACGAGTGTCGTCGTGTTCTTAGATGCATCTCCACAACTAACCAGTCAGATGTTTCCACAACTAAAGCTTCTACCAGCCTTCGCGATGCCTCCTGGTCCCGTTTCGAAGATGTTGGGTTTGGGAGCACGATTGAGGAGTCAGATGGAGAGGAGGACTCGACCCTCAAACGGTCCGGCCAAGTTGGGCTAAGATCAGCACCCGCATCACGCACAGCCGATCTTGGACGGCCCACTACACCATCTTGGGCAGACTTCTTGTCCACCGGATTTGCAGACGATAACCAGAGCCACGATCGACCTCCCCTACTTCTTCCTCCCGATAAAGTCCTCCCGCCCATTCACACAGTACGTGGTCAAAGTTCGCAATCTCACAAGCGCTCATTTGACCAAGGGTCGACTCTTGACCCTGGCGAGTTGGCCAGCATTTCTGTCCTGGATCTTGATGATTCGTTCTGGTGGGTTTGGATATCCAGCTTGGCTGGAGAAGAGTCTGCTGCACGCAAGGCAGTGTTTGGTCGTTGCGCGCTACTCGAAACTATTATTTCCAATGGTCGATGGCTCATCCTGGAGGAGCAAGTCAAAGGAGCGGCACCGGAACCCGATGCGGATGCCTACATTGCAGAGAAAAAGACTTTCTTTGGCTTCAGGACTAGGAAAGGGAGATTGGCCCGGCGTCAATCTACCGTCAAAAAGAATGGCGATCTGTATAAATCTGCTAACAGTAGTCTCCCGGCGAGCAGAACCAGTATTGGCCCTGACCAACATGCCAGGATACAGGCCGCTGCAGCCGCACTTCAAAGAAAACATAGAGAGGAACAGGAGCAAGCCATGGCAACCCATACCAGACATGATGATACGTATTCAACTAGGACTAACTCTGTTCTTACATTACAGCCGTCCATTCTGAATGAGGCATCTCATGCGATGAAATGGGCTAGCAACTATGATAAGAATGCTGTTCGAGCTGCTTACCTTGGAAATAGCCGCGCAGGTACTGGTGTTCCCGCGGAAAATCTGGATATGGCCTGGAATGGAACGTCTACACCTACTGGACTCAGACGTAGTGCAGAAAAGGAGCCAACTCCCCCACCAAAGGAGGTGAAATTTTTCTCTCCGGAGCCTGCATCTGAAGCTGCGCCTCCGCCCCCGGCTAAGGAAACTTCGCCAGAGGTGCCAGCTCCAGCACAGGTAGCCGAGCCTACCCCTACGAAACAAGAACCTGGTGAGCCAACATTTCCTAAAGTTATACCATCCACTGGCAGGCCATCTGGAGAATTCTCTCGTGATCACAATAAACTGAAGAAAAAACCAGGAACCTCAGGAATCAAAGCACTCTTCGGCAAGAAGAAGTCCGAGCCCGTGGGCAGGTCCTCGACGGAGAATGCGGCCGCAGCTGCGGCAACAAAGGCTTTTCTCGAGAGCCGTCCAGCACCACCGGCTCAGTTGGCCCCAAAGACTGTAGTCACCAATCGCATGTCAAACTTTGGTCAAAGAAAGCCATCCAATGAATCAGCGAGGTCGGCTACTAAATCACCAACCCCTCCTGTCGTGGAACGAAAGCCTGCCCCCGTTGCCGCCGCCGCTGTTGTTGCTACTGTTGCATCACCAGTTTCGTCGCCCGACCCGACTCCTATTCCAACCCCAGCTCCAGCTCCAGCAATGCCTGCGTATGATGGACCGCCAAAGCACCGAAGAGAGGCCGAATTTGACCAGCTGTCTCGTATTAATACCGATGAACAGGCCGAGGCAGATCGCCATTTCTCTAACTTTGACCACCAGAGCCCTATTGTGGACCAACCGGCTTTTGTGCCAATGGACACGCCCATATCTGAGTCCTTTCCTACGCGGACACCAACACCTCCACCTGTCAAGATGCCAGAAGCTGCTCCGCCTCCTGTACCGAAGGCCGAACCCCCAGTTGCACCTGCAGCTGCACCAACAGTCAAGCCTCCAGTTATCAGCAAGCCTGTCAATGGGAACGTTGTATCCAACTCCACTGCCGCTCCCGTTGACCCACAGACGCAGATCCAAGATCGCTGGGCGCAAATTAGAAAGAACGCCGCTGAGAGAGCCGGAGTTGCTGAGGAGTCGGTTGTCAAAAACAGTATCCCCGAAAAGTCTAGTAACCAGGACTCAACGCAGGAGTGTAAGTGCAAAACCCAACATCTCAAGCTTCATCTCCAAAACTAACATATGACCCTAGCTATTGAACTGCGCGCTGCTCGCATTCGGGCTCGTGTTGCTGAGTTGACCAAGAACATGGAAGCGTCTCGATAGACTGTTTTCATATTTTTTTGACTGGCTACTTCATTAACTGGTTGAACCTTTTTTTTTCTTCTACTTTACTTCTCTGATCTCAGATCATTGGATCGATACCCCCCCCCCCCCTTTTTTTTTTTTTTTTTTTCATAACATACCCATCCTCCGATTGATTTAGAGATGGAAATGCGTTTCTTAGCCTTCAGTGCCAGAACAGGGTGCTGTACTTTGTCTTATTACTTACCGTTTATTATTTCTTTGTACTTCTCTCCTGCATTTTCGTGGATTTATCTCTCTTCTTCACTGCCTTGAAGCCGTTCCCCATGGGACGATAACGACGCATGGGGAATTTACCTATGAACTCTCGAATATTTGTGTGTCCGTTTTTATTTTTCTTTTCTGATTTCGGTACAATCGCCCACCAAGTCGATTAATTGAATGTACACCAAATCCTCCTGTTAGATACCTCTTTGCTTTTTGGATCTCCCCCACACGAAACCCCAACTGTACGCTACTTGCTCTGACATTTTCCTCTTGTCACACAGCCTGCTTTGCCCAGTTTCTCCTTTGTCAATAAAAAATACCTATTTGATAGTACAGAAGTAATTGATCTATTTTACAGAAATCGACTTCCGATGGTAGCCTTTGGCAAAATGAACATGCCACTGAACCTAGCTGTGCTCCTCTTGACCATACTACGTACCGAAGCTTTGTACAGTATATATATTCAACTGCTATTATCAAGCCGTTCTACAGGTATACATCTAAACAGCAAACTAAATACACAGAACCACACACCAACGAGCCTTGGTAACGAGTTACTACTAGCCACCCGTCTAGTCAGCACCATAGACTAACCTACACTCGCTTATTTTCTTCCAAAAATCTTATTCTTCAATCTATCAGCCAATCCCTCGTCGCCATCCTTATTCGAGCCATCGTAGGCCGTCGTCTCCTTTGGTCGTTTCGACTCGCTATTTTTGGCATCTTCCGCTTTGCGATCTGCTTCATGAGAAACGTTACCATGACCACCACGCTACATAAATATTGAAAATGCATTAGACCGGCCCCAATCATTGAAGTGCCCAGCCTTCTCTCCCGAAGTACTCACTCCAACATGATAATCACCCTCCATGTCGGGCCTGACTGCTAACGGTGAGATGATGTCCCTATCGTGAGGCGTCGACGAGTTGGGTTTGACTCCTGGCGAGCCAATATTTCCAATCCCTCCACGCTAGCCCAGTCTTTAGCTGTTATACCGGCAATGGTAGATAATCGGATCGAAATTAGGGGGGTATACTAACACCAGCAGAGTATGCGCCATCTCCTTGATCGCCCTCAACACCCTGTCTAGTTATCGCTCCATCAGCGTAGCTTTGAATGTGAATTTCTGTCAGCCCGTGCCGTGAAATTGCAAAAGGGGAATGCCAACGTACAGAGTATCATCGGCGCGTATATTGCCCTGTCCTGTATGCAAGGATATATGCATCAGTAAGGGATATTACTCGCCCAAGGCGTACAGAGACAATTTGAGTAGATGTTTATCATACCACCACGCCCATGAGACACTATGGGTGCCAAAACACCGTCCGGGGTTTCGCCAATGGGTTTGTTTGACCCCACCATAATATGCTGAAGAATGAAGCTATTCAAACGTCCTGGGATCAATCTCGTACCTTTCAAAGGTCAACTAGCAAAAAATATTAGGACTTATGTCCAAACCACCCGATTTTATTCTCTGTTTCCCCTTTTGCGAGTCTCGAATGACGTATAATGCCAAGACCGCGGAGACGACAGAGATAAGATAAGCTTCCCCGAGCCAATCAAAGTTCACATCATCTTATCTCCGCCCTGATAAGATGTCGCTGATAAATGGAAGATAAATATGAGAAAATAACGAGCTCTTTAGATGTATTGTTGTATATGATAGTTTTTTTCTACTTTTCTGCCTACTATTGGAAAATAGGATTGAAACATAAGCTAAAGGAAAATTACGATTGGTCTTTCTAGACTTAAGATTCCTTTTTGACTTCTTTTGGTCCTCCAGTGGTCGGAAGCCCCATAAAGATCTTGAATGAATCGTAGCTGCAAGAATACGTTAGCAAATACCTAGTCGTAGAGTAACAAATCTATAAAATGCAACGTACATCATCCATTGAAGACCAGTCTATTGTGCATGTTAGCTTGGGGGTAAAAGTAAGGGATGGGCAGTGGGTTACATACCAGTGTCCCGATCATAACGATCCTGACGGGAAGCCCGTTCCACAGCCCTTTAAAACCAATATCTCCGTAGATGCGGCTCATCGCTGTGCCAAATGCTTCTCCAGGCAGCCGGTTGGCGTTGAGCTTGCTGACCATTACATCTGCAGGATGAGACACAATAGCACATAGAATACCAGCAAGATAGCCGCCACTAAAAGCAACAGCAGTTTGGGCACCTTTGTTGTAATCTGATTTCTGACCCGGAAGATTTTTATAGATCATTTCCACAATCCGTTCAAAAGAAGCGAATTTCATCATGGTGTAGGGAATTTGTCGGCCCCAGAGAGGGTACAGCCCCTTGTACAAACTGTTTAAAATGAAATGTCAGTATTGTCAGTATATAGTATGATGATTCATCAAAAATACAACCATACCCTCCGATACCTTCCTTCCCCGTGACGTGTGAAATTCCGCTAAATGTCCCAGTCGCAAAGGGGGGGACTGTTGTTTGCATGCGGACTTTGACAGCCTCAAATGGACAGAGTGCAACGTCTGCAATCAGCTCTGCCGAAGCACTAGCGGCAAGATACACTGAAGTTCTCCAGCGTGTAGCAGTTTCCTCACCAAGGAGATCACCATAAAACTTTTTAAAGAACTCATAACCACCGTATTTGAAAGCTCCTTGCGCCTATTTGATGGATTAGCAGATCTAGGTGGTAGGAACGTGTACACAGAGAAAAGTAAATTCGCATTGTACCGAGTAGCCAAAGAAGGTTGGACTCCAGCCTGTTAAAATACCACGAATTCCTTCTGCACGACCTATTTTCCTCCAGGCGTCAAAGTTACCCTTATACATCGTTGGGTCGACTTGCAAGCGGCATTTTGCCAGGTCCAATGGAGTCACGGCAGTGTGCGTCAAACCCTAGATTGCCACATTATTCAATGTCAATGCAATGGAGTTAAATACAAAGACGAAAAGTAAAAATGTAGAATAAAGCCGTTTAGACTTGTACTCACGCAAGCGAGCAAACCCCCAAACGTGCAAGCAGCATAATACTTTGCCGAATACAACTCAATTTTGCCAGCTTTGGCTTGGGCCTTTTGGCTAGCTTTGTCATACTCCTTAGCAGCTGCATTGCCTACGGCTTCAGCCTTATGCTTAACGTCGTCCACAGCACTCCATGCTGGGAATAGACGTCTTTGTTTATTGCCAGAAACATGCTGTCCTTCTTGAGGCTTCTGTTCGTGCTGTAGTCCGTAACGAGTCTGGATAGCTTTGGCGAGAGCTTCTTGCGAAAGGAGTATTGAAGGCATTATCTGTATGCTGAACCAAAGACAGCAGAGCGGATCAATATAACTGGAAACAGTTAATGGACTGATTTCCAAGATTTGAGTGAAACAAGAAGCATCTCAGTGCTGCAGATAACCATGAAAATGGTAAACATGCTCACTAGAATGTCTCAAGCAGAATCTTCCTTTCCTAGAGTGAAGAGACGTTGACCGGAATTCAGCTCGGCTTTAAGCTTTAAGTCCGAGGGAAATACTGAGGGCAGTACCAAAGCCCTCCATGCATTCAGCAAACTGTACAAGGGATATTTGATGAAGCAATGCGAATTTCTCTCAATGAAATACTAGAGGAATACATGCAAGCTGATGAAGGTGGATGTCAGAGCTGAGTATTCAGTACGGGGAAGTATGAGATCAAGATTATGTCAGCTTTAAATATAGCAGGTTTATTAGTACGCTAGACCACATATGGAATGACCGATGGCTTGGCGCAATGTTACGTAATTCACCGAACATTGCGGCGATTATCATCGAGGGCCTTCGACTTACGGAGCATAGGTAACGGATGGAAGCTCGTTAAATTAGTTCGAACTGCACGCTCCTAGCCTATAGTTATATATCTCAAACTCGCTGCCGTCCCCTAAATTAGGTTATTTTATGCTTGTTTCCAGCAGAGCACCCCACCATCCAGATTCCTTCCCCGCACAGCAAAGGTGTGCTTTAAGGGAAATACCAGGACGCCTCCAAACAAAATAAATAAAATGACGTCTTATATCTCCGCTATTCAGGCATATGAGCGTGAAAGATCCCCCATAAATAACCCACTACTATCCTCAATATCCCAGGCGCCAACAACATGGTCGGATAAATACCGCGGCGTAATGGCTCCCCCACTCCTTCTCATCTGAAATCCGAACTTGAAGAATATATTGAGCTGACACAATTCTACTGCACAGGCTACTGTAGAAGATCTCGACCCTCCCCCAGCCCTATCCACCTCCCCCCATGACTCCATATCCTCCGCCCTTCTAGCCGCCTACGAACGAGACTACACCCATCTCACCGTAATCTCCTCCACATCTCGCTCACTCCTCGGCTACCTCAACATCCCACGCTTAAAGTCCCTCATACAAGAAGGCACTGTCACGGAAAGCGACCCAGTAGAAAAAGCGATGCAGAAGTTTCAAAGAAAAGGTCATGTGTATAAGGTCATTATGATGGATACTCCGCTTGAGGAGCTGGAGAGGTTTTTCAATGGCGAGATGGGTGATGGGGAAAGGAGAGACAAGCAGGATTTCGCAGTTGTGACCGATGCGAGTAGGAAGTTCGTTTTGGGGGTTGCGACGAGAGAGGACTTAGAGCAGTTCGTGAAAAGGAGGCCAGCCTGAACTTTGGTTGGATTCTAGGGATATATTCTGAATGCTACTTTCTTGTGTATGGCATCTCAACCAGAGCCTTTTCCTAATGTATGGTACAAGGGTTCCATCGGTCACAATGACGAAAGAGATATCGTTATACAACATTTTTCAAACAGGCAAATAGACACCAATGATTGTCCTCCGTACCTATAGGGCACTCTATCTATCACAAAACGCCAATATCGTCCAACCTCTTTCTTTGATGTTTCGAAGCTCTGTATAGAAAGCCTCTTTTAATCTAAACGGCTGAACAGTTGGATATCCCCCAGCCAAGGGAGCCAAAAAGTTTGATATTAGATGTAATTCTAAGGACAAGAGCCACCAAGAATGTTTCTCCGGCTGCCTTGACTCTGCGAAAGTCAGGTCTGCCAAATTGTGAAAGCCACGTTTCAATTATAGGCGTATGGAGTTGATAAAATTGTATTATTCTTTAGCCACGAATTATCATAGGGGGCGTTGCGGAAAGGTTCGACAAATCGAGTCAGTCAATCCAAGTTCGGGCTTAAGCAGGGTAATTGGTTCTGTAAAAGTCGCGTTTATTATAGCGGTGGCTTCCTATTGGGAACCATGATGGACCGAGACTATCTTAGTCTGCATGTTTCTTGCTTACCAACTATCCATCACTCTACCTAGAGTGAAAGTGTCGTAAGCTTCTAGTTCCTGCACGTATATTTCGATTCTGGGTGACATCCAGGGTTGTCGATGCGTGTCGCAGGATATTTTAATCACATCTGTAGAGCAACAATTATCGGACATATTTCAATCTCCTAGTTGCCTCCGCTGCAATCATCGCACTAATCGCTCCGATAAACAAGCACACTGCAATCCCATTAGGTCCTTCGGTATCTAAATTAAGCCATTGTGCGGCTTTTGATTTGCTATGTTCGTTGTTTGGAGCTGGTGGCCCTTCGGTAGGTGGCGTGCCCGGTTCAAAAATACTGAAAACGATCCAGCTGATAAATGTGCCAACAAATTGAGGTAGTGTAGTATACACATTGAGCACACCCAAATATATGCCAGCCAACTCTCCTGTTGATGCTATTTCATCCTCTTCCGTGTCGCTAGCGTCACTTTCGCCGTCAAGTCGGTGATTTAACCGCAAGACACTGTTGTCATCTAATTCCTGATCGCCATTCGATCCGTCGGTTGTTTCAAGGGGTAAGTATGCGTTGTTTCTGTGCCCAGTTCCAGGACCCATCATGGCAATATTAGAGCTACGTGATGGGCTCGTCAATAGACATAGTCGATTGATTTCAACTCCCATGAAAGCAAACGGAGCCCAGCAGGTGACAGTCCACGGGATTCCACAGAGGGCAACAAGGAATGTGGCAAAGGCTACCGACTTTGCTAGAGGCGCGAAAACCATAGTACCAGCAAACATAATATGCGATATCATCCACGCCGTCTGTAAGTCCGGCCGAACGTAAGAAATCTTCTTCAAAAATCGAACAACTCCACGAGGAGGTCGTTGAGTCAAAGCACCCCTGTCATTTCCCGGTGAGAGAACAGCGAAGGGTAACACGACAGAGTTAACCAAGGTTACCACAGAAAAAATAACAAGAGACAAGCTTCCCAGGCGGCCAACTTCGCCGAGGGTGTCTGTTATCTTGTCGAATTGGGATTTTGGTGCTCCATAACGAAAGTATGTCTCGCCAACCCAAGTGCTACTATAGAAAAGAAAGGGAAACCACCCTAGTTTCGTGTTAGAAATATGAGCACTCATAAAACCACCGAAATACGTACCAATCCAAGCCCAAAATTGTGCCCAGCATATTGCTTTGATCCTAGGTGGTAGGCGGAATGTGGTCCGAAATAGCTGGGATAGGATTTTCATCACGCCAGAGCGATTATCCGAGTCTCTGTTGACATAGTATTAGTACCCTAGTTACGAAGCGCATGGATGAGTGATATTCCACAAACCTCACTGATATCAATACCCTTTCCTTCACAGCATATGATGTAACAAGAACGGAGCCAATGAGAGAACATGCCGCTATTATTGTCATTTGCTTGAACTGTGTATTTCCAAGAAATGTGCCAAACGTGTTTAGCATGTTGATTGAACCAATTCCGTAGCCAATAAGACTACCAATAGCTGTCATCCTACTCGCTGCATTCTTACTTAGCACACCTGCGTTTGAAGCAAAGAGAAAATTCTGCTTACCCCATGCCGAGCCAAGTTGCTGTTGCGGGATAGGTAAGGTATCAACAATTAAACTACGGCAACATGCCTGTACTGCTCAGACAGTTAGTAATCGAAACAAACATAGTATAGTTGCACATACCAACATTAATCGCAAAGTCAACCGCATATATACTCATTACAGCTACCGCTATAGTCACCGACTTTCTCTATTCTCTCATTAGGTTGCAATATTTAACGGAAACTTTCGAAGGCCTGAAATAACATGGGCTGTGTGAAACCCATAGCAGAAACATACCGATTGTGGGTCCTTGACAAAAACAGAAACAATTTCTGATGTCCAGCCAAGGATAAATAGGAACAACCCAACCACCAGAGACCCAACGATCATGAATGGACGGCGGCGACCCCATTTCGACGTTGAACGATCGGCTATTACGCCGACCAATGGCTGCATTATCAGACCAGACAGCGGACCCGCAATCCATACCAGCGAGGTTCGCGACTTTGTCAATCCGAGTTGAAGGAGATAGGGGGTGCAATCTGATGGTTTTGGTAGAGGGAAAATTGTAAGCTATCAATTTGAGCGTGCGGTCATGGGGAGAAGGCGTAGCGACGAGGAGAGGGTTTTCAAAGCGCAGGGGGTCGCGAAGAAACAGTACTCGGGAAACTGGGAGCAGAGGAGTTACATGTCATTTCAATTCCCCAGGTAAACCTTTCAAGAACGCCCTTATCAGTATGAACAGTCTAATTTAATAGGAATCATGCAAGGGCGCGGGATATTTAGACCATTTTGACGGGTGATTAGGCAGCAGACATACTGTAAACCAACTAAGCTAAATGTCAGCAGAGCCATACGCTGAGACTCTGTACGCCCCTTGATGGTGGGCGTGCCCATCCATGATGCCGCTTGTCGCATGGCATTCAACAATTGCGCGTCGTTATGTTAAGCGCGGCTGTGCAGCAGCTGTAAAATCAAAGACAAATGCTTTCCTCTCAGATCCAGGCAGCTCATGGTCCCAGGAGCATATCTGCAGCCTACAGACGGGTGGCAAATGTCAAAGAAGAGAAGAAAGAGCGAACAATGAAACTCATGGAACCAGGGAAGCTGGAGCCATGAATTGAGAGCTGTTGTGATGGGAGCTGGGCGCTGGTGGTCTTGGCGACTCCCGTGACTAGTTAGCCAACTAACTGGTTAACTCCTCTGGAACCCGCTACGAATTCACCCCAGACTGTTACCTAGTACTTAGGACTTGACTAGCTATTGGACATGAGGTTATGTAAAGGAAAATGAATGGAGCTGGGTGTCAGCGTGTGCTAAGGCGTTGTTCCATGGGTTTTTCGGGAGGTCGTCTACGGAGTTCCGGAGTAAATTGCCCCGTATGGCGATTCAGTGCCCCGTAGAAGTAACTACGGAGTAACTACTGTATGTAACTATTTAGTTAGTTAACTATGTCATCAATGTGAAGCGCACGCTGCTCCACACATCCACCCTCCATTCACTTCATTCTCCGCTTTCCTGCTTATTAGCAGGCTCTAATGTCACCAATCGCATTCTCACTTTTCTTATGGAGTACTCTGTACTTTGTTACTAATATGACCATGGAGCCACAGCATTCATAACAGCCATTCACTTACCAGTGCTGTCGAACTGTCAAAGAGCGAAAGGCTGCCAACAAGTGAGGGAGAGGCGACAGCCCACAAATACTTATGTGGTGCTTCTTTATTTGCTCATTAGTTACATGCAAGCAAGTGCCATCAAAGGTGTCAAAGCTGCCAAAGAGGGAGAGAGAGAGAGGTGAGACACAAAAGGTAGAGGGCTGTCATGTCGCTGTTCTGCTTTGCATATGGCATACTTTCTGCTTCTCTGGAACACAGCCACTTCATCTGGCAGAATTCCATAGACCATGCGTCAACCCTCCCTTGCTGCCCCACATATACCAAGTCTGGCACCTTCGTTGTTTCAGAAAAACAGTAATACGTTATATATATAAAATCCAGAAGCCAGAATGAGGGCAGCCCATGCGCTCAACTGGGTAGAGTGTAGGCTGCCCTGCCAGCCGAAGCTGATTGGAATATCTAGGGGATTCGGGCAGTCACGGATCTTGCTTCAGATCCTGAATTAACCCGCAAATTCAAAAATGAAGTAAAATAAAATAAAACAAAAAAGGGGGCTTCTATCTAGAGAAAAGCCCTCCAAAAAATCGAAACGGCAACTAAAAGGGTCCGCCATTACCGAAGTTTCTTTCTCTTTCTATAAGATGGGAGATGATTGACACGGCTACTGAAATTGATACCCATAAGTTTCAGTCTTTCTTGAATGCTCTGGGTTTGCCGTCGGCTGAAGAGTTGTATTTTACCTCTATCAGACAGAACACCTGGGTGGACCATTAGGCCCAACACTTTCTCAGGTATCAATGGTAGCTGAAAAGTCTCCTGGGTGGTACCTTGTGATATTTCACTATGCAGGGTATGGCACAACAGATGATTTGGAATATTTAATCTTACAAGGGCCAAGAGGGCAGAGGGTGCGATTTCCAGGATTCTTACCCTTGTGTCTCGGCTCTTCTTCCTCCTCAAACCTGACTCGGAAGTCGACATTTGCTTCATCTCGACTGCTGTTACAGCGGACTTACGAAGACTATGTTGAGGTAGCAGAGCTCGTTGGTACGATCAGAAAGTAGTCATCGCTTAAAAAGCCCTCGCACCGCCCCGAACTTGGTGTCTTCTTGAGCCAGGCAACAGGCCTTCTCGACGAGGTAAGTCATGGTATTTATGACATTGCTGCTAATTCCGCTAGATGGAATCTATTTCTATCTTAAGCCCGAATACCCCTCCAGTCATCATGCCCAATTAAGTGGGTAACTAACCCTCCCTTTTGAAAAAGCTCCTTTGTAATCGACATATTTCCGGTGCCCAGGATTGGACCGTGAATCTAGAGCTCTGACCCTTCCGTCTGGTTCGGATTTGTGGAAAGGTATATGTTGAATTGGAAAAGAAAAAAAAAGGACCTAGCAGGAAAACATGGGAAAATAGAAAACCGCGCAAAATGATGGCTCAAAAAAGCGAAAGAAATAATCGTAAAGCAATGGGGTTCAAAAAAAAAAGTCATAAAAGACCCGACAGCCAGATCGTCTCTCTCCAATTGATGTCACCATTGCATGTATGTATTCAGTAAAAAAAGCTAAAAAGAAACATAAAAAAAACCTGCTAGATCTAAACAGCCAACTAACTACCTTTTTTTCGTTCTTTGAAGGGTGGTTCGTTCGTACATGCATCACAGTAACGGGGAATGTTGCGCTGGAAAATAGTTATGCGCCATAAAAGAAAAAAACCGCGGGAACAGCTACAGCCGATTGTTTGGAGAATTCGTCGTCGGCCACTGATATCCAGCGGCGTCGCTGAATTTGTATCCGAACGACGCGGTGAAGTCATCGAGCACGGCGGGACCACGAGAGCCTACGATATTTGGTTAGAAGATAGAAATTGTAAGAAAACAGTCAGAGAGTACGTACCATATGGATACTCCATGGGGGTGATATCTTCATTTTCATCGAGATAATGAAGAAGAGGAGTGAAGATTCTCCAGCTCGCATCCAACTCGTCATCACGAACGAAATTCGAGTGGTCACCCTTGAGGGCATCTAAAATCAGCGACTCATAAGCCTCTGGAATTTTCAGGTCAGAGAATCTTCGGCGATAGGTGAGATCGAGCTCTGTTTCGACGGTCTGCATGGAAAGGCCGGGAAGCTTGGAGTTCATCTTGATATAGACGGACTCGTTGGGCTGCACGCGGATGACAAGTTCATTGCGCGGGATGTCTTTGAAGATGCCAGAGGTCACGTCGCGGAACTGAATGCGGATCTCGGTTTTCTGCTCGTTCAACGCTGTGGAAATGTAAGTAATTGCGCTAACAACCACGCCATTGTAAAGACAATACCTTTTCCAGCCTTCAAAATGAATGGAACACCATCCCAGCGCTCATTCTTAATGTACGCAACCATGGCGCAAAAGGTGGCACATCTAGATCCCTTTGGAACAGTATCATCTTCGTAGTAAGCCGGCTTGGTACCATCCAGCGATTTACCATATTGCCCAATGATGACGTTTTTCGGCAAGATCGGGTCAATGCCTCGTAGAACACGAACTTTCTCGTCACGAATATCCTCAGCAGAAAAAGATACAGGCCGCTCCATAGCCAGTAGAGTGAGCACCTGGAGTAGATCTGCTCGCGAAGGTTAATCGGGGCGTTGAAAGAACGGGAACGAGGAAACTAACGGTTTTGCATAACGTCACGGATGATTCCAAACTCGTCAAAATATCCGCCTCGACCTTCCGTGCCAAAAGGTTCTTTGAATGTGATCTATGGTGTATTAGACTTCTTGCTTCCTTGAACTCTCCGGCCATGTCCATACCTGCACGTTATCGATGTGGTGGCGATTCCACGTCGCATTGAAGAATTCATTTCCAAAGCGGAGGATGAGAATATTCTTCACCATTTCCTTTCCGAGGTAATGATCAATACGGAAGACCTCGTCTTCTCTCCAGTTGGGTTTGAGGGCTCTCTGGAGGTCGCGGGAGCTTTGGAGATCCTTGCCAAACGGCTTCTCGACCTAGATATGCAATAAATAAGTAACAAATTCTTCAATAGCATGCAGCGGGGGAGCAAGACGCACGATAATTCTTGCAATGCCATTTTCGGGGTAACAGTTCTTTTTTAAGTGCTCCGACACGGTTGTGAAGACGCTTGGGGGCAGAGCCATATAGAATATTCTATTTTGCTCCTTCCTTCCTTTCTCTAGCTCCACCAGGTGGTTGTTTAATGTAACAAAGGAGTCATCCTCGTCATACTGGCCGGGGATGTAGGTGCAGAGGTCGCAGAAGCCAGCTAGCTGCTCCTCGATGTCCTTTGTGGGGACCTTGATGTACGAGCGCACGCGTTTGATGAATTCGGCATGATCCATTTTCGTTCGGGCATATCCAATAATTTTGATGTCTTTGGGGAGAAATTTGTTGCGATACTGGGGAGAGTTCAATGAGTATTCGAGGCTGCAGTGGGAGGTGCGGGCGGCTGAGAGGAGCTACTTACAAGGCCGAACAGAGCCGGGAACTGCAAGAATTAGCACTAGCTATCACATACGACAATAGAGAATGCTCTTACCGTTTTCTTTTTCGCCAGGTCGCCGGATGCGCCGAGGACGACAATGATGGTGTCATCTTTGAGCTCTTTTGCACTACGCATAAAAAGTTAGCCGAAGGGCCGACTATGGCATCTTATCCGCTGTTTCTGCTGCTGCATTTTGTGTTTTCACCCAGGAGCAGCCTCAGAATAGCAGTCCCAGATCAATCACACTTTTTTCACAACTCTCTGCTGGAAGCACTCTGGCTAGCAACTAGCTGACTCACACACACAAGCACACGCAGTCTGCAGGGCACAACTGGCGGCCACAGCACTGCGCACAACACACAGAAAAACCACTCACCTGGCCGTGTGGGGATCCCCCGCGTGGTTTGCGGACGGCGGCATTGTGCAATTGCGAGACGTAACCTGGGCTGAGGGTGAGCCGCGGCTGGTGAGGCAGTCTCTGGCAGGTGTGCGGCCCAGCGAGCGAGCAGCAGGACGAGCTTTGCGGAGGGCGCACGGCGGGAGCGGTTGCAGCGAGGACAGGCAGGCCAGCAGACGAGAGAGCGCGAGCAGGACGGGCGCGGGGAGCTGGCAGCTGGCAGCTGGAGGCAGAGGATGCGAGGTGTTGTTGGCGGCGGTGGTGGTGGGGCGAAGGCGTGTGGAGGGCCGGAGCTGGCAGAAGCTGTGCCAGTGATGTCAGCCCGGGAGCAACAAACTAGTTAATTAACTTAGCTAGCCAGCCAACTCCCTAAGGTTCTCGACGCTCGTATTGTGCGCGCGCGGCCGTGCTGCGATTATTGCTTGTCGCCGCGATGCGACACTACGCGGCCTCGCCCTCGCCCTCGCCCTCGCTGACACACCCCCGTCGTAACTAAATGAGACCCGCGATCGAGCTGTGCCGCTGCCCGCGCTAACTAGCTCGCTGCTCACTCCCTAACTAACTAACTAGTTAACTAACTAACTATGTACCTAGCCGAAGGATTGTGCTTCCAGAAGACCGGCGAACCCTCCGCGACCCTGCGCCAGCCCTGGGGGCGAAGGGCCTCGGATTCCGCCGTCCGTCGCGCGGCCGGGGTGGTCGATCGTGCAGCTCGGCCTGCCCTGGAGGCATCATCAACTGTACTATTGCAAAGGCGGCCGAGACGTGCGCGCAGCCGTCTCTCCGAGTCGACGCCGCGCTGCCGGCCTCGGTGCTGCCAGGGGCCTGCGGAGCGCAGTGGAGGGCTCCTCAGGTCCGTTTCACGCTGGTCTCGATCCTACACCGACTCGGCCGGGGGTTGCCAGCCCGCTCCACGGCGGCTTCGTCGTCGTCCTGGTCGTGAAGCCGCTGCTGCTGCATCTCTTTCTTTCTCTCTCTCTTTCTTCTCTCTTTGCACGCCCGTCGAGTCCTGCCCGCCGCCGCCAGCCCGATCTTATCAGATTTTCTTTGTTCGCCGACGGGCGACGTCGATCCGTGCTTCATGCGCATCGCCGTACGCCGTCGTGGGAAAAGGGCGCACGCTCGCGACTCCGTGCGCTTCAGCGCGCCCTTGTGCCTCAGCCCGAGCTCGGCGCTGTCAGGTCAGTGTCGCTGTCGGTGTCAGTGTCAGACCGTCTCGAACACGCCCTGCATGCTCTTTCATGCACCGTCACTCTGTGTGCCTTCGCAGCTTGAATGTTACCAGCTATTGGGAAGTGCTGCGAAGCTAACAAGCCTTGACAAGCACCTGCCTCCTGGTAGATACTGGCTGTGAGCTGCGGTGAGGTCGGAGAAGGGGTACAGAGCTGTTCTTCTGGCTGGGTGTTGCGATCTTGCGTTCTTTTGATTTCCGCTGTGCTGTGCCCTACTATATACCTCACCTGCCTCTTATGTCGTTCTTACCCCGAATCCCTCTCTAGAGGCCTCTTGAGGGCCTCCGGCGCTGGCAGTTTGCGCTACGGGAACGGACCGAGCCCGTACTACTAGCTAGTTACCCAGTAATCTCTACTGGCTGGACAGATCTGTTGCCGAAGGTACCTCCTGGGTATCCTCATGGCTTATTATGTTTGCCCTATTATATCTGCGCCCCTAGGTTCTTCTATGGAATATCTCAGTGTATCCTATCAAGGACGATATGTCAACTTTTACAGAGAAAAACAACTTTGCTTTACATCTTTTCAGATTGACCTTGTGATCCTGCATTCCTCCTGGTATTGCATTCTTCTCCTGCCATCTATCGCCCATTTAGATGAAGAACGGCCACCCCAACCATATACGAAAAAGTCTCCCCCAAGGAACATGTAGCCACCTTGTGCTGTGCAGTGTAGTGCTGCCCAGCTCTGTTTTCCGTGCACTGCTTTCTCTTTCCATGCGTTTATGTCCCCAGCCCACGCACGTTCGTGCGCCCTGGCTGGTTTCTCTCGGCATAGCTTCATGGCACGCTTTCAAAGGAACCTCCCTTTCTTTGCCGCTCTTTTTCACTTTCTTCCACGATTTTTCTCTTCAGCTTGTACTTTGTCATGCTGGCTGCTTGTGTTCCTCCCTGAGCAGCCCTTATTTCATACTCTCTCTGGCTCTCACACCAACTCTTACACATCTTCAAAGTCCAGGATTTACTTCCTCTATTGCTTTACTCTTACTTGCAGAACAATTCTCATCTTGCTTTTTGCTTCATCCTCAAAGCTGAAGCTGAATTTTTTTCGCCCATTGGCTCTCCTCGTCAGTACGTGCATTGCAATCCCCGATCTCCACACGTTTCGAGAGATATTTTATACTAAACAAAATACACTGGCCTAGACCTCTTATTTGTGTGCTTCCAGGAGCTAATTTGCCATGGAAAAAATTCCGCTAGAGCTTGCAACTCTCTCTCCAGAGCTGCTGCTCGAGATTGCAGACCAAACGGACACCCAACGTGACCTCAACAATCTCGCCCAAACATGCCATCGGCTCTATGATCTGTTAAACCACTATCTGTACCGCCGTGACATTAAAATGAAGTGGAAAAAGGCCCCAGCGATCTCGTGGGGAATCAAAAATGGCAGCCCTACTACTGTCGAAATGGCTCTTGACGCCGGAGCGGATGTTCATGGGCAAAACAAACACGGCGAAACCTTACTCGAGGAGTTATTCCTGTCCTTGAGGCCCTCCTTCTCCAATTTGGAGCAAAGATATTGCATCTCGAATGCCGTTGATATCTTGGCTTTGCTGTTCGATGCTGGATTTGACGTAAACGCCGAGTATGCCAAATCCATGACGCCTTTGAAAGCCGCCATTAAAAGCGGCTGCGACTCTTTGGTTCGCCTTGTTGTGGAGAAAGGTGCCGACGTGGTTTGCTTGAATGATGAGCCGGAGTGGACTCTGAACTGCGTCTATGGAACCCTAGATGTTCCCACCATCGCCTTCCTTATCAAAGAGGGAATTAAATTGACTCTGATCGGAAAGGATGGAGAGTCTGTGCTTCACAGAGCGGCGAGGCGCCATCGGCCTCTGACTTGCCAGTTCCTCATCGACAGCGGCATTGCAGTCGAAATTAGGTCTCCATCGGAGCAAACGCCGCTCATTTACATGCACAGCTCCATCTATCGCGGCGAATCTCAGACCCGGTACGAAAACACCGTGCTGACATTGATCGACAATGGTGCAAACATCAACGCCATCGATGTAAGCGGAGCCACAGCCTTTCACCATGCGTGTGCCAATTGTCCAGCGAAATCCATCGAATTTCTCCTCGGCCACGGCCTTAACAGAAGAATTCCTGATAACAACGGCAGGTCGGGATTGATCTGGGCCATCAAGCGACACAGGCATCGATCCATGCCGTATTTGCTAGACATCGGCATGAACGTCAACGCCCGCGACGACGACGGAGCTCCGGCCTTGCATTTCGCAGTGACCGCGCGGTCAGCCAGCATCGCCACCAAGATCATCGCCGCCGGCGCCGACCTCGACGCCCAGGACATGGATGGCAATACCGCTTTGCACATGACAGAAGACGACCGCGTTGCCGCCGTTCTGGTCAAGCATGGTGCAAATGTGACGATCCGCAACGATGCCGGGTTGACCGCTCTCGACTTCGCGCGCAGTGCTCGCAAGTCCTCCCACTTGATCCGCTTTCTTGCCAAGAATGATCCGGAGTATCTGAAGCTCAGAGCTCTGGCCTTGACTGGGTTTTTTAACCCCTAATCCTGTCCTCTTGTTGTGTCCAGCCAAGGCGAGGTGAACCATTGAAATCGAAAAGAGAATCCGAAGTCTATCTCTGAAAACGAACTATCAGTGACCCTCCCTCCGGCCAGGCCAATACGATGTGATGTATGTTTTTTGAACCCAAATTGGAACCCCCTTTTTTTAATTTCTTTTTGTCACAGGAAGTGCTTTGTCCGTTTTACATTGCTGTTCCGTGGTCATTTACCTCATCTTTGAACACTGTGGGTGGAAGGGTAATAACTTCAATTGCCTTTTCCCCAGCTATTCAAGCACACCCAATTGTCGCTCTCCTGTTTCTTTCTTTTTCTTTTCTTTATTTCTCTCTTTAGCATGTCTCTGTCGCAATCTAGGATCGGACTACTGGTGTGGATTTTAACCCTGAGCACGGCTTCCCCCTTTTTTTAAAAAAAGGAAAAGGAAAAGGAAATGAAAATGTACATAAGCCCAACAAGGTGAATGAGGGGCTGAGAGGATGTTTAAAATCAAGATTATGATAAGTATTTAGTCTCATACTACGCCTTGCCTAATTCCATTTGAAAAGTACTTTTGTGCAATACTTATTTACAAATATTAATCCATATGCGCCTTGGCTGCGGGTATCATCGAGCTATATCAGTACTGTAGATATGCATAATGCGGATGGCAGGAAGTGTGTTGAAAGATACGAGTAGTGCCATCCACAAGCTGCAGGAATATCATTATAGTGTATGTAAAGAGTAGGGTATTCGTAGAATTCCCTTGGTATATACGAAATGTGTAGGCCATGGCTAAACCTCCTGTTGCTTCTCGCGTTGGGCGCCGTTTCGCTGGGCCTTCTGTCTCTTCTTCTCCTGTTCCTCCGCGATTCTTTCTTTTCTCGCGCGCTCTTGCTCCGCAAGGCCGGTTTTTGTGACTTCGTGCTTCTGGCTCAGCTCCTTTTTCTTGATCCCAAGGCTAAAAAGACATCCCAGGACTCCAACCACGGTGTAAAACACCCACAGTCGACTCAAGGCATGGGTGTATTCTACAAATACGACGTGCTTTTGCGCGTCGTTAAGAAGATGCAAGCTTTCGATGTTCGAGCCTGCGATGGTGCCAAGGAACGCTGGTGCGAGCTCAGGGCCAAGCGCCTCTCTGATCTTAGATGCTGACTGCTTCATGACGTTTTGGAAGACCACGCTGCCAAAGACGAGAGACGTGGATGTCGAGAGCTGGCGCGTGAACCCGAATGTTGAGGTGGCAGAGGCGACGTCCGAGGGCTTCACAACAGATTGGATGGCAATAAGGGGTGCTTGGAAGTTTGGGCCAATGCCGATACCGGCAATGAGCTGATAGATAATAATGCGCGGCCAGGATGCGTAGGGTTTAAGGTCGATGAGAAGTCCGTAGCCTAGAGTCATGATCACCAAGGAAATGCGCATGATCCAGAGGTAGTCGCCCGTTTTACGAATGACGAATCCGGCAACGATAGACAGTACGGCTAGTCCGACGACCTGCGGGAGAATGTAGACACCGCTGAGAATTGGGCCCACACCCAGTACGGTTTGGAAGTAAATTGGGAGATAGTATGCTCCGGCAATGAAAAGACTGGATTGGGACCAGCTGACGCCGAGAGTGAAGATATTGCTCAAAGATTCGAAGATGGTGGTGGGGATGATTGGGTATTTGGCGATTTTCCGTTCGACGACCCAGAAGAGTCCTAGGGTAACGACGCCAAAAATAATCAAACAGATCGTTGTTGCAGACTTCCAAGGGTATGTAATTCCTCCGAATTCCAGTCCGAAGAGAAGCATGATGGTGCCACCGATGATCGTTAAAGTTCCCAGCCAGTCAATCGCTTGAAGGCCAGCAAGAAGCGGAGTTTTGGGTGACTCAATCTTAAGCCAAATAAGAAGAATCAAGAACGACACACCTCCCACAGGAACTGCATTGTCATTTAGCATATTGAAGTACCAAAAATTGTAGATTTGACTTACGGTTGATATAAAAACACCATCGCCATGTGACTTTCTGGGTTAAAGCTCCGCCAATAACAGGGCCGAGTGAGCCGGCGATGGCCCAAACCGCACCAAACATAGCATAATACACAGGTCGCTCTCTGGAAAATTATACCATTAGAAAGAATCCAAAGTACAAGGCCGAAGAATGACTCACCTTACGCTGAACAGATCACTTACGCAGATCTGACCTAGAATGATAATTCCACCTCCTCCAATACCTTGTAGAGCTCTGCCAACAAGAAATACGGCAAGACTGTTGGCCAAGGCGCATATTAAGCTACCAACTAGGAACAGGATGTTTGCTAGGAGAATGATGATCTTGCGGCCCCAGATATCACTGAGTTTTCCCCAAAGAGGCAAACATGCGGCGTTGGCAAGGAGATACGACGATGCCATCCATGTGTATGAAGTTTCATTGGCATGAAACTTAGCCGCGATGGTGGGTAAAGCAGTGGAGATAATCGTCTGAAGGCGTGGAGAGTCAGCAGTGGATTCTTCAAGGCCGGGTAGCAGAGGGAACAGACCATATCTAATGCAGCTAGGAAAAGCGCCAGCTATCAAATCAGTTAGCTACCACGCAATATACCCTAGGAGTGTATATCCTTACGCATAATGCGCCCATGATGACCATCACCTGCTTCTTGTTCATCCTTTCACTTTGCGACGGCGTCAATTGCAAGGGGCTATGCTCTTCGCCCGGCGAGAGCGATTCCGGCGAGCCACGCTCCCCGGTTTGATCCTTGGAGTGCGTCGATGAAGAAGAAGGCGAGAGTTTTTTTTCCTGGCGAGTTCCATCTACCTCCATCTGCGCCGAGGTCGACTCAGCGGCGCCCGCCACTGCAGTCTCGCTCGAACCAGCAGAAAGTGCCTCCTTTTTGGTGCGATCCATGGGCTCAGTCATGGTCTCGGCGTGTTCTTGCTGAGCAGCGCACGATATCCGGGGAAGAAACGGGTGCCTGTCCAAGATTCACGCGGGATTTGTAAGTACAAGACAAGCTTTTCGGGTCCTTCGGTCCTGACGAAGGCTAAGACGGCTGTGGCAAAGCCCCCGGCACAGGGCAGTTGCTTCGCTGTTTGTTCCAAGACAAATAATCCCACCTCAGATGCAGGAGGCTAGTATGCAGAGTGCATGGGTATATATAGTGAATGCAATACCCGGCTTTGCCAGCGAGAGTAGGCATCGTTTTTATTGTCGGGAGTCAGACGAAAAGCACCATACACCCTTGAGTGGGTCGCGGACCTTCACGCGATGCCGAGTCATCATCGTAATCACCATAGTAGTGCTGCAAATTAATTGACCGTCGCAGGGTGCCGCCCATCGTTAAGTCCGCCAGTTCGCCGTATTGGGCTTCCTCCCACCAACCACAATATCTCCGTGCTGGCTGGTCACCCAAAGAACGGATCGAAAATGCCGGCCTTGGGCTGGTCGCGCCGGAGTTAAAACGGGGTTAGCCTGGCTCGACAAAAGCTTCGCCGTCGAAAATACGGGATCGACTCCTCGTTTCGCTACTCGATCATGACCGCAGCCCGCTTGTTGACCCGAATCCACGCTGGCATCACGAATAATGGGGCCGTTGCTGGCATGTCGCGCTGGAAGCTTGTCTGACATCGGAAGCCTCCACGTGTCGGAGCCGCCTTGACCTCCCGTCTTCCGCCCCTTTAAACGTCGTTTGGCGCCGTCGATCCCTTAATCTTAGCCTTTTCTCTTCCAGTCTCCTAGTCACGCTCGTAAGCGAGTTACGGAATAATCGCCCTGCCGTATTGGATAGTTTTATACCCGGCTGCACTGGAAAGGATATGAGAGAACCTGTGGCGTCCACTTGCTGGTTCTCTCCATGCTGCTTGTCGCGGGGCGCGAACTCGGCTTGAGTTAACTAACGGATAAAGAAGATTCTCGATATCGCCTCTCGCTTGATTTCTTTGTTTCTTCTTCTCAAAACCCGCGTACCGGAGACTGCAATAGAAACCACATTTCTACCACGCGTCCACTTGCGGAGTTTACCATCCCAATAACGAATACCGTTTGCCTCGATCGGCCGTTATAACTGGTATTTAGCCAACAATCGCTGAAGTCTATCTATTTTCTACGGCATTTAGGTATTCACAAGGATAAATGCCATACAACCTGCGAGGCGTGATTAGGGGCGGCAGTTGCCATTCGGCTAGTGGTTGAGACCCAGTGACCACCAGTAACTACGCGCTGAATTAGCTACCTGTGCGGCAAGGTTTGGCAATTCCTGATATGCTTGGGACTGTGGATGGCATATGGTCGGGATGCTCCCTACCACAAAGCTGAATGAATGACTGAGGCATAGAGGGGGCCAATACATATCAGCATAGGCTGCGAATGATACAGTATACTTTTTTCATTCCTATCTATCCGATATCTCAGCTTATAATTAAGGGTATTTTGGACTTGAAAAAATAACGAAATATAAACAAACAATAATATGCCATATGCAACGCATACAAAATGCATGATAATAGGGGGACAGGGACCCATAAACTCTTGCTGAGGCATCGCTTTCATTCTCGAAGTTGAAGTATTTCTAAAATGGATCAAGTACGTCAGCACCGTGAGGAGTTTAAAGCTGGGGTTTGATATATTAGGAGCCTACCCGTCAAAAACTCTTCAAAGCTCACTGTAATATATCCATCTCGGTCATCATCGTATTTCTTGAACACATCAGTCATTCTCTTCAGAGTCAAGCACGCCTGAACGAATAGGTCGAAGCTCATTCCGTCGCTTCCTTTCGCCCCGGCAGGAATGGCTCTTTTGCGGCCTTTGCTTTCGAACGTCCTATAGAGCAGGTTCACAAACGATTGACTTAGTTTGTACCCAAACGCAACTAGTGCCTTGCTGAACTCCGAAAGGCTGATCCGACCACTTCGATCCTCGTCAAAACGATCAAAGAGCTCTCTCCAGGCAGCAAGGAAACGCCAAAGAGCGACGAACTCGTCAAAGTTCACCCGACCATTTCCGTCTCTGTCAAACATGCGGATCATCATTCTAACCGTGTGGGGGTCGAAAGAAGTGTAGTCGCCATTGACTAATGCGGAGCCTAGCTCCGATTCCGACAGCGAGCCCGTGTTTGAGGCATTGGCAGCGCGGAAGAGGGGGAATAAGTGCTGTGGGCTATCTGACACAGGCTGGCCCGGAACGCCCGGATGTGGTGTTCGTGGGGGTAAGGACGAGGGCGTAGGGCGATTCTGTGCGGGCTGAACTGGTCGAGGACCTTGGCCGTAGCTCTGCGGAGGAGGAGAGTATATCCGATGGTTTGGGCTACTGCTGAGATTGGGCGGACCTGGGCCTGGCGCATAATTCTGGTAGTACTGCTGCTGCTGCTGCGGTTGTCGGGGAGGAATGTTGGTATATGTGCGCGGAGGGTGACTGTTATTAGGCGGAGGGCCTTGCCCGTGTGAATGGCTCGACGGTTTTGGCGATTGCATGCTTCCCAGCATCTGAGCGGCCTAATGTACAGGTGATATTAGTTTTAATATTTTTGAAGAGTTGGATTGCATTTACTGTTGGAGCTAGTCAATCGCCTACCTGTTCTGGTTCCGCATGCCTGAACTCGTCTTAGTACAGGTAAAGCTTTGACTGACAGGAGGGGGAGGGGACCACTTACGCAGGTAGCGCATCCGGGTTGAAGGTTTTGTTATACGCCATTTTCAGCTCAATCTAGAGCTGGCAGATTCTCGCTTGCGACGAAAAAGGGGTGTTATATACTAAGAAACGAGGGGAGGGGGCGGAGCGGAGGATGAAGGGTGGCTTTTTAGGTTTCGTTGGGCGACTACAACATTCTTCAAGGAAACGCAAGGCTCGCAGGCTCAGAAGTACCGTGAGCAGCCCAGTGAGTATCCCATGAGGCGAGGCGTGTAGTCTTGGTCGTCGCCCTGTCGTCCTCGGTCGGGCGTCGCTGTGCTTCCATTCCAGCGACGCGGCTCAAACAGCACTGTAGCCAAGCATGGCGTGCGCCAAGGTGAATCACATGCTTTAGCCTTGCTGGCCTTTTTCGGACTAAAGTATTGCCGCTGAGAACGTGCTTAGCAAGCATCTGGAAGTTAGGCCAGAAGGACACTTCTTTAAGTGTGTTGAGTGTGAGACAGTTTAGGGCTCTTTAGAAAGATATTTATTTTTTGTAGTATTCATTTTCCACCAAGGGATTGTTGAAGCATGGCGGACTGTTCCAATCATGGCTCGACCCATTCGATCTCGGCCTTGAGTTCGTGGAAGAAACACTTCCCCGATGGCGATGTCTGGGTTTTTGGATATGGGTGCGCAGGATTTCTTTTTTGACTTCTATTTTTCTTATTGCCACTGCACTTAGCCTTGAACTATGTATCAAGTCGGTGACTGGCTACATCTTTTCTCTGCCAGAACCCAACTGATGCTCTGCTTTCCAGAAGCCTGATATGGAAACCACCACCGCACTACGGTATGTTTCAGTTTAACATAAGACACGTAGATTCTGTGTGCGTCTGAACAGAAGTCAAACTGCTTCTGAGTTCAGTGTATCTGGAACATCAGCTATATAATCTGTGGTGGCGCTTGAAACATCACGCCTGCAGACAAGCAAGCCAACATAGGATAAACGGGCATATGAAACATCGTCACCACAAACCTGGACATCAACTAATATTCGCTTGTATATTATAGACCGGCGTGTCCCCGGCTATATTAAAGGCTACGTGCGTCGTTTCTGGCAGGTATGTGTTCTAGCACCTTGGAAAAATTGGCAGCCCTCTTGCCTGTCGGCCTTCTAAGCTATCATTTTTGTGTTTCCATAAACGCTAATTTCTATGGCATAATTTCCATAATTCAAGGCGAGGTGCGTTCTATCTGCTGTTCTCGCTTACAGAATCGCATCCACTTTGGTTCGGAACAGGGAGCTACCGCCCGTTTATAGGGCTTATCTCTCGAAAAAAAAAATTGGTTAAGCGAAATCCACTTTCAGTACATTTTACTAATTGGTGATTTTTTTCGTCTTTCAGTGCAGATCATCGTGGTACTCCTGAGTCAAATGGCCGTGTTGTCACAGTCATCGACCAGTCTTTCTGGGCGACTCTGTCAGATCCTGTCAGTGTTGAAATACCCTACCTTTCATAAATCACAGAGACAGACAACTTACTTTGCTGCAAAAATATGGAGTACAGCACCAAGACATAGACCCTAAGTCAAACGAATCCCTTGTTTGGGGCGCAGCATATCACATTCCAGCTTCACATGCTGAAGAAGTAAACGCGTATCTTGATCACCGTGAGATAAATGGCTACAGCGTCCATTATACCCCATTCCACTCATATATAGTCTCGGGGAACAGCATACCGGACGCTTCAACCCCAGGAGCATCGCCATTCCTTTGTATGGTCTACATAGGCCTCCCAACAAATTCCCAGTTTCTCCGCAACCCAGCAGATCGGGACCCCTCGTCCGTGGCCAGAGTGATATCTGAAAGCCGGGGCCAGAGCGGCGAAAACAAAGAGTATCTCTATCTTTTAGAGAGGGCTCTCGAGGGAATCGGCCTTGGCTGTGAAGATTTCCATGTCACGGATTTAGTGAAAAGGGTCAGGATGTTGGAGGGAGTGAGGGGGGATAGGAAGAGTCAGGTCGAAATTGATGTGGAGAAAATAGCTCTTCCAGAGCCAGAATATAGAGAGGATGAGGTTATGGAAGAAGTTGACGAGCGCATGCAGCAAACGTGAAGAAAAGGAGGATATTTCTAGACTTCGCTTTCTGTGAATGGAGGCATATAGCTTTAGACTACTATAGACATCGAGACCAGGGATCGATTCATCACTCAATGCGTACATGCATACGTACATACACGTGCGGGGAAAACGGTATAATAAAAGCCAACTGTCGCACCGGAAGAACTTCAAGTCACGAGAAAAGGACGAGAGTCATAAAGCTGAAACTTTTAGGAAATAGGCTGCCAACACAAAGCGAAAACCTAACGATCATCCAACTGTGCTGAAGAAGCTTAAAAGGTGCCGGTGAGGCTATTGAGCAGAAAACCAGTCGACCAAGGGTAATCAAAGAGCGTAAAGGAGAGATAAACTGCAAGGGTAATAAATCGTCATGTTTACTTCGTAGCGAAATTAAAAAGAGGAAAGGATGAGTGACATGAATAGGAAAACTATCAGAACCAGGCTATCCCATTATTGCGTACATCTCATACATCCTCCCCAATGTCAGTTCATAAGAAGGACATAAAGAATCGTAGGTCAGGCTTTTTCCATTATCGTTTTTGAGGTGGGAGTTGGAGGTATTGGGGAAGCCGAGTTTTTTTTAGAGGCCTCATCATCCGACTTGACTCGTCGTTCAAGCATTAGATCCACCTTGGTTCTGGTTGGACCAGTTCTGTTGGTAGCCACCGCCCCAGCCTTTACTAGAGTCAGCTTCACAAGTAACAACCCATAGGGCTGGCAGGGTTTTGATAGAAGGGAGCGGAGTGCTGATACGTACCACTACCACCACCACCACCTTGACGCTGCTCATAGCCACCGCCATTGTTACCGCCACCTTTATACAGGATTTCATTAGCCACGTGTACCTTGAGTCGCATTGATACAAAAAAAAGAGAGACCTACCATAGCCACCTCGGTTGTAGCCACCGGCACCGCCGTTATCAAAGCGGTTATAGTTGCTGCGGCCGAAGCCCTCATTGCGCTGGCCAGGCTGGCGATCAGCCGCCTTGTCGACGCGAATGATGCGGCCATCGAACCTACAACGATCAACTTTAAATGACGCCCAATTTGAGATGGACGCTGAAGGCTGTCGTCATTATATAAAGACAAGGCGTTGAACATACTCCTGGTTGCTCATCGCGTTCATCGCAGCATCAGCCTCGCTCTCATTAGAGAAACGGACAAAGCCAAAGCCGCGACTGCGGTTGGTATCGCGATCCTTCACAACGATCTATTTCAGTTTAGAATGAGAACTCTCAAATCGCCTTCACCGCATCGAATTCAACGAGCAGTCGAGGAGCATATCATAGAACTAACAGCCTCCTCGATGTTTCCATACTTGGAGAAGCCTTCACGGAGAGTATCATCGGTAGTGTGCCACGCAAGGCCTCTTTGAGGTCAGGTCAGTTCTGGAGCGAGAAGAGGCACAGGACTCAATAAAAAGCGACACACTAACCCAACAAACAATTTGGACATGATGACACCAAATCAGAGATGAAATTGATGAAACGAAGAGAGTGAAGTGATGGAATGATCTTTTTGGGAGAAGGTTGGAGAGGTTAGCCTGGGCCCAAGAGGATAAATTTAGAGAGTCGGAGAGATGATCAAGGTCGAGAGAAACGCTAAAGAGCAGCGTTGGTTGTGATTAGAGTGCACCAGCAGGAATGTTTCACCAATAAATCAGCAGTAGCCCGGAGAGAAGAAGGCGATGTCGGCTCCACAGAAGAGGAAAAGTCTCTTCAGCAACGTCTACGCACAAGGTGAGGTAGAACACGCTGAGGGTGGGGGGGAAGGGCGGGAAAAAAATGAATCAAGCGATCTAACCGTTGTGGGCGTAAGCTATGTTCCGGAAGCCGCTGAGTAGTAATCACAGGGCAGATGCCGGCCAGGGGATGTTTGTTGGTTGAGATGGAGGCAGCCGGTCTTTGTGCCAAAAGAGGGGTCGGGCCTGGAAAATCCACCCGGGACACAAGCAACACGAAAAGGAAAAAAAAGAACTTTTCAACTGTCCGGCGTTGAGAGGTTCTGGTTGTTTTTTTGAGCCTAAAACAAGTAGATACATATTCGGACGGGCTGGAGGAGATGCAGTGCATGCAAGACACGGCCCCCTTGGCTGCGAATGCACTGTCTCTTGCGACCGCCCACAGGCCGACGCACTGTCCCTTCAACTACCACTGTACACAGCGCTCCTTTCGGTTTCCTTTTGGTTTCCCCGCAGGCCGTTGGGTGAACTACCAGGATTGACAGAATCGGCTAACAGCCTTGGGATTAGTGAGCAGGATGGATTGGCACTAGCCGCTCGTCTTTAACGAATCTCGGCAGCCCATCTCTTTTCCCGTTTTCCAACTGGGCCAAAGAGCATTAGCTGATGCGTGAATTTCCCTGCCGCAAGGGAGACGGGAGCCAGTCACATCGCCGAACAGGGGCGACTCGAGGGCTGAAAACCATGCTGTGTCATCTCACGGGACTGCAAAAGTCTGTTCACTTGCAACCATATATTGGCTCTTTGACGGAGCACAAGTGGCCAGGATCAGGGTCTGGACAACAAGCGATCAGCAGGATGAGCTTTGGTCACTAGTTACCATGTCAGCCCAAGCTGGTAACTAGTGCAGCCATGCTGGTCTTTCTCCATCAATGTGTGGACAGGAATACGTGATTCATGCACTCTTCCAGCAGATCGGAACTGTTTCCCTTCTCTGGATCCATAACCTATGATATGGTGCGTCTGAGACTCCGAAATATGTCGGCTTCGTGGCTCACACCCTTTGATCCTGCGACCTCAATTTCTTTCTTCAACGTGGGATTGTTTCAGAAACGTGTTGCTCTCATTATCAGAGTCGCTTCAAGTAAAATGTGGATGTTTGGTCTTTGTAGCCTTTTTCTGGGCTCTTTTTCGAGAAGAAACCGTTCAACCCCCTTTTCCGGAATAGCTTCAATATTCTGTCACAGAAAACACTCCGTCAATTAGGCCTTGCTCCCACTGCGGATCCTTTAATGTGGTTCCATGACATGACAGGTCGCTCGCCCTGTTTTTCGTTCTCCAATACCCCCAGATGTTGATTTAAAATTCATTTATGATCTTTGAGTATGCCTTATTGGGCCTCTTTTTTTCGATCTGGCCAGTATGGTGCGTTTCTGGGTCGCCCTTTCGGGGCTGATCTGCTTTGACGTCGGAGTTCCCTTTTTGGTAGAGTGTTTCTTGCGGCTACGGACTTCGCGTGACTTCCGAATCCAGAAACAGACCACTCCTACCTAAGGGTTTCCATCTTTCCGGTCTCTCATTTGGTCCTAGCATACTCGAGCGCTGCGGTCTGACGGTACTTTTAGTCGACCACTGGGTGGTGTGAAGGATCGATTATGCACGACCCGAGCCTGCTATCTACTAAGCAACACTCTGTGGTCCAATGGCTTTCTCAAGTCGATCCCTTGGATGGTGTACCCCATTTAAAACCCAATAATCGTTCGCCAGAAAATGATGATATGTGGAATATTCGCACATCTCACAAAAGGACACACAACCCAAGAGGTCAACATCAGATATCTCCCCTTCTGTGCAAATCTAACTACATCATATAGAAACCGTAGTAGAAAATTCTAGCCTATGGAAGCCACATGTACCGGTTAGTTGTCTGAACTTGTTCCAATTTCCAGTAATGTATACCCGGTTAGCTATCAACATGCGCTAAGATGCAGACATCAGCCCCCTGTTTATCCGATACCTTCAACTTTCCTTCCGTCTAGTCCGATACCGAAAACAGTACATCCCTCGCCTAGAGGGAGATACGAAAAAAAATCAAGACGAAAAACACGGGAAGATCGATACATTCCGAAGGACATAGCAAGAGATAAATATTCCACAAGTAGCGCCAAAGGCCCCTCCGTCAAGAAACCTCAAAAAACAAAACATTCGAAACGTAAGCATGGAAAGAACCTTGAAGAGGAGTTCACTGCCGCAAATGTGTCGCAGGATCGCCTTACGGTACGAGCATTATATTCTAACCCTAAATACAATATTGACTGTTTCGAATCGAAGCTCAGCCCCAGTTTTGATGTCGGTTTGTTTGCCCGTGGACGTGCTTCTTCTCCAATACGTCGATTCGAATGTGAGAATCAATACCTAGTAACTCTCAATGTGCAGTCTCTAATCTGACTATTTTAGTGCCCGACCTCACGTTTTCAGAAATGAAATTCTTATCGCGCCCTGCTAAGCAGAATGGTACTTTAGGCAGCACCCAGGTTAATAAGCCTTCGACATCAAACAAGCCTCCAATCTTAGACATATCAGAGTATTTTTCTCAGCCACAACCAGCAAACGATACCAAAAAATTACATTCTTCCCTTTCTTTACTACCAACTGCAGACCCTTTGACAAGCCAATGCCACTCTTCCTTTACAGGAAATATCAGGCCTACACAAACACATGAATTTATCACATCAGACCCACAACTGGGTTCAAAAATATGTGATCCTCCTAAATTGAAACAAAAAAGCAGATCTTCAAGCTGTTTCTCCTGGTCTGACTCTGAACGAACTCCTGGGCCAGGACCCCAAACTGAAAGATTATCACAACTTAGTGAAGCAGGGCTGCAGAGAAACGCACCAGGTGACATTGTGGAAGGTATACCCCATGTAACGGATACAACAGGAAGTTCATTGCCCATGGATGAGTTTCAATATGACCCCTTCCTACTGTCAAGGGTCTATGATATGGTCTTCAAAAATGCCTATCTTGATCAGACTCAACAGCAATTTATGCAAAGATCTGATTCAGAATGTTTTTGTCTAGAGGATTTACAGAAGCTAGCGAATCCATCCTTCACGTCAATTGCGATATTAGAAACAGAAGATAAGCCAAGCTCTCACAACCCTATACATACGGAAACTTCGAATGATAACCAAGCCAATCCCTCCAGTATAAACGATCCCTCAAGCAACATTATTTCGAGAAATATTGGAACCAATACAGATAACCTGGTTGAAATTCGCGAGGGGCTGAACCCCGATCTTCCAGCTCCTAATCCCAGCAAAACAAATTATGGTGCCACATTAAACGACAACGGCAATGTAACTAGTCGTCACGACACGAATTCCCTAAAAAAAGATGAAATAACTCGCCCTACGGCTGACATACCGAGTCCTATGGGATATGAAGATGATCAGAAATTTCTTCCCGATATCTCTCGTAGTTCTTGCCAAACTTACAGGGCTCAAGTTCCCGCGTCTTTCTCAGTACGATTAAACTCTCCTAGGATGGGCTTTTCGACCCTGGGCGTCAAACGACCTTTTTCACCAGAATTTGATGAGTATGATGGGCATTTTGACACACCTTCAAAGAATCCAGCTTTCGATTTGCCTTGCAATGACTTTAACGGGTCGAATACTCTGGATTCTATAATATTCAATGAGTTAATAGAGGACGGCCACACATCTGGACAATCGATTGGGTTTGGATGTCCAGAGACCCCCTATATTAACATGATAAACAATCATCAACCCCAATATGCCAACGAATTCGATGGGAGTGCCCAAATGATGACTCTTGGAAACACCAATACTCAAACTTTATCGTTAGCTGCTGCTCAAGGTGATGTTATACAAAGAACTCTCAATATTCCCTCGTCCTTGGACCTGTCGTCATTTTGGCGTCCGAATAAGCTATATTAGGTGGAAACCGGACACCTCTGCTTACTCCAAATACCAAGTTTCCTTTTCTTTCCTACTTTTGATTAAGCATCTGGGCTGCTTGAGGTATTCTACTCTGTTTTTGTATTGGATCTCAAGCCAGTCCAGTTTTGAAAATGGGGGTACATTGTAGCGTCAAATTGGAATGTCCTTTTGTGTGTACTATATGTATGCACATACATAATGGTGAATATTCTTCCGATGCGCGGCAAAATTCCAAGGGGGGACCGGTGCCTATTTCGGAGCCATAAAAAGTTGTATACCAAGTTTAGTGGAAAGCAGATCATCTCCTCCATAGTTGCATATTCATTTAAATATACAAGGCTTGAAACGACAACCACGATGCGTACCTGCGATGCTTACCCTACAACTGTAAGAATGTTTTAAAGTCTATGTAAGTATAGTATTCTGATGGCGATCTGGTCTAATTTTATCTGGCCAGCTCAGTTGCACATGCAGGAGAGCACTGTACCCGGAACCCAAAATATAAGTTCTTAGAGTGTCTCAGCACCCCCCAAATCGATATGGGTGCCTTTGTATTTTCCATTCTATTCTTGCTCTTAGTCTTTGTTAGAAGTACAGGATCAAGAATAACAGCAATGGTGAAGCTGTTGCAAATTCATTCTACTGTCGGTTCGGGGCAATACAAATTATGGCCAACTAACCAATGGGAAGCTTGATCAATGTTTTAGTATATCTAGATCAAGCAGCTCTCTCTAGTAGTACCAAATAGCCTTGTAACGCTCTGAAGTCTTTAACAGTACAATTTTGCAAGGTGGTGGTAGAAAGTCACTCTATAGGAGGTTTGCTGATGTTTGCATTTAATGCATAGTTTGTTTTGAAGTTTACTAACCCGCGTCACGCGTTGCCCCCTAACTAGTTATGCAGACGCTGACACTCTGCAGGGCGAAAGGACATAGAAATTGAATATGCTGCTATACAAGCACCTTAACTATGTGATATTTCTAAATAACCCTAAGCCATAAAACACTATGCATTACAGTAATGTTGACATCTGCTTCATAGCTCTTAATAAAACTATCAGCTGGGGTCTATCAACGTGCTCAGGCTCAATTTTGATTTTACGATCAACATTCGCGTCTCTATTGACAGTGCCTCAGAGTATCTTAATACGATACCTCCCCAAAAATCGTAACCCGCCCACCCCGTACCCTTGCAACCGAACAGTCTGAAACGTTTAGGCACATCGTGCTAACCACTCGGCTAAAAGGATAATCATTCTTGGGATCTTATGGCCTGAAGCACAACTCGTATGTTGTCCATCGGCTCAACATCGGCTGAACATCGGCCTTCTAGTTGATTCAACCCCTTATGGCCTTTCGCCTGTTCTTTACAGTTAGTGGAGTTTACTGTGTGCTCCTTTACACGTAGAATTATATGCTTTGAGAGAACCGACTTGTCTTCGACTACAGGCTTTTCCTGGCCTCTGCAAAATTCGCGCCGACAAAATGATGCACTCCTGACTCCCTATCGAAGAGCAGGCTTGCGGACATTTCCCTGATATCTTTCAGCCATCCATATATATTCAGGTCCCGGACCGAGTCTGTCTGTTTTGAGAATCATCTCAGGAGAGAGGGTTTCGACATGATAAGTGTCTGCCATCGCACAGCGGTAAGTTGCTTTGCCATGGCACGTAACATAAAAGCATTAGATGGCTTAAAGTGCTAATGAGCAGAACAAGTTCCCACCTCGCTTTCTGTTCGATATCTGGTAGCCGATCTTAGAGTGCTATGGGGCAACCTGTAAGGAAGATGACGTCGCGAACCGGCTCTAAAAAGCTAGCAGTTCTTACCATCGCGCTCTGCATACACACGTAACGTCAGTGCGTATTTCGGAAGCCACGCCGTTCTGAGAAGTGGAATTTATTCGACAATTTGGTAGGTAACATTCTCAAGCCCTCTTAACTGGTGATAATAAGGTGATTAATTAAAATTTCGGTAACCATATCGCTTCATAATTCTAGTCGGAGGCAATGATATATGTAAATATCTGAGTAGGAAGGAGAAAATTTTGCCTTCAAATTTAAGTGCCTGACAAAAACAGGATATGTGGTTGTATGAAAATCAGCTACGGAGTACCCCGGCGGTTCCGAGCCAGCATCCGAACATCTCGGATGTTTTTGTCTGGATTGTGGCTCAAGCTTTTTTTACTTTGTCTAAAATAACAAATGAGGGAAGGAAAGACTAACTGAGTATCTCGCTTGGTTGACTTTGGGTGTACTCCGTAGAAGGAGAACATTTCCCCTTCGAATAAGAATTCCAACGACTTACTTCGTACCCTCTGTAGTTTTGCTAGTAGATGGCGGTGGAGTCCTGGCAGAAGACCGCCAAGTTGATAGAGAGTCCTGCGGTTTTTAATATAACATGCTGGAAGAAATGACGAACCATTCTCCTGAATATCTGCTATGCCAGCTATTAGGACATGGCGCTCATCAATTAAACAACGGAGTCCGGAGTCATGCAAGATGAGGGGATTTTCTTTACTGGATGACACAGATGCCGGGGAATCAATGCTTGAAAGCTGTTTTTTTTTCCCCTCAAGAATTATGTGCTTGCTTTCCCGCTTTGATGCACGATACATAGTGGTCAGGGTTGTAGTGAACTAACTGGGTGGGGCGCCAGTGATGGCATTGTTGTTCATGACCAAGTGGAAGAAGCCATGGCATGCAGCCAATCAACGGCGTAAACCCACCGGGCTTGCAGGCATCTGGTTAGTCATTTCCTACTATTATTAACCAAGGCTTGGGCGGCAATGATTGTGTTAGGCGGAAGTAAGGGTCGATGGCAAGCTATTTTGCACTGGAAAAATGCGTGCCCCTTTCCAACGCCTCCTGAATACGAGTCCACGCCCGAAAGTCAGTTTGCTGGCAAGCAAAATGCAATTGCAAAACACACCGGAAGGCCGCACTGTCAGTTGGTCGCTCGGCAAATCGGAAGGGCGAAAGTAAGACAAAGGCTGCACGCCACATCTCCCTGGCCCTTGCAGATAAATTTCCCCTTCACGAGACGATAGCCGTCAATGAACTCGCCTAGCGGGGGTGGTGCTATTGCTATTTAGTCATTGAATCGATAGTGGTAGGAATGCTGCAGTCGACCGCACAAGAAATGAGCACTGCCTGTGCACGACAGCAATAGTGCGGACAGGAACCGCGAGGCTCTTTGTACCCAGGGGGCGGTTAAGCCGAAGCTTGGACTACCTTGTTTTGGCGTCCGTGCCCGCGCTAGACCGCATCGAGCAAGGCCCACCTCGCTTCCGTGTTTCCAAAGACGGCCGTCGTTCATCGCCCTCGTTTCTCGTTTCCCGTCACGTCACGGCGGCCACGATGCTTAGTGTTGTGTTCCGGCCAGATCGCGGGCAAGCGCTACTGCGCGAGAAGGCGATTTTCTTTCGCCTCGTTGTTTTGTTTCGGCCGTTCTTAAAATATGGATACCCCTGGCCGGAGAACCCGGCCACCTGGCTTGCAAACGCCCCCTGCCCACATGGTGGGCTCGCAAACGGTGACCGAGGCCCAGTAAAACCGCAGCGTTGGTATGCTGAACGATGACACTATTGAACCTTCAGCCTCATGTCCGAATCGCATCTCACTGTGTGGGGGAGATTTCCCTCTCCTCTGCATGAGGCCAGGCTCCGCTTCACCCTGCAGACAAGGACTATGATGTGAGCCCTTTGAGCCACAATAATCACTTTGACTCTCTTAACCGCATCGGGCGAGAGTTGACGAGGCTTACTTGTCTGGATCGTCTGTCCCTCTGCCCGATTCGTGACCGCCTTTGCGACGCCGTCCTCCGTACGCGCCGGAGAATATAAAGAATGCGTGAGCGCCTCGCCGAAAATGACAACCCCCTTTCGGTCTTTTCCGTTGCTTCTGCACAAGGCCCTAGTTTGGTGTCGTTCATTTGAATCGAGTTTCTCGATTCCCTTCCCACGCTAGCAATGGCTCCGGCTTTGCGCACCCTTCTGTCCTTATGGCTTCTTTCAAGTTCGGCGGCGGCGACCGTCGTTAATACCTGCCCTCCAGAAAAGCAGCTTTTGAAAAATCCGTCATTTGAGGAGCGATATACTGGATGGAGCTTTGGAAGTGGTGGAGGCTCGATCATTTCGGATGGCACATCAAGCATTCCTGATGGATCCTGGTTCTAGTATGTCCAACAATCTCGATGCTCTGAACAAGTGAGACTAATCAGCCTGTAGCCGGAGTCGAGTGAACTATCCTCTTGTCTCACAAGGCTTGAGCCAGATTGTTACCGGTGTAGACACGTCGTCTACTTATCGCCTTTCCCTCGATTGGCGTCTCTCTGGCTGCAGCGTTCCATCAGGGAAAATCTGCTGCGACATGTACTTTTACAACTCCATCGCCTCCTCCCTTACAACCATTGGACATTGGCAATTAGAAATTGACGCTGCCCGTCCTAAAACTGCTTGGAAATCTCAATCAGTGAACTGGAAGCCAAATGCTAAAATGTTCAACCTCCTTGTTACGTGGAGCTGCTCAAGTCCACGAAATGGGGCATATATCGATGTTGACAATATTCGGCTCACTTTGCCGCAACCTCCAAGTTGCTCGATCTCTGCTAGCCCCACTCGCACTTCTACAGATGACTGTAGTGAAACCGATACACCCACTACAACCCCGACTAATACCGTCACCCCTACTACGGGTGCCACAGCAACAACCACACCTAGCGGTACCGCATCCACCGGGACCGCCACGGCTACTGAAACTGACTGCACTGATTCCGTCACTCCAACTGGCACAGTCCCTACAAATACCCCTTCTGGAACTGATTCCACAGCAACAGCACCCACTGGAACTGGGACGGAAACAGATTGCACAGACACCGTCACTCCCACTGGCACTGCTCCAACAAACACTGTCCCTACAGGCACAGATACAAAAGTGACTGACACTGCCACTCCTTCGGGAACCGATGGAACAGCAACAACACCTACAGGCACTGCGACAGAAACTACGCCTACTGGTACTGGTCCCACCGGCACCGATACCGTTACGCCTACTGGAACTGACTCCACGGCAACAACGCCTACTGGAACAGAAACCGACTGCACGGACACTATCACTCCCACTGGGACTCCTACAAATACCCCTACTGGTACTGATGTCACGCCCACCGGGACTGACGTAACAGCAACAACACCCACGGCCACTGCAACAGAAACCGACTGTACAGATAGTGTCACGCCCACTGGTACTGGTCCTACCGGCACTGATACTGTCACCCCTACTGGGACCGACTCCACTGCAACCACACCTACTGGAACAGAAACTGACTGCACGGACACGGTTACCCCTACGGGTACTGCCCCCACCGGTACCGATACTGTCACCCCTACGGGCACCGATTCCACAGCAACACCTACTGGAACTGCCCCTACTGGCACCGATTCTACTGCCACTCCTACTGGAACTGCTCCTACTGGTACCGATTCTACTGTGACACCTACTGGAACTGCTCCTACTGGTACCGATTCCACAGCAACACCTACTGGAACTGCCCCTACTGGCACCGATTCTACTGCCACTCCTACTGGAACTGCCCCTACTGGCACCGATTCTACTGCCACTCCTACTGGAACTGCCCCTACTGGCACCGATTCTACTGCCACTCCTACTGGAACTGCCCCTACTGGCACCGGTTCTACTGTGACACCTACTGGAACTGCCCCTACTGGCACTGATTCCACAGCAACGCCTACTGGTACTGCTCCCACTGGAACAGAAACTGACTGCACGGAAACTGCTACTCCCACCGGCACTGATTCCACAAAAACACCTTCTGGCACCCCAACTGGCACTGATTCTACTGCCAATCCCACTGGTACTGGTCCTACTGGTACTGGCCCTACTGGTACTGGTCCTACTGGTACTGCTCCTACTGGAACAGAAACTGACTGCACGGAAACTGCTACTCCCACCGGCACTGATTCTACAAAAACACCTACTGGCACTCCAACTGGAACTGATCCTACAGGTACTGGTCCTACTGGTACTGGTCCTACTGGTACTGGTCCTACTGGTACTGATTCCACAAAAACACCTTCTGGCACCCCAACTGGCACTGATTCTACTGCCAATCCCACTGGTACTGGTCCTACTGGTACTGGCCCTACTGGTACTGGCCCTACTGGTACTGGCCCTACTGGTACTGATTCCACAAAAACACCTTCTGGCACCCCAACTGGTACTGATTCTACCGTCAATCCTACTGGTACTAGTCCGACGGGCACCACGACACCCAGCGGTACTGGGGCTACCGATACTGTCACGCCCACTGGCACTGGTCCAACAAATACTGTTCCCACGGGCACTGACGGTACTGTAACTAATACTGCTACCCCTACTGGAAGTGGGTCTACCGCAACAACGCCAACTGGCACGGGAGAGACACCCTCGGGTACAGCTAACCCCAGCACCTTGGTGACTAGCATACAATCAGATTCAAGCTCATCTGTCTCGGGCAGTCCCTCTGGGTCTGCTGTTTCTTCTCCGGCCTCCACTACCAACACTCCGTCGGGATCAGTGTCCGTTTCACAGCCAGCACAGTATACCACGTCAACAGTCTATGTGACAACTGAATACACTGTCACAGCATGTCCCTCATCCGTCCGTCAATGCCCTCTGTCACATCGTTCAACATTTGTTGTCACGGAAACAATTGCTGTCACAACAACCGTCTGTCCTATCACTGAAGTGGCACCAACACCCTCTGTTACTTATGTTGGTCCGTCCCCTCCAGGTCAGACGCCTAGTTCTGCTCCTTCTACGCTGGTTCCAGGAAAGCCGGCTCCGCAGTCCTCCAATATTCCTGCCAGCCCATCAGTACCCGTTGTTCCTCAACCAAGCAGCAACCCACATCAGCCCGGCGGCGGCAACCCATCCCAGCCTGGAGGCGTTAACCCATCTCAACCCGGAGGCGGTAACCCGTCCCAGCCCGGAGGCGTTAACCCATCTCAACCCGGAGGCGGTAACCCGTCCCAGCCCGGAGGCGTTAACCCATCTCAACCCGGAGGCGGTAACCCGTCCCAGCCCGGAGGCGTTAACCCATCTCAACCCGGAGGCGGTAACCCGTCCCAGCCCGGAGGCGTTAACCCATCTCAACCCGGAGGCGGTAACCCGTCCCAGCCCGGAGGCAGCAACCCATCTCAACCCGGAGGCGGTAACCCGCCCCAGCCTGGAAATGGCGCCTCACCCTCTGCTAATGCTCCATCGCCGCAAACAACTGTTTCGTCTGTGGTTGTTGTCGTCCCCCAGCCGTCGTCGACTGGCAAGCCTTCCCCGGCTGGCGAAGCCCCATCCGAGTCGACAAACGTGACGCCGGGTCCAACCGACTCACCTGCGCCATTCCAGGGCAAGGCTTCCCGGCCTCGCTGGGCCTCATCCGGCGCCTTGGCTTCTTTTGTGATGATTGTGGCTTTCGTACTTTGAAGTTCTTTTGTAGGCATTTAGATCTGGAAGGTTGCTACATAGCCTAGTGGCGTAATTAATTCTTCTTTTGCCCAGTCCTGTGAAGGACATGCACCCCTTCTTTTCTTGACCATTTCCTATCTGTTTCGCATGAATATATTTTTTCTTAAAATACATACGGTGTTTAACTGATGACAACTCAACTGAGATTTTCCATTACTCTATCTTAGCAATACCCCGTAACCGTGCTGGTCATGTAACTAGATTGTGACATAACAAAAGCGGATGGAGCTTGGGTCCTTGCTTCAGCCCAGTCAAATGCAAAGCCCCATCGGCATATAGTACCGCCGAACCGGCTTATGTAACTAACGATTATTTCTTCCCCTTGCCCCGGCACCCACACCGCCGCGACTCCGAGGAGTGTGGGCGTGAGCCGGTTGTCTATTTAACCGGACTCGTGATTGTTCGGAAGTCATATGTACTCCGTATATAATTTGCTCGCTGTCGAAGCACCTTGACAGCATGCCGAGCCGGCTCAAGTGGGGAACGTGACCATGCGTGCGCAATCCCAAATCCTTTGCCCGCCTTTTCGGCCACATCAGCCTAGCTTCGCTAGTTAGTAGGGCACAGCTTTAAAAAGGCGCTCGCCTAGCAGCTGATGATGACGCTCCCAGCATCTTCCCATCGTCACGGGCTTGGTCTTTTCGTGGGCCAAAACGTGGACTTCTCTTGCTACCACTTTCTCTCTAGCTTCTATCCAGCTCCAAATACCCATTGTTACAATGGAGACGCTGTTTCCGCTCAATCCCCGGTTGCTGGTTGCGATGAGTTCCCTGGAGCTGCTAAATCATTACCGCAGCCTTACTGATAACCTGTCGCCTGAGCAGCATCTTGAAGTCATCGCGCATATCCTCTCTCGGGTCCACGACGGTGCAATTCCTCCATCGATTTTCAGCATTTGGCTGCCCCCCATATTACATCGTTTCCCGCACCTGCTCAGATCTATACTCATTGACAGGTCCTATTTCGTGCGAGCACTAGGCCTGAAGGCTCTGGACCAGGTGCTTAAAAAGACAGCATGGAAAACCAAAGGGTGGGAAGCCATTGGAGGCGCCGCAGGCCTGTCTGAAATATTCCAGGTTGTTGGCGTCACACAAACAAGACGTCTTGCGAAGATTATTGGACGACGGATGCGCGGCAAGAAGGATGCTACTGTGGTTGAAGAGATTGATACTCTTGTCCAGGCTTTGCTGCTTGATCCATCCTTGCTCGCGGTCTCTGATGACCAGGCCCCGAAGAGGCGAATTGCATTTGAAGATGTTGTTTCGCTTCTCAACGCTTGCAGCGACTCATTTCTCTTGAAATTATTCTCCCAGCCTATAGATTCGACATCCCCCATATTCTCGTCCCTAGACAGCCTAGCCGAAGCTAAGCCAAGTATTCTCCGCCAGATAGCTGTTGGTGCATCCAACGCCGATGAGGCCGTGCGGCTAGAGCTGCTTAAACGTTGTCCTATATCGCTTTTCTCCTCTGCAGTACCGTATTCAATTCAGTGCATGTCCAGCTCTCCGGTATCTAGCTCTGCCACTCCAGGATTATGTTTTTGCCTAGATCTCATTCATTCTGTCACCAATGATCCATCTTTCATAGAGGCGGTGCCGAATCGTACGATCCTAGGCTGGGCCGCGGAATCTACCGAAAAAGCCACCGGCAAGAATATTCCCTTTTCCGACATTTTGGAGCTTCTGCAAATTGCCCTAAGAAAGGTAATGAATCGAGATGGGGGCGTGGGTTGGATTCCAGACCCTTTTCCGAGCCAACTGATCTATTATTGCGCTGTTGCTTTCAACCCAGTCATTGACACCTATACAGTCTTGGAACCCAAGCACCGTAGGCGCATTGCTCGTGGAATTCCATTGCCCAGCGCCGAACATCGACCAGACCTAGAGGCGCTGCTTTCATGTTACCTATCAGCCTTTCCGCGAGAAGGAATTGTTCCTGGCAATGTCTGCTCAATTGTTCAGGAAGTGGAAAGCAAGGAATTCACAACCCCCTTTCCACCCTCCGCAAAACTTAGGCTGATTAAACTGTTTTGTCTCCATGCACCCGGTATTCGAATCGATTTGGATGCATGTCCTCCGTGTGAAAAGGATTGGCGGCTGTTCCGATGGGACATCGATTTTATTCACGAGCTTCCAATAGCGGATTCAATATGGCTGTTCGAGAAAATCGAGAGCCTCTCATTAGAAAAGGACACTGTAGTTTCTCCCGAAGAATCTGCTTGGTACCATGGAAAGATACTCGGCGTCAAGTGGGAAGCGGAGAACATGGCTTTGCAGGATGAGTTTCCTATGACGTCTAAACGTAAGAGATCTTTGAGATGTATACCGTGGTCAATGCTAACCAGAAATTTAAAGTTCTCGAAGAAACTAAACAGGCAGCCGAACGTGAGCCTGATCAATATCAGCGATCTAACCTTGTCAAAAGGGCATTTGATATTGCAGTTAAGAGCAAAAATATTCGTTTTCTGAAAGACGTTAGCATATGGACTGGTAGATATCTGCGTGACCCTGTAAGACAAACAACCCTCGACTAGAGCCCTATATATAAAGCTAACTTTTGAAAGTATGTCTGGAATGAAATATATATCTTGCAATGGGGTCTTAAATGCACTCCTTTACTATCTTGCGTCGAAATGCAGTCTAAAGCCCGCCCAACATCCCTCTCTGGTCTTAAGTCACTCGTTTACGAAGCTAATACACTAATTTCATCCCAAATGAATACCACATTAAAAGCTTTGCAGGAACCAGGGTTTACGGGATCATTTGCTGCAGATCCCAGAATATTTTTCACTGACATTGTTGAATCACGTATTGCAGGAATAAAGCAATATAGGAAGGTACGACTTGGCAGCGAAGATGAGTTGGCCGAGATTCTTCTTGGTTCCATGATACCTATAATACTAGAGTACGAAACAGCGGCAGTCACGGAAGGATACCTTGCCATTCACTGGAATTATACTGGCGGTGCTCTTCAAGGGCTAAATTGCCCGATCCCAACACCACGATATGCAATATCATTCATTGATAGATTAGCTCGCAAACGAGAGGATATTTGGGCAGCCCAGCGCCGTTCTAGACATCCAGAAACGGCGATCTTGGACGCTGGTTGGCCAAAAGGCCTACCTGTGCAGTTCCTGTTCCCGTCTGAAGAATGGGCAGCGGCAGCTTTCAGGCATCCCGATGCGGCACCGTACTTGTCAAAGCGCCTCCGGGAGCTCCTATTTTGTGAATCAAAACTCGCACTTACCAAGATTCCACGAAAGACTACCGGAATAGGAGCATTTGTTGATGATTTGACCTTCACGATTGATGCCTACTGTAAGAGTAGCTCCGGAAGTTGCCCGTCTGAAAGGATATTGGAGGTCTGGAATCATTTCTCGTGTGTCCTACCGGTGAATGGTAGGCATATTGGACTCCTAAGAGAGCATCTTTTATCTACGTGCGATTATATGACTTTGAACGTCGAGCCAAGGTCAAATCGCTTCAAGCACAGTACCAGAAAGATTAAGGAAGTGCGGAAAACAATCGACCCACCTGCGCTGTGTTTGCTTCCTAACCTCGAGGATTTAACCGAGGATGGCCCAATGGCATGGGATCCGCAGCCGGAAGATTCAAGGTCCTCTTCTGATATGGAAATGGAGGACGAAATTTCGGCTACGATCTTTGATAGTTGGTTTTCGGCCGAACAGTCTGAGTACGTGGACTTTAATTCCGAGTTTAGGGGGCCATATATAAGGGAGCAGGATCTCGATACGGAGTCGGGATGTAATCCGTTAAAGATATGGGCCCCGAATTGTGACGTGCGCGGGTTGCCGTTACCTAACAAAGAGGCAATTATTGTGTCCGCATTGTTATACCTGGACACCTTCACTGGCGAGTCTTCGAACATTCTCTCTCAGCAGTTTCCCAAAAGCTCCCGATTTCCCCGTTACCCGAGTTTGTTTTTAGACTATGGCTTCCTTTCTACTATTTCTGATGTGCAGGATGCTGCAGACACTGCAGTGAGAGCTCTGCGACAGCTCAAGAATATCGTTCCACCTAGGATCGTACAAAAATTAGTGACTTCATTGCTCCAAAGGCTGCCAAAGCTGGCAACGAAATCCAGCTTCTGGATTTATCAGTCAACGACTTTCAAGCTTCTTAGCCTTTTAACTGAAATGGACCAGCCAGGCATGGCAATCGACCCCAGTCTCTCTGCAGTCAAGAATTTTCCAGGAATGTCCCAGTGGCATCGAAGGTCAATACCCGTAAGACTTGTTCGAAACTTAGACCATAACGTCGTGGAGAGCTGGTTAACAGACTTTGCTACTTTTGTCGTTAATTCTCTCGAGGGACAAAGGGACAAACTCCAAGATGAAGAGTTCGATGGACCGGACGAATGTGCATCTCCTGCTGAACTTGCAAATCCAGTCAGTGGAAAGGTGCGCCGCGTGAAAATTACGACAGTCAAACTACTTACGATGCGCATTTCAGAGAGCGGCCAATTTACAAGCAAGACTTGCCTCCGTATCTTGGAATCGTTATTCCGTGTGGCTAGTCATATGTCTGTACGAAGTGTAGTTGTCTTCGCTTTGCTTGCACTTGTGAAAAAAAGTGTGGGTTTGGATGGCATTCCGTCCGCTGAGATATACTCTGCTATCACATCCTTGTATCCTGCAGTCGCTGGACCCAGCGAGAGAGTAATAATGAGCGAGGCAGATTGGGTGAGCGTGGAGATCGGTGGCCCTTTGCCAGAAGTTGATGACTTGCGGTCACTTTTAAACGTGCTGGTCTGGGATGCGCGCAATAGCATTCCGGAGAATATGCACGAGCACTATGTCAAGAGTGTCGTGTTGCCACTTCTGGATGAATCCACGAGGCAGCATAAACGTTGGATGCGCCTATTCCTCAATAGAGCCGGAATTCCGACAGAGTCGATCCCAATATCCAACTTTGGCCCGTTTGATAGCGATGTGGAGAGCACCGTGCTCAATGGCTGGGTCAAGTATCTTCCAAAGGAGTATCTTCTTCGCCATCGCGCATGGTCCCTTCGATACCTGGACATTTGCAAAGTCAGTCACGTTAAGGATTTGCTGTATGCTCGGGATCCGAAATGGATTGACACCAGTGCTGGCAAGCATTGGGCCAGATTTATTGAAGCTAATAAGCAATATCGAGCTTTTGGGGCGACATTCCAGAGCCTTGTCACGTCTGAGATTTATTCGAAGGTGCAGGGCGGTATAACGCGCCAGGATGCAGCTCTTGAATACTGCAAACGAGCTGCAATCGTTCTTCGGAATCCGATTAAGCTAAATTCGCGAGGCCAGCCTTTCTGGTCTCTTAGTCCGATCCTGTCTGCCATTAGCTCGCTTTTCCCAAATAAGTGCTCCTTAGCTACGGCTGCACGAGAAAACCACGCCCAGTTCATAGTCAGTCAGATTGCTCGCGATGTTGATAGTCTACGCACACCATCATGGTGTTCCGACCCCCATCGCACGCCCCCTGTGTTGCCATCTCGGCTCGACCTCCAGGCGCTGTTACTCCCTTTGCCACATCTTCACAACTCGTCAGCTGAGAAATACGATAATTTTACTCGCCATGTTCTTGAACTAATGACGGAATGCCTGGCATCACCGTCATCGTTTGGACAGCTTGAGACACTTAAGAAAGCAATGCGGTTCGTTGCCGCCGGCGATGCAATCCACTGCGCCGTGCGAATCGGCCGGGGTGAATGCTGCGAGTATGGCACTCCTTCTGGGACTTCTAGGGTATTGCTTTCAAGGGCACTCTTGAGCCAGGCGGGGAATGCGGATGTGAGTCGCAGCGGAGAAGCGAAAGCCATGCTGGAGGAGTGGGCGAATTGCCCTGATGAGTGGACGCGAACATGTGCGTATGAATTGGGAGACGCGTGTGGAGTGCTGGGTGTAGGGTTTGAGCAGTTGCAGAGCATGGAGTTCTAGGATCTTTTTTTATAGAATGCGGAGCGTGATCGAGCCAATAATACGAGATGTGTTTGCCTTGCCGCTCCCCCAGAGTGACAGCTTGGTACGGAGTAAGCCTCGCCCCTGGCGCCTACGCGGCGGAGGCCTATTTTAGCGCAGACTTGCCCGGGCCGGGCACCCCCGAGACGCCCCCCGGCCGCCCCTAAACTGCAGGCGGCCTGGCGCCGAGACCGGCCGGTCAGGTGACTGTGGCCCGTGCACGCGCCCCCCCCGCCGTGTCGCGTGAGGAAGCCGCCACCCGCGACAGCAACTGTCCCGCAACGCCAACGACGATGTCGACACGCCACCTCCCGCTCCCTCGACGTGCTGCAGGCTCTGTTCCTGGCCGCCAGCGACCGCCAATCCCTGCGCATCTCTGTGTCTTCGGATAGCACGCAGCCAGCTAACGGTTCGATCCGCTCTCCGTCGTGGTGGGATACACAGAGCTACTTCTCAGATTCTGTGCTCTTCTCTTTCGGTTTTTTGGGTTCTGCCAACACCCTTTTCTCTGTCGTCATGGCATCGCAGCCGCAGAAGGCCGCCGCTCACGGCTTCTCTGATTCGCCTTCCAATACTAGGACAGAACCTTCGCTAAACGACCGCTTTTTTCGATATTTCCAACAGGAGATTATCGGTATGGTTGATATTTCACAGCCTTCGCGGGCTCTGTGCAGCTAATATATGTGCTACCCACTGCAGCACTGCAGGGGCAGATGGGGCGTCTTGCTGATACCTCCACGGCTGGAGGAGAAAGCAAAGATGCGATCGACCACTGTCTCGCTGGAATTGCGAGGTTGTCGAGTGAAGTGCAAGATGCATCTAGCTACCTACCTCCCTATGACCAACGGGTCTATGCTGAAGTATGTTCTTGAGCAAAATAAACCAAGTTTTGTTCGCATATCAGAACCATTCCTTTCATTTAGCTTGCTTTCTCCCATTTATTTCCGTCTTCTTACACTGTTTAGGCTATCAAAGCTCTGCAGGAGAAACTTGCAGAGACGAGGGCAGCTATCGCTCCTCGACAAAAGTTCTCCTTCAAGACCGCCCGCAAGAATCGTTCTGCGGTATCTCTCGCTGACGTGGCTGAGCTTGATGCTGCGGGCCGTCGGCATATTCCCGGTTACCAATCCGGGGGGTCATCTGCAGAGTCGTCTGTGACCCCGAATCCAGTTCAGTCTTCTTTGGGGAGTGATAACTGCAAAGTTGAATCATCTAATATTGATGCCGGCGGCAAAGCATCTACTCCGTCAGAACCTCGTCGACGGATAGAGGACGGGCATTTTATGCCAAAAGAAGGAATCAAACCAATAGTAGTTCATTCTAAGTCTAATGCTCTCTATGTCTTGCCTGCAATCACAGCTCAACCGACTATTCCTGCTTCAATTACCTCCATACGGAGCTCTCTGGTCGATATGACCACAGGGCAGCCATTTGCTGTGATTTCTTTGAGAGATGTCACATCCAGCTTGATTCTATGTGGGGAAATCAATGGCGCGGCACATGTCACAGGAGTAAGAAATTCTGTGATTTTAGTATCTTGTCATCAGTTCAGAATGCATGATTGCGCCGATGTTGATGTGTATCTTGGCTGTTCGAGCACTCCTATCATCGAAGGATGCAATGATATCCGCTTCACTCACATGCCAGCGCCCTGTGTAAGTTGGCGGACTTATTCTTTTCCCTTAGCGTATTGTTGTACCTGTCATCTGACAAGAATGGACCTAGCTTTCAACAGGAAACCAGCTTACCTCCAGAGACGCTTGGGCCCACGTCGACGATTTTTCCTGGCTAAAATACGAGCGAAGCCCGAACTGGAGGATGTTGGATGAAGCCGAACTCCTACCCGATAGTGTCTGGTCAAGAATCTACCACTATGAAACCAATTGGCCGCTGGAAAAGATTTTGAAAATCTCGCGGCGACTTCCTGACGATGCTTTGGGATAGAACAGAGCTTATTTGGCTATCGAACCGTCTTGCGGCGGTTAAACATCTTTTTGCAAGACTCGTGTTCAAGATCCTAATATTATTTTAGGGCTTTTGTTCTTGAATTCTTTGGCTTAGAAGTCAAATTAAAGTACATTGGCACTAATAGGGTGTATTTAATACTGAATGGAACTAAATATGACATATGTGTAAAATCTAAAGTTAGAAGGAATTTTCTATTATGATGGGTAGGGTGCATATTCATAGATGTCAAGGGCGCTTCGGTATCGCTCATAAATCATTCAAACATTGAATCGAATCATACAATCAACGTAAAGCACAAAGGTATATTTTACCTATTCCGCAAATCCACCGTCTCGAACTCCAGCCCTTTAGCCTCAAAAACATGCCCTGGCCTTAAAGCATCTGTGTAAATATCCATCTCTCCATGTGGATGAAACAGCCCCTTCTGGGTACAAGCCAGCACAGTTTTCAGCCCCGGTGGATCCGTTAACCGAAACACCCCCCAGTCAGGCGTCTTGCTTGGAGCGCAAACGATAGCTATACTCTCAGCAAGCATAACCTGGTATCCAGACTGAGTGTGCAAGTCACGCGAGCTCATAAAACACGTCTGCGTGGGATGCGTGTGGATCCAGCCCAGCACCATCAGATCCTCTCTGTCGCAGTACTCGAAGACAGCGGCTTCGTTGATCATCTCGCAAGTGTCCGGCGTGGACTCTTGTTCGGGGATGAGCAGCTTGGAGATGAAGAAGGCATTGGAGATGAGGGAGCCGCAGAGGATACCGCAGGTCTCGAGGTTCTTGAGGGTGTTTGAGCGGGCGACTTTGAGGAATTGGGTGCGGAGGTCGGGCGAGATAAATATTGTGCGGAGCGGGGTGCCGTTCTCGAGATAGGAGGAGGGTTTGAATGTGAATGTCGAGGGTTGAAGGTCGGAAGAAGGGCTGGGGGCGTTTTTCTGATGGGTAGATTCTGGCGAGAGGGAGTTTGGAGGGCCAGGCGAGATCTTTTCAGGTATGGGAGGGGCGGAGGGTTCTTGGATAGATTCGATTATTTTAGCAGGGCGGGCTGGAGGGCGTACTGCAACTGGTTCTAGTAGACGCTTCTGGGGGATAGGTGGCACTGTCTCCGTAATGCTAAAGGCACTCTGTTCTGGAACGGCTGGGTATTTATATGTGATTGGGTCATTCAGCCCGGATCGGCGAGATGATGCCGGGCGCTCGTTCTGCGCCTGAGGAGGCACATTCGAGGCTCCTATATAGGAATTGTCCGTCCCAACCCTAGCTCGTATTTCCTGGAGCCGTCTCGCAAGGTCGTCTCCAGCGCCATCGTGATCCGGAACAAATGAATTTTCGTGTGTCTTCTGAGTTTGATATCCCTCATTTAAGAAATAATGACCCAGTTTTGCTGCTGCTCGACGTCTGAGCTCCTTCTGAGCAAGTTTGACGGCGAGTTCTTTGTTCTCTGCCGCCGCGATGGGCTTCGGTCGCCCAGCAATAGCGGGGTCAAGCACCTCGGGGGTGCGCCCTACGGTGGGCGCACCGCTGTCTAGCTGTGAAGCGACATTTCTATCCTGGAGACTCTGCACGTATCGCTCATATCGCTTGTTTATCCGCGGCTTCAGAACTTCCAAGATCTTCAGCGAATTCTGCACTTCGCGCTGGGCTTCGGCGAGCGGTCTTCGGTTTTCCGGCTCTCGCGCCTGAGGGTGTCTGATGAGATTCACTAGCACCAGTTGTGCATGCCTGAAGAGGAGCAGGTATGCTTGTTGGTCGTTTCCTTCGCGCTCGTAGATCGCAGCCTAGACAAGCCTGGAGTGAGTATCGACAGCTGTGGGCATGATAGCAATCAAAACTCACCTCCTTTGTAAGCGACAGCGCGGTTCTCAGCCAGTATTGCAGCTTGACGGTCGGGTCGTAGTCATACTCGGCGGCCTGACGAGCAATGTCGGCAACACTGAGGGGTGGGATCATGACGCCCGCCGAGGAATCAAATCCGCGTGTTCTCAGCAATTCAGGTCAGGCTTCATTGGCGATCAAACGCATGAGTCAAAGACATGGATATCGAGGTGGTGGTTCTCTGCACGGCAGCTCTCAAGGTTGTTTCGCCGCTGACGATGAGATGAGAAGCAGGCAGCAGCATTAAGCATGTAGTTCGATGCCGCGCCTAGATGTCTTCCGGTGCGAATCGGTGGAGACGTTGGGTGCCTGCGCGGCGTGTTCGTCATTGTAACTAGAAACTCCCGCTAGTTGACTACATGGCAAACTCGATTTCCTTTTACGTCTAGAAGTCGAGACATGACATCCTCTCCACAGCCACTCTCACTCTTAACGTTCGCGTGTAGGACTTGATGCTGCCGGCATGCTGCGTAACTAGATCTCAGTTATAATCCCGCGTTCTGTTTTTGTTCTTTCGTGCCACGTCCCAATGCGCCGTTATCCCGCGCCAAAACGCATTCATCTTGGACGGACATCTGTCCGCTACTATTATCCGTCACCTGTGCTCTCCGAGGGCAAGCGGGATCCCCATTCCATCCACATCAATAGCGAGAAGCTCTGCGGTGAGTAGGCCTACCAAGGACGTCAAGGTACGCCTTTCCTGCCAGGTGGTGTCTAGTGTTCCTGACGCTTGAGTTGCTAGATGACCTCCTCAAGAGACTTGCGCCGTCGTTCCAAAACAGCAGCCCGATCGATATTGTTGACTTATACCCCGGAACTGGCCTCTGGTCTAGGAAAGTACACGATTTTTTGAAACCACGACGCCATATCTTTCTGGAGCCATGCCTACAAGATTACAAGCCCTATCTCCAGCCACTCGTCAAGTCCGGCTCGACCTACAAGCTTCTACCTTGGGACCCGTTGGATGTAGCGTCATTGGCAAAGTTGTTCTCCAAGGGCCATCTCCCGGAGCAAACTCGGCGCGAACTGGGCCCTCAGGGAGCTTGTCAGCTCAATCCGTCTCTGCTGGTCCTAGCAAACCTGACCCGCCATCGCCAGAACTATTCAAATAGATTCTCTCTTTTCCTTCGATTCCTCGAGGCATATTTCAACCAAACAATCCTTCACCAGTATGGGCTCGTGCGTATCATCATGATATTTGGTCCGAAGGATGCGGCGATGGTGCTTCCAAGGACCGTATTTGGCCGTCGACGACTAAGTGTGATCGCAGATGCCGCAGGAGCAGATATCATTCAGCTTACTGGTGACACACTCGAGTCAAATCAGGCAGCAATAAAGGGCCAGGGTCTGTGGGAGGAATGTAGCAAGGCCGTTGCCGCCCGCGCGAGTCATGCTGGGGTATCGACTCCTCGTCGTCGCGCAGTTGCTCCCCTAGAACTCGCGCCCATACCACTCACGATGATTGCTGCAAAAGAGATCAAGTATTTCCCACGGCCTAAACACGACTGGCATGACAAGTACCTGGAGTTTGTCAAGGAGTATGAGAAACATCTCAAGCGTGATCCTACCGCCAGGTCTCTCCCAGACCCTGAAAGGTCTCAGCGTTTCCTCTTATATCGAAAGCGACTTCTCCTCGAAAACCGGCAGATGCCCCTTGTCAAAGAAGCTTCTGAGATCCTTCTCGCCATCGACAAGATCCAAATTGAGTTGCGCGCCCTGATGCGTTCAGGGAGGCCCTACCCGCCTCGAACGACCACCCTTGTCTCCGAGATGGCTAGTTTGACCTCCAAATACCAAGACGCCTGCAAACAGCTCACCCCACTCCATAAATCCCATGCGGTGCAACGCTTCCAAGAGACTCATGCTTTCCATACTAGCAATGTCTCTCCCACCACTGGCGACAGGACTCCCCTATTGTGCTGGGACCGCCGGCCTTTCGAACCTCTGCGTGTCCGACCGCAAGAATTCAAGCCCCCCGTCGTGTGCAGCATTGTTGACTTCCGCCCTAACCCCTCTTCTTTCATGCTCCGGGAACTCGCCACGATCGGCGCGTCGAACCAGCCCCGTGATACGTACCATAACCTCCTCGTCGCCTTCCATCACGTTGTACGGATAATATCTCGGGGTGCCGCCAAGGCAGCTGACAAGGCGCTGCTGCGACCATTGTTTCCAGGACGGTCCATGGCAGAGCTGGTCGCGGCGGTCCCGTCGCTGGAGGTATTTGCGAAGGTTTCGGCAAGGTATAATGGGGCGGAAACATTGGAGAACCTGACGCTAGAGTACGGAGAGGATTGTTTGGCGGATACAACTCTACGCATCTTGCCGGTGCATGTGCTTTGGGATATTGCACTGGAGTGGAACAAGTGGCCCTTGAGGCCGGTCGAGGCGCCAGACTTGTGGAAGCTGCTTGGCGGCAAACCCATAGACCAGATAGAAGCGACGTTTAAACGGAAGCTTTGAAGCAGCCGTCTTTGCTTCATCCTTCCTGCGCTTCCCCGTGAAATTATCCCTTGTTCGCAGGGCGGGGACCCTACTATTCCACCGGCTTCTCATATCATTAAGGTTGATCTTGGAAACCGTCCCAGGCCGTCTGTTTAAGTTCAAAATATTTTCCGAGCCGCCAAACCGGCCTGCCGAGAGTAAAATTGTAACGTGATCGCCACTCTCGCTCCCTCCGTATGCCGGGCTGCCGCATCCGCGGTTGATCTTCAGGCAAACCTTGTGAGCAAGATAGTTAAGTAACTTGCGATCTATCAACCGAGACCCTCAGCTGTTCGAATACGACGACGGCCACGGCGACGACCACCACCACTAATGCTGCTACGATGGGGTAACAATGCAGCTTAACGGCCATCGCGTGATTGTGCGAACAGGAGACACGTGGGACAGCAAGAATCCTTCCAGAAGTCCCTGCATTGATGTTTATTCTTTGCCCCGGCTAGCGACGACCAGCAGGGTTGCCTCTCTTGCGATGCAGATCGACAATGGACCCTCATCGCCTCACAAATGCCGCGGCCGCACGAAATAGGATTTTGCCAACAGCAATCTGTAACCAGGAGACGATGTTGGCGCTGCCACTTATTAGAATTGATTCCCCCGATACCCAAGCCCTTTAGCATTATTCCCCTAACACACTGTTTCGCGGGGCGCGGCTGAGAAGTCAACTCAAGGCGCATCTCATTATTAGCCAACTAACTAATTAACGACATGCGCCACTCGAATATGCCCCCCACGGCCTTCCCTGCTTGCCCCAGCAAAGGGTTGGAGCCAACGATTGCCAGACCAATCAGTGTCTCCCCCTTCGTGCTATCTATGGAGCACCGTAGCCTGTGTTCTGGACGTGGGCCCTGCATCACCTCCACATACAATATGATTTCGAGATACACACTACTACTCCTGAGTAAGAGAAGCATGCCCTGAGCACGCTGGGTGGGGAGAAACCGCGCCACAGAGATCATACAACACGGCCCACGCCAGTAGTTCTGCACCCCATGAAATTTCCTGATCGCAATACTAATAAATGAAACCCAGATCCTTCATCTTGGCCTACCAAAAGCGGACTACAAGACCTAGCTAAGGCCGGTGCTAGTTAGGCAGTTCTCGCGATACCTATCGCTGTGGAGAAGCAGTCTTCATGCCAGCCCAGACATGGATATTTTGATGTAACTATGTTGCGGAGTAAACATGGGCCCTAACGGAAGAAGCCCATTTAGGGGTCTGGTTGGCAAACATATAAAGGCAGGCCAGAGGGCGCCTCCAGGTCGAGGAATTCACCAGACTTCTCAACCCATCAGACTTCCCCTTCTCACCTTCTCAGTCCCTCCGTGTCGAAAATGGTCAACCCGCTTGCCCTCGCGGCCACTCTCGCGCTGCCAGCTGTCTCCATGGCTGCAGCAGTTCCCACCGAGGATCTCAGCTCGGACCGCATTATCGGCGGACAGCCAGCACGCCCGGGTCAATTCCCAGCCACGCTGACCATTCTCAGAAACGGTAGACACTATTGTGGCGCTACTTTGGTTGGCCGTCATTTGGCTGTCACGGCAGCTCACTGTCTTGATGAAGGCTACTCTGGCATGTCTGTTCGCGCCGGATCTATTGTATGTTAGCCCGTCCTACCCTCGACCTTACCTGGGGGGGGTGTAAAAAAGTAAACAATTATTCACTTTTTCTGGTTTAGTATCCGACTTCCGGCGGGGTGGAGTCTCGAGTTCGAAGCGTTCGCCAGCACCCAAATTACAGGGCACACCTCAAGAATCATGACTTCGATATTGCCCTGTTGTACTTGCAGGACCCTATTGACGCAGGCGGCAACATCGCCTACGCCCCTTTGCCATCACCGGGAAGTGACCCTTCCGGCAGGGGAACAGCAGCAGGCTGGTACGTTCATACACATTCCGTCTTGGCGCAGATTCCTCTACCCGGAATTTATCTAGCGAGCTTCATGCTAAGTCTTTCTTTTTTTTTCGAAACAAACAGGGGACATACTGCTTGGCAGGGCCAAAACTCCGATGTCTTGCGCCACGTCACGGTCCCCATCACCAATCGCCAGACGTGCAGAGCCAAACATTCTTCCCTCGGACTCGAGATCACAAACAACATGGTCTGTGCTGGTGGACAGGGCAAGGACGCCTGCCAAAATGACAGCGGCGGTCCATTCTACCAGACTGGAAGCAATACTTTGATTGGAGTTGTGTCGTTCGGAGAGAAATGCGCCACCGAGTATGGAGGAGTGTACGCGAGAGTTTCGAACTTCGTCGATTGGATCAAACAGAACGCGTAGTTGGCCGTGGCCCAGCCATAGCGAGGCGCCTTTCTTACCTTTCTTTCTGGCACCTGAGAGCTAGCCTACGCTCTGGATAGCTATCCGTGGGGCTATTTACGTATGTACATACAGTTTACATTATTGATTACGCCGTCTCCAAGGGGTGACGGCAGTATATATATAAATACAACCGCCTAGCAGGCTAAAAATACCAAATTGCGATACGTTCGAAACGAAAGTAGTGGTGTAGAAACATGAATTCATCAAACACGGAGCCCGATCACGGCGCCATCCCACCCAAGCATTTAAGATGGAATCGGCACGCAAAATCTCCACAAATCCTGGCCCCACGCGGGAAACGATGAAACACAGCCGATACGAACGGGCAAATCACAAGGGAAAAAAAAAAAAAAAAAGAGTTGGGCGCCTCACGGCCGATTTGCCCTTGCCAGCACAATTTTCCGGGCCAGCAGGACGTCCAACGGCAATTTCGGCCGGAGCAACAGATGCCGTGGCGCCAGCATGAGCGGCTGCCGCTGCCTCCACCCAGGCGACAAAGGAGACTCGGCCGGCATAGTAAACGGACACAGGTCCAGCATGGGCCGCGGGAGCACCAGCGGCGGCGCGGGCGGCGGCAGCCCCAGCACCTTCACACACCGGGCGTCGCCCAAGATCCTGCAGCTGTACTTGCCGGCGTTGGGCGGCAGGTCGGCGGGATCGCTCAGGGATCGCTTGCGGTGGCGGGCGGTCCACGGGGAGCGGTGGGCGTGGAGCGAGCGCGAGGCCTGCTTCAGATAGCGCAGGTAGCGCAGGTAGCGCGGGTTGCGCTGCAGGCTGCGGGCGCGCTGGGTGTCGGAGTCGTCGTCGGCCTCCTGGTCGTAGCGCCGCCAGTCCTGCACGATGACCGTCTCGCCGTCGTAGTTGAACATGTCCACCTGCTCGATGCCGTAGAAGCCCTCCCAGCGGATGGGCGCCGGCCACGCCGGCTGCATGAACCGCAGGATGTTCTCGTTGTTCAGCCACCGTCCCGGCGACCACCCGCCCAGCGCCCAGCCCGGCTGCAGCTCGTCCACGGGCACCAGCGGCACCCGTGTGCCGTTCGACCGCCAGATGAAGAACTTGGGCTGTAGCGGCGGGGTTTGGCCGGGCGGCATTCTGACGATGGTCTCGCGCTGGTGTGGCGGCAGGTAGCCGGGCGGCGGGAGGATCATCGGCCGCACTGGTTGGTAGCCCAGGGGCGGCAGCGGAGGGGGCGTGATGGGCTGTGGAGGACGCGGGGGGCTTTCATGCCGGGAGGCTGGTTGCTGCTGATCGCCGTGGTCATCCGGCTGGCCATCGTTGTCATGGTTGTCGGGACGGGAGGCAGCGTGCACGCTAGAGGGCTCCGATATCGTTGTTGTTGTTGGGCTGGGACACAAGGTGCATATCGCCGCCATAAAGAGGAAAATAGAATACTAGGATAGGGGAAATAGATTGGGTGCAGATGCGTAAAAATAACAGACGGCATAGGCTCAATGCTGAGGAGATGGCCAGCGACAGTGAAATAAGGAACTTGGAGTGAGATCTTCCGCCATACTGAAGAGGCCTTGAGGGTATCTGCAGGCGAGGCAGGGGCTGGCGGGCGCGAGGGAAGCTGGAGGTGTTGTAGCGGGCGCTGCTTTCCCTGGATGATACACGGGTGTGAATGAACCGGCTGGCAGGGGGATATCTAGAACCAGACTGTTTAAGAGACAGTGTGCTATGCATATCATCGTCATTGAGAAAGAATCACGCTATCTATGAGCCCAATCGGCTAGGGAGGCCATGCAGGATTTAGGTCGCGGGAAGAAAAGACAAAGGAAGGAAAGAAGAAGCAAAAAAAGAGAAACAGTTTTAATGTCAGTCAGTGTACTCTGTAGGGTCAGTGCTGACTAGAACTTCTTTTAGTGTCAGTGGGGATAGGGTTAGTGCACCATAGCAAACAGTTAGGTGAGGGCGTTTGCCTGTGTTGAAGAATTGTGAGGATGAAAGAAGATAAGACAGCCACTGCCCTGCTGCTGGCCGGCAAACAAAAAGAAACGAACCCGCAAAAGAAGAAAAATCACAAAAGAGGAATGCCATAGAATGTTACACGCAAGAACTCCAAAACACCATCTGTGTTTGCTACCCTCAGATTCAGATGCACAGCGGGAAGGAAGAAAAAGTCATACAAATACACCATTAGAAAGAACTCCATCTGATGACGAAAAAACCGGGGATCGTTGGGTTTCAAAACGAAAACCGCCGGCGAATGGTTAAAGTTGGGCCGGCGTTATTGGCGAAGCGGTTTTCTCGGCATGGATCAAGTCCAGCCACGCGCCCGGCCGCACTCTGCTGTCTGGATCTCTCAACACTGCGGGCGCCAGTATCCGCTCGACTGCGCCGTTGCGCGGGACTCGGGAGCCATTGACGCCACTGCGCACGAAGTCGATAACGCGATGGCCCTCGCGGGACATTACGAGACACTGCATGCTACCGGCGCCCGGGTACAGGTGCAGATCGCCCGTGGCGGCCGTGAGGAGGGTGACGGCGAGTGAGAAAATATCGGCGGCCTTGGACGGGGCCAGGGTGTCGGAAGTGAGGGCGGCGATGGTGAGCAGCTCGGGCGCGGCAAAGGGCGGGGTGAGGGCGGACAGGGCGAGCGCGTGGTTCTGGCGGCCGGCCGACGGCGAGGACAGGTCGTCGGCGGACGTGAAATCGACGTACAGCGGGTCATAGGGGAAGACGTCGTCGTGCTCGCGCACGCGGAGCAGGATGTTCTGCGGCTTGACGTCGCCGTGCACGACGAGGGCGGTGTCGTGCAGCCAGGCGAGGCCTTCGACGAGACGGCCGGCGACGGCCAGCCAGCGCTCCATGCCCAGCATGGGGTCGAACATGGTGTGGGTGGAGAAACGCTCGCGGGCGAGGGTGGCTTGGGAGGTGATATAGGTTGCCAGCGTGAGCGGCACGGCGGCCATGACAAGGGCATGCTCGGCGGCGACAAAGCCGTCGAACGGCACCAGGTAGCGCTCGTGCCCGGCGACACGCGAAAGACGGCTCAGCAGCGCGGCTTCGACCTGCAAGATACGGTGGGCGTCGCGGCGGAGCGGAGTCTTGACGGCGACGATGCGGCCGGGCGCGGCGGCGGGCGAGCGGCTGCGGGCCACGGCGCTATAGACGGCACTCCAGACGCCACGGCCAAACTCAATCAGGCGGCCGCGGGCATCGCGCTGCATGTGCAGCTCCCAGTCGCAGGGCGTGGCCGTTGCGGGAGTGCTGCCGTCGTCGTCTGCATCGTCCTCGTCTTCGGCCAGCACGGGCGTGGGCGGCGGCGTGGGCTGCGCGGCTGCGGCAGGCTTGGCGTCGGTGGCCTTGAGCACCAGCGGCGGGACGGCAATTCCGCTGCCAAGATGCATCGCGACAGCGAGCGCGGAGGAGGCGCTGGGGCGAGGACGGCGAGGAGGAGAGGGTAGGGAGGACTGGCGAGAGCTGGCGAGAGGCGCTGGGTGCGGCGAGGGCGGGACAGCCCGGTTTTATAGGATGGGCGTTTGGGTTTGCGAGATTGACTTTGAGATAGGCGCGTCGGGACCGGCTGCCAGGCCGCAGAGCAGCACCGTGCGGGCGTAGGGAGCGGGGAATGGAGGAGAGGAGAGACAGAGAGAACAGGGGAACAGAGGACAGAAGGATGCAGGAAGGATCCGAGGCGGAGGAGCGGCGGACAGCGGTGGAACAGAGGGAGGGGAAAGGAAGCGAACGAAAGGAGTGTGCAGGAGCGTGAAAAAGGCAGAAGACCAGAGAAGAGAAGAAAAGGAAAAGGGAAGAAAGGAAAGGATGAAGAGAAGTAGAGAGGAGATGGAGAAGAGAAGAGAAGAAGAAGAAGAAGAAGAGAAGACGCATCAGATCAGACAGGAGGGCATGTCAGGGGGCCGCGACGGGGGTATGCGGGCGGGCAGCCGGGCGAACACGGGCGAACATGGCCCCCCATGCCACCCCCCCGGCGCCCCCACGTGCCCCCCGTGGCAGCCCCGGCTAGCCCCCGCGGCCCGCCAATCCAGCCAATCCGGCGCACCACGTGCGCGGGCGCGGCGGACGCACGCAGCGAAGCTTGTATGGGCATACCCGGCAGACGGAGTACTACGTCTTTCACATAACTACCAGACATCCCACCACAGACAGCCGCTGCGACGGCCTGCTGCCTGCTGCTGCCCCGCGGCCGGGCGTGGCGGGCCTGACGTCGTGTTCGCTCGCGAGTTAGTTAGTTATTCAACTAACTCTCGCTCAGCCCGGCCGTTGCGTCCAACCATCCCCGTATGGGCCACGGGCAGTGCCACCGCAACACGCGCAGCCTCCAGTGCGATGCTCTGGCGTCGTCGTGCGCGTAGCACACACGTCCCCTCTCGCAACAGGGGTCGCCACGCGAGCACGCACTGTATACGGCCTGTCTTGCCGGAGGCCGCGACACACGCCTGCCTGCCTGCGCGGAACTACTTCACTATTATTATTATTATTATTCCACCCCCTGCCAGGCCAGGCCGTCGGCGCGGGCCTCCATGCTCCCGCTGGGTGATCGCTGCGTTCGCGCGCGGCGGCAGGGGTGCCAGTGCGGGTGCCTGGCGCGCGGGCGGCCGGTGCATCGCGGGTGACAACTGCGCGCCGGCCGTTGGAGCTAGCAGCGCGGTAACTAGTTAACTGCGGAGTACTTCGTACCTAACCTACCACCAGTTAGCTCCCTGGTACCTAACCTTCCTGCCACCGGACCTGCATCGCACGCCACCTACCGTCGACGTCGTTCGCGCTGTGCAGCCAGTTGCCCGGCTGCCACGGCGCTCTCTTCTCTCGCCAACAGGCCATCATCCCTCCACCGCTTGTGCGACGATGATGGCATGCTCGTATCGCCGCCAGCGCGCGCCCTCGCGCCCTTACCATGGTCACCGTCGACGTCGCTGCGGCCCAATAAATCCCGCGCACAGCACGTGACGCGCCGGGGTTATGCGAACCCGAAAGATTGCCGTTTTGGGCAGGGTGCGGGCTGGCGCTGGCGGTCGCGGGGGGCCCGGCGCGCGCGCTGGTTGGCTGCCGCCACACGGCTAGTACGCGGCTAGTAACGCGCCTGCGCCGGCGATCACGAGGGCCCAGACGCGGGCCGCCCGGCGGACGTGCTCGGCGCGTACCCGGCACCGCCGCGTCCGCTGCGCCCGCTCGCGCCGCCCGCGTACCAGTGACCCGCGCCGGCCCGGCACGTGAAGCAAGGCAGCGGCGGCCACCGCCCGCCCCGGCGTTGCCCTGCTGCCCTGCTTCTGCTTGCTGCTTTGCTTTGCTTTGCTGCTGCTGCCGCCTGCGCGCCCGTTCGTTATCGAATCTTCTTATTTCCTCTCTCGTCGAAACTGCAATCCAGCCTCTGCTTCCATATAAGACCCTGCCCGGCGGTCTGCCCGCCCCCCCGCCGCCGCCCTCCTCGACGCCATGTGGACTTAGTCCCCCGGCAAGACACACCACCGCTGCCTCACTCTCCGCGCCCGACCACCATGACCGAACAATCCAATGGCGACCGCCGCGCCTCCAAGTCGTCGCCGCCCACCGGCCGCCGCAGGGACAAGGCCCAGCTGTCGTGCATGCTGTGCCGCCATAGAAAGTAGTTCCCTCACGCCGCCGCAGCCACGGCAGAACCCTTTCCCCCCCCCCCCCCCACCAATGTCCGGGCTGGGAGAGAAGCAGACGGACCACCACCTCCTCCTCCTCCTCCCCCCAGAACCGATGTGCTGATGTTTGATCCCGCCTCCTCTGCAGATTGCGATGCGACCGCAGCCAGCCGTGCCAGAATTGCTCCAAACGCGGCCAGTCGTGTGTCTATGTCAACGCCGCCAACAACAACGCCCACGGCAAGCCCGGCCCGTCCGCGAAGCAGTACCCGGCCTACCTCAACGGCCTGCACGACCGCATTCGCCACCTCGAGGCCATCGTGCTGAACCTCGTCGGCCCCCGCGCCTCCGTCGCCGACAGCAGCGACCCCCAAGACGAGCCGCACATCGCCGAGTCCGTCGAGCGCCTGAGCATCGATGACGATGGCTCCAGCTACTTCGGCAGCTCGACGTGGCAGGCCATCCTGGATGAGGTCTGTCCCCCGTTTTGCTGTTGTGCTTTGCCTGGGCCCGTTGTGTCTGATGTCTGCTGCCGTTAAAGATCGGCTACATGAAAGATCTGATTCCAGAGAGCCAAGAGAACCCGTTCTCGGCCCGCGACGATGTGGACCATGGAGGCTTGGACCTGTTGCTTGGCTCCAGGGTCTATGTGGACACGTCCGAGCTGTATGATGCCATCCCACCGCAGTCGGACGTTGAGCCGCTGGTGGAGTTCTTCTTTCATAACATGGAACTATCCCCTCGTGAGTCCACTCAGCAACGCCTTTCCCGGTGATCATCCTTCCTCCCGGTAACTAACAGCGCTCCCCCCACCTGCAGTGATAGTTCATTCTCCGACTTTTCGGAAGGAAGTGAGAGAGAACAAAATCCTTCCATTCATCCAAGCCCAATTTAAATCCCTTTGCAGGCATGCTGACCCGTGTCCTCTAGTACGAGGCTTTCCTGATCGACCCCACCGGCGTATCACCAATATGGATCGCTATGCTCTTCGCCATGCTGTCCCTGGCCTCCAATTTCCGCCTCCTGTCCGGCGTCGATCGCGGTGAGGAGGCCGCTCTCAGAGTCGCCGTCAAAAGCTACCGGGAGAAGTGCGCCCAGTGTTTGATATTAGGAGACTATACGAAGCCCTCCAAACACAGCCTCCCTGCCATGCTGTTGTATCTCTCGTGTGAACGCTTGCGCAGGGAAGAATACGATATCGGTCTTCCCATGCTCTTTTCAATGATCGTGAGTCTGGCCATGCGCATGGGGTACCATCGTGATCCGCGGCACTACCCGAATCTATCCCCGTTTGAGGCCGAAATGCACCGCCGCCTGTGGACCGTCCTTATACAGTTTGACTTGATAATATCCGTTGGGGTTTGTTTCATGATGGCGTCCTGCACACCTGTAGAAGCCCGTTTCCAGCTAACCGTTTTTTCTTTGTTAGGTGGGACTTCCTAGGATAATCAATGAGAATCATGCCGATAATACGCCGCCGCATAACTTCCTAGAGGAGGATATCTCAGAAGACTTGACAGAACTGCCACACCCAAGACCAGCTGCCGAGCCAACTTTAGTGACATATGTCATCGCCCGTATGAGAATGATCAAGATGCTTGGCCGGATCACTGATCTGGTCCACAACGCCGCCAAAACCCCGTATGATACGATCTTAGAGGTAGATCGCGACCTGTACTCGCTCTATCAGCAGCTGCCCACATTCTGTAAAGTTGGTGAAGGCCCCGAAATAAACGACCCCATGACTTTTCTCCAGCGGCTCTCATTTGAGTCCCTGTACGAGCAAGCCCGGTGTACGCTGCACCGGAAGTATCTCACCGTACCAGACCCGCGATACGCGTATTCACGCGGGGTCTGTGTGGACGCCGCGCTGCGCATGCTCGCTCAACAGCGACTCATGCATGAAGAGAGCCAGCCGAATCGAATCCTGTATAAGCAACGCTGGAAACTCCTCACGTATCTCAACCGCGAGAACCTCCTGGCGACGATGATCGTCGGGCTGGATGTGGAGCATTCGTTAAGGCGCAGGGCGGCGCAGAATTATTACCCCCCCGTCGGCGACGCGGCCCTGGAAACCAAGCTTGAGGCCCTGGAACACTCCCATGCCATCTGGGAGGAGTACCGGTCCATTTCGAAAGAAGCTGCCACAGCAGCGACCGCATTGGCCATCATCCTCGCCAAAGCGAAAGAAGTCTTCGGTCCGCTGCCCATTACAGACGGCACCGTCATGCCTGGCATGTCAAATTGCACCAGCCCCGTGCATAGCCTTCAGGGTGACCAGTACACCGTCAGCCCCATCGAGTGTCTGCCGCCTCCGTCTAGCGCGACGGCTGGCCCTGCAGTTGCTACGGCCCTGCCAACACAGTACATGCTAGGGGTCGAAACCAACGGCGGCGTGCTGAATGAAATGTCCGCAGGCGGCCAACCGCAATTTCAATACGATCCCAATCCCATGTATCCGCAGCCCGCTCCGCCGCCTCCGCCGCCTCCGCCGCCAACAATGATGCCGCCCGAGACTAGTCGGGCGTCGTTGTCGCCGATGAGTTCCGGGATATCGCCGCCCCACGCCTATAAGGTGATGGAGTCGATGATCGACCAGCCGATGAACCTAGGTTGGGTAGGTTTCTTGTCCTTCTTTTTTTCTTTTTCGTCGTTTTTCTTTTTCCTTCCAACAACAACGTGCCCCTGTATCCCGTATAAGCAAATACTAACCGACGTATCTCAATTTTTAGTGTGCGCTTTGGGAGAGCCAGTACCCTGGAAATGGCGACTATCCCAGGCCCGTTCCCACGGAAGATGAATTGTGGGAACTCAATGGCAATACTGCCAACAGCAATGCTAACTGCAATAGCGTCAACGCCACGAGTAGTGTTGTCTTCCCGCCCCCAGCGGTAGGCCCGCCGTTCCATTCGAGCGGCGCAGCGGGGTATCTTGCCTAGGAAACCGCTCCACGAGCTTCTACTTGTTGAAGGGGAAGACGTTGCGAACAAGCATGAGGAGGGAAAATTCCAGAGCGAGCGGGGTTTTGGCTGGGTGGCCTATTATTAGATCTTTTGGAGGGGCTTTTTATTTGCTTGGGCCTCGGGTTTGGTAAATCGTTGGGTGGAAATTCTTTTTTATTCTTCATGCCATAAAAGATGGAAAGCTTGAGAATGTGTCTGCAATCCCCTTAGCTTTTTTTTTAAATCTGTTTTTGATTCCTATGGACTTGCTATTTGGTCCCTATACTTCGGGCGATCACTGGTGGAATTTTTGATCCGCTATATTATGTACTGTACATACATATGCAGCGATATATGGGCGGGAGATGAGAAATTGGATGATCTCCAACTTAAGGCAGTTTTATTGTTAAGCGAGAAAATAGAAATTGAAGCTGGAAATAAATAGACGGTATTTGGCAGGGCTGCAAGGATTCATCCCCCTCTTCCGTGATCGCTGCAAGTCAGTATTGTTCCCCCTGCCGAAGCCTTTTGGAAAGAAGCATTTGCCCTGGCTCCAAGGAAGGTATGAAGGGTCAGTAAATATAGAACAGTGACAGGATCATAAGAGAATTCTTGTCTCACAGATATCAATTATTGCGTGCCCGTTGGAATTGGCTGGTCATATGGTAATGACATCGGGAATACGTACTTCGGCCGTCATAAAGGGGGAAATAGAAGTAACGGTTCGTCATATCTGAACATGTAGTCCGTATTCTCTTGCATGAGGTGGTTCTTTAGTGGTATGATGCCTTTTGGAACCCATGCTTGAGTAACGCTTGAGATCGCCCCATGCCATCTGGTTCCTGCAAGGATTGTCTGCATCTGCGATTGTTTTAAACTCCAGTCTCGGCAATGTAAAGTTCAAGTGGCACCTCTGCCGGCGTCTTTATAAACACCAATAGTTGTGGCCCCAAAATTGCTTCATTTTCGTTTGTTTCTTTTGGCTGCTTTTTTTCCATCGAGGGAGATCTGGTGCAAGGAGAAAATATACCGAACTCCGAACGGAGTAAACAAGACCCTGCAATGCCCGGAATTGTATATGCATGTGCATACGGAGTAGTATATAAATACAACTGAAGCAGTAGTGGGGCAAAAGAAGGTGGAGGTAGAGGCCTGCTTGTTCTGAAACTTGGGTTATCACTGAAAGGGGCTCATTGCTTGAAATGTCTTTCAGATGCAAGAACCGTGACTCAAAATGCAATTTCAGGTGCAGTTGCGTTTTCAAATGGATAGAGAAAGAAAGAAAGGGGGACAGTATGACAGTAAGGTTGCACGCATACTCCGTATTGTGGTGGTGACAGGGTGCTACCCAAGTACTCTGTAAACCTTTTTCATCTTTCTTCAGCAATGTTCATTTTTCTGCCACATCTCTCCCCGACTCCTATCAGGGATAGCAAGAAAGTAAAAGGTACGGGGATCTAGAGAAAGAGAGTCTGTTTCAGTGTGGGCACCTGCACGGAAGATGTTCTGAGGCCCCAGCTTGCGTGGAGTCTGGTCAGGGATGCAGTTGGGTTGGGTATTCTCTTTTAAGAATAGATTCCCATGGGAAAGGACGCTGGCTGGAGCTGTAGGGGTGTGCTGCACCTAGCTTGCCGTGCGGGCATTATTATTATTATATTATTTCGTTTTCGTCTTGTCGTCCCTAGTTAGTGGGCTCTCGCTCCTGTTTTGGCGGGCATTATTCCTGTTGAACGGAACGCCAACAGGATAGCTCTCGTCGAAAAGCGGGAACTTGGTCTGGGCTCATTTTCAGCCGAATTGGCAGCGGACGAGCACGGCGCAGGAGCGTTTTCTTATGTTGCTGAGGAGAAATACGACGGGACTTTTAGCATATGTAACTCCGTGTGCAGGTTCATGGCGAGCTGGGCCCCAGACCCTGCGAGTAGAGTTTTCGTGGACATGGGGCATGGATGTTGCCGGCGGCCCTGTGGATGTAGCGAGGTTCGACGTTGTTCATGTTGTTGTCGAGCGCGTCGCCCTCCAAACCCCGTGAAACGCCGGCCCGCTGGAGGCCCGCACCCCGCATCCGGCAGTGTGTTTGTTTGCGCGCTTTGCCCGGTACCTCCGATCAAGCAGCCACGACCCGCCTGCCAGCAGCGCACAAAAAGGGCAAGAACGGCTATTAATAGCAGCTGCAGTCGCCGCCAATCGGCGCGCGGGCCTGCGCGTAGGGTGGAGGCGGGTCTTGGCGCTGGTCCAGCAGCCCAATCGTGCGCCGGTCAGATGATCTGCGGCGTTATGAAACGTCGCTAGGCCGGATCGGTCCAGGCGCTCATTTCGCCAGCGGGCGCCCGCCGGCCAATCACCGCCGCGCGCGCCGCCGGTTGGGCTGCTGAGTCAGCGAGTGTGGGCTTCCTTAATCTCCCGCCAATTCAGCGTTTTTCCTTCTTATATCTATCTTTAGAACGTCCCGCGTCTATTCTTCGTCCACCAACACCACCACCATCGACCGGCCTGCCGCTCGACCCATCGCTGTTGGTTGCTTGCTGGCTGTCGATAAACTCCACTCCTGGAGCCAGATCGCCGCCGATTCTTCTTTATACCTCCTCCTTGCTCGCCGCTCCTCTCCGCCTACCAATCTTCGCACAGACAATGCTTGCTGGCGACGTCCACCCATCCCTCCAGTCTCACTAATCACCGCCTGCCCATATCACACCTCCCGCACTCTCCTCCTTCCGCGTTTCGCGTGCTGCCCTATTGCCGCCGAAATAGGTACCTCAGGAATCCTTTTTGATTCCTTTGAATTGGGGGCGACGTGCCTCACCACTGGCCTTGCAAGGTCCTCCTGACATCTTTTACCGCACCATACTGCACTTGAAACGAAAATGGGCCGACGGAAGATTGAAATAAAGGCTATTAAAGACGATCGTAATCGATCTGTGTAAGTCACGTCTGTCCACGAAAATTTGTTGCTGGAGCTAATTCTTACCCCTTCTCAGCACGTTTCTCAAGCGCAAAGGCGGTCTGTTCAAAAAAGCACACGAACTATCAGTACTCTGTTCTGTCGATGTTACCGTAATAATATTTGGACATAATAAAAAGCTATATGAGTTTTCGTCAGGAGACATACAGGAGACGCTGAGCCGTTATCAATATGTATGTTGTGAGCCCTTGAAACTTGCGATTTCTATGGCACTGACTTTCCTTTTCAGTACGGCCAGGCACATGAACATAAGGGGCCCGCAGATTTCGCGGGTAAGCAGAATCTCGACGAAGAGGATGAAGATGATATCTCTCCCCCTCCCGATGAGTTAGGTCAACAGATCCATCGGAATGGTGTTCCACCACCACCACCTCAACAATCTGCCTTTCAACATGTGAATCACACACCGTCCGTGTCTCCTCCCATACCAAATGGCGTACAGTTTCATCCTCGGAATGGAACTCCTCAACCGCCGCCTGGTGTCGGTTCTCGGCCATCGTCGAGAAACACTATCCCCGCCGTCAGTTCGAATTTAGTTCCCCCCCAACATCACCATGCAACGCCGCCACCCCAAGTCCAAAATGGATATGGTTATATTACAAATCCCTCAGTCTACAACCCACAAGGTAATCCTAATATGCCACAACAGCCTCGACCAGGAGCGTTCCAATACGCCCGACCACCGCCGCCCCAGTCCGTCGCCCAACAGCAAGGACAGCAGCCGCCTATGCCGTCACACCATCAACACCCGTCCATCCCACAAGTCCAGCAACAACAACAAATTCCTCACCACCCTTACATGCAAGACCAACAGCGAAGACCGTCTATGCCCCCCGCTTTCTCACAACAGGACCGACATCCGCCGCCGCCTGTAGACCAGCCAATGCCCTCCCAGCACCAGGAACCTAAAGTCGAACATCAACCATCTCCCCCATCAAGACAACACCCCACAAAATCAAGAAGTATATTCACTCCAATTGACGACCGGGGATCTGTCTTGGCACAACATTTTGGATTTGGACCCCCTGCAGAGTCGCCCAAAACTGACTCGCCGGTTTTGAAAGAGCTTGACAAACATGGTAAACCATCAGCCCCGCCACCACCTCGACCCCAACCCCCCAGATCACTTCCAAACCCGCAACGAACTCCATCGACCTCATCGGTGCCAGACATTCATCCAATTTCCAGGAATAACAGCATAGCCGGCAATGTCAAACGTCCTCAGCTAAAGGTACAGATTCCCAGTGAGCAATCAGATGCGGGCGAAGCCACCACGGAATCCTCGTCTCGCGACTCTGGAAATGTCGGGGCAACTCCAGCCAAAACAGGATCTGATCCAGGACATTCTGCTGTTGTCCTCCCACCACCCTCACCCTCTGCTAGCGCTTTATTAAGTGCAGGAGCCCATGGTCCGCCAAATCCTTTCGCCAGGCCTCCTCCCCCCGGAGCCGTCCCACAAGCCACCGGCAGTAATATAGAAACGCCCATGTCCGCTCTTCCCAGCCGCTTTGTCTCCGATGCCCTCCTTCCGTCACCTTCAAGTTTCTACCCTGAATGGGGCTTTGGAAGAACAGGCCCGGATAGTAACATGTTGCCCAGTCCCCTCACGTTTCCAACTCCCGTGATGCAAGCTGGAACTGGATTCGTGAAGGAGGTGGATGAGCAGGAAAGGAAGAGAAAGAGCCCGGAAACCGGGACGGCTGTCCCTGACCCCGTCGGGGCAGGCAAGAGGTTGAAAGTAGAATAATGTTTATAATGGTATTGCTCGGTTTTTTGCTTTTGCCCATCTGTTTTTATATATCTTTACGTCTTTTTTGTTTATCTTAGTGCATTCGGGATCTTATTCGTGCTTATCATCGGGCGGTCGTTTCCTACTTCTGTTAGGGATTATGTTGGCTCTTGCATTCCAAATTGATATTTTATCTTGCATTTTTTTGTCTCACCTTGTGTTTTTGCGTTGATCTCTTCATGGACAGGGCGGGGATGACTCCCATATTATATTGTTAAGCTCGTACAAGCTCTTCTACTCCTATATACTGCCTCTTTCGCCTCTCTCCTCCCCCTTCCTTTTTTTCGCCCCACAACTTTTTCGTCCTCCACACCATGATTTTCCCTCCAAAAAAATTTCCTCTCTTTTTACAGACACCATACTCTTTGGGGCTGCGGTCATCTATTGTTATTTTTGGGTTTATTTCTGTCTCCTGGTAACAGCTATTGGTAAATCGGCGTGCATGTATCTACAATGCCTACTGGAATATGACTGCAATTTCAACAAGCCGCCTTTAAGGAACCTTATTTATCGGGAATACTATTTATCCGGACCAGGCTTGGCAATAACGGGTATAACCTTTTTCGCAATGAAGTTGATAGACTTTGAGTTTTCGGTTTCACCTTGGGGAAACTGATGTGCATTATTCAGTACTCCATACTCAATAATCATGCGCATTCCTATAACAACTACGGGGTAAGGTCAGGGCAGTTTTCCCCTTAAAGATGCGGCCGACATTACTCCGTCCAACATATTTGCCGCCTGTGCGCATGGACCAGGCTCCTTTTCCTTAATTTTTCTCTTTGGGAATTTCGTGCTTGTCTTCTTGCCGCCGTCAACCTTATGCAAGGCTTGGGAGTTCGTGACTCCGTACATGGCCGATGTTTAAAGCCGATGATGGGGTTATTTGAAATTAACTACCCGTGGTCAAAATTGTCTATCACTTTTATCACGTTCCGGCAAATTCCGAGTCAAAAAGTCTCTAGCTAAAGACCCGCCTCCATCGTGCTAACAAGGATAGAGCGTCTTGTGAGGTCACTTTCTTGAGAGCTTGGGATACAAGCCAATGGTTGGCAAGGCTGGCGATTACGCAAAGTATTTGCCCTCTTTTCCTACCAACAACGCCGGATCTTACCTGGCCGATATAGTGAACGGAGCCGTAACCGCAGACAAGTTAAGCTGCTAAGTTTTAGGGTAATCAGAAGAGTGTTTTCGAATCTGGTAAAAGATAAGAGTGCCCAATGGATATTTTTCATGGGATAGGATCGAAGGTTTTACAGCAGTGGGTGATTCAACTTTATTTGACAAGAAGAGCTATTATTCTGGAACGGATGTGTTTATGGAAAGCTGCAGCACATTATTAACTCGGCTAGCTTAGACATTGAACCGAATATAAGAGAACGGCCCAGGGCTTTGTTCAGGTTTAGCTTCTCGGGTGCAACAGCGAGGCCTTTTTATACGGAGTGAGGATATTTATGCTCCATTAGGCAGTTATTCATTAAGAGTCTATAACAGCTTAATGAAACGGCGAGATATGGAAACAGGCTTGATGGAACGGAGTTCTCCGAGTGAAGAACGAGAATGACTTGGAGTACGGAGTAAACAGAAGAATAACGATAGCAACTTTAGTTTTGACTCAAGTTTGCTGTTTCACACTCACATGCGTCTCAGCTAGCTAGCATATTTTCAAGAGTGCCCGCTCCATGGCATCGATATGAGTTTCTGCTGTGTCTGACTGCCAAACAACTAGCGACCAGGGTAGCTCCCAGGATGATGCCCGTTGCACTTAGTTCTTCCACGAGTGGATTTTGTTTTAGCCTGACCAACACCAAAAAGCAGGCCTCACAGAGCACGGAATAACAACGAACTTGATATCAAATTGCCTTCGAGCTCCGGATCGCATTTATAAAGCCGCCTGGCCTTTTGCTCTGCAACGTCCGAGAGCACGGCCCCTCAAAAGATAAAAGGCTTATGGCTAATTACCCGCTGGGCCGCTCTTTCCTCGCCACAGAGCTAGCGAGGTAGGACGAGAGACTTCGGTCTAGTAGTGATATGGTTATGGTATGCGATTTTGGCTTCAGAAAGATATTATTCATCACTGGGGGGCGGCAAAATTCTCAAGCTTATTACGATTCCAGCTGTAAAATTACTAGTCGTTTAATAAAGTGATTGAAGGCCTCCTTTATTGTTTCGGCACTTGTGGTAATCCACGCGATTTCGAAATCCGATGTTCTTGGGCAGTGGCCATACCGATCCTAGAACTTCGCTTGTTGACCACGGATGCAGTCGAGATAGAATTGGCAAATTAGCTTTAAGTAGGCTATAATACTCTGTCTCTGCTTTATAAAGATTCGTGATAGATAGGCATTAGACTTTCTAGCTAGTCATATCGGTGGCCCAATGTTCAGCACCCATGCTAAGCGACCAGATTTCGCACCTCAGTAATGGCAAGTAGCCTGAGAGGTGGACGATGATTGGCGCCGTCGGAGAGTGGTTGTGTCGCACCGAAAGCACAATCCTAATTGCTCTATTGTCGGCGATGCCCTTAACCTACCAACGTCTTACATGCTTTATTATCTCGCCATGGTCGGGAAGGGTGGGTCATGATAGCCCTTTTGGTCGCATGGTAACGCAAAGGAATCCTTCAAAGCTTAGATTGCCATACTTGTCTGAATCCACTTGATCGGCATCAGATTTTTAAGCAGTGTCAAATACATGGGGCTGGCTTGAATGGTAAGCAGGGTCCAATCCGACTGAAGCTCTCGTTGGGGAGCGATTTATTGCTATCTTTCAGAATCTCTCCCATGGTGTCTACGCCAAAATTCTAAACCAAAGTTTTCATATGTCCATTGTCCACAATATGGTATGACCCACTGGACGCGGAGGATGCCCAAGTGCGTAGGCAGCTCAGGTGACAGTGGTTTTTGATTCAGGAGTGATACATCCTAGTATTGTATACAATATAGAACGCCAAGGACTTCTGCTTCGGCCATTAGTGACATGACTGAATTACTTCTTAACTGAGATTGATAGGGAATAACTAGCCAGGAAGAAAATCAATGGGAGTGTAGAAACGGACAGGGGAACGCTGACGGATTTGAGATATACTGTTTATCGATCATACATTGAGAGAAAAAAAGTAGCCTCCTTGTACCACGCGATAATTAAGCGCTCTCATGTACGGGTTATCGTCGTAGGCCTCGACGTTGTCCAAGTAGTTAAGACTACAAAGCTGTCTCCTGCTAGCTATCGTTAAATTTTGAAGGCTTGGCTTTTCCCCAGGCTTGACTGCAATAACACTGGCCACCACGTTCTCAGATGTTATTTTAAGATATGTTCATCAACGGCGTTGTCTCTCCACAATCCATTCTTTGACAAAAACCAAAATTGAGGTTGAAGGTTGCGGCTCGCGGAAACTTTATTTAACTACCTATATGCAAACATAGCAAAGGATGCAAACACCACAAGTATCGTTATGCAGACGCGGGGCTTACATAATTAGGGCTCGCTAACATCCAAATTAGGACTAGCCCACCACAACCACCACTTCCGCCTCGCTTGACTCTCCTTTGCGTGTTTGTGTGCCCGTTCAAACGACCAGCGACAACGACCCCCCCCATCCACGAAACCCTCGCGCGCGGTTCTCGACTGATATTCGGCAAATTCATCTTTTGCTGAATATTCCGACTTTTGCCCTTGCGCACACCAGTGATACACGGAGGACATACATTTTCAAGATGCCTTCTGATCAAGGTCACAGACGTGAGTGTTGCCCTTCTGCCTGCCAGTTTCTATCTTTTTTACAGAGCGAGGATTTCGTATTGTGGTTACTGGGAAATTTCGAGAGACTTTGCTGTTTCGCGCGCGACGAGGAGATATTCGCTTGGAAATGGAAACGGGAACGCAGACGATTTTGAAATATTAATTGGCATGAGCTTGGCTAACATTTTCTCTACTCGTGTCTAGTCTACGTCAAGTAAGCGATATTCCAGTTCATATATGTCTTGTTCTTAAATGCGATGTGTCGAATGAAACGATCAGCGAGAGTTGAATGGACGTGGATTGCACGATGGATGCATGGTGGATGAATTGGAGCGTGAATGCTGACAGTCGATAATTGATAGGGGACGCCACCTCAGTTACCAGCGTGGCAAGCGCAACACAAACCCAAACACAAGTTTAATCAAGCTTGAGGGTGTTGAAGATTCGAAGGCCGCCAGGTAAAGATATCCCAGCGATGCATTGGATGATGGTCATGGAGCACTAAACATTTACATCACAGCTTCTATCTCGGCAAGAAAGTCGCATTCGTTTACCGGGCAAAGCGTGAGGTACAGGGATCCAAAATCAGAGTCATCTGGGGCAAAGTCACCCGGCCACATGGTATGTTTATGAATGATATATCAGGAAACAATGTGAATATACAGTTCTAATGCTATATTCAGGTAACTCCGGCGTCGTCCGCGCACAATTCAGACACAACCTTCCCCCCAAGACCTTTGGTGCTTCCGTCAGAGTCATGCTCTATCCCTCGTCAATCTAAGTTGGTCGTCGGTGGAGCGGAGTTGTTGCAGTCAGGGAGCGGTGAAGTTGTGAATTTGATTTGATACGATCCCGAGAATCAGGGAAGCAGGCGTGCTTACGTGGTATACATCGGGGATTACACAGCGCATAGCTCGAGAAAGAAAACTCCAAAAAAAATTAGGGAAATGCACACAAAAACAAACAGCTATTAGCAAACCACCATCCTCTCCCTCTGAGGTCGGGACGATAATAGAGTCTTCTGCACTCGCAATTCTTCCGACATTATGATGGGTTTATGTTATTTTCCAGCCTCCTTTGTTGTCCTCTTGTTACCTCTGGCTGTAAAAGCATGGGCGAGGAGTCAGTTTCCCAAAATGGTGAAAATGGGGTGGCACCGTTTATCTGTTGACGTTTTTAATGGAATCGCATATGCCTGGATGCGCTTTCGCTGCTTCTTTTCCCGAGCCTTTGTGCCGGTTCCTGGCCGTACTCCGCCCGCTATTCTTACGGCTCGTTCTTCTCTTATACTTCCATCATCTCTGAGTTGATGAGATCATGTGTTAATTCTAGAAACAAAAATAAATACACTTGAATCTGCCCAAACATTGCGGCTTTGTAAGCATTCTCTCATTGCAAGCACGCCGCCCTTAGCTTCGTGCTTAGTTGTAAGTACGATATAAATGCATGTACTCCGTACAGAGTATATCATACATAGCTGGAGAGTACCAGGGCGTCCGTCCATATATGTATGTCCATGAGTGGCTGTCATGCTGCAACCATGACATATTGCGCTAGGCCGGTGCCAGGATCGTGTCCGGATTCATCTTTGCCATGCTGGAGCACCGGCTGAGTTTGGCTTTCTGACACATGGTGGAGCCCGCTATGGCCACGGCGGCAACGACGTCGCGCCGGCTTCTCGAAGACCCGGCGCTCCGTCGGGCCATGGAAAGGGACCCGTGAATGCGAACGTCGGCATGGCATCAGCCAGGCAGTGTAGGGCTGGGGCCGCTGGGCCTTAATTTTTTTGGAAACATTGGAGCACCGGCACTGCCCTCGTGGCGAGAATGATGACGGGCTGCCTGGGGCGACTGCGGCGATCCGTGCGGCTTGGGAGTGTTAGGTCTCTTGGAGCCGGTGGAGACGCGGTCGTCAGCCCGGCATGCATAGTAGTTACAGGCCACAGCATCAGGATCGGCCGATGCGCTGGATGCGGGCAATGTTGCCTGTGTCGCTCGTATGGGCACGGCAGCCCGGGCGGCCGGCGGGTTGCGGCCTGGGGGGTCGACCAGTCTCCGTGCGGCGGGCAGGCCCAAGGGAGATGCTCGCCCAGCAATGCAAAGGCAAGGAGATTGCCGTCCAAGAGCACTAGCGGCGACATGGCTGCTCGGTCTTACGTACGTGGCTGGACGAGAAGTGCGAGGAGCAAAGTAAGTTCCTGTAAGTGGCATTGGCATCCTTTGCGCATCCCCAGCCCTGCCAGCCATCGCGGTTCGTGAGCGTGTAAAGACGGATGCATCTGCCAGGCGTCTTGTGTGCTTCAGAAACAGTCTCGCATTCTCTCTGCCGTGCGTCTCTAGCTGTCTGCTGCTCGCGACGACGCATCCGCGCGGCCCCTGGGTCGATATCCAACAGACTTTGCCGAAACCTCTGGTTCGTGGGCGGTTACCCTGTTCTGGTCCCGAGTTCCATCCAGGTCTGAGACAGATGCCACACAGTCGCACTGCCGGCTCTCCCGCCTTCGCATCCCTTCGCTGCCATCGCCTATAATCTGCAAAATAATCGCCTGTGTGTGTGAAGCTGTGCTCTGCGCTGTTTTCCGCAATTGCTCGTCGGCAGGCCGGCCCTTCACTCACGCGCTCTCTCTCCTGCTTAGTCGTGAACCGCCCGCTTTCGGCCTTCACGCAGAAAAACCCGTCGCTGGCTCACTGCCTTTTTGCTGCCCTGCCACCACTGCGCTCGTTTCCTCACTCTAATCTACATCTGTAACCGCTCTTTAATCTTCCCGTCGCTCTTTTTCTTACGTCGCGTCCCACCATGGCCGCCGCTCAGGCTGAGAGCTCGCGGCATACCCGCATGCTCAGCTTCCACAGCAACAAGTCGGAAAAGAGCCAGGGCTCAAAGACCAAAGAGCAACTGGTCGAAACACACCGGGAAAAAGAAGCCAATCGAATGCACTCACATGCGGATCCGACTCGCGCGATAAACGAACTCCAGCCATGTAAGGCTGCCTTCTTTGTTCTGCGTGATCTGTACTAACCCGGAGCTAGCGGCGATTGCGTTGGAGAAGTCGAATTTGGAGTCGTTACGCTCGTTACAGCATAAAGATCGCTATGGAAACGTTATCAGTGAGTCGCCGGTGGCATGTCTCGTTGCCTGTTTGTCGTTGTTGCTGATGGGGCCTTTTCATCGTGGTAGCGGACCCGGACCTGTCTAATCCGACGCGTCATCGTCTCGAGCGCCCTCTGGATACCATCCGTGCCTTCGAGGCTGCAATAGACGGAACATATGGCCGACGAATGTCATATATTAGAGGTATTTGCGATGACAAAGGCTGAATACCTGTAGTTTGGGGTGCTGATGATATCGCAGAAGATAGTGTCAATGGCCAGAGCCGTCCCACCAGTTTCTTTGGAGGTAAGGTTTCTCTGACATCGCGTTGCGGATCGAGTTGCTGACTAGCACCTCACGCAGACCCTCGAGGCAATCTCACCTATCCCTCTCATGGCTACAATGACCAGAACAGCTATTACAACCAACGACAATCAAGACAAGAGAGCTACGCCGACGGATACGGCAACTATGGCTACAATCAGTATGACCAGCAGCAACGTGGTCAACGCCAGAACCCACGGCAACAGAACGGCAATGGCTACGCGCAAAACGGTCAATACCAGTCCTATGACAGCCCCTCCGGCTCGGGGAACCAATCTATGGACCAGTTAGCGCAGTCAACAGACCCTAGCTCCCTCAGCAGCTCCAGAGACGCCATCCCACAGCAGCAGCAGAGAGGCGATGCATACGGCTTCAACGGATTCGGCGCAAATCCCCAGTTAGATTACAACCAGCAACCGTTCCAGTCTTCAAGTAACGGATCCTCGTCATATGCTGTCAATGGAGTTCGGTCAAATGGCGTCTACCCTGGTCAGAGTGGTGCCCCTACCGCTCCGCCTGCAGCCGCTACGAAGCCTCTTCCGTCAGACCCTTCACGGAAAAATTCATTCCTGAAGGGTTCAGGCGACAAGCGAAAGAGTTGGTTCAAGAGGTTTAGTCGGGGCTAAAGTCAGCTCAGGCTACTCTTTTTGTTTTTTTCCCTATTCTCCCCTTTTCTTGTTATAATTTGACTTGGTACCTGGCTTTTAAAGGTCGTTTGATGAAAAACAGCTGGAGAGGCGGGGGTGTCCATGCTACGAGATATGATTTCTCCTCTTACACACTCTACTTTTTTTTTTTTTTTTTTTGATTTTTTATTCAACAAAATTGATGGGAAAATGGATTATCGGATTGTTTTGAACTGGCATGGGGAAACTGGGAAAGGCTTGGGAGGGGGCATTTCTTTTGTGCTTTTGCTATGATTTATGCTACTTTGTCACAACCATTTGCATGATGCCTGGCCCTTGGAGGTGATGGCTACTCTTTGCCTTTATTTTAGGTGCAATGGATTTAAGTGATTATGGTCCTGGTAATAATATGTTGCCACACGTGATGGGAAACACTAATGCAGACTTGAAGAGCTAGGATAGGAAGATGTGCCTCTGCATTTATCAAACCAAATTTGGTGCTAATGAAAATTCACTGGTATACTAGTTATTTGTGCACACATATACATACAGTACATTTGAGTTGATTGATATAATAGAATTGCATACCCATAAGACCATCCCAACACGCGCCTCCCTACCAGAATGTCATGCAACCAAAGTCAATGTGCCCAAACAAACAAGAGACGCAGCAAAATGGCAGCGTGTGTCTCATTTTGTCTTCTTTTCTTCTTGCCCCTTCATCAGATCCCCGCGATCTTCCCGCACAGCCAGAATGATATATGAGATCAAGACAACGTTCGCCGTCAGGGCAGCGATGGCGCCAGAGTATGTGGTATTTCCCTCGAAAATATAGTTTTTGGAGTAGAAGTAAGCGGAGATGGGGAGGACGACAACAGCGATAGAGTACACGATGAGCTTCCATAGCACTTGGCTGGTGGTTGGGGGACGTTGTTAGCAACGGTGTGACGAAACAGGGTAAAGGCACACGTACTGCGGGTACCCGGGAACGTCTTGGAGTTGCATGGCTTCTTTTAGCGGAGCATCTTGAGCTGACAGCGCTTGTGCGGATGGAGTGGTGGACGTTGTGGTCTTCTCTGTGGCGGGGTTGCGACGGGTAGCCATGCTTGCGAGGTGAGGGTACGGGGTGAATCGCAGTGTTTTCAGCTTGAAGTTAGCAAAAGCAAGAGGCAGAAGATAGTTATATTTATATAGCCAAATTAAGAGCGCCCGGGGAATTTCCTGCCACCAACAGCCAACAGAACGCCAGCGTGGTATTTCATTTTGCGTCGCAACAAGCGCTGCGTGGAGCGGCCCGGGGGTGCAGCACGCGCGATTGGGGCCGCCCGGGCGTGGCTAGCCGCTTCAGGCTTAGGCGCTGATGCCCCGGGAAGCCGGGCGGTGCTTGGGCGCGAACAGACCGCGGCGTGGTGGCGGGCAGCGGTGGTTGGTGGTGGTATGTAAGGCGGCAGAGTGTGCCTGCGGACATGCCCTGTGTCCATGGAGCAGACACAGTATACCTACGAGAATACAGAGGCAGACTTCTTCACGCTCCTACAACGTCTTGACGGCGCTTCTGCTCTGCCGCGCCAAAAACCACTTCCAGTCACCTGACAGCGCGTCTGGCGGCCTACGCGCCGCCACTCACCGCATTGGCGCCGACCAGGGAAGCAAAAATTCCCATTCCAGACTTCTCTCCGGATCATACCGGCTACGGCCCCCCGTCAACGCCCCCGGAAGCAGGTTTCGAGATAAATCTCTATTACGTATAGCATTTCCTACTGAGTTGTCTTGTTTCTCTCTTTGTTCTTTCATACCCCCTAAGACGATCTCCAGCATCTACACATCGAATAGCGTTGCCCAGGAGTTCCAGGCACCATGATAGACCGAATACCCGATACTCCCATTCGCAGGAGTACTCATCTTGAGGACTCACTGTCACAGGGTGCAGAGGATTCTGAGTTTGAAACGGTTGCGACCGTTCCGCTTTACCAGCACTTGCAAGCGACAACACAAGGCTCTACTGTTCCAACACAACCTCTGCACACTCAAAAAACCACACAACCCACACAAATAATTGAGCGAATCACACCTCAAAAATCTTCTCCTCTTAAAAATGCTTCCATAGTTCAAGTTGCTACTTCCTCTCCACTTGCACCTCACTCCTCGTTATCTCGCTATCCCTTCTCAAGGCCTGGAGCTCTATCTACTGCCATTGCACCTCCTGGCACCCGTTTCAAACCTCCTGCCATGGCTGCTCCTGTGAGAAGACAGCCCATCCTAGACGATGAGGGCCCTACCTATCGTGGTGGTTCCTCAGATGAAGATGATTTCCGCCTCAGCGCTATTGATATAAAACCGTCCACCTTCACCAATATCTCCAAGAGCTTCGAAAAATATCGAGTCGCTGAGTCCCCTGTGGCACTAAGTAACACAGCCAAGTTCAAAGAGATCACAGCCTCTGCATTTTATAACCCCGCTGCACCCAAAAGCCAAGGCAAACGTGAGGCCGATGCTGGTAATGCGATCGTACAGGCCCCGACCACCAAAAGACCCCGAAATAGTCTTGATTCCCCTTCCTTTGAAGCTTTCGCTCTTGCCGATATCGAAGACTACAATGTTCGAACCAAAATTGAACGGATCCGCCGAATTTTTCCAAACAAGTCAGTTGAAGTCTGTCTTCAAATTCTGCTGCTGAAGAAAGGGAACTATGAAGATACAATTGATCATATTGCCACTCTCCAGGATCCTGCTACTGTGAATCTTACTTCTGACGATGAATTGAGTCTCGATAACAACTCTGCCCCAGCGGCTGGGCCGGTTGTTGCCGCCAAACAGCAGATCAAGGCTGGAACCCGTATCCAAGACAAATGGGCAGCTACCCAGCGAGTTCCTCAACAGCCAAAAGTTGCAGAGCCATCGATACGCCGACGGTTGATAAGAGGAGCTAGATCTCGTCGAAATTCTCCCAGCCCTTCGCCAGCTGCTACACAAACTACCAGAATTGGAAAAATGCCTGGAAGACTAGTTCAAGGCAAAAAGCGCGTTTCTAAATCCCCGTCATCGTCTCCCGGAGTATCCCATATTGATTCTGATTCGGATTCGGATCCCGTCTCCGAAAAAGCTGCGGACGACGGCACCTTGCTAAATAAAGTCCTGAACTTCTTCAACACATGCTCTTTGGAGGATCTCACTGATATTGCGGAACTCACCCCAGATGTTGCTGAGTGTTTTGTATCTAGCCGCCCTTACGTTACACTTGCGCAGGTCCGTATGATTTCCGCGAACGAAACGCCAGCCAAGGACACCAAGGCACGAAAGCCTAAAAAATTGATCGGAGATAAAATCGTTGATAAGTGTCTCGATATGTGGACTGGTTACGAAGCCGTTGATGCGCTTGTGAAACGCTGTGAGGCGTTGGGTAAGCCTATTGCCGACGAAATGAAGAGCTGGGGCATCGATATTTTTGGTGCAAAGAAGACAGGGGAGTTGGAAATGGTTTCCTTAGACAAAATTAGCTCTTCTCATGACTCCGGTATTGGGTCACCTTCCTCGAGCGCCAGTGGAAACGAGTTCACTAAAAAGAAATTTATCGGACAACCATCGATTATGAGTGAGAATATCAAGATGAAAGACTATCAGATTGTTGGAATTAATTGGCTGAATTTGCTTTTTGAGCAGAACCTCAGCTGCATCCTAGCTGACGACATGGGATTGGGCAAGACATGTCAAGTCATTGCATTTTTGGCTCATCTGTTCGAGACGGGCGTCCGCGGGCCTCATCTTGTGGTCGTTCCATCATCTACCTTGGAGAATTGGCTTCGTGAATTTTCAGTATTTTGTCCAAAGTTGAACGTCATGCCCTACTACGCTGGTCAGAACGAACGAGCCAACATTCGGTTGCAGATTCAAGATGAGCGTGATAACATCAATGTTGTCATTACCACATACACAATTGCAAAAGCCAAGCATGATGCCTCCTTTCTGGCATCTATGGGTTTCTGCGCTTGCATTTTTGATGAAGGGCACATGCTAAAAAGCAGTAAATCGCTGCTCTACAATAAACTTATTCGAATTCCTGCACGCTTCCGTCTATTACTGACGGGGACTCCACTGCAGAATAATCTGCAGGAGTTGGCATCGCTTCTAGGCTTTATTCTTCCCCAGGTCTTTAGGGAGCGAAAAGACGATCTTGACCACATATTCAGCGCAAAGGCCAAAACGATTGATGTTCACTCTACTTTACTCTCAGCCCAGCGAATTGCACGGGCCAAGTCCATGCTTACCCCGTTCGTCTTGCGACGCAAGAAGCATCAGGTGATCGATCTGCCGCCTAAGATCGCCCGTGTGGAATACTGCACGATGAATGACGCGCAGAAGGAGATATACCAATACCAAACTGATATGGTGCGCGAGATCCTTGCAGATCGTGCAGCCGGGAAAAAAGTCGGGAACAAGACCACCAATATTCTTATGAAACTACGCCAGGCAGCGATCCATCCCTTGTTCTATCGACGAATCTACGACGAGAAGACCTTGAGTCGAATTGCAAAGGCTTGCGTGAAGGACCCTAAATGGGCCATGTCCGATCCTGATGCAATTTACGAAGAGTTGCTGCCGTACAGTGACTTTGAATGCCATACACTGTGCTCAACTAATCCTGATTCGCTGGGTAAATTTGCACTGAAGAATGACGAATGGATGAACTCGGGTAAAGTGGAGAAGCTACGTGGCCTCCTCCAAACGTACATTGAGAATGGCGATCGCGTCTTGATATTCTCGCAGTTCACGATGGTCATGGACATTCTTGAACAGGTGCTCGAGACCCTGCATATCCGCTTTTTCCGCCTGGATGGAACGACTTCGGTGGAGGACCGTCAGTCTATTCTTGATGCGTTCTACGAACAAGTCGACATTCCCGTGTTCATGCTCTCCACGAAGGCGGGCGGCGCTGGCATCAACCTCGCATGTGCAAATAAGGTGATTATCTTCGATTCGAGCTTCAACCCCCAGGACGACATCCAAGCCGAGAACCGTGCACATCGTGTGGGGCAGACGCGGGAGGTGGAAGTGGTGAGATTGGTGACCAAGGACACGATTGAGGAGAAGATTTATGCACTGGGACAAACGAAGTTGGTACTTGACCAGCGTGTTGCTGGCGAGGAGGACGGCGGAAAGAAGGGCGAAGAAGTGGGCATGAAGGTGGTGGAAGCAATGGTGATGAAGGATCTAGCTTTGAACGCGGAGAGCCCGGCATCTTAGCAAAGAAGTGCAATAGATCGGAAATCGGCTGTTTGCGAATCCTACGGAATTACGGACTGACTGACTCGTGAGGAAATTCCCTGAAATTGCCTGTTTGCCTGGCTATTTTCCCGTGTCTCTCGGATCTCGTGTTTTGATATGCTGCGATGTGCTAGATTCCCTGCCCAATTTCCCCCGTTATGACACTCCACTGTCATATTCTCCTACACACTTTCCGGCGCAATTTTCTGCTTTTATCGGTTTTTATTATTGCATAGCCTGCGTCGAGTCTCTGGAACAATCCGCAAGCCTGCATACACTTGACATCTGCCTCGTTTTTGTTTATTGCCTGATTGAGACAGCCTTGATGCGCCCGACTTCTGTATCATTATCGTCTAACGGGCCTAGACTAGATCAACTAATACATAGAGCGAAAAAAATACAACTAACCGTACTACGACAACGCTATGTGTGTCTCGCTCTTCGTGTTTCTTTCTTGCCCGTCTCTTCGATCTCGGTTAGCTGCCCCCCCCCGGCCGGCACGCCGCCGTTTCTCTCGTCTAGAAGCTGCTTCGGAACGCCGTGCGTTTCCCCGCTAGCAGACAGAATAGGAAGATGCCATGGGGATTCCTGCGGACAAGAAAGCGAAGCGGCCCCGCATTCACTCCTGCCGCAGCAATGTTAGTATACGCATGGCTCTTCGACCTTCCATAATGAAATAAAACTACTCCGTACTGGATGTCTATTGTAAAAGAATAATAATAATGGGCCGATCCTCCTCTCTCACCTGCCCACAGTTATTTTTGTTTGGGGGCGGGAATTCTTTGTTAACTTACATCCCTGGCGAGAGGGTGGATTCCTTCAGAAGCTTGAGTGCCATTTCGATTTCGTTTCTCCGCTTGGAATGCTACTCCTGGGGTAAAAAACTAACTACCCCGTACGGAGTACACAAGAATGTCCGTCCATGTTTCGCAGTCGCACGTTATGTAGCTATGCCAGGACGGGGGGTATCCCCGTTTCTTCTGGTCTTGAGGGGTTAAGGTTCCGGAGGATCTGAATGATGAAGATGAGGAGGAAAAATGATGATGTCGAAGAGATTATCTCTACTGAGAGAACGTGGAATGCTACTGCAAGCAAACCATCCTTAGTTCTACAGCTGTTGTGCGGTGGGTGGGATGTAGGCCAGCTCGAGGAAACGTTCTCTGCTGCGCGGATGGTGAGTTCCAGAGAGCTGATTCTGACGTCCAGAGGGCGACGCAAACACATCCGCAATGTCATTATTATTGGGCCTTACATTGGCCCCCTGTTCTCTCGTCCTTTTTTCTCCGCATTCCACTTGGTCTCACCCGGAGACTCAGCCAAGTATCACCAATTGCGCGTCCCTTCACGGCCATCGGGTACAGCCGGTCGATTGAGTTGCTCGGAGGGTCATCTCTCTGTCTCTGTCTCTACTGTCATGCTGTGTGTCTCCATCCCGTCATCGCCTGTCTCAGTGTATGCGGGATGTCACTGTGAGGAAGGCTTAGGCTGCAAGGAGGATCGATCTCCCAGCCGCGGTGGCGGAAGAATAGTTATCCTCTGACCGCTGTGTGCGGACAAGACAAGATGATGTGATGAACAGCAGCCGGTGTCTCAATGCTGGGCTGACGGTTATGATATAGCTAGATAATCCTCTGGTGCTGGCGGCTGTAGGCACATGTATAAGGAAATGGCGCGCTTGACGTTTCGTCGAGCCGGTGTTTTAGCATCGAATAGTTCGCAAAGCCAATGCTCCGTACTTAATTTCGACTTCGTTAACTCTCGCCGGAGCGAGCAAGGCTGTGTCGATCCGCCCGGGGCGTGAATGGTCAATAGCCGCGCCTCTAGCAGCTGGGCTGGGAGTTGTATTCCTCAAGTCCTCGAGCCAGCCGAGCAACGCGGATCCTTCGATTACTCCGTATGTAACGGCACGACGGAGTAACTACATCGACAACAACGACAGCAACAACCCCGCTTGGCCTGCACAGGCGCTCTCACGCCCTTAGCGAACGAACCAACGAGTTAACTACTCGCACACCTAGTAGTTATACGCGGACGGAGACAAGAGAGAGGGAGAGACGGGTGGGAGACCAGGACCTCGGCCACCCGCACGCGCCAAAGCCAACGAGTCAACGCGCCACCCTTGCTGTTGTCACCTGCGGGGACAAGCCCGGCGCTGGCGCGAACCCGAAGATCCTCCAGAAGATTATTTTATTTGCGGCCGGCGTGTTTCTCCCGCCAGGCCAGCGTCGATCCGGGGCTTGCTGGAGCTCGTCCGCGGCGATGAAACGTCACACCTTGGCGCCGGGGAGATTATGCTGGAAATGATCCAGAGTCGGGGCTTGCCTGGCTGCCATTGCGAGGGGCTCCCTGGCCGTGCGGTTCGTGCTCGGTTGCGCTGGCGCTGGCGCTGGTGCTGTTGTTGTTGTTGCTGTTGCGATTGCTGGCCAGACCTCGTGCACGCTGGACTGCTCTTGATCCCGACGGCGCCTCTTGTCATCAGGCCTCTCTTACTCTCTCTCTCCCCCAAGCTCGCTGGCTCGTATTCTGCTCTGTCTTGATCGACGACGTGGCTTGACCCGCCCGTGGTACGGAGTACAGCTCACCTCCACCCATGTCGCTCGCGACGCCTTCCTTCGGCGTGGCAAGCCCGTCGTACATTATCATGAACTCCGCCTTCTGGAAGAAATCCTCAAGAATACTAAATAATACTAGTAATATTACTTGGTTCTGAGCCAGCATAAAAATGTTGGGCGACTGCCTGCTTCCCCACTGCTGGGCAGGAGTGGTGTGCGGCCACAACAAGCGTTGAATACGGCCGACGGGGCTGCTAATCTTACTTCTCCCGAAAATCGACCCTATCCTGACCACGGTGTTTATTTTCCGGGTAATGAACGGACCTGCCAAGAGCCTTCCAGAAGCAACAGGGTAGGATTGACTCTCGCGCGCTGGCTGTCGTTCAGCTGCCATCACGGGCTGCGCGAAGTCTATATCGTACTTCGACCAGGTACCGCAGCACTCGTATCTCTGGGGCGCCAGGGAAACCTCCCCTCGTGATCCACGCTAGGAGCCCTTTCAGGGCAGCACGCCAATTGGCATTATTGTGCTCTCGCCGGCCCGGCTTTTCTTTTATTTTCTTTTACGCGGAGTCTGGGGTAGGATTTGTGCATGGAGTCTGGCCTGGCCGTCTGGGCAGCTCTCAATATCCCCTCAGTCCCGGCAGAGGACGGCCATATTCGGCGGCCGGACATGCAATAATAATAATACCAGTTTTCTAGTGGCTACGCGAATCATGGCGCCGCGTCTCCCAGGAGAACTTAAGATGAGCTGTTCCCCAGAGAATTCCTCTCCGGACTGGTTTTTTTTTTCCCCCTGTGTGACCAGGAGCAATACCCGTTTCCTCCCCTCTCCTGTCTGCCAGTTGACATTCTACAACCATGAAGACAACAGGCTACTTGGCTGTGGGCGCTGCCCTTGCTTCCTCCGTTGCTGCCGCCAGCTTTGAGGACCGCTTTTTGGCAAAAAGACATCATGACCTCGTCAGCCACGTACGTGCAATTTCTCCACGGTTATTGTGTGATCCGGAAAAAAGCTAACGCTCTCATTTAGGATGCTTTGATGGCCAAGATTAACCTCAAAGACTTGAAGGATGGCTTGAGCAAGCTCCAGGAGTTTGCTGATAAGGACAACCATACACGTGTCTTTGGCGGCCCAGGCCACAAGGCTACCGTTGACTACCTTGTACACGAACTTAATAAGCATGGGTACTACAAGGTGGAGGCTCAGGAACACAAGCAACTCCGCACCAAGGGTCAGCAGAGCTTGACGGTCAATAATGGCCAGCAAATCCCATCCATTGCCTTTACCTTCAGCCCTTCCGCAAATGTCTCCGGAAACCTTATCGCCGCCAGTAATCTCGGCTGCAATGCTGTACGAGCCCCTACCTGATTAGGTTGATGGATAGCCATGAGCTGATACTGCATTACAGACCGACTACCCACCCGAGACAGATGGAAAGATTGTTATCGTCGAGCGTGGAGTCTGCACCTTTGTTGAGAAGCAAACGGCCGCGACCAACGCCAAGGCAAAGGCTTTGATTCTCTACAACAATGGCCCCGGTGACCTTCGTGCCAGCCTCCAGAACCCCCACCCACCAGGCATTGCTGCCGTTGGTGTGACCAGAGAGAATGGCTTGAAGCTTCTTGAGTTAGCCAAAGCCGGCAAAGCGCTCGCCCATCTTTTCGTCCACACCGAATATCTCAACTTGACCACGTACGTGCTGGTTTTTGCTACTCCTTAGACCATTATGCATACTGACTGATTTGTTTCTAGTTGGAACGTCCTTGCTGAGACCAAGGAAGGTGACCATAACAATGTCATCGTGCTTGGTGCTCACACCGACTCTGTTGAAGCCGGCCCAGGTATCAATGACGATGGATCCGGCACGATTGCTCTCCTCAACATCGCCAAAGCCCTCGCTAAGTTCAAGGTCAAGAACGCCGTCCGCTTCGGTTTCTGGACCGCTGAAGAATTCGGTCTCCTCGGCTCCCGATACTACGTCAACAACCTCTCGGAGAAAGAGCTGGCCAAGATCCGCCTGTACTTGAACTTCGACATGATCGGCTCCCCCAACTACATGTTGGGCATCTACGACGGTGATGGCAACGCTTTCAACAAGACTGGTCCTCCTGGATCTTCTGAGATCGAACATTTCTTCGAGAAATACTTCGACGACCTAGGCTGGCCCCATGTTCCTACTGAATTCAGCGGCCGCTCTGACTACGAGGCCTTCATCAAGAAGAACATCCCCTCTGGCGGTCTCTTCACTGGCGCCGAAGGCCGTAAGACTGCCCAGCAGGCTAAACTCTTCGGCGGCGAGGCTGGTGTAGCCTACGATGTTAACTACCACCTCCGCGGTGACACCACTGCGAACATCCACCACGGTGCCTTTCTCTTGAACGCTCGTGCTGCTGCCTATGCTCTCGCCGAGTATGCCCTTAGCACTTCTGCTCTTCCACCCAAGGCAGAGCCTCCCACTGCCCGCGCTTTCTACGACGGTGATTTGCTTGGAATGTGCGTGGAGGCCGCTTGCGAAATTTAAAAGCACCTCCTGTTAATGCTCTTCTTTTGTTGTTATGACCCAATAAACTTTTAAATGTCTTTCTCCTCGTCGGTGCACTGGCGTGTATCTATATGAGAGTTGTTATATACCACATGATGGTCTTAGATTGGCCCAGTTTATCGAGCAGGTATTGCTCCCCCTGAGGAAACGCATTTTTACGGTCGTTTCCCCGTCTTTGTATATAGTGGAAACATTTAAATTCTAAAGTAAAGAATAGACAGATGAGTCATGACGACTTCCTATCTTTCACCTTTTTCTATACTATTGTTCAAATGGTGGAGATAATCGCATTAATAAAAATACATGAGACACGGAACGCGCGGGCCAAAGCGCTTTCTATATACATTTAGATGTATTTCAAGGACCTTTTCAACTGCATACCGCATTAGAAACACCTCCGCGCCAACCCAACCCGCGAAAAAGTAATGAAATGCTCCTTGAATGCGAAATAGCCTGCGAAAACGGTGCGCCGGGGAATAACAAATGGGCAATTTCTCTTTTCGTAAGCGTTAAAGGTGTACAGAAGAAGCCCTGTAGTTACTCATACTATCGAGTGAAAGGGCAGGAGCCTTCGATCATACGATTAAAGGGCCAGTGGGCGCATGTACGCTCCTCGGAATATTTGAAGTAGCATCTGAAGCAGAGGCAGGCTTGTTGGTAGTTTGGCTGGTGCGAATAGGGCCAGTGCCGCTACCGTCAATATTAAGCTGGGTAGGGTATTTGAGGTTAATGGATTTCCCTAGTACACCGCCGCCAGCAGCCTTTGCACTGCTGTTTTCTTCCATAGCTTTCAGGACTGCAGGGCTTTTTGAACTAGCGTCATGTACGCGCTGCTGGGATGTTCCAAGAATCTCGTCGACTTGAGCTGCTCTGGAGATCAGATCTTCGAATCCCAGTATAGTCACACAGTCCTCATATGTTTTGGATCTTTTCGCTTCCCCATAGCCCCTTTCTTTACCTGGAATCAATTGATTGAGCAGGAATTTTGTGTTGCCCCATCTATTTTCACATTGCAGTGCTGCCTCAACGTAGGATCGAACTAGATCCCGCCAGTATGCAAGACCGCCGTCGGCTTTGGATCGGAAACAGGAAAAGTTGGACTCGGCAGACGTTGCGATCATGGCTCCGTCGACGCCGTACTCGCGGATCAACTCAAGCGCTTCATCGCGCGACTTCACGTCTCCATTCATAACACAAGCCACGCCTGCTTTTCGACAAATCGATGCAATCATGGGCAGCTGCTGACGAATAGCAGCTTCGCGCGGACGCATCGGAGTCGTGCGGCAATGCACAGTGAGACCGGTTATACCGGTTTTGCAGAGTCGTGTGACGAGTGATTCTGTCCGTTCGGGGTCCGAGAAAAGACGGATTTTCACAGATATTCCAACTTCATAGGGCTTACCGACTTCTTCAACCAGGGCTTCGAGAATAGAGACGAGTTTGTCTGGGGTTTGGAGAAGTGCGGCGCCCATGCCTCCGCTAGTGCTGAAGGGTTTAGGACAACCCGAGTTCACATCTATTCCAGAGACATCAGCGGCAACAACCTTTGCAGCTTCCACAGCCAATGGCGGGGATGCAGTGCCCAGTTGAAAGATCAATTTTCCCTTCTCCCGCACGGGGTCAATCCTGTATATCACAGATTGCTGCGTCGGCTTGTCTGGCTGGCCGCCATTCGACGGGGTGCGTGTGAATTCGATCATCGAAGTGCGAGGGTTAACACGCCGATGTGCGCCAATCAGGGCACGGTCGATAGTTTCGGGGCCCCATACCAAGTCTGCGCCGTACTTAAGGGAGACGAGTCGCGACGGGGTTTCTCCAGAGCGGACCATGGGAGCGAGAACGACCTTGCCCCGGTAGTCCACCCCGTTTTTGGGAATGGGAACACGGGGTGCTGCCTCTGTAAAGGACGTCATGATGGCGCGAATGAGTCTGAACATGACATTGTCAGCTGAGCTAGAAGGCTGGCGGTCGCAATGAAACTTATCGTGAAGAAGTTGAGATGCGGGACCGTGGAGTGCCGCTTTATTCGATTACATAATGGAATTTTATTGCACGTGATAATACGCGATCACCTGACCTGATAGATGACTAAGACTGCCTGTGACATCAGATTAGATAAGAGGCAGTGATAGAGCCAAAAGAGGAAGTCCAGATTGAGGCGAGACAAAGCCTGAGCGTGGCGGCGGGAGCGGCGGCGGCCTGCAGTAGCGCTTCGTGCGATTTGTAAGATTGCGCTATAGACAGCCTCTTATGGAGCAGCGGGAGCTGGTGTAACCTCACCGGGCTGGGGAATCAAAGCAAAAATACGGGGCGAGATATCATATTTTGGGTCTGTGGGGAAACGGTTAGGAATGTGGTTCTAGACACTTTTGATACCGGACAGAAATTGCACTAAGGCGTCTAATATCATGAGGAAGCAACTAAGGGCAGCTTGGAGAGCTTCAAAGCGTTGAATTGACTCGAAAAGAAGGGGCATTCGTCTAGATCAACCACCCATGCACACGAAGCCACATGGAAATGAAGCCAAGTACGACGGAGTATGCCTGGGCTCAACACACCCTTGCATCCCCTGCATTTATAGAAGCCAGAAATTCCAAACATGTTTCGCCAAGACACAATGCATTATTGAAATACCAGAGGTCAAGAGTCCGTCTCTCACTCACGATTCCAGCCGGAACTTGGTGCCGAGATATGCTCTCGTATGAAGCTTTATTCAAGAATTGGAGGACGGCTCAACTGTGTCTTGGTATGCCTTTGTGCGAAGTGTCCATCTGCGATAACTTGGTCAGACTGGACGCCTGCCTGCACGGACGATACTACATGAAGCCTTGCTCCCCTGCAACGCCTATAGATAATGACGGGATCGACGGTAAGTATCCTTGACGGCGGTTGGCAGAGATCTCATTGTTATTACTTTGCCTGCACATGGAGCACCGATTTGGCGCAGCCGACACCGTATTTCTCTGAGGATTGGCCGCGGCACCCTTGCCGTTTCGACGGTGGTTGATCCCTGTTTGACCCTGGAGGGAAGACTCATCTTCAGAATGCTTCAGAAAGACACAGTTGTCCGGCATTGTTGTCGTAACTGCTGGCCGTGCTATCTTCGAGAGTAATGTTTTCCGCTGGCCTCGGTTTAAGGGGGCGCCTAGAGAAGTTAGTGAATTAGCTCGCCATCTTGACTAGAAACAGTTTTTTCGGCGACGAACCGCGAGGTCTTCGCATCGCAGAAGCAAGTTTCTCGGCCCAGGAACGTGGGCCGACGGCTAAGAGCCCGCGGATTACATAGAGCTCAGATCCAGATCCTCAGCACCAACCTCTTGCAACTCCCGACTCATTCTTCGCCCGCCAGAGTCGATGTCGCAACTGCTGTGGACCGTTAGTGCGCTTGAATGCCAATTGACCAAGGTTCCGCTCTTCGCATCTCCCCCGGTCCGGCCCAGTAGAGCCAGAGCATTGTTTTCACCGCTCTGTCGAGCATTCTCCTGTTTCACTGGTTTGAGCACCGCCTGTCACCCTGCAGTCCTGGCGCGCTCATCTTCCCCTGCCCGCGGTGCAGCGCTGCACGGCACCCCGTTTCTTGGAACGGCGACGACTAAGCTGCCCCCCACTAACTCTCGCGCAATTTGCACGCCCTGCCCCTCCTCTTCCTCTCCCTCTTCGCCGCCTCACACTCTCCGTTTCACTCCCTCTCCCTCTCATCATCCGTCCTCTTTATCTTCTGGCCGGCCTCTAGCATCGTCTGCCGCCAATCGTGCCTCTCTTCTCTCCCGCCACTTCTCCTCGTCTCCCAGCTGCTCCTCTTCGGGAAACACCACCATGTCTGAATACAACGTCCGCCGGATCGGCCAGCCAAACTCCCTTGAGTATCGCGCGTACATCGAGAAGGATGGCGTCCCAGTCTCCCCTTTCCATGATATTCCTCTTTATGCCAACGAACAGAAGACGATCCTGAACATGATTGTTGAGATCCCACGCTGGACAAACGCGAAACTCGAGGTATGGTGTCGCATTACCCATCTCTCTGTGAAGCACTCGAGTAGTGTCGGCTGACAATATAATTTTTGTAGATCTCCAAGGAGGAATTTCTTAACCCTATCAAGCAGGACATCAAGAAAGGCAAGTTGCGATTTGTGCGCAACTGCTTCCCACACAAAGGTTATCTCTGGAACTATGGTGCATTCCCGCGCGTAAGTTTCCACACTCTCTTGATGCTATTTCCTCAATTGAGGAGGAGTTTACAACAGGCATCACGTGTTAACCAGTTTGTGTTATCGCTCTGAGCAGACCTGGGAAGACCCCAATGTTATTCACCCTGAGACCAAAGCTAAGGGTGACAACGATCCTCTTGATGTCTGCGAAATTGGCGAACTTGTTGGCTACACTGGCCAGATCAAACAGGTCAAGGTTTTGGGTGTGATGGCCCTCCTTGACGAGGAAGAGACTGACTGGAAGATCATCGTCATTGACGTGAATGACCCTCTCGCCAGCAAGCTCCACGATGTTGAGGATGTTGAGCGTCACCTCCCTGGCCTTCTTCGAGCTACCAACGAATGGTTCCGTATCTACAAGATCCCGGATGGCAAGCCTGAGAACCAGTTTGCTTTCTCTGGCGAATGCAAGAACAAGAAGTCGGTTTTACCTAGATGCTCACTATTCTCCAAAACTCTAACGGATTCAATTTAGATACGCGATGGAAATTGTCCATGAATGCGCCGATGCTTGGGAGAGACTTATGTCTGGCAAGTCGCCTCGTGGTGAAATGTCCCTGTAAGTTATTTTTGTACCCATCGCTTGAAGATTTCCAAATACTAGTAACTAATTTTATACCACAGCGCCAACGCCACCGTCGAAAGCTCCGCGGACCGCGTTGACTCGAGCAAGCTTGGCTCCATCCCAGCTGGTCAAAATCTTTCCCCTGCTCCAATTGACGGCAGTGTTGACAAGTGGTTCTTTATCTCTGGTGCTGCTGTCTAAATACACCTTTTGACGTGCATGTAGCCAGTTTAGCTGTCCATGTCAAATGGGATTTGTATCAATTCTCCCACTTATTCGTCTGGAAAAGCTCCTTGGGATTATCCACTTTTTAGGAGAAGGGAGTTGTCGATAGATGAGAACTGCCTTTTGCAGAACGAAAATAGTTAAAAATTGTCAAAATACAACCATACCTCTTTCATAGATGGCGGCGGCTTTGTCTTGTGGCCGGAGGCCTGGTTGACCTATATTTTCCTATGTAACACCCCTGTTCTCTGTGAATGAAGGCACCGGTCAACGCCACTCTACTCATGCTAATATTCTGCGATGGCATAAGACACGCTCATCTCTGAATGCTGAGCCTTCAAATAGCACACAATCAACCACTAGTTATCAGTTCATCTTGGGAACAACTCCCAAATCACAGTTATGTAAAAGGGGTAACAAAAATATGGATTTTTTAGATAACCAATATCACATTTCAAACGGGGTAAGATGGTGATTTCTATAAAATCAATGTATTCATAAATGCTTGCCTTGCAAAAAACCAATTCTTTAATTGCAAGATGCGGATGGCGTAATGCTGGCCGCAAATGTCATTAACCTTTCAAACTCTCCTCTTTCTCAATTGCTCTCCCCACCCGTCCTAATTCTTCTAATATATCACTAATTTTCATGCGATTCTTTCCAACTTCTAGTTTTAACTCTTTCCCATTGCGAAATCCAATTGTCATTTCGGGTAATTGGGGACTGTCTCGGGGTAATTTTGTGACAGAAATTTTGATATGCGAGCTGCCGGAAGCCGATGCTGTTAAGGGTGTTTGTAGAATAGAGAGTAGTAGCCGGCATGGCTTGGAGAGTGGAGAGAAGGGCGAAAAGGAGGTGCGGAAAGACGCGATGGTGGAGAGTGGGAGAGCCATCGTGCAGGGTTTTGTATGGGAGTGAGAGCTGTAGGGAGATGCACTGCTAGAATGAAAAGTTAGTAGAGTATTGGGCGACAGATTAACCGAGCAAGGCTGTCCATACCTGCACGGAATATTCAGCTTGCACTCAGAGCCGATTCAAGCCCTGGATCTAGTCTTACTAGACCAGTATGTATAGTGTAGAGGGTGGAGATCGTAAGTATTTCTGATGGGGTAGTCAAATATCCAATGAAGGGATAGACCTTATATAAAATTCTAGAGTAGGTATCGATGGTATGTATTTGGGGAACTCCGCTTCTCGAATGCGGTCGCATAGAACATTGTTGCTTGGAAAATTAGAGGAATTGGCGTTGAGGGCGAAATGTTTGCACCTTTGCCAAACAGCCAGTTTATCAAGTTGTTGGCTGCAACTTGACATCTCTGAGGAATTCAACATTCATACGTCGGAAATCAAGTCTTGTTCAAAGAATCATATTATGTATTACTCAGACCTTTATTAAGAAGTAGGAATTCTAAAAGTTCTACAGCTGCCCTTCACACCATGACCTCGTTACCCCTTCAGCGCCGTCTCGCGTCCCTCTCTACCACCCACAGACAGACTATTCCATTAATACGGCGGTTACAAAACTGGTGCGCTACCCCAGGTCAAGGTGATGAAGCTCGCGTTGAGCTTGGTGCGGAGATCCATCTCCGATTAAAAGAAATGGAGGACGAAATGGAGCTTCTGAGAGTGGACATTGAGCCGCTAGAAGCGGGCTGCGGCAGAAAGAGAGAAAATGAGGAGAAAGAAATGGAGAGGGAGAGGATATTGACTATGACGAGAAAGTTGGAGTCAGATATGAAAAGGTTCGAGACAAAAGGAACTAAGAGTCCACGTTCTATATATCGTAAACCCTGACTTTCTCTACGTCTATGTAGTGCGCGAACACAGTTTCGAAAAGCTCAAATACAAGCGAAACGAAATGCTGAAATAGCTAAGCAGAAAGAAAGGCAGCTGCTGTTTTCGGGGATCGGTGAAGACGGTGTGTCACGCAAGAAAGCATCGCTCAAGCTGACGCACGACGATCTGGTGGTCAGCGCATCGAACGACGTCACCGCTGCACTCCGACGAACTCATCAGCTTATGCAGTCTGAGCTTTCAAGGAGCCAATTTGCACAGCAGACACTAGGTAACCATATCTCAGCAGGATACATTCGTAGAAGTGGGAGACTGACTGCAACATGAATACAGAGCAATCCACTGCAGCATTGAACTCTTTGTCGGAATCATATAGCCAACTGGATACCCTTCTCGCTTCCTCGCGTTCACTTGTAGGTTCCCTTCTGCGCTCACAAAAATCAGATACCTGGTATCTAGAAACGGCTTTCTACATACTGGTCGGAACAATAATATGGCTTGTTTTCAGAAGAATATTATATGGGCCTCTTTGGTGGTTGCTATGGATTCCACTTAAGATGGCGTACAGGGTGATGTTTGCAATACTGGGAACCGTAGGCTTACCCGGGGCTGTTGAGAAAGGAGCTCTGAGTACAGAGCCTTCAGTCAGCTCTGTATTACCGACAACGTCGCTTGCGACGGCTTTTCCTTCTGGCATAACCGAGGGAACTGGCACCCAGATGCCACAAGAATCACCTACAATGCAGCCTGGAAGCACGTCAAGGCAAATAGAAAAGATGATTAAAGATAGGGATGAAGAAGAGCGTCGGCTTCGAGACAATGATGTCACGAATGTGGATGACGTTTCGCCCGAAGAGAGGAAACGACAAGAGGGAATGCCACGAAACTCGAAAAAGAGAATGTGGGAGGAGAATATCACAGATACAGTAGAGAAAGATGAATTATAGCCGTAGTCCCATAATCAGATAACTGTCTACTCCTTTCGCCGACCTTGACCAGGCGAATTAGTTGTGTCACGTGATAGACGCGTCCAGGCGCGACTTTAAACAAATCAGTAGTCGTGAACATGATCAAGCAGTTAATACGGACTACTCCGTAGACATTTCGCTTTCACTGTACCCTAACTGGGGTTTTACCTGTGGGTCTTAATATAACAACATGGCATCCAATTTCTTCAGCAATAAGGCTCGAGCTGCTGCTGCAGCTAATGCGGCAGCCTCAAAATTGAAGTCCACAGAAGACCTAGTGGACAATTCGAGGCTTCAACCCTGGGTTGAGAAATAGTAAGCTCTCCACCTGATTTCTCCCATACTAAGAAGCCTAACTTGTTCTTTAGTCGCCCTAAGACTCTTGATGATGTAGCTGCGCAAGATCATACTATTACTGTCTTACAGCGGACGTTACAAGCTTCGAATGTATAGCTTTCTCACAGACCCAGTCTAACATTAAATGCTGATATATCTACCGAGCATAGCTTCCTCATATGCTTTTTTATGGCCCTCCTGGCACAGGAAAAACCTCCACTATTCTCGCCCTGGCCAAATCCCTTTTCGGACCCAAACTCTACCGTTCACGCATCCTGGAGTTGAACGCTTCCGACGAGCGAGGTATTAATATCGTCCGAGAAAAAATCAAGGATTTTGCTCGAATTCAACTCTCCCACCCACCTGACCAAGACTCAGAGTATAGAAAGCAACACCCATGCCCGCCATTCAAGATCATTATCCTCGATGAAGCAGATAGCATGACACAAGACGCTCAGTCCGCCTTACGCCGCACCATGGAACGATATTCAAAAATCACGAGATTCTGTCTTGTGTGTAACTATGTCACAAGGATTATTGACCCCCTAGCTAGCAGATGCAGTAAATTTCGATTCAAGGCCTTAGACGGGTCGGCAGCAGGCAGTCGGTTAGAAGACATTGCAAGAGCGGAGAACTTAAAACTAGAAGATGGAGCCGTAGAAGCGTTGATTCGGTGTAGCGAAGGTGATCTGAGAAGGGCGATTACTTATATGCAGAGTGCTGCAAGACTGATCGGATCAGGGGGAAACAGGAAAGATGAAAATGGCGATGAAGAAATGAATGATGCGGGTGTATCAAAGCCTATTGATGTCCGAACTGTGGAGGAAATTGCTGGCGTTGTTCCTGATATTGTTGTCGATGGACTAATCGAAGCTATGCAACCCAAAAGAGGACATTCTGTGTACGAAAAAGTTGCAAAGGCAGTAACAGACATTGTGGCCGATGGCTGGAGTGCTGGCCAGATGTTGTCCCAGGTTAGTTCTTCTGCCCTTTTCTTGAACAACGTACAGATTCTAAGCCCCTACTAACCCGGTACCACCAGATGTACCGGCAAATTATTTTCAACGAAGCAATACCGGATATACAGAAGAATGACATTGTTCTGGTATTTTCGGAGCTTGATAAACGATTAATTGATGGGGCGGATGAGCAACTTACAATTTTGGACCTGGCTTTGAGAATATCCATAATTCTCAGCCGCTCATGATTTTCAAGTAGAGTTCTGGAATCAACTCTCACTTATCTCGATCACAAACCTTGATGGGAACTAATCCTAATTTTGGTAACTCATACGATTTCTACGGAGTACTGATACCTGTTTATCCTAAACAAAAGATGGGGATATAGATTATTGGTTTTTGATGGACTGCCAACCAAAAGAACGCACTTCCAGGGCTCGATAAAACTCGGCCAGGCTGAAGTGGTCGTCTCAAAAGAGTTAAGAGCTGGCTATTTACTGGAAAGCTGAATACCCTCCGAGACCAACAATGGACCATGGGCGTATTGTAGGCGACCTGCCAATGCTACCAGCTGTTCCCTTGGGCTAACTACATAACTACCTAGTCCCGCTAGTACTCCAACCCTAAGTATTTCCTTTTTAGAAGGCCTAATATGCACAGCATTGGACTTTAAAAACACCCTTATGGCTAAGTCCTTAATGAATATGCATTCTCATCGAGGCTGTCAATTTTGTTTCAATCACCGAGTCCGTCATTGATTAACTAAGGGCTAAATTTTCATATCACGTGATATTCCCTTTTTGCCCAGTAGTTATGTGGACAACACCATGCTAGTTATTTCTCACCATTCTAGATTCTCAAGCTCATCATCATCTTCTTCTTCTTCGTCCTCCTCTTGAATCCCTCCTTTGAAAGACCGCTCTTTACCCTCTTCGCTCCAATACTTCTCGTTTACGAGTTCAGAGCTCTCCAAATCCTCAACTGCTTCTGCTTCATATTCAAATTTAGCGCACGCGAAGCTTTTGCCTCGATTCCCAATCCTTGCCACAAACTCAACTTCTCCTGTATTGGTTCTCATCACTTGCCCAATTTGAACATGTACCTCATTGTTGATTTTTCTCTTTACCATCTTGGCACGGCCAGCGAAATCAAGTTGTATTGTACCTAGGAGAACAGTATCTGGTATATTTCAGCTCAGCTCTTCACCGTATGGGGCAAACTAACCATCGCAGAGTGTTTTTGGCGGAATTTCCTTTCTGCATTTGTACAGTTGGAGTTCCCCAGCCAATGGACGCCTGCTGTTTAATGCGATATAGCCATCTATCCATTTGAATCCGCTTGGCATCTGCTGGCCCTGAGAGCACCATTAGTCCCATATATTGCACGTTATGCTATATCGCAAGACTCGGTACCTTTTTAATGTGCCATTCAAGAAAGCCTCTTGTTCTTCTTCCTTTGAGGGGGCAGTTGAATGTTTCACGACCCTCGTCACGACCAGGAATATATTGCCGATGCTGCAAGATGCCGTAACTCCAACGACATATACGGTCTTGTATTGCAAATCTTCGACTTGTTTGTGACAATGCTGCCCCAGTTGCAATTGCCGACCATGAGTCGGATGGTATAATTACTTGCGTTTTGCCCTTCAACTCATTTTCGCAGAAGTCCTTCAACTTGGCAAGGATGTATGGGTTGCTTCCCAAGCCTCCACACAGAACAATTGCCTTTTTATGAACAGCCAATCATGTTAGTTCTATTTAGACCCAGTATTTTGTCATCTTACCTGCAGTGGATGCCTGCTCCCCTTTTCCGATGCCGCAATTTGCTGCATTATTTTTTCAATCGACGGCTCAAGTACTCGATTAAACATTCCACAAATTTCAGCGCTTCATTATGCGTTAGTTATCCATATTGGCTTCCAGGAGCATGGAGATCGATTACCCTGTCAGTGTTATCTGGCCCATCCCCGCATCATACCCATCTCCGCTATTCCTGTCCATTTGCAGAAAGAGTGAATGGCTGCTTGACTCTCCACCAAACCGGCATTTGAGATCCTCGAATTCTCTCATGAAGACGCTGCCCTGACTGATATCCTTTGCTGACATTGATGAAAAGGCATTTCCATATTTTGCTTTTAATAGGCGATGGAGCTCTCTATCAATAGTGGTCCCTCCGCACATAGCGCCTATCTCGATTCAGTTTGAAGACAAACTACCTAAGAATGGCCACCTACTGGTTCCGGGGCAAGCTTCCGACACTTTAAAGGGGCTTGTGGACTTAACATTATATGTGATCAAATCCTAATACTGTTACTTCCATCCACGTATTGACTTGAATCAAGACACTTACAACAGTCCCACCACCCATATCCACCACCATGACTCTTTTGTTTGCCTTGCCGGCGCGAGTGGGTCATTGTTAGCACATCTATTTACTGGTTCGCGGTCTCTTCAATGCCTTTCTCCTACCTGAAAAATTGACTTGGTTCCCTTCTCCTTATAAAATTCGAAGGTGAATAAAGCTGCTGCCTCTGGCTCATCGACCATTGAAATCTTGTCGTTTATGCGAGATCCGAAACCTGCTTCCGTGGCCGCCATTCTCAGACACATTTTGTATTCCTCTCCCCATTCGGCCGGGGTTGAAAATACAAACTCAATGGGAGTCAACTCGAATATTGGGGAATACACGTCTTGGAGTGTGCCCATAATATATTTGTACAAGCAGCTCAAAAATTCTTTGCATAGCGTTTGAGCCGTTTGCCCTTCTGGAATTCTCATCAGACTTTTTCCGACAGCCTGTTGCAACAATGGGTCATCGCCAGGGCCATAGCTCGACTTCGAAGCCATTCCCAGTTTGAACCAGGATGACGAGGCCATAGATGGTTTCACTTCGGCTCCCCATACTGTCCTCTCATTTCTAACGTCTCCTTCAATAGCAATGATTGTTGGTATTTTTTCCCGCCGATCGTATATTCCAGGCCATTTCATTAATTGAGTAACGTTGTTAAACCTGCCATTTGAAAACACATAGCTCACACCTATGTCTCGTGTCAGCAGCTCTTTTTTTCACGAGAATTCTGACAGTACCAGTATATGTGGTGCCAAAATCAATACCAACAATTAGACAACCGCCGTTATCGCCTTTTGTTGATTTGCGTTTGCATCGAACTCCTACCCACTTTTAGCTCTTTTTCTGGTCATTTCCACTCACTTTACCGCTTACTTGACTGCCTTTTTGTTTGTGATTTTTTTCTCTTCAAGTTGCTCACTCCGACGTCGTCGATTTTCCCTAGCTCGAAAATTTGCGTCATAATTTTTATATGTTTGGAGGGTAAGTAATAATCTCAATATCTTCCTAGCTGAAAGAAGGGGTATGAACTCGGAAAGCGGATAGAGCCAGACTGAGAGGGAATATTAAAGAAAACTTGTTCCTCCGGCCAAAAATTACTCGCAAACTCGGGTTCTTTTTTATTCACCTGCAGGAAAAACCAAAAAAATCATATGACGAAGCTTTATGTTTACAAAAAGAACAGTGAATTCTCTTCGACCAAATAGCGTCGCTGCTGCCGCCGCCTCACTTTTGACATAGATTTTTCTTTAACAACGTGCGGCAAACTAAACTGAAGTAGCAGCAATACCCATTCAATCCCCAACGATGACTCGTCATATGGGAGCTCTAGAGAATCAGTCGCAGCAGATGATGACGTTGGCAGCGGATAAGAGGAAGAGAAATGGAGGAGAAGACATCACTTCTGATGATGAACTGAGTTTGCCTAAGAACATACAGCAACCAGGCGGTATACAGCCAAATCTCAACGACGCGGGCGAAGTGGAAGAGGGCTGGAAGAAGACAAAGCCTACTATCACCAAGCACCATAATAATACCGGCCCCTCAATAAAGATAGCCGGAAGAGCTGGAAAATGTGCCAGTCGTGGAAGACCTCAGAAAGGCAGTGAACGATCACAAACCATGCCAAGGGTAAGAAAAGCGAAAACCAAGGCACAACTGACAAAAGAACGCAAAGACGCACAAACCGAATTAAGGACGGCAATAGATAAACAGAAGGAGCTTCACTGTTATATACAAGATCTTGAGGAAACAAACCGAAGGCTACGGCAGTCGTTCTTCATAATGAAATCCCACGATAACTCGCGCATGATATCCGACGAACAAATTTACAAATCTTTTTACGCCCTTATGCACCAGTGCCAAGAGTGGTCCCAGAGATACAGTGCTGAGACAATGCCCGGGCCTCATTGCCTTTCTGCTCTCCATGAAGCGCAGGATCGAATTTTTGCAAAGTCGTGTGTTGATTTTAGCAATACACTTACCTTTTGTGAACAACAAATCCGCTACGGGCCATTTATTCTTTTGCATATGGTGTTGACCCATTATATTTGTGATAGGGTGATTGAGGAGCCGTTTCATTATTTCAGAGATGAGCCCAAATTAGCCACCATTCCCCAGCTAAAGGATTGCCTCGCCGATATCTTTCCAGCAGGTAATACCTTACCAACCCGTTCTGTGTGTAGCTGGCTGATTTTTAGACTATGACCATCTTGCCCGCAAATGGGTCGGACAAACTTTGCAATTATATTGCCCGCTTAGTTTCCCACGCCAACAGCCAAAAACAATACGTCCTCTAGAAAGGATAAAAGAACACTGCTACCTAAACATGGCGTCCACATTTCTAGATGGTCCCTGGAAATGTCTCCTGAAAGATATCTCGGGGCAATGCGAAAAGAGACTTACGAGTCTTTACAGGATATTTAGAGCTGCTGGAGAAGCAGCCTTGATGGCCTGGCAGCAATGTGAAGAATTCCATTGTCTTTCTGCTACATCACCCAAACTTGTTCAAAACGGATTCCAAAATGGGTCGGAATTCATGCGCCCACATCCTGGTATGCGCCTGAAAGCCGACGACACCGCTCTAGATGGGAATAAAATTGAATTCGTTGTCACCCCGGCCATTGTAGCCTATCGCAGTGTAGACAACTTTGAAAAGGCTCCTATTTTATGGTGTCAGGCGATTGTATGGGCTACTACTACTCATAGAAATCAACTTCCTGCTGGTTCTTCGGAGGTAATAAATCGCCCGTCAGGTTTACTATTAAGACTTTTCTGATTGACATATGTTTTATAAAGGCAAAGGCTCAGAAGCTGGAAAATTGCGATACACATAAGCGTATTTACGCAGCCAACAGCTTTCAAGCGGAGAGCGTAGTTAGGTCCACCCCCTTGCATAGCATGCGGACTACCGAAGAGATATGCCTTGACTATGTTCTAATTGACGATTCGGTTTCTGATCACATGAATCCCTCAAAAACGATGGAGAAGAATACCGAGACAAATGCCACTGGTAGATACCCTAAACGCTCAATGAAGAAGTCAACTTCCTCGTGCCATAGTGACAGCCATCTGGAATTTGGGCATCCGCAAAAAGACCCTTCAGCTCGTACAAACCAACGGACGGTCTGCGAAATTTTGGACTCGGAATGAAAGGTGGGCTAGAGAATATTCTTAGTGCATACAGTGTCAGTAGCTACTGTTTCATATCCCCTCGATGGAAATAGTCTTCGAATAGGCTAAGTATTTCCCAAATTATAGACCACATTCTACGTCACACCACGCCGGCTACACCTGGATACTTTTACGGTAATTGGCGAAAGGGCATTTTGAACAAACCCTCTTTTACTTGGATATTTGAGCTTCGAAATGGGCAGATAGGTCCGAATCCAAGGATCATCCGCATTAGTATGTAATGTACACGTACTATGAGACGGCCCTTAGCTTGTGAAGTAGATTTAATAAATATGTGCAATTTACTTTATCTTCGTATCCTTCCCCTCGCTTGTGCCATAGCTTCCATAAGCTTTGGTCGTCCCCTAACTGGGCACATTTGCACTAGGTTTGCCTTGGAAGCCGTCTCCCATATCTACCCCAACAGATACATCCAACAACCGACAGACTATAAGAAGAAAAACCCACCACCTCTAGCAGAGGACAAAATGAAACGCCTTTCCACTGAATTGCCTTCCTGGTTTCGACCCATGTCAACAAGGGTCTGTAGCTGGGCACTGTATTGGAGTGAATGAAGACTCCATTACTCTGCATATATGTTCCAGAAACCAGCAAAAACTTTGCAACGTGAACTCAAATAACTAGATGACTGGGAACATATATATTGAAGCCGAGAAGAGTAAACTTAGGTATGCTTCTTGGATCTGAATCTAGTTCCAGGGTTCTATCAAACAGTACAGCTCCTCCAAACAGCTGCCATTCGGCCCAGTATCCAACAACGTCATATATGGTGTTGGGGTGATGATATTTCAGGACAAGGCCGGTAGCTTAATGTGATACTCCTCGTAAGGGTGGGAAATCAGCCTGTCTAGGAGGTTCCCCATTAGGATGAAGCTTGCGAACCAGCTTTCCTGCAATTTTGTGTATCTCTACGGCAATGATTTCGGCAAAGAGCTGATTGTAAGCTGCTGAGCGGGGAGGGGCACGAAAAAAGGCCGTTGCCAACTAAGGGATGCCCTATTAGCTGCTAGTTGTAACTACCAGTGAATAACTGGAAATACAGTGTGAAGGGTCAAACCTTCGCTTCGATCTTCGGGGATTGCAACTCTTTGTTTAACTCATCATCTCGCAGAGAGCGGAATGAATGTAAAATCTTCAGGCTCAGTTGGATACGATCACGAATATCTAGCCTCGAAGATGTTTCAAAGCGGGAGGCTTCACGAGTAGGCAACCCGTCTACTATCTAAGAGAAGACCACCTCGCCAAGCTCTGAGGCTAGAATAGCCTTGAGGGTCGTCTGTATCGCGTTGGCCTTCACTTCACCCACACTATAAGTAACATCAGATATAAAGCTTTGGCTGCTCCATGGGTGGCAAAGAATGTATGCTGTTGCACTGGAAATCTGGTTTTCGCCATAATTGCGAACGCACTCTCTGTGAAGGTTCTGCTACATAAGTTTGGCAGAAATGTGGATTGGAAGCAAGACCTGTCAATATATATATGTAGCCATTTCCTATTTTAGTCAATCACAAGAACATCTATCTTTCAACTTCGGATTCTCTCGGAGTCAGAACATTCTTTTCTTCTAATAGCTTTGCTAACTCTCCATTCTGATGCATAGACATTAGGATGTCACATCCACCAATAAACTCCTTGTCAACATACAATTGAGGAATGGTTGGCCAGTCAGAATATTCCTTGATACCTAAGACAAAGAAAAATTATTAATTTATACCACATAAGAATGACTTTGAACACACCTTGTCTTAGCTCAATATCTTCAAGTACATTAAATGCAGTGAATTTATGAGGATCCACTCCTTGCAAGCCCAGTATTTGAATACTTGCTCTTGAAAATCCACACTGTGGTGTCTCTGGAGTTCCCTTCATGAATAAAACAACAGGTGCTGATGCAACTGCTTTATCTATTGCTATCTTTATTTTGGTAGATAAAGAACATTGTAGAAATGGAGAAGGGCGCATCAACTTTGACACATGTGGGCGGAGCGCTTGTTGAAAGAGCTAGTTTGATCTTATCAGTAGGGCTAGAGTTGCTGGAAATCTACCAACTCACAGGAAGTATGGCCATGGCTGTGTTATATTGGTAATAAAGATCGTTGCATGGAATACTGCAGTTGGTTGCAAACGTATTGCGAATTCGATTCATAATTAACTACTCCGTACTCCGTACCTAGTTAAACTACCTAGTTAAGCATGACTAATAATATTCGGGCCGAGGGAATATCCGTCGTTCATGACTTCGGGTGGGACCTATACGAGAGCCGACGATGGAAGTGGTATGAGGAATCAAGCACAAACAATACCAGATAGCGGCGTTGGGGCTTCGTCTTTGTGGTACTTACACAATCTAACTATCTCAATATCACCCTTTTGCGCAGTAATTCTCACCTACAGACTCCCTCCTCTACTTCCTCCAAGCTCCCCAATGTCTGCTCTATGACAACCCCAGATGTACTCCGAGATGCGGAACACATCGCTGACATCTCCAACTTGTCGTATGATGATGATAATGGCGAAGAATTTACCCCACAGCAGCTCCAGTCCAGATATCGCTATCGAAGGGAGACGCAGACCAAAACGAAAACGGTCTTACTCAACCGACTACTCCGCGATTTCGATATCCTGGTATACTGCCAACTATCCTGTCTGTACTATATAGAGTAAGCGTCACGAAAGTACAGCGATAATATAATACATTGCTGATAGCTCATCAAATTTCCTAGTTGCTCAATTGTCCATTTTATAATCCGGGCATTTGTTCAAATAGCATTCTTCTCCCCCAAAGCCGGCTTCCATGATTACGAATACCAGCCCTATATTGGCGCTATTCTCATCAGTAACCTCCTATGCATACTTCCACATTTTTTATCAGCTCCCCCCGCAGCAAGTGAAGTGTCGCGCGGTTATCTCCATGGGGGCTTGTTCATTGACTTTATTGGTCAGAAAGGGCCGATTTCAAAACTTCAGTTAATAGCATTTGACATTTTAGTCGTTTGTCTGCAAATAATCATGATGGGCATTAGGTTGGAGAGCGAGAAAACCGCGGCCTCATTATCCCGTGAAACCTCTACTTCTACTTTAAACGCTCGGGCGGAAATGAGCCAAGATATTGACTCAGAAGAACGAGGAGTTCATAGGCTCCATTCCCCGGGCGGCGATGATATTGAACTGCAAAATCTTCCATCTGCTGACGTGCAGAATGAACCTGATATTGAGGAAGGAAATGATCAAAGGCGTGCCTTTTTATCGGATTCCACCACCAGCACGCAACCTCCTCTAGGCCAGGATAACCATGCGCGTGATGAGTTTCTTACCGGTGATGCCGTAATTGTGGAAATTAATGTCTTTCGCATGATACGTGACCAGTGGCGGCGGAGTCGAGAAGTTGAGCATGCCGAACCCGGTGACACAGCGACAAGTTTGTCCCCTCGGTTTTATTTTAGACGACGGTTTGGAATGCATTTTGGTACCAGCGTTTGAGTCAATTTGTATGTATTATACCCTTGCTTATCGACAATAGTTTAGCTCCTGTTGTCGCTATGTCCCCCATTGGGAGTTATGTCGTCTCCGGGAATATCAATAGGAGTTTGGAGGATATCTCATGAAAATATCCGACCTAAGCTGTTCACCTTCGCATCTCTATATAAATTGACCAATTAGCTATTTTGCCACGACCGTATATTGGTCAAGACTGAGGCGAGAATATCTGGGATATACATTCTACTGTCAAACGGAAGTTTCTTCCTTGGGCTTCATCCTACGGTCCATAATGCCGTCCACAATCCCCATCTCCAGCGCCTCCTTGGCGCCCATGAAATAATCCCTCTCCATCAATTTCTCAATCTCGTCCAGCGAGATTTCTTTAGTTAAATGCCGTTTGTAAATCTCATTCAGCTGCTTTCGGACTCGCAAAATTTCCTTTGCATGAATCGCAATATCCGTCGCCTGTCCAAAGTATCCTCCTGATGGTTGATGTACCATTATTGACGAGTGTGGAAGACAAAAACGTTTTCCTGCTTCTCCGCCGCTGAGAAGAAGAGATCCCATGGATGCGGCTTGTCCAACACATATGGTGCTAACGGGAGACTGAATATAGGTCATTGTGTCGTAGATGGCGAGACCTACACAAGTACCGCCGGCATTCTTAGATGGGAATTAAACAGGCAGGTTCAAAACGACGAGTGTGGGCTTACCAGCTGTTACTGAGCCTCCGGGCGAATTTATGTAAAGGCTGATCTGTTTCTCTGGGTTATCCGCTTCAAGGAAAAGAAGTTGGGCGACAATGGAAGCTGATACAGTCTCATCGACTTCGCCATTTAAACATATTATGCGTTCCTAAAGAACGGGTGTATGTTGTTAGCCAACTGCTCTGCATGTTGTGTAGATAAGGAAGTTTTCGAAATATGCACTTTTAATAATCTGGAAAAGATATCATCTTCTCAAAGCGTATCTGTTGTCAGCGGGCGCCTCGACATAGAGTATGCATTGCGCACATGTATGCCAGCCTCCTCCCTACTCATCAATTAGTTTTTACAGCCAAACATTATGGCGCATTGTTGAGTCCCCGTCATACCAGTGTCTCCGTCACGAACGGTGTAGGTGTCCATCCCCGCGGTACAAGCGAGTCGCGAGCCTTGGAATAGCTTCTGATCGAGGAACAAAATGTGCGGCGCGTCGCCAGCGAAAAAATGCGCGAAGAGTTCATGAATTAATATGATGTGAATTGACGACTCTACTCTTATTCAATCGGACGCGTAAATATCCCTGTTTAAATAACTAAATGGAAGCTTTTAGGGAGCTCCTGCGCAGGTGAACTTACATAATTGGAGTGGAGCCACAGAACTGGCTGTGGATCTATCAGGTCCATCACCCAGCAGCTTCAAGCCAAGCAAGGGGGCTTCAAACCCACCTGGCTTCTTACCTTTCTCCATGAATGTCCACTTATTCACCTGAAGGAGGCAGAGAGATGTTCAAGATCGGGGGGTTCAAACTTATCTAATTTAAGAATGTATGCACAGAGTAGTACCAAGTCAATGCTGGCCCCAGAGGTGCTAATCTGATCACAGTATTCACTTCCAGTGAGCCAAAGGACGTCCTGCTCCAACCATAGGAAGCATCATACCAAATCTCCTCCATCATTCATCAAGGATGCAAAGACTAAAACAATGACTACAAGCTCCTCAGCCTACAGTCGGAGTTTTCTGCAGAATTTAATTGACCACGGTGTCTATCCGCCGGAGTATAAATAACTACCCAGATGATCAGAAAACACCAAAACTTGATAACTGGGCAGAGATCCATGAAATATTGGCACAGCCATGAGTTTCTCTTTCTCCCTCAAGTTTTTTCGAAAAAATCTTTGGGGAGTTCAGAGAAGCAGATGCATCCAAAGAGAAGCCAGTTACAAATTCCGTGACTCCAATTATTCAAGGCGATATCAGCAATCATATATGTGTTGGGGGATTACCCATTTGGAAACCTGCCCCACTAGCTTCAGGCAAACCAGATCACTTTTACATACGGGGCAAGTCCTGAACAGCTTAATTGCCAAATCTGCGAAGATATTAGATGCCATATTATCCCATCAACGTAGGATGATCCCCCAATGGTGTTGATCTTCTTTTTGGAGGCAAAAGTCTGGTGTATCTCTTTCCGCAGCTACAGAACAGGCCTGCTATGATGGTGTGCTATGAGCTCAGGGTATGCATTCTCTGCAATTCTATCGGCAGGATGGACTGACGTACGATCGCAATGCTTGCATCTTATATTGATTTATCATAGCGGCACACTAAAACCACACAGCTTCCATACTGGGAAGCCTAAAAATCCAGATGGTTTTCATGAATATGTTATGACCCAGCTTCGATAATATTTCCTGACTGATAGCTTTGAGACCTCTCGGCACGGAGCTTGTATATATCCAAATGGCCTGAGATCGGGCAAAGGAAAAGAGGGGTTAATTTATTGGGATGGCAAACAAAAAATCCCTGAGACTTGCTCTCAACATTCTTCTACCTCCCAAACCCGGCGGCTTCTGAGATGGCACCTATTTCGGATGGTTCCGATCGCTCAACCGAGCCTGATGGGCATCAAAGTGTCCAATGGGGCTCCGCGGCTTCAATTGAAGATGGGGGAAGGAGTTCTGTGGAAAGAAGCCGGGGCTCCGTGCTGCTGAGTCCCTTAGCACTGCTGGCGATGCAGCCAGCCACGCAACTTATCGACAAGTCTCCACAGCTTCCAAACTGAAAGCAAATGCTTTACACACCTTTAGTGTGTAAACAGTCCCTATTAGGAATTTGAATGGCTTTTTGATCTCTCCGGACCCATCGTTCGAGCTCCATTTGTAGAGGGACTGTCCTTATTCTCCTCCTAACAATGCAACGAGCGTCGCGATTGGATTCAAGGCTGAAGCCCCACACTTCGGATGTGCAGGTCGGGCCGCTGCCTCGACGTTGAGATTGCCGGGCGGACTGATTCATCTTCGGCAGCTCCCCACGGAAGCCGGTGTTACCCGTCACCGTCGTTAAGCCAAGAAACACCAAAAGTGTTGTGAACATGAAAATGCATCGCAATTCGAAATTGACTGTACTAAGGCGTATTTCCTTACTAACTCCTTTAGGGAGCATTTGGCTGTTTGCTTTGCATGATTCACCTATCAGAGCATGCCTTCTAGGACTCATATTGTACAGTAGAGATTTCGTAACAGTCGGGCGTTGGGAGGGATCGGGCGTTGGGTAGTGAATCATGTCACCCAAAACTTGTGTGGCCGCCTTTAACAGTATGGCACACGCTGAGAGGCCAGGACTTGAACGAACATGGATGAGTTCTGCAGGTAATATCTGTGCTCCAAGGATCTGCCGACTTCAATGATGATCTGGGCTGCCCTATTTTTGGCCGTTTCCGCTGGCGTGTCCAATGGAATCTACCCCGATGACTTGGGCAAGCCTAGAACGGTGGCCTCTCTCCCAGTCCAGCTGAGCAGACACCCCTCCTAGTCCTGTACATAGGGGGATATCTACACGCCCAATCAGTGAAACTATCTAGAGCCAAGATCAATGGCTTCTATAAACTTCAGGGTACCTTGATTTGGTTCACAACCAGGCGGGGAAGTTGATTTGTAACTATCAACATTATGACACGGCTAATATCAGACAATCAAGCCACTCGACTAAAGAGGTGACCACTATGATTGCCATAAGGCTTACATAGTCATTTTTGTCTGTTCAGGTCAACAGATGTCATCTTACTTCGCCAAGATAGGTAAGTAGAGGATTCTACATCATACTCCCCAATAACTTTAGTGGGGCGAGTTATCATACTAGGCCCAATATAGTCTAGTGCATTTGAAAAGTCTTGGCATTACGCGTGCCGGAGCTTAGTAACCAGCCTGCGCGCTGTGTAATCAGCTGTGTAATTACTAAGCTTTCTAATTACTAAGCTACCAGCCTGCCTGCGCGTGTACTGTTTTGGCATAGTAATTCTACAGCCTGCCAATCACTGTACGGGGGCCCCATATAACACGAACTCTAACTCATGCCGCCAAGCTGGCTGATAACCGAGTTATACTGAATGGGTTTGTTAGGGGAGACGCCATGATAACCGGGTTATCAGGGCTTGGCAAGTTATAACTTCGTAACGCGGGTCGGTGATAACCAACTGTAGCTTCGCTGCCTCTACGTGAGTTAGTTTTTGGGTACTATCCTTCATTCCAATGTTGGTAACCGTTCCGGCTAGTGGCGCGATGTTAAAATGAATCTGACCAAGGTCTAGCATCGGAGCATGTCGCATACGAAGCTATTGTGACGTCTCTACGGAACACGGCGGAACAACAAATCAAAGTAGCATACTTGCTGAGCCCAGATATCTCCCCTTGTTTTAAAAATTCCTAGAGACCAAATTATACGCTTGACCAGGGAGCCGTGCCTACCATCAGCCAGATCGAGATCAGTATTTTACATTCGTCTTCATATGATATGAAGGGCTTTACGAGTAACTGTATGCCTCACAACGTCATTGACGCGAGGCAGTGCCATTTGGCAATTCCGCGGTTTCTGAGGAGATACAAGTAAACGTTCGAACGGTTGGACTTCCGATCTAGAAAAAACAAGACTAAACTTTCTTCCTTGAGTAAGGTTTAGCTAACTACTTATTGTCCTATCATCTCGTTACTAGGGGGACCCGTCCCCGAAGTTAAGTTGAGGGCGGCGGGCGGGGGTTTGAGATGTGGGAAAACAAATCTAGCAATCCCGGGCCCCAAAGATCGGCAGCTTCAACAATCCGTGCGGGGTTTTTTGTTCTGGTAATCCAAATCCAATGTAACTAACTGTGTATAAACCCATGATTGATTCAGCTAACCACCCCGACACAGCCCGGCGGTCCCTCTTCATTCAAATCGAGTTTGCGCATGTTGTAATTTGGGTAGCCGCATACTTTATTCCGCTTATATAGAGAGTGCCCTGTGATTGATTCCATATTTTAGCGTCACACAACAAAGACAACAATATGAGCATCCTGTCAATCACATTTCAGGTGAGGGGACAGTATTTTATGCAGAGTCACGTCACTTCATGCTCAGAATTATATGAAAGAGGTTGTGTGGGGGATTGCAACATTTCTTTTTAGAATTCATAGTACTGTGGACTGAGAGATTATACAGATCATTAACTAGTAGATCTGATCTTTTGAATGAAGAGATAAAAGATCTATTAAGCTGCTTTTTTAAAGCATGGACTCATAAGCTGTAGAAGCTGTAGGTTGCATGTTGCGCATCTATCTAATAATAAGATGGTGAGGTGAACATGAAAAGGGGCAACACTAGACCCACAGTGTATGCCAAGTAGCTAACGGGATATGGCTAGCGCTGTACACAAACAGGAGTCTAGCCAATCAAGAGACGCGCTCAGCGCCAAAACGTGACATGTACTCAGCAAAACCTTAAAAAACACCATGCGAAGACAATTGAGTAGCAGGCAAACACTGAAGGTGTGAGCTTGTTTCTTGATTCCCCTTAATGCTTAACATTCTTCACCTCGTTCATAGTTAGTTCTGGTAGTAAATCAAGAAAGTATTCGGCTAAGTTAGGTTTCCCTTGTTACTGCTCAACAGAATCCCAACTTCAAAAGCAATTTTTCCTTCCAAACATGAGGAGCAGTCTGAGCAATGGCAAAGAGATATCTGCGACCTTTTTATATCTGCAGTTCACTCAGGCGGCATGTAAATTGCAGGCCTCCTTTATGTTTAAATAATTTCCTTTACCCTCACCACCGGCAGTTCCAGTCTTCGGTTCCCGCACTCACCTCGGCAGGGAATTCCCGCGATTTACAGCTTCACCACGACAAGGCCGAATGTATGAGCAATGGCAGTTTGTATCTTGATGCCTCGTCAATATCACCGGGGAACGCCCCTCTTACACGATCGCTGACTTCATCCATACACGAAAGAACGGTCATACAGTCACCCGTTCTCCGCCGCAAAAGCGCGCGCGAAAAACTACACGAGAAGCTTCCCCGAAAAACCGATTTTGACCCCCTGAGCCGTAATCCATGGGCTCGGGCCCTCGCAAGCCCGGTTCGCATGTGCTCAGCTACCCATGCGCGATTACCCAAAGAGCTTCTCAGCTGCTTTGGGCTAGTCGAGCATCCACAGTCAGAGGAACCGTGGATGATGCCCATAGACTTCCTGAGAGACGAGATGAATAGCATGGCGCTGAAGGTAGACCAGACGACAGAGGTAGAGAAGCAAAGTATAGAAGAAGTAAACATTGAGGGGAATGAAACTACGGTCAACCAGGTGCCGGACGATGGCACACCGGCCGATGATCCAGTTCAGCTGAAAAAGAAAACCTCCCGCTTCTTAAAGATCCGTCTTGCTAATAATACTGTGCTCTTATCTAAATTATCCAAGGGCAAAAACGTGCATGTCACCCGCTCCCTACTCCCGCATCGATGGAAGAGCCCTCGTGGCCCCCTCACAAATAAGGACCATGAAAAAGTTGTCTGGCGAGAAGATTTGCCAGAGTTTGTTTTGACACATTTGAGAAAAAGTGTCATACGAGCAATAAAAAATTGTTGCAATATTGGGAGGGATCATCGATGGAGCCCTTTGGATCTTGACCCAAAATTTACGCTGGCGGATGGGCTTACTAACGCCTTGGAGAAATTGGGAGAGCTGAAGAACATGAAATGTAGTGCTGTTTTACTTCTCCAAGCTTCGCCAGAGAATGGTAACGAAGATGCGTCGCCCGTACAGGAACTTATCGACCTCCCACTTCATGAAACACAAATCCCTCTTTTTAACCTCCCGAGGCTATTTTCGAGAGATAATCTGCTGGAATTGCGCGAACATCACGATCTTTTTTCCAGAGATGCTGTGTTGCTTCGACCGTCAGGCAATTCGACGGTGCAGACCATTCTAGGCCTATGGAAATTACAATCGTATTTGACTGTGGGAGCTAGCTGAAGCAAACCAGCTCATTCTAATCTATTAATTCGAGAATGGTTTTTCTCTGGTTTCTTCAGTTGAATCCCCAGAGGGAACTGTTATCTCTCTATTATTATGATTACGCTCGGAAGATTCTCGCAGCAGTACTTGGACGATATGGCTTCAAATATCAGCTAATGAGCTGAATTATGAAACAAAGTCTGTGTGCTTAGATCAACTGGCGGATGGTTATCTGGAAGTATATACCTTCCGACTCTTTAGAAAGTGTTATGGCATTTTTCTTGGGTTCTTATCCCAACAACAGCAACAACTAGGGTCTATTCTTTACTGTTCATGCCAAACAATGGATTTTGGCCAATAATGCAGGACACATTGTTGCAGCTGTATTTTGTGGACATTGGTGCCAGGGCCCATCTATCATGAGAAATCAGCATTTATTTAGAATGGTTCTGTCATCGCCCTGGCTCCCTGGTTACACGCACATGAGCAGGTTTTTTATGTGCGGAAACAAGTGGAAATGTCCCCTTCTTCTTGCACTGGACTGACGCATAAAATAACAACACCTGTAACAGATAGCATTTCGATCTAGCCTAGATGGTTCAAAAAGCCCTATGCAGCAAGTCGAGTACTTCTATTTAACCCTCCTTATTGTTTCTTGTCAGCATATCTCCGCCAAAATCTTCTTCTTTTATTTCATTTCGTTTCCTTAAAGCGTTTCCCCCGGCGGCTCCCGTTACTTCTGCTACGGCAACCTTCATTCACAGGTTTTCTTCTTAAGGCCCCATAACTGACTGGACCTTTTGAAACAACGTTTTTTTTGCCTCCCCCTGTGATTATTACTCCTCAAGCAGCGGCTCGCTTCATTCAGTTCTATTTCTCCACCTCGTTTTATTTTCTCTTGACAGCATGAGTGATATCGTGGGCCTGACGGCCAAAGACATCATCATGCAACCGATATCTACTTATTGGGGCAGTGCTTTCTCTGCTGACGAGAAAGATGAGCAGACTGTTCCTGGATTTCCGGGAATAATCCTCAAATGGATTAATTTTGAGAACGAGGTGAAGGAGAATTTCAGGAATATCAGTTGGGAAAACTATCCCACTGTACTTGCCTATCGGCCCAGCGGCAATGCAACCAATCTGAAAATACCAGACCACTTCATATGTGGCAGTCGTGTGTCTATTCTAAATAGGTGGGTTGAACATGCGCTCCGTCCAGTCTCAGCAGTGGGCAGGGTTATGGGCTTTGGAACTGTTTTTGGGGACTGGAAAGCGACAAACAAGTCTTTTTTCCGTTTTTCTGGGAATTACCAAGGAAATTCAACCATCCAGAGTCCCTACCCCGACCTTGCTCTCATCGTGGAGAGTAACCGAGAGCCGCGTATGATCGGCATGGTTGAAGCGCCGTGGGATTATAACTTCCAAGAGATATGGGGATCGTTTGCACATGCTCATAGTGCAGCTCCTATTGAGCAGGTGCTTGGTATGTACTACTTCTGTGATAGTGTGTTGCTATTTAACTTACCAAAGAACCAACATCTAGCCCGAATCAGCACGTATATGATTGAGCTCGGTTTGATCTACGGATTTCTAACCAATTACGACTACACTTTCTTCCTGAAGAGGAGCCCCATCGGTAGCGAAGAAGTCATTTATTGCTCGAAGCCGATATCTCACACTGCGTCTCAACTTACTGGAGATGCGATATCAGTTCGTCAAGCTTTAATGTTTCTTCAGTGTTCCGTCCAAGGAGAAGAGTCTTCGTGGTACGCTAAGAGTGTGCCTCGAAACCTTGTTGCGGGCGGACAGGAAGTAGTTATGCCTGAACAACTGAGTGAACTGCCGGAGGAATTTCCTCCAGATGATCGTTGGATAGAAGACTGGATCAATTTCGAGGCACATATCCAAGAATATGGCCTTTGTGAATCTCCGTAGCAAAAGGTATTACGTTCTCACAGCTTACCAGCTTGAGGTGTTATTGTTTGTGTATAGGGAAGATTTGCTTTGATCGGACTCTGCAGCTCGCCTTGGCAGAAATTTCATCGTGCGCGGAAGGCTTGGAGCGGCCAGTTTAGTTGAGGATGAAAGATTTCAAGTGACTGGATGTATTGGATGGGAAATATTATGGAGACTAGAAAGGCGAATAAAATAAAGCATTGTCTATAACTGGAAAACTTGTTAATAGGATAGGGTTTTATGGTGCGTCTGTCACAAGGATACTCCGTGGTGTATCCGTCACTGTTGCCGGTCTTCCATCATACGCCGTCCAGGAGGTCACCCAAGGTATCAACATACACTGACGGTGGCAGTGCCGCCGTTTCAAAGTCTGCTTTTGAGCTTACACCAGAGAGAACACCCAATGTTCCCCCTAGCCCCCCTTCAATGCCGAATCTGATATCAGTATCCAGCCTATCGCCAACCATGCATGCTCGGCGACGGTCAAACTTGAATTTTCCCTCAATTGCTTCCATCATCTCAGGACTGGGTTTACCTAGGGATATGGGCTCTGTGCCGCCCAACATACGAATCAGGGGAGCGCTGATTGTGCCCGCGCCAGGAAAAAGCGTCCCTGCACTGGGCAGGGTGCTGTCGATGTTAGTAGCAAGGAAAATAGCACCACGGCGGATATAGTGGTATGCAAGCGAGATTTTGAGATAGTTGATGTGGAAGTCCAGCCCGACAAGAACTACGCCGACCTCAGGGTCGAGAAGGGAGGAATCACCCGAAGCGATTTTATGATAGTCGTCTGAGGTGACATTACGACGATAAGATGGATCTGTACCACCAATGAAGGGGATATTCTCGGCTTGTAATTCCTGCTCAGCGCCTGTTTCACCCACTAAAAATACTTTGCGCTTATTTGGCGGCAGGTTAAGAATTCGCGCAATGTATACCGATGCGCTGTATGAGGAGGAAAAAACTTCTTCCTTAACTGGCTATTAGCCATCCGAAACAAATAAACCCGACAGAATTTCGGGTTTTGAAACTCACATGAGCAGCGGGAATCCCCAATTTCTCCAGCTTCTTCTGGTAATCCAGTCGAGATTTGGTACTATTATTTGTCACAAATACTATCTGTTTTCCTATATTAAAGACATTGTCATTTAGCTATTGCCTCTGGGGTATTTATACATAGGATTACCCTACCCTTCTTCCGCAACATCTCTAATGTTGCAACGGTTCCCTCAAATACAATATCGCCAGACCATAGAACGCCTATACTTGTCCACCCGCTCGTATTAGATTATCAGATACAGGTGATCAAGGGGCAGTTCAAACAGACCATCACAATCAAACAGGAAGACCTACCAAATGAATTAGCGCACGAACAAAGAACAGAAATGTCTTGGTAGAATTTCGCAGCTTATCAGACAGGAGAGGAAGCTCACATCGAACTGGTCGATAAAGTCCTTGATTTCCTGGCTATTGCCAGTGAGGTATCTAGGTGACGTTTTCATGCTGAGCGGAACTTCAAAAAATCAACCTCTATTTACAAAAAAAAGATGCAAAGTCTATATGCAATTTTAGGGAAACAGCTGAAATAGTACTACAATTTGAAGCTGAAGACCGCCCGCCCCGCCTTCGGCGTTCTTGCCCCGTTCCCGGAAGATGGTATTTCCCTCCCGAATACGGCATCATTTCCGGATATCGGGTAAATATTAATGCGGCATCCTACCTCCTGTCAAGATAATCTTAAACAGAAGTAGGTTCAGGCTTCAGAGCACCGCATGGCATACTGTACGTCTGAAAACCGATAACACATAGCCACGTTCCTACACAGTCCATCTGGCTACTAGTTGTGGACGGCTTCTAACGTTCACTCTTTGAGCTGAGAGTGTCGATATTGTCTCTTTTCTTATCAGAGTGGGCGGGCGTATCCCCCTTATTCCAGCAATGGACTCTTTTGCACCGAAGAGTCCTAACATCGTGACTACCCCGTTTACTATTAGCTAATTGCAGTTCTAGCTGGCTATGACCAGGTAGTTGGGGTCTCCATTCTCGGTCTACCCCTCGTCACTCGCCTGGACGAGGACCGGGTTGTGAAGAACGACTCTACTCTCCGTGAAATTGAGGCCCTGAAATTCGTTGCTGCCAATACAACTACTCCCGTTCGTCGGGTCTATGACAACAAACCTAACGAGGAGGATGATAGTTATTACGTTGTGATGGATTACATGCCTGGACAGCCGCTAGACAAAGTTTGGATGAATTTGACAATTGACCAAAGAGCGTCTGTCTGTGACCAGCTTGCTGGATATCTTTCTCAACCTCAAAAATTGAAGAGCCACCGAATCGAAGCTGCAAATGGCTCTTCTGTCAGATCTGGCTTTTATTATTCTCGTTGAGGCGGTCCCTTCAATACTGAGAAAGAGTTCAATGATTTTCTCGCTCGAGGTACTCAACATCGGCCAGCTGAAATTCATGAAATCCGTTTTACACATGGTGACCTCAGCCCTAGGAATATCCTGGCTGATGACAGTGGTCATATTGCTGCAATTGTCGATTGGGAATGGGCAGGATGGTTTCCAGAATACTGGGATGTCGCTCGGATATTTTTGGATATGCCAGGCAAGAAAAAGATGCCTAACTATGGAGAGCAGCTTTGCTCTGCTCTTCCCAACGACTATGCCGAGGAATTTTTGGTAATGCTGAATGTCGCACGTCTAGAGCACCCATGGGACGGCGGGGTTCCTGTTGTTCAACAGCCTCAACCTAACTAACCATTCTAGACTTGAAATATACTCTTCGGGTAGCCTTCCCACTGTTGAAGAGAGGGTCTGTTCTACTGTGGTATGGTGGTTTGATATATATAGAGGGAGGGCAGTCTGAAAGCTTAGAGTTGGATATTCCAATGTAAATGGGGTAAAGGTGAGATGGATCTAGTATGATGGTGGAAACTACAAATTAGAGAAACTTCGCGGAAGAGAATGAAAAAACACCACCGCTGCAAGGTATTTCCTACTAGTGAGTTTGTTTGATTGCTTGTGACAGATCTAGATCAGGTGTTTCCTGATAGTCAAATTCTTGAAGTTTGTTGTCTAAACATGACCGAATATAGGATCACAATGCTGAAAGGTACATATTTTAAGATATGCATTCCAATAGAACGTCCTTCGCTTTAATCCACGAAGATCTTCGTTGATAAATTGGAGTAATTTTCAAAAAAGCTCCTAAAAAGCTCAACGGCATAGTGAATGTCCTTTGAGCCGCCTGTTTCTCGAATACTATGCATGCTCAATTGCGGATTACCCAAATCCAATGTTCGAGTACCCAACGCCGCAGACAACATCGGACCAATTGTGCTACCGCAGGGAGAATCGTTGCGGACTACAAATAATTGAAGCGGGACGACACCATCTTTGTCAGACTTGGCTGCCAGACGAGCAGACTCCTGCAATAGCACAATTCCGGGGGAGTTGGTAGCATAGCGGGCGTTGGCGTTGATTTTGATGACAGGGCCCTTATTCATTTCTGGCTTGTGTTCATTTTCATATTTGAAAGCATAATTTGGGTTGACGGAGTGGGCCATGTCGGCAGAAATCAAAAAGGAGGTTGAAAGAGACTGTTCGTAAGTAGTAGAGGTGGGGTCCGCTCCAGGAGAGGGGAGGCAGGAAAGGCGTCGCAGAATTGCGGGGAGAGCGTTGGAGTCGGCGCCTTGGGCAGTCCTGCTGCCAATCTCCTCGTGGTCAAAGAGGGCAATCAGGCGAATTGATGACTCGTCATCTAGGGCGGAAGATGATGATAAAGATTCTATGAAACCCATAGTCGTGCAGTAGGACATGCCAAGGTTATCAAGCCGGGCAGAGAAGATGAATTCATCAAGAAGGCCGCCAAGGCAAGCTTTCTGGGTGTCATAGAGAAGGACCTCGAAGTCAACGATGTCCTCCGGCAGAATGGAAAGTTCAGACGCCATAGTTTCAACGAGATATGGGTGATGACGCTGCGTGATGCTTCGCAGGGGGCCAGGAGGGTTACTATCATTGTCATTCTTGGGCAGCTCCGAGTTGGCCTGGCTGCCTCCCACTCTAGCTAGTTCAGCTTCTACTAAGCCTGCGATGGGAAACAATTGAGTTTCTTTGTTGAATGTGAATGTCTCTTGACGATCGAGATGAATTGCCAAAGTAGGAATTCGAAGAACTGCAAAGTAGTTATGTTAGTAATCAAACATGCTGAAGCGACGTTGTAAATAAAGATCTTACTTGGGCGATCGATATGGAAGAGCTGCGAAGAAATGGAACCGTCCTTGTTTCTTGCCATAACCCGGCCGGCAATACTAAGGTCGCGGTCAAACCCTGTGTTGGATTTTTAGTGAGCGCTAAGGGTCTTCTAGGATATTTGTGGACATACAAGTATGCCAGAGACCGCCTCCATACGTTTCCACGCCTATTTGAACGAAGCCTTCTGCTTGTTTCTTTGAAACAGGCTTCACTCTCAGACATGGTGAATCGGTATGGGCACCGACCATAGATATAGAGTTGCCCGGCTGGTATATAATATGTGAGCGGATGCTACTTGGGGTTTATGAGAGGTGGATTCGAACCTTCCATTTCCGTCCAATGGCGAAAGCAATGATGGTAGAGCCATTTCTAGTCAGGTAGTACTTGCCACCAGGCTTGCATACTGAAGACCAAGAGTGTTTCTCCTAAGCGTTCAATGTCAGTAGCTTATGGGCTATCTTGCTCCCTCACAGGCCTACCTTGATCTCTTGGAACCCAGCTTCGATAAGACGCTTGCGAACAGATGAAACGGCGTGGAATGCTGGTTACAACAGTATGGTAAGCCCATGAAACAAAAATCTGGCTGCATACTGTCACGCTATATTTGGGCGGTTTACGTGTAGGAGAAGCGTTGACAAAAGAGCAAAAGTCCAGTGCCTTTGCCTTGAACTCGCTACCCGCCATTTTCAGGCAGGAATTGGGAGCCAGTGTGGTGTGATTTCTGACCACAAGGGATATGGGCGGGGAGCGTCGGTTCGCCGTTGTGTTCTGAGGGAAGTTAGAACAAGAGATTGTTGAGAGAGTCACTCGGGAAGCTGAGGCGTTGAATAAACGAAAACCGAACAATACCGGGGGGTCCAGAATGCTGAGTTTCATAGATCTCGACTTTTCAAGGCTGTCTGCTGCTCTCTGCAGTGCTGTTTCGATACCCCGGATCTCCACCGCCTGCCGGGCCGCCGAAAAGACCACGTGAACGCTCTATTTATAAGCATTATTGATGACTAATAATTTACATCACGTGTTTGAAGTATGTAACTAGAAGGAAAAGAAGCACCTACTCCGTATTCGCGCTGTAAAGACACACATTTTACACACTACGGAAATAGCTGGGTTACTAGGTGCGCAATCGGTCCGCAGCAACGCCTGCCACGTCTTCCCCGCCAGGTCGTTCGCCGCCTTTAGACTTGTAGCGAGCGCCAAGAAACGGTTTGTTGACAACAAGCCCAAAGCGGACTAGCCGTGTCGCGAACAGACCACGTGGAGAAACGTTTCTCCGCAAGAGCTAGTCGGGAAATGGTCTAGCGCCGCTCCTTGGCGGTTGTTTGATTTGCTTTCAGACGCCAAAGCGAAGAAGCAGCTCGACGACATCGACCGCCAGCCGCGCGAGAGTGAAGCGCCGGGCATCGCATCGGTTTTCTTACTTCCCGTCACTCTGCCTCTCACTTCTACGTGTCACACTCCACCGCCCTCCCGATGCGCACCGCCCCTCTCACCTCCCCAACCATCCCCAGCCCACTCCCGACCCCTTGTCGCTTCGTTGCTGGGCGCGACGCCGGCAGATAACCCGTCAAAAGCGAGCAGATACGAGAGGACCCAGAGCGCAGCAATATTAATTATCGCATTAAAAGCTGTTTGTCTCGCGCGTCAGCATCCGCCACCCTTCTCATTTGCGCCTTCTAACTCCGCGCTTCCCCATCGATTGCGACCCAGCTGCGTGCGCCACTGTTTGCTTGGAGGAACCGTCGTAGAGACTTACAGCTAGGATACGGGTGAACGGTATAATGGCGGAAAGACAAAGCAGTCGCATAAGGTCATCGCACGTCCGGGCGAAGTCTGACCGTTCCACTATGCCTGGGAACCTCGTCTCCCCGCCTGGCTCCCATACTCCACCCTCCGGCCGGTCAAAATCAACCACCCGAAATACAGGCTTAGAACCTGCAAAGTTTCGATCTAGACATGGCTCAGAACCGATTAACCCAGATGCTCTCGCACAAGCGCTCAGGGAATTTGAGGATGTTGGTCGGCAAAGGGAAAGAACACCTGGAAGCAGTCCTTGTCGGAAGCGACAAAGGGTTTATGGTGATAGGTATGCTTTGTCCATGAATCCTTGTGAATATTACCAACATAAATGACTATTGCTGTCTCTATGTTTAAATTCTGGGAAAACTGCATAGGCACAATGTGTTTGCAACGTATATTAGGAAAGCTAATCGCTCTTTTGTGCAGATTTATCCCAAACCGCGAGGGACAGGACTTGCAAGCGAGCTATAGCCTCTTGCACGAAGATGGGTGCCCCTCTACTCCCTCGAAAACGAAAAGGAGACCTCCGCACGGGGAAATCCACTTTCAAAAAAGTAAATACATTCTGTATAGGATTGGGAAGTGATCTATTAACAATTTTCTAGCTGAAGAAGCCAACCGGACATACTCACGGATTCTCCGAAACGAATTCTTTGGGGATGCTGTGCCCCAGTCAGATCTACACACCCTTTCCCCCGAAACACATCCTGGCTATACACCATCCCACGATCCTACTCGCTCGCACACCCCTCCGTCTCACAAAGCTGCCTCGTCATTGCCTCCCGCTAGCATCACACCTTCAACACCCAGTAAAAACCTATTCTCATATTCCTCGCCCAGAAAAGCGTCAGGAAACCCAACCCCATCCAGGACCCCCCACAGCGGGTCCAATTTCAACGCCAGGTCCGAAATTTACAGTTTATCTCCGATACGATTCGACAGCCAGCGAATATTACAAAGTTTACGTAAACAACCTAGATACGTAAACAAGGTCCCATTCAAAGTTCTAGACGCGCCTGATTTGGCAGATGATTTCTATCTCAATCTTGTGGATTGGGGGAACACAAACATTTTAGGTGTGGGTTTGGGTTCGGCTGTTTATATGTGGGATTCTATAAGTGGAAATGTCACCAAGTTGTGTCAGTTAAGCGATGATACTGTTACCAGTGTTAACTGGATACAACGAGTAAGACCCCTTGCGGTCTGAATCAGAAGCTTTTCGAACCTATCACTAATGTTTCTTCAGGGTACGCATCTCGCGGTTGGAACAGGGAAAGGCCTTGTTCAAATATGGGATGCTGAGAACTGTCGACGGCTACGAACGATGACCGGGCATACCCTTAGGGTGGGCGCCCTTGCCTGGAACGACCACATCCTTACTTCTGGCTCTCGGGATCGGATTATTTATCACCGTGATGTCCGCTCCCCAAACCAATATCTCCGTCGATTGACCGGCCACAAGCAAGAGATATGTGGTTTGAAATGGAATACTGAAGATGGCCAGCTTGCTTCTGGCGGTAACGACAATAAGCTGCTTGTCTGGGACAAGTTAGGTGAAACTCCATTATATCGGTTTTCTGATCATACCGCTGCCGTAAAAGCGATTGCTTGGTCGCCCCACCAACATTCTTTACTGGCGTCTGGCGGAGGGACGGCGGACCGCACTATCAAGTTTTGGAATACATCCACCGGAACTCTCATCAAGGAGGTCGACACTGGGAGCCAAGTTTGCAATTTAGCCTGGTCAAAGAATTCCGACGAGATTGTCAGTACCCATGGCTATAGCCAAAATCAAATTGTTGTTTGGAAGTACCCTCGCATGGAACAAATAGTGTCCTTAACTGGTCACACGTTTCGTGTGCTTTACCTGGCAATGAGCCCAGATGGTCAAACTGTGGTGACCGGAGCTGGAGATGAAACGTTACGTTTCTGGAAAATTTTCAATAAAAAGGGCTTAAAAGATCATGGGCGTGAAAATAAATTAGCAGCCTTGACGACAATTCGGTAGAAGACGTTACTACTTGTTGATTGCAGGACCTTGGAGATTCTACGCACGGGTTCCAAAGACCCGCCGTGTTCTCATTTTTCTCGGACAAGAAAAGCGCGATACGAACCAACATCAAAACATAATGAGTTTCCTATCGATTTTTCATAATGATCTAGCATTAATCTTTTCTGCGGGGTTTTGTTATTTGAGCATTTTCTTGTCATTAAAAGGAAGGGGAATCTGACATTTTTTCTTTGCAGCGACGGCGATGGTTGGTAGCTCGCAGCTGGATTTATCGGCGTTATTTGCTCTCTTACAGAGGAAGCTGGGAGCATGACGCTTGCGGTGGAAAGTTTCTAGTGGCGTTCATCTGCTTTCATGGGCAAGCAGCTAGCGTGTGGGTTTATAGTGGGTGGAGATCAATGAGTCAAGACAATGATTACAGGGCTCTTGGATGGGGTACATCAACAAAACGAATCTTCCTGATACAAAGCCTGAACTATAAGATCCTTTGAAAATTAATGAAGGTGTAAAGAAGACAATGCTTCCTGAAATCTCTTTCTAGTTCGTTAATAATAGACACACGAGAGCAGCCTTAACCTCAATATCTACGAATGCATGCTGATTTTCAAGGGCTGCACTGTCACAGTTTCATTTAGCCAGTTATCTCACAATATCTTGGGGCTTAGGTTTTTCTTTTCCAACTGCAAAACGTCGATTTTCAGCCACTGTGGATCATCGGAATAGCGAATTGCTTCTTTGCTCATCCAGTCCTCGATATCTGTTTCACTGGGTGCGCCGAGACTGACGATAAGACCCAGCAACATCTGGCGGATTTCTTCTCTTTCCAAGCCACTCGCAAGACCAAAATGGAACCTGCGCAAGAAATCGCTCCCGCCTGCGTATTCAGCCAATGTATGCTCCCCTTGTTCCTGAAATGCCAGAGCCAGCAGCCTATCCATGTTAGTGGAGCCAGCTTGGCCAGTATAAAGAGCATTGAGGTCCGCTGTAACAAGGGAAGGTCCAAATGCCTCGCACGCGGGAACAACTCTTGCAAATTGCCAGTCAATAACTCCAGTGATGTTGTAGTTTTCATCCACAAGAATATGATCACCTTTATCGTCGACATGTTTCAAGAAGAACTGTAGAGATGCCTCTGTGTTATTCGTGCAGCATAAATCCGGTATATGATAGCGAAGCGTTTTAGAATAGAAAAGCTTCCCTTGGATAATCAGGGTAAATCTGACCATCAACAATAAGCTCTAGATAATGGTCTGCAATTTTGGAGAAGTACTCAACGGCACTATTGAACGGACCATATTGATCGAGTGTACCGAAGCGATTGCTTGCAACTGCAGATACGTGGACTTTCCCCTTCTCCAGTAAAAGAGAACCCACTTTGTCAAACGGGTGTCTGTTTATCTCGATCAAAATATGGCTCAACTGTTGCAAGACAAGCTGTTTCTGTAGCTTGTTCGCCATATATTCCTGGTATGGCTTCCCGGGCAAACGCTCCATCAACAAAAAATTCACTCCGACTTTGTTCAGAGCATCAGAAACAAGTCCATATCCGAACGCTTTCGGAGCCGGTACCTTCGTCGATTCCAGGAACTTCAGAGTAGCATATTCGCTGGAAACGAGATATTCCACTGAGCTGGCGGGCAAAGGACTTCCACTTGTCCTAGGGACACGTACCAGCCATCCTTCTCCACTGTCAAACAATATGCTCGCGTGGTAGTTTGCGCATCCCATCATAGAATCATCTCCAGTGTGCTTATTAGTACGGAATGTACAATGCTCTCCTTTGTTCAGTGCAGTTGCGACTTTGACAAGTTCGGTGATATTAATCTGTTTAAGCAGCGCAGATACTTCATCATCCATGAGTTTCTTCCAAACCTCCTCATCAAGCTAACCTTTACCCATAATTAGCCACAAACTCAGTGCTACCAGATGTTGAATGAAAATAGTTTGTAACTACCTCGGCCACTGAGGGGCAGCTGCTGTGTGAAACCGCTTGGTGCTTCGCGCAGTAGTGCAACTTGCATACTATGCAATCTGAACCCCGAACAACAGGCCTCGTGCAGCCGTTAAAAAAGCAAGTTGCGAGTCTAGGCGCCATTTGGCAGGGAATATCGACAGGAACCAGGTCTCGAGTGGTATGAAAGCAGATTGCTTTCAGAAAACAAGATCAGTGTGGAGTACTCCGTAGCAGCCTAGGCACCCCCGGCTAGCCAATGAAAAATGGTTGCCATTTCTAGACTTTTAAAAATCCAAAGGAATACCTGTTACACCTCTTCTTTTGTTGTATTGAGGGTAAATACGTGCATAGGTCCGTGTTGGGTTCATTGAAGCCTTTGGCATGCAAATGTGTCTAAGGCGCTAGTTACATAGTTTAACTATCAGGGCAAGAACCATTTCCTTACCAAAACGCATCGCTGGTAGGGTGCTCATGCGATTGTCATTCTAGTGTATTCTTTCATTATTCATTTTGGTTCTCGTCTACAATGGCTACCGCCAGAATACTGTTTTCTTCAAAGCTTCAATGAGATTTAGCATCCCTTGAAGATGGGCATCTCATACTCTTGGGAAAAAAATAGAAGTGACTGGGCTCACAAGGAGCAGCATACATCCTTTTTCCCGTAGAAGGTTGCTCCGCCATAGGCGTGGCCGTAATAGCTTCCCTTGCAAACTCTGGTCCTCGAATCTGATAACGTTTCAAGTCCTGAAAAACCGCCTGTTTGATTAGCCTCAATCGAAGAATTCATAGATTAAAGTAGCTGTATCTGTATGCATAAACTGATTGTCGAATGCAGCATAGTTATCTGGACCAGATTCCAGATACTGAGATTGTTTGGGTTCCAGTGTGATCGCTTGCGAGCAACCGTAACTGCAAGTATAGGCCCCGAGAATAGTCTCCTAAGTGATTTCACTGGTATAGTTTACAAGGTTAGCGTTTCGCATTTTTGGATAACTTTTGCAGTGTGCTTCACGCAAACAGGATCATTGCAGTAAGCGCGCTTTTTGAAATGATGAAGCAAGCGTAGTAGGGGTATATGTGTGTATTTCCCTATCTCGTTACCGAAGCATTCAAAAGGGTACTTTTTGTAAAATATCCGCTTGGTATATGGTTGGCTATTTAATTGATTAGTGGTAAGCAATGGGAGGAAAGAAACGCCAGAACGATGCAGAAAGTGGTAGTCCAGAAATCGTAGGAAGTCAGCCATTAACTAAATATTTCCGCTAGATATGTAATATTGCCCACCATTTTCACTCAATGCATGGTGTGCACGTAAGGGAAACTTAGTGGATACACGACAATGAGGGCGTAAATATTCAATTTGAGCCTCTTGTGTATCAGACTTCTTCATCAGATAAATTTGGTGTGATGGTTGGGCGAAGCAGCAATAGAAAATATATCTTGTTTCTATATGTACTGTCGCTGTTGGGCTGGAATATTGAATATATGTCTGAATTAGCTCTGCAGACAAGATTAGGCAGCACTACTAAGCCCACCCTGATGATATCAGCTGGTGAGTAACATCACAAGTATTAATATAGGCGGCGATGTTTTGAGAGTTATTCAACCTTTTGGTCAAGTGACTAACACTCTATAGTTGAATCAATACTATTAGAAGGGGCGTCATTGAACAAATTCAGATGTCATTCATGAATATAAAATAATGAAAGCTTGGGCTTATACGAAAGAAAAGTATAAGAAAAAGCAGATGACAAATGTTGTTTGCTAAACTGACAGGCAGATGCAAGTCATAAAGCATTAGGCACAAAGTGGAAAGGCATGGCCATGAGAACTCAATAATACTCTTTTAAGCCATGTTTAAGGTAGGTAGACCGAGTCAATTCTCAGCAGGGCGAGGACCCAAGAAAGATATGATACAACGCATCCGGGGCAATATCTGATTCTCTGCTCGAGTGTTGTAGTGTGATGCAGGAAATGAAGTCGGATTAGACTATCCGGGCTAAACGGTTTTAGCCTAGCAGGTCTTACCAGCGTGTCTTATTTCTGCTGAGGTAACTAAGCTTAACACTATGCCTGATATAGCGTCGCCCAACAACGCCAAGCATTTGAGCATCAAAACGAGTTGAGGTTTAACAAACAAGAGCAAGTTGGGAGGTTCAACTGCATTCTCGACGGCTGACGGAGGATTACTTTTTCAAGCGCCTTTCCGCCATTATGGTTGGCCATAGATCGGCAAGTCGATTATCACAATGTGTTTCCTCACGCTACCTTGGAAGTCGAAGTTGTCGGCGATGTTGGTACTCAAGAAATTTTAAGCAATTCGCATCGCGCTAACATATATGTTTCTAGACTTCCAGAGCAGTCCCACACAATCATCTGAGCAAACACTACCCCTGTATCCATCCGTCGCGCAACTCATCCATGAGAATCAAATCCCGGACTCCGAGATCCCCAAAATTCCTGCGACGGGGCCGAATGGTCGATTGCTCAAGGGCGACGTGCTTTCTTACATTGGCACAATTCCTTCTGATTATCCATCAAGTCTCTCCTCTCGCCTCTCCAAACTCACACACCTCGACCTTAGTAATATCAAACCTGCAGCTTCACCGGCTCCAGCTCCGGCTCCGGCACCTGCAAAAGAACGGGAAGAGGTAGCGCCACCCGCCGATGCTCTGCCTTTACCGGTGGAGGACATTGAATCTAGACTTGCCCTTCCAATTTCCTTATCTCGTGTACTTCGCGTACAGAAGCGGGTTCGATCCGCGATTGGAGTGAATATTCCATTGGCTACCTTTGTCGAACGGGCCACAGAAATTGCCAACGATGAGCTCCCCGTTACCCGATGTCGTACGGGGCGAGAGATGGCGGATCAGATTTTTGATGAGATTGTTGGCATCCGGAGATCGTCCACAAATGAACCGCCACCGACATCGAGGGGAGACTATTTTCCAGATATCATTTCGGCTTCGGACCTGAACTCAGCGCCTGAAAGTTTACTCGAACCAGAAGCGGATATTATCGATATCCTTTCTGGAAAGGTGTCCACCAAAAACATTGTTCGTCGCCAACAGGGAGAGAAAATATCGGCAGCTGAGGGAGATGGAGAAACGAGTGTATTTAGTATAACTGTGCCTAATGAGGAAAAGCTGAGAGGCCAGGCGTTTCTAGCAAGAATGCAGGTTGTATTAGAAGATGAACCTGAGAAGTTAGTGATGTTGTGAACTATTAATATCAACGATTTCTACTAAGGCCGTTCATCCACACATGAATACATATCGTTCATTGCAAAGACATGCGGTCCTTTTTGCTTGACTGGGGGATAACTTTCTGCTGGATACCAGACTGGGTTAATGATCTGCTGGTATCAATAACAATCCTATTTCTCTGAATACTCTGTTTTTATATGCACAGCACCACATTGAAAAAGGAAAAGAACAAAGATTATGCTTGTTAAAAAAGTAAGTCTTATGCAAATTCTAGGCATATAATCTTGGGGATTAACATTGGAATCCGGAAGACCGTTTCTAATAGGGCATTCCATAGGATGTAGCGTATGCTAGCTGCCACCCTCTAATGGAATAGTCGCAAGCGTTGCATTTCCAATATGAATGAATATATTTGGGGTTTCTAGGCGTCCCTTTTATACCGCGGTCATCATTTCTATAATTTTCTCGAGAAACTGTCAATAAAGTCACTGCAAAGAAATGGCAGAAATGTAGGTATTTTCTTCCGTCATGTATAGCCCCTTCCTCTTCTCCTCCTGAAAGTCGCCCTGCACTGCGGCTTCGAGAAGCGGAGACGAGTCGCACAGCAAGGTTTTCTGTAGATGGCGACGGTTAGCAGCAAGTTATCGCCAACATCAACCGTGACGTTGTTTCCTTGAAGTCTGTGATAGGTCAGAGAATGCAGAGAGAAATGGAAGGGTTCAGTAGGTACTTACAATGCAAGGAGATTCCGTTCACAGACGGAAGAAACCCCCTCGTTCCCATGCCTACACTCTACCGCATTGATATTTCTACTTAGCGACATTGAGCTTGGAGGAATGTTAGAATCTGTTGAGTTATGACAGCGACCTGAAAACTGCCAGCCATTCCTCAAAGCTTCTTGACCATCTGGGCGCATACCGCAAGGTTTCTCCTGGGGGAGAAGGCCATAGTTCCAGTTAGATTCGCTCTATCCACTCCGAGAGGGATGATGGGTTAGGATAATTGGCATATGTAGTACTAAATAGAAACGCCGTTATGACGATTCTATCATTAATTTAGTTGGCGACTCGGGGAATTGTCTTGAGAAGAGCAGAAACAACGTGCGAAATTAAAGTGCAGGGTTTTCAGAACCGATGGGGGCCTAGAATACAAGAGAATATGAAGATATACAAAAAAAATTGCTGCCACAAGTATAGCTGTGACATGCAAGGTGTTGTTTTAGAAGACAAAGTCATTTTGTTATAATATTCCCTGTCTTGTGCCTTTTTCTAACAGGAAAAGTTCTGGTGATAATGTCCCCATTGTGTCCATTCTAAAATCGGATTTTTTCCCAGCAATTTTTGTATACACAAAGTGTTCCTGAGTGAACAGTCTCCGTGTGTTCATAAAAAACATCCAGAGCCCAAGGTTGATCTTTTTAAGAGGGGCTTTGTAAAAGGGTGTCTCGGAAACAACACGCTGGCTCTCCCAGCGTTTCTGGGCTGCAATACGACCTTCCTCGGTCAGATGCTCATGAGGCACGACTAGCTGACGCGAAAAAGATAGCTGCTCTGGTGTAACGAGAATTTCCCGTTGCTTAAGAAAAGGAAGCATGCGACGAACTTTGATTGAGAGCTGTGTCTGACCTTGCAATCTTTTAGCAGTTATAGAAGCAATTAGATTACCTCCTCGCAGGAAAAAAACAGCTCCCATAGCACCCATCGCTACACATATTCCACCGAAAGTATATTCTTGCCATTTTGCGACTTTCATTAAAGGGTTAACTGAGGTTGCATAAAAGTTATACCCGGAGTACATGAAGCAGAATAATGCAATAGAGTACGCCCCGAGTATGTAAGAGCGGTGCGAAGGAGCTTTGAATATTTCTATAGGGCCAGAAGATTGTGACAAGCGGTAGTTAAATTTGCGAAATCGTTCGTCGGATCGTGTTGGAGGGGGGGCCGCAGGGCTTAATAGCGATGGAGGTTGTTTAGGAGTAGAAAGAGACACTGCTGTTCCGAAAACTGCCTGCTTGCTTGACGAGTGCCTTTCTAGAGAGCCGAGTACGATGAAGGGGGATTTTCGGGGTAGAAGCACAGAGCCGGAACGGACGCCAGGAAAAAATGGACTTATCCGAGAAATCATTTTTAAGGAGCAACAACTCTGTATTGCATATAGTTAAGTTCAGGCCAGACAGCTCCCTCTGTCATTTGACCATCTCCATGCAGTTTCAATGGCATCCAGAGCCAAAAGTGGCCCCCCAGACCTTCGATCACGTGTTCCAAAAACTTTGGGCACAAAATTCGCTTTCATCGGCCACCACTGGTAACTCCATTGACTAGGCTAACGAGTGAGTGCCTCTGAAAGCCGAAAGGTGTTGGATTTATTTGGGTCCCTGGAGTTGGACTATACTGGGATTTTTATTCGTAATTTACTAAGTTCTCGGATAGCCACGAGAAAACATAAATAAATTCTCTTACTAACTATCACCCAAGTAGATCAACTAAATTCAGTAACTGAAAAGATCTTTGCTTTCTAGGAAAATGATAGGGAGGACATCTGAAAAACCCTAACTTAAATAACATTCGAGACGAGTCCTCCGAGTCAAGGATATTGGGGCCTTGACAGCCACAAAGTTGATTACATTTGAACAATGCCATCTACGTTAAGTGTGTTATGGAGTTGGGCACTTTAGTAAGTATAAAACGAGAAATGAGACATGAAATAGATAACAAATAGCAATCAACCAGAAACAAGCACTGTATGTATCTTTAGCGATACTTTCGGAGCTACGTAAGAATAATTAGTACAGACCTCAATTTGTAAGGAGAGGGAAACGATAAAGTAAATGAAACTTACATCTAATGTCAACGTCTTACTACTGTTCGCACTCTGATCTCTGTAGATCCCAACCAAAGCCTCACTGTTCTGGAAGAGCCCTGTCTTCAGACTGATGACAATAAACTGCATCCCTGGCGCTGCATGATCGCGAATATAATTCGCAATACGAGCAACATTGGTATTGTCTAAAGCAGCGTCGACTTCATCTAGGACGAAGAACGGAGATGGCTGGTATGAGTGGATGGCGAATAGGAGAGCAAGAGCGGCCATAGTTTTCTCTCCACCAGAGAGGTGTTCCATATCTCGGAAACGTTTGAGTGGTGGCATGGCGTGGTATTTAATGCCATCAAGATATGGCTCCTCAGAGTCTTCAATGTCGAGATATCTAGTGCGCCAGCATGTTAGAGTGTATACAGGCATCGTGTATTAAAAATTAGAAACGTACGCTTTCCCGCCCATTGGATAACTCTCGGTCTTTGTAAGGTCTCTGTAAATGGGTTCAATTTGCTCAGATATATGTGAAAATGCCTTGTTGAAGAGCTCTGAGCGTTTTTGCATTACGTTTTCAAAATCATCCTTTGCACGGCGAGCGCGTTTACGGGCTTCGTCGAAATCCTTTTCGATACTACGGAGTTTGGTCTCTGTGCCTTCAAGGCGCTCCATAGCACGCATGTTTGGCGCCATTTTATCGAGTTCACTGTTAAGGGAGCGGATTCGATCTTGGAGCTCATCGTCCAATTTTTCATCCGACTCCTAAACCAAATTAGTATCAAAACTCGAATAACTGTAAAAGATATAGGCACGTACCTCCTTAAGCGTCTCACCTAGGCTGCTAAAGTCTACCTCAATTCCGTAGTCCTGCACAGCCATTGGCTGTATTGTACCCAAATTAATATCTTCATCAATCTCCATCGCATCAGGATCAGCAGCCTGAACAAGGTCATCGATTGGTAGTTGGTCGAGGGGATTGGAATCTTTTTCGAGAGGAAGACCGATATCTTCTAACTTGCAGCGTCGGAGCAACGCATATCTAGAGGACGAGTGGCGTTGCATGTCACTTTCAGAGGCACTGATTGTCTTGACAGTTGCTTCAACACTCCTGTTTCGTTTCGCTGCCTCCCGCCGTTGCTCATTGAGGTGCTCACCAGATTGGGTATAGAGGCTTTTCTGCTCTTCTAGCTTTTCCTGTAAGAGATCGAGCTCAGCATTAAGCTCATCAAGGCGATTTTTTATTGTCTTTCTCTCTCCAGAAAGTTCGGTGATCATATCCTGATCACGTTTCTCCTGTGTCTGGAGACCACCTATCCGGTCATTGGTCGCTTGGAGACGTTGTTTCTCAAAACTCAGCTGATTCTCAATTTTGCTGCGCTGTGTTGCAAACTCAAGTTTCTTTTCAGCCGCTTCTTGTTGAAGGGTACCTTGCTGTAGTTCGTATTCACGAATATTTTGATAGCCCAGCCGATGACAAAATTTTCGATAAACTTCATCTTCAACACCACTAACGGTTTGTTGAAGTTCTTCCAGAGAGCTATCTAGTTCCTCAAGCGAACTCAATTTCTCACGATACTTAGGCAACACGCTCTTGGCTTGGCGCTGGCAGTGCTCGAATTCGCTTGACTTGCTTTCCAAATTCCTTTCAAGTGCTTTAAGTTCCTCATGGGCATAGGCGAGGCGTTGCTCTAAACCTGCAAGCTGACCTTGAAGTGCCTCTTCCTCAGAACCTTTTCGATGTGACTTGGGGAGATTATTTAGGTCGTTCATGAGTTTGTCCTTCAACTTGTGCAGATTGGCGACCTCAGTGTCCTCCCAACGTTTTGAATGTTTCTGCGATGGCCCACGGCCACCAGTCATTAAACCACCCTTATGGATAACTGTGCCGTCTAATGTTACGGCCTTGGCGTCAATACCTTTTTCATAACATAGATACTTTGCAGTATTTAAATCATCGCACACGATAGCATTGCCGCAGGCGTAAATTATGGCTCTTGAAACAGAGTTGTCATAATCGACGGTTTCGATTGCAGGACGCATTGCACGATGCATGCCCTTGAGGTTAGAATTAAGAGCCTTGACTTGAATAGTCTCCAGTGGGATAAAAGTCGCTTGTCCTGCTCTCTGATCGCGAAGGTGTTGGATACATTCCTTGGCTGTCTTTTCGTTATCAACCACAATAGCATCGAAATGACGTCCAAGCACAGTGCTTACGGCCTCGGCATATTTCTTTTGCTTTGGTTGGCATAACTCACTAATACGTCCTTTGACGCCAGGGAATATCCGCTTCAAGGTTGAGATCAATTCCTTGGTGCGCAGTTCCTTTTCACTTTGCTGGCGACCATCATCAGCTTCCAACAGTTTCTTCAGTGTCACTTGCAATTTTTCTTCAAGTTCTGTTCGCATTTGTGCTACCCTAAGGCGCTCAGATGTCAAACCATTTAATTCTTTTTTCTTTTGATCAATCTCCTTGCTAGTGAGCTCAATAGTCTCGAGCATGCCTTTTTTCCGTTCAAGAATATTGTTTATATCTGATTGTAAGTTCTTAACTTGCCACTCGGAGCTCTCGTAGTTACTTTTTAAACTGTTAACTGTCTCGGCGTCTGTTTTCCGCTGTCGTTTCATGTTATCAAGTTTAAGTTGGGCAGCCGAAGAGCGCTTATTGACCTCTTCTTTGAGCTTGTTATATTCCTGGAGATCGTTGTCGTTTAGCTTTACACCTTTAACGCTTGCAGCCTGCTGGAATTCCTTTTCCCATTGGGCCTGAGCCTTTTCCACAATTTTTAAATCTTTCTCTAATTGCTTCGCAGTTTTTGACTGGGACTCGGACTCCTTCCCAATTTCCGCAATTCGAGAGCTGTATCGCGCAATCTTCTTCGTTGTGATCTCAATCTTTTCATCCAAAGGTACCAGTGAGTTAGCAGTGTCTTCAATCTCCCTCTCCTTAGTTTTAATGGACTTTTCAACTTTCGATACGTCTCTTCCAACCTGGGCGTGACTTTTTTTGGCATCTTCCAACTTGCGTTCATATCTTTCTACACCGCGTCTAAACTCCTTTAACTCGTCCTGGTGCTTTTGTATCTCGTCGCTTGATTCTTGGATTAAGCGCTGAAAATGGAACAGTTTCCACAATATATGTGTTACGATAGCTTCATCACGTTCTTCGGCTTTCCTTGCATAGCTGTCCGCCTCTCTTTTTTGCTCTTGATACTGCTTGATTTCGGAGTTTATACCTCGACGTCGGTTCAGCTGATAATTCAAATTTTCCGACGATTCGTCTTGTTCTTGTTTTAAACGCTCGTATTCTGCTTTGTACTCCAAGCTACCCGAAATCTGCTCTATTAAACGAGTCAAGTCCTTTGGAGATTGGGATGCGATAGACTCAACGTCGCCCTGAAAAACAAGGAAGTTACGGGCCTTGATGAGGATGTTTTCAGCCTCTAGGCCATCGTTATATTGTTGCGCAGTTACAATACGATTGTTGATACGGTATTCGCTCACTCCTTGACTGGTAATTGAGCGTTTCCATAAATGTTCTTCGCCAGCATCGTCTTCATAAACAGCCATTACCCATGCCGTTTTCGGGTCATTTCTCTCCGCAGGCTCCTCCATCACATCTTCCTGTTGTGTTTCGTTGGCTTCTGCCTCTGGCGCATTTTTTGATGCCGAGCCGTCATCGTTGATTTTGGAATGGCGCAAGACGCGTCCACGGTAGACAAGATCGCGGAGATGCGTGGAGCGAAGATGGGACGACTTAATACCGAGGACGAACGAGATCGCGTCCATTCTATAATACAGATCAGTCGCGTTCCTTCCATTAGCAAATTAGAACTAACGAGTTTGATTTTCCCGAGCCATTTGGGCCGATAATGGACGTGAAGTAGGCATCGCCAAACAGCAGAGTATGATGGCCCTTGTAGGACTTAAAATCTTAAACACACAGTGTTAGCGATGTCCTGTTCATAGTATCAAGGCGACTGTACTGAAAAGTTCCAACCGGATCAACTTTCCCATTTTGACGGCCGATCAATTCAACGGTCAGAGATTCCCGGGTCCTAGCAAACAAGAGTAATAATGCATTGACAACAAATGAATTACTCATATAAAGTACATGCGCGTTGTAACACGAATGCCTGCAAATTGGCAAAGTGAGTTGCCTATTCAACCCCTCGAGCGCGTAGGAACGGGACGCGAAGTGACATCCACGTGATGAGTCGCGCTTATCTAAGCATGATTACTTTAGCGTGTCACCTGGTTTGAGCCCCCGTTCTTGGCGTACGGGGGAAGCTTTGTCACGCTAGTCCAAAGGTAGACAAGCTTGCCCGACGCGCCAACCACAAGCTTTCAGCGACGCACGTCCCCGGCTCAGCGGCGCGCTTAGTCAGCCCTGGCCGTGCAACAAACGCCGCTGAGCAGAACCGCCGGCGAGGGCTCAGATGACTCCGAGATCCTTCTCGCGCAAGGACGCCGTTGAACAGTCACAGGAGGCCTATAAATGCGTGCTGTAGCCTTCTATTTATTCTGCCAGGCTAGCTTCCTCACGCTGATAACTCTCCTGTGAGTGAAGTCACATTCCCGCTTTCCAAAGTTTTTTGTCTAACGCGCTTCTTGAAACAGGCGGTAAACAGCTGCAAGCCCCTTCAGAGAGCAGACGCCGTTTTCCTTTTCGCGTGGGAGCTGTGTTACAATGAGCTCTACAATGGGGGAAGCAACGTCTATTCCAAAAAGCAGGTCCGACACGGAAATCACGCAAGAACACGCGCTGCTAGACAGTCCTGAGACGGTTGAGACGATGCTGAAGGGCCGCAAACATGTACGGACGCCTTCGCACCCGAACGAGCTGACACGAACATCCTCCTCTTCGTCCGGCAGCAGTAACTCCTACCAGGAAGATTGGGAACCATTTCCTCCATTAGACAGGTTGACGGTATTCGATCTTTTGAGCAACTTGGCGCTCCCTCAGAAGCTTGAGAAATGGCAGAACACCCTAACTGCACAAAAGGCCAAAGTAAAGAAGCACCAGGAGAGGTTAAAATCAACAAGCATACAAGCAAAGGAAAGAATGGTGGGCGAATGGCGCAAGAGAATGCCCACGTCAGAGGAGCAGCTGGAAAAATATCGAAAGCGCATGAAAGATTCTGTCGAGCGACTTGGCACTCGCTGGAATGACACCGCTACCGTTACTCTCCGTGAGAAGGTGTCGTTTATAGCCGGTGTCCTTAATATTTTCTTCAGTGGATACCTTATTGGGGCATATCCTATTTATTTCCACTACTGGTTTGCTGGGCAACTTCTCTACTTTATGCCTATTCGTTTCTACACTTACCATAAAAGAGGATATCACTACTTCTTGGCAGATCTCTGCTACTTTGTCAACTTGTTGACGGTACTGAGCATATGGGTTTTCCCACGGTCAAAGAGGTTGTTCTTGAGTACCTACTGCCTTGCCTACGGGAATAATGCAGTCGCCATAGCAATGTGGAGGAACTCAATGGTGTTCCACAGTTTGGACAAAGTTACTAGGTATGCGCTGTCATTCTCTGTTCTGTCTGGTATAAACTAATCATCAACCAGCCTATTCATCCACATAATGCCGCCGGTTACCCTTCACTGTATCGTCCACCTGACCCCGCATGAGCTGCTACAGAAGCGCTTTCCTGCTGCCTACAACATCAAATATAGCTCTGTGGGTTCCCCAGGTCATTACTCTCTTGCCGGCATGATGTTATGGGCCTCCATACCTTACGCAATTTGGCAGCTCTCTTATCATCTTCTTATCACTGTGAGACGTCGAGAGAAAATTGCTGCTGGCCGTCCTACTAGCTTTACGTGGCTACGTCGGTCATATGCCAAAACTTGGATTGGCAAATTTGTTCTTAGTCTTCCAGAGCCTCTCCAGGAGCCCGCCTTTATGCTTATCCAATATATTTACGCCCTACTAACATTAACTCCATGCCCTCTGTGGTTCTGGTATCGCTGGGCAAGCAGCACCTTCCTTTTCGTCGTATTTGTATGGAGCATCTATAATGGGGCGACCTACTATATCGATGTATTTGGAAAACGCTTCCAGAACGAACTTGAGCAGCTGAAACGAGATGTCAGTAAATGGCAGGCAACCCCGGACGGCGCAACTACTCCGGATGGGAATACTGCGTTAAAGAGCCTTGATGATTTTGCTGTTGGCCTACCAGATAAGCCAAATCATTCTGCTGCGGAAGAACTCCCGAGACTTAGCGGGCAGGCAAGCCCAACTACTGAAACAGTAGCTTTTTCTACAGGTGTGGACAGGAAGTCGTCGTGATTTTTGATGCTTGAAGTGTTTGCAGCAATTCAGTATGAGATACCCCATGATGCGTGGTTTTCGTGGTTTCATAGGTCCTTCTGATTTTTAGCACTTGGCGAACCCTGATATGTGATTCCTGATTTCTGCACTTGGTAGCCTGGGTTCTTTTCGCTGTATGTATAGTTCCAGAAGTGGCAGTTTTTTTTTTTTTTTTTTTTTTTTTTTTTTTTTGGTTTTTAACTTTGCCCTTTTGTTTTCAACTCGGATACCAGCACGGAGTATTCGGTTAATGACTCTAATGCACCGCTTGCTATTCTGTAACTGGGACTGGAACCTCTCGAGCTTCTTTGAGTTTCAACCACTCTTTATGATCATGATTAAATGGCTCTCGTCGATTTTGAAGATCTCGGTTCAACAGACTGGATTCTATTCAACCTTATTATATCATTATCTAATTAATTTATTATCGGTTACTATAACTATCTGGCCCCGGCCTCGAGCCTATAACGTAATCCTTCTCTTTACCAACAGACCGGATCTCCATAGCCCGGTTATCAACCCAACTAGAAGCATCCCGTACACAAACCAACCAAATCATTTCCACGAAAAACCGGCCCCGGACAGGAAACCAAGCAAAACTCACAGCCAATATGATCCATTCTCATCCCCAACGTGAGCCGCCCGCTTCCCTTTCTCCTTTCCTTTCCCCTTATTCCCCTTTCTGCCCTTCTTCGAACCTCCAGTTCTCCCCCTCTCGTCCCTAGAGCCCTGCCATTCATTCTTTTTCCGCGAATCCTTTATCCGCCCCCACTCGTCTGATTGCAGTTCCTTTTTCCGCCTAGCAGAAGGTCTGCGGGAGTAATGGATGTTCTTTCCATCGGAATATTGATACGGATACGGAGGGGGAGAAGCGAAAGCTTGATGGATGGCAGGCGTTGAAGGTCTAGGATGCGGTTTTTCCAAATCAGGAGGTGGGGCTGTTGTCTTGAGAGGTTCGGAAGAAAATGCTTTGGGAAGAATTTTTCTCAGATACCGTGGAAGTCTGCTAATTCCTCGCTTCTTGGATTCTCTGTTGTCCTTTTGTCCCTTTTCTTTCCGCTTTGCTTTTGCCGCTTTTTTATTTTCTGCTAGGGCCTGAGGACCGTACTTTTGGTAGTCTGTGGGCGGGATAGCAATATGCTTAGTTGGAGTTGGCTGGTTACGCCTCGAGGATAATATCTGGGGAAGGGAAGAGCATCGGGACAATCGTGGAGATGGATGTGGTGCCCTGGGCCGTTCCGCTTCTAATATATAGGAATCATGCGGCCCTTGAATTGGTGTTCTGGCATTGCGCAAGTCGGCCGTGGTAGTCGTACAAAAGGAATAGAGCTGAGTTCGATTAGGGCCTACACTCTTTATTGACTGACAGACCACCTTCTTAGGCTCGATCTTGCTCTTTTCTTCTTTATTCAGCTTCTTCGGAGTTCCTATAACTTGACTTCCATGACCCTTGCTCAGTAGTGACCCTGGAGAACTTGGCAACGGGGGCAATGGCAGGTTCTCTCTTTGAATGCTTGTTACTCGAGATGGTACTCGATCATGTCGCGGGTGCGGCGAATGGCAAAGACATATATCCGGGTCTGAATTTTCAACTACCAAGAGCGGTGATCTTCCTTTGGGTTTGCCAATTTCCCCATCGCCTTCCCCTTGGACCGAATCAACACCCAAAGGACGGGGAATCAGCGAAGGATCGAACGAGTCGACTGTCCTTGGCGACAAAGGCGGAACAATAGTAGGACTATCAGGAGGAACGCTGTTGACGTGTTGCGATGCCAGTGAGTCCCGACACATGGAAACTGTAACTGGAGGGGTCCATGACACTTCTGTTCCATGAAATGAATGCTTATCCAACCACGGATTATATTGCGATAAAGCTGGAGAGGACGATTGACGGAGGATCCACCGGCCCCGACGGCCAGTAGAAGCCTGCTGAAATTGTTCTTTTAGATTGGTAATGGGAGTTCGACGACGGCCATTTGTCCTAGAAAAGGATCCTTGATTGATCCGTCCGGAAACAAGGGAGTCTTGCGATGTGTTAAGGTCATGCATTTGGTCATCGGCTCCGTTGCGCGGTTCGCTATCCAAAGAAACTATGGAACGACTGTAATCGCTGGATGACGCCCTAGGCAGGTCGGGCAGAGGTTTATACTTCCAAGGATCTTTCTGATCTACCGGCCATGCCTCGTCTGGATGGACAAATTTCTCTAGGCCCTCTAGCGATGCAGCGGGAAGCAAAGATGGCGGCCGATTCGACCGGGCCTTTGAAGATAAAGGCATTGCGGAGGTTAATCCGCTCGGGACTAGGAGGGATACAAGAATCTCAATCCTGCGGCGGGGGGCAGGTGATGGAAATAGAACAGCGTCTTCATCTCTGAAAAAGCGCCTTCAAAAGTCTGAGCTTCAAGCACACATTGAAACTCGATAGCCATTATTAAGCTAAAGCTAGGGCCAGGGGCGTCCTTTGACTTTGGCTCAAGCAAGAAGAATAAAGCATTTCTTGATGGGGAATTTACCTCGTGCGGTGTTTCCAGGAACAAAGAAGAGGCATTTTCGGCTATGATTCGCTTCCGAAGGTGGTTGTATATGCAGGATGTAAGAGAAGAAGTATCGCCGGGCGCAACGGCAGTGAAAATCGTATGTGGGTGAACAGTTTCAAAAAAGTGAGACAGACCAAGGAGATAAAAAAAAGTGTCTTCGAAAACATGATATATATAACAATGCAGGTGCCATAAAGGAGGACCTCCACCGTAGCCAGCGAGATGGGCTGGAGTGCAGGATCGACGTGTTGGACAAAGAGAAAAAAAAAGCTAAAGGCAAGCCACCGGCCCAAGGTCGCTCGATGAAAACGCTCAGCGCCGGAGATCAAGCCCAGAAAAAGACCCTGCCATAGCCGTCACAGTGTTTCCACATCGCCGGTGACATTTGCAGGGGAAACAAGCTTCCTATTCGCGTTCGTAGGACGAATGCAAGAACACCCACCAACATATTGCCGTAGTCTAAAAACCGGGAAAAAAACAAAACAGGGAAGAAAGAAAAAGGTCTGCGAATATACAGAGTATTTCTAGGATAATTTCGAAGCCCTTCGGAATACCTCTTTCGTGAGCGGGCCGTTTTGGTCCCTGGTGCCGGCGAACCGGCCTAGTTTGGTGAGCCGCCAGATCATGTCTTCGTCACCCAGTTGTGAGTTATGCTCGAACTCAGGTGTTTCGCCATATGCTACTCTGGCTGCATCGACTAGGATCCGTGCCGTCAAGCCAAAGACCCGGTATCGCTCCAGACCCAGAGTCGTCCTCTGGGGGCCGCTGTCGGGTGTGCCGTGAGCGGCCGGCGCGTCCTGCTCCCAGCTCTTTTGTCGGGATATGATTACCTTTTGATTAGTGATGGGAACGAAGAAGTTATGCACTGCAGCCGGTTAGTTAATACATAGGTAGTTTGAAAGCGTTTCTTTGGCCCGGGCAACATACTCCTCCAGGGCGCGGAAGTCCACTCGGTCCACACTCCCTCATACCAGTCGGTTGGCGACCCGGGCAGGTTGTCGGCATGGGCCCCCCGGGCCTCGTCGCTCGACTTCAGGAAATTGTGAAACGGCCCAGTGAAGACAGCGGCGACCTCCTTTGCATCGAGCCGTGGCATGAAGGCATCCTCCGGGTCGGCGTTGGCGCCGGTGGCAGCGTCGTGGGAATGCAGCAGCGCGACACACGGCCGGACAACGATTTCCGTTACCGACAGGTTGGCTGGCAGCTCGCAGAGATGCTCGACGCGGAACGGCGCCGGCAACGGCTGGTCGAGGGCCGGCAGACCGATTTCTTCGTTGGCTTCGCGGCGGGCGGTTTCGAAGGCCGTCTCGCGGAAGAAGTCGGCTTTGCCGCCAGGCAGCGCGGCTTGATTGGGATCTTGGGGACACCAGATGTCAGCGAACGGCGCGTCTGTGCAGAGCAGAGTATGGCGGGCCGAGTGTGTTCGTTACATGTCTTGAGCGTGCTGGCTCGGATCGTGAGCACCACCCGCAGATCGCCCGTCCGGTCGGCGTACAGCAGCAGCAGCACGGCCGCCCGCCTCGACGCCGGCACACTATCGTAGGTCGTGGGCGGCGGCACATACGCTCGCAGGCGCTGGATGGCGTCCTACCGCCCGACAGACAAGCATCAGTCGCGGTCTCCGCACGGATGGCCAAGGGCAGCACTCACCAGCGACGCCCGCGACAAGGGCGCCATGGTTCTCAGCAACCTTCGCAGACGCTTCAGCGGGAGCAACCTTGAGCGGACTGGAAATCGAGCGCCGCCGTATAGGGAAAGGCCTCCGAGCAGCAGCAACAGACTCATCGCCGCAGACGACGAGCGCCATTTTAAAACGCGGGCTAAAGGCCGTGAGTCGCGGAGGTTCGGCGGTGCGTTTCAATCGCGCCCGGCGACGTGCGAGCCGAGGTTAGTAACTAGGTAACTAATCATCGGATGTCAGACAGGGGCAGACAGGAACAAGACTGGCTGCACGCTGCATGAAGACAGAAGGATCCAACACATGCTTGTATTTGTGGTAAACTTCGCTCCTATCTACACATGGTATATTGCAACCGCCAGAGGTCAGGGTAGATGAAAAATCCTAAGTCTCAATATCCGCCAGTCTATATGCCAACCGTGGCAAGAACGCAAAACCCTCAGCTCCTCGTACTCGCCGGAATGGAAAAAGGAGGCCCAGCCGGGAGATATAAATCGTCATAGTACATACAAAAGAGAAATGAAAAATGAATGTAGCCGGCAGAGAGCCGGCACATGGCGCCGCAATGCGCATTCCAGATGGGCCCAGGTCAGGGTATTAGAATCGATAGGCAAGAGTGTGAAATATCAAAATCTCCGCCGGAAACAACGCCTACTCCATGTTCTTCTCTTTCCGTTGCTTGGAAAGATCCTTTTCTGCTTCCGCGGCCTCTGATTCTTGGGCCATCTGTGTCGACGAATGCTGCGAATCGCCGCTTGCAGCAACTTTGTCTTCTTTTTCATCGATATTCTGGTTATCCTTGGGCGAAGACATACCCTGCTCCTGGTTCTCGGTGATCTGCTCGTTCTCTTCCTCAATCAGCTCTTCTTGCTCCTTGAGGACTTCGAGGCGTTGCTTGTTCGTAGCGACACCCTCAGCATTGTGAACTTCCAACTCAATCTCGTGGAATAGTTCTTCGGGTATGCTCGAAAGCACAGCCTTCAGAGCGTCGATTTGCGAAGAAATCTCGTACTCTTGCGACTGCTGCGTATACATGTAGGCGTTGCTCAATACGAGGAGCGTAGATGGAACACCTTTCTTAAGTCGCAAGTCGAGCCACATGCTCAAATCTTCCCGTAGCCGAGCCGGCGAAAGGCCATGTGTCCTCAACCCGCGAGAAGCACAAGCTGTCTGGAGCTCGGTGACTAACAGGGAGTCAACGCCTTCAAAAGAAATAGCCCGGTCATCGCGTTTGATTTGACGCATCCGGTGGCGAATGTTATATCTTAGCATGGCGTCGGTACCAAAAGTGTTCAGGTTCATGTACTTGCACATCCCAACCAGCTGTGGACGAGAAAGATTGTCCAACGTAAGGTCATCCTTGAAGATCTTGCACACAGTGATGACATCTTCTGGGCTTGGATCCTCACCTGTAGCGCGAACCTTCCTAAAAAATTCAGTAAATTCTTCCCTCTTTGCATTTGTCGGGCTGACCGGCAGTCCGGTTTCTTTAAGCGTATTACGGAGGAAGGATGACACCTCCTTGCGGGTATCTCTCAAGCTCGCTGCCTTCGCATCCTTGGATTTTTGAGCTTCGTAGGTGCTTGGAAGGAAATTGGGGAATAGTTTAATCACGAACGGAATGAGTAACTCCGCGAAAGGGATAATCACGAATACGGAAAATGGAACAAGACGGCCCAAATCCTTCACCGTACGTTCAAGCTATGTAAAAGAATCAGTGAATGCTCGTAGCAGCAGGTTCCCAGAAGGAGGGCCAAACCTGTCTATTCTCTCTCCGACTAAGTTCATAGCCAGCAGCCATCTTCACGGCGAGCCTCGTACTGATTTTGACTTCTGTAGCCAACAGCTTCGTACCATCCCAGTAATGCTGAGCCTCCTTCTTAATCTTCTGACCGAGCGTAAGCTTCTTAGGCTCCTTTGGCTCCTCAACCGCTTTAGCAGCAGCTTCCGTGCTAAGACTTGTCTCTTCAGGTTTTGCAACGGCTTTTACGCCATCGGCCTTTGGTTTCTTTTCAGATGGTTTCAGAGCTTGGGCATTGGTCGCCTCCGTAGCCGGTGAGCTTGACGCATTGGAGGGTTGAGAGGCAGCTCCTTTCGCGAGCGGCTTTTTCGCCTGCTCCGCGTTGAACCCAGGAGGCGGAAAGTTGTGCGGGGCACCCGGTCCATGAGATGTAGAAGGGTCCGTGGCGTACCATCGCTGTTGCGGGATTAGAAAAGCTAACGCAGGGATGCGCGATGGTAATTGATTGCCATTTAGGCGGGCATTGAGGGCGGAGTGTGCGACGAGAGTGCTAGCAAGCCGGGAGCGAGCTATAAAGAGCCCTGGGTCAGTACTTAACCATGAGATAGATAGGTACGAGGGTCGCGTACATCGCAAAATAACTCTCTGTGTTGGCACCGTGCTCCGGGCAACGTTGGTCAAACTCATACCGAGAGTGAGTAGGGGGAGCAGGCTAGGCCGGGTTATCAGACTTCGGGCTGCCGAGAAGAGAACGATCACAAAAACTTCCGCAACAAGGGAAACGACTAGAGGTGGCTTAGTACTAGGGGTAGATAGATTTCAAGTACTAGGCGACTGAGCAGTAAATATTATTGAACGATGGCTGTGATGGCGAACAACGGCTTCAGAGCCTGAAATTCGGCGGGTTTGATGTTGCGGATCAACGTTTCTCCAGCGTCGCCACCGCGAACCTCATAGGCTGGCCTCGATGGCATCAGCACGTCAACAATCTTGGGCGCACGGGAAGATACCGCCATCAGCCTTCTGGCCGGGCCTTTCTAATAGCTCCGCGCGCTATTCCGAGTACTAGCTACGGGAATGTTTAGAAACTACGTAGAATTGAGAAGGGCAAAGTAACCCTTGAAGACCTTCTGTGAAATGCATCCTTACCTTGGGCGACACAGTCGAAACCACAGGCAATTCAAGAAGTTGCCAGATATCTCAGTGACACGTATTCAGGCTAGAATAGTCTATTTGATGTTGCGCATAGTTCGAGATAAACATGAAGACTTCACAACAAAGCCTATCTTCTCTTGTCCGGGAATATCGCAAATGGAAGGGTTATTACTGATGGGTGTCTGCTTGCCTGGCCCGAGAAAGACTGTTCCATAGTACGGAGTATGGAGCAGCTATCTACACCAGAAATGGGTGGCTTTGCCCGGCAGGCGGCAACAATGTTATAGGAGATCCTAGCTCCATTTGTCAGGAGGCAGCCATGCATGCCTAAAGGACAGCCTTCAGTCAAGAAAAAGGTGTACACCGCGTAAAGTCAAGGATACTACCAGGTCGGTGATAAGAAGATATAAACCATGGTTGTCGTTACTTCCAAGGTATCCGAAGAACCGTACTCCGTACATTGTAGGGGGATGATGGCGAAGCGTGTCGGGCTTGAAAACAAATTCAATGTCTCTGTATTCGTGGTAGGGAAAAAGGTCAGAGGATGCCACCTGCCAGGAAGAAATTGAGGATTCGTCTTGCGTGCGGAGTATGGAGCAGTACTTGGTTCTTAGCGATCTCCCTTCACGCGCTCACTGTTCCTTGTTTCTGGGCCCTGGAAGGCCTCGATCCTGCAGTGCGGATGATCCACAGTAGCGAGACAATTGCTAAGGAACCAGGTCCAGTGGCGGCGGGAGGTGTCATGTGGGCAGAGCCAAGGGCCAAAAACCAGCAGCCGTGGAGCAGTCCATGGAGTCCGGGTGATGAAGCGCGTATGGAGTAGATCGGCCTGATCACGCCAACGGCAGGCAGTGTGCTGTCGGCAAGAAACCAGCAACTGCGAGCAAGCACCACACTCTGGTGATGGCCGCAGCTGACAGGTCTGGGCAGAAGCTGCAACGGGTGAAACTCCAGGCTAAAGTGGCTGGCGACCCCGCTCGCCGCCAGGAAGCTGCAGCGTACACATAAGTAGCACGCCCGCCCTGTTCTCCCCGCACGCAGCCATCCTGCTGCTCCTTTGATGAAAACAACCTCACCTCTTCGAAGAACACCAGCTACTTATCATTCGTGAACCCTAGAAGCTATAATTACTTTCTATACACCCGCAACCATGGGCGGGGAAGCCCCACGCGGAGCTCCCAGCAACTACCCAACCTTCGCCGACAAGCCAGTGGGCCAGAAGATTAGTGGGATATACAGGGACCGTCTTCGCCAGTTCACTGCAACAGGGCAGTACCAGGGCCAGAATCTGGTTGCGTATGTTGCCTAGACTCTCGTGTTGCCCTTCCCCCTCTGCTGTCGCCCTTCCGAGGTACAGGAAAGACCAGGGCTAACCATTGATCCGCAATTGCGCCCGCTGTCGCCGACTACAGCAAGTACTTCGAAGCTACAAATGACGATGAAAACCATGTCAAGCTTTCCGTCTACTCCGTTCCCAATCTAGAACGACCTGGCTTCGAAGATGTCGTCTCCAAGGAGTTTAGGCCCACTAGGAGGGGAGAATCCTTTGGACCAAGTTGGTCGACCCATTGGTTCAAGATCGGACTCACAGTGCCTGAAGATATGAGGAAAAAAGAGCGGCTCGAGTTCCATTGGGATGCTAACAACGAGGGTTTGGTTTGGTCTGATGATGGACGTCCGCTACAAGGCTTGACTGGCGGAGGCGAGAGAGTCGAATGGATCTTACCGGATAGCTTTAGAGATGGGAAGGAGCACCTATTCTACATTGAAATGGCATGCAATGGCATGTTTGGAAATGCAGATGCAGATATTATCCAACCACCAAATCCAAACAGGTATTTCCAGCTCAACACTGCTCGCATTACAGCGGTCAACCTTGAAGCTCGAGCTCTGTATTATGATTTCTGGATGATTGGAGGTATGCTTCCCCTGCCTGGATTCGATTTGGGGGAGCTGTATTAAATCTTGAATCTAGATGCTGCGAGAGAGTTCCCCGGGGATGCATGGCAGTCCCACGAAGCTTTACGCATCGGAAACGCCATGATGGATGCTTTTATTGACGGGAACGGGAGTCAAGAATCCATCAAAGAGGCACGCAAGCTTGCTGAGCAGTATCTGGGCTCACTGGTTAATACGGCAGACGTCTATAAAACTGAAGGAAAACCCCTTGTGTTTGGGATTGGCCACTGCCACATAGACTCTTGTTGGCTCTGGCCATTCGCAGAAACAAAACGCAAAGTAGCCAGATCTTGGTCTACTCAGTGTGACTTGATGGAACGATACCCAGAATTTCGATTTTGTTGTTCCCAGGCCCAGCAGTTCAAATGGCTAGAAGACGGCTACCCCTATGCATTTGACAGAGTCAAATACTGGGTGAAGAAAGGTCGCTTCCAACCAATTGGCGGCAGCTGGGTTGAGCATGATACGAACATGCCCAGTGGCGAGTCCCTTGTGCGTCAGTTCTTGTACGGGCAACGATACTTTGAAAGTCGTTTCGGCGAACGTTGCTCCGTATTTTGGCTCCCAGATACTTTTGGTTACTCCTCGCAGCTGCCGCAGCTATGTAGGTTAGCAAATATGAGCCGTTTCTTTACCCAGAAGCTCAGCTGGAATAACATCAACAACTTCCCCCACACTACATTCAATTGGGTGTCGCCAGACGGCAGCCAGGTACTGTGCCATATGACCCCAGCAGAGACATATACCGCTAGCGCTCATTTTGGAGACGTCAGGCGCAGTATTACACAACACAAATCCATGGATCAGGACAACACTTCTCTGCTTGTTTTTGGGAAGGGTGATGGTGGTGGTGGTCCAACCTTCGAGCATATTGAAAAGCTGCGACGACTTCGTGGAATGAGTGACAAAGTTGGCCTTCTACCTCGAGTGACCATGGGTAGCTCTGTCAACGACTTTTTCGGCCAGCTTGAAGAGAAAGCGGCCAATGGCACTGATTTTGTTACCTGGTACGGAGAGCTATATTTCGAATTGCATCGTGGTACATATACGACCCAAGCGAATAATAAGCTCAATAACCGCAAGTCGGAATTTGTACTTCGTGATTTGGAGCTATTTGCCACTCTAGCTACTCTAAAGGACTCAAAATATAAGTACCCTAAGAAGCAGCTGGACGAAATGTGGGAGGCTGTGCTTTTATGCCAGTTCCACGATTGCCTGCCGGGTAGTTCAATTGAGATCTGCTATGATGACTCGGACAAAATCTACGCAGAGGTTTTTGAGACGGCGAAAAAGCTTAAAGGAGAGGCTTCAAAAGTTCTCGGGTTTGCTCCAGAGGGTGCCTCGAAGAAGAAGCTTGTAGCTGTCAATACTTTGCCTTGGGATCGAACTGAGATAGTAAGGTTGGATGAGCCGAGTTTAGCATCTGGCACGCCGCAGTATGCCCTCGCTAGTGGAGGGATGGGAGTGGTTACTGCAGAGCCACTTAGCTCCTCCACGGCCACATCACTGAGCGTAAAAGAGGTTAAAAATGGGGTATTCCAACTTGAAAATGCAGCGCTGTCATTGCAAGTTGCTGACGGTGTGATAACAACTCTGTTCGATCGGAAGGCGAATCGGGAAATCATTCCTAAAGGGAAGAAAGCCAATCAGCTTGTTATCTTTGATGACAAGCCTCTTTACTGGCAAGCCTGGGATGTGGAAGTTTTCCATCTTGATTCCCGCAAGGAGTTGACCTCTGGTTCCACTAAGATCGCAGAGCAGGGACCGCACCGGGTGAGCGTGGTGACAGAAACGAAAATCAGCGATGCGAGCTGGGTTAAGACCACGATCAGTTTGACAGAAGCACAGGGTGACACTCCAGCATTTGTCGAAATGAACTCTGAAGTTGAATGGCGAGAGACCATGAAGTTCCTGAAAGTCGAATTCCCAGTTGATATCGTCAACACGGAAGCGTCATATGAGACGCAGTACGCAATCACTAAGAGACCAACTCATTATAATACCAGGTAACGTTTTTTCCCCTCCATTCAAATTTACCAAGTTGCTGACATATTTTCTAAGCTGGGATATGGCGAAATTCGAAGTCTGCTGCCACAAATGGGCGGATTTGTCAGAAAGCGACTATGGCGTTTCCATTCTGAATGACTCCAAGTATGGTTTCGCGACATGTGGAAACTTGATGCGTCTGTCCCTTCTTCGTGCCCCCAAAGCTCCTGACGGCAATGCCGACATGGGTCGTCATCACATTCGTTATGCGATCATGCCTCACTCTGGTCCTCTCGATTACCGCACTGTTCGTGCTGGATACAACTTCAATAACCCATTGGTTGTCTATCCATGCTCCGGAACTGAAGCCAATAATCTTTTCAAAGCGATCCAATTATCCGGTTCTCCAAGCCTTATTCTTGATGCAATCAAGCGTGGCGAGGACGATGAGGACGTATCTCGTGGAGAGCTTGAGCGCCGACCAGGAAGGAGTATTATTATTCGCATTTACGACTCGACAGGCGGCAAGAGTCGCGGCACGATTAGCGTGACGTTGCCTATCAAGAAGGCGTACAAGTGCAATATCCTTGAGGATGATCTGGATGAATTATGCATCCAGAAGGGAAAATGTGAAGCCAATATCCATATTGAGTTGCGGCCGTTCGAAGTCGCTACATATCGTCTGCAGCTCTGATATGCGCCGCAGGGTGCTTATTGTTTCCCTAGTGTGTTGCCGATGTAATTATGACAGCCTGACAGAATTCCCCTCTTTGTCTTTGCTCGCCTATATATATATTTCGTTGTTCTTTCGGCTCTGGACAAGGTTGATACATGGTCGCTCCTAGAATAGGCTGCGTGGTGCTGCGAACTATATTATTATTATTAGCTAGAGAATTCATTCTCTATATGGGAGATCCGTGGTATTCAAGAGTCCTACTCAAGTTATAAATCTAGGTGAAAGATACAAAGCTCGCCCACCGGTCATAGATCCCTTAATAAACCAACCCTAGCTACGCCGCTTTAGGTCAAAATTCCGTCTATCAGCAGGTAGGCCACCCACCTCAGGCATCGGGTATTCAAGTCAACAAAAAAAGCCCTTTAAAAACACCGTCGCTCAATGCTCCCAGCATATCAAACACGCCTCGGCACCGGAAAGTAGAAAAAGCCAACCTCCGTTTTTACCTACCACAACACCACGAAGTGTTTCCCAAAAAACAAAAAAGCTTTTTGTCCTCTCTTTATTCCCCTCGCCCATACGTAATTTTGAGTCGTTTTACTGGCGGCTTCGAATCACCACCTTCGTCATCATCCTCCCTATCTCGGGCAGAAGCGGTGCCTCCAGCAGCTTTCTTCTTGTTCTTGCTTGTTGACGCACCCTTAACGCTATTTGGAGCAGAGGTGTCTTTTGTATTAGGCCCGCTGGGGCCGGAGTAGGTGGGTGTTGCTGCGTGGGAAGGGGTGGTGTGGGCGCTGGAGGGTGCGGGGGAGTCCTGACATAGAATAACAACCATGGTTAGTTTCCACCGGTTAAAATATTGCTCTCGTAGTTCAAGACTTTTGCTCCACTCGAAGAAGCATTTGAAAAAGAAAAAAGAAAGTAAAAAGTACATAGGGCGGGGGTTCGACCAACCCTCATGAAACTTGCAGAACTTCGAGAAAACACTCGATCCATATCCGAAACCTGGCCTTTCCTCCGTGTCGATGTTCCGCCGCTTGCTCCGCCACCAAATGAGGCCCCAAGGCTGCCAGCCGTGCTTAGAGAACTGCCCGTGGAGCCTTTGATGTAGTTGTCGAAACCCTTGATGATGTTTCCAGCGCCGGTCTCTTCGAGATACGAGTGTTCGAAACGGTAGATAGACTCTTCTAGTGCGGCCTAAGTTCATGCAGGATAATTTAATTAGCCTAGGAAATTCCCTGGAGTGTGATCTCCAATATTGCGCATCTCTATGCATAGCGGAGCCAGTGAGTGGAAGGAAACGTGAAAACGCACAAGATTTCTGTCCAGTATTCGTTTCCTCTGCAACGTTTCACGGAGCTCTCTGCGCAGCTTCTCATAGTATGGCACGCCGCGCGCCGTCGTAGCTTGATCGGGACCTGTGTTCGGCGTTGCTACCGGCAAAGGGGTGGCAGCCGCCGCTGCCGTGGCGGTCTGTGGGATGTTTTCGGCCATTTATAAGGTGCTTGTGGCCGCTAGGACGGCCACAACAGCAACGATGGAAGAGATGAGCTCTGCAGATGGTGCGTCGCGGGAAGCAGGAATAGTTCGCGGGCGTGCAGGGTCGCATCTGCTGAGATGCCTGAGAGCTTTTGAGGCAGTTTGGGTGAGTCGCGTGTTTGGCGTGTTTGCACACGGCCCGCCCTTACACGAGACTCCGCAGCCGATGGATGCCGGCTTGTATAAAGGCTGACTGATGCCGTAGCTCTGCGACGATTCTCTGTTTGATCGTGACTTCGCTGGGCATGCATCAAAGGTTCTCTTGCGTCTATCAACGAACTGTACATACATCTATAATACATATATACAGCCGTTGTTTTGCTCCTTGCCAACGCGATTCCTCCTAGCTACAGCTCCCTTACTCCGTACACGTAACCAGTTCCTGCATAAAGAGGACGAGGCTTTGAACACGAAGAAACTATAGGAAACACCATCAGCTTCACCCAGAAAATCAATAATCATGAATCACGGTGGCCACGGCGACATGGATATGGGCAATGACCAGTGCAGCATGAACGTACGTTAACGGCTTTCTCAACGGCGCGGCTCTCAGCCTTCTTTCTGACATGATTGCTCAGATGCTGTTTACGTGGTCTACGAAAAATCTATGCCTGGTGTTCCGTCAATGGCGGATTACAGGGCCTATCTCGCTGTTGTTGTCTCTCGTTGCAGTCATCCTGTTGACTGCTGGCTACGAAGCTGTGCGAGAAATGACGAGGCGATATGAGACAAAGGGCGCGAGAGCATTCGTTTCAGGCCCAACTTCCGGTATGATATCCTCTTTTTTTTCATTCTCGCTTCCTAGTTTTGGATTTGTGCTATACATCTCATGTTTGGACGGGCGGGTGCATGCCAAATGCTCCTTGTTTTGAAAATCTATATAAAAATTGGGGACAAACTCTTCAACTCATGCATATCATCCACAAGACGGCTGCGAAGCGGGTCCCGATAACGAATCCAGCTCACTCCTTTTTCCAGCAAGGAACATCAACAACGAACATATTGCCCGGCGCAATAAAATTGTTCTTGCTGTACTCTATGGTATTCAGGTATTCTACAGCTTCTTCATCATGTAGGTGGACCTTCTCTTGGGAAGTCTATCTAGACTTGGGCACTTACGGATTTGCAGGCTTCTTTTTATGACGTATAACGGCTGGGTTATGATCGCTGTTGGTATTGGTGCTGCCCTAGGATATCTGACTTTTGGTGCCGGCTCTGCGGCAAAATCCGCTTCCTGCCACTAATCTTTTACGTGCTTGCGTATATACGGCGTGATGAAACGATGACAATTGGAGAATAGTGGATATATGGCGTTGGTTATATGTACAGCTTTTTTGCCTTGCTTTTTGCAATATCACGGAACTTCAACATCACTCCCTTCGTCACCAAAGCCAAAACTGAACCCTCCATTTCGATCATCAAGGTCTTCTTCGTTTGTACGGACGATTTCGTCCCATTTCCTTTTCTTTTTACTCTCCATCTCTTTAATAGCCCTCTCCAGTAAATCCGGATATGACTCATGCATCCGTTGAATGAATATTCCATACGGATCTTCCACGTCCTTTTTAAATCCAGAGACTTGATCGGCTTTATATCTCAAGAATTCAAGTGCGGCTCCAAGGTGCTTTCGTGGAACAAAATTTTGTGTGATTGCGATGGACGGGCTTAAGTTAACAACCAAATGCCACCACCCAGAGGGAACATGAAGAACCTCTCCCGCCTCGCAAATCCCTTCAATGCAGCCATGCACCTTGCGTGCGGCGGCATGGAAATTCAGTAGCCATTCAGCGATGCTGAGCGGTGACGTGACTTCGCTCTGATCCGCCGAAACATACACCCCTGGCGGCGGGGGTAGACAACTTGAGCTGGGAAACATAATCCAATATTTCGACCCAGTAATAACGGCATTCCATGCGCTTGTTGCATTGGGGTCCTTATGAAACGTACTCCCGCTTCGTTCAGGCCCAATGATCAACCACTCCTTATCAGGACGCTGTGCCCCCAGGACCGAGAATAGATCCCGGCCAAAACAGGCGGGTGGAAGGAAGGCTGCATTTTCCCCATCCGTATCAAGACCCATCTTTGATACAAAGCTTCGATCAAAGAGGTACAGAGGGCTCTCATCAGAGTTATTGTTCATATAGTCCACATATGTGCGTAGCGGCCAATCTACGGCTTCTGCGCGGAATAAAGTCTTGTCGTACTGCTTAAGAAGTGTTTCGATTGACCATGTCTTGTAAACCGGCCATGTCTTGACAGGCTCGGTCAGAATAAATGGCCGATCTGCCCATGAATCGTCAAACTCGGTTGAGGTGAGATTTCCTAGCCGTGAAATCTGATTTCTGGCTGGGATGTTCTCCGTGTAGGGAGATAGCGAGATGTGGGCGCAGTAGAATGGCCGGTGCAGAGCATCCGAAAAAAGATGCGAGCAATCTGGCGAAGCTACCTTTGAGTCAGGAAGACTGAGATACGTGGAGCGCCATGTGCCGCGCCAGATAAAGTCCGACGGGGATGTCCTGCGGTATTAGTTAGATTCTGCCACAATAGCACCTTGCAAGCAAATATCCCCCGAAGATTTGGATACAGTTTCGTCGCTTGGTTGCAGCTTTCGCTCTATTCAAACAGGCATTTGTGCAATCCGCAGACGATTCTGTTTTGCAACCAGGGGAAGATCAAACAGAATTGAGTTGTGGCAGCCAACTCACTCTATAAAAAGCGTTTTCCACAAGTCCTCGCTCCGCGTGAACGCGTGCAACGCCTTGCATGTCGCACCAACGGCCCTCAGGGCTTTTTCGTCCAAAGACTCAAGCAGCAAAGATATCAGTTCATCCGGCAGAATGCCAAAATGACCAATGGATGCCCGCAAGTTCCATGACGCCGTTAGCCCGTTTCCAGACGGCTTGACGCCTAAAGGGTGGGCTGGGATTGCGCCAGTGAGATCAAGATCGAGAGCAGAATTGGCGTTGAGGATGGGATGATGAGCGCCATTCATGACTGACAAGTTTGAAGGGCTGAAGAATCGCGGATCTCGATCTTGGTTCGTAGGTTCTTTCTGGGTGCTTTTCTGTTGTCTTGGCTCATAATTTTGTTTCGCTTGTGGGCCGACTTCATTCCTCGGCAAACCCACGACATCAATCTCAGACTGGACAACAACAGACAGAATACCAGCACGAGTAATTGAAGCCCAGTCAAGGTGAATGCAGCGAATGTGTCCTGTATTTCCCTCCCCTAAAAAGAATACGCCTTTGTGATGTGAGCACTGGGGTGCTGAGCGACATGGAATCTATCGGCAATGCACACCTATCTGGATGCCCACTTTGAAGATGCCTCTGATTATTATTGATACTGAGTCTAACTGGTTACTTACTAATTACTTCTATAATACTAGAGAATCTACTCCACACTCTTTTCACGTGGGCTGAACGCTTCCCATCACTCTCCTTCTCGGAGCGTCAGGCTTCCGCAAAAGATGGGCCAATAGTAACTGGATGGTTCTGCCCATTATTAGTGGGTGGCTAGCACACTTTGGGTCATCTATGTCACAAGTAAACCCTTGATTGGGAGAAGCCTGGGATGATATCCTTCTATCTGGAAAGCGAGCATATATTTCATTTTCAAGCTCCCCAGGCCTTGCAGGATTCATTACGAGGAATTCCATAGCATAGTTCTTCCCGCCAGGAAATACATTCTCGTCAAAGCGATAGACACGCCCAGAACATCCCCAGCCAATAACGTCAGCTTCCCATGGTTTGTAAAATGGTAATTGGCAACTGTCATATTCCCCGCTTGCTTCAGCATTCGTCGTCGCGATCTCTTCGGTCATGGTTGTGGTTGAAAGAGAAATTCAGCACTGAAATAATTGTGGTCAGCCATCTTAACAAGGGGAGCGGACAATAATCGATCCTACCCTACCGAAGATATCTGAGGCTGGCGAGCAACTGTTGATGGGGCTGTTGAACAAGGTGCCCAACCTTAACGCTGCCCCTGGCCAGAAGATGCCTAGCTCCTAGGGAGTCAAGTGGTTCCAAATCGCTGGCTGTCACCATTTTACATATAATAGTCGACTGGCCGGTAAGTCTGAGGCCCCCCACCCCCGGCGCGTATCCCCAACTCTAGGATTAGAGTGCGGAGCACGGAATATGTGCTATGTACGGAGTGCTCCATACAGTCACAGAAGAGCAACTTCGAGTCCACCCCTTATTAGAATAGGCAGAAACATTATTGCCTCTTTCTCTTGACCGCCGAGGTCTCCATAATATCTGAAAGACAACTATTTACCAATCATGATCATATCTGCGCCTTGTCTGTAGCTGGAAGGTAATTGACAAGTCCTATGAAATAGCCATGATTATTAAATGAACTAGACAGGAATGAGAAAATAATAATCCAGAAACACTACGGAGTACAAAAACGAAATTCAACCGCTGCTTTGAAGTTAGCACACATTTGTTAGGAACCCATCAATAAAATCAACCATATTTCGCTAAAGGCAAATAGCTCAATCTCCTGCCGTGAGAAGTGTGACTACTGCCTCATGTCCATTCCGCTGAGCCATCAACAGTGGCGTGTCGTCTTCACAATTTTTAGAATCAGGCTTGGCACCCGCAGCGAGCAGGAGTCTAACCACAGCCTCATGCCCGTTTTCCGCAGCGCATGCAAGGGGTGTTTGGCCGTCCGAGTTCTCAGAATTTGCATTAGCGCCCAGAGAAAGTAATAGCTTGACAGCTGCCTCCTGTCCATTTCTTGCTGCCCACCAGAGTGGGGTTTCACCTCTAGAATCTTGGATATTAGGGTCGACGCCATCATGTTTTAATAGCTCTAGAATAACCAATCCGCGATCAAACCGAGCTGACAACCATAGCGGTGTCTCCCCCTGAGAATTTTTAGGGTCGGGGTCTGCGCCAGCAGCCACAAGCATATTGACCACTGCTTCATGTCCATTGCGTGCCGCAGCAAATATGGGTGTCTCTCCAGTAGCGGTTCGAGACTCGACGTTAGCACCCATACTAAAAAGTGCTTCGACAATGCCAACATGACCATGGAATGCCGCCCACCACAGTGGTGTGTATCCGTCATTATTTGTCGAGTCAAAGGAAACGTTGTCGTTGGCGAGTAAGAGCTTAGTCACAGTCTCCTGTCCCTCTTGACCGGCATAAAGCAGAGGTGTGTCACCATTAGTGTCTTTAGGATCAGGATCAGCGTTATTAGCGAGTAGGAGCTCGACCGTGTCTTCATGCCCATGTTTGGCCTCCCACATTAGTGGAGTCCTTCCTTGCAAGTCTCGGGGGTTTGGGTCGATATCCTTGCTAGTGAGAAGTAGCTTGACTATTGCACCATGACCATTATGTGCAGCCCACCAGAGAGGGGTCTCCCCTTGAGAATTTGTTAAATTGGGGTCGACGTTGTTGGAGGCAAGGAGTAACTTGACTACCGCCTCATGTCCGTTCTCTGCTGCCAACCAAAGAGGCGAGCGTCCGTTAGAGTTCTTAGAATCAGGATTCACACTGTCAATAGAAAGAAGTATCGTGACAATTGATTCGTGCCCATTTCGCGCCGCCCAAGAGAGAGGCGTGTTTTCATCATAGTCCTGGGTATCAGGATTAAGACCATAAGAAGCAAGTAGAATCTGAACAACAGTCTCATGACCAAATTCAGCAGCGAGTGAAAGTGAGGTTCTTCCTTGGATATTTTGGGAGTCGGGATTCGAATTCCCCATGTTCAGCAAGAGCTTAACTGCTTCTCCATACCCATTCTTTGCAGCTAGCAAGAGGGGTGTGTTGCCATCGGAGTTTGGAAAGTTAGGGTCAACCCTTTTAGTTGCAAGCAACATATCGATGACGCCTGTATGGCCGTTAAGTGCCGCAAAAGAGAGTGGTGTCTCATTTTTGTCATTCTTAGAATCAGGTTCAATGTTAGTCTCAGAAAGGAGTGATTTCACCACTTCCTCATGCCCAAGCTCCGCTGCTAAAGAGAGAGGCGTTTCTTTCTGCGCGTTCTTATTATTGGGATTGACGTTCCCCGTGTCAAGTAGAAGGCGAAGCCCTCCGTAGTACCCATTTCCTGCTGCCAATGATAGTGGTGTCTCCCCCAAAGAATTTCTTGGGTCTAGATTTATTCCTTCTGCGGCGATTAATAGCTCCACCACCGGTTCGTGTCCGTACTGCGCGGCAAAAGTAAGCGCCGTGTTGTCATTCCAATCGGGAATATTAGGGTCAACTCCAGGCGTGGCGAGCAAAAGCGTCACCACAGCCACATGTCCATATTGAGCTGCTGACGAAAGCGGTGTATAGCCATCCCAGTTCCTGACATTAGGGTCGATGCCCTCCGTGGCCAAGAAAAGCCTGACGATGTCTTCATGCCCGTTCTGCGCGGCTAGGGATAGAGGTTCATGGTCATCTTGGCTGCCGGGGTCGAATGTTTTGGAGGCAATCAGTAGATTTACAAGGGGCTCGTAACCATGTTTTGACGCGCACAGAAGCGGCGACATGTCGGAAAAGCTCTCTAGCGCTTTGTAAAGCTCATTGATTTGCCCCTGCTCCCAAGAACCAAAGGAGCTGAGGTTCCTTAAGGCGCCAGTAACGTCAAAGTCAACTTCTTGCGATTCTTCTGGAAGCAAGTAGTCAAATAGGTAGATAATAAATGCAACTGTGAATGCATCTGGGGACGGGGCATCTTCTCGAGCGGCGAGAATCCGTGCGGTGTCCTCTGGCATCGACAGTTCGGGATTTTCATGTTGTTCAAGCCTAGTAAGAAAATCTCTTGCCAATTCGAGCTGCTCCGAGTTAAATGGCAGATCTGTTGTGCCATCCGGCACCCCTGAACTAGAAGTCATTTTTCAACTGTGGACGCGTTTCTGGCGATTAGAAACATGATAAGCTAGAGCATCGGTGAGATATTTAAATGAATGGGCACAGCAACTTACGCAAGCAAATCTCACTCAATCTGTATGACTGGTGCCTGGAAGAGCAATGGTGAAGAGGGGTGGAGGGGTAGTGGCACGGATCCCGCTCAGTTGAGTCACTGTCTGTGTTGCCACAGACGTAATGAGGTGTTTCTACCATGACGCGGTGTGATCAGCCAATCGAAGCTACAGCTGCAGCAGCTTCCATGGGTCCCTCACGACGGATTAGCCCTCCAGAAGATCATCTTTGCCTGTTGATTTCCGTGCATTATTTGTGGCGTCCGGTGTACTCCGGGTGGAGATCATGCGGCTGAGGTTAGCATGGGGTGGGAATATCCCTCTGTTATTTTAAGCTTACCACTACTACTCCGTAGGAATGCACCGTACTCCGTACGGCGAAAAAAGTCTGGTCTAGCTTCGGTACGGAGTATTTATGGAGAATAAATGATACCACCACATGCCAATCCTAGGAACGGGATTTCGGAGGCAAACTCCGCTGCAACAGACTTTCCCGTTGAATGAGCTTGTTTTGATGACTCAGTGAACTCTAACTAGGCATCACCTTTATCCCAGCCATCACATCAAAAGCTATAATAATATAATAACCTACTAACTAGCAACAACTGAACAAGTCACACAGGAAGCAACGAATCGTCTCGTTCGCCGATCAGACAACGTCAGCTGCCGGCTGCATGTGGACTTCAACCTTGTCGAAGCACTCCCGTCGGTTCCAGCCTTGCCGCCGCACTACTGCTTGATAGAATAATTACTCGTGTACCACGCCGCAGCATCGTCTTTGCCATCAATAAAATACCTCTCGCCGGTCATATTTGTCCTGTCATAATAGTCATTCTCGGAATAACGACCTGAGCAGTAGGCCCTGGTCTCCGTCCCCAGCTGCACATTCACATGGTAGCCTTTCCCTGTTGACGTGGGGTTGGCGAAATCAAAGTCATCACGAATAGTGAACGACTGTCCTGTCTCGAAGACGGTTCCTTTGATCCCTTTTTTGGCGGTCTCGTAGGTGCACTTGTATTCGCTCGTTTTTGGCTGTATGAGTCAGCGGTTGAGCATACCAGAGTCTTAGGCTGTTCTCACATCCAGTTGGAAACTTCTGGTAACTGGGGCTACATGAGAGTCCAGCCCACTGGGTCTACCCGCGTCGATAAAGCTGTCCACTTTCAAGCGGTACTTGTAGTCGTTTGTTACGAACTTAATGGCTTCTTCGCGGGGGGAGGAAGAGTTGATGCAAATTTCCCTGCCACTCATGGTGAAATGTCTCTATAACGATTGAGATTGATGCTGTCTCTTTGAAATTGAAACAACGTTTCTAGTTGAAATTCATTCAGAATTAGAACCGGGGGCTTATATATGCAATCTTGTCGATTCTACCTAGCCCATTGACCCAGATTTCCCCACCCCCTTCGCTTATTTTGCGACTTGGCTGCATGGACTGGTCCTCTTCCTTTTTAGTGGCGGCGAAGGCCATACAATCAGTGTATGGACCGCCACCTACCTGCACAGCTATGGCTGCACCTTGGTTTGTAGATTGCATACACTGAGTCTAATACTAAACGGGTGTAGGAAACAATATGCATAAAAGAGAAACCAAAGAGAGTAGCTCAAATCAAAAATTTGATACAGCCTCAATACCATATCAGCGAAGCAAACTTACTACTGTTATCAGAATAATAGGCACATGTATGCAACATGCGAGCCATTGCCAGCACCTCCATTGGTATAACACCTGCACAGTATTATTTTGCTGATTAGAGTCTTAGTAGATGGACCTCAAGTTACCATTGCCATCTAAACAACAAGCTGCCCAGCCGCAATCGCATTCCATCGTCAAAGAGCAAATGGAGATTTGCCCCATTCAATAATACTCGGGATTTCCGACTCTTCAGATGCAGAGCCAGGCTCGCCAATGATATACGAGGCCATGAGCTTCCCATCATACCACGTATACCCAATCGCAGACTTTGCAGTCTTGCTAAGTCTCATACGTTCTTCCCGCGAAACTTTACAGACCAGGACCTTCTCGAAACTTGGATCTTCCTCATTTTGGCTTAATTAGCCTAAGCTTACCCAACGAGGCTCCAGGACAGTAGAAGAACCGAGCGCGCGTTGCAGCTTTTCTACTGACGTGTACGGGCCTAATTTGGAGATGATGATTAGGCCGGTAAACTTCAGGACGGGAATCCCATTGGTCCTTGCTTTCTGCCATTCTTCGGGGCCTAGCCGGGGACGGGATTTCTCCATTTTCAATCACAAAGAGCTGTATATAATGTTAGATTCTAAAAAAAAAAACCGCATCTTTCAGGGAAAGCAGAAGAAAGCTGACATAAATACACACACTCACTACTCCACCTTAAAAATGTATCAAGTCAAACCAAGCGTAAGGAAGTGTAGAGTTCAAAGATGCAAAGTATCTTTGGTGGTGTGCCTATGGTGGTGGGACAGGTTGCCTGGATAATAATAATTGGTCATGACCGAGCGTTCTGATCGCCGCCAATGAGCAACGGCGGCGTTTCCGGAGCAACGGGGAATCTCATGCCAAGCTCCAATGAACTGCTCCGTCGCCGCTAAGAAAGGGATTGCCGAGCCTAATTTGCAGCCACAATCCCGTTGATTGGACAGGGGCTCTAGAGTTCCTGCCAATCATATTCGGAACGCCATGCCACCAGCTAAGAGCTGCCTCTTTGAGCGCCCATACACCAAGCGTTCAACAGGTGGATCAAGCGGGATATCAAACCAAGGCCGCCTGTTTCTTTCCGACTGAAGCCGGGTGCAAATACGTAGTTACTCTGTACGGAGTACAGCCCAGCCTCACGGCTCGGGCCGTTGCTCCATCAACTAACCAATGGAGAAAAGCGGCCCGAAGACTTGGTCGAAAAGGACAGCTCTCATGATGCATTGCCGGTAGCCTCAAGTTGTTCAAGCAGTATTAACTAGCGGAGTATAGAATTTTGATTTCGTTCGTTTGAATTCCCCATGGACAGGGAACGGCGACCTGGTTCCAATACGGAGTAAATGGCAAACAGCCCCGGACAACCCCTCTCCCTTACTTCGTACTCCCGGAGTATTATTGACCCTCTAGACTGGTTGCAGCCCCCTCGCGTCTCTTCTGGGCCCCACAGACAGCTGCGGCTGGCCATAGTTTTCGTATGGCATGCAAGAAGACCCCACTCAACAGTTGTGAACCAAGGATTCCTCTCACTTGGAGACGCACGCTGTGCACCTCAATCTCCAGCATCCTTTGCCTCTAATGTCGGTTGGATATGAAGTGTTAGCTGCACAAGAGTGCAGGGCAGCTGCTTTTCCAATTTCTGACATTCAAGTCTCTTGAAGGTGTTCGTTTGGCAGGACCTTGGACTCTGTACTTGCTCTGCACGGAGTCTCCATTCCATGAACTCGCAGGGGTATTGAAACAACTAATGCTTTCTTCGTAACTCAACCGAACTATATATGACTGCTCTATGCATGCGTACGTGTCCCCTACCTTCAACATTTTGCATGCCTTAAAGCAACTGAAGCATATATCAAAAAGTGTGGTTTATTATTATAGAAATCTGCCCAGGGTTCCACCCCTCTATACAAAAACATTCGCTTTTCATCCGCCAATGACATAATACCATGCGACTTGTTAATCGGAAAGCTGACTAGGAGCAATAATTTGAGTACTACCATGGCTGAAGGTGATAATTAAACACTATTACTCCTTGATAAAATCATTCCTAAATACACCCTGGAGTCGGAAATACCCGTGTTACTTTGTGAGACTTTAAAAAAGCGATGGAACCAGCAACTATCAAGTTCTGTGCCCCATCAGAAATCAACGATGTGACCCGAGCAGTGTACAGGGCAGCAGAAGGCCCTACATTTATCCCTCATGATTTTATGGACGCCTATGTTTCTGCATATACGACAATAAATTATTTGCGTAATGCCCTCTTGCTGGCTGTCTGCGAGTTAGAACACATTACAAAGGCACTGGAGGATCACATTTGTTTGACTTCCCCACCACTTACTCCGAGTGGAATGGGAAATGATGAAAATGGGGGATGAAAAATGTAGCCCTTCTCCCCCCACCCCTCTCTCTCTGGGATAGGCAATATGATTGGTTCTTAGATCATTTGTGAACTTTGTAGCCGAATTAAGTAAGTGGATTAGGGGAGTGGAATAATTTCTAATCGACGTTATGACTTACTATTAGCTAGACTAAATACTGATTTACGATGGCGTTGTTAGAAGGCAATACCATACGAGGTAGAGCAGTGATTATGATACTAAAAAGTAATATCCTTTTGCGCTGTGGGCCTAGAAAGGACTAAGATATGGAGGATATGAGTACTAAGTATAAACCATTGTTCATTCATCCTGCAACTCTCAAAGTAGGGTCGAGATACAAAACAAGATCACAATAAAGGAGTGCAATCAGCGCGCAAAAACTTTAGAGCGTTCCGAAATCATAAGTGTTTAGGGGCGAGAGTAGCTTCTACACCAGTACTCTAACTTCAAAAACGGCCTTTATAGGAGTAAGTTGTCTTATTTTGGCAGGCAGATCTGGTGCCCTTCGGAACAACGATCTTTCTTTCATTCCCCTTGTCACAAGAATGGTGAGGCCAGATGGTGGCAGTCATCGGTTTGGTTTTCGATGGGTTTTCGAATTGGATGCTGGTGTACGCTGACGCAACACTATAACATTGGTTTGGGTAAGACGACTTGAGGTCCGGGCTTTCACAGTTCTTGTGGAAGGACGGGTATGCGAAATAGTGAGTCTCCTGGCGAGCGGCAAGACCGGAAGCTGAGATTGGAGATACTGAGCGAACCCCTCGTAGGCCTTGGGCGCCAGATCCCTTAAGCCAGTCGAAGGAGGCGTCTGAAACTGGAATACTGCGAGGGTGAGGCTGGCTCTTGCCACTTGCATTCTCGACTGCAATCATCATGGATCTTGCTGACACCTCAACACACCTCTTGAGAGGCGCATCGTGTTCTTCCAAATCGATATCCTGGCCGGGGCTTCGGGTAACGACCATAGTTCCCTCGTCGACGTACATGTGATAATCAGTATTGGTGGAACGGACACAGTTAAGAAATCCATTTCCATCGTGCTCTTTGAGGTCGCTATGGGCGAGTTCAGTAATGGCGTTAGCTGCATTGGGAGTGGCAGCGGCTTGAATCAAAGGAGCCGCAGCCACGAGAAGAACTGGGAGGAGTTGAGAGAGCATCGTGGAAGAATTTTTTGCGAGATAGAAGTAGAAACTAAGACATACAGTTAGCATCAACATGAGAAAAGAGGATCAGGAGTACATACTATAAGTCAGGATAGGAGTGCCCGTTGGATGAAGATGGAGAGAGGAACGCTTCATGGTAGGAGCATTGGGGGATATTTATACCTTTCAGCTCCCGCTCAAGGTCTGACTGTCTCCCCAGATCGTCGACTCCATCCAGCTAGAGGTGCTATGAACAAGGTGACCCCATCACCGCATTTCACAAAAAACATCCGTGGCAAGAATAGAAACATTCCTTTAGGAGCAACAGGCTGCACGTTGCATTAGTGGTCGCTTTGGGAAGGCCTGTCGGACCACATTAAAATCTTGACCAGGTGAATGGCGCAGGATCTCCATACGAGGGCCCGAATGACAAGCGATTTGCAGGCCTGTTGAACATATTCCCCACACAGGGTGTGGGAGCTGAAGAACATCTACAGCCACCTGAAGTAACTGCCCATTTAGACCGTGAGGCAAGCCGGGAATTCCCTTGCATAGAGTTTGGGCTGTCGGGATTTCATTTTCAGCCGCATGGGTGTGTTTGAACGAACGCCAATACCAAAAATCCATATCAATTATTTGGTCCATTGTTGCTTCATCCAAAGACTGTCTGCATAGAGTGCCTGGATCATGATCAGCATGGCTTCTAGCCGATGGGGTTCTGTCACTCTCGCTCTCACATGTCCAGCTAGTCATACCACCCCGCACTATGCTGTGCGACCGTTGCTTGAACTCTGTCTGCTCCACCTATTGTTGCAGAAAAAGTACTCTATACGGCATGAGTGTTTTGGAGGCTGAGCTGATAAACCAGATGGAAATGTCATGGTTCTAAGATTCGGTTTGGGCTGTTCTTGATGTTCAGAAGTACCTTTCTGCAAACTCAGTTTCCAGGAGTGAAAGGATTGACTAGTTAACTAGTTAATTGGATACTAGCGCTACGGCTTCCTTCCTTAGGTGCATGGTGTGCTAGACTTTTGGACTTTTTACACTGATGTTAAAAGTCATGCTTGCTTGTTTACACTGCTCGTAGGGTCAACTTGGGGGCCATCCATTACTTATTGAACTCTCCCCCCCCCCAAACACAGAAACTGAGATTGCTGCCTTCTCAGGTGAAGTAACAGGACGCAGTCTCCAAGCATACCGAGCACGTATGTAACTCTGAGCCCTGACTCAATGCGATGCCTATGTGAAGGATCTCGTTTCCATTTGAATCGGGTATCGGAAAAGAGCTTCCCGATATTGGGCCGTATATTTTTGCCACAACTCCTACAATCAATCCAGCTGACTATCCACTGTACGTACGCACAGCGATACAATACCCAGGAGAGCGCGTTTATCTCAGACGAGCATTAACGACTTGATAGACGAGAGGTATTAAAATTCAGGGAATCGTTGCAAAGTTGCCATGCACAACTGGCGTCTCGATAGATCCGACCAATCTTCCGGAAAGCAGGGATACCAGTTTTAAGAGCGGTCCAAGGCTCCAGAGGGTTAATCAACATTGTGGAAATTCGAGCTAATGGCTTTATTGTACTGGAAAGGGAGTGTCGATATCACCGGCGGACGAATATCTTTCTTCGCGGCTCAAACTGGAATCGGCGGTATTAATTCTGAAAGCAACGATGGTTTCCATGAGACGTAATTCAATATTACCACAGAGGCTGGGTGTTTACTACCTGATCGCATATGTCTTGCTGGGCGGGGGTTGAAAAAATCCCCGTAACGGAATTCCGTGTCGTCTTGGGGAACGGGATTTAATATTGGAGTTCAGCAGCGCCTCTTTAATTTTCAAAAGCACCACATACGGTCCGTGCCACTGATAAGTCCCACTAGTGGCCAACTACCAAGCGTTGTCCCGGTGTGCGTACATATGTATATAGATCCAGCCTGCTATAAGAGCGGATGCCTTTCATTTGCATGCCTCTATGTGCTGCACATCGGCAGCAGGGGTATTGAGAGGGATCGTTAGCCTAAGAAGGGATTAAGAATTGTAGTATCTTTCAACTCCTTAGCCCATAGTCCTAGGCGTTGGTATGTGTGATGGTCGTCGAATGAGCACGAGCTGCAAGCATGAGTGGCCAGCAGGAGCATTATCAGTGGCCAAATTCGAAGGGAATAACACCTTGTAAGCCGCTGTTTCGCAATCAGGCTAGTTTGTTTATTGCTGTACAATACACAACGTGCATTGTAGGATTTTGCTGGAACGAATGGAGATGTGACTTTAAGACATGAGACATCCATGGAGGATCATGGAAATGTTGAACAGACTAATTTTGTTCCCTGGACAGCGATGACACTGAGCATCAGTGTCAAAAAAAAACGAGCATTTTAAGGCACACCTTTTCCCTGGGCTGGTATTGATCTCCACAGCTGTTGGTCTAATAGGGCTGGTGGGAGCGAACAGGCAATGGGGAAGTCAGAAGGTTTGGGCGGGAACCCTTTCTCCCTCCTAAACTAGGCAGACGGCATTTTAGATCTTAGGTGTGCTGAGGTGCTAAACTAAAGAACCGCGCTAAGCGGGTTGGACGCCCGAAAAAAGAATTTCTCTCCCCCAAGCAAAATCAAAAAATCTTCCACACAACGTTTTGAGATTTCTCATCACCATCACTCTACCGCAGCACCTATTCTTTGCCAACTAGAATCAGTTAGTTGCTCCTGTATTCAGCGAGCACCGATTCTAGTCCCTGACACCTTTGCATCTTCCCTTTTCTGTGCCACAAGGATCACCTAGTGGCTCTTCCTCGCTACTCGAGAAACTCAACCCCTCACTAAGCAATCGACCACAGCCTGCAGCCTGTGGCCCTTCTTCTAATTCGCAATCATGGCTTCCAATGATAAGGGTCTTGAAGAGATCCCCGATAGTATGTGTTCTTCCCTCATCTCCCGCTGTCACCTCGTCCTACTCGGCCACATCCACCAGAGCCGCTCAGTGGCGACATGTCGAGATTTTTTTTCATCTCGCTTCCTTTGACAATGGAGGTCGAGCTTTGCTTGCTAACACACAATAGACCAGATCGAATCTAACTACGATGAGATTACGGACTCATTCGATTCGATGAATCTACGCCCCGAGTTGTTGCGAGGTGCGTAGATCTCTTGCCCCTCATTCAGGAGACGCTGGCCGAGACTGACCCCCCCCACTAGGTGTTTATGCTTATGGTTTCGAACGCCCATCTGCTATCCAGCAGCGCGCTATCATGCCAGTCATCAAGGGTACGTTCACTTCATCTGACTGCATTTCCCCCCCAATTGACTTGTCTAGGGTCCGATGTCATTGCCCAGGCCCAATCTGGTACCGGAAAGACCGCCACCTTCTCTATCTCTGCTCTCCAGAAGGTCGACACCAACCTCAAAGCCTGCCAGGCTCTCATCCTTGCCCCCACTCGTGAGCTCGCTCAGCAGATCCAAAAGGTTGTAGTTGCCATCGGTGATTTCATGAGCGTTGAGTGCCATGCCTGCATTGGTGGAACCAACGTCCGTGACGATATGAAGGCTCTTCAGGATGGCCCTCAAGTTGTTGTTGGCACCCCAGGGCGTGTCCATGACATGATCCAGCGCCGAGTCCTTAAGACCGACCACATGAAGATGTTCGTTCTTGATGAGGCTGATGAGATGCTTTCTGTAAGTAGTGTGATAACTTGGCTACATTGGCAGAGAAGTAAATTGCTAACCACTTCTACAGCGTGGTTTCACCGAGCAAATCTATGACATCTTCCAGTTCTTGCCCCAGTCTACCCAGGTTGTCTTGCTTTCTGCCACCATGCCCCCGGATGTCTTGGAGGTCACCACTAAGTTCATGCGCGATCCCGTCCGCATCTTGGTCAAGAAAGCTGAGTTGACCCTTGAAGGTATCAAACAGTTTTACATTGCCGTTGAAAAGGAAGAATGGAAACTCGACACCCTTTCTGATCTCTATGAGACTGTTACCATCACCCAAGCCGTCATCTTCTGCAACACCAGGAGAAAGGTGGACTGGTTGACCGACAAACTTATTGCCCGCGACTTCACTGTCTCAGCCATGCATGGTGACATGGAACAGTCCCAGCGTGATGTCATCATGAAGGAGTTCCGCTCCGGTTCTTCTCGTGTCTTGATCGCTACCGACTTGCTTGCTCGTGGTATCGATGTTCAGCAGGTGTCTTTGGTTATCAACTACGATCTCCCCGCCAATCGCGAGAATTATATCCATCGTATTGGTCGTGGTGGTCGTTTCGGCCGTAAGGGTGTTGCTATCAACTTTGTGACCGCTGATGATGTCCGTATGATGAGAGAGATCGAACAGTTCTACAGTACTCAAATCGAAGAAATGCCTATGAACGTTGCTGGTATGTTTTTAAACCCCAAATTTCAATTTAACTTTAGGCTGACCATTTGGTATAGATCTCATTTAATTTGTTTTATCATTTCTCTGTTATGTCAATCGGTTCACCAAAAACTGGCGGGTTGTAAGAGACTCGATTCATGACATGAGAGCCTTTTACGACTTAGGGTTTTATAATGGATGATATTGGCAGTCTGTTTCTTGTTTTTAAAAGTTGTACTTGCGGGTTTGTTTATGGCATGTATCTCTTTTCTGGGTGCTCTGGCATAGAAGCTACGCAAGAGTGTACAGCGTACATCTCTCGCTCGCTTCAATGGCGAATATTCTCAGGTTTATTCTATCTTCGTATGCACTTTCAGAGGGGCGTCTTGTCCAATTTTATTCCCTACGTTCCATGTCCTCAGACTTGCATTCTCTGCCTTTTCCCTAACTTCATCCGTAACCTTCTTTGTCTTGACCTTGGGGATTTTCCTTTGCTCCCGGCTTAGCTCAACTTGAATTGGTCAGACTTTGGAAAGAAAGAGGCTGTGGGTATAAAATTGGTTTCTATCGAAGTTCTTTTGCTTTACGATGTAACGTGCTGTGTTTGTTGTTGTTATGACTTCTTTCTTATCCATTTTTTGTTTATCATGACAAACACGAGCTATAGGAGTGTCGAGACGGAATTCCTCTGATCCACTTACATAACCTGCTGAAGTATCTGCTTCGCGTCCTTGGTGGCTGGTGGGGTTTTGTTTTATGAAAACTCGTATGTGCGTGCTTGTTTGATTTCTTCCAAATTGTCGGCTTGCTGCAGATAGAGAAGCTAATGTAACTTTGTTCTAATTTTCTTCTATGAACTAACCTGTTGTCTATATTGACTGAAGATCTATATTGTGTGCCAAATCTAAATAGGTGGGAAGTCCAAAAGGGGAAATGATAGCATCCAGGGCTCCAGGCTGGGAGTGAACCTCTGCATCCTTTCTCTTTGTTGACATTTATAAAGTATTCAGTACTCCACGGAACTGCTAATTGAAATTATAGTTTTTTTCCATCACTAGGAGCTTTGGAGAATGACTCGCCGTCCTTCTATCGCTCGTTCGTCCATTCTTAACCTTCAGGAGATTACCCCCGCTGCCATCCTCTGGGCACATCAACTGCGCCGGGAACACAAAGCGCTCGTGGAACAGATCATCAAGTTAGAGCAGTCTGTGGCTCAAGTAAAAACAGATACTGATGTAGTAAATGAGAGAACTACGTCTGCAAGTGGAAGTGTAGAGGGTTTCGGAAAGTTTCTCTCGGAGATTAAGAAACAAGTCGAGGGACTCGAATGCAAAATTGCAGAGGTGAGGGCGATGGTGGAAGTTGTGACCCAAGAGGCAAAGAAAATACATGAAGAGACGAGGCATTTAGAGGAGGCTGCGGCTATTGAGAGGTTGGCATGGCGAGAGAATTTGGAGCAACGCTGCATGGACAAAATTGGGAAGTTGAGGGTTGAGATAGAAGAGATAAAAAGGGCTGATGGTGAGTGATGGTTTTCTATGAAGTTTTGAGGTACGCTTGACTGAAAAGATATAAGAAATATCGAGACTTCCCTCCAGTGTTTCCGTACCGCATATCTATTCATCTCCCCTTGTACCGCCTTCTGCTCAGCGGCCACCCCTTCCATCTACTATATCTGCAACACCATCCAGTTTTCAACCGCGGTGTATAACACGGCCGCCTTCCATGGAACTGATACCCAACTCTTACCCCTTGCCTGTTATGGAGCACTCGACGAGGGCGTGTATCGAATGTGCTTCCCAAATATCCACAGCATGGGAACCGTCGCAGCATTCTCCCAGCCCTACTGCTAGACAGCAAGGGCCAATCACTGACAAGGATGATAATAGTCCCATACTCAATCAACATAATCTCTCTTTATTGGCTTATCTTGAACTAGGGGAAACAAGCCTGGCATCAAAATTCCCGCGCAAGCGTGATGAAAGTCGGGTAGTCCAGGCATTCTGGGAGGGGATGCGTGATCCATCCGATAAGAGGACTATAGAAGAGAGCTTAGAGCAGGATGGATGGAGCTGGAGTTCATTAAGAGCCGCCGTTGGAGCTTTGGTTATGAAAAAAGAGAAAAACACAGAAAAGGAAATGCAAAAGGGGGAGTTTTCGCCAGCACTAAAGAGAGAGGAAGCAAAGACAGAAAAGAATAGGCTAAGGAAAAGGAAAAGGGTGATCCCACTTGTATGGCCGTCGGAAGATGAAGAGTATGAGCTGCTCGCTCAGATGAATGGATGGCGGCGGGAGGTGTGATATAAGTCAATATAGATGGTACAACCCGTTGTCAAAGGACACTATAAAAGCTCTATGTTAATGGTATATATATATGTATGACTCTCGCGTATTCAGAACTCTCCAAACTCGAATTTCCCTTCCGAGTCTCTCACAGCAACCTCAATACCCGCTTCGGGCACCGCCTTTTCATCCACCTTTATACCGGCCTTCATCACATCCCCATGCTTCACCTCACCAACGCCTTTCGGCGTACCGGTTAGGACAACATCTCCCGGTTCCAGTGTCATCACCATTGATATCTCAGATAGGATGCGCGGGATGCGATACAACATCAACCCAGTGCTATCATTCTGACGCACGGCGTCGTTCACGGACAAATGGAGAGTGGCGTTATGGGGATCCGGAATGGCAGACTTGGGAATGAAATTACTGATCGGACAGAAGGTATCAAAGCCCTTGGCGATAGACCAGGGGAGGCCGGCGCGTTTGGCGGAGTCTTGGACGTTACGGGCAGTCATATCGATGGCAACCACGTAGCCTATACGATGCAGTAGCAAATTACTGTATTAGTATGCGCACTACAGGCGCGTTTCTTTTGGATTTTCCATGAGGGGATTAAAGTTGTTTGAATATTTGTTTACCAGAAATGGCGTTCATGGCGGTCGTCTCGTCGTTGGGATCAGAATCCCGGAGCCGTTGGCCCATGATTAGGCCTAGTTCAACTTCATAATGAAGGCGTACACCTTTTGGCCTGATAACATTGCCTGTACCAGTCGTGAGGAGGGAGGTGGTGGGCTTGAGGAAAAAGAACGGCTTCTTGGGACGGGTGTTGTTCAGCTCGGCGATATGGTCTCTGCGATTGCTGTCAACGAAGCTGCCTGGGGGTGAAGTTTTGTGGGACATACGCATAGTTCCGGCCGATGCAGATGACCTTTCGGCAATTCTGTCTTATCGACGCCATTGAACTAGGATTTGTATAATATGTAAAAAGAGGGCTGTCTTCCTTGATGCGACTCTATTACTCCGTACTGGAGTTGAAGATTTAAGGTCTACTAGGGTGTCTTCGGCATTACATATACCTAGACTATAGACTAGAAGCTTGCTGGCTTGAAGGAAGACGGCTCAGCGTCAACGCCGCTCATACCAGCAATTGACATCTACCATCTCCGAGAATGAAGGTCGCTGAAATACTATCCGACCTCACATCTCTTCGAGCTTGTGTATGCCCTTCATCCACGCCTTACCCTACAGTCTATTTGGGTTGCAACTGATAATGCGCTTTTTTAGGGACATGAGGAGGCCCTCGCTCTTGTTAACGTCCACAAGCCCAAAACCAATACCAAATCCGATAATTTGCAGTCCGATGCTGAAGCTGGGAATGAACCAACGAGAAATCTTGATTTGCAGCGGGCGGAGGATCTAATTGAGCTACACGGGAGAGTGAAGCTCAGGCATCAACAATATGCGGGCGGCGGGTTGGTAGATAAGGATCTTCGGCTAGCTAGGGAGGAAGTGGTAAGAGTTCTAAGGGAGTTAGGCAGTGTATAGAGGAGCAGAGACGGTGGAGAGAAGCTCTGTATACTGCCGAGTCTTGGAGTCGCGTGGGTAGTATTGCTAGGTAGTACATAAGAGGGCGGTTGTTATCTATGCCCGGAGTTTCAGACTTATGACTATTCTTCAAGTTTCTCACGGACTCTCTTTTCCTCTTCCACCTTTTGCGCCGTCTCTCGTTGTGCTTGCTTCACCTCAATCCTCCGTATGTAAATCGTCAACCTGACCGTGCTTAGCTAAGCCTAGGCAACCGCCAGCAAGAATCAAGCATCGGACTTGCCTGACCACCAACGCGTCGCATCTTTACCTTCGTGTTGGTAGGCCATCCGCTTGTCTACACCATGGCGACCACGGTGGATGCAAAACTGCTGAAGCAGACCAAATTTCCGCCTGAATTCAATACAAAGGTCGACATGAACAAGGTCAATGTCGAAGTCATGAAGAAGTGAGAGCTCCATGTCCAGTGAAGGTCCACCAGTCTGACTTGACGATAGATGGATTGCAGGCAAGATCTCAGAGATTCTAGGCAATGAAGACGATGTGGTTATTGAGCTTTGTTTCAACCTTCTGGAGGGTTCGCGGTTTGTATGTCTACCTATACGAACGGTCTGGTGCGAGACGGCGAGGGCTAATTTGCTTTCAGCCGAACGTCAAACACTTACAGATTCAGCTTACGGGGTTTTTGGATAAAGATACAGCAAAGTTTTGCAAAGATCTGTGGAATTTGTGTATCAGCGCCCAGTCGAATCCTCAGGGTGTACCGAAAGAACTGCTGGAAGCGAAAAAATTGGAATTGATACAGGAGAAGGTTAGCCGTGCTTCTTTCTGCCTTTTTCCTGTGTCTGTTTTTATCCTAACACTCAATAGCTTGACGCCGAAAAAGCTGCTAAGGAAGCTCGTCGTCAGAAAGAAGAAGAATCGGCTCGGGAGCGCGAAGCGGATGCGATCAGACGTCGTGAAAGAGAAGAGCGCGGTCGTGGAGGAAGGAACCGGCGAGGTACAGTAAATAGAGATTTTGGCCGCCGAAATTTTCGAGATTCCCGTTCTCCCCCTCTAAGGCGAAGAAGCCCCGAGCGATATCGCGACCAGCGACGCCCTAGAGGAGATACATACGCGCCTTCTGGAGGGCGACGATCGCGTTGGACGGCTGAAAGAGGACGTCGACGTTCTAGATCTGCATTATCATCCCCGTCTCACTCGCCCTCTCCATCGCCTTCTCCATCCCGATCTCAGTCACACTCAGCTTCGCCTCCTCGACGTAGATATAGAGATAGATCGCGATATGACAGACGTCGCCGCCGCTCCTTAAGCCGCTCCCGATCCCCGGATCGACGGGATACCAGGCATAGAAGAAGAGGAAACCCAGTTTATAGTGACCGGTCTCGTTCTCGTTCTGAATCATGTCGCTCACGTTCTCCTAGAAGATTCCGGAGAAGATCTTTGAGTTCTTCTTCCCGAAAATCCCGATCACCTCCCCCACGTAATCGCCGAGACCACCGAACGAGGAGACATCCGTCCCGGTCACCAGCACGCTCCCGCTCGCGGTCAAGTAGTCCGGGGCGTAGGGGAAGTGGAGGTCGGTGGAGAAGATCACCACCATCTAATAACCCAAAACAAGACAGAGCCGAAATACGAGCTGATATAACCAAGGACTCCAAATCACACAACAGTCACCGCCTCAGTCAAAGTAGGGGCCGTCGAAGCGATAGCCCACATCGTGCCCGCAGCCGGTCTCGATCCCGTAGCACTAGCTGTGGACGCACAAAGCGCAAGAGACACCAATCTATTGAAAGATATGCTCCAGCAGCGAGAAGACAGCGCAAAGGCTCTCCAGCATCCTCACCCATAAGATATCCAGAGAAGAAGGCTGATTCAGAAGAAGACCAAGCCAGACACTTGTCCCATCCTCCTCAACGCGAATCGGATGCCAAAGATGGATCCAAAACCCATGACGAGGTGGGTCAGTAAATCTTACGATATACTATAGCTGATGTTTGTTGCGAACTACCCTTCCCTTATGCGGTCACGCACTTTCTGGGTATCAGCTACCTGACTCTTGTTCATTTTTGTAGACTTACCCAAAACTCCGTTTGTCTTCGAATGAGCTACGGGAAAAGCTTCTCAGGGAGAAAGTTAGAGCACTACGTCGCTCCAGCACGGCAGAGAAGTCCACTCCTCAACCATAACCGATCCAGAGCGGTTTTGCTAATTGGGTCTCAGTCAGGCTGTCCGCTGGATCCTTTACTGCAGTGAGTATGTGAGTATGAGGTTCGCACTGAAGCTCTAGCAGTGGGTACTCCTTGTATCGTTGGTATTTTCAGCCACATACTCATTTTCTTGCTCCTCCTATGTTTCCTTAGTCTGTGTGTGACCTAACTACCTGGAAAAAATTGATTATTGATTAGCCACAATATACGTTTAACATAACCAGTGATTTTGTATTTCATCCTCAATCTTGTAGTGGTAATTTGTTTGGGTGTGTTGCTGTGGAAACAGTGTTGTCAGTCACGTGAAGCAGTTGGCCTTTTTTGACATTGCAATAAACCAACGTCCTAGATAGGAATTGAACATGAATTGTGAGATATCGACAAACAATTCACCACTCTTAATGCATTCTATTACGCGTTTCAACTAGTTAACATGACCCCCCACAGCTCACCAACACCATTATCCTCTGGACAAAGGGGCACCAGCTACAGCCAACGACCAGCATCATTACATGATCTACACAGGAGGACAATATCAAGAGGTATCATTAATGGATCGCCACATGAAATTTCTGCACATTCTGGAAGTGGAGGCGCAAATATCTCGAGATCGCGACAGATTTCCACCGGAGACAGTTCTGATGATGATGATTTCCCCGAGCCTATCAAATTCAGTGCGTCGGTAAAAGCCTTGTTGGGAGAGGATGCGTCGGGTCTAGACACATCACCAAGACGAAGTTATATAGACGGCAGGAATGGACAGCGATTGCGCCAGAAGCATGTCCGAATCGCGTCACCCGGCGAGCGCCGGGTCAGTGGTGGTGGGAGAGGAGGAGGAACGTCGCCGTTGAGAATTGTTCGAGTTGGGTCGGAGGCTCGTCGGTCGCCAAAGGATGGATCGGCCGCGCCTTTGAGGGAGAAGACCGGTTATGATGAAATGGAAGGCGGGAAGATTGATTTTATCACACCAGCGCCACGGACCAGGAGCGTTAGGATTGCAACGGGGTCTACGACGCGTTCACCATCCGCATCGATACCTTCTGCCAATGGAGTATCATCTAGTGAAGTCAGCCGGCATGAAGAACGGTCTTTTGTGGAGAGGATACAGGACGAAAAGAGCTATGTGAGAACTGGGATGAGTACAATGCCTCGAGCAAGAGGGGAGGCAGAAACTGGGATACAAGGTTCTTTACGAGTGAAGAGAGTTGGGAAATTATCTGGATTGTTTCTTAATGGCCCGGCTAGGCGAGGTGTGTTACGGCGACAAAGTGAAGAGGAATCGCGCGCCGAGGAATCTCTTCTTGATTCCGAAGCAAGAAATATGGATGAAGAAGCACCGGGGTCTGTTCCGAGGGCGAAAGATTCCGTTCTACTGAATCAGCGACCTTTCGAGCAACGACAGGAATCGCCGCGAATGTTGGATGAAAATGTGGTTGACAGCTCGGCGAAGAGAATACCCCATTCAATACCCATCCGAGAACGATCTTTTTCACGGACGACAGCAGAAGCCAGGAACCGCTCTCCTCTTTCATCAGGTCACCATGTATCCTCGTCCAGATCCGAGCATGATGACGGCCTCAAGGCCAACAATGATGCCAACCCGGTTTACCGTGTTCCTCCGCCCGAATTACCTTCAAGACACGACCAGGAGAATGATCCACCACCGACTTTCAAAAAGGCCAAGCCACACGGCTTTGGGCTGCTAGATAAAGTCGACAAAGTCTCCGTATTATACGAAGAAGATAAGGGTGTCAGCAAGCCCGCACCAGAATCGATGTCTCCTCGAAAGCCACTGGGCCGAATGAGCAGCAATACACCTCACCGGCCTGCACCACCACCACCCAAGATGAGTGTTTTGGAGACAGCAACTGCAGCTCAATCCCGAAGAAAGCGCACCCAAGTTTCTGTCAATCGGAAAGTGTATACACGCTTGGATTGCATTGGCCGTGGTGGGAGTGCAAGGGTCTATCGTGTGATGGCGGAGAATTGTAAGATATTTGCACTCAAGCGGGTGAGCTTAGAAGATGTGGACCCGATCGCCCTAGCCGGCTATAAAGGGGAGATTGAGCTCTTGAGAAAACTACAAAACGTCGACCGAGTCGTCCGACTTTATGATTGGGAGATTAACGAAGAAAAGCGGTTGCTCAGTGTGCTTATGGAAATCGGTGAATCGGATCTTAACCAGATCCTTCGGTTTAAGCTGAACACGGAAGACGCCGCGTTTGACCCGGTTCTTACTCGTTTCTACTGGAAAGAGATGCTGGAATGTGTTCAAGCAGCCCATGACTTTGACATTGTGCATTCTGATCTCAAGCCCGCCAATTTCCTTTTGGCTAAAGGTCAGTTGAAACTAATTGATTTTGGTATTGCGAATGCTATCCAGGATCACACGGTGAACGTGCACCGTGAACATCAGGTAGGAACCCCGAATTACATGGCCCCAGAAGCTCTGATTGATTGCAACGCTGGCCTTGGCTTATCCCCAAGTGCTGGGAAAATGATGAAGCTGGGCAAACCCAGCGACGTATGGAGCCTCGGGTGCATTTTGTACCAAATGGTTTACGGGAGAGCGCCGTTCGCCCATATCATGAAACCACTGGAACGTATCATGGCAATTCCAAACCCGAAGATCCAGATTGACTATCCTCTACTTGGGGTCGGTAACATACCCGTACCGCAGGCTTTGCTGCAAACGATGAAGAGGTGTCTTCAGCGGGACCAAACGTTGCGTCCTACGATCCACCAACTACTTAGCCGCAATGACCCTTTCCTATACCCGGATACACACCTTGAAGGGACTGTACCAATAACTCAGGAGATGCTGGCTAGAATCTTAGGCAATGTGGTTAACCATTGCCGCGCCCGGGGGCCCCCTACAGAGGAAGAGTTGGCCGGTTGGCCAGCCGGGTTCTTCACTAAAATCAAATCTGCGATAGAGGAAGACCGGTGATTTAATATATCTTGTCAAGCCCGTTAATTGTTTACTCACTGCGAGCTATTCTTCAAATACCTGTCCCCCCTTGGTTATGGCCTTGTTGGAATGATACCTTCTCTTTTCTTCCAGTTGTCTGAATTAGCGCTGTTGATCTTGATTTTGGTTGCTAACTTTTACCCGGCTTTGATCTCTTACTTGTATTCGATGTTTCGGGCTACCTTTCCCACATCGACGGTGGCATATATATCTCTTTCAGCGATACACGAGTCATACATTTTCTTTGAGCGTGTTTGGACATGTTTTTTCTTGGGATTGGCGATATTTCGCAGTGTTATCTGCATTTGATTTTCTAGTCCCGGCAAAAGCAAACGGGCCATCCTAAGCTTCGACAGCAGGCCTATTTTCCTTGTTCAATTGGTTTACTTTAGGCACCCTCTTTTGATTTCCTTTTGAGTTAAGAAGTAACGACCCCTTTAATTCATGACGCCACTATTTTTGCAAATGAGTACATCTCTATTTATACATGGCTGAAGATAAGATTGGTGTCTGAAGGTCCCCAGAAACTATATCACTCCGATAACAAGGGGTAAGATAACGTTTCCCCTGATTTTGAATAACCAAGCCCAGCAATCCAATGATGCAGGTGAATCCAACAATCACAAGCTCCCTCCCTTCTGCTCAAGCTTTGCCCCTTCCGCCATCAGCTCATCCACTGTCTTGATCTTAATTTGCATCACTTTTAAGATCGTATACTTGTGCTTACTCCTAACTGTCTGGACATGCCTCTGTCTCCTCTTTGTCTTCTCTTTCATTCGCATCGGCTCCGACTCCACACCTAACACTCTTGCGCGGCACTCGAACATACGCTCATCGATATATGGAGCGCCTCTAAATACAAAATCTCGAGATCCTAACACAGATGCACGGTTTAAACGTATGATATCGCCGGTCTCAACATCTGGCATAAGGAAGGGCAGGCGAACTGTATCGCCAACGGTGAGTAAATAGGGCCGGGCGTGAATGTGTGCGGTCACGTAATGTGGCGACTGAGAAGTGAGGTGTGGGAGAAGGTTTAGAATAGCGTCAGTAACGCTGACAGGTTCGGTGAACGTTGGGGGGATAGGTGCTTTAGGAGATGGAATGCTAGTATGGAGAACTGGCGGGAGGTCATGAGTGGTACACGGAGGCAGTTGTTGTTTCGATTGCTGGGGAGCGGCCCGTGATTCCGTGGTAGCTGTTTGCGGGGGCGTTTCCGGATGCGATTCACGGAATTGGGTCGAGGAGGAGGCATTGTGAAGGAACGCCCTTCGTGCTGCGAATGTTGTGCTGGGGAGAGCTGATGAGAGGGAGCGCAGGTCGATCACGGCCCGCATGGGTATTCGGGAAGACATATTGTTCTATGAAGCTGGGTATGTCCAATTTGTGAGAAAAGGCGGGTCCAGCACTATGCACACCCCATTCACCCAATGCGTGAGAGCTGGTTGTCTGTTATATCATTCAATGGCTTTCTTGGTTTTTTGAGGTTGAAAATAGTTGCACTTTTACGGCCGCTGCGCCTACCGTAGCCAAGCCCAACTATCACGTGAACTAGTTAGTACTCTGTATGCTTAGTCATTGACGGTTAAACATGAAAGCAAAAATCGAGAATTCGATAGCGATAAGAGTTTGAAGTCGAGACGGGCGTGAAGCCTTCGATATACCGTTCACCATGGTACGTGTTAGTGTGTTCCACGATTTTAGATAAGAATGCTAATTTTTTATTTTACAGCCTCAGAACGAGTTCGTCAGGCCCGATGCTTTTGATGTCTATGGAGACTAACTCTACCCACTAGGTATATTGAGAGATGGCAGAAGCAGCACGGGAAGCGGTATGTAGAATACATTAGCCCTATAATATTCCGATTTTTGGTCTAACAAGTAACGTAGCCTCGACCACGAGGAACGCACCCGCAAACGCATAGCCCGTGAAGGCCATAAACAATCGCAAGATGCGCAGACTCTACGCGGCCTCCGGGCTAAGCTGTATCATAAGAAGCGTCATGCGGAGAAGATCGAGATGCGCAAACGCATAAAAGCTCAAGAAGAACGAAATGTCAAGTCCTCTACACCAAATGAACCCTCTACGACGCCGCTGCCACAATACCTTCTTGATCGCTCACAAACCACAAACGCCAAAGCGTTATCGAGTGCGATAAAGGAAAAGCGGGCGGAAAAGGCTGCCAAGTTCTCAGTTCCATTGCCGAAAGTCAAGGGAATCAGTGAGGAGGAGATGTTCAAGGTGGTCAAGACGGGTAAGAAGACTGCAAAGAAAAGCTGGAAGAGGATGATTACGAAGCCTACCTTTGTGGGCGGAGATTTTACACGACGACCAGTAAAATATGAGCGATTTATTCGACCGATGGGATTACGGTATAAGAAGGCCAATGTAACCCATCCGGAGCTCGGAGTGACTGTGCAACTGCCCATCATCAGCGTGAAGAAGAACCCACAGAGTCCGATGTACACGCAGCTTGGCGTTCTAACCAAAGGCACGATCATTGAAGTTAATGTTTCAGAACTAGGCTTGGTCACAGCGGGAGGAAAGGTAGTCTGGGGCAAGTGGGCACAGATTACGAATAATTGTGAGAACGATGGCTGTGTCAATGCGTATGTCTCTTCATTTCCCCACCCCCTCTTCCGTCCCATTACACATAATTACATATCTTGCCGGTATATATTATCTTCTGACTCTCTTGAACAGGGTTCTTCTCGTCTAGCGTCGCTCGTCTCCTTTCTCTGACATATCTTTTCTTATTCCAAAAATAAAATGCGGACGGCAAATCAGCTAGTGGCGTTTTTGGTTGTGTAACATCTCGGACCTCAGCGTTTGGTTTTTTTTTCTTCGTTTTGTGGCGCCTTAGGCGAGGAACTCCCTGCTTTCACACCTTGCCTGTCCTCCTGGGGTGTGTCATTATACCTCTTTGTTTAGCCGGGGGGTACAGTTCAGGCATCCAATATAAAAGAATACGTCACGCGACGGCTCACGCCATTCTAATCTGCACGAGCGACGGTGGCATCGCGGCGCTCTTGGGCAGCCGTACAGCGGGCTGTCTGGCTCGCGCTGCAATAATAGCCGGCAGGCGCAAAGACCTCAAAGTGCACTGGTCACGTGATAAGTCACGGATATCTCCAGCCTTACATAATGCCAAGCTGAGGCTGGCTCGGATCGTCAGAAGCGGAGCCGGGCCATGCGGGCGGCAATTGGCCGGCGGTATTAAGGTTCAGGCCCCCCGCAAGCTTGTTCCAATCGGCGCGCGCTGGTTGGCCAGATTGACGATGCACCCTGCTCTGCATTTGGGACCATGCACGCCGCGGCGAGCATCAGCAGAATACACGGCGTTGGCATTACATAACGCGCGCCGGGACATTCCGGAGCCGGGTGTCGGGACCCGCCGCCCAGCCAATCAGCAGCGCGCAGCTTATCGGGGGCCGGGGCAGAATGACACAAACAGGCAAGTGCTGGGCGGTGAGCGGCGTCGCGTGGGGCGGGCGCGTCAGGCCCGGAACGGCGAAACACCAAGCGGCGTGCGCTTCCCTGGCGTCGCGCTCAACCGCGGCCCGCATGCTCAATATTGGATAATGAAAACGGTCGTCGTTAATAATCCGCGCCAGGTGCGAAGCAAAGCACCGGGCGGCACGCCCCTGGAGACACCGTCGCCTGGCCTGGGCGGGTGAAGGCCACGCCGCCGCGTCGCCAGTCTTAATAATAAAGGCCTGGCGGTCTCCCTTCGCTCACAGCTTTTATTCTTTAGCCGGCAGCTGATGGCATTCGCATGCACGCTCCTTCGTCGATCAAGAGCCGTGGGCCTAAGCTCAGCCAAGGAGAACTCATATCAGTGTGTGTGTGTGTGTGTGAGAAAGAGAGAGAGCGAGAGGGACTTCGCTTTTGTTCTGCGACGCCCCTCCAGTAGCCATCTTCCACCTTCATGAACCCGGCTGCATAGTGTGCAACACAACGATCTAGTGGTCATGGCCACTGCTGCCTCGATCAATCAGCAACTCCAAACCGCTTTCCCCTGTGATCCTCTTGTTGAGCCAGCACTCGCCAGCTGCAGTGCAAGCCGCAGGGCCTCCGTCTCCAATGCATCCACAGCATCCCCCTCTCCCGCCGCTAATGCGTCCAGGACAGCCGGAGCTCCAAGCGCTGCCTGTGACGCATGCTATAACAGAGAATCCCGGTGTGCTTTACATGGGTCCGTGCAGGAGTGCTATTCCTGCGATTTTCGCCGCCAGGAATGCACCTTTAGGCTTGGTAGCCACCTGGGGAAAAGGAAGCTGGAAGCCTCTGGTCAGGAGAATGAGTCGATAAAGAGGTACGAGATTCGCCGTTCCAACTCTGCAAGCTTGTTTCTAACGCTGTACCGGATAGGCGTGCTCCTAATGAGTCGACATCTTCGCCAATGGCAGCTGCCTCCGAAGCACAGTCGGCGCGTGCTACTCAGACTGAACGCTCGCCCCTCACCACGCAGTATATCGGGACAACAACTGAACTAGAGCCATTCCTTTTAGACTACCTACCTCTTGACCACAATGGAGAAGGCCAGTTGGCCGCATCCCACATTCGCAAGGTTTGCAGTGATGGGACGTATGTGCGGATGATGGATAACGCTCAACCAGGACCAGACACTCTGGCTATCACTGTGGAAACAATTGAAAATTTGGTCACCCCTTTCGGCCCATCTTTGATTGAAAAGTTTTTTCAAAATCTTCATCCCACCTTTCCAATATTGTTAGAGGACAATTTTCGATCAATATATCAGAAAAAACTAATACCACCGGTTCTGCTATCCGCGGTCTATCTAGTCTCTTTAAAATGGCTGGATTCGGGTTCCGGGATACAAACATTGCGCAAACCGGATGCAGCACGTCTGGAGCTCACCGCCCTCAAACTCCTAAACGACTCTATTACCCGGCCGCAAATATGCACCATACAGGCCGGACTTCTTTTGTCCCAAAAATCAACTCTCTTCTCATCCAGACTAATGTCCCAGCTTGTGACTGCTGCGTTTGATATGGGCTTACATCAGGACTGTTCTCCCTGGAATATACCAAACTGGGAGAAAGGTCTTCGAAAAAGGCTTGCCTGGGCTTTATATATTCAGGACAAATGGTGCGCCCTTGCTCATGGTCGACCATCACACATCTTCGCTCAAAACTGGACTGTTCAAGAACTTTCTTTGGACGATTTCGATGACTGCTATGCAAATGGCCCGATTTCCAACGACCCGCCCGCTCACGCCTCTGGGTCTTTGCTCTTTTCCCACCTGATCACTCTGACCACGATTCTCTCTGACATCCTTGACACGTTCTATACACTTCGTGCCGCCCAAGACTTTGCCAGCGCAGGCGATCACGCCACCCGCATCATCCTTGAACGTGCCAAACCCATCCAAATCCGCCTTAAGGAGTGGTTCTCGCGACTTCCACGCGAGCTTAAAATGGATTCTTCTCTCAGTCCTATTGACGATCATAACACAGACACTACCGCCAACGGCGGCCTCCATCTCGCCTACTTTGCCACCGAAATCACTCTTCACCGTTGTATCGTCCGTTCCATTCGCGCTGCGCATACAGATGACTACTTAACTCATATATGCCGCTCCGCCGCAAAGACCCGTCTAATTTCTGCCATGGACTTCGTCAATCGACTCCGTCCAAACCACCTGCGTGCCTTCTGGCCAGCAGCCTCACGTACTAACTTCGCACTTATCGTGGGCTTTGGTATGCTCTTGCGCGTCACGGCTCAGACAAGGGAAGAGGAAGAATTCTATAGTCTGCGGCTAGGCGAGTATCGGTGGACGCTGGAAGTCAGTAAGCGCCACGCAGCGTTCCTAGGATGGGTGGTGGAGTGCTTGGATGTCATGAGCGGTGTTGTTAGAGATGTTAGGCTGGAAAAGCCAGTTTTGGAGGATTATATGGCCCAGGTGAGCCCTCCGGACGATCGTGCACCCCCGCCGCCACCGCCACGGCGGCATGGCCAAGGTGGTCGTTGGGCGGATGCGAAGGACGGGGAGGATGATGGAGGATCCATTAGCGCGAATAGTTCGACAACCAGGAAGCAGTATATGAAGTCCATTGGCCCATCGTTGTCGGTGTCTGCGTTGGCATCTCCGGCTACATCTGTCTCGGGAGGCAGTCGACGCGGGAGTGCGGTTGTTCCAGCGGAAGAAAGGAATGTAATGAATGTGGCAGACCGGGCGTAATATCATTGATACCAACTGTAGGTTAGTTTCTCAATACGGAGCAAATAAATATTGCATGTACCCTAGTTAAATACCCAGATTGTTTCGCCAGCATGTCTCTTATCCCCTTTCGTATTGTGATTCTTCCATGGGGAATAGCGGCCAGTAAGACCTATGTAATAATCATTATCCCAGCACGTCTGTACTTTATCCGGAAGGCTCCGTAGAACCTGTTACTGCTTCTCTCATTGTTGGAGGTCTAAGTCATTATGTAGTTACTTTAGTAATTCTCATAAGCTCACTCAAGTCCCAGCAATCACCCCTTGTCGTTTTTTCCATCCCAAATACTACATGAAAGATTCAAAATACGGACTATGATCTTGAGCCGAACAAACAGCACTAGTAAGTGAGTTCTGAAAATCCTGCCCTAGAAGGGAAAGCAAAGTGCCTTTCTGGAGTACCGATCCAGTGACATGACCAAAGAAGTCCTTGCACTAGTACCTGAGATAGAAACTATCATGTCAAAATATTATTTATTAGCCCTTGCGTAAAACTCCTCAAACTCCAGTAGCTCTTCTATTTAAAACGCTTGTCATCAGAATGGAATAGCTTCATGCCCTTTAGAAGATGTAATACAGCCTTAGGGCCTCCAGGTTTGATGGACTGGGCAGAAATAGCGAGCGTAGCTCGTATGCATTATAGAAACACATTCAGAGAAAGCTGGCTGAAATGAATTAGTTATATGTACATACTCCTCAAGCGTAACTTCAATGTCGGCCTGCGAATCCTCCGTTGTAGCCTCCAGACTTATCTTTTGTGACATCTTCATATGCTTTCCAGTTGCCAAACCTCGGGAAGTCAGTATCCTGCCCCTCACCCAGAGGCTCGACATCTCTCTCAAGAATAGTAATTTCCAAGCCAGCCTGCCCACTTGAGGATGAACTGACTAGCTTCGCGGTGTCAATGACGCTTCCGTCTAGACTTTGAACACGCCATTGCAAATGGGTCTTGAGCAAGGGCACGACGACCTTGCTATCCATGCTGTCAATAATCTTGTTGGAGTAGGCTTCGGCAACGGCATGAGTAAGAGGCTGCTGGCCGTAAACAATATGTGCGGCGCCTTCTGGATAGGGCATAGAACTTGAAAATAAGGAGAAGCTTCCCACAAGGTTGGAGGCGCGCTCCCAGGTGCTGGAGTCGCTGGGTGGTTCGCCAAGGAAAAAGTGGATGTTGAAGGGGTAGTTGATGGCGAATCTGCAGGGCTGTCAATGTAGGTTCGCAGGGGTCAAAGCAAAGGAATTGCTTACTTGTCAACCTTAATGTTGGCGACCCATTGCTTTTTCATGTTGTTGATACCAAGTGTATCGAAGTCCGCAAGACTCGTTTCACTAAGGTCTTTCAAGATCTCGTCGATTTTAAATGTCTTTTTCAAGACGGAAGCGAGATCACGGAATGCGCCGGGCTTGAAGAAATCACTTCCACCATCCTTGCTTCTTTTTTTGAGACTTTGAGCTCTGTTGTAAAGTTCGTTTACCCTTTGGCGAACATTCCGCTGAAGCTGCTGTTTTGAGATATCCCAATCCTGAATCTCAGGGTAGGTATAGCCAAATGTCCTCGTTGATCTACTAGTATCGGAGTTCCAGAAAATGCTGCCTCTCATATGGAATGGATGAAGAGCTGTTGCCTACAGTGTTAACAGGTGCCCCACAATCGAACAGACCAATAAAGGATTAGCTTACGAGTATTAGCATCTTCAACAGTGCCTGCCGGCCTAGTATAGGTATCGCCTCTCATAGCCAATGGTCGTACCCAAAAATCTGGATTGATTGCTTGCCACAGCGCGACGATACGATCAACATTGCTACATGATGTTAAACTCTGCATATTTAACTTGAGCAATTCGGAAGACAAACGTATGGTGAAGCCAAAAGACAGGGTCAAAAGAAGACCATGGCACATAGGACATATGGCCGTAAGAACCACCAACAGCAACGTGGACCTGCCCATGGGTAGATTCGACGTTATTGTAGTCGTTGCCTCGACCTGGAACGACATTTGTGGAAAATATTGTGTAGTTTGTTTCGCTGGTTAACAAGGAGTACGTCGCCTGGCGCCAGCTAGAGTAGAGGTCAGTTGTTCATGTTTCAATCCTACGGACACAGACCTTACCTAGCACCATTCTGTCTTAATCTGCGCTGGACTTCAGCGTTCTGAGATTGACCCTGTGCATTTGGCGCTCGGACCGACCCTGGATAACGCAGCAGCTGAATAGAGAAGCTCCCGTTAGTGGATTAATGAGGAGAAAACTCGCCCCCTATAGATGAACTAACCGGGTCGCCCCTGTTGAAACCCTTTTCGACGGTGGGATTGAAGACGAAGCTGTATTGGGGATTTCGAACGCTTCTTCGGCCTTGAGGTGTATTGATTTCGATCTGCGGCGTGATCATGGACTGTGGAAGTTCTGGATTGCTGGCCCAATCCCAGTAGGGAATTCTCAAGTTGACTGCCGCATCAACATAGGTGCTACGGACGTTTTCTGGGTACAGCGTCGCAATTGTCTGCGCATTCTTCCAAATTTGCATCTTTGTCTAGTGTCAGCATCTAGGTATTGGAATAGAACTTCATGTATGATGTGCGACCCACTTCATAAAGCGAAAGGTAGGGTCGATGCCATGTTGGGAACACTGTTGATGCATGTGCACAGTATCCAGCTCCTCCGCGGCCGTTTACGCCATCCCAAGGGCGAAATGGGTATCCGTGAACTCCTGGTTTTCATGAGGAGCTAACACCTGGTACTTGGATGGGATATACACACCGCCAATCTGATAAAAGCTCAACAAATTTCCTTGGTCCTCATCTTGAAATTGTGTGAACGCTAAAATATAGAGGTCAAATGCAGGCCCGGAACTTTGGAAGTTTACCAGGTTCTGCCGTGCAGGCCGTTCACCGGAAGGTTTGACTCCTTCTTTGATGCCGGTAATATCGTATGCTTGGATCTGGAAAATAAGGCACAAAACTATTTGAAGTACAGTCCAGAGCCGTATTCTAATCTCAGCCATTGTGCCTCAATATTTTGTGTCTCAATGTTTCGCTCGTCAGCGAAGAAATCGGAGAGTAATTAATATGAAGAATATAGAAGAAGGCAGGTATGTCTATTCAACCTGGTAGACTCATCAAAGAATTGTATAACGAGGGCCCGAAAAGCGAGTATTGGTATGAGAAATTAGAGAAAATCAATGATAATAGGAAAGACGAAAGGACATTGACAATACGTGGGCGTCAAAAGCGACGCATAAACGAGTGACTGGTATCAGAAAAGGCAAGAAACAAGAGTAGAAATGCGTTTAGGGCATTTCAGAAACAAAAATAGTTTGAACTGGCTGTCAGAAAAAGCAGGCGATTTGGATTATATAGGGTGAAGCCCCAAAAAAGACCTGACGCTGGGTACACCGCGCAATGCGGGCCACCATTGGAGCCGATCATTCAAGCCCAGCTAGAAAAGGCTTCGGTCCCCTGAAGTCCGAACAGCCAGAAAAAGCAATGGTCCGGAATAGTAGCGCTGTGGCTGCGGGCTAAGACTAAATTTGGTACACGGGGGCACAAACACTGCGTCTCGTTTATCAGCCCTCCAATCAAGACGGAAGAAGCATTTTCATAAGACCACAGTCACTTGCGAAAGCAGCCGAAAATGGATTTCTTGTCACTTAGTAAACCTTGTGAGCTGTGAGTGCTTGTGCTTTGGTCTCTTGAACAGTTGTGTCTTGAGATCCATGGAAGTAGAAAGAAGGTTGAACCTAAAGACCTTATGGACAGAAGGATTCATTTTTGTCGAATGGGCAGCAACCATTGCATACAGAAGGCCTTGACATGCGTACTCCTAGAATGTATCCTGGGTCGCAAGTCGTCCGCCTGCATGCATCTGACATTAGACGGCGAGGGGGGTGCGCGGTCAAGGAGTGGCAATGTATTCCCACAAAACTGGTAATAATTGATTGAGAGCCTCGCAAAAACCCACAGGACCGTCCGTTTCGGCACTCAACAGTAGTTTTAGTCCGAAGGATCCGTTGTTTTGACACACGTAAATAAGATGGACTGTGGCGTAGGCGGCGAGAAGGCAAAATTCCAAAAAGCAGTCCACTGGTTCCGTCAAAGGAGCTGGCAACTCTGTTTGAAGGGGAGTGTCTCGGCTCTGTGAAGGACTTTTGCCAGGCCGGGACGTTTTTGATGAGATTTCTGGGAGGGCGGAAAAAAAACGGGCATGGTTTCCATCCCCTCCATGCACGTTCGGGCAATTACTAACTGATGGGGGGCAGCCGAAGGAAGGAAGATCAAAGCACAATAAGAGTGCCTGGTTGGCCGCTGAGACTGCCAGGAACCGCTCCAGCTAAGTTTGCCGGGTGTGTGAGCTTCTCCTTAACCGCGCTAAAAGGGGTCAGCTTCCTCCGTACTCCATAGACAGCCCGCTAATTAGCCAGCCAACTGGGGGCACACCGCCTAAGCGCGAACCTTCGAGTTGCCCCGGCGAGATCTCCCTGCCCCCTGCACACTTCCCGCTTCTGCCGCACACCCTGGGGGAATCAGGCATCATGGAGACCATGTAGCCGTTTGTTTTCTTGGTCTTGTTGCTCCGCCGTGCAGCGTCATCTTCCGGCGTCGTCTTCGGAGTTGATGGCTTCATGAATCGCTAGAATCATCGGACTTCCAAGGCGCTCCACCAAATAAGCTAACAAGTTGGTCACGTTGGCGGCGTTGGCTCGTTCTCAAAAATAATACTTTTCCTGGGTTAAGCTCTAGTGTGGGCTGGGCTGGCTGTTTTGAAGCCCGAGGGAGGCGAGGCATTAGGAACTTCAGGCTGCCTGCCGTCAATTCCTCAGCTCTACACGGGGTACTCTGTAGCGACAGGCGAGCTGGTGAATGACGAGAGACTCCAACATGTCACTAATCAGGCTATACTCCGTACGAAGTACGGAGTACTCCGCCATCAACAATGCATGAATCATGTAGCCCTGATGATGCCAACCCCCAACCAATGTGGGAAGGTCGCTGCGCTATCTTAGTTTACCTCCATGGGCTGTTTCATGCTGTTCATATCTTCAGAAGTGGCAATGCTTCGCATGTACCGCTTTCTAGGTCAATTGTTATCCAGCAAAAGTCTCACATCATCCTTTGAGTGCCGTACATAACTACATACTTTTCAGCTTCGAGAACGCGTAACCCATCTCATCACATACGGAGGACTCCGTAGAGGTATGCATGTGTGTACGTAGCTACTGAGTACCTGCACATTCTCACTGGTCAAATGACAGGGCTACCCCGGCCTTGTTCCAGACACCAGAAAGCCAAGAATTCTCAAAAAAAAAAGTATTGATTTTTGAAGCCGAGAGTCTTCCGCCAGAAAAACACATCAATACGGAATACACATGCTATGGTGACAAATCATCCGGGTAAATGTTCGATATAGAAGATAATATAAAGGCGGTATTCCAGAATGCCTAAACGTGGAGATGCCTCCAGGAACGCGAGGGAACAACTAGGTTTCCAGGCCGATAAAAACAGAAAGAAGGCGGGAACTAAGAGCCAATCGTATCAAGCTTATTCGCTGGGGTATTCATTATTATTATTGGGGGAGTTGAAAGGAGTGGAAAAAACAAAAATGATGATGAACCCTTGTCTATGATGTATATGCACCTTCTTCACCATGTCCAAAGCAACCAAAAGTACCAAACTAGACAAATGCCTCCAACCCATTGGAGCGAAGAAACAAGACTTCTAAGCAGGCGCTGGGGGAATCCCTGCTTACAAACGGTGGCAGCCCTGGAGCTTGACCATTGTTTTTCTTTTACCTTTTCCATGGCCTCCCAATTCGCCCGTCGAGAGCGGTCTGTGTTCTCATCTGGAGCGGAAAACCCTGATGATGGCGCCACTTTTGATGATCGCGCTGCGTCATCTGGTGGGGACCTCGAGGCTGCTCGTGAGGCAATGATATTGTTGTACCGGGTTCCAAACCTGCTCTCGCTGCCCGATGGAGATGACGAGGATGTGCACTTGCTTGATACTGACGTGGAAGGGATGTCGCCGACACAAGGTTCGGTTAGAGGAAGGATTGGGCCACAGGCATCGTTGGGGCCTCGAACGGTCATGTATATCGCGTAGACACAAAGGATAATAATAGTAAAAGCGAAGGTATATGCATATCGAAGTAGCACGGAGAGTTGATCTGGAAGGAGGCAGAGATTGTTCTGCAGGGTTGAAGATCCTGATGGGTTTACTGACTTCCCTGTATTTGGGTCAATAGGGTTCCAGAGACTCGCCAACTGAACGCCAGGACGTCGTACACCCATGGCAAATGATGCGCTTTTCACCGTAATTTCCTTCGGAGCGCCACGAAACTCTTGGTGCTGGATTTCACAATAATCGTGGTCGTCGCCAGAATAAATCTGAATCACGGGACCGGTTTTGTTGATGATGTCGTTAGATATTTTCGGCGTAAGCACATTCTGATATTGATATCCCCAGCCAATTCGAATAGCATTTCTCTCGTCCTTCTCCGGTGGAAGATCAGTGGACGAGGGTGGCCAGTGCTCACGAAGTGGCCCACATGGCGTACCAGCCTCCCGGAAAAGAGGGACATGAGTGAGAAGGACAGTAGGAAAATCACCACTCGACAGAGCGGGTAATATTTTTGGCGCTATCGGCGCAGTCGCATCTGTTGCAGTGTGTGTCGAAACATGATTTTCTGGCTTACCATTCAGCAAGAGTAGTTCCTCCCGAATAGCTCGCGACCTGAGCTTCTGAAAGTCGTTTAGAAACGTCTCCGTTGGCTCCCAGATTTCCTTTGAAGCAAAGCTACCGGTGGCTGGACCTCCAGCCACTGACTTCTCCTGGTCCATTGCACTCAGTGAGACAGAATCCACGGAGGCAAAGGTATGATTCCCAATCATATCAACCCTATTCCCTTCGCCAAAGTAAGCACGAAACCGCTGGAGCACAGGGAGCTGTATTCCATTCCCAAAGCCCAGATCATGATTCCCCGGCAAACTTGCGATTATCTTCCTGCCCCTAGGGCTCGCAAAAGATCTCGTCCCGCCCAGCTTGAACGTGTCTAGATATATTCGAACGAATCTACCATATTCTTTCAGCCAAGCGCGATCTCCATACCTCTTAAACCTCGGATCTGGGCTTGAGCTGCGCGGTGTTGACCACTCCCTTCCTCCATCAAACAGGTCTCCAAGAAAGAATGTGCTGTCAGGTCGGAGTTTCTGTTGTAGTAACGCATGCGTTCTGTATAGATAGAGATCCGCTAAGTATATAGTCAACGACGACAGCGGCCACGGGCGGCCCGGATAGGTATGCGCATCGACAAGCTGAGGATCCGCGATGAACAGAGTATGATGCGGAACGGCATCCTGGGGCTACATCGACCAACAAAGACACATCAGCATCTCAGCCACGCATGACAAAAGACTCAGAACTCACCCATTTTTCCCACTTGTCCCAGACACACTCGTCCACCGCATCCCTAAAAACCGTCCTCTCTCCCCACCATAATGTCACGAACCACATCCCAATTATCAAATTCGGCAGCGAGAACAGCAGGCGCAGAAGCGCAAGAGCGCATCCGCCACGCTTGTGTTTAACCCTCCTGCGCTCTCTCGAATACGCCGCGGCAACCGCATCGCCCCTCGCCCGCAGCACAAGGAGTACCGTCTTCGCGGCGTATGGCAAGGAATGGTATGCGCGCTCCATGACACCGGGCGGCTCGACAAAATGATCGCGGTGGGATCGAGAGTATTCTAACGACGAGACCATGCAGGGGTTACGATTTTTTTCTTCCTCTCTCTCCCTGGTCGGGTTTGTTTTCCGAGGGAAGCGCTTATCCCGAGATTGCTTTTCGCATTAGGTGGTCGGATAGAACAGTCTCTGGAGGACCATTTTGTTAGTCCATGTTGCAGTGTAGGATTAAACCCGCGGGTGGCAGGTCTTTTCGAAGGGGTTGGCAAAAGGCCGGATAGTCTTGTAAGTTGTGTGCGAGGGCCGTCGTTCAAACTCCCACCCATGCTGTTGTAACTGCTGCCCGACCGGGGCGGAGGCAAGGTCACGTGCACAATAACTACAACCCCTGTGTGAAGAAGTGAGGAAATATGGATGAGACATGGGTGAGGATGGTATAGTTATGCAAATACTGGCACTAGAAACCTATCGAGGACCATAAGAGAAGACCAAAATGGAAGACCGTACTCCATAGTTACTCCATAGACGTGATGAAACTACGGAGCAGTTGCCTATTACTCCGCACACACTCATACAACTAATACGCCAACTCCGAATATCTGTATCTCTCTAACCAGAGGCCACAGCTGTTATCACCCAACATTTTACCAAGAAAAAGTACAAATCCGAGAAATAAAAAACGAAAGGGGGTCTAAATAATACACCAGACGAAAGGCGACACGCCGATAAGGGAACGCCAGTTGGCCCAATGATTTAGGTGCAGCATTGACGCGCCGCAGCACACTCGTTACCGCACTGAAGTAAACATGCCGAAGTCTCCGAACCAGACCCATTCCGCGGTGGAGACCCCGGCGCGTTCCTAGGGGCTGGAGAACCCTCGTCATCGCTGTCCGGATAAAATTCCGGCTGGATAGTCGACGAATGGATGCCGTATGCATGAAGGCACTTGCGAATATCTCGGGCCAAAGTCATGTATCGGTCCGAGCCCTCTCCTTTGATATCATGGCTGACTTGGATATGCAAAGAGGCTACTAGTTTAGTATCACTGAGCTGCCAGACGTGTAAATGATGGCAGCTAAGGACGCCTGGTAGGGATTCCACATCTTCGATAATGTGATCCACACTTAAACCTGCAGGTACAGCTTGGAGGAGGATGCGAGAGGCGGCTTTGCAGAGAGGAATAGCGGACCAGAGGATAATCATAGTAATGAAAAGAGAAATTCCGGGGTCGACGTAGTATCTCCAAGAATAATCGGTCTTCCAGATGACTAAAGCAGACGCAATAACACCAATATTACCCAATGCATCTCCCACAACATGCAAGAAGACACCTCGCATGTTCAGATCGTGGGAATGTCCATGGCCCTTTTTGTCAGTCTTTGGCTTGGCATGGTTATGCTCGACATGCAGATCAGCCCGAGCACCATTTGTGGCTTTCATAGGCTTTTGGTCATAAGTAGAAGTTGTCTTGCTGTTCTGTAGTAGCCCAGAGCGTTCAGTGACTTCACTCGATTCACGAACGTCATCTGCACCGGATGATTCGGATTCACTGAATCTGCCTGCGTCGATGATATCCTGGCGGAGACTGGCGGGGTGGATCTGGATGCTATCTGGGTCCCGCTGTGCGCGAGCGGAGGCACTGGATCGACGGCCTCTGCCATGACTTTTCCTTGCAGCTCCGGAACTACCATTTGCCTCCCGGTTAGGAATTGGTCTGACGGTGCTTACAGACGTATCTGTTTCACAAGCCTCGATGGCGTTCTGTGGCATCACACCAGCAACATTGCCATTTGGATCTAATACTGCCGCGGTGTCGGCATCCTCCACGTATCCCTGTTCCACATCGGTTGCCTCCTCAACTCCATGGCCGCCATGTCCATGGGAATGGTCATGGAACAGTAGTAAGCCCACGATATTGGAAAAGAGGCCGAAACAGCCCACGATCAGGACAAGCTTTGGATTTTTCACCACCTGCACTTCTACCAAGCGCTGGATAGCTTCGAGAAAGATCGAAAGGCACAGAGCAACCAGGAAAACGCCATTGACCAAGGCACCCAAAGTCTCGGCGCGTTGCCACTACTCCGTATATATATTGGATCAGCATTGGCGACGGGCAGCAGGAAAAAAAAGCAAAGAAAGAAGAGAGAAATCTTGGACGTACACCGTAAGTGTAGGATTTCGAACTGGTCTTTTCGTTGGCGACCTTAACGGCCCATAGGCCGACGCAGAGCGACAAGACATCATTCAGCTACCGGAGCATAGTAATTAGTACTGGTGACGTTATCATAATCATGGGCTCAGAACACGTACCATATGAAAGGCGTCTGCCACCAAGGCCAGTGAATGGACGGCATATCCTGTACAATTAGATCAGTACTCTGCCACAGAGCAGCGGCGGAGCTCCACCACATACCAACGATTAACTCAATGAGAAAGAAAATAGTGTCGATGATGAGCAGCAGAACGATCCGCTGGGTCTTTGTCATGCCCATGGCGGCGGAGAGGGGGGGGGTCGCGGGTGGCAGTCAGAAAGGGGCCAGAGGCGTGAGAGAGGAGCAATTGGGTGAAGAGAAGTAGAAGGTCATGCGCGGAGGACAAGGACGAGAAAAATGAGTCGGCGCGGGAAGCTTCGAGTGGCGGAAAAGCGCCGAGCAGAGAGGAGCCGGGATGGTGAACTAGCAGGAAATACAGAGAAGAAGGCTGGCGGCCGGGGGGGAGAAGAAGCAAAAGGGAGGGAAGCCGAAGAGCCCGCACGCCAGCTGGTTAGATTAATGAAAGCGTCTCGCTATGAAACCACGTTCAGAGCTGCAGGAGAGAGCGCGCTGCCATGGCGAGATCGACCGGGAGAAGATGGACAGGGGGCGTCGCCGCGAGAAGTAATTTAGCTTTGGATGCGATGAAGTGCCGTTGGCGCGTTCGCCATCGCGATCCTTCAGCGACGATCGGCTGAGTCAGCGGCGTGTCTCGGCTGGGCGGGGATGGGCATGGGCGCAGAGCACACGGCGATCGCGAGCGACTAGAGGTTGAGCATGGGGACGGCGAAGCTTTGCACCAGCTAGCGCGACGTCCACCAGCCCAGCGGATTCTAGAAGGCGGAGGCCGCGTGGTTTCAGCGCTGGGGGGTTGCACCGGAGCTAACTAGGGAGGAGCTGCGGTGAGGAGTCCGGGATGTTCCTTTTTTATAGTCAAACTACTCCGTAACTAACTAACTACCCAACGCCAGCCATGGACAATAACTCGATGAGGGTATCAAAATACTCCGTACAGTTGCAGACTGACAGCCCGCCCAGGATGCAATAACAACAACGCCATTCTCATGTACTGTCTCGCTGAACGCTAATCATGACGACGAGCACCAGCAAGGTAATCAGAGCCTACCGACACACCTCGTTAGCACGCCCTAGCCAGAGCCAAACCCCCCAGGATGCAACCATACATACCGCCGCCGTCAGCGTGGCCACCATCATCACCTCCCAGCCGGCTGCGTGTATCTTCCCCCGCGACAGGGCGCCCTGCTGGCGCAGAAACCGCGCCGCCGCGCCCAACGCAACGACAATGGCACAGCCCTGGCAGACGCACGCCAGCGGCACGCCCACGGCGCGGAACCCGAACGCCGCCGGCCGGCCCGGCTCCGTGTGCTGCAGGCTGAAGAGCTGCGCAATCAGGACGCCCATCAGCGAGAAGACGAGAGACGTGCGCATGTGCGCGAGATAGGTGCGTTCCAGGGCTAGTCAGCGATTGGTAGGTTAGTTATGTAGCCCAGATCACACAAGCTGCAGGAGGGAGACGAAGCGAGTGACACAGTGACACCGCACCCGGCGGGAAACACACCGTGAGGCCGCAGGAGAATGCGTGTGCGCGGCCGGCCGGTCCCCTAGCTGCAGGGCCCCGGGTTTGACGCTCCTTCAAACACGCGGTGCCAACGTAAAAAAATAAAATAAAATATAAAGATAAATATAAACGCTCCATAGTTCTCCCCACCATAGGTACCCACGGCAATTAAAATAATAATACAATAAGACGGTGCAGCAACTCACCAAAATGGTCCCGCTTCTGGTCCTGCGCAACCGACAGCACCACATTGCGCCGCCAGAACTTGATCAGATGGCGAAACCGGCCCGTGGGCTCGCGGCTGCTGCGTGTCATCTGGCTCTCGCGCGTCGACCGCCGGCTCACAACGCGGAACTCGCCCGACGAAATCGTCGACGGCGACGAGTCTCGCCGCGTATGGGTGGGGATCTCATGTAGCTCGAAGAGCTCGTGCACACCGCCGTCGTGGGGCGGCAGCTGCGGCGGCTCCTGGTCTTGTTCTTCCTCCTCCTCCTGCTGCTGCTGCTGCTGCTGCGGTTGTTGGTCGAGGGCGGAGACGCGCGATCTCGATCTCAGGGACGACGACGAGGCGATGACGGCGGGTTCGGGGGGCTGGATGGTCTTCCCAGCTTGGCCAGCGCGTTCCTCCATCTGCCGTGTGTCCGGCGCATTGCAGGCGGATCGTGCTGAGGGTGGGTAGGAAGGGCGGAGTGCGGCGACGGGGTGGCGAGCCGGCGGTTTTCTTGCACTGTTGGCCCTGGCTAGCTATGGATTTATGTAGCTATGTAGCTAGCTGGGGCTGCAATGCTGTCAACCAGTCAATGAGAACGAGAAAAAAGGGTACAGGATAGATGGTCTGGATGGGTGCGATTGCTGTTCCGCTGCCGTGCGGTCAGACTTGTTCTGGATTTTCCCAGGTTTTGGCTTTATATAGCGAGACGGGCGGGAATTCTCACGAGAATTGCTCCGGAACCTCGACTGCCTGCAACACAGCCATTGGGTGCTTTACGAGAACGCTTTCTCCCGGCTTCTGGCAAGGGCCAGGCCTCGTGCTTTTCGCGGCCGCCGGTGGCGAGCCAGCAGGTCCTTTTTTCTACGCCTCCTTTTCACTTTGGCGTCTCGAATCGCCCTTGGCCAGAAGCTTGTGGCTGGACCCTGACGCCATGGCGCTTCGGCGATTTCTGCCCAAGAGCCGGTGCTCACGCATCTCCATAAAGTAGTTAAATGTATTCCATCTCGCTGCCTGAGCAGGCCGTCCATTGACCACCCAGCTCGCCGCCAGAGGTTATAACGATAAATGAACGGAGTATACTCCGTACTTACAAGGCAATTCCCCTCCGATGCAGGGATCCCCGCCCTCCTTCGAAGAGAATTGTCCGTATTCACCGCAGGGGTATCGGAGCCCCAGCCCAATCGCGATCCTCGCCGGCCCTGCGAGTCGGGCGTACGATCCGCGGTGCCGGGTGTGCGTTCTGCCAGAGATGTCTATCGTCTCGTCAATATCGCAATGCCAGCAGTCATAGTATTGCCAACTGCTAACTAGTTAACTAACTGACCAGTTAGTTAGCCCTGCGTCGGGACCAACATCGGTTGTCTTCCAGCAGAATGCAATTGCCCACTCCTACTTCTCGTAACCATAACTACTCCGCTGCTGAGATAACTATCGGTTAGCAGGTCTACAGAACCTCCATCGCAAGATATACCCGCGCAATACCCCTCTGAGCGCAGAAATAATATATAATAATGTTGCCCGACAACGATCGCCGGTGATCAGTCTAGGATCGGCTATATCTTTGATTGCGATCGCCGCGGCCGGAGTCGCACCGTTGGACGAACGTGGCCGCCCTCTTCGCATCCGGCCTGTACTCGAATAAAATGCTCCTGTCAGCTGCGAGACCGAGCGTCTTTGGGAGGAGCGCCACTGTGCCTCGGAATCGGGAGCAAGATAAGGACCGTTCGGGTCGGCACATCTGGTCCCGATAATGAAGCTTGAGAAATAAATAAATATCGCCGGGCGGGCTGTTTTCCAAACACGCGATGTTTTGGCAGAGTCTTTATTATTCGCGGCACCTTCACCTCGCGTTCCCCCTGTATTCTCAATGTGTGCTTCGCCTCAAACACACCGCTGGGCGCCTGTCTTACTGAACCGTCTACTCTAGAAACAGAATTTTCTCGGCATTCTCAACGACATTCCCCGTTATTACTACCTGCCTGCCAAGCCTCAAAAGCGTTGCTGTCAATTCTGCTGCGACTGGAAAACATTCGCTGTGAGCCAAGATCCAAAATGGTTAAGGGGGAGCTCGCCCAATCTCCGCGCGGGCAACAAGAATGCAAACTGATGATCAAAATAATAATAATAATAATGTCTTACGAATTGCAGCACTTGAGGTTCGTGAGCAAGGGAAATATGAGACGAGGGCGAAGACAATATCACGGATCCATGTTGGTATAACAGCATCGCATTATACTGAAGTTTCATAAGAAGCGGTTGAAAACAGAGTGCTTCTCGGCGTTTACGGTCGAGATGCACCTAACCGTGCACCTAACCCTGCAATCCTTTCAGGATGAAGTGCGGAGAAGTAACTACTACTACTACTCCGTAAGGAGCGCACACGGCACATGCCAGTGGGGTATTTAGCGCTACGGCTTTCAAGTAATATGCTTTAATAATGCAGGGCACATATTATTAGGAAGGGGTGAAGACCGTTCTCCATACGGATATAAAGACAGCACTCCTATCATACGTTTTCTCTCGCATGACGGCATCCCAAAACCAAGAACCCGCCCTGATAAGCCCTTCAACCCCAATAACCCGGCACTAGGCTTGAATATGCAGACAAGCATCCTGCTGGTCCGATATCGGCCTGCCTGCCGCTCTCCATGACACCCGTAGACTGCGGAGCTCTCCGCAATAGATCAGTAGATAAAAGCCGTCGCGATAGCCTCTCTCATTCACGCTGGCTTGCTGTTCGTCTGCTTGCTTGTTTTCTTGCCCGGTTTCTATCCAAGCTGGGATTTACGAACGGAACGCGGGCCAAGACAGACAGCTCCTAAACTAGGCCAGTTGCAAACGGGAACAAAACATCAAACCACCAAGCAGGCATGGCAGCACAGACGTCCCGCGGCGGAACGGCAGGCACAGATCATTGGTCCTCAGAGGTACTTTATATAGAAATAGATCTACTCCCACCCGCCGTATCACACTGCTTAGCATATTTCGCAGGCCTACAAAGCATCCGCGTCTTTTGTCCCGCTCTTGGCTCAGACCGTGCTCGGCTACATCGACCCGCAGCCTACGGACCGCGTGCTCGATATCGGCTGCGGAGATGGCAAGTTCACAGGCTACTACATGAAGGCCGTGGGCCAGGTACTAGGCCTCGATGCGTCGAATGCAATGGTGGCAGCGGCGAAAAAGGACTGGGCGAGGGAGAATGTAGAGTATCGGGAGTTGGATTGCAGGTATTTGGACAAAGAAATCAGAGAGGGGAGTGTTGAAGGGGCAGCTTGGGATAAAGTGTAAGTTCTGTTCTGTTCACCATTGCAATCCCAGGGCCTGTCTTGATGCCCGAAACAGCGTGTCAAACGCCGCATTGCACTGGATTCTGCGGGACCCGGCCACGCGCGTGTCCGTCCTGCAGGCAATCCACGACTGTCTCAAGCCAAACGGCTCTTTTGTCTTTGAAATGGGTGGCCACGGAAACGTACCTGAGGTGCACTGTGCGATGATGGCTGCCCTGGTCCACTCTGGCGTGTCCCTGGATGCTGTCCGGGACGCAAACCCGTGGTTCTTCCCGTCCGAAGCATGGATGAGAAAGACCCTGGAGGATATCGGGTTCCGGGTTGAGAAGCTGGAGATGGAGTATCGACCTACCAAATTAACCACGGATGAGAAAGGAGGGATTGAAGGGTGGCTGAGGCTAATGGGCGCATCCTTCTTCGAGGTCCTGCGCGAAGGCGAGCAGCGGGACAGCGCTGTCAAGCATGTGTGTGAGGTACTGGACCCGGTGATCACACGAGAGGATGGTAGTAAGTGGCTGGGGTATGTAAGGCTGAGGGGAGTAGCGGTGCGGAAAGAATAATGAGAAATGACATGCTAGATTAGATCACAGAGTCAAAGACGGATAATTCCACTGTCTTCTCATTTTTAGTCCGCCCTCCATAGACTCTTTAGGATCCAGGCAGGTCTGAAAAATGGAAGCAAAACAGAACGGGGGATCGATTGAACCGCGTCCAGATAGACCCTGACTCCGGTCCAGCCACCACAGTGCAAAGTTTGCCGTGTTGTCAAGACCGACGCCAACATCTCCTGGACGAGCCCAACGACGCCCGCAACCGTCATATCGATCTTGCGCTTTTTTTCTCGAGGACGGGATCCTCGAGGGACTTGTGATCTGCCAACCATGGGGACGCGAGGTTGGAAGACGTCTTGACTCTGTTCTGAGCAGCGCGTTACTAGCATATCTGGCCACGGTGCCATTCTGATGGTGTCATGAGAGAAGAGAGAACCTAGAAAATCAAGCAGAGCATCACAAAGCGTTGAGAGGGGAACCATTATAAATACATTAGTCTATAGTACAAAATCTTTCTTCATTTTCTTTTCCAAACGCCAGGAAGATGCGCAGTCCGATGGTATATAGCAAACATGATTATATAGAGGCAGCGGCAGAAGCACCGTCGGCTTCTGAAGTGGCATTGTCCACACCGGCATTCGCGGCGTTATTCTGGAGGCCCTGTCGTATCTGCCACTCGTCAGGGTTAGACACATTTTCCGACTTCCCAAGAAGGCAAGCGACGCGCTCAGTTCCGTCGACAAGATACTTCTGAGCAACCCTGCTCACGTCATCACCGGTGACATCCAGCACCTGCTCTCGCCAGCGCTGGTCCATGTCCTGCGTGACGCCCGTCAGGAAGTATCGCTGGCCTTCCCGGTCCACGCTCATGGGAGCGTCGAGGGACTGGAAGATGCCCAGCTTGGCTTCGGCCAGCTCGCGTTCCTCCCAGGCGTGGTCGCGCGCAAACACGCCGCTGTTGTCAAACACCTTGAGCGAGTTCATCGGGTTGGGATCGCGGTAGCTGGAGAAGCTGAACAGGCCTTGGATCGGCCCGTTGGAGGCTCCGGCGCCGTAAGCGCCGCCCTTTTCTCTGATTTCGGGATGCAGGTATTTGTGTGTCAAGAGCTGCGAGAGCACGCTGAGCGGGGCACTGTCCTCGCCTGTGAACGGCGTCGTGGGAAGCGCGACGCCGGAATATGATACCTGGAACGGGAGTTCGTAAAGTATCTGCCGTGACGACGATGAAGGCTGGCGGTTATTCTCCAAGGCCGGGGGAAGAGCCGCTTTTGGCAGACGGCTAAGCCAGTGCTGGAGACTGGCTTCAATTTCGCCGGCGCTACCCGGCTCACAAACCACACGAATCCGAAGTTTCGGAGATCTGGAAAGAGCAAAAGCCTGGATCAACTGTAGCCTCTGCATGATGTTGTTGAACTGAGTGGGAGAGTTTTGTGAGGCATGAAGAAACTTAGCGGCATCCTCAATCTGGGACAAGCCGGAAATTTGCTCCTGTACCCAGAAGTTTCGGGAGAGACCAGCGGCGGCAGCATTGACAGCGAACCGGTGACCCGAACCCGCCACAGCATCTAAGGCACCGTTGGTACTGGAAAGGAGAAGCTCTTGAATAGTTTCTGGTGCTCTTGGGCTTGAGAAATGCGACTCTGCGACTAGGGTCGTGATGATATCCAACATATCTGGAAGGTGTTTATCCATGGCGTACCCTGAAAATTGCAGGCCCTCCGAGTACTCCCCTAGGGTAAAAGGCGACGAGACAGAAAACGCGGAGGTGGAAACACCGCCGGTTTTGAGTTTGATCAAGTCCTCCCACTGCTCCATGGTCCGGTTCGCCGTCCCCAGACGCATCACGCAGTCATTGAAGAGAGGCAAGAGTGGCCTTGCCACGTCAGGAAGATCGTCAAACACGTTGAGAGCTTGGAAATAACACAGGCCATTGGTAGGAGCTTCTCGCATGACTACCTGAACGTCACCGATATTGAATTCTCTAACCGTCCTCCGTTCCATCTGGCGTGGGATATCTTGGATATGAAGAGTTGGCAAGCAGCTCACGTCAGCGAGCTGAGCAGACTCCTGGACCTTCAAAAGCTCGAGTTCTTCTTTTTTGAGATGCTCAGAAACCGCTTCTGCGGAACCGAACTTCGAGGTCAACTCTGCCAGTTTTTTCTCTTTCCGGATACTCTCTTTCTCAGCGAGGGATTCATTATACGTAGGAGAGCCTACCATTGTGAAAGTCAAGGTTTTATTGTTCATAAAATAGGTCTCCATCAGGCTCTCTAGGTATTGTTTCCCTTCCCGGCGCTCCTTGAAGGCGTTGATGGTGTCGTTCCACGCCAGCTCCCTGGTAGGGTTGAACCCGTTGAACCATGACGACAGCGTTTTTTCCATGACGCCAGTTCCAAAGTTCGCAGTTCTATGTTTCAGTGCAAGTTCTAGCTGGTGAAGATAACCCGCGATCTTCTCATTGTCGAATCCCTTTTTGAAACAATCCTGAAAAACCTCTTCGATTCGGCTCTTGACGAGTGGGACATCCTTCTCGGATATTCCGTTTAACCCAACGGAAAAAATCGGCACTTTTCCGGAAGTATCGAGCCCCGTGTTGGGCGTGAAAGACGAGCCTAGGCCACTCTCTATCAACGCTTTGTACATCGGCGAGCCATAGCCGTCAAGGAGCAGGGAGGAGAGAATGCTTAGGGAAAAGACTTCAACTTCATCGGATGAGTCGCCTGCAAGCCACGAAACGGAAGTCTTGGCCTGCTTGTCTTCACTCGTTAAGGGATCCATCGGCCCTTCAAGCGTATAACCAACCCCAGTACTTAAATCCCGGGGAGTCTTCACGTCCAACGGACATGATTTCTTTTCAAAGCCGTCCAGCACGCCGCCTATCTGCTGGAGGTGATCACCGAGGGGCATATTGCCATACGTGAAAAATTTTGCGTTGCTTGGATGATAATTCTTCTTGGAGAAATCAACGAGCTGTTCATGAGTCAGGTCTGTTATATACTGCGGGTCGCCGCCTGAATTGTTGATGGAAGGGAATATGTGCTCCTTGAATTTTATATAATATAGGTAGTTCGCGTCCGTCATCTGGCCTTTCATTTCGTTATACACCACGCCCTTGAAAATGATATCATCTTCTGGTCTGGCGTCTTCAGCTGTGTTGGCGAGTTCGGCGGCCCTGGGGTTCTCGGGTCCTAACCGCCATCCTTCTTGCCTGAAGTCTTCCTCCTTGAGCAGTGGATGGAGCGTGGCATCGAGATACACCGACAGAAGATTCTGAAAATCCTGTTTATTGGTGGTCGCAAATGGGTAGGAGGTATGGTCGGATGAGGTAAAGGCGTTCATAAAATTGGACAGAGATCGAGGAAGCATCTTGAAAAACGGGTCACGGACGGGGAACCTATAGTACATTCATTATAAGCAGAGCAACGTCGAAGGCTAGAAATGCATCCAACTAACTTCTCACTTCCACAAAGTGTCGTGTGCTCGAGGATATGCGGCACACCGGTCGCATCCGGGGGATTCGTCTTAAACCCAACAGTGAAGACATTGTTCTTATCGTCTCTGGCAATGTGCAGGTAGTCTGCATCCGTTTTGTCATGGCGTAACCGAACGGCGGTCAACAGGAGCTCTGGAACGTGTTTTTTCTCCTGCACAGTAAATCCATGGAGCTTGCCCCCTACCTCGGGATACTCATTCACATCGGTGACGGTTGACGCTGCTCTGATGGGCTGACCAAACGGCGCACGCCGAACTGGGTATCGGAGACACGGGATCTGGGAGCCAAAGGCCCTGTGCCGCAAGACAGAGCTTGAGGATCGAAGCATGACGGTTATAGGGTTGTTTGCAGGCCAATTTCAAATACCATTCCGTAATGAGATAATCCCACAGCGTCGCGCTTTGGTGAAATTTCGGTCAAAGGAATGCCGTGCCGATGACTGTGAAAAAAGTCTTGGTGGGAGGGCGATGCGTAGTGAGTGAGGTGGCAAGCCCGCCAGACACACAGGCTAGAAGCACAGCAATGACAGCCCTAGAAACAGCAAAGCAAGTATCCCCAACAGTGCCGACGCCTGTTATCCCGCGACGGCCAGCAGAGCAAGCATCGCCGTTGCAGGCGGAGCGTCGATGAGGGCGGAGCCAGACGGCGCTAGTCGGGCGGCAGCCAATGGCGAGCGGCTCCCCTCTTGCTTTCTGGCGTCGGAACTCTCTTCGCTCTCTCACGCACGCTTTGCACGACACGCAGCACAACCACCACAACCACAACCGCCGCCGCCGGCCCACCGCCATCCGACTCCCGCCGCCGCCCCAGCACCACCCGTCCGCCGCCCCAGCGTCAGTCTCCCGCTCCATCTCGTGTGTGCGTGTGGTTTCTGCCGTTCCATCTCTCTGCACCCGGCTTTGCTGGCTGTGTCACACCGCGCTGCCACACCGTCCTGGGGAAAAAACTCTGAATGACTTCGCACCGGCCGGGCGAGAAAGGCAGTCTGCAGGCATAACAGAGCCCGGCAGCAGCAGCACGACACTACTTGGGCGCTACGTCGCAATTGGTGCTTTTGACGCTCCAACTTCCCCCCCTGTGGCCGAGGGAATGGCTACTGTTTCCTCGCAAACCCATTTGAGCAACCCGACCACCACCCCATCTTCAGCCTCCACCACCCCCAACCTCGCCCACGGCCACCCACCGCCGGCCAAACCGTCTGCTATGCCGCCCTCCGGCATGGGCAAGAAGGGGAAGGGCAAGAAGCCGGCCGACCCGTCCGAAACATCGAAATTACTCGCTGCCAAGATCTCCCAACTCGAACAAGATGCCGCGGGAGAAAAGGACCAGGAAGCGGAGATTGGTATGTAATCTACTCCAGAGTGATTGTTCATGTGCAATAGGGGACGCTGTCTTGCCAGCAACGTCGATTTACGTTGCGCAGGCCGTCGAACGAGGGCCTAGGTTTTTTTTTTTTACTGACTTTTACGTGTAGAGCGTGAAGTCAAGAAGGCCACGCGGGATCTCAACCAGCTTCTGAACACCATTGAATCGCCCATGACTCGCCTAGAGACGGTACATAAGAAGTACACGGAGCTGCTGGCCGACATGAAAAAGTTGGACCGCGACTACGCCAAGAGCAAGAAGCGGGCGGACCAGCTGCAAAAGGACCAGGACAAGGGCAAGTCGGAGTTGAACAAGACAGCGACGATGAAAGACAAGCTGGAGAAGCTGTGCCGCGAGCTGACGAAAGAAAACAAGAAAGTCAAAGTGGGTGATCAACTACGACCCTGTTTTTTCTGCGGAGTTCCTTCCCAACAAGCAAAAGGTTTTTTGTCTGATCGGTATGAACCACTCGTTATAGGATGAGAACAAGAGACTCGAGGACACGGAGCGAAGAGCGCGAGGGATCGTCAACGACCGGCTCGATTCGTTACTGTTCGATATCCAAGACGTCATGGCGCAGAAGGGCAACGCGCGGGTCGAAAAGGTCGACGTTGACTTGGACGAAGCGTAAGTACTGGACGTCCAAGCGCGCGAGCGGGGTCTCTCTGACGTGGGCGGTAGGCTTCGCGCGAAGATCAAGACGATTGGCGAGAAATTCGAGCTGCGCGAGCAGCACTTCAAGGCGCTCCTGCGCAACAAGGACGCGGAGATCCAGAGCCTGACGGCCAAGTACGAGGAGCAGCGGCGCCACGCCGAGACGGAGGCGGCGCGCTGCCGGGCGCTGAGCTCGCAGGTGTCGACGTTCTCACACACGGAGGCGGAGCTGCGGAGCCAGCTGAACATCTACGTGGAGAAATTCAAACAGGTGGGTGTTGCCGTCTACGCGGTACGTGGTGCGGGTGGTGGGATTGGCTACTGACTGGTCTTGTGTAGGTCGAAGATACGCTTAATAATAGCAACGAGCTGTTCATGACGTTCCGCAAGGAGATGGAGGAGATGTCGAAGAAGACGAAGCGGCTGGAGAAGGAGAACCTGACACTGACGCGCAAGCACGACCAGACGAACCGCAACATCCTCGAGATGGCGGAGGAGCGCACGCGCAACAACGAGGAGCTGGAGAAGTGGCGCAAGAAGAGCAACAACCTGGAGGCGCTGTGCCGGCGCATGCAGCAGCAGGGCCGCGGGCAGGCGGTGGCCGAAGACCTCGAGGTCGACGAGGATGACGACGAGGGCACGGAGAGCGAGTACGACGATGAGTATGAGGATGAGGATGAAGATCTGAGCGAGGAGGGCGAGTATGTGGACGGCGAGCCGCAGCACGGGCCCAAGACGGCGGCGGCGGCGGCGGCGGAGAAGCCGGTGTTCGGGCCGCCGCCGCCACCGACGCTGGCGGAAGCGAGGTCGAATGGGAATCGCGTGGTGAATGGGTACAAGCATTGATGGGGTAGATTGGGGCTGTTTGGATGGACGTCTCTGGTTGGGGAGGATTTCGACTTGAGTGAGTGGGTGATTGGGCTTGACTGATTGATTGACTGCTATACTCTCTTCTGTGGTTTGTGTGTTTTGTGTTATTGTTACGTGCCTACTGCTGCTGCAGCCGCTGGTGAAGCGCGTGGACAGGGCATTTTGTACATGTATGATGCTGTAGGTATGTCGACAATGCGGTGATTGCTCTTATACCCCCGACAGCCGGGCCGGATGAGTTTTTGATAGGAAGCATTAATTGAGTAGCAGACAACATGCGATGAATATACAAACAGACCACCCCCCCAATGAAATCAACCCATTCTTGATTATTATTACAGCTTGCTCCCGTCGGCCAGATACGTGCTGCCCAGACGCAGCATGGTGGCAGCCTCGGCCACCATGCTCTCGACAATCTCGCGGGCGGGCTTGATCTCGTTGACGGCGCCGGCCACACTGCCCATCAGAAACGGCAAATCGACATCCTTCCCGTCCTCGAGGTCCTTCATCAGCGGCACGACGCCGCTCTCGGTCAGGCGGCGGATCTCGTCGGGCCGCTTCTCCCAGTCGGCGACGTACTCGTTGGGCAGCACGCGCAGCGGGCGGCCGGACACGACCAGCGTGCGGATGGTGTCGTGGAAGCCGGCGGCCACCAGGGCGTCCTTGTGCATGCGGCTGGCGCCGCTCTCGTGGCTGGCGACGAAGCGCGTGCCGACCCACACGCCGGCGGCGCCCAGCATCAGCGCGGCGGCCAGGCTGCGGCCGTCGTTGACGCCGCCGGCGGCGACCACGAGCGGCGTGCGGCCGGTCAGCGGCGAGGTGTAGGCGCGGGCGACGTCGACGACGGCGGGGACCAGCACGGAGAAGGGCACGTCGCCGGTGTGGCCGCCGCCCTCGCCGCCCTGGGCGCACAGCAGGTCGACGCCGGCGCGCAGGGCCTTGTGGGCGTGGCGCGGGGCGCCGACCATGTTCATGACGAGGATGCCGGCGGCGTGCAGGCGCGCGATGGTGCGGGCGGGCGGCACGCCGACGGCGGAGACGAACAGGCGGGCGCGGTGGCGGATGGCGACCTCGACCAGCTCGTCGAGCTGGCCGTGCGTGTAGTCGTGGTTGGTGGCGCGCGCGCTGCCGCCGACCTGCGGCAGCGCCAGGTCGACGCCGAACGGCAGGTCAGGCGTGGCCAGGAGCGCGCGCAGCTCGGTCAGCATGGCGTCCAGCTGGGCGGGCGTGTAGCCCAGGCCGCCGACGGTGCCGAGCCCGCCGGCGTTGGACACGGCGGCGGCCAGCGGAGCGCCCGACGTGCGCGCCATGCCGGCCAGGAGCACGGGGTGGCGCACGGCGAGCAGGTCGCAGAGCGGCGTGCGGAGGGACATGGTGGAGGAGGAGGGATGGGAGTGCGAGGGTGGTGGTGGCGGTGGTTGACGGCGTGGGTTATATAGAGAATAAAGTAACTATACGGAGTACTCCGTACTCCGTAGTTACTTGGCTGGCTGCCTGCCGAGCGCCGCAGCCGCGGCCCGGGGGCGAACGTGATGCGGGGGGAGTTAGCTAGTTAACTATTAACCCGCAGTTAATTAGCCAGTTAATTAGCCAGTTAACTCACTAACTAAGGCCCGGCTTTGTCCCTGGCGCCGCAGCCAATGGCGTGCCAGCCATCAACCCCCGCGCCCAGACACCACGTTACAAAGTACTCCGAGAGCGATAATACGGTCGGCATTGTTCCAGCAACTCCGCTTTGGTGCCGGCGCGAGGGACCAGACAAGACAAGAAGGATATATAAATGGCCGGTGGGGGGGTGTTCGCAATGCCCCGCCAACCACTCGTCCGCTGTATGCCCGTCGTTTCTGTATCTGCTGAGCCGAGTTGTCTTCTGTCCACCACACCATGGCTGCCACCACGCCCTCGCTGGCGGAGATCCGCGCCGCCGTCGACGAGTACATTGCTGGCCTGTCCGACCGGCTGTTCGAGCTGAACCAGAAAGTGAGCCCACCAACCACACTCCCATCAGTAGCAGTATCTGTCTAACACCACTCCCAGATCCACCAGCGCCCTGAGCTCGCCTACAAAGAGCACTACGCCCACGACACCATCTGCGACTTCCTGGAGACCCTCGGCTTCACGCCCACGCGCCACGCCTACGGGCTCGACACCGCCTTCGAGCTCATCAGCGGCGCCCCCGACGACGACGCCCGCACCGTCAACTTCAACGCCGAGTACGACGCCCTGCCGGACATCGGCCATGGCTGCGGCCACAACCTCATCGCCACCGCCAGCATCACCGCCTTCCTGGGCCTGGCCCACGCCATCGACAAGTTCGGCCTGAACGGCCGCACCCAGCTGCTGGGCACCCCCGCCGAGGAGGATGGCGGCGGCAAGATTGATCTGTTGAACGCCGGCGCCTACAAGCACGTGGACGTCTCGCTGATGCTGTGAGTATATGTTTTTCTCGCCCGTTACCTAGTTACTTATCATCACCAGCCACCCCGAGACCGAAGACGCCTTCACCAAATTCGGCGCCATCGGCTCCGGCGGCCTGGGCGCCGTCGCCTGCTACGACATCATCTGCCGCTACACGGGCGTCAGCGCGCACTCGTCGGCGTGTCCCTACGAGGGCATCAACGCGCTCGACGCCGTCGTCGCCGCGTACAACAACATCTCCATGCTGCGCCAGCAGATCCGGCCCGAGGAGCGCATCCACGGCACCATCCTGCACGCGCCCAAGATCACCAACGCCGTGCCCGAGCTGGCCGTCACCAAGTACACCGTGCGCAGCGCCACCGCCACCGGCGCGCGCGCCCTCGGCGCCCGCGTGCGCAAGTGCCTCGAGGCCGGCGCCCTCGCCACCGGCTGCTCGCTCGCCTTCGACGAGAGCCCCGTCATGGCCGACCTGCGCATCAACACCCCGCTGTGCGACTCCTGGAAGGCCCACATGGCCGCCCAGGGCGAGCGCATCCTCGACCCGGACCCCAACGACCTGTCCGGCTCCACCGACCAGGGCAACGTCACCCACGCCGTGCCGGGCTTGCACGCCCTGCTGGGCATCCCCGTCGTCGACGCCGCCAATATCCACACCCACGGCTTCGCTGCCGCCGCCGCCACGCCGTTTGCTCATGACCGCACCGTCATGGGCGGCAAGGCCCTGGCGATGACTGGTGTGGATGTGCTGCTGGACGAGGAGTTTTATGCCCGCGTCGTGCGTGACTTCGAGGAGGATAAGAAGCGGAGATAAATAGATAAGATGAGTTGAGTGTGTGGAGGTATATGACTGGAATGAATACCATTGAGAATTAGCCCTTGTAGTCGCTTTAGCTTCTGGAGGTCATAGTTATGTGGAGTTCGTATCGACTCATTGCGGGTGGGCTGCCTCGTATCGGCAGCCCTGAAGCTTATCTCGCGCCTAAATCGTGAAGTTGGACCGTCGAGATGGCATAATTATTGAAATGAATCATATTTGGTAGATATTGGAAAGCCAATATCAGGTCGTTGTATATGTCACTGGTATCATAATTCACTAGCCAATCAAGACTTTCCCTGGTTGTCCCATGAGATATTAATCACGGACAAGCTAGTTTTGAAATATAGATAGCATTTAGGAAAGTAATATATTAGCAATACTCAATGGAAAATGGCAGAATAAGATGCAGGGTGCCCTGTTAATATTAGAATGGTGGAATAGTTTGCGAGCCTGAACAGCAGGTTATGGATACTAAGGCTAATATGGACGAGAGATGTTGCTTCTTAGACTGCTTAGAAATAGACATAAATGTTTCATATTCAAAACAATACTCTAATTCCTAGATTAGACATGAATGAGAGACCTCTCGACGTTGTGTTGTCGTCGTCAGAAGCTCCGACGGTGCAGCGGGAAATAGCTTCCGACAGCGCTAAGCCTAAAACGCGCTGGGGCGGAAAATCGCGTCTCCCGCGTCTTATCAATTAGTTATGGCCATGGACAACATCTCAAGCACAATAGGCCGGCAGACTGGCGAGCTCGAGCTTCTCGGATTAACTTCACCAACCGACTACCGTCCAATTGACCGCCTTCCTTCTCCGATCCGCCGTATCCTGCCGATACTATAATAATGTCTCACGACGACCCCGCGGAGCAATTCCTTCGCCCTCCAAAGTACGAGCCCACACCGCCCGTCTTATGAACGTCGCAAGCTGATTGAGATTGACGGTTTAGCACGGAAGAAGAATACCCTCCTCAGTACCGACAGCCCTCGAACTATAGCCCTCTCTATACCTTCCGTCTGCCTCCCGGCGAAAAGAGACACTACCAACAGCAGTATGCTGATTTATACTTCGTACGACTGGCGAGATTGAAGGAAGCTGCAGCGGAGCAAGCGCTGGCTGATTGGTCTGATGCTGAAGTGTGTTTCCCTAAACCCTGGGGCTGTTGTGAAGTCTGGGATAATTGGAATTGGTGGCCTTCGTTCCATGGATGCTAAGAGGCTATGCAAATAGATCGCCGGTGAGAAAGCTCGTCGGGTGGATCGAGTGCTGGATGTAAGGCAGGGCGAGTTCTGCTGGGTGATTGGGACGGTATACATGGATCTACCTCTGAAGCCGAATATTTTGGAGGATATCTCGAAAGAGGTGAGATCTCACTGAACAGTCGTTTTCCTGCATGCGCTAATTCATACTTGATAGCATTTCACATCCCTCCCTCCTCCTCGTGAGACGTATCACGACACTTCTAACCAGGGGGACGTACAAACCATGCTCGAGGATGAATCCGGCCGGCTTCGTCTCACCTGCACTGCGCTTCACTCCCCTATGCTTGTTACCGGTGCCATTATAGCCGTTCTCGGCACGGAGAATGCCAATGGCGATTTCGAGGCTATAGATATCAGATTGCCGGACTTACCACCCCAGCCTGTCCGCTGGCAACATGAGCCTAAAGATTCTAGCAAGAGGAAGAGAGGCCAGGCGGAGACTGAGGGAGGACGGAGAAAAAAGATTGCGTTGGTCAGTGGACTGGGTATCTCTGGGGAGTCTGGAGACACGGTAACCTTGACGTTACTGGCCGACTTCCTCCTTGGCTATGGCGAAGGTATCGGTAACGCCGAGGATGATTCAAGCCCCACGCGCTCTACGCAAATATCTCGATTGATAATCGCCGGTAATTCTCTAGGAGGCGAAGTCACCGCCGCTGTTGCGCTGGAGGACGCCATCTCCATGACGAAGAAGGGACGCGAGACAAAAAAATACAAGTACGACGCATCGGACTACAATGCCTCTCCAATCACGCACCTAGACAATTTCCTCGCCGAGGTGCTTCCCAGCATTCCCGTAACAATCATGCCCGGCGCAACAGACCCAGCAAACTTCTCACTTCCGCAACAGGAAATCCACCGCGCCCTGTTCCTTCGCTCCCGAAATTACTGCTGCCTGCCCCACCCAGGCGCAGATGAGCCGCCGGAATTCGGGTGGCTGGACACAGTCACGAACCCGTGGCAGGGCGACATCGAAGGGTGGAGATTCTGGGGCTGCAGTGGGCAGAATGTCGATGATGTTCTGCGATATCTCAATCCCGAGGAAGATATTACTAAAAACAGCGGAGACCGAGAGGGAGACACCAGGCTGCAAGTTATGGAGGCGATGCTACGGTGGAGGTGCGCCGTGCCAACTGCACCGGATACGTTGTGTAAGTGTTGCAGCCAGTATGCCATGGGGCGTTGCGTACAACTAACGGTGTATTTGGGCAGGGTGTTATCCTTTTCAAGACTACGACCCCTTCATCTTGGAGGATTGTCCGCACGTGTTCTTCATTGGCAACCAGCCTACGTTCAGAACTGCAGTCGTCGAAACATACCCCTCGGAGGCTATGGATTTAGAAGGTACTGAGAACGGTTCCAGAGTGCGGCTTCTTTGCCTTCCTAAGTTCCGTGAAACGGGAGAGTTGATATTGTTGGATGCGGAGACTCTAGAGGTGGAGGTGATCAAGTTTGAGACCTTGAAGGCTAAGAAGATGGAGGAAGAGGAGGAGGAGTAGATAGATGGGGTTACAGCTCGCGCGCTTCGCGTGATTATTCACTTATGCTTCCACGAGTTACGAAGTATTATCTTAGCAAGTGTATTTTTAGCAACCAATTAGCCGAGAGCCATTTAGCCAGGAAGCCCTTGAAAATTGTAGGTTTCTGGGGAGATATATCATAGAAACATGAGTCGAATCAACGAAGCCCCCGGGTTAGTATGTTCCTGGCCCCTTGTAGTCGGTATCCGGCAGGTATAAATGTCTCACAGCACCCTTTGCTGTCAGGACCACTAGTCGGATAACACCTCCCGAGCTTCCGTCCCATTTGATAGCCTCTCGTAATGCCCCCTTGACGAATTCAATGCCCTCTTCCTCAGTCATATTTTCCCGCCAGTGCGCATCGCAATAACCATAGATGTACGTCGATCCAGATCCACCAATGGAGTACGCTTGTTTATGAAGGGATCCGCCGAGCGGAATGGAGTAAACTTGACCACCGTACTGCTTATCATAGCCAGCGATGATTATACCGGCACTATTTCCAGAATCAGTACACAATTCGTAAAAGACGGTTCCTTTCTTAGAAGATTTACCTCAGCATGTCCTTGTTATCGTAGCATAATTCTTGGAATAAAGCAGCGGCAGTCTGGGTGGTAGGAGGCTGGTCATATACGACGCCGTACATGCCCAGGTGGTATCGAACGATGTCGGCTACGGCTTGAGTGTCCGCAGCAGAGCCGGATCGGCAGCACCAGATTGTGTCGTGAACTTGGGTGAGTTTGTCGGTGACGCGGTTGGCGATGTAGGCGCCTGTTGTCGTTCGACTGTCGGCACCGAGAATTACACCGTCCTTGAAATTTATTGCCATGCTATAAAGAGGGTTGGTGGGTTAATCTTCCATGCGTATATCGGTGGATGTCTGCTAGAACGGCTTACATCGAAGTACCCAGGCTGTACATCGGCGAACGAGTTAGCTATCAATCCGGTCCACTTCAGGGGCTAGATGCCAATACGTACTTCACCTCTCCTTTCTTGAGATGTTCCATATCCACGTGTATGCCATCTGCAACGGTGAGCCACCATACTAGACAGCTCTTTATAGAGCCACTCACCTTCACCTAAGCAACCAGTAACGCCGTGATGTTTCATGATTCGTAAAATGGAGGCGAAAAAGATCAAAAAAGAGGCCTATAGTTTGCACGTCACGGATATCTGTGTACAAAGGCCCCTTTTGAGCGCAGGAATATGAATTGTTATGGTCTGGAAGTCGACAGTCTGTTCGAGAGCTTGTCTGGAGCTTGAAGGCAGCCAGCGGACGTGTGTCGCCCAATCGGGAATAGCCTCTGTGCGGCTGCGGCCCCGGCCTCTGATTGGTCTTCCCGCCAGGCAGCGCTTATTCGACAACGCCAGTTGGCTCCCTGACGTAATGATCGTAATTTTACACGTACGCGCCATACGGGCCCCTTGTTGTGTGGACGGTACCGGCGGAAAGTATGGGGTTGGCTAGGCGCTGCGTGGTTTCGATCGTCGAACGGACAAGGATTTGGTCTCCAAGGAGGCTCTCCAGATCTTCAACTTTATCCGTACTCTTCTTGCCTCGCCTCCTTGAACCTGCGGGCCATTGTTCCACGCCCAGGCTTTGACGTGGGGTTCTATCTCGTCGCTCCCTTCAACCGTCCTCTACCCCGTCTGATTCACCTGGCTGTGTGTAACGGGCGCCTAGGAGGCTGATACTTATTGTCATGCGAAGTCCAGGCAACTAGATATTTCTTTCGCATTTCAGGCTACAAGATATATTAGTCTATAAAAAGCAGGAAAGATGTCTAACACGCCTCCTCCTCCTCCACCTTCACCTTGGAATTTCAGTGCCATGGCAGGAAACGTCGTGCAGTTCCTCCGACTACCCCTACTTGCATCTTCTGGCATTGCAGCTGTTGCAAGCGGGATGCTCTACTTCAAACAAAAGTATGGCCCCCCCACACGCTCAAACCCACACCCCTTTCTGACGCTGTTCCTTTCTAGTGACCTTATCTATCCACGCAACTTCCCCCCGGGGTCACGTACCGATGTCCCCAAACCCTCGGAGTTCGGAATGACAGACTATGACGACCTGCGTATTCCGACGCCGGATGGCGAGATACTTTCTGCATTATACATCCGGCCGACAAACAAGACTGCCAAACCAAAAGTTACAATGCTCGTTTTTCACGGAAATGCTGGAAATATCGGCCAGCGGTGTCCTATTGCACGGGTCTTCGGAGAGCTTTTAAACTGTAATATTCTATTGCTCGAATACCGCGGATATGGATTGTCGACAGGAAACCCGGACGAGGGCGGGCTGAAAATAGATGCGCAAACTGGCCTGGATTATTTACGGCAATTGCCAGAAACAAAAGGCACGAAGTTTTTGATATACGGGCAGAGCCTAGGTGGAGCTGTCGCAATCAACCTTGTTGCCAAAAATCAGGAACACGGTGATATTGCCGGATTAATCGTGGAGAATACGTTCCTAAGCATACGAAAGTTGATTCCAAGGTGGGTAACTTCCTCGGACAGTGCTCACAACCCTTCGCTGACCACAGCCCCAGTGTCTTTCCGGCCGCGAAATACGTGACTCGGCTTTGTCACCAGCAGTGGCCTAGCGAAGAGGTACTACCCAAAATCACGAGTGTGCCAATTCTATTTCTCAGTGGGCTCAAAGATGAAATCATTCCGTACGTCTGAAATCAGACACAATTTTGAGCTTCTGAAACTGATCTGTTTTATGTTGCAGTGCCTCTCACATGCTCCAGCTCTACAAAGTTTGTCAAGCTAAAAAGAAGGTCTGGCGAACTTTCCCGAATGGCTCTCACAATGATACTGTCACTGAACCAGGGTACTTCGAGCATATGCACTCTTTTGTCGTCGACGAAGTTTTAGACTAGGCTATCCTTTTATTCCCATTTTGTTTCTCTTCTCCTTGTTTGATTATCGGGGCTATAGACTTGTACCGCTCCTTCCGAAGGCCAGGGAAGATCAACACCTTCCAGCGGCCACTCCATACTACTTTTAATACCTCTTCCCTATTGAGTTTAATGTTCGTATGATGGGATGATGTTCGGGATTCTGTTTTACGTAAAATTCGCGGCTTGGATGCGATCGCTTTTCCCTTTCTGTAGCATTTATTGTGTTTGATGTCCTGTTTCAGGTTATTATTAGTGGTGAGCTTACTCTTCTCTGGCAGCATGTGCTATCCCATCTTGTTTCATATTCTATACAATATTTAATCTAGAGAACACAGATGCTTCTTCCTCGTTGGATGGATGATAACAGTCCGTCTGTGCCTCGCTCTGCCTGAACCTTGATATGCATACAATTAAAGAATTGACATGGATTCTAACCTATATTGTCTAAATTATAACATTCCAACATTGTTTATTTATATCTATTTAATATAAATGGTTCGTCACAATTCCAAGATTTTGGGTCATACATGTCTCAACGGCGGCGAACCGCCACAAACGCCTAGACTCTCTCAACTTCTTCTATCAATTCCTCAACTTTAAATCCTTCTACATCTCCCCGACTAAACATTCTCAGTATCTCCCCTTTCCTACCACCTTCGTTCCCGTCAACGCCCCAGTCGTAAAACCGTTGCAGCCACATCACTAACAGTTTTGCCTCGTCGAGGCTCACGCCTTTATCAGGCATCACTGTACCATTCATAAGAACTAGCCCCTTGTCATCCGCTAGATCTAAATGATGGGTTATGATAGTATGGGGTTGCGAGTAGGCGCCATGTAGCTTATATGAAGCTAACTGCGTAAATATTACGGTGGAAGTGTGTGTATTTTCTGTCTTAAAATCGGCCGATGTAGGTGGGCGAGTTGGTGTCGAAGATGGTGGGTGAAACGCCCATTGAAGGAAGTGCATCTCTGCAGCTGTGGAAGTACGGGTAGGGGCCCCGGTTTCAGACGGCGTTTCTGCGGGAGTATCGATTTCCCGAGGTAAGGGTAAGATAAACTGCGGGTTTTGTCGTGCTGTTTTGATAATTCGATGATACGTTTCGAGCGGTATGGTGGCACAAATTGAGTTTGGGTTCGGTGCATGTCTGAGACGCCAGAGAGTCTCTATTTCTTTCTGCGGTAGGGTAAGGATTTTCGAGACATCGAGGTACGCGGAGAGCGGCTTAATGCCCGGCGTTGAGGATTTAGAGGAGGATTCTAGAGGTTTAGAGGGCGGTGTCGCATGTAAGCTGGAAGAGGTTGGCGAAGCGGCAGGTGGTGGCGGTGAAGAGGATAGTCCGGTCAGCTCGTCCGGAAGTGGAACAGCAGCAGCATCCGCAGATCGGACAGCTTGGATTTTGTCTTGATAAGCTTCTTTCAGTGAGGATATGGAGGAGTGGCCCTCTCTAAAGCTTCTAGTTACCACACTGCTTGTTGCTAACGCAAAAATCTCGAATGACTGATGTTGAAGCTGCACTTACTCTTTTGCTTTTTGTTCAAGCTTGTCCTTGTATCTCTCTAGCACATTACTTGACTGATGTCTCGCGAGGAACCGGATATCATGCACTTGCGCCCAGCGCCTTTGAACATGTGTGAGAGGTGAGATGGGGGTGCGCGGATTGACGAGATTGCGCAGAGCCGAGTACCGAAAGGCCATAGCGGCGTGTTATGCCCAGCCGAGGAGGCGTGCGGGTCGCGGCTCTCAACAGCGTGTAATTCTGGTAGTAAGTGCTTCCCACGCGAAAAGTGTATCTTGAAGTTGAACTCGACCGGAAGTTCCCCTTGGCGGCAGCGTTTAAAGTTTAATGAAGCTTCGTTAATAAGCAAATTCAGCTCTGATTGCTATGAGCCTCGTAGATATATAATTTATTACACGTAACCACCTATCATCTATGAAGCATTGATACTGAGACAACCAGGCTGACTGGCTATTTGTTACATCTCTGTCCCGCTACAAAGTGTACGGGCGCCTGCCACTCAGCCAAAAAGGTGGCTATCCGTATACTATCTCTGTTCTCTGCAGACTTTGTTGGAGAGAGGTTGTGACCTCGTCTCCTCCACTGTGCAACTACCAAACTATAAATCAAACAATGGAAATTTACGGAGGACGGAGTACTCCGTAGTGTGGAGGTTATAGTTAATTGTTGTTGGTTTTGGTTTGTTATCGACGCGGTAATCTTGCGGATTAGAAGCTTCAATGCTGGGTTTTCATTCTCTTGCCTTCAAGTATCCTGCAAAGATAATTATGGAAGAGGTCTTTTTAGAGAATATGGTAACAAAGCTCCCCATCTCTTTCGATACTCCGTGATATGCAGGAGGTTCTTCCCCTGGGTATAAAGCTTGTTATGGAAAGGGGTCTATGACATTACGTCATCTTGTACATGACTCAGCAATGTTGGAACCCAATACGGTTAAGCGCCTTCAGGAGGGGCGTTTCGTCACGTGCAACTCCTGTCACTGTTGTCCCTTTAAATAGATGCCGTTGACTTGACTCCTGATGCAGCATATTCTCTCCTTCTTAGCAGCAGAAATACACCCTGTTTCTTCATCCGCTTGATCCTTAATATCCAATCTTTTATCCTGTTTCTCATCTCCATAGACCTTCAAAATGTCGGGCATGGGAGCTCAGTTTCTTGCGGTATGTTTAGAGCCGCGGGGCTCAAACGGGGACATTCGTGGCCACCCAATACTACCATACCACTATAGCTTTTTTTACGACATCCGTATCCTAATTATTATGTTCTTATAGAAACACAAGCAACTCCAAGAAACTAATGACAGTCTCCGAGACGAAGTTGTGCAGTTGAAGGATGAGATCAAGCTTCTTAAGGAGCAGAACCAGGAACAGGAACGTCAGATCTCAGAGCTCTCCCAGGGCAAGGAACTACTTGGAAGTGACATCGAAAGGGTCCGTGGTCAACTTGGAGAGGCTAAAGAGGCGCTTGATGCCGGTGCCCAAGACAATGCGAAATTAAAGGCCCTTGAGAGCCGCGTTGAGCTGCTACAAGCCGAGCTTGACGAGACCTTTGTCGCCGCACAGGCAGCTAACAAGAGGTAGTATTCTTTTTGCCCTTTGCCATAACTTAAAGAAATAGCTAACGGCAATCAACGTATAGTCGCCAAGAAGCCGAACTCACAGCAGAGCATTTTGAACGCCAGGCGAAATCCGCTGAATCGCAGGCTAAAGTGTGGGAAACAAAACATGATGAAATTTCTCAGAAGTATAGCGACTTGCAGGCAGAGATGAAGGAGTTGGAAAATACGCTCAACAGTCTTTAAGCGCAGGTGGAGGACTGCGCCCTTCTTTGTGAACTTCACGCAGCCGCTGTTCTGCTCGACAGTCATAGCGGTCGCGGTAAATTCTAACCCTTATTGTGAAATGTGGTTCTCCTCCCGCTTTCCTCTTTCCCTTAGTATTCTATTCCAGTGGTTTTACGGAGTACTATTTGTCATATCAGCGTTCCTCAGTTACGGGATATACACTATGAACTCGTGAGAATATTGTGTTTACTTCGAAATTCCGTAACATGGATGCCAGGGAATCCAAATTATTTAATTATACGGAGTAGAAACGAGAACATCAAGTTTCTCGTCTAGCTTTTGCCTGTTTCCGATTGCCCATTCTTTCCTTTATCCTTGCGGCCTTTCTCTCCATTGGAGATTCATACCGAAACTTTTTCTTTTTCTTCTTTTTCGATTGACTTCGATCATCCTTCGTCGACTTCCCCTTCTTTATTGATTTAGTCTCAGCGCTCGTTGGCCTTGGGTGTCCATTTTCTTCATCGCTGTCATTATTCCCCGCAGCTTTGTATAAACCCTCCTTCGAGGGGTCCATGTCTTCCACAGTAACAGTAGTGTATTTGTTCTCGTCGATATATTCCGCTTCATAATCAATCACCGGCGGCTCTGGAAATCCCTCCCATTCTTCATCTTCGGCGTTTGAATTGCCCATGTCGTCTGGGTTAGATGAGTTCTGTAACTCTTCCATTCGTTTGCGGCTTTCATCCAACACTATCTGCAGCTCTGCTTGTCTTTCTTCTCGTATCTACAAAAAGCCCGTTTAGTGTTTGAAACCCCTAACATATTTTCCCTGGTGAAAATAGGAATACCTTTCGACGGTGCTCCCTCCGTTCATCTTTTGCCTTTTTCTCAGCAGCCTCCTGTGCATGTTTCGCGCGCTGAACTTTTCGTTTGTGAAAGCCAGTCAGATAGTCATGCCGAGACTCATTGTCAAAAAGAATTTCCTCCACAGGAGCGACTGTCAATTTTCGACGTTTTATAGGTGGTGCCATTGGTGCGCCGAGTGTTGGGGAGAAATTGCACGAAGGGCCTAACTATGTCCTAGGAACGCGCCCAGTGAATTTGCCCCGACCAGTGGTGGTCGCAACGCGCTTTGACTCCTGCCCGAGAGTGTGCTGAATTGCGGTGTATTTTTTGGGGAAGTTTCTGCCAAGCACAGCCCGTGCTCTCAGCCTCCACGGATCTCCAAAAGATCTTTTGCGGAGTACATCTCATTATGCCATGAACAACCAATTCGATCATTTGAGGATACTATTAGGGCACAGCCGAGTACTTGTACTGGGTTTCTAATAGTAACGTTGGTCCGAGTGGTATTCTGTCAAATTCCGCCGATCCAAGCCGTATTTTACATACGATACCTATGAGCAGGACAAATACATAAATGCCCTTTTCTATTTTCTATATTTTTCTACACGCTAAAAAGTGTCCTTGCTTGAAGTCGTATGCGCTGTATGGTGGACTAAATATTTCCCTGGGCCACCCCCATCCTATAGCGAACGACTTTAACGCGACTCTGGGGCTATGCTTGATCCATGGACGTACAAGGGGGGCTAAGTACCCGGAAATATTCGAATGAACCAGCCGTGGAAACATATATTAGAGCTGCGGTGTTTGATATCCCCGCAGATCGCTCTTCCTGGAAATCGATGTTTTATGCAACAGGCACTGACAAGTTATGTCCATTCATCTAATACAGAGGCTCTGCGTAGCTTTGGAAAGTATTACTCACGTGGCAGTGCCTCGTGTGTTTCTTGAAAAGGCAACTGCTCGTATCTCACGGCACGTCTGATTTAGGTAGAAAGATTAGGATATATTCCTACACAATCCTCTTCAACCCTCCAGGTTGAAATAACCTGATTTGTGTTCTTTCACTGTACCAATTAATTTGAGCCACCGTTGACTGTCTCCAATGATTCGCCGTTCAATCTTCCTCTTCGTCGAAGTGGTAGCAGCTATTGCGGTGGGTCTTAATCCTACAGCGAACTCCACTGAGCATCTTCCATTGCTAGAGCTGCCGTATGGAAAATGGAGGGCTGCTCAATATGACCAAGAGGCAGATGTAAGAACCTGAGGAACGGTCGGGCCATATCTTGTTTAGAGCACTTAGCTTTTCCAGGTGTATACTTTTCGCAACATTCGTTATGCAGCTCCTCCGACTGGAAATCTCCGTTGGGCAAAACCTGCTCCTCCTGACTATGTCTCAGGCATTCAGGATGGCTCATATGGGTACAACTGCATTGCTGCCACTCTACCTCCCCCCTATGACAATGACCCTGTTTTTAGAAGACTGGTTAAAACGGGAGCGGAGGGTATATCCCTTACACCTTATGTTAAGACCTGGCTCCTAACTGCACTTTTATAGACTGTTTGTTCCTCGATGTTTATGTGCCAGGAAAGGTCATTCGGATAAAGAAGAGCTGGAAACTCCCTGTTATCTTTTGGATATATGGTGGAGGGTTAGCCCCATATCACTACGTACGATATACATGCTTAGTTGCTAATGCATATCTTGCAGATATCTCTCCGGATCAAAAGATCAGGATCTAGCCCATGGATTATATAGTGGTACTAATTTGATTACACGAGCTAATGGGAATGCGGTTGTAGTCACAATCAACTATCGGGTTAGTCCTTGCTGATAAAGCTACCCTTTGCTTCAAAGTTTTATAACAATTACTAAAAGATGACTGAACAGTTAGGTGCGTTTGGCTTTTTGGCTGGAACAACCATGGAAGCAACAGCACTCCCCAATGCTGGATTGCATGACCAACGTGCAGCATTACAATGGGTCCAAGATTTTATCCATCATGTTGGCGGTGATCGAGATAATGTCAGTGCTTGGGGAGAGTCCGCAGGAGCGGGGTCTATCCTTCATCATTTGATTGCGGAGGGCGGTAGCCTTGATCCCCTTTTCCACCGTGCAGTTGTCATGAGCCCAGGCATTACTCCAATTATTGATCGCAAGGGCCAGGTCGAAGAGATGTTCAAGGACTTCACCAAGGCGGCTGGGTGTGAGAGTCAGGGCATCGAATGTCTTCGTGCTGCCAATGTTTCGACCTTAAAGGATGCAAACGAGAAAGTTGCGATATACAACCCAATGCCAGATGGACGTTATATCAGACGGATTCCAGATGTTGAACTTTCTGAAGGTAGATACCCAGAACCTGATTTCCGCCCTTAACTAGCCTCATTTTGTTCTAATTAGGTCATTTTTGGAAACACCTGGACTCGTTGATTGTGTCACATGTGGTGGATGAGGGCGAGAGTAATGTCCCCAACCCCATAGATCCTGACTATATCGCAAACTTTTTGAAGGGTCTCTTCCCCAGCTACGCTCCGGATGCTGCCTTGACTATAGAGAAATTATATAAAAATACACCTGGACCGCCTCGTACTAGGGCTAAAATAATATTTGGCGATGCTATCTTTCATTGTCACATACGCGGCATGATTGAGGCCTATGGATCAAAGGCATATCTAATGCAGTTTTCCTATCCGCCTGGAATTCACGGAACCGATGTGCCTGCTGTATTTTATGACTCCCTACGGAACCACTCGGTTCCGATCTTTAGTGCCTATCAGTCTTATTTGACTAGTCACGCTCAAACGGGAAATCCAAACATCCTACGGGACCCCGTGGCTAATCCACAGACGATTAAATGGCCAAGAGTGGGTGATGTGAATACGGAGAAAATTCACAGTGCAATAAATATGACAGAGCTGGGATTTGAAGTTATTGATGATGATAAGCCCCGAAAAAGTGTTTGTGATGTCTGGAAAGAGGTGTGGCTGGATGTTACGAGGAAGGGAGAAGAAAATTGTTACTCCGTATAGGGTACAGAGTACAGAGTAGGCGGCATCTGAAATGTTACTTTTTCATAAACTACTAATTAAGTCAATCCAGTGGAAATTGAGATGTATTGACAGCTGTAAGAGACATGGCTAAGTATTGAAGATTTGGGGAATGATTGAAATCAACTTAGGGAATACAGATCTTTGAAAATTACAAAAGTGAAAAGGCCGAAGTTGATCGTATGCTGGGGGCTATGTATAGGCCAAAGACAAAACAAGCAACAACTTTAAAACCAAAAACTCGTCAAGTTAGAAGGGATTATTTTTCCAGGTGTCGCACGGTTGATGTAAATAATATAGACTGGGTGTGTACATTTCGTAGCATCGGGCGAGCCTTCACAACCTTTTTGCGCATCGATCGCACTGAACGCCGCGGGCTGAAGCACATTTTGTACCAGCTTAGTGATCCCAGTGTTGTCTTTTTGTTGCTGTGTCTCTGGGTTTAGGCAGAAGGATTCATTCCACAGCCCACGGATTCGTTGTTCGATTTCTCTCATGAACTCGTGTCTGTCTTTAACTGTAACGGTAGCGATCTGCTGGCGACTTTGCTCTTTGGCTCCATAGTGACGGAAGGGAGATGGTGTAGTCGTCGTGCCGAAGATTTCGATAGTTCCATCCTCAGGAACTACATGAACACCGAGAATAAAGTCACCAAAGGTACCAACAACCACTACGGCAGAATGGTTAGGAGGGGGGAAAATGACAGATTTCAAACGAGCAAGCATAGCTAGAGTACGTTATAGTATTTTTAAAGTGTGGGAGTGTCGAAGTTTTGATTTTGAGGAAATGTCTTGAGCTCCATATTTATATGGCTTGTAACAATACAATCACGTGGCTATCTAGCTATTTGTCACGTGATGATCCACTGCGGTGGGCCCTGGCATTAAACTTCGGCTATGGGCCCATAGTTAGCTTCCGTGCCGCGCGCCAAAGCTTTAAGATCCCATTCCTGATTGGAGTACGAAGTACTCCGTATGAAGTAACTATGGAATTGGAACACCCTCCAATTAACTCAGTGTTGGGCGTGTACCCCAATTTCTTATAATCATACATATATTTAGATGCCATGGCTAAGTTTTTCCAGTACGAGCGCGCTCCCTCATTGACCTGAGGGCGGTAGCTGTGGGTTTTGTTGGCAGCACTCCCCTTCGACCTAAAGCCGCAGAGAACAGTTGGGCTTTTGATGTAGAGAATTTACTTCGTGAGCAAGTCAATCCACACAGAATATAATCTTTTTATTAAACCATATTTCTATACACGTAGTCATATGTATTTGATAAGAGAAATAGCTCCCAAGGCTACTTTTATACGCTGTGCCTGTTGGGTAGGTACATGTGATTTAAGGTGTTTGCTATGTTTGTAATATAGAAGTGGTGAGTTTCTCGAGGCAACAGGCGGTTAGCAATGACATCGCACTTCCAATACAGATATGAACCAACCGCTCCTTGCCCACAATCTCGTCTGCACACCATGACACTGCCTGATGAGCCCACGCAGGAGACATGGCAGTACCTTCCCAAGTTCACTCGCCCTGAAGAGTCGACTATGCCGGATATTGGGCGGCAGTTTTACATTCTCTCTCCCTCCACCAATTCACTCTCCCTCCACCATCCTGAAGCTGGGTACTACTGAAACTGAGTACGCCATGACTGCGCTTGCCAACTTTGTTCTCGGCCCTTGTGTTCCTCGTGTCTATTCCGCCATCACTCTGATACGATTCGCCCCTGAGAGCAAGCCTTTTGAATGCCCCGCGCACGGCATTGTTCTCAGCCATCTACCCGGCAAGCCGATCGCAGAAATCTGGCCGTCACTCACCGCAGAGCAACGCCAATCTATAAAGGCGGAGATCTGCCGCCTTATTCTGCGCATGCGTCAACACAAATTTTCATACTATGGTCGTCCTACCGGGCAGCCTTATATTATCCACGAACTGCACGTTTTCAATGCCTACAAACACTGCACTACCCGCTTAGAGTGGGATGATTCACGTGTAAATATACTTCTAGAAAGGTCTTCTAATACTCCGAAAGCAAAAGAACGGGCGGTCGCTCTTGAGAGAGTACAACGCGAAACAAATATCCCTGAGGCCTCCAGTCGCGGTATCAGTTTCGATCGGCCTGTCCTGACGCATGGGGACCTATCTGACCGGAATATTCTGGTTGATCCCGAAACACTCGCAATTACTGGCTTGCTGGATTGGGAGATGGGAAACGTCGTGCCGGCATACTTTGAGTATGTTAACGCGCGGCTATCCTGGGGCCATGACGACGAGTGGAGGGTGGAGCTATTGGACGTGTTAAGGTCTGTTTTGCGCCAAGAGTGCAATGCAGTCAGTAATAATGATTCTGAAGGAGAGGATCTGTATAAGAAGACACTAGCCGCCTGGAATGAAATGAGAGAATTGCGCAGGGATTCGATGATGACTGTCATTGGACTTTTGAAACTCCTCCGGTAGGTACTTAAATGTTCTGTCTATATCAACTCTATTGGGCATTCGTATAACGCCGCCTTCTGCATGTTGATTATAGTCGCTGTTTCCGCTCCACCATGAAGTCAGGCAAGCACCCTATGATCATTTTTTGTATTTCTCTTCATCCCTAATATCTCGCCAAGTTTTTATTGCACCAGAGAGCAAGAACAAGTTATGTCCCTAGCTCAGAAGATAGCATGTTGATATCTTGCAATGAAGCCTAGGTATGAACCAGTTTCAGAACGATATAGAAAACGAATTCGGTGATTCTAAAGTGCAATGGGTATGTATTTAAAGATATTCTCATACTCACTACTGCAACCATGGCATAGAGTAAAAATCTTCACGACTTTTTCATGTCTTTTTTCATATCATTTGAGTCAAACCACAGTTTGTTATTTTTTATTCTTTTGAATTGTGAGAGGCCAAAGGGGGACACACTGTCCAGACTGAACTTCCGGATGGTAACATTCCGGTTGCTGCAACATAGTAACTCAATAAAACCTCTGAGCAGGCGAGGAGGCTTGGCAGAGCCATGGGTAGTAGGATGGCAGCAGAGGCACCAGTATTTTTGACATTGATATTACCTTTTTAGGGCAACCACTATGTTGTGCTTGGAAAAAACATATTTTGCAGGTATTCATGGGTCTGGAATTCCAGCATCTGGCGGCGAATTTCATTAGTTAACTAGTTAACTAGCTTAGGCAAACAATGCAAACTTCGTTACAAACCAATCACAGCACTCTATTCATTAGCTAGCGTATTTCAATCAGCAACATCACGGAGCCTCCATCACCAGACAGCTACATGCACAGCCCAAAGCTTTAAGATGAAGTTACGGGCGTTCGGTCTCCTAACTTTGGGAGTGTTTGGCGCTGATGCCTTCAGCAATACCTCTCCTTTCTTTTTTTTCTCAACACATGAGTAATAACCGTTCTTCTCCTCACCCACCGCCATCCCATGCCAACCGCTAACACTCGCTCTTGAATGTTATATAGTTTTCATACGAATTCCCGACAAATAGAGTCCGCGGATTCCATTCGAGATGATATTTTCAACAAACTGAGCTCGTGCCCATCAGATTTCTATATCCTCGTTTCTCAACCGGGCGTTCACGTTCTAGATTACACCTCACGAAAGTCGGCCCCACGATTACGAGAAAAGGTCCTAAAGAAGATTGATTCCGTGAAATCCAGCTTCGCTGTTAGTGAAGTGGTTGGGAATATTGATATTGAAGGACTAACGGCGCTTCTTGAGATAAAATGTGGGGCGGAAGCTATAGGTGTAGACGGAGCGTGTACGTTTATACCCCGAAAACTACCCTAAATCTCCAGAGATCCATTAGGATAAACTGACCAAGCATAGCGGGGTCATTTCCATCGTTTTCGAGTCGTAGACGACCTCAGGTAGTAACAGTCGACTTTCCGGAGCTGCCAACAGATTCGAAACGCACCGAGACCCTCGTTGATTATGGTCAGTACCAAGGCTTAGGCCTTACTTTTTTCTTAGCAATACTAACTACACTGTAGATTTCTCACTGGATACCATCATCGATCATCTCCCCGGGGTCAACTACACTGTTATCTATACAACTACTCCTAGAGATTCATTTCTTGCAGAAACCGAAACTCTTAAGACCCAAGATCCTCTTCACGTTCAGTTCAAGCGAGAGACCGATGTTCCCAGCCCATCTCATGATAGTCAGGCATTATTCGAGAAATACCAATTTTTTACCCCAGGTAAGCTTGTCAAACGGATTATTTCATGTAACATTTTCTTCACTAACACCTTCACCAAGGTATATTTATGGGTCTCATGGTTGTCCTTTTGTTTTTTCTCATTGTTTACGTCGGAATTTCTGGGCTAGCCAGCATCAAAGTTTCGTATGCCGCCTTCGACAAGGCCAATGGCCCGGCAGCAGCAGCAAAAAAACAGCAGTGATGGGAATGTTTTCTTTAATGCCATTTATGTATGTTCATATTCTCTGCAATACTAAATAATGGATTTGAATTATTGTTATTTGTGGTCTCAGTTCCCCTTTCGACCTAGATCGGCTGGATTGTTTTGCATAGCATCAAGTGCCTTTCTGAAATATTTTGCCAGAGGTTAAGGACGTACATACAAAGGTCAGAATCCACCACCAGGATCATCTCCTATTCCTGCTCTACGACATCTGTTTTCCGGTCATCTCACGGTCGCTAATAGTCTGGCGTTCCTACACATTTTCGAGTATACGTTTACAACCACCTCTAGCTAGGCACTGGCGTCTGCCCCAGAATCCAAGCTGGAAAAATAGGCAATGATCTCTTTAGCATTTCTCCGCTCTACTAAATACGTGTGCTTATTGCAACCTCCACTTACTTCTTATGCTGGCGCCACTTTCGCGTCCACGTTTTGCGCGGCTCAGTGGGCGTCGAATACCTCACCGTATCAGACGCGGTCGCTACCACCCCATTCGTTACTGCATAAACTACCATCCTTGTGTTGGAGCAAAAAGACCCCCAGGAAGACAGACAATCAGCGCCAGAAGGAGCTCGTGGCAGCAACAATGCAGTTTCCGTTTCCACCACATTCACCCGAGGACCCAACACAACACAACGCAGCCCATCAAGAGCCAAAACATCCAAGCGAAAACGCGAGCCAAAATACATACAAGAGAATATAAAAGATACATGGCAGCACAGCGCCTTTGACGGGGGTCCTAGTAGTCGGTCGTCACCAGACATCAATGCATCTGCACCTCTAATTCAACTTACAGCTCTAGGGGTGGCTATGGACACTAGGAAACTAGTAGAAGCGGATGTCCTAATTCGCAAAGTCATTGGCCAAGTACGATTAAATTCTCTACACTTCTTTGAAGTCTACCAGTAACCTAATTCTTTAAACCTCAGCTTGTTATTATTGGATTCGAGGGTGTCACTGTCCCTGAGGAAGTCAAAAAATTAATTCAGCCTCCGTATTATTGCGGGTCAATTGTTCTCTTTAACCGGAATATCGTGGACGCCTCTCAGTTGACTGACCTCATCAATACTCTTCAAAGAATCGCAAGGCACGCAGGACACGAATACCCGTTGATCATTGCTTTTGAGCAGGAAAATGACGTTCTCGCAAGCATTAATCCGTCAATTGCGGTTCAGTTGCCTGGCGCTACCGCGCTAGCAGCAACAGGCTCTAGCTCTACTGAGTATGCCTTCGACGTTGGCTATGCTACTGGAGAAACACTGAGAGCGCTTGGTTTCAACATGATCTACGCGCCATCATGCGATGTTAGCAGCCCTGCTGCAGATCCAGCTATAAGAATTCGATCTGCAGGAGACAACTGGTTGACTGTCGGTCAGTTAGCTAACGCTACGGCTAATGGTCTGCGTAAAGCGTCCATTATACCGTGTATAAAACACTTTCCAGGTCATGGATCGATAAAAACAAGCTGCCATGCGAGTTGTCCCCAGGTCAATAAGAAGCACGGAAGGCTTGAAATCTGTGATCTAGTGCCATTTCGAAGGCTAACCAGCCAGAAAATCGAAGCAGTGATGGTTTCGCACGCTGTCTTTCCCTCTTTCGGCCATTTGCCAGCATCTATAAACAAACGTGTCATAAATATCTTGCGTGATGTGATGGAACACGATGGACTTGTCATTACTGACTGCCTGGAAAAGTTCGCCATTTCATCATGCTTTCTGCCACATATCGCAGCCCGAGCTGCCATTTTTGCTGGCGTGGACTGTGTGATGCTAAGCTCTTCGTTTGATATGCAAGTGCGGACATTGGAACAAATACATATTGATTACCGCTTCCTCTATCCTCAAATTCATCGGTCCGCAATCCGTATTAGACGCTTAAAATGCGCCCGATATCCAAGATCCTGGCTGACAATCCATACACCCAACTCACCTTCGTCGTTTTCTCTTCTTCACACTGATCATTCAAAATTGGCGAGAGCTATCTACAATCACAGCGTCACTCTTGTCAGGGACTATATACGTGCGCTTCCTTTGAACCCGATTAACTCTGTTATCTACGTTTATCCATATAAGGGATCTAATCGGGCTACTGGAGCTGACAATGACTATGATGTTTGTACTCAGCAGTCCCGGGTTTCAGCTCCTCTTACGGAATTCTCATGTGCAATCAAGCTTCACGCTCCTCACCTCATTGAGCTTCCTTTCTTCGATGAGAGTATCATAAATGATGAAAATAAACGGATTATTGGATGTTTCGATGCTGTGATACTAGCATCACGGAACGCCCAACTAGCACCATACCAGTTAGCCGTAGGGAAATGGCTCGAAAGCTTCGTTGAGAAGCTAATTAGCGTCGCTACTTGTCTACCGCATGATTTTATCTCTTCAGCTATCAATACATGCATTGCGATCTACCAACCCACTCGTGAGGCTTATGAAGCAGCAGCGGAAATCATTTTTGGGCAACGCCCGCCTCTTGGGAAACTTCCGTTTCGTGTATTTCCTAAGCGCGTTGAGATTCGCCTTCTGAATGTAGAAACAGATTCTTGGTTAGTAGCCCATCTGTGGCGGACATGTTTCGGCTCAGATCCTCTCGGATTAGACCAAATAACGGATATTTTAAAAGAAAAAAAAGCTGTCTCATTTGTGGCATATATTAACGGCCTCAAGATTGGATTCCTCACGACATATCAGTCGTATATTGCGGTTCTTGCTGTTTGCCCTTCGTATCGATCGAGGGGGGCTGGTACCGCACTCATTCTAGAGGCTCGTCGGTACATAAGGACACAACTCGGCATTCCACAAGCTCATACCGGCTCGCATCTTCTCGGATTTCATCTAGGGATGCATATCGAACCCTCCAGCGAGATCGAAAAGTACTTTCATCATCGTGGATTCGTTTCATTTTCAAAGATAGGGCAGATATATTCTATTTGTATTAAGACATATAGTCCTCCGTTGGAGATACTTCAACTCACAGAGGCAGCAGGCGTGAGAATTGTGCATTGGAATGAAGGTATGCACCGCGAAACAATATTAGCAATAAAAAAACTCTGGGGACAGAACCACGAGTGGGTGCTAGGATACGAAACCCTAGCTCGTATGGGTTGCTATGAACGGGTGCTTGTAGCCTTGGACCATGAGAAGACCCAAATTGGCTGGATTCTCACGAAAGACCTGGGACTCGAATCAAATTTTGAAAGGAATCCCCGTACCAGTCAACCTCACGCCTATATTGGCTGCGGGGGAATTCTTCCTCGTTTAAAACGGGGCAGCGTTGTTGGCTATGCCTTGGTTGTTATGGCTATCTTATCTTTACAACGAAAAAACGTTAGTACCGGATATATTCAGAGCCCGCATCTCGAAGAGTTCTATGAAAAAGCGGGCTTTAAGATATGGCAAAAATTCCAACATATGACTGTGACTGAAATATAATTGTTACTGAGAACATTCCTAGCTGAGGACATTACGCAGAAGACGTAGGATCATGAGATATGCAGTAAATACTAGGATATATTTAAAGAGACTCATCTTTGGCAATAAATCCTCGTTGTTGATAGTGATATCTTTATAGTATCCCTAAATGTCCAAAGCGCTTCTGCTGTCCTCTTAGCATTTGCCTGCGAACTCCATATCAGGATCCTCAAACGGCTTCACTCCCATGTTCTTCCAAGCCCCACCAGCCATCAACGCCAAATCCTTCTCCTTGCCAGAGAAGAGTAATTCCGTCTTGCCGTTTCCAAAGTGCGTGACCGACTCAGTCTAAAGTCCAGTTAGTAGGAAACTTAAACACGCTGCAGGTCCGGCTGGCTTACAAGCCCAAGCGTCAATTTGATCAATCCGTCTGCCCAGTGAGGTCTGTATATAATGTTTGGTTCTTTACCCGTGGCCGCGCGGACGATGTTGTCGCCAACGACGGTGGCTTGGTGCATTGCAGTCCGGGCATTGTCGTTGCGTAACCCTGTGAGGGCAACATCACCACATGCATATACCCTGGGGAGGTTTACATCTGCGACTTGTAAAGTAGATTTTACAAGGATGCGGCCTGACTCTGAGATCGCTTCGGGGCTCAGTTGTGCGAGAACGTGCGATGCAGGCTTTTGGCCTATGCAATTTACCTGGCGAAAAGTTCGTGAATTATATGCTTAACAGACTCCGGAGAAGATGAGAAGCTTACCAAGCAGTCGCACTCGATTTGCCGCCCTGACGTTAACACGACATGGCCTTCTTTGGACGCCTCATAAACTACTCTGTCCTTGAGAATCACCTCCACGCCCAGTTTCTCTAGGCCCTTCAGCGCAGCAGCCTGTAATTCCGGACCAAACCGATGCATGAGTCCATCACGCGAGTGTACCAGTACCACTTTCTTCTCAGGGTATTTTTCCTTCGCATCTGCGGCGAGTTCCACGCCAGCGGCTCCGCCGCCTACCACAACGATTCTTTTTCCTTCTTTGATGCGACGCTGCATATCCTGTAGGCGCTTGATGCCGTCCAGTTTGGACTCAGTGCCGACACGAGATGGTAGCTGGCCGTCTTGCGACGAGCCGGTAGCTACCACTAGGAATTCGTAAGGTACCTCTTCTCCATTCTGCAGAACGACGCATTTCTGTTCAATGCTCTGCACCCGCTGGTGTATCCATTGCACAGATTCCGCCGCCTTACCGAGATATGGCCCGTATGGGATAAAGGCTTTATGTTCGTGCCCGGAGACAACGCAAAATCGCGGCAGGACCCAGGTAAACTGGAAATGGGAATTCGGCTCGATAATGACAACCTTGTAAGGGCTGTTGATGGGTAGCGAGTTTGCGATTATTCGTGCAGCATGGTATCCAGCAAAGGATGCGCCGATTATGACGATGTATCGAGCTTGCTCAGGCGTAGTGGCTTCCGGAGATTTTTGCAGTCGGCGTCGGAGAGATTGCTTGGCTGCACGGCTCAGGATATCGTAGGAAATACGCACGATGTAGGCAAATAGCTCAACAAAGAGCACCTGCTTCTCAAACATAGCGAGGGCAACTGGGCAACGGTGTGAAGCTGAACAAGCACTATTCTGAGTTACGATGTTTTTGTTATTGCATGGACGCTGGTGGTATGCAAGCTGAAATCGAAGAATAGACGGCACAAAGCAAGGGGCAGGATGCCGAAGCTCCGCGCTCCGAGGCTCTTTCTTGATACGCCATTTCCGAAAGTGGTTCCGTTAGACGAAGGGAGCTCGTATCGACAAACCTGATCAACTACTAGTTACCAGGAGCCCGCATTGCTCCACCGGCGGCTGGGATCTTTCGCGTGGGTTTGTTGGGATATCATCCTCCTGCAGCACGGCCGGGGGCTTGGCGGAGAAAACTCTGATCTGATAAGATTATCTGATGAGGGGGGGTGGGTTATCAGATTAGATTATCAGATGATCTGGATGCAGCCCGTTTTCAGGCTCAAAACTACCTCAAAAAACCTGCCGGGCCACCAAGTCGTATTTGAGCGTTCGCCGGCCTACAAAGATAGCGAAGGTTTTTTATTTTACGTCTAGAATCCCCGCTAACGTCGATGGATTTGAATGAGCATTATTCCCCGGTTGAAGTCGGAAATGGGCTGCGACGAATGGCCAGTATCGATTGTGGCGGCTCGCGAAGAATAGTCTGTGATGGAATGCGGCAAGCTAGCGACCAGAAATCGCCGAGGGCTAGCTATATATCTAGGATGGCTTCCCCTCTCTCTCCGTATGCGAAGAGCCCGCTACGATTTTAATTCCATCCGATTCTCCATCCATTATTACTCTACACCTTCGTCGAGGCCCTTTCCTACGTATACATAGGCACTTCGTTATCAGAAAAGATGAGTTTCGTACTTCTTCCAGCACTAATTCCGGATATCCCAAAGGTGTACGATGCCTACTTTGCCGCCTTCAAGGGTGATCCGATGGGGGAGATCATGTTGAACATTCTCTTCCCCGGGGGTATCACGGAAGAGTTTCGCAAGGCACACACCGCTGGTACACTCAGCTACTGGCATACGAGCGGTGTTCAATACACGGTAAAGTGTGTCGACACCGACTCTGGTGAGATTGTTGGAATGGCCCTTGCGGATGTCTACCTCCACGAGCGTTCTGAAGGTGAACGCCAGAAACCCGTCGTCGGCTGGCTGCAAGGTGAAGAGAAGGAGCGCGCCGAGAAGGTCTTATACCCTTTGTGGGAGGTCAGAGAAAAGCTCTGGGGAGCTAGACGACATATTTGTGAGTCATGACCGTCTTCTTTGCCTCACTTATTTTGCGTCCAGTCTGTTTTCGCTGCAGGTAACTACCATCTAGCCAAGAGTCGTGCTGACTATTGTAGACTGCCATGTCATAGCAATTGATCCGAGGCACCAGGGGCGCAAGGCTGGGGCTGCTATCTTGCGATGGGCCCGGGACATGTGTGATCAACTCCGCCTGCCACTGTATTTTGAGGCATCGCCGTCAACCTACAAGATGTACGAGAAAATGGGATTTGAAACGATCGACGAGACCGTGATGCATAAAGCGGAGCTGCTGGGTACGAAGGAAGACATCCGGGTACCCTTGATGGTTCGCATGCCGGCTTGTGCTGGAGGGCAGACATTCATGGAATGGCGAGCTAACGGATACCCAGCGTGGCCTGAAAAAGAGAGCCGGGGGGTGGAGGTTCCGAATGGCCAATCTGCGCAGTGATACCTCAGCATTTGTTTGTATTTTGATACCTTTATTGAGTCAGTGAGCCTAACAAAAAATGGTTAATCCTTGTTCTGTTCTAAACTTAAACGAGCCCCGCTTCCCCTCTCTTTGTTTCCTGTCGAGGCTGTGTATTTTGCTGGCTGTGAATCGGCACACCTAGTTAATGCACGGTTGCCTCGTTCGCCGCATCGCCGACTTCCTTCCGCAGCCGCCGCGAACCACTTTGTCGCCTCGTTTTGCCTTTTGCACATCCCTGGTCTCACGGTGTTTGCTGATTGGGTCTGCACGGTGCATCAACCCCACAGAAAAAGACAGCGCCCCTGTCCCGTGTCGCATCGCCCTCACGGCGGCTACGAGGGCGGCATTATGAGTCGTCCACCTCAGTGCGGCGTCATCTAGCCTTGCTTGGCTTTTAAAACGAAGCAATCCGTAGGGAGTAGGGGCTGCTAAAGATATTTTACCGGACACTAGCTAACAATATGACAGGGCTATGTCACAGAGTAGCATGCAGTCGGCGCAGCCAACGCTGCTGTGCCGCTCGACGTGTTCGCATCATTTGAACGTAGCAGGAGCCGCCTGTATGTAGAGCGGAGCCAGGCTTTACCCTTGTCGTGATGCTGCTGATAGGTTGTCGATTATCGCATGAGAAGCAATGAGCTGGTTGGCGAGGTGGTTAGAAGCAGCGCATAGAGACGAGGTGGAGGGTATATAATGCTCCCTCTCCACGGCCTATCCTCCCTTTTACAAAGCAAATACAATACAGGAACCTCCGGTCAGTTGAACAAAACCATTTGTGAACAGTTAGGAGCTTTTCGATATCAAGCCAAGCACGAGCGTTTTGGCTCCAGGGTACAAAGTAAGGGGTCATAAGACTGCATCTATATACGTTGCTTATTTCAAAAAACAGATCTCCTGACAGCAAAGTCGGAACGAATTATCGGCGCTCCTTTACAAAAATGTCTGACATGTCTGATGACTATGCCAGCGACGAAAAGGTCGAAATAGGCACGGCAAGCGTCGGAGTCTCGACCAAGGCAAAGAACCTCCAGCTTATTACCTCCACCGCAGAATCGGTTAAATTTGCCCGCGAAAAAAACAAGCTCAAGAACCTCCAGATTCTTCAATCTGCTGGAGAGCCAGCTGACCTCACCCGCGAAGAAAAAGAGTTCAGGGAAAAGAACCTTCAGATTGTTACCTCTACCGGAGAAGCGGTTAGATTCGCCCGCCAGAAAAATAAGGCCAAGAAAGGAAATGCTGCGATCGAGGCCGTTGCGGCAGGGAAATCCAAGGAAGGCTCTGGCAATGACGATAAGGGAAAGGGAAAGGGGAAGGCGTGAAACGACAGTATTGGGATCGAAGGATTGTTTGATGCAAGTGTTACGTTGAGTCTTCGAAAGCTTGTTGCAGCTGGATGTCATAATTCTTCTTATCCTCAACTTTCTCTAACGCAATATCGACAAAGTCTGTAGCCCAATACCATGGAACAATATTTTGGAAGGCGTCGTGATCATTATTCTTGTCTAAGAACTTTGGCTGAATTCGTTCGTAAAACACTGAAAAAAGAGCCGTTGGATTGTGAAGAGCTAGAGAATACCAGAATGCACCGGTTTCCCAGCAGCTACTTAGGGCCGTAGATAATAGGAGTGCCGATGAAGGTGCTTTCTCTTGAATTTCTGAAGTCCATTCCTGGGAAGGGATGGCGTGCCATTTTTTCTCCTCATCCGCAAGAATATCCACTAGTTCCTTTCGTATTGCTGTAAAATGTTCAGGTTCATGGGCTAATTCATCCAACGCCTGGTTGGACAGCCAAGTCGGAAGTCGGACCAAATCAATCGGCTGAGAAAACATCCATTCAAGGTCAAGTAAGCAGGTGATATTCCAATTCTTATCAACAAAGATATTGCTTTGATTAAAATCACCAAAGCACAGAACAAATGGCCCATAACGAGTTTTTTGATCCAAAAAGGAGGGAAGAATAGCGCGCATTGTTGTCAGAGCTGCTGTTTGGTAGCTATAGTCGCTCAGATCATTTATGGCGTTTGGCTGATGAAGGATGCGATTGTCGTGGAAGTTGAGCATATCCAGAGTGTAGGATTCTACTGTGGAATATGTTCGATCACGAGGTATATCCGTAGGAATGCTCTCATTCTCCGCTTCCAGCATTTGATATGTTAGTGGGCGATTTGTTAGCGAAATGTACCCTTTGTTATCCATCGTGAATGACCCGATTTTTGGTAGCTTTATTCGCGTAATGCTAAGCAAAATCCGAGAAATTCCTCGGAAGAGATTGGCGCGCAGTTCGGCATCATTTTGCTTGTCCTTCCAGGTAGCTGAGAGCATCTCGCCAGTCGTGTCTTCGATGTATTCAAGCAGCATGTAAGAGAGTCTTCCCTCATCAGTCTGAAGGGCGAGGCGCGGCTGGTGACGCACATATTTAGATGGTAGCGGGAGCCTAAATAACGACCTTAAGAAGTTCTTTATTTTAAAGAATCCGCGCATTAAAAATGGGAGAGTATCAAGTTCCGTGAACTGCATCATTTTCGTCAGTGATCGTTCGCTGAGATAATAAAACACCAAAATACCGTTTCACCCGTTGTCAAACCAAAGCCATAGAGTCGAGGAAGTGGCACATCTGTACAATGCTGTTGAAAGAACGAATAGGTTGCTGCTTCGCAGCGAACTTTTTCATCCGCACTTCCAGGACGAAAAGTTTCCGCAACGCGATATGGGAGAGGAAGCCGAAACATAAGACGATTTCCATACTGTCGCTTCCATCTCCAGTTTTTAGAATCAACCGTCACTGGAATACAGACATTGAAGCTGCCATAAAGCCAGTCGTCCTCATCAGATATCTGGCATGCATTAGGGGAATGTAATCCAATGTGGTGAGTAATTGTACTCTTTATCCAACCCGTATTTCGTTTAAGTTGGCCAAAAAACTCATCCCGCTTCTCAACGTATGATAGCCGCTGGAGGATGTTGGTTTCTTTTTCCTTTGCAACAGAATACGTAATCTCCTCGCGGAGAAGTTGACGAGTTTTTGGCATTATGAACGCAGTAGCTCTCTGTGCTTCGCGTTCTGTTCTGGGTCCTTCTCAGCTAGCAGTCGACGAGCAACTGTCGAAAAGACATATAAGATACGCAGTGTACGCCCCTGAAAAGAACAAGCTTCCATTGTTTGCGTTGTTTGCTCCAGTTGGCATTGAAATACCGTTTGCGAATCATCTTTTACTTTAACGGTTGTCTAAGCTACTACTCCGTACGGAGTATGCTAAATACGATATGTATCCGAAGATCGCCTCGATTCCAGCTTGTAAGAGGAGTCTGGATATTTAGAAAGAGAAACCACGCAGACATACGGCACACTGAAAGCTGGAAAGTGAATTTAGAATTTTCTGTCCCGAAATGCTAAAACGTGCCTGAAAGCTTGGCGGTGAGGCCGTTGTCCCTCGCAACGAACATCAAAACAGAGACGCAAAGTTGGCCAACAGCGACTGGAGTAATAGAACCACGCGCCGAACACACCGACGAACACTGCAAGGGGCCGTATTCTATCACGATGCTTGCCGCCAAAGACCAGGAAAACCTGGTGCACTCTCACCAGACCGTCGCCGCCGCGAAACCCCTCAACCACGACGTGCGATCGCTCCAGCCGAAAACGCCGGGCAACAAAGTGCCAAAGACGCCCTTTAGGATTCCGCTGAATGACGAAAACAACCCGTTGACTTTTGGTGGATTGGGAAAGCAAACAGCCGGACCACGCTTATTTCAGGCCCAAAAAGAAAATGTCGTTCGACAAGCCGGAAAGGATGGACTCGGGGAGAAGCGGCCGTTGGCTACACCAATGGGTAGGGGGTTTGACTATATCTATTGGGTGCTGAAGAGGGTCTCTAAAGAATTTCTACAGGCAACCAGAATCGTGCGCCATTAGGAATGAAAACAACGAACGCGAAAGCTTTTCAGACGCCAGCGCCGTTGGGGACCGCGAAACCAGTGAAATCGAGTAAACGAGGCTCGACTGCCCGTAAATTAAAGCAATCTGCTCCAAAGCAAGGGCTCATTTTCAAGGCGCCCAAAACTGCTGATGAGGAAGACAAGGTCCCTGATATTGAATACATGCCGCCAAAGCCCACACGTAAGTCAAACCTGGTATTGCGGCCATTGTAAGGGTTCTGATGTTCCGGATCACTAGCCCTTCCAGATCATCCTGACGATATTATATACGACACGAGCTTTCCACAGTTCAAAGGACAAAACTTTGCTCGGGGGTGGGAACGACTGTATAATGACGAGTACGATGTTGGGGAAGACGGGCTTACTAAAAAAGAGAGGGAATGGAGAAAAGACCAAGCCGTATTTGACAAAAAAATTGATGACCTCATCTTGCAACAAGTTCAGGACATGAAGTCTCTAGATATTCAAGAGTTTCCTGACGAGCCGTGCATTGAGGAGCTCGAGGCAAAACGGCTACAAGCAATGGGAAAAACCGGTCGTCAGCCGTCTATAATTCAGTCTCGCACCGCAGCGAAAGCGCTTTCAAAGTTGCCGCGCCCATCTGTTCAGCCAAAACCGCGAGTGGTTCCCACCGCGAGGTCTAGAGTTATTCCTAGTTTAACGAGCAAAAGAAAGGCCGTTGTGCCTATAAACCCATCACCGATGCGACATACGGCCGCAGTAATTAACTCGAGAACCACCCTAGGCTATGCAAAGGGACGCGGCGTATCGTCTGCTCTTCGCAATCAGTCGTCTAAAGAGAACGTGAAAAAGCCCCCTTCCAGCACCACCAGCAGCAGCAGCAGCATCATCTCTCCTGAGAGATTTATGCAGCTCTATGGCCCTCCGGCAGTTGGCACTGAAATGTGGTCGAGATGCAAGACAGCGGGTCTCTTCGATCCTGTTGACGTGGACAAGGCGATTTACGATGAAATCCCCCCAGTCACATACGAGGAAGATGAGGAGACAGCTAATTTCCAGCTCACTGTATGAAGTCTTTAATATCTGGAGTACATGTTTCATAGGCGTTATTTGGTATTTGTACACGTGCGTTGTGCTTAGATTCTGGTGACCTGGGCTTGGGATCGGTAAAATGCACGCAGGGGAATACGAACGCGCGCCGGAGTTCCAGGATGTGGATGGCCTGGCGTTTACGGAGTGTGGCCGTGCCTGTCTGCAGAAAAAGGCATTCGTTGTGGGCTCGGCCGCCGCGTAGCTTCAGGGGTGAATAATGGACAGGACAACGGCGTTGGTGATTGCTTGCGTTGCAACTTATTTAGGGAAGAATTATGATAGCTAGCCTCTTTTTATCACTTGGAGCAGCTCTCCGCCATCAGTTTCCTGTGCCGTCGACCTTGTCTCGCTGGTCCCAATGGATTTGTGTTGTGTTCGAATCAACCGAATTGAGTTTGGGCGAAAAGACAAACCGGCGTTGGCATGTGGCTCTGTAGCTTCAGGGTCAGCCTGCCAAACACTCCCCTGTGCTTTTTGCTCTGCTGCACAACCAACTCCTGTTGAGCTCCATCTGTCCCTTCGCCCTTCTCCGCGAGCTGCAATTCCCTCGTGATCATGGCGAGAGCCCATTCTGAGTCTTCAGATGACTTTGAGTTCATCGAGACCCCTGCTGCCCCTTGCGAGTCTCCGTCGCCAGGAAACTGTGGCGTGAGGACAACGTCGGTGAGTGCGAACCGTAACGCAAGCATTTTTTCTCAATTGGATTGTTCGAGCTTTCCATTGCCACTTATTTAAACCAAAAGATACTTGTAACTAATTTTTATCCGTGGACAGTACCCTTCAATCAAGAATGGCCCCCTTCCTGCTGATGCTGCTGGGAGCGACAGCTTCTCCAACATCCTCCTAATTGGCCTTCTCGTTCTCATTCCATGGTACCTCGCTCGCCAGATAGGCGGTGGATTTTACACTAGTATCTTCTTAGCGGTCTTTACCTCTATTCCCATTCTCATGGTCTACTGGTCCGTCGCCTCGTCGATTTCCCCGCGCAAGAACGAAAAGGCGAAGTATCCCGGCAGACCAGTCGAGCACTACCTCCAGTTCCACAGTGAACATGACCGAGCTAAGTACCATGGCAAGAGCAAAATCCCCATGGAAACTTTCCACGAGATGTACTTTGACGGAAAGGTGGATTTCAAGGGCGACTGCTTGGAAGCTTTGGAGTATAGACACGACTGGGCTTCTTTCAGGTTTACATTGAGCTTGTACAAGTTTTTCTTGACGGGAATGATGCCGGAGGTTATTATGCACACTCGCAGTCAAGGTAAGGGTTTTTGTTTTACCTTCAAGTATTTGCGACGTCGCTAATTTTGCTGCCTGGTAAACAGACGAGGAGCAAGTTCGCGGTCATTATGACCGCGGAGACGACTTCTACGGCTGGTTCCTTGGCCCGCGCATGATCTATACCTCTGGTATTATTAGCGATATCAACAAGGAAGAAACGCTAGAACAATTGCAGGATAACAAGCTGGCTATTGTATGCGAGAAGATTGGTCTCAAGCCAGGCGACACTATGCTCGACCTTGGATGCGGTTGGGGAACTCTCGCTAAGTATGCCAGTGTTCACTATGGAGCTCATGCTACTGGTATTACTCTTGGGCGCAATCAGACTGCTTGGGGAAACAATGGCCTTCGCAAAGCTGGAATTGATGAATCCCAAAGCCGTATCGTTTGCTGTGACTACCGCGACGCTCCCACTGTCCCCGGCGGCTACAAGAAGATTACTTGTCTTGAGATGGCCGAGCACGTCGGCGTCCGTCATTTTGGTACTTTCTTGTCGCAGGTTCATGACATGCTTGATGACGACGGTGTTTTCTTCTTGCAGATTGCTGGTCTCCGAAAGGCCTGGCAATATGAGGATTTGATCTGGGGCTTATTCATGAACAAATATATCTTCCCTGGTGCCGATGCGAGTACTCCCTTGGGCTTTGTTGTCGATAAACTCGAAGGAGCTGGTTTCGAAATCAAGGGCATCGATACTGTCGGCATTCATTACTCCGCAACCCTTTGGAGATGGTACCGCAACTGGATGGGCAACAAAGATAAGGTTGAGGCCAAATACGGCAAGAAATGGTTCAGAGTACGTATCCAGAGCACCGTGTTTGAGCCTATATATCTAACTAAGTGTTGCTCAGATCTGGGAATACTTCCTTGCTTACTCTACCATCATTTCTCGTCAGGGTAGCGCAACTTGCTACCAGATCACTATGGTCAAGAACATTAACTCCACTCACCGTGTTGAAGGCATCAATAGCCAGTTTGGCCTCTCTGGAGCCCGCACTACGTCCGTGGAGACAGTTGGCAAGGGAGAAGTGCCCAGTGCCAACGTCCCGGTTGTCAGCAAGGAGTAAAGAACTGTCAACTAGCCTCAGCTCCAGATGTGCTCCATCCGGCTGCCACCTCGGAGCCCGAATGCACAGCGGTGCGACAGTATGGGAATAGCGATGAAGTTGAGAAGCGACAGTCGTGTGCTATGTACGGTTAGAGAAAAACAAGGAAATTTTATCATTTGACGATCACGTTGATATAAGGCTTGATGGATTTGCTCCGAATGTTCGTTCTGTTTGTGACGGATGTTATGTACCAGTTTTCCAGCCCTCAGTTTCGAGCTTGTTGTTTGTATAGCTGTTTAGTCCAAAGTTCTGCTCTTTAAGAATGGAGGAGTATAGAATAGTAAAGCGGGTGCCGAACCTTCAAGCCTATGCTCACATCATAGAAGCCTTCCCCACGAACCTTGGCTGCCGGGTAGTCGAAGGAAGCCGCCTGTCATCCAACATCCATTATTAATGGCGACTGCTATGGCCGAAGCTGCTTGATCCGCCCGGCCGGCCAGCGCGGAAAAACAGCCGCCGAGTCCCGAAATCCCGGCTCGCAGCCAATCGCCGGCGACGCCAAGACGGCGACAAGCAGCCAACAGCGGGCGCGGGGATGCCGAGGCTAATCCCCGGGTTCGGGGCTGGGTCTGGGGATCGCGGCTGCGGGCGGACTCCGGGAGCTTCATATACAATTCCTTGGTGCTCCGTCTGCAAGCTTTGTCGTCGCTCCGGAGCACTGTTATCACCTGCTGTGAGCAAGGGCTGCGTTGGGATTTCCCTTGCATTTGTCGTCTCCACTCTTTCCCCAGACCCGCTGCCCACCATGCCAATCAAATCTTCCTTCCCGCCGCTCGAGATTCCCGACGTCGACATCTGGACGCTTCTTTTTAACCGCAAGGACAAAAAATACCCGGGAGACAAGGGTATGTCGTGGTCGACTTTGTTGATTCGAAAACTTGGACTTGTGCAGCTAACCGTTGGGTTTTATGTCAGTGCTTTATCAAGATGCCGATACCGGTCGTTCGTACACCTATGACCAAGTCCGGTCCCTGACGCTCGATTTCGGCAAAGGTCTAAAGGCAACCTGGGACTGGAAAAAGGGCGACGTATTAGCAATTTTCTCGCCGAACACGATCGACATTCCTCCTGTGATATGGGGTACTCACTGGGCTGGCGGTGTTGTGAGCCCCGTCAATCCGGCGTATACCGCCGACGAATTGGCATTCCAGCTCAGGGGTACCAAAGCAAGGGTCATCGCGACGCAGATCTCCTGCTTACCGACTGCGATCGAAGCCGCAAGGAAGGTGGGCATCCCGGAAGATCGGATCATTCTGATTGGCGACGAAAGACACCCAACTGCCAAATACAAGCATTTCACATCCATCCAAAATATATCACGCGCCATTAGATATGCCAAAACAAAAATTAACCCGGGAAAAGACCTGGCGTTCTTGGTGTATTCTTCAGGTACAACTGGCGTGCCAAAGGGGGTGATGCTCTCGCATAAGAATATTGTGACAAATATCCATCAGATGAGTGCTGGAGAGGAGAATAATTTAACCTGGAATGGCGGTGCTGATGGCAAGGGGGACAGACTACTTGCATTCCTGCCATTTTATCATATCTATGGTATGTTGCTAGCAAAACGCTCTTCTAAGTTGTCTCTGACCTTTGTAGGCCTAACGTGTTTGGTTCACAACGCTGTCTTTTCTGGTCTGCATGTTGTTGTCATGGCTAAGTTTGACATTGAACGATGGTGCTCTCATGTCCAGAATTATCGAATCACATTCTCTTACATTGTTCCTCCTGTTGTTCTCTTGCTAACGAAACACCCAATTGTGGACAAATATGACCTTTCTACCTTACGTATGATGAACAGCGGCGCAGCACCACTGACTCACGAACTTGTCGAGTCAACGTACGCCCGCATCAAGTGTGGTATCAAGCAGGGCTACGGACTCAGCGAAACCAGCCCGACCACACACGCCTTATCATGGAACGATTGGCGCCGCCGCATTGGTTCTGTTGGCAAACTTCTCCCAAATCTAGAGGCCAAATACATGACATCCCCCGAAGATGATTCTGCACCACAAGAAGTACCCATCGGTCAAGTTGGGGAGCTTTATGTTCGTGGCCCGAACGTTTTCATGGGATATTTGGATAATCCAGCGGCGACTGCTGCTTGTATATCCCCCGATGGCTGGTTCAGAACCGGTGATGTCGGATACGAAGATGAAGAAGGGTTTCTCTTCATCACGGATCGTGTCAAAGAGTTGATCAAATATAAGGGATTCCAGGTTGCTCCTGCAGAACTGGAAGGCTTGCTTACCGACTACGAAGCAGTTCAAGACGCCGCAGTCATCGGTATTGAGAGTGAAGAACATGGCTCTGAGGTTCCCCGAGCCTACATTGTGCCCAACCCCAAGATCATCCCCCCAGGAAGACGAACACCAGAGGAGGCAGCGAAGATTGCCCAATGGCTACAGGGCAAGGTTGCTCCACATAAGAGACTGCGTGGTGGCGTCCGGTTTGTGGACGAGATCCCGAAGAGTGTTAGTGGGAAGATTTTGAGACGCGTACTGAAAGATCAGGCCAAGAAGGAAGCCGCGACTATCAAAGCGAAGCTGTAATAGAGGTGTTAATGAGTTTTCTTCCCTGTTAATATTGTGCGCCATGATTCGGCGGAAAGTCATCTCGCTGTCTGCACATACTCCATATAAATTACAGTATATAACCGATATATAAAAATTTCAATATACCTCTTTTCCTAATACTATTCCGTCGCGCAATTACCGATGCATCCCAATGTCCTCAACTGGGATCCTAAATAGGAAACAACATCAAAAATATGAACTTGGCAGGGATCGAACCTGCAATCTTCTGATTCGTAGTCAGACGCCTTGCCATTGGGCCACAAGTCCCGTGATTGAAAAGCTCGTGATGTGACTTACTCATCACTTGCCAAATATGGCCAAGCAAACAGCTCAAACGTTCTCAACTCAGCACTTTCCCGGATCATAAAACTTCTTTCAATTTTTTGAAACTTTTAATGATGTATCTGAAGTACAAACTCCATAGCTCGTCATTTCCTCAACCTCTCAATACCCGAGACCTTGATAGAAACCGTCGAGAAAAGCATATAGTGATAAACTAGGGAAAATTTTCTTGTCTCGCTGCATTTGGCCATCCGTCTGGTTCTGGAAGTCGCTTTGGTCACCCGCGCCTTTCAGCCCCATTTCAAACCGGTGAAACGGTGGAAATAGATAGTGCATTCCCTATATATAGTGGTATAATTGTTTTTCATCCTTCCGCAATGAGGCCTCTGGTGCTATTATGATGGTAATTACTTCTATGCTATAAGGTCTAGATAGGACGGTCGATGGCCCTTAATAGCGGCTGGATAAGCTTATGTTGTCTGCTATGCAACTCTGACCGCTCTATTTACTGAGCTCCCAATATTATGGCAATAGAAGATGAATGCTAGATGAGGCAATCATCAAAGCACTTTTTTATATCTGAGCTAGGAAAGATGATCATACAGCTGGTATTTAAACCACGGTATATTCCGTGAAAAACTACTGATTAACTACTATTAAGAATAATGGAAGAGATGTACCTCAATTAATCATGTAATTCATAGCAAGATGTGTAGACCAGTATTATTATATGTCCTAAGATATCTAAAGTCCATGACCAGACGTTCGTCCAATGTCGGAAATTCAGAGTCGATTGCGCGGAGTGGTATATTCGTAATCGTTTTCATGTCCGTCAATAGTAGTGTGCTCGAAAGCCCTAAAGAAGGGAAAAAATGGGGTCGTTCTTGCTGTCCACGTCGCTTCTCAGCATCGAATTTTCCTAAAGCGGCCTTGACTTGGCCACTATTTAAACAGGGCAGTTCTTGTGAAGAGGGACCTCAGAGCAGAGGGCAGGTGGTGGCTGAGTCCAGTCATTGCAAAGCACATTGCACTCGGTATTTTCCTTGGTAAATACCAAGAATTCGTAGTTCTGGAATGGCAGGCGGAACTGTCTGGCATCGTTGCCAGCAAAGGCCTTGTATCCGGCTCTGCAGGCACAGTGGAAGTATTTGCCAGTGTTAATGCAAGAAGTAGTTGGGTGGCAGTTGTTTTGGCCGGAAATTGGGTTGCAGGTTGGGCACACTGGCGGAGAAAGGGCAAGAGCAGTGGTGGCCAGGAGAAGGATGGCACCGATGGCTTTGAAGGAATGCATTTTTGCTAGAAGGCTATGACTGACGACAGTTTCAATTAATGTAGAAGACTCGTTGAAACAATTCCGGTTGATGAGAGGAAAAAAGAAGAACGGAATCAATGGGAACTTGGGCTTTATATAGGTATCCTCCCTCGGGCCGGCAGATTTTAGAAGCAAGCAGGCCTTCTTCTAAGCTACCAAACCCTGCGGGTGCTCGTCTATCTGGCTGACCAGGGTTGATTGGATCCAGCGTTGAGTATCAATCCCCGGATTGGAACGCCCCAGATGTGAAGGATCCACAATTCGAGCATAAAAATTCCGGGGTGGCTAGAGGAGAAAATACGGTGTAGATGGACGTGGACTGTGCCCGGAAGCGAGATATTTTATTCCTGAGGGAGAAAACCGGAAGTTATTCTGGGACGTAAGACATTTAATATGGGCAGAGCAACCTCGTAGCCTCGCATTATCACCAAGGTAGGTATGTACCAAACCGGAACATACAAGAGTGGTAAAAAACGGCTTCTTTGCCACTGCGCTGTTGGCAGGACCCCGGAATCTGCACCGAGAGGCAGTGTGGCGAGGGGATACTGGTCAATTCTAAAGCTTGGAGCCAAGCTTGATAAGAATCTCATCATAAAGGCTGCAATCAAATATAGAATACAAGATGTGCCATGGGCGTGAGGTCGTCTCTAGGTAATGAGCCACGCGCGAATGATAGATGACATCACGTACCAGACGTCACATAAAAATGTCAGGGTAGCAATACTCGCAGATGAGAGGAGGCCATTGGTTGCCATCAAAAACGGAAGATTGAGAACCAGTCTTGCGATATATGGAAGACGGAGACCCGACCAGCTGCATGCAGAAGCGACTACCCTGCCGATCTAGTAGGAGAGTTTCGACACCCAGCTTGCTCATTAGCTGGGTTTCTCCTCCAAGAGCTAATGGTCTGATCCCCACGGTAAGCTCGGAAACCAACCATATTCACCGCTACGGAGTACATCTCAAGGGTGCTTTTCCTCGATGGTCTTTCACGTCTCCAGGATAGTTAGTTCAGTCGGGAACGCATAAACAAGAATCTAGTATAATGTCAGGGAGGGTTGCACAACCGAGGCGTTAGAACGAGACATCTCGCCAGCTCGTTTGGTTGTCTGCAAGTATCTCGTGTTCCAATAAGGCTGAATGGGCAGTTTTCCAGGTGAAGAGCGGGGCTTCCAGACAATGTTGGCCGAGGAAGCGGGCAGACTAGAACAAAGTCAGTTAGGAGGTGAGACAAACCGCTGACTGCCTGCATGCATCGCGCTGGGCTTCGGAATCTGGATCAATCACAATGCCAGCGAGAACAGACGCGGAGAAGAAATACGATGGATGTCTCAGCATAAAGGAAGGTGGAAGTCAAAAGAAGCTCAAGGAGGCCCAGCCGTTTACGGACTAGTTAGTTTTCTGTACTCCGTAGGTGTGGAGCTAATTATAGACATATGCTGCTACTCTGCCCAATCACCATTTGACATACGAAACTCTTAAAATGTGCTTTTCCATGATTGGTCGCTGGCGAAGTTTTTCAAGCTCCCGGCCAATCACGAGCGACCTGTGACGTGGTGAGACTTTCGGTCCATGTTTTCCGAGAAGGAACCGCATTTCGTCAAGCGATGGCTAAAGATAGGTGGGTAGAATGTGGTTGGCGGATGAGGCTGATCCTTCAACAATACTCAGTACGTGCAAGCACAAATATAAATCACTCACCATCTTCTAGCGCTCCGTGGGTTGAGGCGATACCAAGACTCGACAGAGAGTATGGAAGCGAGACCAAAGAGGGCATCGTTGTCAGATTGCTCCGTATTCAATAACAGCTAGCTGGGGGTCCAAACTCAGCCTAAGCCTCAAAGTGCTTTTCGGTCTCATGGAACTGGAAGGCAGGATGAATTTCTGCCACACGCTGGCTCCGGTGTCTATATGGTGCAGCGACATTTGTCAACGTGAAATATTAGATCATTCTATGCCTAATAAGAGCATTCATATTTAAATCAGCGTCAGATCTGGCAAGATGCCAAAATACAGCACAAGCTTGTGGAAACAGAAGTCTAGAAACATAGTCCACTGCTATGCAATGCTTTAAATTTCATTAAGTGAACAACGCCTTAAAGTAATAGAGCACATCAAGACCGAAAGAAAGCACATATAAACCGCTCTTTTGAAAACCATGATCTACATGTCCATATCCTCATCTTCAGCTCCTTCAATAAAAACAAGTTTTGTACCATTACCGGTAACTTGCCAAACCTAGTAAACAAAGAGGAAACATCAGTATCAAGAAAACCAAAATTAAAGTCGACAAAAAAGTCTAGGAGAACATATTTGTAGCATTGACTCACATATAAATCGGTATATTCTTCGATAGTGCTGCTGAGCTGGTCTTCCGTGAACCCTTTCGCCAATACTCTCTCCCTGACTTTCCTGATACTCAACTCTCCGTCTCCGCCATCACCGGTAGCGGCAGCGCCGCTTTCCCGCATGCCTCGTATCAAATTATAGATCTTACTTGTGGGCGTCTGATCCGCGCCGCCCTGGTTATCCGTGTACAAGCTCGATTTGCTGACTTCAATCAAACGAAGTGCTTCGTCCACATCTTCCGTAACGACCTCGTGACTGAATCGTAGACGAGCTAGTGCCTGTGAGAGACGTAAAACACCAAGTAAAGTTCGTGGTGTAGTGTGTGAAAACTGTTTTTTGCTTCCTTCTTCTGTCTTCTGATCTTGGCGCAGGCGGACATAGGAGCCCACCATGTAATTCGAGACCTGTTTAGGGACGGTGGGTCGGAAAGTACGAGCTTTAGCAATGTATTGTTGGACTTCGTTAGGTGTAAATATCACTTCATTGTCACCCGTTTCCGGGTGCTTATTATGCATATGCACATAAGTGACATGGTGAGCAAGTTCTTCATCAGCGTCACGAGATGGGGTATCGAGCATTAAGAATAAGACATCAAAACGAGAAAGAAGGGCCGCAGGAAGATTGATATTCTCCACTGGAGACACTCGAGGATTATACCGTCCATAGAGCGGATTAGCAGCTGCTAAAATAGATGTTCTCGCATTAAGTGTGGTCGATATTCCAGCTTTGGAGATGGATATTGTTTGCTGCTCCATAACTTCATGAATTGCTGTTCTATCGCCGTCGTCCATTTTATCGAACTCGTCGATACAGCAGATACCGTTGTCTGCGAGGACCAAAGCACCGCCCTCGAGCACCATCTCATCCGTAACAGGATCGCGCATGACTGCTGCGGTAAGACCGACACCGCTGCTTCCTCTACCTGTAGTGTATACACCTCGAGGCGCAACTTTTCCAATATATTTAAGCAATTGAGATTTAGCCACACCAGGATCACCCATTAGGCAGACATTAATATCGCCACGAATACGCATGCCGTCTCCCATTTCCTTTGTCACACCGCCAATCAATAGTAAAAGTAACGCCTTTTTTACATCCAAATGGCCGTAGATTTCTGGCGCAATGGAGCGGGAGAGGTATTCGTACATATGCCCGGAATACATGTGCTGTTCAATTCGCCGAAGCGTGCGAGGGTCCATTTTAAGGTTTTCATACGCTTTCTTGTGTTGTGTGATATGCTGCGCTTCAACATACGTATCCGTTAACAGACCTGCTCGAATCGCCCGGAAGCCTGTATATGGTGTCGGAAGAAAGATGCCAGCTACATCCACGACATCGCCGGGGTTCACTTGTCGGGCCAAGCTACCAAGGCAATGGATGGTGAGAGTTCGAGGGATATGCCCAACAGGAACCTGATCTGCCATTTCCTGAATTTTGACTTCCTGGAAGGGAATAAATTTCGATGCACGACTGGACATAAATAGTTGACCCTTGGACTGATTTTTCGTGCATTCTTCCGAAGGGCATTCCTGAAGTGGTAGAAACTGCTTCGCCGTGACAGGTTGGAATACTTCTGACCCACAACGATCACATGAATACGCATTGATTTTGACGGAGGGTTTAACATCTGAGACTCGAGTCGTGATACCTCGAACAGTGATCAACCTTCCAAGGTGCTCTCCCTTCACATTTCTCACAGCCAAAGCTTTTGAGTTCCGTTCGCTGCTGGAGCCAGAGGGCGTCCGAGGTTTAATATTTAGGGTATAACGGCGAATAAGTTCAGGAGGAAATTGTGAAGCTGCCACTCCAGTATCAAGATTGGCCTCTGCAGCCATTGCCATAGTCTCGTTTCGTCTCTCGCGCTGCGACATGATTATATCGAGGACATCGTCTTTGAATCTACAACCCATTTGTTAGGTGTACTGATAAGATAACAATGCGCATCTTCACATACGAAACTTCTCGTGTCTCCTTTGGCATAACCTCATCCACAACCTCCGAAAACACGTCGAGATAGCGCTTTGTATTGTTTTCAACACTGGGGATAAGGTCCGAATGAGACCCATCAGGTAAAGTTTTAACGAACTACCGGAAAATCGAATTGTTAGTTTCTTTTAATTTAGCACTAGAAAATGAAATATCCTACTGCGTCTAGATCATCCAACTCGATTAGAACGTTGTTTTTCGTTCTGTCTGCGACATCTTGTAACACTTGCATATACTTCAACTTTGGCTGCCTGTTGCGCCGTCGAACTGAGCGTCCACCTGGCGTGTCTCCATTAATTTCCTCCATAATGTCATCATCGTCGCTGATATCATTTTCCTCAATGTGTAGACCCTCAATTGCCTCTGTGGCAGCAGATTCTGAAGCAGACTCGAAAGACTTAAAGTGCTGCAAAAATTCCTTGAACAATTCTTTCTGCTCCGAATATTTCACCGGCGCTTTATATTGTAGAAGCGCCATGTCGCAGTTTCAGGTGTTACCTCTTGCTGGGACACTCGTCGCGAACTTGGAAAACCGCAGTTAAATCGCCCAATATCACCAGTCTCCTTAATTAAGCTCCTGGAAAATAAAAGAGCATAGAAAAATTCAAAAATCGGTTGTATTTCGGCGAGTAACGAGCGCGCTAGGTATCTAGGAGTATGGGTAAGGAAGAGGGCAGCTCAATCGCGCTGCTAGATGTCGTGGGCGTCTCCAAGCGTTCCCACCCCAAAAAGTAATGCGGCCGTCGCGTCAATCACGCGTCTCGAATCTGCGCGTTTAATGGGTCCGAATATGGCTTAGTTGTTAACGCAGCGGCACGGATTATCCCTCGGTACGACCATCCCCGCCAAACTCTAAGCTCGGATATCCGCGATCACGGGCTCTCCCCATCACGGCCACGCAGTCGCAAAGCAGACTCCTGGTCTATTCATTCTTTTGGGGCCATTTAAAATCTTCCTGGGGTGCTACCTCTTACCCACCATATTTTCGAACTACCTTCGTTCTTCCTAGCACCTTCCATGGCCCCAAGCAGCCGAAAATCGACCACGGCGGCCGAGGTTGCCCTTGTGCCACTGAAAAACTGTCTGGTTAACTTGCCCCCATCTCTTGTTTCTCTGCTGGTTAATGCAAATACTGTGAGTGTAGAAATTGTGGTTTATATAATTGAAAATACCTGGGAATACTGAGATAGCTACCTAGCCTGCCCAAAATGTCATCGTTGAATTGCAATACCGAGCTTCTTCGTCTGGCTCAATTAACGCCGGGGCTTCTTCATCCCAACGATTCGCATATACTGGGTGGACAGGAATGCCAAGTAAACGAAAGCTTGCTCCCGTTGTTGGAAGGAATGGCATCAATAGCTCCCGTGTGGCGCCTAGGGACCAGGAAATATCCATTGTCGAAATCGACTCTACATTTGGGCGAGTATTGGGATTAAACGACGGCCAAAAGGCGAGTATATGGATTCATAATATATCAATGTATTCAAAGTACTAATTCATATTTAGATTGGCATCTTGTTACATATAGATCCACCCGTTGCCCATACGATCAACATTGAGCCGTTGACACCGACAGACTGGGAAAGTGAGTATTCTGGTCTTACATCATTGGCCAAATACTGATAAACTGCAATCCGTACAGTCATCGAGTTACACGCAAATTTCCTAGAGCTGAATCTCCTTTCACAAATACGGGCCCTTCCAAATCCGGCATATAGTAGCACCCCATCAGGACAAGCAGAAAACGCCCATCCACTTACCCTTCATCTTTCTCCAACGTCGACTGCAAACATAATTATAACTTCATTGACACCAGCAGTTTCTACTTCATCTCCGTTCGCGAAAATTGCACCAGACGCCGAGGTTATTGTTGCACCAAAAGTTCGCCCAAAGTCCGCAAGGTCTTCCCGTGGTGAAAGTCGAAGCGTCACAAGTACCAGTCGAAAAAGTGTTGGGGGCCGTAGTAGCAGTGGTACGGTTCGCCCAAAAAGCAGGGACTCAGAAAACCCCTCTCGGGGTGCTGTGTATCTTCGCGGCGTTGATAAACATTTCGCACAGGGTTGGTTCGATGAGGCGACTGAAGATCTGAGTCCTGGAACATTCAAAGTATGGATACACAGCGATATACTTTCAAAGTATGAGCTACGAGGTACGACTCATGTATGCGTCTCTGTTGTTCGCCCTGCTGGATTGTTACCACCTGTCGATCCCCAACAACAAACGCAGCACAAGGAACAAGAATCAACTGAGGCCGGGGAAATCACCAGGAAATTGGTTGCTGAAGTATATTCGTGGAATGAAAGCCCTGATTCTAATCATGTGGCACTTTCGTCCGTTTTATGCTCTGCACTCGGTGCAGAAGGTATGGTTGGGGGATTGGTTCGAATAGAAGCCGCCCCAGCTCAGAAAGCAGCTGTAAAAACCGTTAAACTATTTCCTTTCAACCTCGACTCTTCAAGAAGAAAAGAAGGCTTGAAATTTGGAGGCGAGTCTGCAGCTTACAAGGAGGCTCTAGTTGAGAGAATCAAAGCCGTATACGGAAGCCCGGGAGCGGATACTGGAATTTTTGGAGGCCCAATCACAGACGGTATGGTGCTCCCTAGATTAGAGAGCCAGGCGCCATCTCTTGATTTTGAAGAAGCATTGGTTCGGTTCGAACCACCGTCAAGTACTCCTTCAGACGACAAAGCCTCGTTCGGGTGGGTACTTGGCTCTGATGTGAAATTTAATATTGAGGTCCAAGCAGCTATTGTCAAGCCAACGGAAAGCAGCTTCGTACCCGTTGCCGCCGACGAAAAATTGCCGAATAAAATACCTGAAATGGTTGGAATTGATTCAATTATTGAGAATTGCATATCAAATTTGACCCGTTCTTCGTCAATTCTTGTTACCGGTGGTCTAGGATCCGGGAAAACTTCGCTTTGCTATGTGTTGGGTCAGCAACTACAAGAGGACTGCTTGTTTAACGTCTCTTACTTCCCGTGTCGGAAGCTAGTCACGGATGAAACACGGATTTCTATGATCAAAGATACCCTCCATCGTTTGTTTTTATCCGCTTCTTGGTGTGCTCGGCTTGGCGGCCAGTCGATTGTAATCTTGGATGATATAGACAAGCTCTGCCCCGTCGAGACTGAACTTCAAGTGGGTGGTGAGAATGGCCGAAGTCGGCAAATAAGCGAAATATTCTGCGCCATTGTCAGAGAATTTTGTTCAGCGAATTCTTCTGTTGTTCTTCTAGCAACAGCGCAATCAAAAGAGGCGCTTAACAACGTTATTATTGGCGGCCATGTGGTCCGAGAGATAGTGAGCTTGAAAGCCCCGAACAAAGAAGGAAGAAGAAGAGTCCTTGAGAAATTAACTAGCGAAGATACACCGGCTAGTAGCCTCCCTAATAATATGAATGGCATTTCGCACAGTCGCAAGTCCTCCTCTCAGGATTCTTGGCTTGACCCTTCTAACCCAGGCACAAGACCTGGTTCTGCAGAAGAACAAGATGGCTTTTCGTTGAGTCGCGATCTGGATTTTCTTGACTTGGCTGGGAAAACTGATGGTTATATGCCTGGAGATCTCGTACTACTTGTCGCTAGAGCAAGAAACGAAGCCTTAATTCGTTCTGTCCAGGATATCGATTCTCTTTCCTCCACCATTACTCTTGGTATAGAAGATTTTGACCAAGCTTTAAAGGGTTTTACGCCTGCTTCCCTTCGCAATGTCACTTTGACATCTTCATCTACAACATTCGCGGCTATTGGAGGTCTGCATGAAACTAGGAAGACTCTCCTCGAGACTCTACAATATCCCACCAAGTACGCCCCTATATTTGCCCAATGTCCTCTTAGGCTTCGGTCTGGCCTTCTACTCTACGGTTTCCCAGGCTGTGGAAAAACCCTTCTCGCGAGCGCCGTTGCTGGCGAATGTGGTTTAAATTTCATTAGCGTCAAGGGGCCAGAAATTCTTAACAAGTATATTGGTGCCAGTGAAAAAAGTGTTCGAGATTTATTTGAAAGGGCAGAAGCCGCTCGACCATGTATTTTGTTCTTTGATGAATTTGACAGTATTGCACCGAAGCGTGGTCATGATTCCACTGGGGTAACAGATCGTGTTGTCAACCAGCTACTTACACAGATGGATGGTGCGGAAGGACTGTCCGGTGTGTATGTTCTAGCTGCAACATCACGGCCAGACTTGATTGATCCGGCATTGCTTCGCCCTGGCCGTCTCGATAAATCACTCCTCTGCGATATGCCAAATCATGACGACAGGGTGGACATCATCTTGGCTTTGGCCAAAAAGCTAAAGCTCAGCGAAGAAGTCATGGAGCACATTGGTACCGTCGCTAATCGGACTGAAGGCTACTCTGGCGCCGATCTTCAGGCGGTTGTATACAATGCGCATCTAGAAGCCATCCACGACGCTCTTGGTGATAGGACAGCTGATAAACCACAATCAAAGCCCAAATACACGTCCAACGACACCAACGGATCTAATACTGATCAGAAAACAAACAGGCCATTTATTCAGTTCTTATATGACCCAGAGGAGCATGCCGTCGCCACCGCAAGCGGACGGGGCACGTCATCTGACGCACCATCGCTGACGCCTCCTGCCATCATTGCTGCAAAATTAGAGTCCTTTAAAAAGACTCGAAGACGCCAAAGAGACCTGGAGCGTGGCGTATCATCGGAGATGTCGAATGCCCTTAATGGGACGAACGGGGTGTTGGACAATGAAGATTCGAGCGATAACATCCATATTGAATGGGCTCATATTGAACGTTCCTTGGAGACAACGCGGTGTTCAATCAGTGACATTGAAAGACGAAGACTGAATGCCATATATCGCGAGTTTATTGAAGGGCGAAATGGAGAGATGCCAACCGGCGAAGGGGGAAGGGAAATTGGTGGTAGGACGAGTTTGATGTGATTGTCTACCATCATCAGTCAGTTCCCCTTCTGGCATTTTATGGCCTGGGGCGTCTTTGTTACATATAATCGTCGAGGTTATAGGTTTACTCTTATGTACCATGATTCGGAGGCACCGGTTTGTCATGGCGGCTGGCTTTGGTGCATTTGTGTACTATAATTATGTAAGGATAGCTTTTGATCTTTAGGCTGTTGCTCCTGGCTATCCTGTCACGAACTTGGTTTTGGGAAAACTATGTGTATAGAAAAAACTTTGAGTCATTCTAATCTCGACATACGATACGTACAAGTACTATTTATACATGACTATGGGCGCGCAAAGGCAATCAATGGGCTGAATATCCGTAATCCTCCGGAGAGGCTAATTTTGGCTCTCTGATAGGAAAATAAGGCTTGGCTTCTAAAATCCCATCAATACCAAGCTGTGAATGCCGCGGTAAACACAGTATTCGCTTTCCCAGTCTCTCCAGTTCTCCAATCACACCGCCGCCAGAAAGGCCCCATTTCTCAGAGACAAGTTCTGGAGTGACTTGCTTACGCATGATTCCACTACGAGCAAGGTACTCCAGCAGACATTTTGTTTCGTACTTGCTTAGTCCTCCCAAATTAAGCCGGCGTAAACCTTTTGCCTCTTCGAAGAATGAAATAACGCGAGGATCCGATTTCCCATATATCTCGAGAGCAAGCTCGTTGGGGTTAATATTATTGTGCGATCTGGTGGTGGAAAGGTGGTTGAGACCGGCTTTAAATGTGAGAACGGAAGGATTATTGCTTGTAGATGTCGCGCAGAGCACTAAACCACCGTTCGGCATAGAACTAGCCGGGGACGAGGTGAGGGAAAGGAAATGCTTAACGAAAACCAGATCATAGGCGTGGATGGGTTTAAAGTCCGGGTTCTTATATGTCGTGTTGTGCATCCAATGCGCAATACCGTCTATTGTGACCAGCATTGGTGGTCGAGGCTTGAACGGCGTAAAGGAATCGGCGTTGCCCGTCGGACTGGTTGCGGTCAGTTCAGACCAGAGCGCCTGGAAAACAGGCCACGCCATCTCTGGCTGCTGGGATCCAATGGTCGCAAGTTCAGCAAGGGACATTTTAGGATTGAAAAGTTTCTTCAATTGTGGGTGCTCGCTAGAAACGTGAAGCTTTGAAAGCACAGCTTCATTTGCCTTTGCAATGCGTTCCAATAACTGCGCACTTGCAGTCTTTTGCACGTACTGTGTTGGTTGTGAGCCTGGAAGAGGAGAATATGCGGTAGTACCGTTGACAAGCTCGCCAGCTGAGTCTCTAGTTAGGGCTGTGTTTATCTATAGTACTCGTGCGGAGGAATCTCACCATCAGGGATACTTATCACCACCCATTTGTCCAACAAACCAATAGTCATTGCCTGCAACAAGTATACACTTTTCCCGACGGCTCTGTCACCAGTGACAACTTTCGCCGTAGCTTCAACAGCCTGCTTTTCTTTGATCTCGGTCATTAGGTTGGCCAATTCAAATGTCTCTGTTCGCATCAACGTTCCCGGCCGTCGAAACATATTCCATCCTTGTTTTACCTTAAACGCCCTTAGCGCCCTTAAATTTTCGATCAGGTTCATAGGTATACCCAAAGTTTGCCCATGAAGCTTTGTATCGGTCATAGTATTGAGTGAAAAGTCCGTTAGGGGAACGTTAAGCGCATTGGGATTACTGAGTACTAGTCGATGGGCCTGGGCTTTGCGCTCCGCCGGCGTTTCCCATTGCTTGATATTCGACGCCTTCCTCTTTATTCGGGCAGAGCGTGCTTCACGAAATTTGGGGCCGGAATCCTGGCTCCGGGACTTTTTGGTCGGGAGGGCGTATACAGAACTGGTGGAATGGAACGGCGCGGCTGCAATTCGGGGTATTGACGTCGACGGAGTGTGTGAAACTGAGGAGTTCCGGAGCTTAGATAGACAGCTCCGGCAAAATGGGGACGCCATGGTGTTATATTTCGGCCGGTCGCGCGCAATTGCCGGCTCAGGACAGCGAAAGCGTCTCTCCAGTCTCGATATTTTTGGAGAGAATGCTTCGGATAAACGATCATGCGCGGAGCCTTGGCAACGACAGGCGATGATTATATAATAACAATCTTAGAATTGAGGCTAAGGCGGCGAGGGGTTCTCGAAGCTCTAACAATAATTTTTTGTTTATCGCGCATGACCAGTTGATTGCGGAGTAGAGGGTCTGCAAAGCCTCATAATTTTCAAACCATTCGCCGCCAAAATGTCCAATACAAAAGTTCCGAATTCTTCTAGCGCCTCGACGACACAGCAAAAGCCACAGAGATTGTGAGTTGAGCCATACAATTACCGAAATCCAATCAAGTCTTAAAAATGAACCGCCGGCCACAGGCTATCACTTGCTAACGAACACGGTCATTCAGACCTGTAACTGTCGAGAAGCCCACACCATATACCTTTGATCTTGGCCGGCTTATGGCACTGGATCCCAACCCGCTTAACCTTCCTCCCAATTCTATCTCCGACCCAGCTACCCTCAACGAAGCCCTCAAATCCACAGCCCGAGATGGCGCCCAATGCCTCCTAAACCAACTGTTAACCGCCTGCCCCATCACGTCATCCGCCGAAGGCGTTTTCCTCTCCCTCCCCGCCCCCTCCACGCCACTCCCACGTTTCAAGCCGCTCCCGACCCCCAAACCGCCCACGAAATGGGAGCTGTTCGCCCGCAAGAAGGGCATTGGCAAATACAACACCAAACTTGGCGCCAGCGAGACCGAGCGCCGGAAGAAACTGGTGTACGACGAGGAGAAGGGAGAGTGGGTGCCGAAATGGGGCTACAAGGGGAAGAACAAGGCCGAAGACGACCAGTGGCTGGTGGAGGTGGACGATAAGGTGTGGAAGAAGGAAGAGGAAATGAACCAGAAGGGGGAGTCTATTCGAAATGAGGGCCGCAAGGATAGGATGGAGAGGATTAGAAGAAATGAAAGGAAAATGAGAGCGAATGTGCGGAGGGCCGGGGGTGGGAAGAGCAAGGCTTGATTAATTCAAATACGGTTTCATGCGCTGGCGTTAATTTTGGTGGGAAATAATACATAAGTCAGTACTTTTTTTTATTCTTTTGCAAGGCGTCAATGGCCTTTGGAGGAGGTGTAACAAAAAGTTTGGGTATGTTGCATGAGTTATATTAACGCGATACTTCTCACTACAATATATCAATCGCAAATTATTGTTGGCCTTCCCAATTCCGCTTCAAAAGTCCAAGATACAAGATCATCCCAGTCGCGGAGTTTTACTGGGGTTGGAGTACCAGCTCATGCTTCCTAGGTGTATGAGTTACCAGTAGCTCCGGGGCCAGCCTAGGCTCGAGATTCATTACGAAAATAATGCTTTAAGGGGTGAACGCCCAGCCATTATGCATTACGTGGACGAAAGGTTTTATCATTCAAACAGATCCCAGCATTACTAAGTAAATTATGCTCGAAAGCTAACAGGCCGACATCAACAACACAGACAGGAGGGAAATGAAACGAAAGCAAAAACAGACAGTCCGGGGGCCCAAAGCAGCAACCAGAACGACACGTATGTACATATCATAGGAACAACAGGCACGCGAAAGCCCAACGGACAAACGACAAAAAATGGAGGATGGATTTCGCTCATGCGCCAGATACATGCTTCGAAAAAAGGAGGTCCAAAGCGGACAGCCCAAACAGGATAAAAATGAACGAGAAGGACCCGGGGGGAGAGTATTGTGTGTATCGCGGTCCGAGAAGAAAATGGTTACGCAATACAAGTCACTATAAACATAAAGAGAGGGCCATATATCGACAAAGCTGCAAAGTCGCTGCTTGGGGTATGGACAGATAAGCGGCAAAAAAGGGAAAGGGACGACAAAAGGACAACATAAAAAACCAAGTAGACCGTCAACGCCGATTGCTAGAAGCTTGAGCGCCGTTTGAAAAGAGTCCCTTTTTGCTTCCTGAGACAAAAGAAAATAAAGGAAAGAGAAAAAAAGAGCAAAATTCAAAAGCAAAAACATAGCCCGTAGGCCGCAAAAGCTCTCGTGGTGTTGCGAAATCGGGTATAAGCTCAACAGAAAAAAAATCTAACAAGCCTGTATCCCTTTCAGCAAAATAAAGGAAACATCTATTGAAGATGTGTGTGGGCGGTGTAACTAAAAGCGTCAAAAATCAGGTATCGCGCTTAAATCTCAATGGGCGACAGCGGAGGCCCTAACTCCGGAAGTCGCGAGGCCACTTTCAAGTGGTTACTATCAATATTCGGGGGTGTTTTGCGTCCTTTTTTCAAACTCGTAGAACGACTAGAAGCCTTTGTCGCGGTACCACTCGAACCGCCAGGTTCCATTGGCTGGCTACTACCAGAGGACGAAATCGTTCGCTCTTCAGCGGCAGGTTCGGAGACAGGGGGGGCAGCGGGAGCAGCAGTCTTCTTCAGCGCTGCCTCCTTCAATTTCCGTTCATGTTCAAGTTCGACTTCCAGATGCTCCTTTTCCGTCCAGCAACCTTGCCAGCAGTTTTTCCAGTCGCATACCAAAAACTGGAAGCAGAACCCGTCGATTTTCATACAGGGCTGGAAGCAAATGCAAAGATTTCGATAGTCCATTTTGTTCTTGTCGACATATGAATGGAGCAAGCTCAGATGGCAGGTGATCGCGAACAACAGGTAGTAGTTGAATGGTGGAAGCTTGGACAATTCATCCTTAAGGAGTTGCGGAGCTTTGGTGGCACCAGGGCATTTCTCGGCGATCATAGCTTGCGTTGCTTTCGGGAAAATCTCATCAGGCAATTCACGGAGCCAAGCTTTAAACATCGATCCAATCGTGTTCACGTCGTAGAGTTCTGGCTCATCAAAAAGGTTTATATCAAGCTCTAGATTCCGGCGTAAGCTTCAAGTGACGTCACACAATTAAACAAGGGGAGTGAGTGTACCTGTATCAAACCTCCGCTGCCAATGCTTAATATCTTTGCCGCTTCCAGGCACACGATAGAGTCCTTCTTCTTCACAGCCCTTGAAGTTTAGATAGCTATTACAATATTGTCAGCACCAAACACAAAAAAATCAGCCAAGTCAAAACGTACTCGATGCAACGCCAGGGTAAGGCCGGCATCCAATACTCGGTTTTATCTTTCGACGCTTCGAGCCTCTTCGATATCCTCGTTCGACGGGTTTGTTCGACGAGTGGCAAGTTAATGACGGAGCAAACATAGTTATCATCAGTGATGGAGTCTCGTTCATGAATGCTACCACTTTTCGTAATTTTGCCCAGGAACCCTTTTCCAGCTCTTCCAAGCCGATCCGCTGCGCCGGTGGAGGTTTGTTTGATATTGCTAAATATCGACGAGCCCGTAACCTGGTTAAGCGATGAGCTGATATGTCCTTTATCCTTTCGCGAGTTATTAGATCGATCTTCAGTGGGTGGACGGTCTACGGAGCGGTTGCGCACTGTAGAGCCCATGGCGTCATTGAAAGATCGTTCAGGTTGTAGTGGGGCTGTCTTCATTGCCAACCGGGCGTCTTCCTTGCTGATTTCTTCGAGCCGCAACAATGAATTCGAGGGTCGTCTTGCGGCGCTTGGGCGAACAGGGGACAAGGCGTCATCAACGCGAATGGAGCGGGTACGGGTGAGGAGGTTCGCGAATCGAGGTTTACTTCTTTTGGAGGTCAGAGTATGGTATGGATCAGCGTCGTCGATTGCTTTCCCATTGGTGGCCACCTGATTAAGCCTGGCTTTGTCATCCGGAATCTCCCCTATGCATGGTGAATCGTTAGCGGTTTCAGGACATTTCCATTTTGAGAAGAGCAAATACCTTTACTTTTACCGCTGTTGGCGGAGGATTTGGGGGGGCTAGCTGACAAACTGGACTGATTTTTTGATTTTTGGGTCCCTCTGTCTCTAGAGCTCCCGCGGCTAACAGGCTTGTCTTCGCCGGTCCGGCCGTTAGGAGTATCAGAATTGTATACTCGATTGGTAGATCTCGAGGCTTTAAAATTAGTAAAGAAAGATTTTGAAGTATCTCTGCCGTGCTTTGTGCTTTCTTTCGGCGAGGGTGGATAAGGAGGAATGGCTGTGATATCTGCACTTGGAGGGGGTTCTCCGTCCTCCTTGCCAGCGGAGGGCCCCGTGGATTTCGCCGTCTTGATCGATCTGTCGGAGGGAAAAGCAGATCGAGCGGTCACGGGTCGAATGGAGGACGAGGTTTTGTGGGACGAGCCGGTGGCCGATAAGGGTGACACAGGTGTTATTGGCGTGGCGATTTTCGGGCTGCTTGACGGCAAGGCAGTATTTGAAGCGTTGTCGAAGTTCGACTGTCCCAACTCCAGCTTTGGGGCGCGTGACGACTTTTTGCCCATGGTGGAGGATATAGATGAGCAGCTGGTGTTATGCGAATATAGAGAAACGTTTGAATATGTGGACGGTAGATGTGGACGCCGCGATGAAACGGTCAGGCGATGTAGGAGGCTGGAGCGGTGGAGCTCAATACGATAGTACGATAGTACTGGTAGGGCGATCTGTTCCAGAAGGTTGAATGTGTTAGCATATCCCTGCACGACGATGTGACGCCTAACGGCAATTTGAGGAAATTCGGGCACGGTACGGAGGCAAGCGTCGTCAGAGACTTGATCAAACATGAGACGGCAAATCAATCCTGCCAGTCAAACAGGCGTCCAACCAGCAAATAGCAGGCGGGTATTATAACACAGGCCAGTGCTCACGTTTGATGCCAAAATTAGGGACGCCGCTTTGAATGGAAAATTGGCGGGTGTGGGGGAGACCATGGGAAGATCTTGTAAAAGGGGTACAGTACGTAGGCGGCAACAATAGGGTTAACGGCAGATCATCTGCGTGTCGTTCAACAGTATTGCTAGGCAAGTGGGCTGCCCAAAACCAAGCGGGCGTACAAGGCTGGGCTGGGCTCAGCTTTAGAGCCTAGGCAAGGCCGATATGTGTGTGGGTGGGATTGTCATGCATCAAACACAGGAGAGAATACAGGCAAGCAAAGGGTGACACAGCCGTTAGAGGATGATGAAAGGGAACAGAGACATCCAACGCACAGACAATGCGCGGTTAGCTGGATGGGCAGGCCTGGTTGATGACAGGCTCTCTCTCTCTCTGTCTCTTTCGATGTTCCCAAGTAGTGAGGATGGGCGGCCAAACCCCCAATGAGCGAGCGAGCGAGAAGTGAAACAACAAATGGATCAGAGAGAGGGTGGCTATTATGCCCACGTACCTGCTAGCAAGACCGTCGGCAGCGGTGCAGAACGGAGACAGATGCGTTGTTCTATAATAGTGGCGGTATATGGGCCGAGCCCTGGCAAACAGGGAGTGTCACACAGGCACAGGCTGGATCTCCCCCTCTCAGGCTGTGGCAGCGCTACTAGCGGTGGGCAGCATCCATCGGGCACAACGAGCGTACTGCAGAGCGGAATGCGGATGTGCAGACGAAGGATGCAGATGCTGAACTGCACTCGACATGCGCGAAAAAGATTGACGGAGCGAACGATAGGGAGGTGGAGGGCGAGCGAGAGGGCACGGCGGCTAAGGGAGGAAGTGAGCGAGCGACAGGCTGCCAGGCAGGGCAGGGCAGGGCAGGGGTAAGGTAGGAGAGCGAAGGCCAGGCGACAGACGAGAGCGACAGCAGAGCAGGCGAGGCAGAGCAGTGGCAGAGAAGCAAACGGCCAGCAGCGCAGCGCAGCTGGATGATTATTGGGACGGACGACGACGACAGCGAGGTGAGGCCAGCGAACTCTACTTCACATGTTGCTGGCGGCGTTAGTCCTATTCGCGCCTGGTCGGGCTCCCCCTGGCCCGCTCCCAATGCAGGCGCGGCTAGTTAGTGAGTTCGTGACCAGCGACGGCCCAGGGCCACTCTCACCGCGCCGGTCAGTTCAGGGGCAGCGCTGGCAGTGCGGGCGCACCACGGAGACGGAACACACACATAACTACAGGCTGACAGGCTGTTTGGCAGACATAACTAACTAGCTAACTACTACTACGTCTAGGCTTGCAGGCTGCAGACTGCAGACTCACGACAGACACGCCAGCCTACAATTGCATACCTATCGGCTGTACCTCCGTGCCCCCGTTCCTGAGCGCCGTGCGCCTTTTGCCTTCGCCTTCGCCGTAGCAGTATATAGCCCAAAGTCAAATTGGCGAGGGTATCAAAAAGCAAGCCTGGTTCCCGGCGCCCTTGTAGTTCCAACCAGCCCAGCTGCGCCCGCCAAGTCGCCCGCCCAGCTGCTGCACCCACCGCCGGTCCAACTCGCGCAACAAATAATAGCAAGAAAAGAGGCTGCAATCCTATAACTAGCGCACGGTGTCAATAGAAAGGGGGGCAGGCGCTTCAATAATAATAATAATCATTCCTCGAAATCCTCTGTGCGCGCCGTTTATTTTTAGCTGTTCCCCTGCGCTTACCTGCGCAGGATGGGCACCCAAGATCCTGGCAATCGACAAGCGAGCAAAATGGGGGTTCGGCAGCCCTAATTGCGGGCGGCCTGTCAGCCGGCCGGTGAAACCGCGGACGGGGCGAGAGAAGAGGGCCTGTCAAATTTCCAGTCCCCGTCCAGGAGCGTAGCAAAGTACGGAACCGACCGCCCAGTTGCACTGCTTAGCTATCATCTTGGTCAGGCTCGGTCGGGACGGCCAGCAGACACGACCTCTGCGGAAGGTTAAAAATCCTGACTGCACAGCGCCGTCTTGGGCGAGCATGGGTGACCCCGCTTTGGCAGCGATGCGCGGTCAGGATCAGCGCAGGAGATGGAACAGCGATCGGAGTGTTCGCCCGTGGGCGCGCTGGTGACGGTGCTTGTCCGACGGGCTGGGCTGCCACCCGGAGATTCAAGAGTCGAAACAAACGCTCGCCCCGCAACAAGAGTAGGGGCGTCGGTCGAAGCCACGGTTTAGTTCGGCCGCCGGGGCGTCAAGCGGGCTCTGGTAATTAACTAGATGACTCGTCAGCTACTTAGCTAGTTAGTAGTTGGTCGTAGTGGGATGGAACTCAGCGTCGGCGTCGAGAAAGGCCCGCGTCAACGCCGGCGATAAATGATTGACAGGCTGCAGGCCCCGCCAAGCCCGGCCGATGACTTGCAGCCTCTCAAACAGGCGGCGCTTCACCGCGCGAGTGAGCTTCAGGAGGTTAATGGCGCATCACCTAGAGACATTTATGCAATAGCCAACTCAAAGCCATTGTTCCGTGGCTTTCTGATTAGTTCGCTCGTCTCAGATTTTCTGTGCCGCTTGCTTCGCTTCGAGTCTACCCCGGACTTCCAGACTGTCTTATTCCGCGGTTGACCTGATAGCCATCCATGTCTCTCGTCTCAGGCCCGGGGAGGGGTGGTGCCGGGAGCCAGAGCCAGGAGCTTTTTGCGGAGAAGCATGTGGAATATATCAAAAGTCTCGACAAAGTGTGTGCTCGCGTGATCCTTGTTTCTGCCTTGTTTTGTTGCCCCGCGCCGGGTTCGCTGAACTGTCGTGCTAGCGGAAAGATGAATATGAGTACTGGCTGACTGAGCACCTGCGCCTGAACGGGGTGTATTGGGGGCTTACGGCTTTGCATCTACTTGGGCACCCAGAAGCCCTGCCTCGAGACCAGACAATTGACTTTGTCCTCTCTTGTCAGCATGAAAATGGCGGCTTTGGTGCGGCCCCCGGCCATGACGCCCACATGCTCTATACTGTCAGCGCGGTCCAGATTCTTGTGACGATTGACGCTGTCGACGAACTCGACAAGCGAGGGCGAGGCGGTAAGGAGAAAGTTGGCTCATGTATGATTCCCATCCTACAACGTACTTGAAGCGAAAATGGGAACTGAAGGCTCCATAGTTATCGCTAATCTCCAAGAGCCCTCAACTGGCACGTTTAAAGGAGATGAATGGGGAGAGACTGACACGCGTTTTCTCTACGGAGCATTCAACGCACTCTCGTTATTAAACCTGCTGTCCTTAGTTGATGTGCAAAATGGTGTTTCGTATGTCCAGTCGTGTGCAAATTTTGATGGAGGCTACGGCGTCCGCCCAGGCGCTGAGTCTCATGCCGGGCAGATTTTTGCTTGTGTCGGTGCTCTAACTATCGCCGGACGGCTCGACTTGGTTGATACTGAGCGCCTGGCAGGCTGGTTGAGTGAAAGACAGCTTGAAAATGGCGGCTTGAACGGCCGGCCAGGTAAGAAAGAGGACGTGTGTTATAGCTGGTGGGTTGGCAGCAGCCTGGCGATGCTTGGAAAGCTTCATTGGATCGACGGGGATAAGCTCGCCGGGTTTATACTTAGTTGCCAGGTACGCAGCTTCTCTTTGCTGGGTTAATACCCTCCACTAATCAACTGATATTGTATATTATAGGACCCTGAACTGGGGGGCTTTGCAGATCGGCCTGAGGACATGGTGGACGTCTTTCACACGTTGTTCAGTCTTGCGGGCCTGAGTCTGCTGAAGTATCCAGGTCTCGACGAAGTCGATCCTGCCTAGTATGAATCCCTCCCTCCATCAAAATCCCCAAATATACTAACCGGTATATGCAGCTGCATGCCAAAGATCGTCACGTCCAAAGCTTTAAGAGGATAGAGAGGAGGTATCATAGTTCAAAGATGCATTCGAATATATTTAGTCGCCAGCAAGTCAAGTGCAGATGTGTAATGAACTTGATTGAGGCGCGGGGCTAGAGATCCGCTGTGATTACTGTTTCTCGCAACAGACCTCGTGACCGTCCTTGATGCCAGCCACCCTCTATCAATTCTCACAGTCCCGGAGTATCAATTCAATGCCCTTGTAAATATATCTGCCATCAGGCATCTGATCTCGCTCTTTCCAACCCCTCCTTCCCCACGCAGAGCTTTGGATATGAGCTCTCGTCCCCTCTCAGCCGTATATACCCTACGGCCATACCCCCTCCATTCCGCTTTCGGTAATACAGGATATTTACCTTACCCCCGGCGTGCCTGCCCTTACCACCGCACCGCCTTCCCCTACGCCCGCTGTTATGGTTTCCCTGTTTGAGTTTCACGATACGTTACTGCTTCGTTCCGAGTGCTTGCCTGTTTTGCCCGCCAGTTCACCGGACGTCTCCTCAACCTTTCCCGCCTTTCCTCGCCTTCGTTGTTTCTCCAACATCATCGGTCGTCGACAATTGCCCCCTCCGCTCCGTGAGTTACGGCTTCTACACGCCGAAAAGGAGGGTTGGTTCTAGTTCATTTCTATTGTCTCGAGCATTTCTTATACTGGAGCTCTGTCTCCTTGTCTGGCTGTTTCTTCTACAGTTTGCCTGCTAAGCCGTGTTTTGCAATCATGCCGGTATCTACGGCTCTCAAGTGCTATATTTGTCCAAAAAAGCCTAACTTTAGCGATGTGTCCCATCTGCTAACCCATGTCAGCTCCAAGGGGCATTTGTCCCATTACTTCAAACTGCAAGTTCGCAGTCACCAGGAGCCGGAGGCTGGCCAGCTCCTAGCAGAGTATGACCAGTGGTATCAGGATCATAATCTTGCCGGCTTACTTTCTGATCGTATGATGACCAAAGAGGCCAGAAAAGACAAAGGCCGCAACTCTTCGGCCCTTTACAATAATAAAACCCTACCCGACCGCAGAGCCTCAACATCCATGCTTCCTCCATCTGGTTTCGTTCATGCCAGTCAACGTCCCATTCCAAGCTACGTCGATCCGGAGCTGTCTCAGCCCTTTGTTGCCATGACTAATGGCCATGCAACCGATCCCCGTATGCAATTGTGGCCTATGGCCCCAAAGCGGAGGTCTCTCCCAACCCGACCTACAGCATTAATGGGGTGGACGGTCGGCTCACCGGGCTCAGATGAAAACGATAATCAAGAGATGAGCCCCTTATCTCTAAGAAAGCGGCAATCAATTGACTGGCATATGCCGCCTCGGACCTCCCACTTTCGGCCTACGACACCAGACCCCTTTGTCGATGATGCCAGCTACGAAGAAGATTATGATGACGACGATGACGAAAGTGAGCAGAGGGATGAAATCACAAAGCTAAAAGGAGTATTCTGGCCTGGCATGGATATATTCGATTCTGCCACAGAGCAGATGAGACGAAAGCGTAACCAAAAGAAGGATGGAAGTGTTTTGAAACAGATGGAAAAAACTTCGGAAATGGTTGAAGCGACAGAACTTGTGTTTTCTCCTGGAGGCACTTTACGCAAGGCCCGTCAGATCACAGGCATGGTGGACGAGAGCAGTCCTCTTAAAGGTGAAACTCCGATACCGAAAAAACGCCCTAGCCGCCCGAAACGACAACCCCTTTCCCAAGGTAACGCAAACAGGATTTTAAGAAGTAACAATAACATGAACGGAAAGCTTGGAAGTCGGCGACAAACTATCAATCCGGAACATTTTTCCCGACGTGGTCTGTCATATGTCGGCAGCCCACAACACGCCCGCCGGAGTGCGCATTTTGGCACAGGTTTTGGTGCACGAGACGAGGATTTTAGGTTGTCATATTCCGATTTGGAACAGAAGCCGCCTCGAGAGTTTGCGATTTTCAATGACGGAACAGAAGCGAGCCATTGTGGCAGTGCCATAAATGGGAACAAGGCTTACTACAACCCTTTGGGTAATGCCGGCCACTTCGCCTTGAACCACCAGCCAAAACCCTTTCGTAACGGTGCCCACCATGGCCTTAAATCGTTCTCTAATTCCAATTCCATCCATATGCCAGAGTATCGTGGCAAAGAGAACATTGAGCCAATAGTCACCCAGAAACCCGATGGTCAGTATATTCAGAACCCGAGTTGGGACTCAACGCCGCTCGCATCAGAGAGTCGGTATGGCACTCAATATATGTACGGAGCAGGTTTCCAAGGTTACGGCTCTTTCGGAGAAAACGAATCATTTGGGTATTCATCCAACCCTCTTAGCTGTTCGCTTTCACACATTCAACACAACGAGGATGAAAAACATTGCACAAGCCTTGTAATGACAGGTCTGCTTCAGTCTCCCGAACGCAAGCTAACTAAGAGTTGCCGAAACGTCTCGCCTGATGGGACTGTGTCTGAGCTGGACCAAGACGATATTGGACGGATGTACCTCAACGACTTTACGGCATAACGCGAAATTCGAATATGAATATTATGCCAGCTAAGGAGCGAGCATCACTAGATGGAAAAATGCACTTACTCTCCTTCTAACTTTAGTGCACACTGGTTTGCACTATTCCGGGCTTATTCCATATGAATTTAGACGGTAATGCTGCATCTCGATTACTTTTTTATGAGTGTTATGATGGATTTGTTTAGGACAAGATTGATGATCCTTGGCCAGTTGATGCCATAGCTTGAGGTCGGATTAGGTTGTATGATAAAAGGTGGTATTGAATTTGCCAGGGAGGAACGGCTGGGCCTAGCACTTTGTTGAGGTCCTATATAGTTATTCATCATTATAGGCAGATTCTCGAGAAGAGTTGAAATACAATTAACGGCTTTTGGTGGAGATAATAGATCGTGTCGTCTGATTGGTGCAGAAAGTTTATGTAATCAAATTGGATTCGCGATTCGCTTTTGGCGCGTTAACGCGTCCGTTGAACGGGGAACTATTACTCCGTACTCCGTCCAGAGTGCCCCTAACAGCGCAGAGACAGCATTTTGGGTCTCAATTCTTTTCATTTTCTAGCTTCAGACAGGCCATTCATGCCGTGTGGATTGTTGGCAATGCAAACCCGCGAAATACCCACCCTCTAACTGTTCGACACCTTCTGAGAATCTGTTTTATCCTACTCCGCTCACTAGATGAAAATGAGCCAATCTAGCTCCCTAAAGCGAAAACAACAGCCAACTATCTCAAGTTTTTTTACCAGGGCTCCGTCATCCCAAGCTGAGGCTAATAAGAGCTGCACCAATGGCTTTGAAAACAGGAAATTGCCTCGTGCTGAAGAAGAGACCAGTACGAACACGGTAGATAATTGCGGAATGACAGTTGAAGATGAAGAAGATGAGGAAGCTGTTCTGCCATCTCGGAAGAGAATAAAGAGAATTCAACCCCCAAAGAGAGTGGTACAAGCCGCGGATGAGATCGCCACATTGGACAACAAAAACCGTCATGAGAGCCCGCCTTCCTCGATACCGGCATCGTCAAGAACGGAACGATTTCGATTCTTAAGCTCCCAGCCAGATGCTCAGGGAGGGATAGAGAAGCAAGGTACTGGGACAGATGTTGGTACCGTGGAGACTAAAGATGAGCTTAAGAAGAGGGAAGATTTACATAAGAAGTTCGTGCGGAGATTGGGTGGCCCAGACTGCCTCCCGTCTTTGGATCGCGGAGCGGTTATTGGTGAAACGGTGGTTGAAGGAGGAGATAGTGGAGAGGAAGATGCAGCAGACGAGGCTCCTCCGCCGCCACCTCCGACAAAAGGCAGGGGCAGGAAAACAGCTTCGACGAAGCTAACGCCCATGGAAAAACAGGTCATTGAATTGAAAAACAGCCACAAGGATGCCATTCTTGTGGTGCAGGTTGGTTATAAGTTTCAGTTCTACGGCGAGGATGCGAGGGTGGCAGCGAAGGAGTTGGGTATTGTATGTATACCTGGTAAACTGAGATTTGATGAGCGTGAGTCGTCAGTGGAAGAGTGTATATCTAGTCAAAGGCGTCACAGACTAATGTGCTTTACTCAAGATCCATCCGAAGCCCATTTAACCCGGTTCGCCTCGGCCAGCATTCCCGTCCATCGATTGCACGTTCATGTAAAACGTCTAGTCAAAGCGGGCCATAAGGTTGGAGTCGTTAGACAGATCGAAACGGCTGCGTTGAAGGCCGCAGGCGATAACCGAAATGCCCCGTTTGAGCGCAAACTCACGAATCTATATACCAAGGGAACATACGTTGATGATACGGAGGAACTTGAGGGTTTGAATGGCGTAGGTGCCAACTATGCTGCGCCTGCAACGGGCTATTTGCTATGCATAACGGAGAGCAATGCCAAAGGCTGGGGTAACGATGAGAAAGTCCAAGTTGGCATTGTGGCTGTTCAGCCTGCTACTGGAAGTATTATCTACGACAGTTTTGAAGATGGTTTCATGCGCAGTGAGATTGAAACCAGGCTTCTTCACATTGCTCCCTGCGAGGTTCTCCTTGTAGGAGACATGTCCAATGCGACGGACAAGCTGGTCCAGCATTTAAGTGGCAGCAAGGTAAATGTATTTGGCGACAAGGCCCGTGTCGAGCGAGTACCAAAACAAAAAATCGCTGCAGCAGAGTCACATAGCCACGTGTCAAGCTTTTATGCTGGAAGGATGAAAGCAACAGGTACGGCTCAGGACGAGAAAGCAAAAAAACTGCTGGATAAGGTCCTGGGGCTCCCAGAGGATGTCACTATATGCCTCTCTTCTATGATCAAACATTTGACGGAATATAAACTAGAAAGTGTTTTTGATCTTACAAAATATTTTCAATCGTTCTCTGCAAGATCACATATGCTTCTTAATGGTAACACTCTCACAAATCTCGAGATATATCAAAACCAAACGGATTATACTTCTAAAGGCAGTTTATTTTGGACTCTTGACCGTACTAAGACAAAATTTGGACAGCGGTTGTTACGGAAGTGGGTTGGAAGGCCGTTACTAGATAAAAAGGAGCTTGAGGACCGCGTTGCCTCTGTCACTGAATTAAAGGACTCCGATCTGACCCCTAGAGTTGGTAGATTAAAGACCCTTCTCTCGAAGGTCAAAACCGATCTTGAAAAGAATTTACTTCGAATATACTATGGAAAAGTGAGTTGAGCTAACCGTGGATGCGGTTCAAGTTTCTGACCATATTCTAGTGTACACGACCAGAACTTCTTGCAGTGCTTCAAACACTGCAGACAATAGGCATGGAATTTGTACATGTGAAGACATCTGCAGATGCTGGTTTTCACTCACAAACAATCAATGATGCCATTGCTGCACTTCCTACCATTTTTGACGACGTAGTGTCGTATTTGAATAAAATAAATTTACATGCTGCTAAAACAGATGATAAATACAGTTTCTTTCAGGAATTGGAAGAAACAGATGAAATAACTGAGCAAAAACTTGGTATTGCGGGCGTCGAGCATGAGCTTCGCGAGTATCTTACCACGGCTGCAGAAATCCTGAGCAAGAAGAAGGTTAACTATGTTGCGAACGCCGGTATCGACTATCTTATCGAAGTCGAGAATTCTCCATATCAAATAAAGAAAGTTCCGGCTTCATGGCGAAAGATCAGTGGTACAAAAAAGGTCTCGCGTTTCCATCCACCTGATGTCGTGAGACTGATACGGGAACGAGATCAACACAAGGAAGCCCTTGCCGCAGCTTGTGACAAGGCATTTCTGGACCTTCTAGCGGAAATTTCTACGAAATATCAACCTTTTCGTGACTGTATACAAGCCCTAGCAACACTTGATTGCCTGGTCTCACTAGCAGCAATAGCTGCTCAGCCTGGCTATGTCCAACCAACATACACCGATGAAGCCCGGATCAGTATCAGGGAAGGGCGGCATCCGATGGTGGAACAGCTTCTACTTGATGCCTACGTTCCCAATGGCACGGAACTGAGTACTAACGAAACTCGTGCGTTACTAGTCACAGGCCCAAATATGGGCGGCAAGTCTAGCTATGTTAGGCAAGTTGCACTTATCGCCATTATGGGCCAGATCGGCTCTTACGTCCCAGCGGAATCTGCTACTCTTGGTATGCTAGATGCCGTTTATACTCGCATGGGAGCTTTCGATAACATGCTTGCGGGGGAGTCTACGTTTATGGTGGAGCTTTCTGAGACTTCAGATATACTGAAGCAAGCCACTCCACGCTCCCTAGTCATCCTTGACGAGTTAGGCCGCGGAACGTCAACCCATGACGGCGTTGCCATCGCGCAAGCTGTGCTAGAATACATCGTTCGTGAACTTCAAAGCCTGACGCTATTCATCACACATTACCAGCATTTGAGTACCCTTGCACGGACCTTTCCCGGCGGCGAATTGCGAAATGTCCATATGAAGTTTACTGAAACTGGAAGTGGCGGACAAGACGTCACATTCCTATACGAGGTTGGCGATGGCGTGGCTCACCGTTCTTATGGTCTCAATGTAGCACGGTTGGCGAACATACCACCGTCTGTTCTAGATGTGGCCTATAAAAAATCTGCGGAGCTCGAGCAGAAGATCAAACGAAGGAAACTGGCCGGTATTCTTCGTGGAATTCTTTCGCCGCCTCAAGGTAAAGAAAGAGAGGCAGCATTTATGGAGAGCTTGGCGAATGAAGTCGAGCAGTTATAATCTTATAGCTTGTCAATTAGGCCATCAATTGGGCCAGGAGTGTAAAGTATAAGCAGGCATGTTGTGGAACATGAAGTATGTATGTACATACATAGATACCTATAGGGTACTGAGATGCTTACAATGTCGAGGACAATTCAGAGTGCTGTACAAATACACAATATGTTCTAGGGTGATATAACACAAAATATCCAGAAAATATTACTACCCCGAAAGGATATATATCCACAATTACGTTAAATGATAGATTCTTGAGAGCTTGGGTAGCTGTTGGTCCGTTGGATGCTCTTCAGAAGGCTTTGGCGATAGATGAGATACTGTACTAAGGTATGGCAAATGGGGAAATGAGAGATTCGAATTCCACTCCACTGTTTGTTAGGATAAATAGATAACCCGAAGAGACTTGTTAGACGGCAGCGGGCGTCTGACGAAGCTTCGACTGGTAGAATAAGCAATTCTACCCCTAAAATACCAAAGCATACTTTTCATGATTGCGATATATAAAAAAAGTATAATTAGATACGTAGTCCATGAGAATTTCTGCACCAGAATGCAAGAAGGTTGAAATCTGAAGCGGGTTTTTTGACGGAGGATAGTAAGTTTGTAGGCTCAATATAGTACTGCAAGACTTAACCGTTATCGTAAAATAAACGCCATCAAGACCAGATAGTTTTCCCCCAATCTGGTGCATCGATCTTATACATCTCCACAGCGCCTGTTCTACCGTTAATTCTTGCCTCCTCCGCAAATTCTCATAGCCCGAGATACTCCATTTGAACCGTCCATGGCTAATCAGTTGGCGTCAATAAATGGAATACGTCAAGGGTTGATCGCGGCGTCCATGCACCTATTCCCCGCCCAGCACCATGAGGAATATTGATGTGGAAACAAAGAAAAGTCAAGTCGCGAAGCCAGCCCCTGAGTTTCAACTCTCACTTCCCATCGATTATCTCAACCTGCGGGCTTCTCTCTCGGATTCGAGCAGGCAAAGGATGTCATTGACTCTGACTGCGAAGTTGAGAAGAAATCTGGTTAGCGTTCTGTTATATTGTCCTTGCACAACGGTCGACTATTCCACAAAGGTGACGAAATTGGTATTGACCACATAATGAAACTTTCATTGCATACCTGGGCCCTTGACGTTGCGGATGATGCTTCGGTCGGAGTCGTCCATGAATTCGACGCGAACTTGTGTGACACCTCCGCGGGATCCTAAGCAAACACACATCAGTTATCTAGCCCTTATTTTCCGTATGCCACATATTCCTCAGTCTTTCTCGACACCGATTATCTTTGGGAAGTGCGAATTGGAGCCTGGGCAAATGGCTTCTTCGACAATCAACGCGCTGGATGGATATCAACCTACCAGTGCGGCCAAGCACTGCGATCACCTTAGCGTACTTGATTGGAACTTTGCCGGCATCCATATTGTCTCGTTAATTTGAGAAAATTCGTCTGGGATGATGGATGGAAATGGAATCAGCGGTGCGGAGCGTGAGAATGTCGACAACGAGATTCGCTTTTTTGGTGGTTTGAAGTGTCAGCACGGTGTTGTGGGAGAGCAGTTTCTGCCGAGGAACTCCTCTGAGGGGGGAAGATTACGCGAGAAAAGTAAAATGCACTTAACCCAAAAGGACTGATTGCCCTAGCCCTAACTATAACCCGAGAGGGGCCTGACTTTTCATAGCTCAAAGTAAAGTTCGACTCCAATGCAAATCACCGAGCAGCTTCGATTCCTCTGTTAGGCAAAACAACACAGTTTACATACAGGGTACAAACAAGTAAAGAGAAGCCGGCCCTTCTTCTGTCAATTCAATACACGATCTTGGTCGCCATCTGCTCGCGCTCGGGCGTTTTTACGTGGTATCGTTGGCAGTGCCTGTGTTGCTCGTGGGTTTGTTAAGAGGCGGGGAACAAGACTAGAAGCTGCGTGAACAGGGCCTCTTTATCTACTCCGTACTCCAAGTATTCATGCTCTTTTCTATTATTTTCCAATAGCTACCATTGAGGGCGACTTTTTATCAGCATTCTTTTAACAACTCTTGGGAAAATTTGGCAAAGATGGATCTGGTCAATCAGTGAGTCACTCGCATGTGGCATCCCGAAGAGTTGCGACACTAATGGACATATGAAGCCTCGAAGGGCGCTTACTATTTGCGGTTCCTAAAAGCAAGTTACTGCCCTCTTACTCTCTCTTTCTATTATTCAATTGCTGTAACACCTCTTAACTGCCACATATTTTGACTCGTGAATAGAGGGACGCCTCCAACAAGCAGCGATTGATCTCCTCGCAGGCTGTGATATCCAATTCCGCCGCGAATCCCGTCTTGATATTGCTCTGGTAAAAAACCTCGATATCGCCCTTATCTTTCTTCCTGCAGCCGATATTCCAACATTTGTTGGAGATGGATGTGTAGATCTTGGCATTACAGGCAGAGACCAGGTCAAGGAGCATGACTCAAGGCTTCCGCCAAATGAGCCATCTGGCGTTGAAGAAATTCTTGATCTTGGATTTGGCGGCTGCAAGCTGCAAGTTCAGGTTCCCGCAAATGGCAGCATCCAAACAGCCGGAGAGCTCGTGGGAAAGAATGTTGTCACAAGCTTTACGGGCCTGGCTGAGAGTTACTTTGCGCAATTAGAAGGTGTGAGTAAAAAGGAAAATGATTCTTTGAATTTGAAAACCAAGATCAAATACGTTGGTGGCAGTGTAGAGGCAGCATGTGCACTAGGTGTGGCTGATGGGATTGTTGATTTGGTTGGTATGTAGGCTATTTCTCTGGGCTGCCTAACTTTTGAATTTTGCTGACTGTAATTTAGAATCTGGTGAAACAATGAAGGCAGCTGGTCTCAAAGCCATTGACACAGTCGTTGACAGCACAGCTGTTCTCGTAAAATCTCACAGAACCACCAACCCACTTGTTGATCTAATAACTTCAAGAATTCAAGGTGTCATTAGTATGTATACATCTTGCATTCTTCTCTTTTCAAGCCAGCTCTAACTAGTTCTAGATGCCAAAAAATATGTTCTTTGTCACTACAATATTCCTCGCAACCTTCTTCCACAGGCATCAATAATTACCCCTGGCAAACGTGCTCCAACTGTGACTGCAATAGAAGAAAGTGGCTGGGTAGCTGTCAATTCTATGGTAGAAAAAAAGTCAATAGCCATGGTGATGGATGAGTTGACCACAGTGGGTGCAACAGATATCTTGGTTTTGGACATTGCGAATTCTAGAACAAAATGAGAGTGGTGAAAGGTAAGAAGTTTCATCAAGTTCTTACGAGGAAAAATGAACAAAAGCCGTCAACTGAACAAGGCCTTCATGGATGTATACACTCGACGCTGATGTGAGATAGAAAGTACCGTGCATATGTTTAATGGATTACAACTAATTACGAACCAAGCGCAGTGTTTATGCGTGTCCAAAGGTTTTGTGTGTGTGTGTTCATTGTTTTTTGTACACTCTCCCTAATCTGGCTTAGTTATAGCATGTATTATCCTTGATATCCAGCCTCCCACCACTCCGATATTACTGTATTTTGAATTTCTAGGCACATCCGTACTTTGCTTAAGACCAAGGGTGTCCCCTATGGAGACACTGGGAATACTATAATAAGGGGAATATTCCTTTGGAAAATGAACTATCACAGACACTTGATGAGCCCCGATAGCGGGTTTTTGGCTCACAGCTCCATCGACAAGGCGGTTTGTCTAGCCGGTACAGATTCCATATCAGACGCAGATTCACAGATATCAATTTCCCTAAAACGTTGTAACCTCGAGATACTAGCTTTACGGACGTTGGTCTCTCCATAAATGTCATATGGGATGTATTCGCTGTGCGGACTCATAAAATAGGAGTGGTTATATAATCAAACCTAACTAACTGGTCAGCCTGATCTCTGCTTACCTTCCTCGGTGGCCAAGGATTGTGATAATATTAATAGCTTCAGCTTTTGCTAAACAACCGCCTGCTAATGTTGCTATGTCTTCCTGGGCCTTTAAAACAATCATTTACCTAAAAGTGGCACAAGGTAAGGAGGATGGGGTGCTCTGTCATTACAAACATAGTCTCGGAAAGGTTCGATCAAGCACTTCTCCCTACGACGTTTCTATTTCTCAAGAGCCTAGATTTTATTGTGGCCTCCTGTCCTTTTCATGAAGTCAAATCTGCACGCCGAATAAAATTTGGGCAGACAAAGTACGGATAAGAAAATCCAAACACGACAAATCCGGTTTGCCTGGTTGGATGTGACTTCTGGCCATTCTCTCTACTCTCTGCCTATTGGAGCACTTGAATTGATTTTTCTCGCTTGTTTAAAGATGTGTCGTGCTTTAAAATTGTCGAATTAAGATCATATCAACAACAATATGCCCACCGATTCTGTCCAAGACACGAAGCTCCGCAGAAGTACAAATCTCGTCCGCTTAGCTCAAAAGTACGAAGTCGTGGTATTTCCAAGCGAACTTAGAATCGCCCAGGCTTTCCATGCGATATGAACGTTTTGTCGCCTGTCAAAAGTTAAATTGGGATCACCATTTGTCGATTCACTGACTGTGATTTGCACTTACCGGTTGAAATCACATAAAGCCAAAATATTAAGAAACGGATGCCCACCCACCCGCCCTGGCCAAAGCCCGCGAAAATTCTGCAAAGCCTAAGCTCATTAGTGTGATACAAAAAGATGGGGGTAGGCTATTCTGAAACGACTCTCAGATCACCTGGCTTTCCTTGGAATACCTAATGATATAGTATACTGCTCGGAAAAACTGCAGCTCTGATTTCCTGAAAATATGTAAGTCACCATTTGCCTACACAGTGATTGTCACTTACCATCTCTTACCAGATGAAACCATATAGAAACAAAATTCTAAAAAGCGCGGATGCCCACCCACCCGCCCTGGCCGAAGCCCACGAGGATCCTGCGAAAGCCATACTCAATTAGTGCGATTTAATTTACTGGATAAGGTGTTCAAAACGACAATTGGTTCACCTGATTTTCAGTGCAGTATGAAGCTGATATGCAAATCTTTGCCCGCCACCCGCCCAGGTCGAAACCCGCAAAGACCGTGCGAAAACGAACGAATTTCTAGAAACGGCCATTAATCTCACTTGTCTGTACACAATTGAGTTCGAACTTACTTTACCGTTGCCAGCGGGGCACTATACCCAACCACCCGCCCTTTATCGAATCGAATACCTGTGCTATAATCAAGGCGGCGTAGTTTGCTTTTTTAATGCGGAGGTGCGACTGCTTACCTGTATCAACAAAAAGTAAGTAGGTGGAATTATGTTTCTATACTAATAATTAGTATGACCACATTTGGCATCAAAACTCATTTTTTAACTACTTACCAGATTGATGTCTAAATTATACGTTTCCCGCCCACCCGCCCTATATTAAATCAAAAGCCGATGCTTGGACATACGGTCCCGCTCTACCAAAATTAGCTTATCAAAATGAAAGGCTTACCTATCTGCTGGCATAAATATTGTGCGGCTGTCATATTGGTTAGCAAATGCATCTACCGTGGTGATGTCGGATGCTTCATACTGGTTTGATATCAGAACTAGACCTTGCCCACCCACCCACCATCAAATGAAAAGCCGATGCTTGGACATGCAGTCCCGCTCTACCAAAATTAGCTTATCAAAATGAAAGGCTTACCTATCTGCTGGCATAAATATTGTGCGGCTGTCATATTGGTTAGCAAATGCATCTACCGTGGTGATGTCGGATGCTTCATACTGGTTTGATATCAGAACTAGACCTTGCCCACCCACCCACCATCAAATGAAAAGCCGATGCTTGGACATGCAGTCCCGCTCTACCAAAATTAGCTTATCAAAATGAAAGGCTTACCTATCTGCTGGCATAAATATTGTGCGGCTGTCATATTGGTTAGCAAATGCATCTACCGTGGTGATGTCGGATGCTTCATACTGGTTTGATATCAGAACTAGACCTTGCCCACCCACCCACCATCAAATGAAAAGCCGATGCTTGGACATACAGTCCCGCTCTACCAAAATTAGCTTATCAAGATAATGAATACTTACCCCTATCTGCTGGGAGAAACAACGTGCGGCTGCCGTACCAGTTAGCAAATCCATATAAAATGGCAATATTGGGTGTCATACTGGATTGATATTAAAACTAAACTTTACCCACCCACCCACCATCAAATCAGAAGCCGATGCTTGGACATACAGTCCCGCTCTACCAAAATCAGCATATCAAGATAATGAATACTTACCCCTATCTGCTGGGAAAAACAACGTGCGGCTGCCGTACCTGTTAGCAAATCCATATAAAATGGTAATATTGGGTGTCATACTGGATTGGTATTAAAACTAAACCTTACCCACCCACCCACCATTCAGAAGCCGATGCTTGGACGTAAAGTCCCGCTCTACCAAAATCAGCATATCGAGATAACGAATACCTACCCTTATCTGCTGGCAAAAAAAAAAAAAAAAAACGTGCGGCTGCCATACTGATTAGCAAATCCATCCATATACAATGGCAATGTTGGGAGTGTTATACTGGATTGATATTAGAACTCAACTTTGCCCACCCACCCATCCTTTATTAAATAGAAAGCCGATGCTTGGACATATAGTCCCGCCCTACCGACATTAGCATACCACAATAAGATGCTTACCTATGCCTGATAACTGCAGTAGAAATTGTGTGGCTGCCATACCGATTAGCATATATATTTAAAAGATAACATATGTCAGGTGCTTCATACTGGATTGATCCCAAAGCTACCCGCCCAACCTTCCTTTATGCAATCGAAACGTGTGCGGCGTTGCTGTGATATCAATTAGTGAATCTATATGCAGTGGCATGTGCCCGGTACTTCTTACCGAATCGGTGCCAGCGGGGCACTATACCTAACCACCCGCCCTTTATCGAATTGAAAACGTGTGCGGCGTTGCTGTTATACTGATTAGTGGATTTATATGCAGAGGCATATACGAGTTGTTTCTGACCGAATCGATGCCATTGAGGCTCTGTATCCAACCACCCACCCTTTATCAAAATGAAGATCTGTGCTATAATCAAAAAGCTCTGGTATAGTTTGCTCTTCATATAAAGGGGCGAGAATACTTACCTATTATTAAAAAGATTATTTTAAAATAACGTTGCTACAATACTTATCAGTATGGTTGTGCACAATGATATAAGGGGCTACTATATACCGAATCGGTGCCATTGAGGCTCTAGACCCAACCACCCGCCCTTTATCAAAATACGTTGCTACAATACTTATCAGTATGGTTGTGCACAATGATATGGGGAGCTATTGTATACCGAATCGGTGCCATCGAGGCTCTAGACCAACCACCCGCCCTTTATCAAATGAAAACCTGTACTATAATCAAAGGGTTATGGTGTAGTTTGTCCTTCATATATAAGGATGGAAATACTTACCTATACAAAAAAAATATCTTGACTGCGGCGCCAAAAGCTTCATGCCTACGGAGTACACGAGTGCGTTGCTTTAATACTTATTAGTATGCATAACAATGTAGGGAGCTACTGCATACCGAATCGGTGCCATGGCGGCTCTGTACCCAGCCACCCACCCTTTATCAAAAGCTCGTTGCTTCAGTACTTATTAATATATTTATTCATAGTGATGTAGGGGCTACTACATACCGAATCGGTGCCATCAAGGCTCTGTACCCAACCACCCGCCCTTTATCGAATTCGAATATTCTATGAAAGTCAATATTAAACCATGACAGACGTACCTATATATGCCAGGAATATTTGAGATTTCGTTGCTATAATACTAATGAGTATATCTATAATGATACATGGAGCTGCTTCATACCGAATCGGTGCCGTTGAGGCTCTATACCCAGCCACCCGCCCTTTATCGAATTCGATCATTCCTATAAACTTCAGCGTTCAGCCATGAGAGACGTACCTGTGTCTGCCAGGAATATTTGAGATTTCGTTGCTATAATACTGATGAGTATATCTATTAAACAGTGATACATGGAGCTGCTTCATACCGAATCGGTGCCTTCGAGGCTCTGTATCCAACCACCCACCCTTTATTATCAGACCAATAGGCCGTCTATAAAATCAGCTCTTGACCATGGGAGACACGCACCTATGTTTAATATATGGGAAATCGTGTTCTGTTCTTCTTTTAGTACAGTCAAACATGAAATGTGGAGTTCCAGTTGCTTACTACCAGGCCGGTGCCAACATTGCGCTATTCCCAACCACCCTCCCTTTGATCGAGTCGTGTTGCTATTATGGCGAATTAGGATGGTTAGCAACACAGAGGCAGGCATGCATACCGGACCGGTGTCAACGCTCAACGCTATACGATGGCCACCCACCCGCCCTGTCGGAATCGACCTAGAATGAAAATATTTGAGTGCTACGTGCGCATTCTTAAGAAAGAATGCGCACGGGGTTAAGAAAGTTGTGCAGTTGGTTAAAAGTTCAAGTTAAGAAGATTTGGCTATTAATTACCTCGGAATAGTTTACATGGAAAACTGAGCCCACCTCCCATCCAGGCTCCACAGGCGTATTTATACCATTGAGAACATTAGCTGAAGACAAGGTAAATATGAATGGTCACTTACCATTGATATAACGGTGGCCAAAATCAAATTCCTAGACCGTTGAAACCTTGGAGATGCAGATGTCCGTTGAAATATTAACTAGAAAAAGACAAAACTTAACATGAAAAAAATGCTAATTTAAGCATGAGGCAGACGCTGCAAAATGGAATATAAGCTCAGAGCAAATGGACTTCTCGTCCGAGATTCTTTAGGATGATTTTCTATTTTCTTTTTTCTTTTTTTTTTTTTTTTTACCAGTGTTTTCGAGGGCCTCAAAGGACCCAATTTCCGCGGGCTCTCGATTTTTCTCGTTGCTGATTCCACGCTTTGAAGACATACTGCGAGCTAATGTCGAATGGGCTATCGTCCGAAATACCATTCCGTCGGTTCAAGTCCTTTTGAATCTTACCTACCTGGCAGTATGCACATTTTTGCTCGCATGGAACAGAATGCGACTTTAGCTGAGTGCATGAAGAGCACCAATATTCAGTATATTTCTCGGTTTCTCCGTCCTTGTCTGGTTTCGATAAGGGGGTCACTCTCCATCCGCTAAGTTTGCCGAGCAACGAAGCGGAATGGTCGGGATGAGTATCGACACCACGAACAATCCATCGGTCGACAATCTTGACTCTGCCACCCGTGAACTGAACTCGCTTCTCAGTATTGCTGGGGCCGGGCTTCTTCATGGCACTCTTCAGCTTGAGTGCTGAAGAATGTGGTCCATCAGATTCCGGGGTATGTCCAGAGTATTTGTCATTGAGACGAGCAATCGTAGCTTCAGCACGGGCGCGGCCTTTTGATGCCGGGGAAATACATGACTTGATGGTGCAACTTGGGGCACTACTAGGATTGGAAGGTACTGAATGAACGGGACGCAGGGGAGCAGAGCGGGAAGAAGCAACAAGAGCAGAACGCCGAGAAGAAATAGAAGAACAAGAAGAAACAGACGATGAAAGAGATCTAGAGGAAGAGGGAGAGGAAGAGGAAGAAGTGACGGCTGTGGACGGCTGGCCAACAATAGCACGAACATATGAGGATCCAGCGGAGGAAAACGACTCGTTGCGTGCAATGGAAGAAGTGACAGAGGCGGTACGGCATCTCTCAGGCTCAGTTCGGCGCAACGCAGAACGAACGAAAGAAGATCCGGCAGAGGAAAAGGACTCGTTGCGTGCAATGGAAGAGGTGACAGAGGCGGTACGGCATCTCTCAGGTTCGGTTCGGCGCAAAGCAGAACGAACGAAAGAAGACCCGGCAGAAGAAAAGGACTCGTTGCGTGCAATGGAAGAAGTGGTGGAAACCGTACGACCCTTCTTAGACTCGGTCGGACGTAGGGCAGCACGAATAAAAGAAGAACCAGCAGAGGAAAAAGATTCATGACGAGCAACAACAGAGCTAGTGGTGGAACAGGATCGAGCAGATAGAGCAGCAGCACGGGAACGAAGAGAAGGACGAGTAGCATTCGCATCAGTTGGCTTGAAGCTCACCTGATGAGGAAAGGGATTGAACGCCGGGCCAGTGCGCCGTCGGGCCGCACGGTCGTTGGCGATGACCTCAATACCCGGAATGTGGTAGGGAGACATTGCAATGTTGTCTACTCCTCGATAAGAGATGCGTGGTAGTGATATGGGAGAAGGTATGTGGTATGAGTATGAGTATGTGGATGTGAGATATGTATGTTATGGATGTGTGATATGGATGTGGTATGGTAAGGTATGGTAAGAGCATGAAGCTTGGTAGAAGAAGAAATAAAAAGGAAGAAGAGAGGAGGAGGTAAACAAATATACCCAGCACAGAGCCCACGGCTCCTGCCGTGCATTTGCAGCTGCCAAAACAGGCAATTTCTGCTGATTGGGGGCAGGAGATGGCCTCATTGACGCCGTACCTCTTTCCCTGTCTGCTGCACAACTACCTATTCTGGGAGGCGCGGTGGCCCGTTGTTTCCCGCCGCAACGTGTTGGCCTGGAAATAGCAGGTGCGCCCCCGCCGTTGGCAGCCCCTTTAGGAAAACAACGCTGTAGGTCGGTATCGCTGGTATATGGAGATACTGTTATCCACGTATACTGGCGTAACCCTTGCGTATTGTTTTATTTGGACGCCAGATTCGCGATGGGCGCGATGAGAGGAGCTGATCTATCCCAGTTGTGTGATGTGCAGCTGGAGGGGAGGCCATGTTCGTCCAAAGTAGCCAGTAAACGCCGAAAAAAACATCAGCCATGCTGATGGCTGCATGGACAGCACGCTACCAGGGACACATATCTATTATTTTCTCTCTAAATAAAGTAAAGTGTTTGTTTCTCTACGCCCAGACACACATTTTATACCCTTTTCGCTGTTTTTGAAAGACCTCTGGGGTCTTTCATATTCTCTTGTTGTCGAGTGATTTCGACGTGTCTAGAGAATGAGATGATAGAACCCAAGATGGCACAGGCAGTTTGGCCATCCTACATCGACGCCGCCTTCCTGGGTGCCCAGAGCCGCAGTGGGGCGGCTGCATGGGTGCAGGGTCCACATAGCTTAAGCCGACGACAGCGATGCCCCCGGCCTCGTCAGGGGAAGTCACAGCACAACTTGACGGAGAGCGCATCCCGCAGCGAGACGGCGTGTATGCGTATCTGCCCTGTGAAGAGTACTCAGGCGCTGGGTGGGTGCAGGCCCTAGAAAAGGGGCTACCGTGTATAGAGCCTTTACGGCGTGTGATTACTGTTTCTGTCTACTTGGCGAGTTCAATGACACCAGGGTGCTAGAATACAGGGTGTTTATGAAGGTCTACGTTGAAATGAGAGCTATGTTGTCCAACTGTAGTTAACTAATCAGCAGAAATGCAATTGCATGTATGTCTATACTAACCGTCTATGTTTATCTAGCTTCTAGTCCCTCATTAAATATACAGTACATTAAAGAGAGGATCAAATCACCTCCATGCTCCAATGTGCTATCCCGAACTAGTGCCGCCCACTCAAACATCACTTCCAGTATACAGTGCCTTCCATCAATCGCCTTGCTGTTCTATATACCGTGGCTCTCTCTACCTCTCCATCATCACCGATCCTTGCGCCGACAACAAGCTTCCCACTTGAATGTCCAATTACCAATTCCTCCTTTTTATCCGCGCCGGGTCTAAGATACTGGCTCACAATGGAGCCAGGGATCTTCGCCGCAGCCGCCAGGCTTAGGCTTGTTGTTATTGGTAACGCCCTGTGAGGCTGGCCCACAGAGATTGCACGTACCACAACATCAACAGAGCTCTCATCGAGCTTTTCACCGGAGAGTAATGAATGCGAACTCGGGGGTGAAACGAAACCTATCTTTGGAATTGACGCAGGTACTTCCCCTGGTGACCTTGCCATTCCCATCATCATAGTAGCCTTTTGTCGAATCGACTCCAGTCGCTGTAACAACCCGGGTACGTTTTGTGTGTCGTCAGGAAGCATAGTTCCATCAACACCAAGCTCCTCCGCAGATAGAAACACCGAGGGATTCCCTACATCTACACATGTAGCCCGAACTCCGTCGATGCAGTCCACAACCTGACCAGTGGGTAGCATTTTTCCAGTTTTCGAGCCACCTGGGTTCATGAAGTCAAGTTGTATTTTGGCTGCAGTTCCAGCAACCCCATCGATCGCAAAATCCCCATATGCCACAGCCTCTCTATCAAATACTGGAAATGTAGCCTTAATGATTTTCCCCGTATTAGTATTGAATATGCGCACTGTCGCCTCCCCTCTTTGGACATCAGGCAAGAAAACCCCCGAATCAACCGCAAAGGGGCCAATTGCGCTACTTAAGTTGCCACAATTCCCCGAATAATCGAGATCAGAATTCTTGACTCCCACTTGCACAAAAGTAAAGTCAACATCCACACCCGGCCTGCTCGACGGCCCCACGACACATATTTTCGACAAACTTGATATCCCGCCGCCAATTCCATCGAGCTGGCGCCCATTGGGGTCCGGGGAGCCCATCACTCCCCTGAAGATTGGCGCCCATTCTGAACGGGACTGGGGGAGGTGTTTGGTGTGGAAGATGAGACCACGCGATGTTCCACCACGGTAGTAAGCCGCAGGGATGCGGCCTTGCTTTAGCTCATGCTCGTACAGCAGATGTGACTGGGAAAAACAACTTTTACTGGTCCAGAAATGCTGATGTTAAGAATTGCAGTTAGCATCAAAACTTGGTGCGGCGTAGCGGGGGGGACATGGTTAGGAATAAATTCCACACGATTGATCAGCTTACTCTACATGGTCGTGGTGTGTGTAGCTTTCTAGTAGTGACTATGCATGATCTCTGCATTGAGACGCGATCTTGGGTAGGTTGTATTACAGCTGAGTGAGCCAACCTCGTCTTCGGCCCGTTGCGGGCGCATCTCGGCACAGCCAACGGGAAGTCGCAAAGTCTCACGGGGCGGAGAAATGATGATCCCGAACCGCCCGGCGATCCTGAAGGAAGCCGTTTTAAAATAGCAGCTTCAGCAGCTTCGCCTGACTCAGATCACGAACCTTCTTTAGTCTGACGTTGCCTCAGCCGGGGCCTATTTCCCTCTCACGTTTCACTCCTGCTGAAGCTTCTGTTTGCAGGTGCACAGGCCCCAACTAGTATTTACTAAAATGTGGTTGTTACCCGTGTTTAGTTGGGTTGATTCAGGGACTCTGTCCGGACGATGACCATGTAGGATAAGCTGTCAAGACACCGTGTTACAACTTACAACTATGAGTAAGGGATATTCCATTCATATTCATTACTTAGTTTTTCTTTGGTCTGCCCGGTAATATGACTTTCGTAACTTCGTTCCTGCAATAAACGCCATGAAAATAAACGCACCCAGAAATCGTTGTATGTACATACCACAAGCCCCCCAATATCTTAAGAAAAACCATAGCCCTGCGAGCGGAATCCTGCTGCTCGCTCATCAACTCCTTACCTGTTCGCAAAACTCGAGCGGACGGGGGATATATAAATGATAAACACGGGGCGAGACCGCAACGTAGCGACGGGACGTCGGATAGGATAAAAGGATCACCTTGATCTGCGTGGGCTTAAAGAAAGCTTCGGGGATATCTTTTTGTGTGAGTTCGGAGTCGCCCTATATTATCCAGAGTTCGCGGGAACGTCAAGCATCAGCCTTAGCAAGACGTCTCCCGGCATCCAATGCCTGTCGCCAATATACAGATAATAGTTTACAAAGGAGGTGAAGGCTAGGGAACAAAGCGGAGTGAGGCATGGCTGCAAGCATGACGGCGACGATAAGACTCAGCACAAAAACAAAGATTGGCACATACGGGCTTTTCTTCTTCCGGAAGCGGTCGATTATGCGCACCATTTCTCGTCTGCCAGCAGAAGCATCGATTTTCTTGCCGCCCAGGCTCATGCTCACCATCTGGCTCGTGCAGGCCTTGAGCAGCCGGCTGATCAGGAGGTGTCGCATGGTCAGACAAACATAAACGCCGCAGTCGCTGCTGTTTTCTTGGACGGGAGAGTCGTCCAGCTGGACGAAGCGGAATCCACGGTCGAGGATGATGCTAACTTTCTGCGCGACCCGCAGTGCCTCGTTTCGGTTTCCGGGAGGGAGGGAGTCATAGTGGAACGCGACGTTATCCACAACGGAAACGAGGAGTAATGACCAATGGGTGCCACCCTCAGCTTCCGTCACACTGCGACAGTCATTGATGGGTAGGAAGATGTGGCTTGCTTTGGTAAAGTCGGGAAGAGCGTCTTGCAAGGTGTGAGGATTCGGTGTCTGGTAGAGTAAATAGGACATGCTTGGCCGGAGAAGGATGATGTTGGTGGTTTTGTACTGGGCGATAACTTCCCGCTCCAGGTATCTGCCAGGCGTCAGAAGACGACAGTATAAGAGCATCATACGTTTGAAGCATACTCTTCCCAGAAAGCGATTACCTAGGAAACGAAGGCCTCGTTAGCTTTGACTACACTGCCATCCCGTCAAGAGGCCACTCACATTGTCCGTCAGCCAGTCGTTCTTCAATGTATCCACATCTTCATACGTCACTAGCAAGTTGCCTTCGTCAGCATGAGGGCATAACTTCGATAGTCGGCGACATACAATTGATATCGTTATCTAAAGAGGACAAACGTCAGCAAAGCCCCATTGAATGCGCCAAGTGGCCACGCGTGTGAGAATCTCATCCGATGCATCTCAAATCCCAAGACTAACGGGACGGGATGGGGGGAACACGTACATGTAAGATAGGTATCGTCTGGGTTGGCCTGCGTTGCGTCAGCCCCGTATTCTTTCGCGATGAGCTTCCAGAGCTTGAAGAGCGCCATGGTCCTGTCGTCACCAAAGCACCCAGATCTCTCACGCGTTCACATCATCTACGACTTGACAGGAACACGACACACAAGACAACAAGCGGCAACGGCTCAAGAGGACACGAGGGCAAACAGACAAACAACAGGGACAGCGAAAGCAGACAAGATGACAGGTAACGCCACACAGCAGGGGGAGCAGCTCGTCCGAACGCGCGATCGCACGCAGACGACAAGTGACACAAGCGTGCAATCTCGAAACACGCGAAATGGGCCCAGACGGCTAGAAAGAAAAAGGGAGGGGTGGCCCCGGCCGGAATAAGAGCTGCGGACAAGACTTTTTTTTCAAACGTACCGACTCGCCCAAGCGGCTGCGCATGCGGTCTCGAAGGCGATGGAAACCGCCCTCGCCCATCATGATGGCGCACGCCCCCGCCGCGCGCCGTTCTCAGCAAAGAGAGAAAGGGTCCCCGAAGGAAGCGAAGACGAAACACGAGGTCGCTGGAAGCGTTGAACGCGCCGTCGCACTAACTAGAGGAGAGGGGAGAGCACAGCACCGAAGACTCTCTTTTGTCACCGCCGTTGCCGCGCGCAGTTTTGGTGAAAAGACGAAATAGAAGGAAAAAAGGGTGGAAGAACGCAGAACGAACAACAACAACAAGAAGAAGAAGAATGAAGGGTGTCAAGTTTCGAAGGCGACGGGGAGCCGGGCCTGGGATGACCCCCGTGTAGGGACCCTGCCGATTCTTGGAAATTGTTTCGCTGTGCTCGCCCGGGACGCCCCGACAATTAAATAATAATAATGTAACCATGCGCCTCTCCCAGCAAGGAACCGCTGAGTCGCCGGGGAGGGGGGAAGATGAAACATGCCAAATTACCGCTCGCGCCGGGCTCGTGAGAAGCAGCAGGAGGATAATAATAATAATAATGATGGTGTAGATCCCCCCAGCTGCGGGGGAACCAGCCGGCAAGCCCACCGGCCAACGGGCACGGCGAAGATGATGTAACGAAACGGCTGGTCGCCTCAGCGTGCTTGGCGGAGGCGCCCAAGACGCCGCGGGGCGAACTCTGGCGACGCGGTCCAGACTGGAGGCGCAGTTAGTTAGTAGTGCTGGGGAGGGGGCAATCCTTGCAGCCGAAGCTCAGGCCGCGCTGGGGCTTGCGGGATCGACGACGGGGGTTGCCATGTGGAGAAGGGATGCAAGTCCGGTGATCGACGCTGGCGGAGCGTGGTGCTTGGGAGAGGACAAGAAATACTATTGATCCTACGGATAGTACGGAGTAGAAGAAGGTCGCCGGTCTGATTCGCATTCTTATTCACGACGCTACTGTCAACGCTGGTCTAGTACAGGAACGATCGTTCGTGGCGCTGCTCTGATGGAAAGGGGCAAAAAGGGTATCTCAAAAATAAGGCAGTCTGGGAGGAGAGGGAGAGAGGAATACTCGGAAGTGAAGAAACGAGACAGGCTATGTGAAGAAAGACAGGAGAAGATATGTAGTCAAGACACCAGGTAAGTGTAGATTCTTCCTGTGAACTCAGCCTCAGAATCGAAGCGGGGATAGGAAACGATACACAGTGGCTAGGAAAGAGAAATACATAGCAGACGTCAAAAAAGGGGGGAGGAAGGGAGAATGAAGTGCACAGAACAGCGACATCGACAGTGAACGTTATATCCATAGACAAGTTACACGGAAATATCGTCATGACAATAGTAGCAAGGAGATCAATTGCATAGACGGGCTTCACTCCAAAAGTAAAAGAGGTTGTAGAGAAAAGGGGGTTAAGAAGAAAGGGCTGTTGGGCCTTGGAGAAGAAAAAAAGGGGGGAAGAGACTCGGCGGGCATTATCATCGAACCCCGACAGGAATGAGCCCATAACAGTCCATGCGCCCATATATGTATGCCTCTTGCTGGAAATAACAGTCATGTAAGAAAAAACAAAAAAGATAGGTCAAAACAGGCTAAGAAAAAAGAGACAGGAAAAAAAGCGGAGGAATAGGGGCAAAGTCTCAGAGCCGAGATGCTCAACCAGATAGAAAAACATAAGAAAAAAAAGGGAATAGGAGAAGAATCAAAGGCGCTGCCGAAATGGAGAGACAAAAATAATATAGAAAAAATCTCAAGGGAGCTCCGAAACTTTTGTCTTCTTCTTTTGATAGATTTTTTTTCCCACAGGTCGACAAATCACAACATTATCAAACCACCGCCTCCTTTCCTCAACAAACAAAATATCACCACAATTTTTATTTTTCTTCTTAACTACCCCGCCAGCTTCGCAAAATGCCGCAGCCAGATCCACCCGACCTGATGCGTGGGATCGTCCTGGTTGCGCGCCAGCCACAGGTCGCCCTTCTCGCCGATGACGTCGAAGATCTCGCCGGCCACGTACGTCAGGTACGGATAGCCGGCCTCGCGGCGCGCGCGGTCGATGTTGAACTCGTACATGCTGGCGGCGAGGAACAGCACCTTGGGCTCCTTGACGACGGTCGGCGGCGGCGGCGGCGACAGCGGCTGCTGCTGCTGCTGTTGCTGTAAGGCGGACGGCACGCTAGTGCTGGGCAGAGCGGTGGTCGTGGTGGTCGTCTCAGCCATGGGCATTGCGGAGGAGAAGAAGCCCGAGTAGCGCGGGGCGTCGGGCGACGACGGGTGGTCGGCGAGATCGGGCGGGACGTGCGTGGGCGTGTTCAAGGGAACGAGCGGGTCGGGGAAGAACTCGGGGAAGCGCGGCGTGTCGAGCGAGAGCTGCGGCAGCAGCGGCGAGGCGTCGGACGTGCGGTACGACGACGCAGCTGCGCTGCTGGAGATGGCCGCCGTGCTGTTGCGCGACGAGGATGGGGTGGTGTGGATGATACCGCTGGCGGTGGCGGCAGCGGCAGCGGGCGTGATGTAGGCGCTGGAGGAGAAGTTGGAGCTGGCGCGCGACCGGCCGCTGCTGGTGTGGAGGGCGTCGGCCGGGTACGCGGGCAAGCCGGCGGCAGCGGCGAAGTCCACGGAGGTCTTGGGCGACGCGCCGTACTCGACGGAGAAGGTCCTGGCAGCGGTGCTGGACGGACGGCGCGACGGCAACGACGACGACGACGACGTCGTCGCTGCAGGCTGCTCGCTGCCGTGCACGTTGGCGATGTCGGCCAGCACGGCGCCGTTGCACACGCCCAGCGACAACACCTGGGCCTCGCTGAACGTGAAGTCGCCGGCCCAGTCGCTGAGGATGGCCGCCACGTCGGGCGGCAGGCGGTCGAGCGCGAAGCCTAGTCGTTTCTGCACCAGCGCGTGCCAGCCGGTCTGCAGCTGCACGAAGCTGTTCAGGCACGCCTCCATCAGCCGGCCCGTCAGCGCCAGCAGCCGCGGCAGCTCTTCCTTGAGCGTGACGTTCAGCGCCACGAACTGCTCGCCCAGCTCCGTCAGCTTCTTGTCCGGCCGGTCGCCGCGGTCCTTGATGGCCTTGTACTTGACGTAGTCCAGCAGCCGCTTGTTGCGCTTCTGCATCACCCGCTGCGGCCCGTCGTGCAGCTTCAGCAGCGTCACCATGGGGGCAATAACGCTTTTGCGAACGGCAGCCAGCTACACCATCTATCAGCTCTAAATTCCCCTGCAAAACCAAGACGGAAGAAGACAAACTTACATGATCCACCAGCGCCACGGCCACCACGTCCTTCGCCGCCAGCCGGAAGCGGCACCACTTGCTCTCGATCTCGGGGTAATTCGACGGCGCCACGGTCATATACGCCTCGATGGCCACGACAAACTCGTGGAAGCGGGCCGTGGCGGTCTGCATCTCGGTCGTGTACAGCTCGACGTCGCGCATGACCAGCTGCAGCTGGAAGAAGTTGTCGCCGAAGCGCTGCGCCAGCGCGTCGTACTCCTTGTCCGTGAACATCTCCGACAGCCCGACGTGCTGCTTCAGCTTCTCCGTGCGCCGCCCGAACGCCTTGGACAGGCCCGCGCGCACGTCCGACTCCTTGCGCTTGCGGCTGCCCACCACCTGGCCCACCACGTCCGCGCGCTTCTTCATGTCGTTGATGCGCACCGACATCGCCGTCGTTTCGCGCAGCGCGTCCGCCAGCGCCGCGTGGTCCGGGTGGTCCGTCGGCGTCGTGTTGAGCAGCTCTGTCAGGAGCAGAGGATACTTGAGCACGCGCTGCACGGGCTTGACGAGCAGCGAGTCCAGGCTCCACGCCGTGGTCAGGTCCGACGCCCAGTCGCGGCACTCCTTCAGCCAGATGTTGACGTGCTTGTTCTTGTTCTTCAGCAGCGTGTCTAGCGTCTTGTTCGCCGCGTCGTGGTTCTTCAGATACTCCGAGTACACCTTCTCCATGCGTGTGCTCAGCTCGATGAACGTCTGGCCCACCGTCGTCTGGCGATCCTTCTCGTCGTCGGAAACCTCGGGGTTCTCCTGCACACTACTACCACCAGGACTACCGCTGTTGCTGGCGTTCGGGACATACTTGCTGGCGCGCTTGCTCAGCCAGCGCTGCGACTTGGGCAGCACGTACACACTTTTCGCCGCCTGCTTCAGCGCGTCTTGGAAATCCATCGAGAACTTGACCACCTGCTCCGAATTACTAAACAGAATCTTGACGTCTTCCGGCGTCAGGCCGCACGAACTCGACGTGCCCTTGTAGATATCCACCACCACCGTCATGTCCTGGCCGAACGTGTACTCGGTGTCGATCAGCTCCTTGATCACCAGCAGCCTCTTCTTCAACCGCCGCTGTTCCGGCGTCGGCGTTTTCATGGGCGACGGAGCTTCAAGATGCTGCCCCGGAGCATCGGCCGTCAGCTCCTGCGAAGCACGTGTGGGGTCAACAATTCCAGACGTCAAGGTCTGGTCAAACGAAGAACCATTGCTCGTCCGGGCGTCCGTGTCGATGTCCTTGGGAACAAAGGAAATAGTAGGCAGCATGTCCGGCGACGCATCCTGCGAGTAAATACTGGGCGACGCCTGCAGCAGCGGCACCGGGTGCAACATCTCCAGGCTATCCTCCTTCTGCGCGTCTAACTCCACGGGCGGGGGCGGAGGCGGGTACGTCGGCAGCTCTGGAATCGTAGGCGAATCGCCATCCTGCGGGCTCTGGATAAGAATGGACACTCCCAGGCCGCTTCCGGCGTCGATGTTGGTCGACAGGTCACGCAGTCTCGGGGTCGATGTCGATATCCGCGGCGTCAACGCCGCATCGCGCTGCTGCTGCTGCTGGGTCTCCTTTTCCGTCGCAGCGAGGTGCATCCAGTCCGCAATGGACGGCGAGGCGCGCTCCCAATCGTCCCTCAGGTTCAAATTCGCAAGCTGCGGGATATACTCCGCGGGCGGGATCGACTTGGACTCCGGCAGCATCACGGCGTCCCCGCCCAGGCCGCCATCGTCCGCGTTCTTCTCGTCTTCGACCTTTTTAGTAGTAGTTGTAGTTGTAGGGGTAGTTGATATCGCCGTGGGTTCCGGAATGCGCGGCTGGGCGAACCCAGCCTTCGCCAACTCCTGCAGGTACAGCTGCGTCGCGCGCTTCGTGTCCCATTTCGCCTGCTTGGCCAAGTCGGGGTATCGATGCATCAGATTCAGGCTGAACCGCTCTCCCGACCGCGGCGTCTGCTTCTGGCTCTCCGGCGAAGCGTCCTGGACCACGTTCGACGACGATGCCGATCCAGTCAACTCGCGCTCACCGGGGCCCTGCGCCGGCTGCGGCGTGGTCACCCGCTCGCCGCCAGCGCAAACCGAGTGATTGTCGTGGTGGTCGTCGTCGTGTGGAAGCGCTTCAGCCTTGGCGGCCGCGGCCGAACCTAATTCCTCGCTATTATTGCTGTGGAGATGGATGGACGAGCTCCACGAACTCATGCTCCAGCGCTGGCGCTCGGCCAGGCTGCTGCTGCGGCGGTCGTGGTCGGCGTCCTCCTCCTCGGCGTACTCCTGGTTCTCGCTGCTGGTGTCGACGGGGTCGAAGTAGGTCTGGCGCAGCATGATCTGGATGGACTCCTTGTCGCGGCCGGACGACGACGACGAGGAAGACGAATCTTCTTCGTCGTCGTCGCTGGTGTCGGTGATGTCAGGGCTGGATTCACGCATCTGCATGATGTGGCTGAGCATGGTGCGGTGCGAGGCCGTGGGCTGCGGGAAGTCGGTCTGCGGCTCCATGTCGATGGTGGTGGTATCGGTGACGGCGGAGGCGGGGGCCACATCGGAGCAGACGGAGGACGGGCGGGCGTTTAGGCGGGCGATGGGGATGTCCAGGGTTTCAGTGCAGGTTGACTCAGTCAGGGCTTTATTCTCGCTGTCGTCGTGAAAGAACGGTTTTTCCGTAGGTTTGTCGAACCCGGGCGATTGCTCGTCGGCGGTGACAAACGCTTCCTGATCCTCGCCCACATCAGAAGCTTGGGGAGCTTGGTCGTCGTTGTGGTCGTCGTCCCTAACGACCTTCTCCGCGACCGCGGCGGGCGGCTCGCGGTGCTCGGACTTCTCCTCATCTCCTTGGAGCCGACTCTGCTTCTCGGTTTCTTTCAGCCGGGCGGCTCTTTGAGCTCTTTTCGCGATTTCTTTCTTGTTACTCTCTTCAATGGATCGATTAAAGGCCTGCTGGATGCGCTGGCGCCTCGCGGCAAAGTCGACATTGCCCAGCTCGGGCAGCCGGCGCGACTTGGCGCGCGACGACCGCGGCGACTTCAGAGCCATATTACTATTATTATTATTATTTTGGAAATCGGAGATTCTATCGACGACCTTGGCGCGCGAGGCGGAGGTGGTGGCCGTCGAGACGGGCAGGCGGGGACGCGAGCTTCTCAGTGGTGGAGATTCCTTGGGCGGCGGAGCCGTGATGATGGCGTTGAGGGTCGGGCTCTTCAGCGGCGGCAGGTTGTTACGGCGAGCGGGAGAAGTAATTCGGGGCGAGATGGGCGAGTTGGTGCGGCGTTTGGGGGCGGGCTTGGGCAAGGCGCTCGCGCCCTTGCGGGGCAGCGACACGTTGGCGGGATGGCGGTCGAGGGCGGAGTTGGTGCGGGTGGACGGCGACGAGTTGCCGGAGTCGGAGGTCTGGCTGTGGCGGCGGGTGGAGACGGGGATGCGTGAGTGCGAGCGGGATTTGGCCTGGGGGCTTCCGGGCGCGGCGGGCGCGGTGGGCGGCGGCGGGTGTTTGATAGTCACGGCCAGAGGCGGCGAGCCATTGACGCCGAGGTCGCTGCGGGAGCGGCGATGAAGTAGAGGCGGGTTGGGGGGAGTAGTGGTGGAGGAGGATGTGTTATAGCCTAGGTACCAGGCGGTGGGCGAGGAGGGCGACCAGGCGGGTGTGAGGTCGAAGGGGATGTCGAGGAACATGGGGCCGGGCGAGGGCATGCAGCTGTCGGAGCCCCGGCGACGGTGCGAGGCACGGCGGCGCTCCTGGTGGCCAACGAAGGTGTCGAGCGGCAGGATCTCGCCAAACAGCGGCTTGCGGGCAGCGGTGGGCCGCATTGGGTCGTTGGAGGCGAGGTCCTTTGTTGGAGCGGGAGTTTGGCTACTGGGCGAGCGGTGGGTGGACGGCCACGACGGTTCGGGGAGGGCGGCAGCACGAGAAAGCGGACGGGTGTAGGGTTTGGCAGACACAGCAGCCACAGCAGCCAGCGAGGCGTGGGAGCACGGCTGCGGCGGGACCTCGTCGCGGGCGTGGTTGAAGCGGTCGACCAGCTCCTTGAGCGAGGACTGGCGGTGTCGGGGGCCGGCGGGGGCTGGCGGCGTCGCAGCGGAGCCGGAGCGGAACGGGCGTGGGCGCGAGGCGGAGGCAGAGCGACAGCGGGCCGGGTCGCTGGGGGAGGAGGCTAGGCCGGGGCGGTCGGCGGCAAAGGGGTCGTGGTAGTGCAGGTAGAAGTCGCGGGGGTCGGCGGAGAGGTCGTCGTCGGGGTCATGGTGGTTGTGGTCGGCGTCCTGGACGGGCATCGTGGAGCAGCGAGGTGAGGCGGCGGCATCAGGCACGGGCAGGGCAGGGCAGGGCAGGGCAGTGAGCGAGGAGCAGGGTGCGACGTGGCAGGCCGGGGTGGTCAGACCGGGGCGGGCATGGCGCTGTTGGGAGAGGGGTGGGGAGAGGAGAGAAAGAAGAGAGAAAAAGAGAGGAGAGAAGAAAGGAGAGAAGAGAAAGAGAGAGAGAGAGAGAGAGAGAGAGGTGTAGAGAGAAGAGAGGATGTGGGAGAGTGGATGAGATGGTGGTGATGATGGTGGTTCGTGGTGGACGCGAGAGCGAGAGAGCGAGAGAGAGAGCTAGAGAGAAGAGCGAGCAAGTCGAGTAGAGAGAAGAGAAGCTTGAGTAAGCCAGCCAGCTCACCAACCAGCCAACTAAGTCAGCCACCACAGCAGCCCTGCCGATCGGTGGCTCGTCTTTATGATTCTTACTCTCCTGCTGGTTCGTGTCAGCCCGGCCCGTCAAACGAACCAACCAACTAACTACCACCTCCCTCTCCGTGCCTAGCTCCCTAGCTAGTTACATATGTACATTAGCTAACTACTCTGTACGTCGTCAACTCCCATGCCACCACTCTCCCCATGGCCAACCGCCCGCGCAAGCGGCCCCGGCCTGACTCGCCCACAGCCCTCCCGGACTCGCTGCACCCGACTCACCCCGTGCTGGCGCGTTTCTACGCCCGCGTCGTGCCGCTGCGCGCCTACCTGCTCGCCCAGCTGCCGCCATCGTCCAGGGCCCGTCGCCGCCGCCTCGCCGCCCACGCCCACCATGACGACGAACTCACGCGCCTGCTGGACGACACGCTGGTCGGCGTGCTGACGCCCCGGAACCCCGGTGCTGCTGCTGCCGCCGCCCGCCAGCGCGACTTCGCCGCCTTCACCCAGTCGCAGTCCGCCCGCGACACCACCGCCGTCGCCGCCGCCAGCTCCGTCGTCGAGGTGCGTATATAAAGATAATATATCTCTTCTATTCACTAACAGCCCAGCTCGTCGACTTCGCCGTCCTCGCGCTCTTCCGCGCCCACCGCGGGCCCTACGCCCGCCCCGCCCACCTGCTCTGCCATGGCTTCGCCCGCGCCGCGCCCGCCCCCCCCGCCGCCCCCGCCGCCGCCCTGCCCGGCCTCGTCCCGCTCGTGCCCAACCCGCACGTCTCGCGCCTCAAGGCCCATCCCTGGCCCGCCCTGCTCGACCTGCTGGGCGCCGCTGCCGAGGACCTCCTGCTGCACCTGCTGCTCGACTGCGGCTTGTTTACGGCCCTCGACCGCGCCCGCGGCACCTACTGCCAGCTGAGCGGTATGCAATATCCCCATCTTTATATATATATAATCTTATATACGAGACATGATCATCTACAGGCATCCCGCTGGTCGACCTCCCCCTCCTCGACCCGGCCAACACCACTCCTCCCGCCGACCGGCACTCCCCCCACCACATCGTCTTCGTCCGCAACCGCATGCTCTATGCCCGCCCCGAGCTCAATGCCCAGCGCCGCGTCAAGCTCGGCCTGCAGCACATCCGTACGCACCCACTCCTATATATAGATATATATATATATATATATACTTATCAATCTAGACGTCCTCAACCGCTACCGCGACTGCACCAACCCCCGCCACACCCTCCACGTCATGAAGTACATCTTCCCGCGCCAGTTCGGCCTGCACAACGTCTTCACCTCCGCCGTCGACCCCAAAACCACCGTCCAGCCCTTCAAGGACTACACCCTGCGCGAGGACGAGATCGCCGCCCAGCAGAACCCCAACAAGCTGCCCAAGAGGCTGCGCGGCCTGCCGCTGCGGCTCGTGCAGAAGCTCCAGAAACGCCACCAGCGCTGCTCCTACGTCGAGCTGCTGAAATACTACTGCCCCATTCAAGTAGGCCCCTCCCATCCCGCGCCCCGTGCTCAAACTTTTCTAATCTCCCCCAGGGGCCGCCCGAGCCGGACCCCGATTCGGCGCAGCCAATGACCAGCTTTGCGACCCCCATGGCGCTGGTCTCGGCGTTCTGTCGCGCCGCCCTGCAGAAGGTCGTCCCCAACGACCTATTCGGCACAGGCGAGGACGGCCAGCGCAACCGCGCCGTGGTGATGCGCCAGGTCGATCGTTTCATTCACCTGCGCAGGTTCGAAAGCTTGTCGCTGCATGAAGTTGCGCAGGGGCTGAAGGTGCGTTTTGTTTGCTTCCATTCCTCCGTGAAACAATGGAAAAAAAAAAAAAAAATAACGGCCGAGCTGACGAATGCAGATCTCCTGCATCGAATGGCTCGCGCCGCCACAGCAGCAAACCACCAAAAAGCCCTGCCTGTCCGACGCCCGAAAACGCCGCGAGATCTTCCTCGAGCTGCTGTACTACCTCTTCGACTCGCTCCTGATCCCGCTGGTCCGCGCCAACTTCTACGTCACCGAGTCCAGCGCCCACCGCAACCGCCTCTTCTACTTCCGCCACGACCGCTGGCGCGCGCTCGTCGCGCCGTCCCTCGCCCGCCTCACCACCTCCGTCTTCGAGGAGGTCGACCGCTCGACCGCCGCGCGCCACGCCCTCGGCTGCAGCGCCCTGCGCATGCTGCCCAAGCGCGCCGGCGCGCGGCCCATCGCCAACCTGCGCCGCCGCCCCGTGGTGGTCAAGGCCCGCTGGCCCGGCGGGAACAAGAAGACGACCGAGCTGGGGCCCAGCATCAACATGCTCCTAGCGCCCGTGTTCCAGACGCTCAACTACGAGAAGGCGCGGCGGCCCGCGCTGCTGGGGGCGGCGGCCATGGGCGGCGTGGGCGACTTGCATCTCCGGCTGAAGCGGTTTCGCGAGGCGCTGCTGCAGCGCAACGCGAGTGACGGCGGTGCGGAGCGCCCGCTGTACTTCGTCAAGCTGGACGTGCAGGCGTGCTTCGACACCATCCCGCAGAAACGCCTGCTGCGGCTGGTGGAGCAGCTGGTGTCGGAGGACGAGTACCGCCTGAGCAAGTATGCGGAGGTGGGCGTGCCGTATCATTCTTTCCTGGGCGGTGGCGCCACGGAGCCCGCGGCCAAGCCCGCGCGCAAGTTTGTGTCCAGAGCCGCGGCGAGCATGGACTTCCAGACGGCGTACGACTTCGTGCGCGACTCGCACGGCCGCGGCGCGACGCGCAGCCACACGGTGTTCGTCGACATCGGCCAGCACCGGCGGCTCGCCGCGAACGACGTGCTGGCGCTGCTGGAGCAGCACGTGCGACACCACGTGGTGCGCATCGGGCGCAAGTTCTTCCGGCAGGCGCGCGGCATCCCGCAGGGCTCGGTGGTGTCGGGCGCGCTGTGCAATCTGTTCTACGCGCAGCACGAGCGCGAGCGCCTGGCCTTCGTGCAGCGCGCCGAGGACCGCGCGCCCGGCTCCGCGCTGCTGCTGCGCCTGATCGACGACTACCTGCTGGTCACCACCGCCGAGGACGTGGCGCGCCGCTTCCTGCGCGTCATGCTGGCCGGCGATCCCGACTATGGCATCTCCGTCGCGCCCGGCAAGACGCTGGTCAACTTCACGACCACTGATCCCGCGGCCCCCATCCTTCGCGTCGTCGCCGGCCGCCAGTTCCCGTTCTGCGCGCACCTCATCGACACGCGCACGCTGGCCGTCAGCAAGGACCGGCGCGCGCCCGACGCCGACGCCGACAACCACGACCTGCACCTGCGCGACACGCTGACCGTCGACACCGCGCCGCGCCGCCGCTCCCTGCGCCGGCCCGGCGCCGCCTTCGCCAGCAAGACGCTGGCCGGCTTCAAGCTGCAGCTGCACGCCATGTTCGTGGACCCCGCGCACAACGCGCCGCGCGTGGTGCTGGCCGCCATCCACGCCGCCTTCGTCGACACCGCGATGAAAATGCACGCCTACTTCCGGGTCCTCCAGCGCCGCCGCCGCCGCCGCCGTTCGTCATCCTCATCCTCTACGGCACTGTTCACGCGCACCGTCGCCGCGCTGCTCGCCTTCGCCGTGCCGCTCGTGCGTCGCCTGCAGGTGCGCGCCGCCAACAGTACCAGCAGCAGGATCGTGCCCGGCGCGCACGTGCGCTGGCTGGGCGTGCAGGCGTTCCGCGCGGTGCTGGCGCGCAAGCCGAGCGGGATGCACGCCGTGGTGCGCTGGTTGGCGGCGCAGACACCACCCATCCCGTCGGCGGCGGCGGCGGGCGTGCTGCGCGCGGTCGTGCGCGATGGGCAGGCGGCCGTGCGGCGGACGCGGTTCTGATGGTAGTAGTCGTAACCAACTCCGAATGTACTCCGTATGTACTCCGTATGTACTCTCTCTCACTACCTAAATGCGATGCGGGCGCGGGGCGCGGTGTGTTGGGCACGCGTTGGGCCGGGATTATTCTTAGCACTGCGAATAAGTATCATGACTCGCTGGCCGTAAACTCCGTACACATGAAAAACGCGCGCTGCCTTATTGTTTTGTTTTAATCTCCGCGTCCGCACGTGAAACACCGCGAAATTGCTTAATCTTGCCGTCTCTGTCTGTGGCTTGCGTCTGGGCAGCTGAGCCACTCACTCGGCCGTGGGCGTGTTTCACCTGCTTTGCGTTCCCTTGCACCGTGGCTCGCGAGCTCCCGGCTTCTTCCCCTTGCGCCGGTGGCCGTGCCGTGCGCGTCCGTCCAGCCGTCCTCCGTACATCGCCCCCCGTATACCCCGTCCACCGCCCGTATACGCCGGCAACGCGCGTGTACCGGCCAGCCCGCCGCCGCCACCCCTGCTGCTGCGGCGGGCTCCACCGCGCCCTGGCTCGCTATTGGCCCGCTCGTCCACGCCCCGGCCGGCGAGATGCGCCGCTAGCCCCAGCACGGCCTAGCGCGGCCGCTGATTGGCCGGCGGCGGGGGTGTTTTGTTCCAGTGAGGCGTGCGCTAGGCCAAACACAGTCTAGCGGCGTGCCTGGCGCGAACCCTAAACGCCCAACCGGGAAATAATCGCTCGTCGCTTCGTTCGCTCGCTCGCTCTCGACTTCATCTCCTTCTTTCGCCGTCGCCTGTTTTTTCTCGTCTTGTCGTCGTGGTCGTCGTTTTCGGTTCATTTCAGTCGGGCCTTGTCGTTTTGCCCTGTTCCTTTACTTGTGCTGCTCCCCTGCCAGCCCCCACCTCCGCTGTCGCTATATCTAATACGCTGTTTGTTTTACCTCCGACCGTAGTCCGTGCTCCTGACCGACCTCTGCTCTCTCCCTCCCCCCCGACATCATGTCGCGCTGCTGAAGCCGTGACCATCGGGGACGGGCACACTCGGGCGGCCCGACGCTCATTCTTCTCTTCTTGTCTTCTTCTTGCTTCGGCCTTCTATTGTTAATCTGTCCCTACCCCCTCACGCGGCACCCGCAGCTGCCCCCGTGTGAAACAAATTCTTATTCAACAGAACCCGAGATACGGCCGTTTGCCACTAAATAATTTTTCTATATGATCCGTCATAATGCTCAATAATACCACCATGGCCATGATCCCTGCCGCGCCTGACTCGCCGCCCGATCTGTCCGGCTCCAAGTCCTCCAAGTCGTCCTCCTTCCACTCCTCCTCCCACCGCTCCAGCCCCGATGGCATTCTCGCCGACATCTCGCACTTCGAGGACATCGGCCTCGACGAGGACCCCGACGTGAGGCAGATCGAGCACTCCCACCTCGGCCACGACCACAAGCTCGCCTTCCGCCCGTCCCTGCGACGCATCTCCAATGGCCGCGGCGCCATGCGCAACGGCACCACCACCACCACCACCACCCCGCTCGCCCCCGTGAGGGAGCTCACCTCCCCACCGAAGAAGAACAACTACCCGCAGCTCAAGGTGCAGATCGACGGCGCCCTGAACGCCATGCACTCGCTGGCCCTGCCTCGCCGGGACCTGTCTGGCCGACGGGGCCACAGCCCATCGAGCCCTCTACGCCCACACCAGCCGCCCTTTTCCCACCCACGCTCTCGCTCCCCGTCCCCGAACAATGCCGCCCCCAGCCTCTCTCCGCTGATGCCGCCGGCGCCGCGCTCGCGAAGCCGCCCGCCGCCCATCCCAACGGGCGCCTTCCGCTCCGCCTCCCGGCCGCCCCGGAAAAGCACCCAGGAACTGGAGGATGAATACCACGACTCCGACGACGAACTGCCCGAGGACGCCGCGCTGTGGAACGTTCCCATCTCCCCGCGGCCGCCGCATGAGCGTCCGCCGGACGGGAATACTGATAGTAATAGTCGATCGCCCAGTCGAAGTCCCGGGCCTCGTCCGATTCCCCTACAACACGCCAAGTCGAGCCCGCCGGCGCCGCCGCGCTCGCCGTCGTCCGCCTCGCCTCCGCGACATAGCAGCGCGCGTCCCAAGCTTTTGAGATCCAGCTCTATGGGCAACCTGCGGGGCCACGGCGGCCGGCCTCCGCCAGCCAGTGCACGGAAGGTGGTCTTGTCTGAATTGTCGGAGGAGGCCAAGATCCTGACGGAGGCGCTGGAATTCCACGCGGACGCGTCGGCACGCCGGCACGAAGAGCGCGTGCAGGGCGGGAAAGCCGCCGCCGCCGCCAAATCTAGCTTCGACGCGGCGAGGCGCGAGTCCGGCAGCATGATGGAGCTCCCGCCGCTTCAGAGGCCGAATATCATGATCGATCCGCTGCCGATTAGCAAGGAGAAGGAGAAGGTCCTGTCGCGAACGAGACCGAGCTGGCTGCCTCCGAAGGATCAAAAGGAGGAGAAGAGGCATCTGAAGGAATACAAGAAAATGATGGCTTTGTCGCGTGAAGCTGGTATGTGATTCCCTTGTTGCGCGGTCGTGATGGTACTTTGGACTAAATATCTATCTATACAGAAAAGCGGAAAGCTGCCCAGGCTGCCTCCGCACAGTGTAAGCGGGATGACACGCGCAAGATGCTACAGCGCATTTGGGACGAATACGTGTTTCCTAACTGGGATCACGCCATCAAGGAGCCGCGCACCCGTGAGCTGTGGTGGCATGGCATCACTCCCCGGTCGCGAGGAGCAGTCTGGCAACGCGCCATTGGCAACGGGCTTGCGCTGACGGAGGAATCCTTCCACAAGGCGCTTGAGCGGGCGCGCCAGCTTCAGGCCAAATGTGCAGACGATACCTCGGGAGTGTACGCCAGAGCCCGTGAGCAGTTCGAAGCTATTCGCCGCGACACGGCGACCGCGTTCCCAGACTTGAAGCTCTTCATGGAGGGCGGCCCGTTGTATGAGAGTGTGGTGCAGGTTCTGGATGCTTACTGCATGTATCGCAGCGATGTCGGGTACCTCTATGGCCTCCACGTATGTCCTACCAACCGCACCGCCCCCAAAAAGATATTTTTGAATACTCACAGCATCTCCCTACAGACCATCGCCGCCCTCCTCGTCTTGCAACTCCACACACCCGCCTCGGCCTTCCAGACGCTCGCCAATGCGCTCAACCGCCCGGTCCCGCTGGCCTTCCTCACCGCCGACCCCGGCGCCATGGCGCGCGCCTACTCGCTCGCATCGGCCACCCTCCGGCTCAAATTCCCGCGGCTGTCCACGCACCTGTGCGAGAACCTGTACCTGACCGACAGCCAGATCTGGGAGCCCATGTTCCGCACGCTGTTCACCAACGGGCTCGACATCGAGCGGCTCAGCCGCGTGTGGGACTGCTGGGTGTTCGAGGGCGACCGCGTGCTGTTCCGCGCCGCCGTCGCCGTGCTCGGCTGCCTCGAGGCGCAGCTCCTGAGCCTCTCGCCCGGCGAGGACGGCGCCGCCGCCGCCGCCGGCCAGGACAAGGCTGCTGGCATCTTGGGCTTCGGCGCGAAGAGGATGGGCGTGGGCAGGAGAAAGTCGGCGCCCGTGCAGGGCCTGGCGTCGTCGTTGTCGTCGTCTTCTTCGTCTTCATCTTCGTCGTCGTCGTCATTGCCGGCGGCGGCGGCAGCGCCGGCCCTGGATGAGAGGTACTGGGCTGTCGAAGTGGTGGGCGACGAGGAGGCGTTTATGAGCATTGTTCGCGAGGCGGGGAGATGAAGAGCACATACATACATACATACATGCATACATACATACTAAGTACATAACTACATAGATATTGGGCGGTGGCATCCATTTTTGTACTTACTCCGGACATTGCGTATCTGGGCGATCCGCTCGTTTTTAATCTTCTGTTGTCTCTTTTTGTCGCAGCATGGTAGCTACGGAGGGAGAGGTGTTGATTTGCTTGTTGTGGGGGTTTTTTTTTTTTTTTTTTTGCATCGCCATTATCCAGTACGGAGTATTAATCTCTAATAACGCTATGAAAAGAAAGCGGCCCTTCGTATACTCCGTCCACCCATGCATAGGGGGGAAGTTCAATGATATCGATGGCGTCTCTAGCTCCCGCAGCCACAGAGCAATTTGACTTTCCACGGTTTTACCCCCGACTATCCCCTCTCCCCTCCCATCGACCGGGCAGTCGAGACAAGGCTCTCAGATGCAAGATCTTCCCAGAGATCTACTGCAACGACCCAGAAATCCGACCTGCCCCCTAATAATCTCCCCCCCCCCCGCAAGAAACAAACACGCCCAATCCTACCATCACATTAGCCTTGTACGGAGTAAACTATAAAAAAACAACATCCAAATCTCTCCCCCCCCTTTTTTTTTCCGGGTTAGGTTCGTCCTCATCTCGCGCCCCCCTCCCCCTACCACACATCCCCTGCAAAACCCGGGTGAGGCTCGCTCGCAGTAACCAACATCCATACATACATATCTACCCTGAGTGCCACTCACAAACCAGGGTCTGTTCCCTACCGAACCACCCCCCAGTCCATGCAAGCCAACGGTTAGAAATCATTCCGACCTCGTTGTTATGATTATTTTAAAAAATGTCGTTCGTCATTTATTGCGATCCGGACTCTTTTTGAAACCACCCCCTGGAGAGTTAGTTAGTTTCTTTCTTGCGCTGCAGCGTGTGGCTTTCTTTTGCGCTTTTTCTTTTTCCTTTCTTTTTTGGCCCCCTGGAAGGGACACGGAGGACGGAGAGATACGGAGTGTGTGAACGGGAGGGGAGGAGGTTCAGGGGGTGAGGTACGGAGTATACTGTATAGTCTGTACGCGTCGGGACGGGCTGTTTGGCGGTTATACGGGGTACACGTCGTCGATTATCGCTGTTCTGCGGCTGAATGGGTTGATGATTCCCAGAGGTTTACATCTTTCTTTCTTTCTTTCTTTTTTCCTTTCCTCTCTACGTGGCTCATATCATTTCACTAGAGAAGAGTCAATCGTAAGATTAGGCTGCCCGGTGCCTTCCAGTTATCCCGATACCGATATAGGAGTCGACCGAAGCACTAGGACGAGCTGCTTGGCATGGAGGGGTTGGGCAGCTAGCTTTATTGCATGCAAACATATATTTGCTCTAAACTTCTACGTAGGGACTCTTATTTGCCCTTTTCCCCTCCTGGGGCCGGGTTACCACTACAGCAGCAGTTTGTATAGGCAGTCGGATAAGAAGTAGGGAGTTGAAAATTCGCACTGTATCCATAATCCTCAGTTGAGTGATATAGCTTTGCACACAGGAACTCTGTGCACAATGGCAATAATCAAGAAACAAAGACGCACAGACAGTAGGGGGTCATGAAGGGAAGTCATATTAAAAAGAATGTGAAAATAAAAGGCCGTTGTAGAAGAAAAAAAGAGAGAGAGAAAAACAAAACGTCCTTCACATTAGACAGACTCAATAATTCGTTGGTGGGTATGGGGTGTTTTATAGAGAATCCCGCAAAGCTTTTTGTATTCCCATGTTGACGTGGTAGGAGTGAAAGTAAGAGGGGAGCGGTGTTATAGAACGACTCTGATATGCTGTATGTATGTATATCCAGACACAAAACATATCCTCACAAAGAAGAAACGAAAAAATAAAATAAAATGAAATAAAAGAAAAAGCAGGAGATTCCCCCTTCCCCCAAAATCAAGGCCAGTTGATATATGTTGGATTCGGAACAGCATGAAAATCTACATCGACCTCTGCGATAGCTGGCGCACGGCCGACGGCCGCACGTACAGGCCGTCTCCCACGGCGGCGGCGGCGGGGCCGGGTCTAGCTCCCGCCTGCGGAATGCTAGAGGAAGGGGGTGGCGGCGCGGTGGGGGCCGAGTGCTGGTCTTGGGCACGCTGTTTCAGAACCTCACGGGCATAGTACTCGACGAGCATGGAGGCGTAGAAGTCGAGTTCCTCGACGGCGATGGCGAGGCGGAAGTCGTTCAGGAGGAGGAACTGGAGCTCGAGGTGGTTGAGTTCGAGGAGGGGTAGGCCGCCGACCTAGAGGGGTGGGGTTTGGTGGTAAGCCGGTGTTTCACAAGTGTTCAAAAGAAGCACTGCGGGCGGAAAGCTTACCTTTGCGTATCTGGAATTGGTGTAGAAGACGTCCGAGAAGAACTTGCTGGCGCACGTTACGCCGGCAATGACCAGGCGGTGGATGTTATAGCTGTCCACGACAAAATGCTGTGAGAAGTCGAGGACGCTTTGCTCCTCGCCTGGGTCGTTCTGTCGCTGCCGTTCGTCTGCCTCATCTTCTTCTATTATGTCCTCCTCCTCTTCGTCGTCTTCGTCAAAGCCATTGTCATCGTCGTCGTCATTATCCGCCGTGGAGTCGACCGGCATTGGGTCTGGATGGGGCGCATTCAGCGGTATGGTAGAAGAGGCAGCGTGGGCGGCGCGGGTATCTTGCCGGAAGGCGGCATTCACGGCGTCAGTCATGCGGTCGAAGTAGATGAGCAAGCTGAGAAAGACCTCGTAGGTGGTGGGGCAGTACTTGTGGATGCGGGTGAGGTAGTTGAGGATGGAGATGCTGGGGACGTTTTTGCCGTGGAAGGCCAGGACGCTGGCAGCCTGCGGGCTCAGGGCGGCCGTGGCGGCGGCATCGGGGGGTGGGATGTGGCGGTGGACGTGGGCGTGCTGGCGGTCGTTGGTGGCCGTGATCTTGGACAGCAGGCCGGCGACCATCTCGATGACATCGGGCACGGGCATGGCGCTGATTTCGTATTTGCGGCGGGAGTGGTGGTAGCGGTGGTGGTGATGGTGGTGCTGGTGGTGGAGGCGGGACGAGGACGCAGACGCAGATGAGGGCGAGAGTGGCGGTAGCGACGAGGGAGCCGCGAGCATCTCCTCGCTGGCGAAGCTGCGGATGTGATTGAGATCGCGCACACGGATCCGACTGGGCGGCACGGGCTCGACGGCGCCCAGCGAGCGCGATGAGCCATGCGAGGGTAGCGGGGGAGCAGCAGTAGCGGCGGCGGCGGCGGAGGCGGAGGAAGAAGAGGACGACGACGGGTGTGAGGGCTGAGCTGCAGTCGAGCGCTGGGTGGCGGGCAGAGAGGCAGATGGAGAGGTCATTGGGACGGCAGGACGGGCGGCATGCTGGGAGAGAGCAGAGCAGAGCAGAGCAGAGCAGAGCAGAGCAGAGCAGAGCAGAGCAGAGCAGACGGGAGAGATCGCGACGGTCGGGCAGCTCCAGCAGAGTTCGCGGTGGCGGGACGGAGAGGAAACAAGCTAGAGCGGCCGGGATTGAGTTGGCGGATCGGCTGCGGTTCCGCCGCAACGTGCCAGGGAGCAGTAGCAGCAGCAGCGGCGGTGGGTAAGAGACGCGACGGGCGAGCAGAGTAGTGTATCAGCGCGAGTGAGCAGGCGAGACGAGAGAAGAGAGAGAGAGAGAGAAGAGAGAGAGAGAGAGTAAGTGAGAGACGAGAAGGATCGACGCGCCGGGCAGCCCGTCCAGCCCGTCCAGCCCGTCCCCGCTGCACGGTATAGCGGCGTACACGTACACGGCTGGCCAGCCTCTTCCTCTCTCTCTCTCTTCATCTTCTCCTGCCTCACACTCCAGCCTCCTCTCCTCCTCTACCACCCTCTCTCCCTCCCTCCCTCCCTCTCTCTCTCTCTCACTCACTCCCTCTCTCTCCTGCTCTCCGTCCTCCCATCCCTCTCCAGCGCTTCCTCGCTCTCGTATTTCCCCTGCTTGGCAACCATTCCCCTCCCGGCGTCGCCTCGTCAACTCTTCCATCTCTGATCCTGACCGTCTCGCTTTCACTGCCTCACTCCTCCACACTCGTTCGCGCCCACCACCATCGTTCGCTATCTGGTCGCTCGTTGTCATATCCGACTCACAGGGCTGGTCCACCACACCCGTCCCTGAATCAGTCCCGCCTCCCCAGCCTGGAGATGCGGAGACCGCGCCGTACCTGGGCCTCACGGCCCCCCGTCTTGCTCCTCGCCCTGCTGTTGCTGGCTCTCCTGTCCGGCCATGTCGTTGCTCAGCGAGATACCCCCGATGCAGCAACTCCAAACCAGCCCGATAACACCCCCAGACCCGCGTCGCCGCCGCCAGCACCCGCCCCGACCCCCGGCAGCAACACCAACAACAACAACAACCGTCCTTCGACGTCCGCTTCATCACCCACCAGGCCAACCCCGACTCCATCGCCACGAACCTCCCCTGAGAATCTGCCTGGCCTGACCACCAGTTCTAGTTCTAGCTCTAGTTCCAGCTCCAGTCCCAGCTCAGCGCCCGCTACCCGCACCTCCACCACTACCGACGACAAGGCTTTCCCCACGCTCCCCTCCCTCACTGGCGGGCCAGTCATTCCCACGCCACAAATCCCCCCCAAAGAGGGCGCTCCGTATCTCAAGAAATCCAACCTGCCAGAGGGCACCATCTTCATCGCCGTCGGCGCCGCCTTGGGGCTGGTGGCCTTGATCGTAATTGCTTGGCGCGTCCTCGTCGCCTGGTCCATCAATCGCTCTGTGCGACGCGCCACGAACAACACCCATCAGTCCGACGCCACAGCCCTGCTTCACTCCAACAAGAGACGAACGGGCGTCTACCAGGACGCTCCCGGCGGCTCAATGTCCATGGAGAAAATCGCCAAAGACCGTCACTCGCGTGTCATTCAGCCGCATACCCCCAATCAAAGCTTGTTCTTCTCCCCCACCGCCGGCGCCAGCATGCATAACCCGGGCAACCGTGCTTCTAGCTACTTGCCCGCTGGCTACTACTCCGCTAGCGGCGCTACCCCTGGAGGCGGCTCTGGTCTCGCCCACTTTGGGGGTTCTGGCCTATCGCCACTGGGTCCCCAGGCTCAAGGGTATTCACGAACGAAATCGGGGCCTAGTCCACCGGCATCTCCAATACTACCTCCCAGTAGTCGTGGCCATGATCAGCTTCACCCATCATCAAGTTCGCTGAATCTGTCGACACCCCCTCAAGGCAGAGCTCCAAGTGCCTATCTTGAAGACCTATTCGAGAATCATGCTCCCAATCATTCTCCCGGGCGGTGAGCGGACAATCGCGGCGTCTCCTTCTGTTATCACTACGGAGCGGCTCGATTCTACCGCAAAGATTTCCTGTCAAACTCTTTTTCCCATTCAAAAGTTATGATCCCTCGCAGCATATACCAGAGATATACCGAAGACTCTTGACTCTACAAAATAATATCCGTCTCGTCCTGGATACTCTAACTGCGCCCAGATACCCTCCGCCTAGTGGATCATATCTTTTTCATGTTGATTAATGTCGGCTCCTGGCGTTTCTACTTGGTTTAAATCTATACTCGTATTCGGCCCCCTTTTTTGACTCTACCTTATTTTATTCTTCTTTCGATCTATGACCTCTTTGATCCACATCACAGGGCCAACCCGCAATCTTAAATACGGAGTCAATATCTTTTAACGATCTATAACATGACGAACTCCTTTTCATGCCCACCCCGCCCGACCTCCTCTCTCCCAAATCTACCCAAGGGTAAAATGTATATTGGCCATTCCTCGCAGATGACTTGACACCAGGTACATTTTCGTGGAAGCTACCATCTGGACATATTTCCTTTTTTCTCTCTACGGAGTTTCTCCCATATAGAATCGGCCTACTTGCCCCTTAGCAATAAACGTTTTCCCCGTCAACATCCTCTGGCCCGATTGCTTTGCTTGAATTCAGCGGTTTTGCGTCGCTCGATAATGATAGTATGGCGTTTTTGCGACTACGTCTTCCCCCTTCTTATTTTTATATACGCCCCCGGTCGAGTCCAGCAGGCCTTTTGTTTTTGAGCTTTTTTTTATTTATTTATTTTCTGTCTATCCCCCCTGGCGCACTAGATTCTGTACAGTTGTCGTTTTCCTTTGGGGACGGGGCATTTGGTTGTTTGGTTTTTTGCTTGGCTATCAAGTCTAGTTCAATTGTTGAGCTTTCCCATACACGTGTACTCTTTATAATAATACAATAAAAAAAATCAGCTCGTGAAAAGAAACCTATGATGAAGTCTTGCGCCCTCTTTTCGCTGGGCACGTGCTTAGGAATGCTCATGTATCCGGAAATGCAGATGTAGGGTGTACATTCGAAGTTCGAAGGAGAAGAATATTAATGGATGCATGAAGCAAATAAAGGTCTATCCGAAAGAAACATGAAAAGAGGAAAAAAAAAAAAAAAGAGTTTGCTAAATAGAAAAACCCAGATGCCATATCAATCCTCGTCTATTTTCGGCGTAAATTCCCCTAGGAGAATATCGTCCGGTGCAGGACCCTGCGTGCTCCGAACTAAACATACAATGTCAGCAGCCCATTATCGAAAATAGAGATACGGGGTGTAGATACTCACCCCACTCGGTCTCCACCCGCAAAAATATCCACATCCAGCGCCTCGCAACCTCCAAAACCATCACCACAAACACGCCGCTCTCCAGATCGTTCATCCAGTTCAGCCGCACGGTCAGCCGCGACAGCCACGTAAACCGCAGCACGCAGTCGATCGCGATGGCGGCGTAGTAGAGCTTGTTGGCGTGGAAGAAGCGGTGGCGGCGCAGGCCGAACGGGCGCGGGTCGCATTCGTCCAGGCTGAGATCGGGCTGCGAGGTCACGAGGTGGTAGGGGTTGCGCCGGAATTGCGTGAGGAGGTCGGAGAAAAGGGGCAGGTCCCAGTCCTTGGCGACGTCCCAGTAGAAGGTGAAAAAGGAGTGGATGAGGGCGAATAGGATCCTTGGTCAGGTCAGTAGGTATTCAAGGGGGGGGGATGTGATGGTCGACATACCATAGTTTATGGAGGCCGGCTTCGCTCATGCCGACGTTCGACGGATCGTAACTGTGTTGTAATGCAGTCAATATAATCACCGGAAACGCACTCGCATATTTCAAAGCATTCGCAAGATGTTGTCCGCCCCAGCCATCGACGCTCGCAACTCCGCGCTTCTGCACCCGGTAATACTCAATCAAACACTGCCGAAGGCGGATAATGCTCGGCACAGAAACAAGCAACGGGACCGCCAGATGCCCGCCGCACGCCCGGTCCGGGATACCCGTACTCGACACGCCCGACGCAAAAAACATGCAGAAGCTCACAAACAGATCCCCGAACACCTTCGCATAGCTCGTCAGTACATCAGCGAATATGATATCGCCGAACTTCCCGTCCTGCGCCTCCGCGAGCCCGCCCAGGCTCACGCGCTTCAGCGTGACGAGCAGTCGATGCCGGCCGGTGCGCGAGAGATGGTGCAGAGGGAGAAAGAGCAGCGCGGCGAAGATGAAGAGGTAGGACTGTGGTAGGATTTCCCATGCGAGAACCAGCTCGGGGGATCGGCGGGTGATGGTCCAGAAAAGGGCAAGGGAGAGGACGAGCGGGATCGAGAGGAGGGTCGCGAGGTGGTAGGTGGATTTGTAGACGGAGACGCTACCGCTGGATGAGCGCGAGGGATAGCGGATGAGAGCGGGGACGTCCTAAGTGAGTGTGGTGTTAGATGATGGTAGTGTTATATATTTGGCGCGCTCTGATAACCCGTGGGCCCTGTGGGCCTGCATAAACGTACGATTTTAACTAGGGACAGATAATGTAGGTTCAACCCCCATCCCCATACACCTGCAGAAGTAAACGCCGGATGTTAGCTATTCGTGCATTTCGAAGGAGAATTAAATGGCCGCTGGAGAGCTTCCCCTACCTGCGACCAGAATCACCGCAACTCGATACGGGAGCGGAAGAAGAAGGTTGAACCCTTCCAAGTTGGCGGACCCATGATGATCAGCGTCCATATTCCATCCCAAGGCTAGATAGTCCGCCGAACACTCACACAGTTCGCCAGCTCGTGGGAGACTTTTCTGTTCTGCTTCAGCATCGTTCTTGGCAGACGAACAGGGCTGTGCTTATCTAATCCGATCGCTCTCACGTGAAACAGGCTTGGCTGCCGAGGCTTTCTGGCCGCATTGCAGCTCAGGAAGGATGTCTTGCCGGTGATTTGCGCCCTCAAACCGACTGCATCTGTTCTGAGCGGCATGAACTGCACCTTCAAGTCTAAAAATGCCGTCTGATGAGTCTACACCAGCTTCCCCTACCCCTAGCTCCACCTCAGATCACCTTAACCGGCCGACCTCGCACTTCTTCCCTTGGGCCACTTCTCCAGATGTCATCCGAGCTCACGAGAAGGACATCCAAATCACAGGCACCCTCAACACCCAAGCGCAATCGATAATCCGAGCTCTTCGCGGCGCCAGATTTACCCATGCAAACACCGATACTATCAAAAACCTGACAGAACTTCTATACCTGTCGCTCACGACGCTCGTTGGCAATAGGACGCTCGGCGAAGAGTATTGTGATGTTGTGCAGCTGGAAGATGACACCTTACGGCTTCCGTTGCTGGCTCGACGGGCTGGGTACATTGTCTGCAGTATTTTTCTTCCATGGATGTTACAGCGGATTCTCCCCGCGTTTCGGCGCCGGCTACGAGCGAAGCTGGAACGAAGTATAGCGCGCAAGAAGGCCAAGTCTGTATATTTCTCCAAGGAGGAGCAGCAGAAAAAGAAGCAGAACTTGGTTCTGAAGTTCCAGACGTATATCTTGGAGCACTTGGATTCGCTAACATCACTCTCACCAATTTATGCTGTTAATCTTGCGGCGTTTTACTTCTCCGGCGCATACTACCATATCTCGAAGCGGCTGTGGGGCTTACGATATGTGTTCTCCAAACGAATAGGGGAATCGGAAGAGAGGATTGGATACGAGGTGCTGGGGGTATTGATGGTTCTACAGATCGTCGTGCAGGGAGTTGCGCACGCGAAACACGTTGCCGAGTCGTTTCAGGAAGATGCTCAAGCAAGCGAAAAAGAAGCGGCTGGGGCAGATGGCCAGTCCACTACGTCGCTGAAAAGTATTTACAATCCGCCGTCTATCCCTTCGTTATCACCGAATATACCGCGATACGACCTTGCGCAAGATTCACCGACGGCTTTAAGTTGGATACCCGCTGGGCAGCAGAGGAAGTGCACCTTATGCTTAGAGCCGTTTAAGGATCCGAGTGTATCTACCTGTGGACATGTATTTTGCTGGGTATGCATTCGAGACTGGGTACGAGAAAAGCCGGAGTGTCCACTCTGTCGGCAAGAAGCACTGGAGTCCAAGATATTGCCCCTTCGGGGATGAATGGAGAGCTTGGACCTCTGAATTGGTGTACTGGAGTTGGTGTTTTCTGTATATACTAGAGCATGTGCATATATTTTCTGGGTATATTCTCGAACAATTAAATTCTTAATTGTATTAAATGACAAAAGCGATTAAATTGCTGCTCTATCAAAAACACCCAGTCACGTGCCATGCCTTCTACGCAGGTTGTCGATAAGCTTTCATGGAGTCGACGAAACATCCAACAATCATCAGGATATCTCAATCAACACCGTCGCAAGAAGAATCGACCTCTGTGCACACCCCAGTCCACCTCTTTTACATTATACCCAGATTATAAATATGGCATCGCAGCTTCTGCCCCTTGGTACATGCCCAGCCCTTACTCGATTGTTTTGTGCCCGATTGCTAACGTATGCTTGGCGCCGAAGAGTTGATCGATAAATGTGTTGGATCTAAGATATGGGTCGTTATGAAAGGAGATAAAGGTATTACCGATTCCTCCCTTCTACCCTATCATTTGAAGCACCCCATGACTGACTGACGTTCGATTATGGATAGAGTTCAGCGGAACTTTACTCGGATTTGATGATTATGTTAGTAAGTATCCCTTTGCCATCATGCATGGAAATGGAAATTTTTGGTGTAAATGAAAGAACGCTGACAGTTGAATTTAGATATGGTCTTAGAAGATGTCACGGAATTGTATGGATGGGCCACCATTTTCACTGTTGAATTTTGCACTGATGTTCTTCCAATAAGTGACTACACAGGAGCCCAAACCAAACTTCCAAAGATCCTACTAAATGGAAATAATATATGCATGGTCTGAATGACCCTGTGATTTCCCTTGGTAATTGACGTCGCGAAACTGACGATTGCGCATCTAGCTGATCCCCGGTGGCGAGGGACCGAGTGGCTCTGCAAGCTAGATTGAAGCGGAGAGTCTTTGTGAGACTGAGTCTTTTTTTTTTTTTCGCATTAGACCCTGGAGTTTTATTTTTTTGGGATCTTGTGACATTACGAGATTTATGAAAATACATACAAACATACATGATCTTTTATTTCCGTCAACATCCAATGGCATCCCAGAGCAATCCTAAAATGCAGATTTAGAGATACCCATTATGCGAGACGTGAAACTGAATTCGATCTACTTCAGTTTTCAGGTGTGGTAGCCGCCTTCTACTCCACTGAAAAATTCGCGTATCCGAAGGTGATTGAACCCAAATGAATTTGACAGTGCTAGTGACTATAAAAGAGTCTTAGAACTCCTACTTTCACAGTAAAATCCGCACTTTACGACTCTGAGATCCCATTCAGGGCTTCGGCCGCATGGGTCCCTTATATCTTTCACGACACTTTTCAAAATCTTACTGCCTTTCACGTGGATTGCTAATTGCAACTACAGAAACATCACTTTTTGCAGCACTAAACGTTGCAGTCACCTCGTTGTTGGAACCGAGAAATCACTCAATCTTTTATCATTCCATTCACTTACACTTAGAATCGTTCACTTTGTACTTCCCCCTTATCCTCCTCCAAGGCTATAAGTACCCCACAGCTCCCGCCTTTTTTTCCCCTTCTTTTTCATCATCCTCACTGCTGCCGCAATCTTTTCCGCCAAAACCTCAAGAACCTCAGCAGATGAAGCTATATAAGCCACTCACCGGAGGCGAAACTCCATTCTAATTTATAACAGAGGGTTAAATCTCCAAAACGGAAACAAAGACACCAAAGGACACTTTTACTTAGCATTCATTTTAATACTACAAAATGGAACCTAAATCAGGAATCGTGACACATTGCATGGTTACAGAAGTATAACCATTGTTGGCATTGATAAAAAAGTGCTACTTTTAACCCCCAGGCCCTTTAACTAATATTTGTTCAGTTCAGGCTGACTCGTCAAGACAACTCCAACTGCTTAACAACAGCACTACATTTGGTTTGAAACTGTGTTGACAGACTGCCCCCTGCTTTGACGATTCTTCATTTACCCACAGTATCCTGCCATTTGTCAGGGCCAGATCGTCATCTGCTGCGCTATTGAATGGCTGGTGGATGGCAATAGCTGGGTCCTGCAGAAGCACCCAATCCTTCAGTTGAGTGGGGTTTGTGTGTGTATCACCTACATACACGACACTGCCAACACCAATACCTGTGTCTACTGCCATACCGGATTTAGCTCACATTGTGCAGCGTTTCTCAAGTTTCAAACCCAGCGATCTTCAATATAAGACAAGCTCAGCAAAAACACCGGCCTTTTTTTACACTGAGCAGTCAGCTAATCTATATCATTAGAAAACCATACCCATCAGGTGGCCTCACAGCTATCTCCTGGCCAGCCTCCGTTCCTCAATGTTCCAGAAGAACGATAAATGCCAAACAAAGGCCATCCGGCAGCCACCTCAGGCTGTATTTCTATTCTCCGTCAGGTGGCTGCCAGACATATTCATTTTCCTGGTTGAGCACACTTTGTGTTTGCCAGTCGGAGAACTAAGTACAGTAAATACGCAGCAACATTCAGGCCGGCAAAACCTAGCGGGGTTTAGTGGGCAGCAAAAGTTGGACCTGGGAGCAAAGGTTCACAAGCATCAAGCTTGGAAAGGGTATTTCAAGTAATGATATCCCTGTATCTTTTGCGAAACTGGTAACATGAGCAGGCTCCCTTGCCCTCCATATGATAGGCTGGTTTTTATTGTATTTGATGGCACCAAGTGGCTTACTTCAAAGTTCCATCCTGAATTCTGCTTGCAACCCCGTCAAGCAAAGAAAATAAGTGATGTTGGACAAATATAAAAGGGGGCTTACCTCATTTAATAGATATGGCCATGCCTATCACACATAGCCAATGGCTAGAAGGCATTTTAGTCTTTCCAGGACATTCGAATATAATCAGGAGTGGTTACACTGGGCTATACCAGATAATGCTTGTGTTAGACTTGACCTAAAAAACAGATATCGTCTACTACTGACGCTTGGAAAGACAAAATCCAAACCAACAAATAAAATGATCACCAGAAACAGAAATGTATGGGTCTACATCCACCTTTCTGCAAGAGCCCCATATTTCGAACAATGTGACTCTGTTGGGCGAAACATAGATGATGATAATGTATATTATGATGAAAACTTTGCAACATATCAAGAGTAGACAGCAGCAGCTCTAGAACTCCAAACCGGAGCCGAACTCATTCTGTCCTGAAAATCCTTTGACCATCTTAAGGGTTTTTGAACTCACAGAAGCCTGTGGATCTTCACAGATAATCGGTTCATTTAATTAAGCAGGCACATAGATCTGAGAATTGGGTTCTCATGAAAGACATTTTTCAAGAACTTCCGTACCGCTTCAGCACTTTGCCACTCACACGCGAAATTGAGGTGTTTAAAATTCAGGATCCAAACACACAAGACTTGAAGATGGCAGATTTGTACAGCCAGTTGCAAGTGCTTTATTGAAATTGGCGAAAACTGGGAAACCTTCAAGCAGAAGAGGACACATGCATGCGGTTTCGGTTGAATGCTCACCTACCAAGGCCAGAGGATGTGTTGGGGATTTAGAATTTTATGCACGCAAAGCTCAAACCAAAGGTTGCAACAATGAAATCCTTTGGTCTACACGAAATTGCATATCACCATGATATTAGAGTCACTTGAAAACTAATAGCAAGGGAAATAATAGAAACATGGGATCGAATTGCCGTATGTGGCTGCTGTCGCAGGTAGCCTAATGCATGACATGCAGAGTCAAAGCGAGCCATGGGACTCTTGACAATCATGGATAAAAACAGCCAGGGGATCACAACAGTGACTAGACGCATTGGATAAAATTCAGAAGTGTTTTCCTCCTTCCTGATCACATCTCTCGCAGCCTGGAGCTCCCCAGAAAGCCCGCCCAGTGATGATCCCAGCACATGTGAGTTTATGTGGTGCCTTGTATTTGATGGCAATTGCTGGGATATTTCCATCTACTCCTCATCTATGCACACAGAATCTATGCATCTGATCAACAGATAGTGTATCCTCTCTGGCAACCTGCCTTTCTTACTTTGGCTAGCAGTTTGGTCAGATCCGAGTGGCAGTTCTTGCATTTTATCCTCCAAGGGTGGCCCCTGTTTTGGCACGTCTGTGCGTCTAGAGCTGCTGTGTAGGCCCTAAATTACCCCATTTATACATATCCATAAAAGGGAAGTGCTGAGCGGGAAAATGTACCTTTCTTGGTGCTCAAGACGTCCCGGATCCTCCCCAGGCTTATCTATAGTGCGTTTTCTCTTATCAACCCGAGGCAATGGTATATGTTTTTTTTCTTCAAGAGATTGACAGAATAATACGTGATTGCATCACATATGATAAATATAACTAGCCCTTGAGGGGCTAGTGAAACGCAGGAAAAAATAACAAATAAATAAATAAATAAATATGCCTTTCTTGGCTCTCTCTGTGCTATAGGATTTTTTATAGACAACAGACAAGTGGGCAGGCACTACCCCACAACAAAACAATAATAGATGGCCGAGGGAAAAGGCACGGGAGAAGACCGGATAAATTCAGCATTCAGAACTCCGTATGCATGCCCATATGGAACCCTAGATCCGGCCGGTGGGTTTTTAGTTTTGCAGAGAGCATGGGTTATCCGAAGCGCGCAGGGATGGACTTGGACTGGGGATGTTTGGCGCGTGATGGGTTGCTCGGACGCTGTTTTGAAGCAGGAGAAGGCGTGCTGAGTTTCAGAAGGCGGACGGCGAGCTGGACCCGTGTCTGTGTGCGCCAGGAGATATGTTATGGAGGAGCTGTCTTGTATGTTGTGAGAGAGGAGGGCGGAATCAGATGACGTTCTGGAAAAGCCGGCGGATTTCTAGCGCCGAGTTAAGGTGTGCTGATTAACTATGCTGCTCGTATTTTGATTCGATTCTCTGGCTGTCTTGTCTGCCGCTGCCCGTCTCTCTACGTGCACGCACTCGTGGGAGCTTGGGCGCCTGAGACTCGCAGTGCCTCGAATAACGGCGGCTGGGCTGGGCGAGACGGCGCGTCTGCATGTCTTCCCCTGGCCGCGCGGCCGTTTCCAGAGACGAGGCGCGATGTTTGGCTCTGGGCTGATGCTGTCAGGGGCTAGCTAGACAGCTGGATAGATAGTTAGTTAGTTAACTATGCAGTCTAGCTCGAATTTAAAAAGTTTTTGGCCAGAAGCTGTCTGTTTCTCTCAGACGTGATTTCAGCAAGGATGAGTGGTGACTATATGAGTATTCTCGAGACTTCTAAATCATGTAATATCATGCTATAATATTGATTTCCTTTTCGTGAGAAGGCGCAGCTTTTAGATTCTCTGCATTTTTTGCCTCTATTGCATCCTTCATTTTCTGCATCTCAGGCAGCCCCCATTTCTGCATCCATTCGGATTGTTCCACTTCTTCAATTGTCGCTCGCTTTTGGGGCTCGAAAACTAGCATTAATCTCAACATCTTATTAAAAGCCTGGTCTTCTTCGGGTAGGAGGGTGGCAAATCCCTCGCGCACTCGGAAATTATTCTGCATTTCTAGGCGCTGATCCCAGCCCCAAGAAGAGTTGATATAATATTGCTGCAGATGTTCCTTCACATTCTTGGTCCCATCATCGTCAAACAAATCGCTTCTTGCCTCCCATTGAGACCACCAAGGGTCAGGTAGCTTACCGATCATTTCAACATGCTCCTTTAGGACCTGAGCCATGGTGCCAAACAATGATTGAAATGGAGGAGTAGATCCAAAAAGCTCCCAAATGATACAGCCCAGAGTCCATATATCTCCTGGAAAGGAAAGAGGCTCGCTGATCCCAGGCTGCATGAAAAAAGCTTTCAGGGGGCGCTGAAATAGATGGGGTATGGCAAACATAGTGGTTTTCTCTTTGTGGGCTGAAAGCTTCTCCAAAATCTGCAATTTGGATGAGAGAATCTGCAAGCGTGAGCTCATCGCTTGCACCTCCCAGCCATGCTGGTACAACAACGTTTGAAGGAACTCCATTTTCAAGGGGGGCTTTATCCTGACGACGGACAGGCTGTATGGTTGGTTGGCCTACCTTTGCATAGAGCTCTTTGCGGGTCATATTCTGCATATCAGGCGGCAGAGAGAGGAGAACATTTCCGAGATGAAGATCTATACTCATGTTAACTTGACGGCAACCAAAGCACGGAGTTGTACTGTCAGCGCATACCACCATGAACAATTCCTTGGGAATGGATAAATCGGACGCCTAGTATAAGCTGAGCAGCAATTGCCCGAGCGGCTGGAAGGGGAAGAATTCGATGCTCTGCCGCTATTTTTGCCTCGCTAATACTAATTCTCACGAAGTCTGTGACCAGACATCGATGCATGCCGTTTGGCCCTGAAAACGTGAAACAATCGAAGATATCCTGAGCAATGCTCTTCCCAGGAAGGCTAGGGTCAGCCTTGGCTAATTGCGAAAGAATGTGTAACTCGTGGGTTTGTTGTGCCGATTCAGCTGTAGAGATTTTTCAGAGCAACGAGTCTGGAACTCTGGGCTCGGTCTTCGGCCAGCCAGACTGTAGAAGATCGGCCAAATCCAAGCTTGTGAGCAATGGAATATCGACCATTGCAAAACTCATCGCCAATGGCCGTCGGATGATACCCACCAGGCACGTAAAAGTCCAAACGCTCAACTTCCTCGACATAGTCGTATTTGACTGTGCTAGGCTCCATATGAGTAGTGTGGGCTAGGCGGCAATAGGGCCTGGATGGCCAGAGCCGGCGGGCGGCTGGTGTACGAGGTCGTAGGCTAAGGATCAAACGCATGCTCTGGAGCAGCCAGCGTCGACGGCGGGCTGGTACGGGCGTGCTGTCAGGCAGGAATAGCTTTTGGCCATGTGCCAGGTACGCGAGCGGTGGTCCGTGGAAGTACGGGGTGGTTGATATGTACGATGCTTCTCGGCTCTGGAACTAACTAGCTGGTTAGTGAAGGTATGTACTCCGTAGCTTAACTATATTATTGCCTCCGGCCGTCGAAACTTCACGGCCCAGCCTGCGCTCCACCACCCCGCATTGGCAATCCTGCCCGGCTGCGCACCACCGCCTGCGCGCGTTGCTTTTCGCCTATGCTGCCCGTCCAGCTGCCCTGTGCTGGCGATGCCCGCGTCGTTAACTAACTAATCCCCAGTCTCGCGACCGCAACTCGACCGCCCTCGCGTCCTCGCTGCCTCCCTCCGCCCACCCACCCGCCCCCAATGCCCCGGCGGCCATGGTCTCGTTCTCCTCCCCCGGCGAGCCCAAGTCCGCCCTGCCGCTGCGCTCTCTCTCCAACCACAGCTCGTCCTTTGCGCCCGGCTCGCTCGTTCTCGACGACGATGACGAGCCCAAGCCCAGCGCCTGGCGGAACTTCGTCGACAGCTTCCGTCGCGACCCCAACGGCCATGTCTCCAAGCCCGGCCAGATGGGCGTCGACGGCAAGCTGTTTGACCTCGAGGGCGCTGCCGCCAACACCGCCTCGTCGCCCTTGCAGCGGAAGCTCAAGTGTCGCCATCTGCAGATGATTGCCATCGGTGGCTCGATCGGTGCGTCTTCTCCCCTCTCGCCCCCTTTTCTTCTTGGCTTGTCGACAGCCCATGCTGATTCGCGATGCCGTAGGAACGGGGTTGTTTGTGAATTCTGGAAAATCCCTTGCCATGGGCGGCCCGGCTTCCCTGCTGATGGCCTTCACACTTATCGGTGTCATGCTATACTCGACCGTGCAGGCCTTGGGCGAGATGGCTGTCGTGTTTCCCGTCGCCGGCTCTTTTTCCGCCTTTTCCACTCGCTTTTTGGATCCTGCCTGGGGCTTTGCCATGGGTTGGAACTACGCACTACAGTGGCTGATCACACTGCCCTTGGAAATTGTCGCGGCGTCAGTCACTGTGTCGTATTGGCCTTCTAACATTTCGCCCGCTGCGTGGGTGACCATCTTCTATGTGCTGATTGTCATGATCAACTTGTTCGGCGTCAGGACCTATGGCGAGGCCGAATTTGTGTTCTCCATCATCAAGGTGATTGCTGTCATTGGTTTTATGTAGGTGCTCCTCGATATCTAGTCTGTTTCTATCAGAAATGGCCAAACCCACTGACTTATTCCAGTATTTTGGGAATCGTATTAAACATTGGTGGTGGCCCCGGCGGGACATATATCGGTGGCCGCTACTGGCGGGACCCAGGTGCTTTCAACCACGGGTTTAAGGGGCTCTGCAGCTGCTTTGTCAATGCGGCTTTTGCATTCACTGGAACGGAGCTCGTTGGCCTGGCTGCCGCCGAAGCTGCAAACCCCCGCAAAGCACTCCCAACCGCCGTGAAGCAAGTCTTCTGGAGAATCACACTTTTCTACATTGTCGCGCTCACTCTTGTTGGTCTTCTCGTCCCCTACACCGACCCGCGTTTACTACGGCCCGATAACCAGGCCGATGCCAAAGCCTCCCCCTTTGTCATTGCCATTAAAAACGCCGGCATCGAAGGGCTGGACTCTGTTATGAACGTGGTGATCATGATCGCCATTCTTTCCGTCGGAAACTCCTCTATCTACGGCTCCTCACGCACCCTAGCTGCCCTGGCCGAGCAGCACCAAGCCCCCCGTTTCCTCGCCTACATCGACCGCAGAGGCCGCCCCTTATTCGCCATCGGCATTGCGTCTCTACTGGGCCTCCTTGGCTTCCTCGCCGCCTCCTCCAGACAGCAAGAGGTGTTCACCTGGATGATTGCCATCTCCAGTCTCTCGTCCATCTTCACATGGGGCTCTATCTGCCTGGCACACATCCGCTTCCGGCGCGGCTGGGCGGTCCAAGGCCACACGCTCGACGAACTCGCATTCACCTCTCAACCGGGCGTGATCGGTTCGTGGGTGGGATTGATCTTCAACATCCTCGTGCTCGTCGCGCAGTTCTGGGTGGGCATCGCGCCGATTATCCTCAACGAGGGATCCAATCCTTCGCTGGCGCGCGCGAAAAACTGGTTCTCGGTCTATCTCACCGGTCCTATTGTGATTCTGTTCTACGTCCCGTATAAGCTGTGGTTTAGGACGAAAATCGTCCGTGCGAGAAATATGGACCTGAAGACTGGCCGGCGCGATCTAGATATCGCGCATCTGATCGCGGAGGAGCGTGCTGAGCGGGCGGGCTGGCCGGTGTGGAAAAAGGTCTTCCATTTTTTCTGCTAATGTTGTAAATAGATCGTGGAGGCCCGGTTGCTTCTCGCGGCCCCCGTTGGCCCTATGTAAATTGCTGGCTTGTGTTGCCACTTTACGCGGTACATATTTTTTGTATTATGTATGAATGACTTGACGACTTAATTTACCCAATCTAAGAATTTTTTTTGTCTTTTTTTATTCTAATTTTAGCCTTCCATTCCGGTCAAGGTCAGGGGATCCTGCGCTTGTGAATGAAGGATCTGGAAAACGCCGCGGGACAGGACGTCATCCAATACTCCCTAACATATCGATTCGATACCATCGTCGCTGCCGGCTGCCTTGATCGGCGACCCTCTTCGACACTGTGCTCAGGGCGCTTAACGGCCCTTTTCAGACGTACGGGCTCGTCGTTCAACGGGAAGACTTTTGCAGTGGATATTTCTCCTGAGCGTGCTCCTCCACCCAGGACGACGGCGACTCCTTCGGCGCAGGTCGCTAGGAGCAACGGGGTCCTTGGTTCTTGGCGCGTATCTCCCCAGATCAGCTCGCTCATTTCGGAGTCCTCCGGTGGCTCGCATCCCCTTTTTTTCTGCTCTTCAGCCTTGTTGGCATCGGCGTTTGGGGGAAGGCCGGCGCTAGGAAGTATCTCCCCGCTGCACATTGACTGGCCGGTACGTTGACGCCTCAAGAGTAAACGTTCGCGGCTGAAACACAGCCACGAACTCTGTTACATAAGCACCGCCGTAGTAGCCTAACCGGAGCTAGGTACTGGTACCGCTACTACCGCCAACTCACCGTGCAGATTGAAAGTACTGGTACCCACACACCGATGGCTGCCACGTGACTGCGGCGGCCCAGATTGGCTGGCTGGAGCTCGGACGTGATTCGCCGCTCTGGCTTTCCAACATCGTCGACCTCGCCAGCTCTCAGCGACTGTCTTTCTTCCTCTTCACCTTGCTGCTGTTTTCCTTAGCCGTTCGTTTCTGCCTCATCTCTCCCGCCCCATCTCCGACAGCCTTTCGTTGCTGCATAATAGAACTTTGGTTCTTTCTTTTTTTTTTAACTTGCCGATCCCCTCTGCGAGGGCACTTGTGTCGGAAATCTAGCTTAACTTTCGTTCCTGGGAACCTGCCCGGTTCACGCATTCCACGTCTTCCACCCACCCTCATCGGCATAGGGGCTTAATTGCCCTTCTTCCCCTTTCGGCACTGCTCGCTGCTGCCCAGCTCTCAGCGCAGCCATTTCTTTGTCTCCTTAGCCTTTCGAATTCAACCAGCGACCCACACAATGCCGGGCTTCGCCGACTCGTTCTGGTCCCCGGACTATGCCAGCGGGCTGGGTGTTCTCTTCTCCAAGCTGCAGCAGGGAATAGTGGAAAACCAGCAGATCCTTGCCATTGCCCGGATGCGCGCCGATGCCGAGCAGACTTACGGCGCGAAGCTGGGCGATATTGCCCCGTCGGTGGATAGGATGCCGAATGGATTCTCGCGAGACGATGGCGCTAGTGTGCGCAAGGTGAGCATAATGCAATTTTGGTTGCTGGGGTTGTGCTAATTTGCAATGGGGACTAGGCATATGAAGGCATTCGAAGTGAGATGATTGAAGGGTCGAAAAACCACCAGAAGATTGCGTCGAGTATTAGAGACCTTGTGGTTACTCCATTTGGTCGATGGGCTGCACAGCATGAGATGCGGATTTCGAATAGCCAGGACGAGCTTCAAGCTCGAGTGAAGGAACATTCAAAACAGACCGAACTGGTAAAGAAGCTACGAAGCCAGTATTTTAATAAATGTCGATTGGTAGAGGACTTAGAGGAAGAAAATAAACTTGCATTCCAAGACCCGGATAAGGATACGGAGGGCAGCCCTAAACCCCCAGCACCACCGACCATCGTTTTACCCGATACGGAGGAGGAGCCAGAGCCAGTTGAACTTGGAGATCAGGTTTATTTGCCAGATCAGCTGAAGAAGCTTCTTACGCACATGCTTGAAACGATAAAAATTGGAGAGTCGAAAGTACCAATTCTTGGAACGTATCTGAATACTTCTACCGGTGCGGATATAGTGGATTACATCCAGAAACATTTGAATGCGTCAAGCATGAGTTATGCGGAAAGAATTGGACAGGACATGGTTGATAATGGGTTTTTGCGGCTGATCGGAAATGTTGGCAGCACGTTCGCCAACAGTTCGAAAATGAACTACCAGTGGCGCCCGAAAGTCTTCCAACTTACTGGAATCCCCGAAAAAAAGAAACCTTTACTGCGCGTATCGTCACTTGCCTCAGGAAGCGATGATAATGCCGACTCTCCCACCGTCGCCGAGATCATATCGGGGTGGAACCCTCTCAATAACCCATACCCCAACGAAACTCCTGCAGAGAAGCTGCGCCGTGAGGCTCGAGAGTCGGACGAGCGTTACAAAGTCGCCGTGAAGAAGCTAGACCGTATGCGATGTTCGATGGAGGAAGAAGTTGTCGATTATCTAAAGTTCATGGAACGATGCGAACTGGATCGCCTGAGAGCAATCAAAGCCGTTGTGCTTGACTTTTCCGGTGCAATTAGCAACGTTATTCCTTCGCTGCGCAGCACTGTTGATCAGATGATGCTGTATCAGGAAACCATCCAGCCTCTAGGAGACTTGAGGTATCTATTGGAAAACTATAGGACTGGGGCGTTTGTGCCTCGTGTTCAGCCGTATGAGAATTACTATGGCTCTGTTGAAGGTTTGTGGCACTTCGAATAGATCGGAGAAAACGGAGCAAGGCTGATATTCTATAGATCAAACTTTTGGCGTGGATCTTGAGGCAAGGGCCAGAGCCGATCGCAAGCGCGTTCCAGTCATTGTGACGAGCATTTTGACTTATCTAGATAACCGTAAGCTACTTTGTGGTCTATTGGCTTCTTTGCTCCCAATGACTCACGCCTTTTATAGGATACCCTGATTTGGAAGGCGACGAGGCTCGCCGAGCAATATGGCTGCATGAAGTGCCACTCTCGGCAACGCATCATCTGCGCAACGCTTTGAACAACGGTCAACTTGCTCCTCCGGATCTTCTAGACCGATACGAAATCCCCGTTATTGCCAGCGTTTTAAAACTATACTTACTTGAACTTCCTGGTTAGCTCATCTCTATTCCCTTGCAATTTCAACACTTTTCTAATGGAAAATAGATTCCCTCGTGTCCTCCCAAGTGTACGAAATAGTGCGGACTATATACACTGCTACGAGCGATGCGTCTGACGAAGGCCGCGTTAAAGTGCTACAAAACACCTTGGGCCAACTCCGTCTTAACAATATTGCTACCCTAGACGCCATCATCACCCATTTCACACGTCTGATTGATTTGACATCGGCAGACGATGCTTATATCACCTCCCTCGCTCAGAATCTTGCACCTTGCGTACTTAGACCTCGTGTGGAAAGCAACCTCACGATGGATGAACGACATAATTACCGTCTCCTCCGTGATCTTTTCGACCACAAGGACGAAATCTTTGGCGAACTAAAGCGCCAAGCTAGCTCTCTAGGAACCCTGTCGAATTCGGCACGTCCACGCGCCATAAGCTCCGACGAAAGCAATCGACGCGCAAACACCGAGGCTAGAAATCGCGCCATTGCCAGCCGCAGCCGTGCTACGAGTCCCGCCCCCGGGTACCGGCATCGGCGCGACCGATCTACGGGCGGCTCCGAATCGACGAGGTTTCCAATCAACGTCGGTAGTCCGACGACTGAGAGACGGGCAACCAGACAAAGCCTCGAGGTTCCCGGTTCACTCGACTCGCCCGTCGTCGCGGATAGTCGGGCGACGGATGCTCCCAGTCAGAATCCATTACCCAACGGAGGCAGCTCCACGTCTGCCTCAGACGAAGCCCCCGCAGCGGCAGTAGCCAAGAGCAACTCGCTCTCCCGCTCCAGCGGCCGCTACTCGCGGGTCGCGGGTCTGAATCGAGACAGCAATGGCAATGTTGTCGCTGATAGCGCTGTGGACGATGCGCCGGAGCAGGTGCCGCCCAGACCCGTAGGTGTGACGCTGGAAGATAAGCCGATGGATGATTAGTTTCTTGCAGAGAGGAGTTTTTACTCGTTCGTCTATTCCAGGCCAGCTGAGAAAGAGAGGATCACGCTGATTAACGGATTTCTTTTTCCCGGTTTCACCTTGTAGCTTTCTTTCTATTGGCGGGTTTGGGCTCTGTTGCAGGCTTTATCGAGTTCTTTATCTTTCTTGCTGTTGTATGGCAATATCTTTCTGGTACTCCTGTTTTCCTATATCGCTTTGATCGAAGGTTTTTTTTCTCCTGCAACCATACTTTTGTCCTTTCCGTCGTGTATATGTGCTTCCAACCCCCGACGAAAATTCATGGCCCCCATTATGGTATACGCAAACATAGTGTTCTTCCAATCTCACTTTTTTTTTTTGGATATATATGTACAGCAAATGACGGCCGTTATCTGTTCTGGAATGATCATAAGAAGGTTTTTCAATTCCCTTTAAACAAGAGCAACCATTAAATACAATGACACTGATAGTGCTGTTATCAATATTCCTGCATAAAACATTCCTTGAGAAAAAATACATGACCCAGCTTTTTATCCCAAATTATGCCCCTTCCATGCCAAAACAAAAGTGTGACAGTACAAGAATTTAATAAAATGCATGTACTCCGTATGAATATGAATTCTCACAAAATGTGCGTGGTCTAATAGCAATGAAATGCCGCACAAACGTCATCATGATAATGCATTATGCGTCCCTCTCTCTCAACAGGGCTTTCAAAACACCCTCTCCAGGACCAGTGACTTGGGCCTCGATCTCTTTTTCACCAACAAAGCAAACTAGCCCACTTTCCTCGCCTCCTTTTCTAGAGGGAGTACCAGTAGCACCCCGTCCGCTCCGCGTTGGAGTGCGGAATATTCCCGACCCGGAAGCACCGGAACGGGAGCCGCGGGTTCGAGCTTCGCCGATTAGGCCCATGGTTTCTAAACCGCTAATTATATCCTTGAACTCGGTAGAAGTAAGTGGTTGCAGAACGTTCTCTTTCCGGCAGAGAGAGCAATATGTGTCAAATAGCTCTTTAACGGTTGGGGCTGTTGATTTTGGTGACTTTGTTGGAGTATTAATAAAGCTTGTTGATGCTCGCTTTTTGCGGCCAAATGCAATTAAAGAACATAGAGTGGCTTTTTGGTGTAGATTGAGCCCTTGCAGTCGCTCAGTGGTGCCATTTCCAAAGGTTGCGGACGTAATTCGAGCTACATGGGCTACTGTAGCCCGAGGAGCCGTGGCAGCCGTATAACTATATATGTCATTCTGGGAAGGAGTATCTGGAGGCGATGCAGGGGCTGCAAGGTTTGTGTTTTCCACCAACGGCAGTTTGGAGGCGGCTTGAGCCTTTTCGCTGACTTCACGCTCAATCAATTCGATTGTACGTCGGGTCAGGTCAAAGGCTTTTCGAAGATCGCCAGACTGCGATGCGACTTTTCGCGCGCACAGCTGAATTGCTGCAGGGTGGAGGAACGGTACAAAATCTTTTGCAACAGCCATATCTTCCACCAAGAGGGATCGAAGACGCGTTGTAATGACTGTTGTAATTTGCGTTGGGGTATATGGTAGGAATGGAAGAAGTTGTGGCTTCAAGTTCTTCGACTTCAGCCTTGGTAGGAATCGGTCCGTTAGGTCAAGAGCATTAGCGATTCCAACTAAAACAAGGCGAGAGTTTGCCTGCATAGACCATTCAAAAAAAGCATATAGGATCTCAAGGTCGCTTGTCAAGAGATGATCTATTTCGTCCAAAGCAACAACATATACACCTTTGCCGGAGTTTTTCTTAGGTAGGAACATGCCTCGAAGGCGCTCGACTTCGCTCTTCTTGAACACCTGGGAGTCTCCGCAAAGATTTTCTACCAGTTTGCCGTAGATGTCTCGGGCACTTGTCATGCTAGCGCAATTAACGTACGCGACTTTGGCAGAATTCTCCTTCTGGATCTCGCGACAGACTTCTTCGACCAAGGCGCTTTTTCCAGTTCCAGGCGGCCCACTCACGTACTTGCATCCACCGCGGCCCGATGAGATTGAATCGTTAATAAACTTTGTAAGCTCCTGTCTTTCAGACTCACGACCGACCAAGCGTGCCGGGGTCGCACTTCGGGCGAATAGTTGCCTGGCACTTGTATAAACAGTTCGGGCTGAAACAGACGTGATGGTTCGGGGTGTTCGCGGAGTAACGGGTTTAGAAGCAACCAGAACACGATGCCTGGGAGTGATAGGAGAAAAAGAGGAGACATCTCGGAATCTTTTGGATCTTGGAGTTGAAAACTGAGGGGCTGGATCCGCGTTTTCATCTAGTTCTAGGTCAGTTTTAGGATCGTGTTCGGCGAGGGATTTCGACTGACCTGTGACTGATTCCTTACTTTTCTCAAGTGTGCTTGAATTCTCAGAGGCCTTCGCAGGTTCAAGGCCCTTACAAGGCACCGCGAGTCTTGGGCGTTTGACTTCGGACACGTCTTGCGGGCCTGCATTCTGTACGCGCTTAGACCTGCGCTCCCTTGTCGGCAAACTCAAGGGAACAGCGCGTTCGTCTTGATGGATTCGAGGCACTTGGGCGGCTCGCCGCTTCCTGGGGGAAGACAATGTAGAATCTTTGTCGATCGGGTGGTTAGCACGCTATTCAGGCACGACTGGGCATGTTGTGCTTGGATTTGCAGGTGGGCTGGAGAGGGAGGGGGGGAATGTAATTACCATTTGGCTCTGCTGTATTTCGCTGACGCTTGCCGAGCACTGGCGGGGCCATGGCTGAAGGGTATGTAGGGAGAGTGCGTGGTGGAAGATGATGCTTGCTGGGTTGCTAAAACAGCGGGAACAGTCGGTGGTGGAGGAGGAGGTACCTGGCGAAGTACCTTTTTGCGCGGCGGAAGTACCGCCCGTCGCGTCGCTCTTAGCGTGACGCGAAACCCATTAGAACGCGTGACCCCGACTCGCGATTATGGAAGGTAGGCCGGCGGGCTTGGCAGGCACCACGCCAAACGCGGGATGGCAATACGGAGCGCTGATCAACCCTACTGCGCAGCCCCGGTGCATAAAAGTTGTGCATGTTGAAGTGCACTCTTGGCTTATGCGCGCCGCCGTATGATGGTGCCTTGCTTATATAATATTTCCGTCGGACGCGGAATATAATTTCCCCTGGGCCTGCATGTGACTTGACGTATTTGCGGGCGCTAAGGCTAAGTTGGTTTATCGCCTGGCTTATCGCCGCCAGACAATTGAACAAAGATGTAACTCGTCATTCTGGCTGCCTGACTTGCCGCTTGCTAGCCGCCAGGTTCTTCCTGAATCTATATTTCCTTTTGAACATCTCATCTGCTACTTACCACTCTCTTTTCACGACTAACCCCCCCCTTCTTGTTTGAATCTTCCTACCATTCCTTTACAGCTTCTAGCAACTTCGACGGGGCACCGCAAAAAGCTTCCTACATAGAGGTCAACATTCGCGGAGGAGCTCTGTCGCTCCTAATCTGCCTTTTTGGCTTTGGGTCATATTGATTTTCCCTGCTTATCTTTTGCACCCTTAGTCTCCCATTCCGCAAACATGGAGGACGCCGCAGTTGCTCAGTTTACGGAAATCACCGGCTCTAGCCCTGAGACCGCTACTCATTACCTGCAGCTATCGGACTACAATTTGCAGACTGCTATGCAACTTTACTTCGAAAATGGCGCCGTGGATATTCAACCGGAGGCTCCTGCTGCTCCTTCCCAGAGACCATCAACACGCTCCCAAGCGCCTGCCCCGTACGAAGATGAAAGCGGTATTGTTCACCTTGACTCCGATGATGAAGCAACAGATATCCCTGTTGGAACCTCGAGTCGTGAGACCCCCAGGACCACTACTACCACTTTCGAAGACGATCTAGCGATGGCGCGACGATTACAAGAGGAGCTATATGCCGGTGGAGATTCTATCGACGGAGATTCCGTTCGTGCTCCCATGGCTAGAAAAACAGAAACTCTTGTAGGACCGGGAGCGGATTTTGAAGATGTGGATGAGGAGATCTTAGAACAAGTTCGAGCTCGGCAACGAGCCAGAGTTGGTAGGTGCTAAGCCTTACACTTTACTCCTTCCAGCTACTAATAATTCTTGTCCTAGGCCGTGCAGGGATATTTAACCAGAGAGATGTCTCTTCTTCTATTTGGAATGACGAGGATCCAGCATCACATCGCGCAACGCTCTCTCGGGCAACGGGAGGAGCATCAGAAGCGTCTTCAAAATCAAGCATGCTAGCAGAAATGTATAGACCCCCATTTGAAATCATTTCGAGGCTTCCCTGGGACCTCGCACGTACTGAAGGACGAGAAAAAATGAAGTGGTTATTGGTTAACGTCCAGGACCCGTCCATCTTTGATTGTCAGTTGTTGAATAGAGACTTATGGAAGAATCGTGAGATTTCGGACACGATCAAGGAGCATTTTCTTTTCTTGCAATTCAATAAAGATGACGAACGCGGAGCTCAATATCTCCAATACTATTTTACAGGCCGTGATGTTCAGGATAATTATCCACATATTGCAATTGTTGATCCTAGAACGGGAGAGCAAGTCAAGGTATGGTCTGGACCACCGGTGGTTAAAGCGCCAGAGTTTCTCATGCAGCTACATGAGTTTCTTGACCGATATAGCCTGGACAATTCTGCCCGCAATCCTGTGGCCAAAAGAAAACCAGAGGTGAAGCCTATTTCGAAATTAGACACAATGACAGAAGAAGAGATGTTAGAAATGGCTCTGCGGAATAGTCTAGAGGGCCAGGAGGTACCAAAACATGAGGACCCCGACGATCTCACACGCAGTATTGGCGACATTAAAGGGAAAGGCAAAGCTCCTGCTAACGATAACGGCTCGATGGACACCGAACCGCCAGCTAAAAATCGACAGGAAGAGGAGGAAGAAGAAGAAGAAGAAGAAGAAGAAGAAGACCCAAGCACCAAGGCCTTCAAATCCATACCATCTAATCGACCGCACCATGAGCCTGCGGCAGACCCTACCTCCACAACTAGGATTCAATTCCGACATTCTTCCGGTAGGATAATTCGGCGTTTTGCACTGTCGGACCCTGTATGCCGGCTGTATGAGTGGCTCAAAGCAGCCCCAATAGAGGGCAAGGCTGGAATTGACTTTGAATTGGTATCAATGGGGCAGAATTTGATTACTATGCTAGACGCAAGCGTTCAAGATGCAGGCTTAAAAAACGGAACCGTAATGGTTGGATATTTGGAGGATTGATGAACATACATGCATATCGCCATTTCCCAAACGAATGGGATGCGTCTGGATGGCAGGCATAGTTTGCATTCTGCGTTACAATGATGCCTCGCTTGGTCTAGCATCAGAACTGGGCATGTTTATGTAGTAAACACATGCATACTTAAATCGCTGAATAACCACCTGATTCACTACACATATTCATTGAGACCAGATCCGAGTCAAGTTCTGTGGTATTTACGTCGTACAAAGGCTCGGAAATACACGCATAAAACGGTAGTAATGTAAGATGAGATTGATAAGATAAGATAAGATCTGTAATATTACAATACGTCCATCCATACGGAATATTGGCGGTATATGACTAAACATCGAATATCTTGGCAATGCCTGGCGGATCCGGAATAACAAATATCCAACACCCAATCAAGCCGTTTCTCTGACCGGTGATGTCCCTGAACATGCAGGTTAAGCTTCCGCAGCTGTTTGTTTGTTTTGACAGGGCTGCGCAGATAACGACGAAATCGCTGTGTGCCGTCATGACCTGAACGAGCGCTGCTGCATTGCACTTTGCAGTCAACATTGGACCTCTGGGCCTGCGGGTCATCTCGATTCTGAGGCGGTCAACGACACCGAGACCATCCCACTTTCGCCTTCCGCTCGCCCCGGCACCCCGACTTCGAATCCCTTGGGACCCCACTCATTCATCGAAGCGGCCCCCTTCCGTCTTTAGGTGGCTTATTTTATACAAATTGGTTACTGGAAAGGTCGCTGAAAATCGTTGGCGTGAAGTCATTCTGCAAGATGGAGGGCCGTGCGGTGGATCCCGAGACGCTGTATACGAAACAGAATTGCATTGGTATGCAGAGCTTACTGCAGAGAAGATTTTTGAAACGTCACTGATTGTTTGCTCTTCTTTGTAGGTGGTGGAAGCTTTGGGAAGGTATACAAAGGGTCCGGCTCTCTTACTTTTTTTTTATCTGAATTATGGACTTCGTGGGCTAACGCCAAACGCTGGGCACCAGAGTCGATAAGCGTACAGGGCAATCGGTTGCGATCAAAATAATCGATGTTGAAAATGCTGATGACGAGGTTGAGGATATTATCCAGGAGATTTCCATTCTATCGGAACTCAATTCCCCATATGTGACGAAATACCACGGCTCTTATCTGAAGGGCTCTGACCTATGGATTATCATGGAGTTCTGTTCTGGTGGAAGCTGTTCCGATCTTATGCGTGCGGGTAAAATTGAGGAAGAGTATATTATGATCATTCTCCGAGAGTTGCTGTTGGGGCTAGAATACCTACACACAGACCATAAACTACATAGGGATGTTAAAGGTGGGGTATACGATGAAAGCAGGAAGTTGGGTATAGAGTCGCTGACCGATTTTTTATACAGCGGCCAATGTATTGCTTACATCTAGTGGACAAGTGAAGCTCGCAGATTTCGGTGTATCTGGTCAGCTCTCAGCGACCATGACTAAGAAAAATACATTTGTGGGAACCCCGTTTTGGATGGCCCCGGAAGTGATTAAGCAATCTGGCCACGATCACAAGGCCGATATCTGGTCCTTAGGAATTACTGCTATCGAGCTTGCCGAGGGACAGCCGCCGTATTCTGATATACATCCGATGAAAGTCCTATTTTTAATCCCAAAGAATCACCCTCCTACCTTACAAGGAGATTTCAGCAGGCCTTTTAAGGATTTTGTGGAGCTATGCCTGCGAAGGGACCCAAGAGAGAGACCGACCGCCAAAGAACTGTTGCGGCATCCGTTTCTTAAACGTGCAAAAAAGACCACTTATCTTACAGAATTGATTGAAAGATATGAAAGATGGGTTGCTGTTCACGGAAATGACCTCTCTGACGACGAAGATGAAGGACATGCTGCACCTCGCAAGCCCACGAAAGAAGAGGAGGAGCTTTGGGACTTCGGCACGGTCCGACCAGCTGGCCCTGGGCGAACGGCAGGTTTGCGTGCAATGAATGATGCAGCAGCGAATGCCAGAGCTCAGGGAGCCGAAGATCGCCATCGTAATATTATAACTCGTGACTTTGCTGCGCCAGAGAACAACGTGCAGCGCAAATCATCAAACCACACGTTGAAGGCCCCACTCTCGCCGCAAAAAACACCGCAGAAAGAAAATTTTAAACCTGCTTTACCGTCCATATCGCAATTACCGCCGTCGAAAATCCCGCTACCGCCATCCCCACAAAAGTCGTCCGCGTATCAAGAGCCACTATTCAGCACTCCAGCACACAGCTCAAAAGCACCTGTCCATTTTGAAAAAGAAAGCCCTGGAAGCTTAGACTATGATAGAGCTTTGCAACAAGCTCTGGCGCAAGATATGGGGTATCTACAACTAGGCGACTCTCCCCGCGAATTGCCAACCCCACAGCCCAAGTCGCTCCCAACACCCTCAACGAAAGAGCAAGTATCTCGGAAACCTGCTCCAATGCAACTACCCGAGATACCACCTTATAGGGGTAGCTCTAATAATAGGACGTCCTCTCAGAATGTATCGCTTCCACCGCAATCATCTCCGCGTCCGCAACCTCTGCCGGGTCAACTTCCTCTACCTCCCCTCCAACCCCGAAATTATACTCCAATAACGCAAGAACCGAGGCCGCTTCCTTCGATTCAACCTCATAGACAGACTTCAGTTTGCTCCACTCAGTCCATCGAATCTCAGAAATCCACCAGCTCCACAACATCTCAGTCCGCTCTTGCATTCACTGCCCGCCCAGCGCCTACCGATGAGATAACTGCACTTAACGGCGTAATCCTTCCTGCGCTCGAAGCTACTCTTCGCCGTCGCGCATATTCACTCCATACTTTATCTCGCAATTCTGCAGGCAAACCAAGTACCCCTGAGGCGGCCGAAGCGGCACAAAGAAGGCAGTACGCCCACGAAAAGCTAAAGAGACTGGTCATCAAGGCAGCAGGGCTGTTTAAGGATATTGAAAAGTGGGATGAGGAGGCTCCAGTGCCGATGGGCGGGGAGATTAATTCGTTTTTGGAGGGCTTCTTAGAGGAAGTGCTTGTGAGAGTAGAGCCGGAAGATGGAGAGCCGAGTCCAGCAAGACGGTAGGGTCCGTCAGATAATGAACGATTGACGATGATGACCATGGGAAAATGTATTTATTCCCTTTTGTTTTTCTATGCGCTTTGACTGTTTGGGTTGCATGAACTACGTCTTATGAACACTTTATGGCTTCATGTTTTGCTCCTGTCGGCATTTGGTTTAGTAATACCTGTTAAATTTTTTCTTGATATATACCCTCTTTTTAAACATAGGAAATTTGGCCTGATTTCCGATGCCTCGTCTACTTTCCACCTTCTGTTTTAAGAGCGAGAATACTGGAAAATTCTTTCAGCAAACAACAATTTATTTCAGGAGGAGCAGCGCTGGGGCCCAATAAGCTAATGTCACGGTTTCATTTAAGGCTACTAAAAACGGCTCTTTTACAGGAGCTAGGCCCTTTTCCAAGCTTGAAAGTCGACATTTCTCACCGTTGATCTTGAATCTACTCCGGATGCACTACGATACGAGGGTCGATGGCGACTGGCGCTAGCCGTGTAAGGTTAGTCGTGCCGTTCGGGCTGCCCCGCCCCGTCCCACCGGGAACGTCAGCAGCTAGTCCAAATACAGTTAGCATCCTTGAGCTACCTACATATGTAAAAGGGCTGACGACCTTGCGGGGAGCACACCAGACCATCGCACCACTGGGTGTCGTTCTCGAGAGCATTCTGGACCCGAGCAGTGTTGTGGCTCGGGTTTTTATTCTCTATGGACCTGCCACCGCCAACGAATTTTTTTCGATTTCGCCAGGCCTCTGTTCAGCCTAAGCTCTCACTCACAAACGAAAGCCATGGCCAGCGCGAGATGGGAAGCCCGGAGAATGTGTGGTCAGGAAATGACACAGACAACAATACGCATACAGCCCAAGGGGGCGATAGTATGAAGAGGAAGCGGCCAATTTCAGTATCGTAGGTCTTGGAGTTGATTACTACCCCTTTTTGAGTTGATTTTTCTGTTTTGCTACGTGGGAATATACTCATAGATTGATGTTTCTGGAGACAGATGCGAGCTTTGCAAGCATAGAAAAGTGAAGTGTGGTATGTAAAATTTATCACGCCCAGCTATTGTATTCCATATCTTGCCTAAGACTTGCCGCATAGACCGTGTGCAGCCGAGTTGCGGCTGGTGTTCCCGGAATGGCCAAACATGCGAATATAAAGAGCGAAAAAAACCTGGACTAAGAGCTGGCTATGGCCGGGAACTGGAGCAGCGACTAGGTATCCCTTGTTTTGTGATAATTTGTATGCACATGGGAATAAATCGCTAAAAAGGACCTCCCAGATCGGTTAGAGAGCATTATCCAAGCCCAGGCCAAGCTTATCGAAACACATATTCTAAAAGCACAAACCACACCAGCCAGTCATGAACGGCTATCAGATGTCCACTCGCCTTCAAGGCTACCCGCATCAGAGCATTCTTGCGACCTTGAACATGGCCCTCGAATAGCTCCCAAACATCAGGAAGGGTCACCTGAGATATCAGTGTCTCAGCGAGTTTCCACTCGCAGTAAATATACTCCCGAAACACGACTATTGACACCTATCACAGAACCATCTATATCTCAAGCACTGCCGCCCCGAAACCCCTCTGCGGACTTTCCAGCTTCCCGCACAAGGCAATTGGACGACCCCCGATCCGATTTTGCGTACCACACTCCTTCCCTACAATTAACAACACCGCTATCTCCTTCGCAAAGCCAGCCATTGACCAATTCTGATGCCGATCTACCGCCTTATGACCTACTGTATGCCTTGGTAGATCTGTACTTTGAACATATTAATACATGGTGCCCCATCCTCCACAGGAGAACAACGCTTGATACATTATTCGGGCCATCTCCGCTGAAGGAGGAAGACCGAATGCTGCTTTATGCAATTGTCGCCACCACCCTTCGATTTTCCACGGACCCTCGCTTGAACGAGGATAATAGAAAGCGCTACTATGAGATTTCTAAACAAAAGGTTCTGATTTATGGAATATATAATTCTTCCGTGACAGCGTTGCAGGCTTTGGTTGTTTTATCTCTAGACTTTGTTGGCTCTTCTCATGGTCCACCAGGATGGAAATTGCTAGCTTTGATAGTTCGATCTGTGGTTCAACTTGGACTAGCCCAAGAGTCTACATCATCGCTCGTCGCAAACATGTTTCCATCCATTTATACTTTACGAGCCAACATTCTTCCTGATCCCAAAACCTGGATCGAGGAAGAAGGACGACGCAGACTGTTTTGGATGGTATATTTGCTGGACCGGTACTCCACCATTGCCACAGCTTTCGATTTTGCACTGGACGACAAAGAAATTGATCGAAAAGTGCCGTGTAAAACTGATTACTTCCTCAGAGATCAGCCTAGTGAAACTAGATGGTTCGAAACCCAGTCAAGAACCGATTACATGAACCGAAGAGACCACCTAGGCTCATTCGGGTTTTATATAGAAGTGCTTGGTATCTTATCGAGGATTCATCTTTTTTTGAAGCGCCCAGTTGACATTGGGGCCCTTCCAGATGTGCAACAGTGGCAGTCCACATATAGAACGCTTGATAACGAGCTGTCAATATGGGAATATCACTTGCCAAAGGCGTATTCTTTTGATAAGTCGCGCTTGAATGTCATTCCCAGAGGATGCAAATCAGCTCATTGTGGATGGGTTATGCTCCACGCCGCACACCAGACGTAAGCTAGCCAGTATAGTCGTATATTCGGTTATCCCTAGGGTGCTAATCTGTTCTTTGCAGAACGGTTATTCGCCTACACTCGTCTGCTGCTTATCCAACCACACGGTCATCTATTTTCACTCCTTCGTACAGTGCTAGTCAACGATGCCGCATGGCAGTCGAAAATATTCGGCTTCTCGCTCGATTCGTTCTTGACAATAATCTTTTGGACAAACTCGGACCCCCATTCGCCTTTAGTCTATGGGTAGCCGCCCGTCTACTCCTAGTTCGTGGATCTACCATTGCACATACAGTCGATCCTGAAATGAACTTTTTCATCGATACACTCCGCCGGATGGGAAAGTATTGGAAGGTGGCTGAACGGTACAGTACAATCCTCCAGCGCGTTGTTGATGAATTCTCCGAATTCGAACAATCTGCTGGCACGGCGACAGAGCGTATCACGCCATCCACTGTGAAGATCCTCGCTGACATGCGCCGCTGCGCATTTGATCTTGACCTTCTCATATCTCGCCAGCCACGACATCACCCGGCTCTTTCAAGCCCACGCACAGTCCTTTCCCCAGGACGTAACCTTGGTCAGAATGAGCTCGAATACTTCGATGTTTTCGAGTTTTTCAATGTTCCCCGCGTTCCTATCATTCCAGCTCCTGCACCAGCAATTCACTCTTTAAACCTTGCGTCTCCAGACTCTCAGCCTCCAAATTCTGAGGGTGTGCCGCACATGATCAACGCTGATATTGCGGAGGGCACAGCAGCGGCTGCCATGACAAATGAGTTTAATATCACCAACTATATGGTTCCAACGCCGGAAACGGATTGGCTGTTTCAGGTACAACGTGAATAGAGCTTTTGGGATGTGACGATTGTATATGCCTTTTTAATATTCTATGTCGATATGCATGATAAACTAGAAACGAGAAGTCCTCTGATTTTCAGTGGTATCTCCTTACGCCAATATATATATCTATGGGGATTCGGTGTATATATGATCAAAATTTTTGAATATTATTCTACCTTTTCAACCTTTATGGAACGATTCGTACTCGACATGGCTATCATAGGCTGTTTGAGGCAATTGAAGCTGCCCTTCGTGCTTTAACACCTTGGATGTGGATAAAAGGATATGATGCTTGGAATTGAGATCTCATTATAGTCTAGGCTTGATGATGAATTGGATTTCTGTGGTTGATCTCACTCCCTGACTAGACAAAGCTTAGTCAACCGGTTCCAGGAACTAACAAAAGGCCGAAAGAAGTGAAATGCTACCCTGAACCAAAAAATGCGGACAGCCGCCACAAACTAACCTCCGCTCCTCACAGCCGAGGTCTTCCTTCAACACCCGCGCGTTCCGCAAAAGCTGCAATATTTACCAGTCAATGCCCCATTTGCCCGACCGATTTCAAACTATCTTCGGTAGCCAGTTGCGCAGTGGATCCCACCACAAGCAATATAGCTTGGATATCCTGGATCCCGAGACGGGCGCTGTCTTGAATCCCCTCAAAAAATGCGGGGATAGCGGGGTCCAAGACGGTTTCACTATTGGGCCGAGTGGTAAGGTGATCACTACTCCGTGATCCTCGGAACTACTGGCTCCATTGGAAAGCAGTTTCATCCATGTCCGTCTTGGTCATGACGTTTCCATAAAGACACCCCAAGCCCATTTGCCCATTACTCTGAGGTTTACAGTGCTTTAAAACACTCCTTTTCTGCTTCTGAATTCCTTTGAATTCAATTTCGAAGTTCAAGCTCTACATCCCTACCAGTTTCCCTAAACATTTAGCACCATGGTCACAGTTGAGATTCCTAAGCAGGCCAAAGCTGCCGTCTATGATAACCCTGGAAATGTATCAACTCAAGTTACTATGGTCGATGTGCCAGAGCCAGGAACAGGAGAAGTTCTGATCAATTTGTATGTTTGCAACGAGTATGGGTTCGGAGAATGGGGGAGTCCCTAACAGCCAAACCTATTCAGAACTCATTCCGGTGTCTGCCATTCTGACCTGGGCATCATGACAAATACCGTCAGTGATACCTTTTCTTACTTTCCACCTTCAACTTGGCTTATACATTGGTTGTCTTCAGTGGAAGGCCCTTCCGTACCCTACCCCAGCAGGCCAGGTAGGCGGACACGAAGGGGTAGGCAAAGTCGTCAAACTTGGGCCTGGCGCAGAAAATAAGGGAATCAAAATCGGCGACCGTGTCGGCATTAAATGGGTTGCTTCTACTTGTGGAACCTGCCGTTAGCCCGCCTTGTCTCACCTCATCTCGAAACGGTGGAACAACTAACCTTCCAAAATAATAGTTGCTTGCTACGAAGGTGCCGATGCATGTTGCCCTAACAATAAAGTCTCTGGATATTACAACCCGGGAACATTCCAGCAGTACGCTCTTGGGCCAGCCCACTACGTCACCCCCATCCCTGACTCTCTCCCCTCAGACGCAGCTGCTCCCATGCTGTGCGCAGGCGTCACTGTCTATTCCGCCCTCAAACGCAGCCGTGCTAGACCTGGCAACTGGGTCGTAGTGTCCGGTGCAGGGGGCGGTCTAGGCCACATCGCTGTGCAGCTGGGTGCCCGCGGCCTGGGATTTCGCATGATTGGTATTGACCATGGAAGCAAAAAGGATCTAGTGTTAGAGTCAGGGGCGGAGCATTTCTTGGACATCACAGAGTTCCCATCTGATGATGGCGGAAAGGCGATTGGGGAGAAAATTGCGTCGTTGACGGGAGGGATGGGTGCTCATGCAGCTATTGTTTGCACAGCCTCCAATGCTGCATATGCACAGGCGGTGAAGTTCCTCCGTGCCAACGGGGTCTTAGTCTGTGTAGGCCTCCCAGAGCATGACCCGGTGCCAATTGCCACTGCTTTCCCCGCGGCTCTTATTTTCAAGCAGCTCAGCATTGTGGGGTCTGCTGTGGGAAATAGACAGGAGGCGATTGAAACCATGGATTTTGCGGCAAGAGGGATTATCAAAACGCACTTTAGGGTAGAGAAGATGGAAAAGTTGACGGAAGTATTTGAGGAGATGGAAAAAGGCCAATTGCAGGGGAGGGTGGTTCTGGATCTATCATAATTCATGCATGCGGCGTACAGAATCATGGTCACAATTTCAGAGAGTGTATAAGTTAATTTAACTATAAACGATGAGAAACGATGTCCCGAATGTGCTGCAAATTATTTTATCATTATCCAGCATGCCTTCGAAACAGGTACAGCCCGGCTCATAAACCAAAAAGGCCTGCTTGGATGAGCCAATGGCACCTGAACAAAGCAAACAAAGAGGATAAATAAAAAGAGGAGTCGAGAGGAAGTAACTAGTACATTAGGGAAAATTCAAACAAAATAACAGAATTTTGTTTCGTTTCTTTTCGTAATAAGTATAAATGACAAAATATCAGGGCTTTTTAGAGCATAACGGAGAGGATAAGCGCGAAGGTAAAGGAAATTGTAGGACTTTACCAGCTGTCAGGAAGCCTACAAAGCCGGTTCATAGACTTCCTTCTTAAAATTCGGAACATTTAGGGTCAAGTAGCCAGTAGGTGGTCGTAGAATTGCGGAGTCCATACACAGAGTGCCATTCACTCCCTGGTGCGAGTTGATCCACCTGAAATGCCAGACCTGACTGAGACTTATCCAGGTTCTACCTGGTTCTCTTGCCACCGATTGCCGCGGTGCCCGTTGCCGGTCTCTTTCTACCGCCGGAGCGATCCGCAGTTCTCAGCGCCTGCAGCTTGGTCTGATAAGGGATTGAAGCACCATTCACGTGGATCATGCTGGCAAGTGAACCTAGCTCGGGGGCCAATTCACGCAGAATATGATCCGGCAAGGTCTCCAAACAGTCAAGAATGAAGAACGTCTCCGCGTGGCCGGTTTGGTCGATGAGTTGCTTGTACAGATTGCGATCATCATCTGTCTCCCCGGCAGGGGCTCGGCGGCCCCAGTCGCTGTTTTCAAAAGCATCGTTATTACGCGCGACCACTTCACGGAATAAATGCATCAGAGCTTCAGCAGCGGAGATTGCACCGTGGGGGTGACGGGCTCGGATATTATCCTGGATCTGTTTAAGCCTAGCGTTTATCTGTACAACAAGCACAGGGATTTCGAGGGCAGCGTTCCGGCGTACAACACCGGTCTGGCGGTATCGATCGAATTCAACAAAGAGAGCACGGAGTCTTTCTGCCACCTTTTCGAAAAATATATCTGCGCGTGCACCAGATGGCATAACTTTGCGAAGGCCAGAGTATACCTTCTCGTCGTGGACTGCGAGGCGAAACATGGTAGCCTCAAAGTCACCTTGAACGACACACTGTTCAGGGGTCCTAGACTGGTTAATGGTCTCCACAAGATCCAGACGGAACTCATTTGGCAAAGTTGCCTCGCTGAAGGCAGAGAGAATGTCACGGGCCTTCTCAGGGCGGCTCATGAGCTCCAATTCATCATCACTTATATCTGGAGGAGACATTGATCCAGGAAGATAAGGCCAGTCGCGGCTTTTTGCTATTTCTTCGATACTGCTTTCCAGTTTTTCAGCTACACGAGCGAAGAACTGTGTTTGACCAGTCTCTTGCAAGCGCCCAGGGTGGGGAGGGGCTCGAGCACTGAAGCTTCCATGCAGCTGGTCAACAAGCCACTAACGATGTTGTTAGCATCGATCCCACAGATACTCTATATATAGGGCAGAGGCTTACATATATATGGCGACATGCAAGTTCTGTTTGCTGGAAGTCCCTGCAAGAGCAGACAAGTGACCCATCAGATAACCGAATACGGCCACGGTCTGCTACGTCGAATTCAAAGCCTGCTCTAGTGGACCGGCACTTGTCCATAACAAATTCGCCTCTTAGGCCATGGACGGCTCGGGACCTGGCAGCCTGAGACAAGCCACCAATGTCGAATGGGAAATTGGTAGATCCACGGACGACTGTTGTCTGAGCAGGGCCCTGGGCTTCTTCATCGCTGCTCGATGATTCTGCCTCTGTGTCACTCTCATGCTGAGTCCGTGCTTCGTACGGGGAGGCCGTCTGCCGTGTTTGACGTTGTGGTTGACCGCCAGCCATACTTCCTATAGAGAGCTTTCCAAGCTTTCTCGTGGGGGCAGACATCGGGAGCACACTGAGAGGAATTAAGGAATATAAGAAAATGTCAATGAAAGCTGCGTCTCCTCCTTGGAGTCTGTTGAGATAGTTTCAAGGAGGAAATTGAGCGCATTCCTGTCCCTTTTGTATCTGTTCAGCAATCCTTGGGAGAGCTGGAAAGGGCAACTGCGGTCTATCCCAACCGAGGGGGAGGCGCAGAGCGTCGCGGCTTTCGACGAATCTCAGAGCAAAGAGCAGTCCCACCAGGAAGGAAACGAAATAGCCGGGATGGGGGCTATCAAACCAGTAGCCCTCACTGGACGACGACGAGTCAGCTAGCGCTGCTTATATGTAGAGTCACGCTGGGCTATTCTGCGATTGTTTAGAATGCAGGAGTCAAGATCGAGGCCCAACGTCGTCATTTGACCGGAGTTACCCATTCTGGGTCTCCGATGCACAGCTGGTCGCAGAAAAAAGAGGCTCTAAAAAGCGCCAGGGATTCCAATCACACCTAGAAGCCCGGAGCCCGGGAAAAAAAGATGGAAAAAGAAATGCCAATGTGCATGTGAAGGGGTTATATGGAGCGGATGGTTGACTGCCCGCTTGCGGCACAGCTCCAGCGACAGGCAACAACCATGCGCTGGGCGAATATTGAGCTGGGGATCGCAAGCAAGGAGCAGTCAAACAAAAGATAAAAAAAGCAGAAAAACCAGTAGATTTCCCGTTGAATCAATAGATCCCCAAGCCATTAGAGTGGTAATTTAGGCCTGTTTACTAGACAGCAACATCTTCGGCCATGAGTCCATGAGTCCATCATCATGAGCCCCAAAAAGTAGCGCAACGGCGTAGGCGCCATTCGGCCTTGTCCGTCGCCAGATCCTGGGTATTAACACAATTCGCTAACGCAGAGGAGCTATTCTCAGAACCAGCGAGAGGCATCCACGGAAAGGGGCATGGTGCCTGCATGCGGCGCTGGTCATATTATTCGGAACACACGCCGTTGGGCACGGAGCTTGGGCACTGCCCTTGCTCGCGGGGCCCGCGTCTGGGTCGTATTCGATCACGATTTCAAATAACTGACTAGGCCGGACGGGCAGCAGGAACGGCGGCACAGCGGGTGGCCATGTCGAGGATTGGCGAGTGTCGTCGCGGCGTGCATACCGCGGGCCGGGGGAGAAGCTCAACGAGAGGCAATCCGATTGGCGATGGGAGGGCTGACGGTCGCCTGTGCCGCACGAGCGATTTGGCGGCTTCGATCTGGCTTCTACTTGGCCGTTGCGTGTCTGGGGATCGCAGGAGCTGCAGTGGCGAGATTCGCAGTATAGCGCCTGTGATTCGGCGGGCTTGTGAACGGAGCGCAGGCAGGCTTTGGCTTGATCGCTAGACTGCGCAGTTCAGCCGCACTGCGCAGCACAGGAAGTCCTATGGCCCGCGCGCTTCACGCCCATCGGCACAGCGTCTACCACGGCCATGTTGACGTCGTTGTCGTTGTTGTCGTCGATGCTGCTTTTTTGGTCGGGCTGCGGGTACGAAGAGTGGAGGGTTCGTATCTGCGACGGCCATCGACGCCTTTTTTCTCGCACTGGCGGACTACCTTGGCAGGCAACCGATCGCTGGAGATCCGGCGATGCCAGCACGCAATACATGCAGCGGTCAATCGGCCGGCCCCGCGCTACTGCTGACACGGAGATCTCGCCGTTGCTCCCAAGAGACGAGACTGGCTGCTCGCCCGCCCGCCCCAGAGAGCCGACTGTTGCAGCGCGATGCAGCACGATGCAGCGCCAGCAGGCAGCAACGTCGCGCTGCATCCTCAACCGGAGGCCATGCCCTGCCCCCATACCCACAGCGCTGCGTCTGTTCGCCAGATCTTTCCTATCCCAGGAAATGGACGGCTGTTGGCCTCCCCTCCACTCGACTCGGCCGCGATGACTCCGACCCGTCATCCTGCGATGCATTGCGTGTCAACTCTGGCAGCCTTGTCGTGCTGATATTTCGAAAACAAAACCCTGGCCCAAGGCCTCATATTGCGGGCATTTGTGCGTCTGCATGTGGCCGTTTCTTGGGCTGCAGTTCGACTGAGTCTTTCGGGGGGGGGGCTAGACCTATAAGTATGTGACTCATGCCCATAGATATTGAGAGGACCGCGTGTGCCATCATCGTGGCTCGAATGCACAATAGACTCCGTGTCGTTCTGGTAATGCACAATTGGAGCAGGAAAATGCTTGTCTCCCCTGCTATGCCTCTTGTTTCTGCAAGAATGATAGCCCGCGTCACGACCAAAATACAGTCAATCTAATGCAGAATCGGAGATTTCATGGACGCTCAGGCATATGTTTCCTCTGCAGCATCTTCTGCGACATATTCCACGGACTATTGTCGGTGGTCGAACAACTCTAGCCTTTCGTTGAGCCGTTCGATGAAAGCGATGCCACCCTGGAGGTTGATGGGGGTTATTATGGGCCTAGTCAGCCCCGGAATAATGTTATTCCTACTTCAACATACCAAAAACGGAAGTCATTGAAAACCAGCTCAATAGTATTTGTTTTCTCCTTCGATAAACGCTATAATGCAATTTAACCATAAAACACATCTACAACTACCTATGATTTTGTGCCTTGGCCTGCACCAGTCGTTCCTGAATCCGTTGTTCCCAACCGACCCTGAGAAAGCCTGGCCGCCTCCTCTTTGAGCGCAGTTCTCAGCTTCCTTGCGTGCCACCTGACCTGCGCCGACGTGAACGATACTCCAGAGTGCTCTCGTGGCTCTACGGGCACAGATTCAAAATCCTTCTCGTCATACTCACCTTCATCCTCAGAGCGTGGGATCATGGCTTGTTGCGTAGCGAATGGCTCTGACGACGTTTCCTCCGCCCCGCCTAGCGATTGAGATTTCTTGGCTTTATCTTTAACAGTTGCTGTATGCTGGTGTTCTGCTTCAGCTGTTCCCCTAGTTCTTGGGGGGGGAGGGGTGTATCGCTCCTCTTCGCTTGTACTGTCGCCGTAGTGCACACCACTACGTTCTACGCTCTGGAGTTTTCTCTTCCAAGGGCACATTTCACATTGACAGTGCCCTCCAAATACCCGATGCGCAACGTCCTCCGCTGGTTTAGTAAGGACATATGGAAGGGTGAGCTCTTGGCCCTCTGGTACGTTTCTGCAAGCCCAAAGGACCATGCGATTCGGAACTGAGAGGTCCCAATCCCAGATCACGTTGTTTGTATTAGGACATGTGCTATTAAACATGGACACCCCAGGAAATATGTATAGATTTTTGAGGCTGGGGACAGCTTTGGGGTACTCCGCTAGAGAAAGTTGTGGCAGCCCCGTACGGCGGAGCTGTTTGGTCTCAGGTGTATCCACAAAGTCCTTCTGGCGCCGATCGCCATCCCAAGGGATCGCGTTAAGGAGCAGCTTTCTGAGCACTAGCTGAATAACCCAAGTGTCGAATGCCAAGTCCTGGAAAATGTCAACACCGAGATATTGCAGAATGTCGAATGGTACCCGGATATTTGCAGCATAAGAAAAAGGAAACATCTGTTTCTCAAACCCTTTGTCAGCACCTATAAGTGGCATTAACTCCTCAATTTCGTGGGCCATGAGGTGTGGCTTTCCTTCCACTTCACGTCTTCGGAGAGTAATATCGAAAACCTCCCGAAGCAGCAGGCTCAAAGCGGTACCATGCCTTTCGTTTGAATGTCTAATCGACTGTACCCACTCATCGGAGAAGACTGGCCTCATCGAATCATGGAGCCATTTCCAGTCACGTCCACAAGCCCTATAGTGGTAGTGATTAAGTGCTATCTCTAAGCACGAAGGTATCTGGGTCATTTGTTTTTTTGCCAGTGGTTCCTTACAGCTGTCATCAACCTCATCACCTTCAGCTGGCCTTTTCTGAGATTCAATTCTTGGTTGCTGGTGCCCCGTAGTTTCAAGAGGTACGTCGTCTCTGGGAACACACCAGGTCAAAGGTTCTGATACTAGCAGACAACATTCACACCCTAGCCCTTTAGCCCGCAAGCCCTCCACATTCTTACTTACATACTCTTTGATTGTTTCGTCGTGCAATGCATGATTTACTGGCTTCCTGCAATTCTCGCAAAGCTTTTCTTTTCGAGGAAAGAAACTATGAAGATGGCCTCGAATCGATGGCTCGTCAACGTAAACAACTTCTCCAGCGGATATATGTCTTGTGGCATATACGCCTATCTGGTCCCTATCCTTTTCTCGAACTTCAATTTTTTGAGGGAACAGACGAATCGACTGAGACTTGCCAATGATCTCCTTGTTGATCCTTGAAAGCATTGTCTCCGATGTGCGTTCAAGCGGCTGGCTGAAAGGGTACTGCAGCCCGCGAACATACCCATAATGGCTTTCGTAGAAAAATTCTCGATCGTCATCTTGTTTCTCCTTCGATACCCCTTCAAGAAAGTTCCGAAGCAATTTCTGACGCTTCTCAATAAGCCACTTATCACGATCACGCATGATCAGTTTTTGGGGAAGGTCATTTTCAACCAGGCGATAGTCCTCCCAACATTGAAGGCCAAGAAGACTCAAGCACACTAGGTGATAGAGTGTCTTTCGCAGGTGCGGTATAAAGTAGTTGACGCCGTTCGCACTTCGAAGTTTTGTCACATGATCCGAAATTCGCTGCCCGTCGACTTTTATATTCATAATATGGCGCTCGATAGCATCCCAGGTCCTAATATATAACCCAGGCTGAAGATTTCGCTGCCTTGGGTCAATTAGAATCTCGCATAGCAGCTGAGCACGATATGCATCTCCGAGCGCGAGATCAAAAAATCCCATTTGATAGTAGACGTATGCTCTGCTGGTCCAATACGTGGGGTTATATGGGCTGAGCGAAATTGCCCAGGTATACATCTCAACAGGGCTGAATTTTGCGTCTGATGTTACTTTTATGAGGTACTCGTTCTCGCGAAATAACCCCCATTCTGGCAATTCTTGCAAGGGCAGCCGGCTCCCCATTTCCACGTTTCTGTATCTTGAGTTGATCATGCGCAGCTCGTATTCATATAGCCGCTTTTTGAGCTCTGCAATTGTGCCGTTGGTTTGGAGACGTCTCTGCTGCAATTGATACTGCAATTCTCCTTTCTTCCAGTGAGAGCTAGCAATGTCTTGACCACCGATTGTTACTCTTAAGGGTACTTCATCAGTGCTCGTTTCCGGTATTGGGTCCCGGAGCCCAAATATCTCTCGATATCCCCATCCTTGTGTCCTAATAATGTTGGGTTGTCTAATATCGTCTTTAGGTCTCTCAACAACAGGATATTGAGCATTCATAGTTTGCTGGTCCCTACTAAGAGGTAAGATGCTATGTTGAATGAGACTCTCATAGACACTTTGAGCGAGGCAGGTGTCCACGTCTTCATCTTCCGGGACTAAGTCGGGGTCGGTGCTAATCGGCGTCATTTTCCTGAGCAGCTCATCCTGAGTCCTCCAGACCTTAAATGCTCGTTCTATTTCATAGTCCGTCGGCAATGGGCCCCATTTTACCTCGTCGAACAAATTTGGCCGCTCTGGAAAGGCGGGTCGGCGCGGAGGAAAGTTGGTTGGGGCAGCCATACTGCCAGTTAATTTTGGCTATATGTTTCAAATGTTGTATAGTTAATTATTAGCGATATTTTAAAAATCGATTGAGAGATTATAAAGCTAGGGAATAATTTGAGTTAGTTTTCAACACGAGAGGGAACTATAGAGAAATAGACACCCCGCAGTATGTGGTTCTGGACAACAAAATCAAATCTGGTGGGATATTGGAAACGTGGATATATGGATAAGGAAACGGACACTGAAAAGTAGGGGGCTATCAATGCTTCAACCTCCTGCTCCAGGGGAATAATCTTGCTTTCATTCTTATGGTTAAAAATGACAATGCTCATTTAAGTATGCACAATGCCAGGAGAATGAAGTATCAGCCTATTTCGATGGCCATCCAAAAAAGTGCAAACATTTCCCTTTCATGGGCTGAATCAAACCATCATTTCTTTAGCCAATGCGAGGTGTTCATGTGATAATGGCTGATGGGACTGTGGATGAATGAGCCCTCTATAGAATAATCATCGAGGGAAGTCTCGGACCCGGAAAGTATCCCTCAATCAGAAAGAATACTCTTTGAAACGAAAACAAAGGGAATAACGAATCCTGCGAAATTCGGATGCGGCTAGGGACTCGTTTCTCAATGCTTTCTCTCGGTCAGAATACCAGCAAATGCCAGACTATCTTCAACTTGACCCTATCGGTATTAAGTGCTGTATCGCTAGAAAATATCACTCGATGAGTACGTTTTGCCGGTAAAATACGGAGCAAGAAGGATTCTCAGAAAGAGACAGAGTGAAGATTTCTTCCTTCCTATGAAATAAGCTATCTACTTATTAGGAAGAGGTGATCACTGACCGAAACATCCATTCTTGCTTCACCACCACTGGATAGCTATACAGCCAGGGTTATAAATATAATAGTCATGGCATATCAGCTTCACAGTATGCGATCTTAAGTTCCCAGACCTTCCATGAGCCACGGGTCACTTATGAGTTCTTCTGTGGTAGGTCTCTCTTCAGGTAACCACCGTAGGGTTCGTCGAAAAAATGATAGAAATCCATTTCTATCCTCACCTCCAATCTTTTCAGCCAAGTCTTCGAGCGAATGGGTAGGAATCGGCGCAGCTCCTCTCCATGTCCCTATATATCTCTACATAAATACTAATATTTTCTCCTTCGAGGGATAAAGCATGGCTTACCGTTTTAGTCCCACCAAATCTGACACATTTCACTTCGCTTCAAGAATTCTTTCGGAGGGCGACCCATGATAGCAATCATTTCCGCAAGATGAATAGCATCATCAAGAAGCTTTTCTGAGTTTCGACCACGGAATAGAGTTCGGCCTGTTACAAGATCCCAACACTATGTATAACATCGAACCAAATTATAAGCATCATCAAGATAACTTGTGGATAGTTATATGTGCATACCACCAACCCTATGCTCCACATGTCAACTTTCTCATCCCATGGCATCCGTAAGATGATTTCTGGTGCTCTGTAGACATCTGGCATCACATCTTCCCATGGCAACTTCCCGCTTGACATAATTCGAGCTTCGCCGAAATCAGTAATCGATGGAAAGCGAGGCGTCGGTGGGATTCTTCTGCTCATATATATGGTGCGATCACCAAGGAGTTTTCTCGGCGCAGGCTCCTCTATCTCAGCGTCTTCAAAGGTTGAGAAAACTGTTCTATCATCAATATCAAGAAGCATGTTCCGCGCTTGTAGGTCTAATTTAGGCACGTAGTTAATAGTCAGGAGCTATTTACCAAGACCTATTTCTAAGTGTGAACCTACCTGTGTGTACAACTTTCGCACGATGTAGAAAGTCTAACGCAACTATAATATTTCGCAAAGGAGGTTTCAACATTTCCAAAGTCAAAGTCCTTGTAGGGAGGATGTCAAGAACCTGATAGAGGCTCAGTCCAAGAGGCTCATGAACAAGACATACATGTGTACCATTTGGGCCCTGTATCTCAAAAGAATCATATAGCTTGCGGTACAAATTTTTTCCACTATGCTTCACCAGAGGAAATATAGAGTCCAAATGCTTGTAGATACCCAACTCATGATTAGCTTTCTGGGAATCGTTGACACATAACTTTAAAGCCATATTCAAAAAGTCAAGGAAGGTTAGTCTATGGATTTAACAAGAATATCAATTGTAGCTCACTCACTCCAAGTCACGAGAAAGCCAGACGGTAGATGAGCCTCCATAACCTAGCTTACCAATGATCTGATACCTATCTTTCAGAACCTGACCTATCTCCGCAGGGAAATATTTCTCTGCTTTGTATGTCGGGAGCAACTCCTCCTCAATGCCCTGCGAAACATCAAGCTCCTTGAATCCAGTGTGGGGAATAGCCAAGGGTGATGTAAAAGCCGGCGCGTTCATTATTTGAATTGAACGCACTGGTTGAGATCCGCGTTGGGGGAGGTAGCGCGAAAGAAGAGGCCAAATGCCCAATCGACTTAGCAGCGATGCCATCTTCTGACAAGAAGCTGAAAGTTGTAGTTTTCGTGGAATTTGAAGTTGAGATAGCTCATGTTTTATTCCTTAAAAACCTATAAAAAACGGAGTAATTAACTACATAGTTATTTCGGACTCAACATAAAAATTCCTTCAGTACGTGAACATGGCCAAACGGACGTTTCAGTCACTCTGGAGAAGATCTCCACTCAGTCGCAAGCAGCCGACTACTTTCTGTGGTACTGGCGCCGAGATCCTTCCAAATACTCTAGTAGAGGAAGAAGTTGTACCGGATTTTCAGGCGAACTACTATCTTCCTGTCAACCCTGGTGATATATTTAATCAGAGATATGAGGCGCTGGCAAAATTGGGATGGGGTGGATGTTCTACTGTCTGGCTTGTCCGAGATCTCCATCGGTAAGAGTCCCAGCTACTCTATTAAGAATTACGCTGTTAATAACCTGAGTATAGATGGAACTGGCAATCTGAACGTTATTTGGCTTTGAAAGTCGGCACCTGTAATTTCCAAAACGCAAAACATGCCACTCACGAATTTGACACTGAATGCCATATCACTAACACGGATTCGCGACATGTCGGCCGTGGTTATGTGAGGACTTTTGTTGAGCAATTCGAAGAAAAGGGACCAACTGGAACCCATATATGCTTTGGATACGAGCCTATGAGAGAAACTCTCACAGTGTTCCAGACACGGTTTCGGGACCAGAGATTTCAATTGGGTCTTCTCAAGGGTTATGTGAAGCTGCTTCTGAAGGGACTTGATTTTCTCCATTCTGATTGCAATGTGATTCACACGGGAAAGTGTTACCTTTTTCTATATATATGCAACATTCTTGTTAACACCTCAATCAATAGACCTTAAGTCGGACAATATTCTAGTGGGATTTGAAGAGCTTTCTGTGCTGAAGGACTTTGCAGAATTACAGCCATCAAACCCGATGCCACGGAAATCGAAGGACGGCAAGACTGTTTACCTTTCTCATAACGATTTTGGTACTGTTAGATCTTATTACATCCTACCTAAGATAACCGATTTTGGATTGGCACAGCGCCAGAAAGATGCCACCCTGTTGAATAGACATCCTATTCAGCCTGATCCGTATCGAGCTCCCGAAGTTATCCTCGGCGCAGGGTGGACATATAGTGTGGATATTTGGAATCTTGGATTGCTGGTAAACCAGATCTGCTTAGGCTTGCTTTCGTTTGCTTACAGAATTTTTGATTTTAGATGTGGAATTTCCTTGAGTCTCGAAATCTGTTTACTTTGGCGGTTGACGATAAAGGAAATTATCATCCTGCTGCACATATTGCAGAAATGATTGCTTTATTTGGCCCACCGCCCAAAGAGCTACTAGAGCGCGAGAGGGAAGGCCTGAGTTGGAAGTGGACTCCAGCTGCCCATAACGAGGAAGGAAAATTGTGCAACACAGCGTCCGAGTGGTATGGTGGTCCATTTTTTGATGAGCATGGTACGCATCCACTCTATTTTTATATGCCACAACGTAATCTCCTCCTAAGGTAATTTTCTGACTTGATATAGGGGAATTTCTCCACAAGCATTTAATACCCAGTGAGCTTCGACTGGAGGATACGGTTACGTGCCTCGGGGAAAAACAAAAAGCCGAGTTCCTATTCTTCGCAAAGAAAATGCTCCAGTGGCTCCCTGGTGATAGAAAAACAGCGAAGGAACTGATTGAAGACCCTTGGCTTAGTGAGGAATCAATTAAAAGAGAAAACATTTGACTCTGCTAGTAACGCTCAGTTGCATCCGCGAGTCATTGAAGTAAGAAACCGACCATGATAGGGCGAGTTATGGGGTTGCTTAGGGTGTTAGTTTCGGCCTGGGTAAATACTATGTCATAACTTCAAAGCATCGAAAATGAACCTCTCGTGCAAAAGATCCCGAGTAGATAACATTGATGCAATTCAAAGCGCGTCCTCGCAGGCATCTGGTAGGCATAGCTCAGCAGTAATACCCTTCGTCTCCTCTCCTCGCTAAGACCCACGATTTCAGGATCGCGAACGATGGTAGAAATCATATTGCGTCGGGAATACCTTTTTATCAACGTGAACCATTGAGTGCGATTCCGTAGAAGCCCTCCTAAAAGGACAAAATACGTTTTGATGGCTGGGTTAATTTTAGAACGAATCATTGAGAAATCCAATTCACGCAGAGCGCGTTGCGGGATTCCGACGTGGTCAGCGTAGCCTCGAGGGCAAAAAACCAGGGAAGAGGTTTCCCCGGTTGGAGAATCCAACCCACAGCAGCCTTGGAGGCACTGTGTGACACGTTGGCTGGAGCAAGAGGAGATTGGGGGCTGGTACTAGTTAACTCGCGTGGCTATTCTTGGCGCATCACGAGCTGCTGAGCTGCTTTGGCATTATTAGGTTGGGCTTCAACAATACGAGCCTTGCGAACAACTTCACCTCATCCTCTCTACATGTATAACTACGTACTTCGTACACTCGGTTGCTTGAGCCACTCATTTGCCATTCTTGATATCTGTCTCAGCCCTGAGCTCGTGCCACTGCCCTCGTCGAGAGGGCGACGATGACTTATAGTACCTGATGCGCCCTTCAAGATCACTGCCATAGACCGCCGAATAGCTGGGGCCCGGGAACAGTGCGTTTTCCATCCATGTTTACAGCATATTATACTGACAAGCCATCACTGCAGGAACTATATAGCACGCGATCCGAGTCGCGACAATGTACGGCTCCCAGCCTCCCCCGCAAGCATACCATCCCACGGCGCCGCCTCCAACACAACCTGAGTGGCAGCAAAAACGCCCAGCAAAAAGTTCTCAGACATGGCAAGGTGCCTCAGTGTCGTCTCCTGCGCCCAGTCTACCTCCCCCTGCAGTTTCACAGCCGACTGCACCTGCATATAGCCCAAGTATGTACGGGCCGATGCCCAGCGTAACTTCTCCAGCGCCAGAGAATGCTTCGCACGGCCAGGGGAGCATGAATAGCTCTTTACCGAATGATAAATTGACCTGGGGAGTACGGTATAATCAGCAATATGGACATCACCAATCAGGGAGTATTCAAGGCATCCATTCACTCTCCCCCCCTCCATTGCCGGTATGCTATTCTATTTCTCGTTATGAAAAGATGCTAACCATGTCCTTTTGATAGCCTCGACCAACGAGTGGAGTCGATCACCAATTTCAACCACGCCCGGGACAGCAACAGATGTGGGCTTCTACGCCACCTCCACAACCTTACTATACACAGAATAGCCCCGTAAATTATAATAATGAACAGCAGCAACAGTTCTGGCAGCCTCATTTGTATCCGGACCCTGGTTCATCAAACCAATCTATTCCTCCTATACCACCGCCAGTCCCTCCTGCGTACCAGGCAGAAGCCCAGCAGCACTCTCAACACAGCTGGCCTAGCGCACCTGTGATATCTACCCATCCTCCCACGCATAACTATGAGCCGTCACAGCAAAATTTACCACAGCAACCGCAGCAAAATCAGACTCCTAGTCAGATAATATCTCCTACATTACAGCAATTCCCTTTTGCCCCAACTGGTGCTTTTAGTGGCCCAAATGCCCACTATACCTTCCCCAATACTATCGCTCCTGAGAGACCTTCCAGCTTACCACCCCCGGAACCACCTACTGTGCAACAGCCCACTACCAACGAAACAATGCCCCCTACGACCGCCTATGTCTCAACGCCAACTTCAGTTCCAAGCCTGCCGGCAGTCACCCAACCTTCAAATTCTATACCAAACTCGTCCGCGTTGGGACTGGGAGCACCATCAGATTGGGAACATTTGTCTACTAACCCAGGAGAAATCGATGATACTGCGTCATTTAAGTTTAAGCCACTGAATCCGCCACAACAGAAGCAGACTCTCGATATTGTATCTGATATTATGCCTACTCAAGCCCAACCCGGAACACCGAAACCAATATTACAACCTGCAAGGTCGTCTACACCTGTATCACATGATATACCCCAGTCAGACCATGTTTCGCCCGTGTCAAGTGAAGCTAATACTACCCAACACGTGTCTCGTCCTTTCCAGCAAACTGATCGAATGAACAGCGTAGATTCATATTCGAGCGCCATATCAGTGGAGGATGGCCTGGGAATTGAGAGTGTCATCAAACAATGGTCCCAGCCTACAATGGCCGTGAATAAATCACCCGTTGATATGGGAGAGAATCCTGTCATTCCAGCTGTCGTTCCCCAGGAAAAATCAAATCGGTTTACAACACCCGTATCTAGTCTTCTGCCTTCTCCTATTCGGACGTCACCAAAACAAACTCCACCGGCAGCACCCAGATCTTCCTCTACTAAGCCTGCCATGGCCATCCAGGACCCTTATGCCGACCTAGACCCATGGTATAAATCTTCATTGGCAAGGTATGTAGCTATGCTCAGGAAAGAAATGGCAACCGAGTCAGACGAGGGAAAATTCAAACTCTTCTCTGCTTTCATGGCGAAAGAGTCAAAGTTACGAGAGATCCTCTACAGTGTGGAAATTATACCAGAAACTCCAAAGAGTAAACCAGTGGTTGCCGAACCGGCTAAACAAGTTGAGCCGCTGAAAGAGGTAGACAGGCCTACGTTGCGGCCACTAGATACGGATTTGCCAATACCGGTGGATCAAGAAGATGATGTTGTCACTTATAGTCCCGGTGGTCGCCCGGTATTTGGATCTTCGCTTGTACGAGATAAACTAGAAAGAACCAATGACGCCGGTCTTCAGAGAAGCGCTTCAAACCCAAATCCTCCAGCGCAGGTTCGGAATCGGCTTGATGCTTCGAATACGCTTGGACTTGTTGGCTCACCTGTAGTTACTGGAAACCCATTGATGAACCTTCCTCGAGCTACATCTGTTCCACCAGCCACACAACTGTCTATAGCCACACCCGAGTTGCCTCGTGCATACACACCATTTCGATACCAAGAAGCTCCTACGGTACGGTCGCCGTCGCTTGACCTAAGCCGTCCAGCCTACCAGGCTTATTCGGCTCTGCGACAAGCATCAGCAGAAAGCGGTCGGGCGATGGCCCAGCCGACTCTACAGCCGCGTCAGGACTCAGATACCTTGGATGTACCCCGGCCAGTCAGGGAAGAACATTCCGAGACGTTTTTGGGTCTTGTTCGGGAGAAGAGTGTTGCTTATCGAGGGAAACGGCCCGAAACGAATGTAGGGAATCGATCGCCTACGGACCCGTTCAAGAAGGGAATTGCGACTGCGATATTGGATGATATTCGAGGCTTGGTCCCGGCGGTCCTACCGGATCCCAGTGCTCATACCCAAGTTGTAACAGTGCGCAAAGAGCTACAAAAATTTTCCGATGATTTCAGTTTCATGGAGAAGAGCTTAGAAGCATGGGATCGTGGGGCGAGTGCGCGGCAAGCTCAGCTAGAGAGCGTACGCCGAACGCGACAAGAAGAGTCAGAGCGGCACATTGATTCTCTTTTCAATAGCAAGGAGATCGGCTACTCTGACATCAGCGTTCTCGAGAATGAGTTCAAGCAAGTTGAGGCGCAGAAACAGTTAAACGAGGAAAGAAAGGAATTCGACAAATTTGTCGAAATCGTGTTTGTGCGTGTTGATGAACGGCTTGGCTCGGAGATTGAAAGCTTAGAGTCCCTTTATAAGGAGACGCTTGAGCTTCTCGACCCCGAGTCTGGCGATTCCAAGGATAAACTAGAAAAGTTTCATCTATCGTATGTGATGAAAAACGCCGCAGACATATTCCAGAAACTGGAAAAGCGCCACGACAAGCGAGTCTGTGCTACGATTGAACGCGAGAGAAGGAGGAAACGGGCAGAGCGTCGATTCTTTGTGTTCATGGGTGACTCGGCGGCGCTCAAGCAGATGGACAAGGACTTTGAGGCGGCGGAGAAACGGGTTGTCTTGGATGCGGCCAAGCGGCGGGACGAGCGCGCCAACCAATTGATGGACTCGCTGGACGACGCAAGCATGCGTGGAATCGGCGAAAATCAGACCGTGCTGGATGATATTGCCATGAAGGTCGAGAAGCTCGATCCCAGCCTCGTGCGCAGTATAAATAACCTACCGGCCCACTCCGAAGCCACGTTGACTTCCGCCACGAAATTCGTGCAATTCCTGGGCAGGGATTCCGAGTCGATCCTGTCTAGCTTCGGCATCGCGGACCGGGTGCTTAACAATGCCGACTATGAGGTCTCAGTTTCGGAGGCCAGAGTGGCGAATGCCGGGGCTGATATCTTCCGACGGCTGGAGGAAGAAAAGAAAAAAGAAGACGGCAAGATCGAGGAAGATCTAGAATCCCGAATGGCGGATGTTCGAAGTGGGCATGAAGAAATCCTGCAGAGCATTAAGGATGTGCTTGACCAGATGCAGAAAGCCGGGCTGTTTTCGGGCAGCTGTGATGATGGTGATGGTGAAAGTGGCGGTGGTGGTGGTGGTGGTGGTGGCGGCGAAGGACCTACGATACCTGACGGAACTCCGTTGGTCGAGGCAATTCCGACACGTCCAAGTCCGCGATCTTCGAGCCCCATGGCAGACACAGTGGAGCAGCAGGACCGGCTGCGAAAAGCGCTAGAAGAGGCGAAGAAGAGAAATGCGGCGAAGCAGGGCTAATTTTTATTTTTTTTTGTGTTGTAATTCAGATATCCACGAATTTCTTTGAGGGTCTCTTTTTTTTTTGGGCATTTTGACGTTTGCAAGGACGGCGGATCTGGGTCGGATAAGCCTCCTGTCTTTATTTTTGGAGCTGTACGGAGTAGCGGTTAGCGGTTGGATGGCTTTTGTTCCATATATACACACTTTGAGTGTTTGGTTTCCAGAATTGGAACCACCGCACAATCCTTCGTCTCCGACAAGAATCCATTCTTCCAAGAAGAGCTTACTGTTTCCAGCATAGCTCCCATCCGCGAAGCTTGACTCTGGCGCTAGCAAACGTCCAGAACAATCTTGAGGAGGCCTACGATGATGCTCTTTGGTTTGGCTGCTACATGCTCCGTGCATACGGAGTGAGTAGATACGTTGCGCTGGCGGCGTGTGTGGCTTTTTTACAGGCGTCGCACAGGGCTTGGACAAGAATTACTACTAACTAGTTACTTGATTCAAATTTAAAAAAGCAAAATCCGAGTGACCATGTACGGGTGTAACAGCGCCTGGGAGCCAAGCAAACAAACCCGCACCAGCAGACGTAAAATGGCGCATCTGCCTCGGTTGCCTCCCGAACGCGCACACCGGGCAAAGAAGAAGAAAGAGACCAACAAATTTCTTGCGACGGAAAGAAAGCTTGTTGCTGGCAGGAGGCGTTGCGTTGAAGATCAACCATGACATCATGGCAGGCGGGCGGTACGAGCAGCAGCAGCCCCTTCGAGAGGCAAGGCCTGTTTCAAGTCTCGAATTACGAGCAAGCCGGGCGTGCTCGAGGTGAGGAGAGCGGAGAGCTGGAGCCGACGAGCGTTGAAACAGATGTAATAATAGGGAGTTACGTTCTCTGGCCCCTCCGCCCGCCCAGGGGTTTGGACGGACTACGAAGCATGCATCGTGGCTGTGCTGCTGGATGGCGGTTGGACCAACCAAGGAAATTGTCTTTAGCCGGGTCCCCTGGCGCTAGAAGGGACGGGGCGAAATCCATCGGGGGGTTCAGACACCAAAGAGCGGGCGAAATTAACATTCTTATTATTCTTATTCTTATTCCAGAGCTGTTTGCAGGTTAATTTTAGCAGGCAAACACACAACACACACACACACACACACACACACACACACACACACACAGATCGGCCGGCGGGCAGGGTTCACGGCAGACAGCCCCAGGCCGCCCGGAAAGCAAGAAGCTGGCAGCGTGTTGCGCTCGGGACGTGAAGGCCTTTTCAGCGCGAGCAGCTAACTAACTAACTAGCTGGGCGGCGTGATTGGGCGGGCGTCGGGGTTTGAGTTGAGGCTCTGACGCCGCGCCACAGCGAGCGACGGGCCAGTGAGACGCCGCAGAAAGCGAGAGGCAGCGCTGGGGCTGGGACGGGGCTGGACGGGACTGGTTGGATGGGCGAGCACGGCAGCGCGTTGAGGATATCGCCATAGGCACCGGCAGGCAGCTCACGCACGCCCGCGCCGGGGAGGGATCGTTGCCGGTTGAAACGGGAGGCGCAACGCTGCTCGACAGGGGGCCGGCCAGGCCCCATAATAGGCTTGCAGTTCGAGACCGCCCGCGGCTCGCCGGCGACGAGTCAGTCAGTCAGTCAGCCTGGCTGCGTCGCTGTCTCGCGCGGTGGCGGCGGCAGCAGCAGCAGCAGCAGCAGCAGCTGGCGTTCTTGATACTCGCCGTCGCGGTGGCCGCTGGCTTCGAGATGTAACAATCGCGTTCGTGACGGTTCCGGACGGCAGCGTAAGGGCGCTAGCCTGGCTACTCGCCGCGGCGGCAACGCACAGTGGGTCATCTGACACCCGCCGGCCGGCGTACGGGACGGTACTGTACGGTACGGGACGGGACGGTGCTCGCTGCTCGCCCGTTGCTACGAAGCTCCACGGCCTCAACGACGTCGCTCCGCGCTCTCTCGCGCTCTCGCTCTCTTGCTCCCTCTCTCCACCGCCGTCGCGCTCTCGCCTTGCCCTGCGCGCTCGATCGCCCCGGCCTCGTCCTCATCTTCCTGCTGCTCCCCGCTTCCACACACAAGCCAAGCTGCCCGCCCGCCAGCACAGCTTCCTTTGCTGTGGCTTGCGTGTTCCCTGGGCCTCAGCGCCGGCCCATCCAACGGCCTGCCTGCTCCGTCGTGCTCACCACCACCAACCACCACCACCCGCGTCTCCTCTCTTCTACATTATTATTCCCCTCGAGACCCTCCCCGGCGACGATCCCTCCCACGGCCCGTCAGCTTGCGCCACACCTGTGTCTGCTCCCGGGCCCGCGACGACGACTTGCTCGGCGCTGTGAGTGCGACCCTGCTGTTCTCCTCCTTTCTCCTCCTCCCGCCTGGCCTGCCCTTTCTCGCGTGCGTCGCCGTCCGCCGCCGCCGCCGCGCTCAGCCGCACTCCCAGCTCGCTGCCCTTTGAGTCCGCCTTGCCGCGCCTGGCAGCCTTCTGCTGGTCCCGCCGCCGCCGCCGCCCCCAGCCAACTCTGCGCCGCCCATTGATCTCTCGCGCGCTCTCCTGCTCTTCCGGTTCTCTTGTTCGTCTTCTGCGCCCACCCCCCCGTCCATATAATCCCAACCGCTCCGGCTTGTTTGTCACCCTAGTTTTCTGTTTTATAGACTTTCCTCCCCGTCCCCTCTCTTCCTTACTCCCACTCTCCCAGTAGTAACCTGCAGAAGCACTAACGATGTCATCGTCTCGTGTTGCTAGCCATCCGCCCATTGACCTCCTGCGCCCGCCCTCGTGCCGCCGCCCATCCCACGAAACTGGCGCCTCGCACCGTATCTTTATGGACGCTTCCTTTGCCCACAGTCCCAAGTCGACCTCGTACTACAGAGCGCCAGACGCCGTGCCACCGCAGGCTCTCCCCAGCGCCATTTCCCTGTTCTTGAAGTCAGACGACCCAAAGTCCCAGGCCAGCCTCTCCTCCATTGCCACTGCCAGCCTGCGTAAATCCGCCTCATCCTACATGGACAGGTCCCGCCAACTCTCTCCGCGTATGGCTGGCGCTGATCGACGTGGCGATGGGGAGCACACCCACGCTCCTGGCCATCGCAGCAACCTGCAAGCGGCACGCGACGCCCTAGGCGCCGCCATGGGGGTAAATCGGGATGACCCGAAGAAATTCGACAGCGCCGCTTCGGGTGTGCACTCGCAGTCCACTACTGAGCCCGCTTCCCGTTCACATCGCCGCTCTCCCAGTGAGCAACATCGAGGACCATCGCCACATCGGGCAAGCCCTGCCAGTATGCCAGATACCTTTGGCAATGGAGAGAACTCGGGGTCCCTGATGAATAGCACCACGGTTGCCAGCCCAGGACCTATCGAGGAGGACAATCCTCTGGAGGAAAGGTCTCACCGTAGGGATGAAGAGGCCATGCTGGAAGATAGCAACAAAGCTTTTTCTTATCCCGTACCCGTCCCCAATCCAAATCTAAACGATCCCCGGCGTGGCATGAGTCTTCCACATTCTGGCTTAAACAAAGGAAGTCCACGGTCTCCGTCCACCAAGAAACATCGCTGTCCTTACTGCTCTACCGAATTTACGCGCCATCATAATCTAAAAAGTCATTTACTCACCCATAGTCAAGAAAAGCCCTATGTTTGTCAGACCTGCCAGTCACGTTTTAGACGATTACACGACTTAAAACGCCATACAAAGTTACATACGGGCGAGCGTCCCCACATCTGCCCCAAATGCGGTCGCCGTTTTGCTCGAGGCGACGCGCTTGCTCGACACAACAAAGGCTCCGGCGGTTGCGCGGGACGTAGGTCTAGTATGAGTGGCTACGGTGGCGAGGACGATTATGGGGAACACGGCGGCTCCGGCACTACGCACGCAGACGATGCGATGGAAGGCCTGATGTACACCGAGCCCGAGCGCATGGATGACGACGATGAGAGACGGCTGAGCATACCCAGTATCAGAAAGGACAACGTCACTCCGGAACCTCACTCCCGCAGTCGCCACGTTTCCTTTTCTTCGCATCAATCGAGCACGTATCCCCCGATAGGCGGCAATCGCTCTCCAGGTGGCTTGCTTCCTCCCGTTTCCAGCCACGCTGGATCAGTGTCGCCCTCGCCGATCTCGCCATCCTACCCCCCAGGCAGCAGCAGCTCCTCGTCGTTCAATCCCGGTCATCAAGGCTCATCTCCCTCAATATTCGTACAAACGAACATGACAGAAAGTCCCAAGCCACTTTCCCCCGCTGTCCTCTCGCCGCACCCGCTTGGCTCGGACTCCAACACGCTTCCTCCACCAAATCAGCCGCAGCAGCAGCTTACCCCAGGCCATTCCCCCAACTTAAAACCCCAGTTTCAATCTGGACAACCGCACTTTAATCGAAATCGCCAAAACTCGGGGGCGTCCCTTGGCGTGCCGTCGATAACCGGACCAGGCCCGTTGAGCCTTCCATCCCCCCAATCTACAACGCCGCATCTTCCCCCTCCTCCAGGCTTGAATCCTCCCGAGTCTCGATTCACCCTACACAGCCAAGGACTAAACCAACAATCCCAAGGCCCAATCTCCTCCATCCACTCCGTCAACAACCGTACAGACTCCCTCGGTCGTCCTTCTCACCCCCCAGTTTCAGAAATAACCAACCCCGATAGTAGTAATATTAATCATAATATGTTTTCGCAGCAGCGACAAGCGTCCCTTCCGAGCGTGGGTCTCGGCATTCCGCCCAACGATCGGATGTGGGAATATGTGCGGTCTCTGGAGTCTCGGATGAATGGTCTAGAGGCAGAAGTTGGACGGTTACGGGAGCAACTCGCTGGTAATGGCACGTCCGGTACTAATGGAGCGTAAATCTGTTCCTATGTACCTGTCAATGCTGTTTGTGAATACCCTGGGCCGTATATACGAGACAGAAATCTAAAAGCAGTCGGGTGATATTGTCTTAGTCGCAGTATATCTAATCCTTTCTGCACGCTTTTCTTGGTTTGCTCTCTATGCGGCCATTTGGGAATATACAAAGCATATTGGATCAATCCTCCCCGAAACAAAAGAAAAGGGGAGGGGAAGAAACCACCGAAAAAAACAAAAAACAAAGCAAAAAACACAAAAACAAAAAAAGGGTCTTGGACTAACTACTGCTGGAGTGTAGTATGTCTTGTACTGATATTCATTGTCCCCGGTCATGATTTGAAATTGCTTAAGAGAAATGCATGGGGAAAGCCGCCGCAGAAGCATGCATTCAATGAGATATGCCCCCACTCTAGCTTCCTTTTATTCCTGCATCTTTTTACGTATCAGCCCAACTGAATACCCACTTCTGTTTTGATTTTTTTTTTTTTTTTTTTTTTTTTTTTCCTTTTGCCCTTTTGAGCCAACCAAAAATCCCCTGAGCAGTATCATTTTCTTCTTTTTTCCTTTCTCTTTTCTTTTCATTTCATTTCTTTTCTTTTTGCCGTTTGCTACTTCTTGGAGTGCTCCTTCAATGTATATGATATCTAACGGTACGAATACTTTTCTCTTTTCCCTCCCATTTTCTTGGTGTATGTCACCCCGACCGTCACGAAATGGTTAATGGACTAGCATCTTGTCCTTTGCCTATTTGACTACAAAACTCTCCCCTTTGTCTTTCCGCTTTATTGCGTTTTTAACCATTTGATGGAATCAAAAGCCTTGGTTAAGCCTGTGGGCGGGCCACCTTGGGTGTATCTTTTTTTTTTTAGCCAGGTACAAGGTATCGCCAGCTGAAGTGATAGCAGAGAGATATACACGAAATTTTATTTTATTCATATATTCTTTATTACTATTATAATTATCCTCTCTATTTCTATCCGCTTGCCGGGACTACCAGGTCTCCGTTTTTCTTATCCCGCTCTCCGGCGAGATACTGCAGCACAAAACCCACATCCTTCACAATCTGCTTCGGCACACCCCCCAGCGACCAGCTGCGTTGCACAGACTCGGGGATCCATCCGCACGCCTGGCCGGAGGTTGCCATCGTCCACTCGAGGCGCGGGCCGGCGGAGGCATCGGCGTGCAGACAGCGCACCATCTCTATGGACACGTAGTTGGCGAAGACGTAGTCCCTGGCGTCTGCGAGGCCTGAGGACGGGAAGTCAGCGGGGCAGAGCGGGAGCTGGAGGACGATGAAGCCGGGGGGGTCGTCGGGTGGCTGGCCGGGGGGCAGGGAGGCGGTGATTTCTAATACGGTGTAGCGACGGGCAGTGCACAGCGGGTATTTGTGGGTGAGGGTGTTGACTGCCACCAGCGTCAGTCAGTCAGTATCAGGCCGTAGAGGAGAGTTACGTTTCTTCGACGGACGGTGACAAGCCGTGCACTCCAGGGGTGGCCATCCCTGGCCGCCAAACCCCCCAAGCGAAGACCTCGTTATCACCGCCAGAGCCACTCGACTCACCACATGCCGTGGCCTCCGTCCAGCCTCCGCCAACGGCCGCGCGCGACGACGCCGCTTCGTACGTGGTCACCCGCGTCGCCCCGACCACGTCCGGGTGATACCGCAGCTCCATCTCCGCATGCCGGTCCTTCAGCACGCGGCGCAGCTCCGCGAAGCTGGCCGTGCCCGTCCGCGCCGCGTCCTCGTGCACGCTGCGTCGGCCAAACCAGTGCTCCGCACACGGCCCGCGCTGCTCGCGCCGCTCCTTGTACGGCCGGAACCGCGACAGGTGCCGGCACACCTGCACGGCCGCCGCCGAGCCGGCCACGCGGTGCGAGGTGCTGCTGGCCGACGACCACGGCATGTGCGCCGTGGTCCACTGGTACGCCTGGTCCAGCGCATATCGGAGGAAGAGGTCGAGCTCCGGATGGTGCTGCGCAGGGCTGCGCGTGTAGCTGGCGTGCCAGGGGATGTCGATCAGGGCGAGAGGGTCCGGGTGGAAGAGCGGGAACTGGTCGCGGGGGATTTGCTGGTGCTGAGGCGTGAAGGGCGTGCTCGATGAGGAGCGTGATCGGTTGGATTTGATGATGCCGCTGAGGTTCATGGTGAGGCCGCGCCGGGTGACTGAGAGAGCGGCGGTGGTGAGGATGGTGATGATGCTACAATACGCATAGAGTTATGGAGATAGTTAACTACTTGGCTGGAAGGCCCATAAGTTTGAGTTGGGAGCCAGGCGGGGCATCGTACGAGAAGGAGTCGAGCCTCTCCATCAGGATAATATCTCCTCAGGGCCATGTGAAACGTTGCAGCTGTTTCGGAGAATTTGCAGAACCATTCATTGATGCAAGCAATCAGGCGTCTAAAAATTGCCGGGATGCACGTTTCATGTATGTATGTGATGGCATGAGGCTAATGGCGAACAGAACCGTCCGTGGTCGGGATGAGAATCGCCTGGCAAGGTTTGTCAACTCAACCCTGACTGTGAGTGGCCTTTGCTGTTACACCAAGACAGCATTGTGCAGTGGTACAAGAACATGCAATAGTGATATCGCCAGAGCGCAAGTCAGGGCAACCGTAGACACCCGGTTCTTGTAGAAGGGAGAACATTGGCGGTAGCTTTCCACGCAAGTTTATTAAACAGAGTGTGCTCAGAAGAAATACTGCATATATAGGTGATAGGCACGATCAGGCCTGCTGTTGTTCCATCCGGCCGGGGGAAAGTTCTAGATCAAACTATTCGCATCATTTGGAAGCACCAAGCTCTCATAGACGCCGAACGCCAGGACCAACACTGCCGGTATCAAACATCTCTATCAAACCAGCACCCAGGGCCTCTTCCAAAGCCCATCTGAAGTTCATGCCAAAGAGTTCTTTCCACTTCTTCGTCCGGCCAGGCAGCACGCCGCTAGACTCCCCTCTGACTCGCTTTGCCAGGCCATACTGCGTTTGTGCCTCCACTGATCCGTCCCAGCGGTCTTTCAGGAGAGACAGCGGCGCTTCGCGATACTTAGACTTTTCGAGGATCGCCAGCATCTGCGAGCGTCCTGCACTGAGCAACCTTAAGTACGGGCCCAGATTTGGCAACGAAAGCAGCATGGACGAGTCTCGGAATGATCGCTTGCGCTTGGCACAGGTTTCTAAATCCGTCGGTTCTTCTAGAACAGCATCAGCAGGGATGGATGGGTTTATTGTAGCAGAGGTACTTTTGGCGAGCGATGATGGGGACACAAGAAACCCGGCGCGAACCAAGGACGAGCATTCTTCTGTTGTAAAGTGACTCGCCGCTACAGCAAAAGTCTTTGTGTTGGAGCGAACGACCCGGATGAACTTCTCTGTAACGAAGCGGTCAGTTTCTCTTTTGTCAGGGGTTGCTTTTCTTGGAAATGCACCCTGTAGTTAACTAACTATGTAAGCACTCCGGGGGGGATACACACCTTTCAAAGCTTCTTCCAGGGGCCTGCTATTTCGGACGACACCTTCCCAGTCTTCTACTAGGACCAAGCAGTCTCCTAGGCCAGCCAACGCGCTCCCGCGCCCAGGGATAAAGAGCCGCCGGAGACGAGCGGAGTCGATCAGCTCCACAATCTCCCTCTCCACCTTCGTGGGGGCGTCCAATAACATATGCACATGAGCAATCGAAACGATCGGCGGCAACGCCCGGCGGAAGTTCAGCACCTCGGCGATGCGCGTGCTGTTCATACCGGTTCGCGAGTCGGGCATGTCGGTGAACATGGTGTTCTGGATGTATTGGATCGCCTGGATCACATTGCGCACCAGCGTCGTTTCGGAGATGTGGTGCGATGGGCCCATATCTGGGAGGCGGTCGCCCAGATACTCGGCAGCGCGACGGTCATGGTTGTCGTCCCTTTGTGATAGCTTCGTTGAGGTTTGGGAGCCGGGTTTGGTGCGTCGGTGGCGGTCAAATGGGGAGTGTCTCTTGGAAGTGCGCGTCCCGGCTTTTGTGATTCGGGACGAAGCCGCAGCAGTAAACTGGAGAGGCATCGTGCACTCCCTCAGCCGGCATTTTCACGCAGTCTGCTGCTGGAGCCTGGAGCGTGTTGCTGGTCATTCTCGTCCCAATTCCGAAGACAATGGCCGGATTAGTCATCCGCCCGCTATTTCGGATATACGTATCTCCGGATAGAGGATTTATGATTATCCGAATCCGGCGCATCGTCCAGCCGACGACCGCTATTGGCTGGAGGAACACTCACCTCAACTCCTCCTTTGATATCCAGCGATGGTGCCTTTACTGCGCTTTGCGACGCTGTTCTGACACGGCTAGGGGGCTCGTTCAGACGTCTAGCGCAGTGTGCTTTGTAGTCTTTTCTCTCGTGTGGATTTGGAAGCAACAGTAATGGGCTCAGGCCGGGAGCCAACGAACGACACTCGCCAATGGCCAACCCATAACTGCCCAGCTAGGTGAGTCATTTGGACTGCCAGAACGAGATGGCAGCAGAGAGGAGGGCAAGGGTCAAACGAGTGTTCTCGGGGGTAGGGCAGTGGATGGAAACCCTCCGTCCTGCGCAAGGGCGTGTCCATCCATACAGCCGGCCGACATCCATGTCGTGCGATGCTTGTCTGCGCACGCAAACTCAAGCTCGCCCACGGCGGTCTAGACTCCGCCACGGTTATGTCACAGCTCTCCTCCGGCAATTCCACTTCGCTGTGGGCCTCTCGCGCTTGCTGGGTTGCGCGCCTTGATCCGGCGTCGCCCTGCTGGCCGGGCCGGGGTGCGCGATCAAGGCAGCGCCCGCCGCGGGCCTTTCCTGCGCGCGCGCACCGCTGCCGGCGTCGTCACCCGCGCGCATTTCTGGGTTAAGCTGCCCGGCGGCGACCCAATCCGCACACATTGGCTGCGGTTGGTTCGGGGATTGCATGACGTACCCTGCGTGACGGCGCTGTAACGGCAGCAAGGGGGCCAAAATATGCTGCCAAACAATCGTAGATTGTGCTCACTCGCCAGCTGCATCCCGTCATAGCCTGCCTGGTATTGCAGACATCCTTGCTGCACGCCGCCAAAATTCCTTATAACGTTCTTTTCGGCGCTGTTCCGGGCGTGCTAAAGACCTCCAGCTGCCCCGATGCCCTGAGCCACGACTGGCATGCACTCGCGATTCACTCTTCCAGCTGCGTCCCCGGCGTCTTCCTTCCCAGCCGCGTCGCTGTCCGTCGAAACCAGTCAGCCCGACATAGCGCTGTGCTGAGGCCCGTCGTCAGGACGAGCCGTTGCGGACCGTCGCCAATATGACCATCTTCATCGTCTCTCTGTACGTGCCCTCATTCGATCTCTCTGTTCTGCTGCTAATTAGATCTGGTGCAACTTTGGTAGGTTCCTCCCGCATACCGTCAACTTCGAGCTGTCCGAGGGCTCTCAGCAGCGGCGCCCGTCGAGCCCCAGGAGACGGCATCATCGCCGTGAAAGCTCATCGGAGCTCCATAAAAGAGCTTACAACACTCTGTTCCCCCGGAAGCCCAGCACTTCTTCTTCACCCCCTAAATACTACCTGCTCAAGGACCATGCGCGCATCTTCAGTCCGACCCCGGAAAGATTGACGTCGTCGGATCTTCTTCCCAGGTCTGATACTGGGCTCCAGCAGCCATTGACCCCAAGCGACCCTCACGCACCCCTCTGGGGCGCCACTATGTCTTTCAACCAGCCCAGACCGCGTGCCACCCAGTCTCCTTCCTCTTCAATTTTGAATCACAATAGCATTCCTAGCCCGCCCGCGGATTTGGTCCAGAGAGTGACTGCGCCCTTCCGGTCCGTGGAGCCTGCCGCGCCGCCGCCAGAAAATGCCTTCTCGGAAGCTTCTTGGACCATAGAGCCCTCAGAGCAAGGCAATGGAGGTCTGCTGAATGCCATCCGATCTGCAGTCGATGAAGAAGTGCTCAAGGACAAGTTGTGGGTGGGAACCATTGGCATGCCCACGGACGCCTTGGATGACCATGTGAAGGATACCATTGCAGAAAGGTTGGAAGTCGACCATGAATCACTGACTGTCTACGTTACCGACTCCGATTTTGACGGTCATTATCTTCATTTCTGTAAGACAATCTTGTGGCCCGTCTTTCATTACCAAATCCCGGATAATCCGAAGAGCAAAGCCTACGAGGATCATTCCTGGGTCTACTATAAGGCTGTCAACCAGGCATTTGCTGATAGGATTGTTCGAAACTGGAAGAGAGGTGATATTATCTGGATCCATGACTACCATCTGCTGCTAGTCCCGTCCATGGTTCGGAAACAGCTGCCGGATGCTAAAATTGGCTTCTTCCTTCACACTGCTTTTCCCTCATCTGAGGTGTTCAGATGTCTTTCTGTTCGCAAGGAGCTGCTGTATGGCATTCTTGGTGCTAATCTTATTGGATTCCAGACTCAGGAATACTGCCATCATTTTCTCCAAACCTGCAGTCGTATTCTAACGGTTGAGGCTGTCAATGAAGGGGTCCAGTTGGAGGATCGGTTTGTCAACGTTGGTACTTTCCCTATAGGAATCCATCCTCGATCACTCGAAATCAGACGCCAAGAAGACGACGTTCAGAGATGGGTTCGGACTATCAAAGATAAGTATCAAGGAAAATACCTTATCGTTGCCAGAGACAAACTGGATAATATTCGTGGTGTGAGGCAGAAGCTTCTTGCCTATGAGCTCTTTTTGAACAAGTATCCAAAATGGAGAGATTCTGTAAGTTCGCCTAACTTGACCAAATAGAACACTTACTAACAATAAGATGGCATTAGGTTGTCTTGATACAGGTTGCATCTTCGACCGCTGAGCATTCAGAATTGCATGCAATTGTATCGGACATTGCTACCCGAGTCAACTCTTTTCATTCTAGCCTCGCTCATCAGCCCCTAGTCTTCTTAAAACAGGACCTCCTCTTCCCCCAATATCTTGCCTTGATCTCTGTTGCCGATGTTTTCATGGTTACCAGTCTACGTGAAGGCATGAATTTGACCAGTCATGAATACATCCATTGTCAGGATGGGAAATATGGGGGCAAGAAGCATGGTCCGCTGATTCTCAGCGAATTCACTGGCAGTGCCTCAGTCTTCGATGGCCACCCCTTACTTGTCAATCCATGGAATTACCAACAATGCGCCGACGCACTCAACACTGCATTGGAGATGTCAGCTGAAGACCGGGAGCAGCAGTGGACCAAGCTTAACGAAGCTGTTAATATACATACTACCGACAAGTGGATCAGAAACTATATCAGCGCCCTGGACAACGTTTTCCAGGAACAGTCTTGTCGTGATAATGTATCCATTCCACGGCTTTCCGTGAGCAGCCTACGTAAGCTGTACAAATTATCCTGCCGGCGCCTATTTATCCTCGATTATGAAGGAACCCTGGCATCATGGGGATCTCCGACTAGCATTATTCTTACGACCCCGAAACGTGCTATTGATACCCTGAACGACTTACTCGAAGATCCCAAGAACATCGTCTATGTAATGAGCTCACGGATGCCAGAGGAACTAGAGAGATTGTTCCGCCAAGTACCGGGCCTCGGACTGATAGCTGAAAACGGCTGCTTTATTCGAGAAGCCAACCGGGAAGAATGGATTCGACTTGTGGATGACGAAGAGACCCAGGAATGGAAGGATAGTTTGGCCGACATGATCAACTACTTCCATGTTCGCACTGAAGGTAGTTGGGTAGAAGAACGACATGCCTCCCTGGTATTCCACTATGACAACGCGGAAGATTTGTCCATAGCTGAAAGACACGCCTCTGACTGCGCTAACCATATCAATGACACCTGCCAACAGCACCAGATTCGCGCCGTCGCTGTTGATGGCGCTGTGATCGCAGAACCAACTAACCACAACAAAGCTACAGCCGCGAGTCTAGTGCTTCAACACATTTTAACCAGAGCGTCTTCGATGCCCGGCAGTGCTCCAAAGCCTGATTTTCTGTTCGTGGTAGGCGATGGTCGGGAGGATGAGGCGGTGTTTCGCTGGGCCAATAAGTTGCAGGAAGATGGTATTATTCAAAATATTTCGACTGTCACTTTGGGTTCGAAGAATACGGAGGCGAAGGCTACTTTGACGCAAGGGGTGACAGGTAAGATTTTGTGCCTGATATTGCCCATGGAAAAACTTTAACGTTATTAACGTTGATTTGCATAGGAGTCTTATCATGCCTCGGAAAGCTTGCTGCCATTTCACAAGGCGGGGAATTCAACAGTGAATAAACCGGTTCGAAAATTCATTCAAAACTTGAAATGTGCCTGGCTGCTTGTTTAACTGTATGAGAAAAGTGTTTAGTTCTATTTCTATAAGTATATGTATGTATGTCTGTATGTATTTACGATTTATGTCACTGTGACGGCTTCTATGGCATGGATTATGGTCGCTACACGCAAATTTGATGGCCCCAGGATGCACAGCAAAAAAAAGGGGGTGGTAAATGATTCATGGATGCAGTGATGTCATTGATCATACAAATCACGTTCTTAGCGTCCCTGCTGACTAAGATATGCCGAGCCTTGAAGCCGAGGCTCTCAGGTTCAGCTCTTGCGATCCAGAAACACCGAAAAGCCCAGGAAAAAAGATGGGCGGGGGACTTCGACCGCGAGTACTCCGTATAAGTTGGTGAACTGCTACAACGCTTTGATACCTATATACTTTGTTTGTTTCGGTGTTTTATTTCCATCTGCCAGCTTTCGATACCCTTGGACTTTCCCATCCAAACTACTCCGTACAATATTCGACTGCGGGAAAAGGTCGATTCACAAAACAAAATATGACATCTGAGCCTGCGCGGAGCTTCGAAGAAGCAATTTCTGTTGAGCCATTATCGTCGCACAGTTATGCTCTTAACTTGCGTACGGAATGGTGCATTGGAACTGGTGCGTCTGAAGCCGCTCCCCCGGAATATTGACCCAGTCGAGTGTTACCCCTGTATCTTGGATTCTAATACGCTGTATTCTGGATAGTCCCTCATGGCGGCTATATAACATCTGCCTTCTTCAACGTGGCGCGCGTTCCTATGCGAAATACACACCCTACTATGCACAATGGCTCCGCTGACCCGATCACCATGCACCTCACGTTCATCCGGCGCACCGAAGTTGGACCAGCTACGTTCGACGTACAAGATACCAAGCTTGGCGCGCGCACGTCGACACTACACATCACACTCTCACAAAAGGACTCGAATGGCAAAGTGCGCCACGAGGTTGCGGCGTACGTCACGCTCTCAAATTTCGAGACCGAGGACGGCCCCACGATGACCACGGGCTTCGAGATCGTGCCCGCACCGGAGCCGGGGAGCGCGGGCCCAAAGGTGGATTTGGGGAAGCTGGCGCGGGATAGGAAAGATGGCGCATGGTCCCAGTTCGAGGTGGCCTTTACATCGATGCGGAAAGCGTCGAGACACATTGAGATATATACACCCACGGCGCCGCGCCGAGTCAAGCGTGGGTTTGTGGAGCAGTGGGTGCGGTTCAAGCCGTACGATCAGGTATCGCCGTGGACGGATGAAACGCTGGGGTTCTTAGTGGATATGTTTCCGATGATGCTGGAGACGTTTGATACGAAGCCGTGGACTGGCGCACAGAAGCCGGAGGCGAAGAAGCAAGCGAGCGAGTCGCGCAAGTATTGGTATCCCACGGTGTTATTGAATATCGAATTCAAAAAGAAGCTGCCTGCGCAAGGCGTGGAGTGGCTGTATTCGCGAGTGCAAACGAAGGTGCTGACGAATGGGAGGATGGATTTGGACATTGTCGTGCTGGATGAGGCTGGGGATGTGGTTGCGTTGAGTAACCATGTCGCATTGGTTGTTGGTGCGGAGAGGAATACCAGTGCGCGAGGAAGCAATGGGAACGGGAATGGGACGCCTAATAAGTTATGATGATATGGAAGACTTGGTTGTACGCTTGATGGACGGAGGGATAGACTCTTGCTGGTCACTGGTGGCCTTGAGCATATAGATATCCATTTATGCATGATATTTGTTGAACAATACTTTATAGGATCTAGTTAGATGAGCTCTATATATACAAAGACTCTTGGACAAAAGATCTCGCTTCATAACTTTTCACTTGGAAGTTGCAGGAAGAACCCCAACGCCTCTGTACATACCACCTTTTTCTTCGCCCACTCCAGAGGTTGAGCAGCGGCCTTCTCATCGCCCAACCCTTCCTCTTGCAGCACCTGCGCCCTCAGCCAAAACTTCCTCCCAACTTTGGATATACACCAGGTCTTCAACACTGCCGGGCCGGGAACATATACCGGGTTTCTAAACCGTACGTCCAGTTGTAGTGTATATATCCGCCCCCTTTCTGTGGCTTCATTAAATGTGTACCCAGGAATATGCATGGCAATCGCAACAGACATCATCTCATCAATTAGTGTCGAGATGACTCCACCGTGGGCGGTATTGGGATGCCCACTGATTCCCGGGTTGCCAAACTCAAAAAGAGTTACAATATTCGGCGGTGTCGTTATTTTCGGCCATTTTGCTGGCGGTGCGGGCAGAGAGGGCGGCTCTGAAGCTGGCGCAATGGGGTTGCGGTGCTGGAGGGTCAGGCAGTGTGGGATCGTGGTAGGTGTGGCAATAGTTTCGGCAATGAAGGCGTCCTCGCCCAATGGCTTCTTAACACGTGCAGATGTCTCGATGGGGAAATAGTCTCCTTTAGAGATGAATGAAGCGGTCCATGGGTTTGCTCGGAAGGCGGAGAGAGTTTCGGGAGGAATTGTATATGAAGCACTTTGACTTTTGGGAACAGGGGATGAGGAATTTTGTGCCATTATTCGCGGATGAAGGCGCTCCGTATGATAGAATCAATATGAACTGTTTGATCGAGGGGCAAGATAGGTCAGCGTCACACAACAGAGGAAAATCGACAACTTCGGCGAAACGAAGAGCATGCGGGCTCGGGATAACCTCGGCATAACTGGCTGACGCTAGTGGCTGACTCATCAGATCAGATAAGGCCAGACCTTCGGCTGAAATATAATCCCCGTCCCGGAGCGGCTTACCTAAGATAGCCAGCCCCCGTTCAACCGATCCCGCTCAGCCTCCATTTCTTCAAGATTCGAGCCTGGAAATGGTTGTGTCTTTAAAGGTTGAGTGCGATCACGAAGGCAGTGATGAAGCGCCAGGATAACGATGTTAGCGATTATCATAGCAACATTAAACCGCTGAAAGGGTGTGGAACTGACATGGCCGAAATCCTAGTCCGGAATCCCAGCAGGCGGTATAGGGGCTGCCGGGTTCGAGTCTCTATAGGACCTCAATATGTAATCGCTCGTGTGGTAGGTACCTCTTAAGATGGCTTTCTGTTTATTCCGCAGCCGCTGCCTTGCGCGTAGCTCGATTCGACGGAAAGAGCTCACAAAGATGGACGCAACTCCTTCGATGCCTGTAGATCCCGTGCGAGAACGTGGAATATCAAACATGTCGGCGAGACGACGTACTGGCATTGGCGACTTTTGCCTCTTTCCTTCTTTATTCCCTAGACTTGAGAAGCGCATGTAGCGCTACTTCACTACCTAATAACCGGAATGTCCGGCTCGATGGATATGTCATACTGGGACATATGTACTCAACAGCGTCGGAATGTCTATACACCAGTCTCTGAAGTGGCTGGGGAAGCTACTTCAGATCAATCTACCCAGGGCGGCTCCGAGGTGCTAAATCAACCACAGCCTAGCGCCCAGCCTATCCCGCAAACCCCAGCCAGTAGTGTCGAGAGTAGCGAGAGACAACTCTATCAGCATCGCCACCCGATGGCGTCAGTGTCAGTCGACTACGTGGTCAGCTTTCTTTCGTTTTGCGAGACACCGTTGCTCGGCGTGGATTACCTGCAGCGGAGCACTGTGCTCATGATTCTCGGGCGGAAAGGAGTCATCTTGGCAATTATCCCCCAAAATCCACTCACTTCCCGTCTCCATAAAGCGCTGGAGGGAGTCGGCGACGTCTATGGCAGGAATGTCTCCTGTTTTGCGCAGGCAAAGACGATGGGCTGGTTGCTCAGCCCAGCATACGAGGCTCGTCCTGACTGGCACCGCGATTTCAAACTGGCGATGATAAGGCGGGAGCTGGGTTTCCACCTAAAGAGGAAGTTTTATGACTACCAGCCACTCCATATGTGGGCACTGAGCCAGACGCCGGTCCTGTTACTGGACACGACCCAAGGCGGACTGGTGACCATCCAGGTTAACGGAGTGGACGTGACGGACGAATGGACGCAGGAATGGCCGGACTACAAGGAGTCTCAGCCTGAGGAGCTTGACGGCGATTGAGATGGTAATGTGCGATCGATGGCTGCGGGGCGAAAATTACTCTGGCGTATTGTGGAAGCGCCGTGGAAGATTCCCCTGGCTTATGTAACGCGGATTGTCTCAAGACGATGCTTTGGGCCCCTGGAGTGTATCATATAAGTTAGACTTCCGGCCAGGTCAGCTTGTTGGGTTGTGGCTGCACGGTCGGTGGATCAACGCACACCCGTCTCGCGCTGCGTACGATTGTTTACCCACACTACGAATCGTGGGGAGAAGGGGTTCATGGCCGCATGGGGCTGAGGAATCCCGACGACGTAGTCGGCCAGTGGCAGGAGTGTGAAACCGCTGGGAGTGTCTGAAAATGAAGGAAGAGCTGTGGATGCTACGGCGCGCTGAGCATGGGATGCTGGGCATTCCTTGCGCTTTTACGCGGAGTGCTTGTGCGCGCAGAGCGAAAGCACGGTGTAGTAGCCCGTAGGTATGTACATTATTCATTCATACAGATTGGTCCAGAACCATCAGAACCGCCTGGTGTGCTGCGTAGATGGAGCGTCTGCAAGCGCTTTCTGCACACGGCCGCTGCCTTCTCCGCGAGTTCACGTCCGGGTCTTCGCCAGCGACCAGCCCAGCAAGTGGCCGGCCAATCAGAACCGGCTGATCCTCGGCCGGCCTCCAGGTTGTGGCTGGGCGGCGGCGCATGTGAGTGGCGGGCGGCCTCACGCTAGGCCAGGACGGGGCTAGCGCGTACCTGCCACTAGCTTTCGGCAAGCACGACCCAGCCCTTGCCGCCTTCGGTCCATTGCGGTTTCCTGTGCAACGATTTTTCTTATTAAGGCAGGCACGTCCTCGCCTCCGTCCCCCGGCACCTTCTGTTCCTCGCGCAACACCCCCCACAACAACCACCTCGCGCCTTCCTTCAGCTCAGCCCGGTCAGTCTCTACTCCCACATCACCGCTCCACTTCTGGCGCTTCTTCCTTCCTCTTTCGGTTCGCTTCTCTTCTGCCCGCGAGTCCAAGCGCGCGCGTTAGCCCATCCCGCAGCATTCTCATTTATCTTCGTTTGTCTCGCTGACTTGTGCCCTGTTTCAACTCTCTAGTCGCCAATCTGTCACTGTCGACCAAGCTCCAGCAGAAATGTTGTCGTCAACCCTGTTTGTTGCATCCTCGCTCTTGGCTGTTGGCGTGTCGGCTCAGCAGAATTTCACCCTTCCTGCCGGCTTCAATGCTAATGCCATCAGCACCAGTGAAAAGGGTGAGTCGCACAACCAAACCCCTCCCTCTTGAGCCTTTATCACTGATGTTCTTGAAGCTGGTTGGTGCAATGGCCAGTTGAATACCTGCCCACAGCTCTGCAATGGCGGTTTTGCCAGAAGCAACAGGTGCGATGCGGTGAGTTCCATGCCAAAATCCTTGCTTGTGCCAAAGGCTGATCATGTCGCGCTGTTCTCCTGTACAGAACCTCTTGACCTTTGACTGCGTTTGCGGCGATGGCACTGTTCCCAATGTCTCGGACTACATGAACACTCTCCCATACTTCGTCTGCCAAGCCAATTACGCCCAGTGTATCCAGAACCATCCCAACGACCTTGACGGCCAGACGAAGTGCAAGGAAGGCCAGAAGTCATGCGGCACCCGCAAAGCCAGCTCTTCCGACTCGAGTTCCTCAACCACTTCTTCCGCCACTCCTTCCAGAACTGACACCGCTGCAACCTCCAGCCGCAGTGCTACAGCGAGCCCGTCTGCTGGTGCTGCACCTGCTCAAGACTATTCCCTCGGGCTATTGGCGACCGTTCTTACGGGTCTCTCTGCTGTCTTCTTCTGATGGCATCGCTCATCTTCTGTGCCAGACTGTAATCCTCTGTTTCGCACGCCGCACTGAGCCTCTACACTTAGTTAGCTAAATTCGCTGTTGCGTTTCATCCAATTCCCCATTAAGTATGTTTTACGACTTCGCATTCCATTGCTGTTTGAGCGTTGCATTGCATGATGTATCGCTTATCCAGCATCCATGTATTTCCTGATGCCCTTTATGCAAGATAATATGATTTCCAGGTCTTTGTACCTCTACTACTCGGTGCTCCTGAAGCCCTAAACTTCACCTGTAGCTTGTTGCGACAAAGTGTACTGTCGTACATTGTACTCTGTAGATTCTCTGGTTCTTTGGTTTTGGTGGCCGGACTGGCTTTGCCAAGACTTCGCATCCACACAAGAAAATTCATGAGAACGACAACCTCATCACAGCCTATCCGACTTTCTTCCCGTCGCCCCCCCTTTCTCTCTCTCTTCCTACTTGCATCACGGGAGAGACCATGGCGGCACCTACGAACACCCTTCTTGTTGAGGGCAGCTTCTCCGAACTTGCCGAGGAGTTGGCTCAGTACGTCGATAACATCCGCAAAACCCAGACTGACGGATCTGTGGGCGCTGAAATCAGCCCCGCACTCGAGAAACTACGGGAGCAGGAGCAGTCAGAGGAGGAACCTGATCAAGCGCAGCAGCAACAGACTCTGAAGGAGAGAGATGAAGTGTTGAAGAAGTTGGTGCCGACTTGTTCGGCGTTGAACAGTGCGCCTGAGAAAGGTGTGATCCCCTTTTCTCATATTGCAAATTGATATACACCGAATCATATCGTCCTATATCGAATTTATATGGCTCACTTATTGGCTCTTCAAATATAGAAATCACTGCCGCCTACAATCTCGTTATTCACCTTATCCGCCAGTCCTCCAACCCTCGAATGTTCCTTCCCCGAGTCTGCAACTTTCTCTCTTCTCCATTCCCCTCCGCCCCCCAAAATGGTCCCTCCATTGCCCTCTCTATTCTCAGCACCGTATTTAACACCCTCTCAACTACCGACGGTGGCAGATACCATGTCTTCCTCGGCATCATGGGCGTTCTCCGTAACTCCTCGTCCTCCTTGGCCTTTGAAGCCCTAAAAACCCAGCTTCAGACCCAGCTTTCTGGCTGGATCTCTGCATGGAATCTTGACGAGGAAGATTTGGAGAAGCTGCACCTTGCAGTGTCAGACGCAGCCAAGAACGCTGGAGATGATGAGATGTCGTATAACCATTTAGTACTGGCACTACGTTCTGTTCCACCGTCGGAGGCGGCCTCCAGCGAAGCAAAGGAGCTGGCTGTGCGCGCGCTGATTGCAGCTCTAACGTATCCGTTCGTATTTGATTTTACACCATTGACATCCAGCGACGCCGTGCAGAGTCTGCGATCGACAGAACCCGCATTGTTCGAACTATTGGAAGTGTTCTCTTCGGATACGCTGGATGCGTATGAAGAGTTGATTAAGTCTACGCCGCTTTCGTCCATTCATAACCTTGCCGAATCTGCTGAGGGCCTACAGAACAAAATGCGTGTTCTGACCCTGGCAAGCTTGGCCGCATCGAGTTCCACTCGTTCTTTGCCATATGACTCTATTGCGACCGCTCTTAGAATTCCGCGCGAAGATGTTGAGAAATGGGTTATCGATACGATCCGCGCTGGCCTTGTAGAGGGCAAGATGAGCCAGCTGAAGGGAGAGTTCCTCGTTCACAGAGCTACTTATCGCGTCTTCGGTGAAAGGCAATGGGCAGAGGTCCATGGCCGATTGATGGTTTGGCGACGAAGCTTGGAAAATGTCCTTGGTGTCGTACGTGCGGAAAAAGAGAAATTCATCCGGGAAGGCATTGCGGCAGCCAATGCTCCGGCTGAGGGCGGTCGAGGAGATGGTGCTAGAGGGGGCCAGGGAGACAGACGGAGAGGTGGCGGTGGACATCAGGGACCCAGAGAGGTTGACCTGGTCAGCGCGGATTAAACAAAACAAAATGGGATGGCAGTATCATTGGCGTTCTAGTGCTTTTGACCTGTGTCGTTCTGCTTTCTTGTCCACGTATCACTTCTTCGCATGTTTTTTTTTTTTAATTTTCTTCGTATTGGATGCGACGAGATAGATATGACTACGAATAATTGCTACGGCCATGGCATACAGTCAACCTTCGCCCACTGTTCTTTTTGGTATTGACTGAATCACAATCTTATCAGATCTAGGTCACAACCCTACCACTTCTTCTATTGGCCTAGCGCAACTCAACTTTCAACTAGTCTCTATACGGTAAGGCTCTCGCTAACGACAGCCATCGCTGACATAATCAGCACCACACAAGATCTCCGCCATGAGAAGTCGACAAGAAGCTCGAGCGAATTCACGATTTCTGTTCCCGCCAGCCAACCGACAAACGACTACCCGCTCGACCATCTTCACCCCCACGAAGATCCATTCGCAAATCATTCAAGATGACTCACGAGTCTGTGTTTTACAGCCGGCCGAGAAGCTATGGCAAGGGTAGCCGTCAGTGGTATGCATTCTACATTCCTTTGTGGGGTTCCGTTTTGGCGAGAAGACCAAAGATTTGCTGGGAATATTGGAATTATAGAAAGCGCTTTGTCGCTTTTTCAAAATTTGTGGATGGAGAAGAGATCGCATATAATGGCTATCGCGAAGAAATGGGAATAAGAGGCTAATCAACTTGGATTTTTTTCTTTATAGCCGCGTTTGCGCCCACAAGGCTGGTTTGATCCGCAAATACGGTCTGCTCGTCTGCCGTCAGGTATGGAACTTTTTCCCTTTTTTTGGAACCCAGAAAAGCCTACCATTATTTGGTGTGATGTGTGAAAATGGTCGCTGATTTGATTGAACCCACAGTGCTTCAGAGAGAAGTCGCAAGATATCGGTTTCATCAAGGTATATATATATCCGTCGACTTGAACTGGCATTTCTCGCTATGCGCGGTGGAAAATAGTATATCGATATTAACCCCATGCAATAGTACCGATAAATATCCACCTCCCACTATCCGCGCCTATACCCCTTGTTTTGCCGTCGTTCGAAGTCAGCTCTTTTCCCGATTCTTATGATGTAGTCGGCATGAGGCCCTCCACCTTTAAATTTGTTCGGGGGGTGTTGGTTACTACAGCGAATGCGGGACTAGCTGAGATGGAAGCACAACCTTCACAACGGCAAGGAGATGAGAGGTAGACAAGTTTCAAAAGCTCTTAATTCCTCATGTCGACACCTTTTTCCTCAACCTTTCCGCATGCTGAGGTAGAGAGACATTTTTCTTGTGTTGCTTCTGATGCATACTTTATGGGTTTAAAGAAATAAAGATGATCAATTTGAGCAACATACATGATCTTATTTTTTCCACTGTGGTCTAATATCTGGCGATGAGGAGAATATGGGGAGCCATTGATTAGATGTTGTAGCGTCTTTCACACCATGGATCTGACTCTGATGACCCTTGACTACTTCGCATATCATATCTTTTTAATGGTATGATTTTGACCGTAGAGACCTAGATGGCTATCAGAGGTCTTATAAGTAGAAGGCACTGCCATTTACGTCTATTGACCAAACCTCTATCTTCTACCAACCAAGTTCAGATCAAGATGGGACAGGCAGCAAGATCTAGTTACCAAAGGATATCAAAATTAGCTCCAAATAAGAATATTCACCGAAAATCTCAGCATCTAATTATCCTGAACCTGCATGATCCCGCGCTTTTCAACCTCCTCTCTGACCCGCGCATACACCTCGTCTACGTTGCCAACTGAAGACACATTCATGACTTTGCCCTCTTTGCCAAAATTATCAACGACAGGCATGCTTTGCTCCACAAAGACCCGAAACCGCTTGCGGATCGACTCAATGTTGTCATCTGAACGGCCACTAGTTTCTCCCCGCTTTAAGAGACGATCGAGCATAATATCTTCGGGACAGGAAAGGAACAAAGTAGCCATCGAAGGAACGACAGTATCTTCAAAAAAGACTGCTTGGTCCATTTTTCGCGGAAATCCGTCGATTAGAAAGCGGGACGGTACGCCGGGAGTAAGCTTATTCTGGGCTTTCTTTTGCTCGAGGATTTCGGACATTGCATTAGAAAGTAAGGCGACAGTAATTTCCATGGGTACAATGATGCCTTCGCGGATGTTGTGGCGTATCAATTCGCCATATTGACTAGCTTCACGGTCTTGTTCGGCACGTAGGAGATCGCCCGCGGATAAGTGAGAGAAACCGTAATCGCGGACCAAGTTTGCCGATTGTGTACCCTTCCCACTGCCAGGGCCGCCCAGCACAAAAATCACCGAAACGTCCTCTTGGGAAAATCGAGGGGTAGTGTTGGTGGAAGTTGTTGGCAGGGGCAGTTCAGGCGGGACACTGGTAGCCGCAGCTGGATCACCCTGACTCGACATCTTTGGGACTGCGAGATTTCACCAGCAATGCGTACGATCCCGAGCCCAGTAGCACCAAAAAGACAATAGGGAAGACCTTGAACTCGGATTTCTGCTGGTGTCGAGCGTTGGGCTTGGAATGAGGGGCAGGGGTGGAATAGAATCGGAAAGACGCTGTTGGGGGTGGCGCTCGGATGGACCAATTGACCGCACGGCCGGAGATGCGAGGCACCTGGACTAGCCGGCTGCTGAGCGCTGGAGGTGGGAGGAGTGGCATGCCCGAGGACTCTGGCTGGTGTTGGGTTTTCACGACCGAGAGTTGATTATGTAGTTAGTAAGTTAGGTTGGTATGAGGTCTGCGGCAAAGCTGCCCCAAAGCGGTTAAGTTTTGTTGGGTTCAATGTCTACATAATAAATGTTTTAATTACACCGTGCTTCATGATCTTTTTCTCTTTCTTCTTGTTATGCTGGTCACCATCTGTGATTGTCTTGTGAAGGAGTTCCATAACTAGTACTTTCTTTTATTTTCTTTTATTTCGTTTTTGCATAGCTAACTAGTATGTAGTTACTCCGTAACTACATAACTATGTATCCCAACCACCAACCCATCTCCGAATGCTTCCTGAAGAAGGACCCAGGAAAACCTGAGCTGGCTTTCGGCTCTACTGCTCCTCAAGAGATAGGTTTCGGAAATGATCATCGAAGTCTCTAGCCGTCGTCACTCCTGAAGCAACCTGGTGCTCGCGACCGCCAACAACAGCTCCACACTGTGGACAACGCGCTTCTTCCATTGGCATCCCGCATTCCCCGATCGTAAATGGGTGTCTATTCTCACAGTAATACCAGTGCCCCGTTCCGCGAAGCTCTAGTGCCATTGCATTGTACACCTCTGCTCGCTCCTTATTCGTGACCGGCAGATAAAACGTTGACTCGCGCAGCATAGTATCCACCTCCTCGATCTCAGCTACCTGTCCCGCGGTTTGAGCCTGGAATTCTTCACAGATAACGCGTGCCCGCTGAAGATGTCGTCTTGCTTGTGATAGTAAATTAAAATCCTCATTTCTACCACGTTCAAGAGCCGCGAATCGAGCCCAAAAAATATGTCCTTCGACTGCAATTGCTGGCTGAACGCCGATTTCAGACTCTGAAACGAGCTGCTCGCAGCATTTTCTGTTAGCCTCAAAACCAACGGTTATTTTCCATGTTGTCGCTTCATCCGCAGAAACATTCAAGAATTGGCAAATGATTCCATAATCACACCGAAGCAGCAGAGCCGTGGTTAGCAGACGGTGTCTCACTTGCAAAAGCATTGGTCCACCCTTCAGTTCAGTGGCTACTCCTCGCTGCCTTCTCACGTCTTCCACAAGAATACGTATTCGGTGAAATGGCTGTTCGCTTTCATGCACTGCACCAAGAAATTGCCAAATATCCCGTCGAAGTTTGAGTATTTCACGATATCGCTCATCATGCCGGACAAGTTTGGCGATTTTGGCTATTTGCTTATCAGCCGTACTCTTTAGTTCTAATGTCAACGATGCTGGCGGCTCAACTGGTTCTCCTTTCTTCCTGTTTTTTTGGAGTACGGTTTCGATCAACCTCATTCTCCCTGCCAGCGGGAGGAATCCTTTATGAGCCCATCCAATGAACTTTTTGGTGACCTCGTCTATCCATCGCCTTTTCAGGATTCGATTATATCTCTTAATGTCGTTCAAGTGACCCCGACACACAGGGCAGCGTTTTCTCTCGCTCCCAGATAATGGTTCTGAAGATTTGAGGCCCATTATCACCTTTCCACTACCAGCCCCTTCGGACATATCATAATATTCCGCCATTCCTTGATGCGCGTCTAAACTTTCCATGGTAATGATATGCCCGCACAAGGGGACGATACAAGGATCCTCATCAAGATTGATATTCATATATGTCGTCCCCATGATGTAGTCAACTATCGTTTCCTTCATTTTTTGGCTGGCACATATTTGACAGTATTGACTGTCCGGGCATGCTTCCCCGCAAATTGAAGGGCATTGGTGACCACATTTCAGCCTCTTTGAGCACCTTTTGGAGCAAGGTAAAATGTCACAGGGAACAGAGCATGGCAGTTCACACTTTCCTTGGTGCGGACAACTCCAGATACACTCTTCAGCGCATGGTGCACAAGGCTCATGGCACTTTTTTGCACACTTGGAATGTGCACAGTGTATTTCACATGGCTGCTCACACAGTGGGCATGGATATTCTCCATGACATGGCGTTTTGCAGGTATGGCCACATGTTCGATAAATTCTGCCACATTTGACCTTGCACTCTCCATGCCGTTTTCCATCATCACCACTCATGGGGTTGCAAGTGTTACATGGTTTTGTACAAGTGTGGCCACAAGGAAGAGGCGTCCCGCAAACCGCAAAACATTTGTATTCCTCAGATAGGGGTAAATTTCCACACAGTTCCCTCACCTTATGACCACAACCTGGCACTTTGGTTTCTATTTTCAACATACAGCAAAATCTTTTTGGGTCCTGGACCTGGAAACATGCCATACTATTGGGTTTATGTCCGCATTGCAGTGTGATTCCAGAAACTCTAACTTGGCATTCTTTTTCGCATGGATCGCCACATGCGCGCAGACATGGATGATCACAACCAGCTTTTTGTCGAACGCAACGCTCCAGGCATCGAACTGCGTCATGCAATGACTCTGAGTGGCATTTGTTAATGCATTTGTGACCGCATTTTAACCTTGATTGGCACTTTATGTTGCATCCTCCTTCTGGCGACAGTGTCACAAAATCATCTGGTGTTGATACCTGAATAGGGGTGTCTGGATGGCGGGGACAGCAAAGTGATAGCTTGCTGTCAATTCTATTTTCCATGCCTAGAATTGAGAGGACATGTGCCCACATTGGAACTGAACTTGCTGTATCAGCATTGCCAATAATATACATGCCATGCTGCGCCCGGCTTAGCAGGACGTTTATTCTATTCGACGTCCGAAGGAAGCCGCATTGCCTCTCAGCATTGCTTCGCACCAGTGAGATCACTATGATCTTGGCTTCCTCACCCTGGAAGTTGTCGACAGTTGCTAGTCTTACCGCATTGACAAGTGCCGCTTTTCGCATAACTTTTTCATCTGGAGCCATATCTAATGATATCCCCTCTGCCTCAAGATCGTTGAGATCTTGTTCTGCCATAATGATTTCGAATGATTTTGCTAATCTTTCCTTTAGTTTCTGCAGCTGTCCCAAGTATGGAGTAATCACGGCGATGTCTTCACGGGCATATACTCCTTGCTTCACTAGATGAGAGACAAGCCCATTGACCATCGCAACTTCGAACAAGTTCGTTTTTGAAAATGAACTTTCTTGTGTCGGATCGGTGCCACTTTCTTTCTGCATATGGTGCAGCCAAAACAATCGATCCCGCATCCCACATACTTCTGGATACTGGTGTACGGATGGGGAATCCTCTAGTTGAGGATAAAGGGTACTCCTGATGAGTTCTGAAATTAACGGGTGCATACGTCTCTGCATCCTCAATGTGCTAAACGGAAGTGTCGCATTCCCAATCTTCGGGCTAACCAATCTTTCGAATAACGACACATCGAAAGAAAACTGCCTTCCTGTCGGGCTGTTATGCTGTAATTCGTAGGTGTTTATCTGGGGCCGAAGCTGCTCGTGGTCTCCTATCAAAATCACATGTTCGATTGACGGAAGGAGAGACGTGATGGTCTGTGCCTCGAGTACTTCGCCAGCCTCTTCACATACCAACACCTTTGCTGTCACTCGACGAAGCAGGTCGAAATTTTTTGCTAGCCCCGTCGTCGTCACTCCGATTACGTGTGATTCCTCTAAACACCTAATGTTCACTTCTTGGTGACATTTGTCGATTTTCTCCTTGATTTTGCGTCTCTCGTCGAGAGAATGTAGCAAGCTATTCGAAAGAATCTTCGAATTCTCTTCAACCCAGAATTCGTGCAACCGCTTTCTCTCCCGTCTTGACATTTCATGTAAAGGAATGTCGGTCAATTCATTTAACGGGCGGTTCATCAACTGATCCGGTCCTTTTCCCTTGATCCAGCGTTTGACCGCCTTATTGGGTCTCATTTTCTCTTTTTCGAAGCCATCTTCATCTATCACAGACTCAAACAGTTCTGCATAGCGGCACGAGTATGTTCTCAGGTATTCCTGGATGTTTTGCCAACTCCGTGGATATTCCAAACGCTTCAAAAACTTCACAATCCGTTGCTGTTCCGACTCTAGGTAACCATAATATTTTCCCTTCGTGAATTTCTCCGTTCTTGTCTGTGGCATTCTTCTTGCCAAATTTTGCAGCGTCAGATTTTGAACGATCCTCGATTTTGACCTCGTGCCAATGCGTACCACCTGCTCCACATCACCTTTGACTAGATGTTCCAATAATTGGTCGAGAGCATGGTTTGTATAACAAACGCAAATGATTGGTCCAAGATTCGCCTTCTCCCTATTCGTCAACAGGGTCTTAATTATCGACACACCTGTGTAGCTTTTCCCTGTCCCAGGTGGCCCCTGTATCAAGACGAAGCTCCGACTCAGCGCGGCAATTAACGAAATCTGTTGTGCTTCGTCCAGGGTTGTTGTCTTTTGCATTTCTTTGTGGTCGAACCCTTTTCCTGGCTTATAAACCAGCTGCTTCCCTCCTGCTACAGCTTCCAGATTAAACACAAAGTCCTTTCCCCGTGCATATTGTGGTGGAGAAAGCAGTATCGGCCCATCATTTGGTTTCCATGTCAAAAGGTCTGCAAATGGAATTGATTCTGGCGATCGACTCATAACTTGCAATGCCTTCAATGTCGGTTCGAATGCAGGTAATACAAGGCTTGGAAATTCGATAAGCGAGAAGTTCGCGTTATGCATCCCCAGATGCGCTATGATCCACAGTACATCGTCCTCTTCAGCTGGTTCTACCAACGCAAGCGTCACCGTAGCTCTATTCTTATCTTTGAACAGGCCTGCTGCTCGATGATACTTGAATTCTCCATCTCGTCCATCTCTCGTGTCGTGTGCCGTTTCCTCCTTGTCTGCGTCAAGTATCCTGACAAAGGGCGTAAACACTTGAAAGAAAATCGCCCGCTTCTCTGACGAGACAAGACAAACTAAAGCGTCTGAGCAGAGCAATTTTGAGTTTTCCCACCACATCCTTCGCTGTTTTTCAAGTAGATTAGCAACGGCTCGTGGCTGGTCCATCTCAATTATTACCAACAGTCCCTTTTTCAAATCAGATTTTACCCCAAGTACTCGAGCATTTTCGTAAGTCACATATCGAATACTGTGTCTCGCCCGCCGGCCCAAATGCTCCGTGCCGCAGGGGTTTCCCAATTTATCTTGCTCTATTCGGACAATATCCCGAATAGGTGCAATTGCATCTTCTCGAAACAGTCTAAATTGCCTGTCGATCAATCCTGCCATTCCTTGAAGATGGCCGCCTTGGAGGTAACTGGGTGGCAGATACTCCGGTCTTTGGGAGTTTATTTCCCCGGTTGTTGGGAGTACCTTGATCTTTGCTATGTTGTCGTGATCATTATCATGACGTTGGCCGTCTCTAGACATTTTCCCTGGTAGGTCAAGATTCATATTGAATACTCCATGTTGCAAATCATCTTGGACTTCCAAGGACATTGCTGGGATATCGATATTGAGACGCTGCTGAATACGAGACAAGGCTCTTCTTGCATCGTGAAGAGGCCATTTTGTTGGGATAATGCTTGCAATATCCATCGCAATGTTTCTGAATTTTTCAATCACCTGAGCTCTTTGGTTCAGGTCAACAATTTTCTGTAACACCCGCAGACTTGCAGTTAATGCACTTTCTATGTTTTCATTGCTAGTGGCTCCATCCTCAAACAACATTTTGAGAGCATTCTGGGTTGCGTTGAACAGGTCAATGGCCCGATGGCCGCTGGCCCCAAACAAAAATGTGTAGACAATATCCAACGGGGCCTCTAGAATGGCAGATGACAGCACATAAGGGTGAGAAATCATCTTAAAAAAAGGAGACAATGTTGAATGGAAGACGTCAACCACCTCTAGTTCTTTGATATCGCTTGTCATGTTTGTGATTGCTCTAACCATTGCTAACCCCTCATCTGTCGCTAGCTTGGTAACAAGTTGCTGGCTAATTCCTGCATTGTTTTCTTGGATTAGCTCCCAACCGAGAAGAGCAAATTGTGCTGTATCAACACCTCTCATAGAGGAGGCCTGGTTCGTCCGCGGTATAAGAGAAAGCCATTTGTGAAAACTGAGATCTTTCTTTTTGTTATTGATACTGTTTCTAGGAGGCGGTATTGTATCCCTTTTTTCATGCAAGAAACAACAATGCGTTCTGGAACAGCCTCTTGTGGACTGAAAATCCCGGCATATGGAAGTCGGGGTTGTATCCTGGCCATGACTCTGAAAGTGGTTCTGGCCCCGACCGTAGGAAAGATTTGCCCTTTAGAGTAGTCAGCATAGTTCAATTATCCCCCTGTGCCCCAGTGTGTTGTCTTGCCTATTTATGGGGAACATTCTTTGATTCCTTCTGACTGGACTAATATTCAGGGGGTTTGTCAAGCTCACAAAAAGAAGTTAGCCGGATGTGGTTGCACGCCAATTCACTTGGGAGTCATGAGCTCTTATTCAAGTGTGGAAAAGTGAGAGAAGGAGAGAGGGGGGGGTTGTCTTTGCATTGTGACTGTAGGCAGTTGGAGTTGATATTGCTAGCGCGGTTGTGCGTTCATTCACTTCACTTCGGCTATCCCCAGACACACCCCCTATTGTTGAATTTATATTTCAAGAACAGCTTTGACTTGGCCTTAGTCTCCCATTTACAGGCTATGAATTAACATTGTCTTGCGCCAGGGACAGATGGTATGTATTCAGTATGTATGTAAGTATATACACACATACAAGGTCCAATGCAGAGCACCATTAAAAGTCCCTCTCATTATTTCTCTGTAAATTCTCCAGGTCCCCTTATTCCATCGACTAGACTATGGCATGTATTCTTTGTCAATAAGACTGAGCAACCAGGAATAATGCTCTGTTAGGACACGACCAATAATGAAGGACACAATATCAGGCTGTGCTCCCGTTATCAGAGTATCAGGGAACGAAAAGCACATAGCAGTAAAGATGAAGCTATGCAGTTTGAAAAAAAAGACGAAAGCAGAAACAGAGGTATCCTCCATCTCAGAGCATGTGTTTCTGGGCATCTATGTGGAAGCCATGTTTAACAAGAGTAGCTCTCTTATCTCCAAACAGCATTATGAGCAGTGCTGTTGCAAGCCAGTCTGAGGGACGACATGAATAGAGGAATTCTCTACCAACTAGCCTTCATGGCTTTTACAGCCATTCCAGCCGTGAGATAGGCCCAGCTTGCACGGGTGGTCGTTGGCATGTCTTGCCAGAGAGAATTTTCTATCATTACTCCGCACTCCATATTGCTGGGCTGTTCAACCCAACGTGAAAATTGGCAGCACATCCCCGCTGCTGCTCCTGCATGTGATCCTGGTTGTGGCTGCAGTGCATTTGGGGCAGATGCTTCTGCAGTGAATAGTTATAAGTATGGGCTGCCTCCTCCGTACCCGGATTAGTTAAGTAACTAACCAACCCCTCGCCCGTGCAGAAACCACCACAACAAGAGACTTCGTGCGAAACCACTTCATTCTCGCCTGCGGGCCTGGCTGATCGACAGCTCGAAGGGTTGCACCGCAGACACTCCCGCCGGGGATTCACCGCCCAAGAATGAGCGGATTTCCTCGTCCCCTCCACCGCCCACCCGTCATATCTCGCCGTTTCGCGCCCGCCAGCCTTCGACTGACCCGCCTCGCATCTCGTCCTCCAATCACCGGCCAAAAACGGCCTCTTGCCAGTGTTGGCAGCGAGAATCACGGCAATGATGTGCTGATTGGGTGAAACACTGTTCTAGCGTGTGATCAACACGCACTGGCCGGCTGCCCAGCACCATCCCTGGCCCATGCTCCCGCCAATGAGAATAGCCTCGCGATGATCCAGGCCTGCTGCTCTCTGGTGTGATTCGCCAGATGCAGCTTTTCTGTTAACCGCCCGGAATGATGTCCGTGCGAGACGGCGCAATCCTCCACGGCACAGGCCGGGCTCCCCCCGCCCGTCCTGCTTTTCTGCTCGGCGAATGCGACTGTCGTTCATATTGTTTCCCCTGGCCAAGGCGAGGCCAGCATCTAAATATACCATGCAGTCATGCGCTTTGGTGATAGTCCCGGATGGTCCTGGTCAATGGCCCGGAAGTCGGCCCCTCGTACCTCCATTCGCCAGCCTGTTGCCGCCCGCCTTGCTGGGTGATACGGCTGGTATATCGCCGGGTGCTCGCACTTTTACGAGCCGTTCTTCTTTCCCTCCCCCTCTCCTCCCTGCAGGACGTCTTTGAACGAATTTTTGGGACCCTGGCGTTCTCACTCCTTTTCTTTTCTTGCCCCATCTGAGCCGGCCTCGCCTTTATCTACTGTGTTGTCTGTGCCTCTATCTGTTCTTGAGTCTTCTTGTCAAGCACGGTAATCTACAGCGTAGATTACCATTCGTTTTACCTGGCCCATCAAACATTTTCCAGAAGGAGCGGATAACAGAAAAATCTCTCTGAAAAAGCTCCGGAGCTTTGAGGCACACGGTCGTAGGTCACCGCAACATCTTAATACATATTTTGATTACGGAGTACACTTCATCTAACTCCTTGTTGAAGCTCATCAACTTAATCACCTACCTTCTATCCTAGGAGCCGGTTCTCTTAGGAAGCAAACGTACAACTAATCTGTCCCACCGAGCAAGTGTTGTATCGAATAATCAGCGCATACTCTCCAGGATATATACCGTGCTATGTCCAATTCTCAGCACAACGGCTACCTTGCCGAGGAACATTTTGAACCAGTATCACCCATCGATATCGTGCAACCCAAGCGAAAGTCTGTTGGATTTGGCCCCGTAAAAACCATCAACATTCACGGCACACATTCTGGAAACGCAAATCCTCCCACAATAGATTGCCCTCGCACGGCAAGGTTTACCGAAGCAACGTCTGTAGATTCTCCAATGGAGCCGTCGTCACGGTCCCCCTTTGCGAATCCACCTGTACCCGCAGGGTCCAGTTCGACAGCTAAAGTTTCTGACTTGGGATTCGGCTACGTAGCTGATAACCAGCCATCAAACCATGCTACAGCTCCTCAAGATGCGGGTCTTCAGTCAAATCCTCCGAATTCTCCGTTAAAAAGTGCTATGAAGACACCTGGCACCCCCGGCCGCTTGGTCAACCCCTTGAGTCCTACATTCAAGGAGGAGCAGATCCTGGATCACCACGAGAAGAAAGCCGAAAAGGAAAATGCTCAGGATGTTGTAAGTTTGCAGCACTCGTCCTGCCTCCCAAAGATATAGATTAGAACTAAGTTGCTGATATCATGAGCAGAAAGTCAAAACGCGAGTTCGCATAGCAAAATTCCTTTTGCGTGGTGTCAACTTTTCATGTAGCTTGATCATTCTTGCATTGCTGGCGCAGAGCTTTGTTATTTTCAATGCCACCAAGCGCCTTGCATCCAGAAACGACCTCACTCCCTGGTCTCCCAACACCAGCCTTTGGCCTCAGATTGTTATTGTTGTTCTGGCTTCGATCTCAGTTTTTCTTTGTGTAGGTGTGTTTATCGCATACTGTCGTGGTGGACACGGTCGCGCAGAGAAGGTTGGCATATACTACACCGTTTTCGGTGCCTGCTTTTTTGCCTTTACAATCGTGATGTGGGTGGTTGCGGCCGTTATATTGCACAATAGCAAAGCTACCGGTAATGGCAAAGACTTGTGGGGTTGGTCTTGCAAGGAAAACCTTCGAAGCCATTTATTTTCTGACATTATTGATTACGCTCTTGTTTGCCGACTTCAGGTCAGTTAATGAATCAACTAAATTCTCATTAAATGCCGCTAACGTTGATAGGACTGGGTGTTGGTTTGCGTTATCATCGAAGTCATCGTTGACACTTTGACCGTCGCTATTTATGCTGTCGTTTTCTATCGGTTCTACTCGAAACGTAAGCTTAGAAAGTCCATGAACGCTCGTGATGACGCCCGTTCCGACCTTTACCTCGCCCACCTTCGCTCCCAGTCCGCGCCAAACACACCTGGATACCCTCTCAGTCCAGCTGGCAAGGTGGACCCATACTCCGCCGCAGAGAACGGCCAATATCCCACCCCCCAGTTTGCAACCACGAACACGGCTCCAAACCAGCCTTTTCAACTTCAGCCTCCTCCAATTCGCATCCAGGCCCCTACTCGTGACAACTCTCCCACGGATGGCCAAGCACCCCTATCACCTGGCCTTGCCCAAATCATCAACAGCCACATTGGTCCTGCACCGGGAGAGAAACAGTACGAATCTGTGCCGATCCCAGGCTCCTATTCAACTCCATTAAGCAGCCCGACTTTCGTGTCCCAGGGATCAGTGCAGCCATCGCAAAGAACTCAAGAATTTTCTAATAACACACCCGGAATGGCGATAACGACGGATGCCAATCCCACGACCTCTCAGCGTTCATAAAATTTATAGTCAGATTGGGATTGGAATACTGTTCTGGTAATTTAAAACTCAAGTGTTATATTTTCTTGAGATGGCGTTCAGCTTTATACCTATCTATCGTACTTAATTTTTTTTCTTTGTTGAATAACCAGCGACGCCGAGATGGTGTATAATGTAGTTATTTTAGTTTGTATGGGACAAAATCTAGAAGAAACTCTCAATGACGTCTCTGTGGAGCATTACTATCATATTATTATGAGCCCCTTTACCCTTTAGTAACATCTTAACAAAAGAATCTCTTCCAGAGAAAAATGATATCGCCAAATGACATTGTAATGTGTAGCTACACTAAAAAAGCCTTCCTATGAATTGCAAGGAGCAAATGAATACACGAATAAAGTAGGAAACGCAGAGGGGTAAATTGAAAATATCTAGATACGTCTCACATTCAGTAGCCACGACCCAACTCTGGCAGCAATGTAGAGTCAAATCCAAAGCAGAGAGTTTGAAACGACAAATACAAAAATCGAAAGAAAACAACCCAGTAAAAAAAGCTGAGAAGAATGTTGAGCGGCTTTCAGTCATATCTCATCCCATAAAAAAGTGCATCATGCATCACCCTCGATAACGGCACCCGCATCTTTGGTCACAAAGATCTCCTCCAGCCTACTATCCCAACTTCCTTCATTGCCTTGTGTATTCTCAAGTACTAATCCCTTTTCATTTGCCAAATGGAGTAAGCATATGAAACAGTAAGATGTGCTAATATCGCGCATTGCTTGCTCTGGATAGGATCCCTGAAGGCCTTTCATGATATCGGTGAAACGCAGCCTGCTGTCTAGATCTTTTGATGTCTCAGTGTCGACTTGGTCCGTAGATTGTGCGTTAGGATCTTCGTCTGGGCCCTTTGGTAGTGATATAGGCGCGGGAGGAGGGGCAGTTACTGCTGCTGAGGGAGAACCCGAACTAAAGGAGGAAGAGGCAATCAACTGATCACCCATTCCTTTCCACATCACCTCCTTCAACCGTCGCACATCAACTTTCTTCGCTACGCGGGCATAAGCAACGTAGTCTGGTCGTACCCGCCGACCACCTTGAGTTACAAGCTGGGAGCCAAACCCTCCTCCCAGAGCAGTACCAGGAGTGGCCACGTTGCTTAAAATAGCATTCAGCCCTGAAAGCGCCCCTGGTTCACTGACACTTCCCTGCGGTGCATTAGGATCAATGGTAGGGGAGAATGCTTCCCGGGCATCTGCAAAGGGCAAGTTATCATCGTCGTCATCCCCCATTGGTAGCCCGTGAGGGAATGGAAGGCCATCATCATCCGCAAAAAAATTAGCGTCGTAAGCACCAGCCGCGACGGTTTCTGCGCCAGCTTCACCCATACCTGGCTTCTGTGATGCCCAAAATGCTTCATCTATATCACCATTGATGGCTGGGAATCCTTGCTGGTTACGATTACCAAGTTGTTTATTGTTACCGCGAGAGTGGAGGCCCATTCGTGCTTTTGGCTTCAAAAATAGACGCAACAGCTGTCGGGAGTTGAAATGCTTGTCGTCAGGCAGGAGATTCCGACCTTTAGTCTTCCATTGCGTTTTCGGCAGCGAAATTGCGGAATTCGAACTGGTTTGTGTATAAATCATTTCTGCAATAGCGGGGTTTAGCGGAGAAGAAAAATTTATCTCAAACGGTTCCTTTTCCTTCCTCTGGCGTGGGGGAGCATTAGATGTTGATGCTGCGGTTGTATCCTTTATCCTTCGAATTTTCCAATGCTCTGGGCCGGCCCAATCTTTGCGCAGAGCATTATCGAAATAACTTAGAATATTTTCGTGATCATGATTTGCAGACTGATGTGATAATGAAATCTTATATGGATCTACTTCGGTAGATTCAAACGCATCAGCCATACTGTTTTGATGGCCATCGCCCGTTTCTATATGATGCACCTGGAGCATAGGTTCGAGTGCGGCTTCTCGCGCCCAGACTTCACCGCCTTCACCAAATCCAGCATGGTCACCGATGTCAAATCCGGAGACGGTGGCATCGTCATCGTCAAAACCAATAGCGATATCATCATCGAGCATTATTCCCGAGGCTTCCCTTAGCGGCTGGTCGGGTTGCTGAGTTTCTTGACGCCAATCTTCTGGTGCACGCAGAAAAGGAACGTCTAGCGTTCCATTTTCATCTCCAAAATCAAGGTTCTTGAGCGATGGGCAGATGTCTTGCTCGACAAGAATATCTAGGTCCGGAAAATATTTGCTCGCTAAAGATGATAAATCAATGTCAACGGTCTCGTCCACAGAGTTAGCAGTCTGTGGTCTTGGAGTCTGTGATGATGAGCCATCTGCCTCTGCTGCCTCTGCTGCTTCTGCATTGTCTTCTCTTTCAGCGGTAGCGTCGTCAACATCGTCACTACTATCAAAAACAATCCTACCTCGCCCATCGACTGATAGGTGGTTTAAAAGCAAACCCTTAGCCCCCCCTTCGTCAAAATCTGCGGAGGCTTTTTTAAATAAGGGATCCACGGCAAATTCCAGCTCGAACTTCTTTAATTGCAAAGAAGCGAATGAGGGCGCAAGGGTAGCTTCGTGGGAACGTGAAACCTAGGAAAAAAGTTAGGGTTTACTGCTATGTTATCTTCATATGGGCTTAAGACCTTCTTCCGTGCTTTCCTCCCCACATCATCCTCCCCGCCCTCTTCTTCCTCCTCGCCGTCCTCACCACCCCCCTCTCTACTGTCCCGTCCTCTTTTGTTATTGTTATTAGATTCCGCCAGGCCACTAAGTAGCTTTCCTGTTTCGGTCGCAACACTGTCCACTCGACTAGTATAGATCTTAACACACCCATCGAGAGTGCAGCTGGCTTTTTGAAAATTCACTCCATCTCCTTCTTTCAGTAAAGACATGTCATGGAAATAGTCGATCAGCGCAAAATTCCACGAGTTAGTTGCATTAATTTTGTTGTCTGTGGCCATTTTCATCCATTCTTCAAAATTCGCCAGAATGGGTACACGCTTCATTGGGGTCACGGCTCTCCCAAGGGCATCAACATCGCTGTCTCTTCCTCGCATGGACGCCCGCCGAGGGGTACGGGGGCTATCAGAGGCCCTATCATGATTCATTCTCCGTGGAGGCATGGGCGTTTTTACCGCCGCCTTGATCTGGTTCATCTGCATATCGTGACGCGCCTGGCGGGACTGCAGTCGCGCAACCTTTTCACCTGCATCGTCGTTGAGTGGAATTCTATTGGGTATTAGAGAAGCCAGTTAGCGACGTGTGTGTGTAATATATGCGGCATACACCGCGTGTTTTGCGGTTTTCTCTCCTTCCCTGTTTCCTACTTGCGCTTTCCTCTGCATGTCTCGCGTCATAGAGCGATAGAAAGCCATACCTAACATATTTCATGGTCGAAATCTTATGCGGAGTGGTTTCATGTCGAGCGGCCCCACGATGGCCATGGTGACTCTTGGTTGGAGGATTGACCACCCGCGGCATGGTGGGCGACTGGAGGAGTGTAGTTGTGGTAGTCCAATGTGAGTTGTGTAAATAAACGGCGGTACTAGTAAAAAGGTACAATATCTGCGATAACTATGTATGGTGCTTAATACTTAGCCCGACTCTCCTGCTGTTGTTTGTCTGGTCGTCGCGATGCCAATCAGGAACAGCAAAACATACGCTGGACGAGAGGACCAGTCGCGGCTGTTATTACTAAGCAGGCCTAATTAACTAACTACATAACGGTAACTAACTAGGTAACCTAACCAAACCGCTATTTTTGACAGCATTTTTTGCAGGAACCAAAACAGGAACTGTACAGAGAAAGTACGGTGTACGGAATGTGGAGGAGTGTTAGACGAAGTGTTTACTATTATAAAGATCATTTATGGCGCGTCTTCAAAAATTCCATCAGAGAACAATGCAAGGCAACCCGAGGGAGTCCTAGGTCGCGTCATTTTTTGCTTCGTGCACGATGTTGCTCGAAACCTCACTTTTCAGCTGCTCCCGGCTGAAATTTACGGCGGTGTTGCTGTTTTCAGAGCGCTGGATGTAAACTTGATCGGGAAGCACCTCCTCAGCTATGAGGGTCTCTGGGGCGGGAAAGAGGCGAGATAGGGCTATATACAAGGTGCTCGTCCCTGCAATGCCCAAAAACCATCCAACTTTGTATGGATAAACACCCGTTCCGACGTTGATTTCGTCGTTTACCGAATTGATTAGGCCTGGCAAGCTGGGCGCCACACCCGCTACGAAAGCTACAATGGCTCTCCAGTTAACCCCATTAGAGTATCTGTAAATACCCCTGGGGTGATACAGTGCCATGCAATCGTATTTCTGACATTTGACCACCCAAAAGTCAGCTAGCATAATACCAGCGATTGGTCCCAAGAAAATCGCATATGCAGACATAAAGTTTAAAAACACTTTTGCCGACTTGAGAATCTTCCAAGGCATAATAAGCCATGATATAAAACCACACAGTAATTGACCACGGCGGATGTTAATAAACCGGGGTGCAAGGGCCGTAAGGTCATTTGCCGCAGACAGAGAATTGGCAGAGATGTTCAAGCCAATCGACGCCAGGACGAGCGAAAACCCGGCAAAAAAGCGACATGCTCTATTTTCCCAAAGAGAAATTAAGGTATTTGGGTCCCAGGGAATATCCCCACCATATTTTGCCTGGCCGGCGGACGAAACAGCTGTTCCAATGAAAGACACAAACGTGAAGATAGCCGGTAGCAATGGGATGTACATCGCCTGCCACTTGACGCTGACTCGTGAGTAGCGAGAAAAATCGGCCTATGATATTGTGGTTAGTATGTCATTCGTATTCATTAATCGCGGGGCCCTGCTTCGATGCATAAGAAATGGATATCCCTTACTTGATTAACACTCAACGTTGAGTAACTTCCAATAGCAGAAGTCAAGCTAGAGAGAAAGGCCCACTTATACTCCGATCCGGTAACGGAAGCACGGTGTTTAAATATTTCTCCTCCACCCGTTGATTTAAAAGCCCAAATAAGCATTGCAACCCAAGCGATTGGAACCACTGTCGATTTGGCTACAAACAACCATCGAAGTTTATTAGGATGAAAGCAAAGGAAAGGGAATTGCAACAAGAAGAATATAATGTAGCTAATCATTCCATTTGTGGTGATTCCTTGTTCCTCGGGAATATCATTTTTCAAATCGAGAAAAGTCGGCCAGATTGCGCCAATCATGTTCCGAATTGCATTTCCCCCATTCATGTTGTTGATCGAAAACCAAAATAAAGCGAGGATAAGCCTTGAAATTACGGCAACATAGGAGCCCCAAAAGCCCCAACTCGCCCTTGCGATAACGGGAAAGGGAGCATGGTGTATGACGCCCGTTGCCCCATTCAAAGCAATCACAAATGATATGATAAAGTAGCCAAGTGCAGAAATTGCTAAAGATTCTTTCCACGACAATCCAACAGCGATGACGCTGCCAGAGAATTGCCAGGCCCCCACGTTGAAGGCGTCCGAGATCCAGTACGCAATAAAACTCCAGACTCCCCATTTGCGTAAATGATGAGGGATTGGATCTAGGTCATGGTTTGTCCATCTCGCATTGCCTTCTGCAAACGCGGATTTTGTTTGCTCAATATACAGACTAGGAATCCGGATTTTCATGTTCATCAAATGATGACAGGCTGCCAAACTGGAAAATAATGATATGACAATTTTTCTTGGACACTTGTGGTTGAAACAGGATGAACAAAAATCAATACTGCTGTAGTGAAGATAGCAGAATAAATCATCTTCTTAATGCATGCTACACGACTGAAACCTAATAGTATGCCACCTTGCCCTAATTTGTAGATCTGGTGTAACGCCTCTAAATAATTCAAGAGGTATAGGACATCTTGACTTTGAGAAGAGAAGTATGCCATATTGAGACACATGCTTATCGCACAGGTTGAGAATGTGTATGACAGTCATGCACGAATTTGGGTAGAAGGAGTGGACAGATGCAGTGAGTGAGAAGTACTCTGTATGCATAACCCTTCAGAGCACGAAGTGTAACACCATGGTCAAAATTGGCGGCCCAAGGTGATACTAACTGCATATTTATAGGGATCAGCTTGATGGGCAGCCACACATTGGTAACTTTCTGACTATCAATGAACAGGCAAGAAGTTCAAAAACGTTCCATGATGGATCAATACAGAATGAAATGTGCTTTGTTTGTGTGAATTGTCACGCTCAGTGGTTTTGAGTGTAGTAACACCTGGATAACACCTGTACTCTGCACCCCATAGGTGGTTACCTAGTGACATGGGACCTGTACTCCGTACTCCGTACTCCTATGTATCAAATTTTATTTATAAGTAAAAGCGGCATCGTAACTTGACTATATTATCCTGTTATATAACTAATTAACTGATTATATAATTATGTAGTTAACATAATAGAATTTGCCCCACAGTGAGGCTGAGCAGTGGCTCAAACGCCAAGGCACGGCAACGTCACCGCCCAACCCCAAACAGGCAAGTCACCACCATCACTTCGCCGATATTCAGGTGCCTGCGCGATCTGCACGGAGCCGGCATTTTATATTTCATACCATGGGATAAACCACAACTTTCGGCTTTCATTTTTGACGTTTTGCGCTTTCATTGCTTATCTACTTTACCACCACACTCTCTTTCGGAAACTCGTCGTAAGGTGAAGCACGTCCACATTCCCATGATGGGCGAAAATGGTTGACTTTTCGGGGTCAACTCTCTCCCAGGTCTCCACACCATGGAGGCCGCGACACCGGTACACCTCCCGTTCTTTCTATCTAGTCTTTGCGACTGTCCTAATACTCGCCGCTGCCACCTTGTTTATACCTCGACTGGAAACCACTGCCCGGGAGGCGTCCCAATTATTGGGCACCCGGTGGTTAGTACGTCGGCAATCAATAGGCATACTGAATGACGAGAATGACGTGAGTCTTTGCCTTGGAATATTTTTTGCAAAATAGCCCTCAATGATTGTTAATATTTGTTAGAAATGCCGACTCGTCCACCATGCCAAAGACCAATGCGCTCATATTTTGGCTAATTGTGTAGACCATGACGTTGGTCTTCTCTCCTATTTACAGCTGTACTACTGCAAGCTTCCGCAAGCGAAACCAGTGGCATTTATTATCTTAGCCTTGTGGCTCTCACTTCTATTCAGCACTGTCGGGATTGCCGCCAGCGATTTTCTCTGTGTCAACCTCAGTACAATTTCTAGTATACTTGGGATGAGTGAGAGCTTGACCGGCGTCACCTTTCTTGCTTTTGGAAATGGTAGCCCTGACGTTTTCTCGACTTTCGCGGCTATGAGGTCAAATAGCGGCAGTTTAGCCATCGGCGAATTGATCGGAGCTGCTGGTTTTATCACTGCTGTTGTCACCGGCTCAATGGCATTAGTGCGGCCATTCAAAGTGGCTCGACGAAGTTTTCTTCGCGACATTGCTTTTTTTACTTGTGCTGCCTCTGTTAGCTTGGTTTTTATCGCCGATGGCAAGCTGTATTTCTGGGAATGTGCGTTAATGATTGGCTTTTATCTTTTCTATGTTATGACAGTTGTTACCTGGCATTGGTATTTGGGTCGAAAACGCCGACAGCGCGAAAGAGACTTGATGGCCAGGGCACACTTTCATATTCCTCAGAATCAGGAGCTAGACATTCACGACGTGCCTGAGGATGAAGATGCCCCTGTCGCAAATGTTCAACGCCCACTGGTTTTTGGCGCTTCGGACGAGGATTTTGACGCTTTGGAAAGAGCAGATATTCCCACCTGGAAGGTCGAAGATGCGGAAGATGATGAAACACGAGATCGATACCTTGCAGAATTGCAGGGAAACATGAGGGTGAGCGGACCTCATGTCAGTCAGAGGGGAAACGCAATGGGCCCCATCCGTCCAAGTCTTGTTGGGGCTTTAGAGTTTAGATCCGTTCTCTCTTCTCTTGAACGGTCAAGAAGTTTCCATTCTGGTCGCATACATCTTAGAAGCTATTCTAACGACCATCACCCGGGGCTTGTTGTTGATACTTCAAGCCTCATGATGCCACCTATCCACGGTCGCGCTCGAGCCATATCGGCAAATCCGCCCACTCAACGCCATTTTCACAAAACCTCGTCCCACAACGTTACGTCAGAAATTGGCGCACCTTCAGTATTTCCTAGCCAATCTATACCTCCTACTATTAAATTTGCTGCCTCAAGACACCTTGTTGCATCACCTACATCCTCGGGGTATCCATCAAGATCACAAAGTCCTGTCCCAGGAGAACAGAGTGGAACACCCAGCTTTTTAGCGCCCCCAGGTGCCTTCCACAATCCAAATTACCGTGCCGAAGGAGGTGAAATGCATTCCGCTGAAGCATCGTTGTTGACATCTCCCATTTCACCAGGGACTGTACAGCAAGAGTTACCTTCACCTGGGGCCAATAGCTCTGCTAGCCCTACAGCTCCCTTTCCTGCATATCATGACGAGGATGATTTCTCCCTCCGTTCTGAGATTCCTAGCTTTATTTTGCCACCTCCTAGCATATCTGCTGGGTCCCTGCCTCCATCCAGCCAACATGCCTGCCTTCACCATGATGAGCGGTTACTATCATGGTGGCCGTATCGATATTTGCCTCCTCCTTCTGTTCTTATGTCCACCCTCTTTCCAACGTTGGCTTGCTGGAATGAAAAGTCTCTGTGGGAGAAGGCTTTGGGAATTACAGCAGCACCCAGTGTTTTCTTTTTAACAATTACTCTGCCGGTTATCGAACCCCCTGAACCTGAAGAAAGCGCACCTTCTCTAGTTTCGCCTCTGTTGACCTCAAACGAACATTCTAGACAAACCACCATTCATGTAGAACCTGGAACCTCTGATGAGAATACCCATTTATTATCTGCAGGCTACAACATCGCACAAGATTCCAGAGCCAAATCATCAATACCCCCAATGTCCTCAATATCACGGTGCCGTCGTGATTCTGAAGCCCCAGTATCACATATAGAAGTTGAGAACAGCAGCTCAGTTCCCAAGCCATGGAATCCCTGGCTTCTTGCAATTCAACTTCTTACCGCCCCCTTTTTTATCGCTCTTACGGCTTGGATCAACCTTGACTCCAACATGAACGCCGGGAACCTTCTTATTCCTGCTCTCATATCCTTATGTATTTCAACCATTCTACTCACTCTTCTCCTATTCACTTCCAACCACACCACTAAACAGCTCCCTTCTCGTGCCCGCCCTTTCCTAGCCGCTCTGGGATTCGTTGTCTCGATCGCTTGGATCTCCACTCTTGCCACTGAAGTTGTCAATCTACTTAAAGCTCTTGGTATTATCCTTAGCATCAGCGATCCCTTATTGGGACTAACGATTTTCGCCGTGGGGAATTCTCTTGGTGATCTCGTTGCTAATGTCACCGTCGCTAGACTGGGATATCCCGTCATGGCGCTGAGCGCCTGTTTCGGTGGCCCTATGCTCAATATTCTTATTGGTATTGGTGTTGGCGGATTATATATGACTGTCAATCCAACAAAGAAACAAACCAGCATGTCTGTATCTCCAACTAGCTTAGACACCATTGTTTCGAGAGCGATATCCACTGCACATCACCCCTACCCCATCAAGGTGTCGACGAGCTTGGCCATCAGTGGTGGAACGCTCCTAGCTACTTTGATTGGTCTACTTATCATTGTCCCGTTGAATGGTTGGAGAATGGATAGAAAGATAGGGTTGGGGTTAGTGGCATTGTGGTGCATTAGCACCGTTTGCAATGTTATTATTGAAGTTTTGTCATAGGCTTATTAACTCCTTTTAGTGCATCATGAATACTGACTTACTCGTTTCTACATACAGAGTATGGAGTACATGCATTACAAATACTGTAATTTGTTAATCATCTTATACCTGTTTTATTGTTTCTTCCTACTATGACCCTTATCATATTGTTGCTGAAATTTATGACTTGTCAACAAGCATGTAATATCTGGAACTGCAGCCTAATCTCCAATGTACCATCATATATATTTTGACAATAAATGAAATCATGGGAAAGCTCGTGAAATACAGATGCCTTGATTATTCCCATATGGAAAGTAGAATAGGTGGGTGCGCTGACATAACTATTGGTGGTTTTCACGTCAAATGGTTCTTATAGGCTAGTCTATCTGTATGGCAATCTACTGATCGCTGATAAAAGACATGGACAGACTACAGAGTAGAAGTAGCAAAATGGGCTTATCGAAACTAAGTTTCCAACTCCAGAGACAAGAGTCTATTCTATTCTTGCAGCCCCAAAATTGTACGATACGGCTCCGGTTTATATTACAATAGGTCCCTACAATACCCTCCCGGCGGAGGCCGCTCCACTTCTGTCTTTCGTTACAACCTTCTTCAGCCCTCTGCCAGCTTGGATGTCAGCAAGTAAAGCTCCGCGTCCAGCTCCTGCGTTTCCAGCGGTAGTCGGCGCGGGTCCCGGTGGCGGAGGAGGTCCTGGTGGAGGCGGAGGTGGAGCCGCACCAGGGGGAGGTGGAGCTTCGCCCGGCGGAGGCGGAGGCGGTGGTGCAGTGGGGGCATTCATATTGGGTATTGGTGGAGGAGGCGGTGGGATAGATGGCGGTGTATAGAAGCCCGAGTCATCAGGTTCGGCAGGAGATGTCACATCGTCCATCTCAGGTGAACTTTGGGGTTCTGCCACAGCTGGAGGCGGAGGGGGAGGAACAATCGGAGCCTCTTGTACCGGTGTAGCAGTTTTTGATTCTGGCTTCTCGTCCATAGCACTAAGGGGACGCGGCGGTGCCATGGTTCCAAAGAGAATGCTCGCAAGCTGCTTAGCACTGCCGCCAGTAGCACGATTATCATCTTCATCCGATTCGTTGTCTGATTCTGCAGCGGACCAGTCGTCCTCTTCTGGGCGAGCACGCGACTTACGTTCCAATGGGCCCGGCACAGTTGAATCTGGCAAAAATGCGGATTTAGTTGCGGTTTCCTGCTGTGTAAGGCGATGGAACGGGTTCGTAGATTGCACCTCTGGAGCTGAAGGTGCACTTGACTGGCTTTCCGAAGCGTGGCTCAGCTGGCGGAAATAGGGGTTCCTCGACTCTGTCTCCGAAGGCAAGCTCTGTTTGACACGTTCTGGCGTCGCTGCAGGGCTAGAAAAGCTAGGTATTGCTGCCCGTTCTGACTCTTCTATTTTGGGGACCGGCGGCACTGGAGGCGAAGTTGATGGAGGAAGAACCCGGCTCTGCGGGGAAAGACTGTTCTGTGGCGTTATTTCAACAGGTCCCTCGTCATCGGAAGAAGAGCCCTCATCGCCCATATTCTCAAGCTGTCGTCGAAGCTCGCGCTCCCTTGCCTGGGCAGCTTCGAGCTCCGCACGCTGAGCTGCAAGTCGAGCCTCTTTTTCTTTCGCCTCCTTTTCAGCTTGTTGTTTACGGCGCTTTTCTTCTTGCTTCTTGACCTTTCCTTGTTTGACTTGCTCTTCCAAGGCACGAAGACGTGCTTCGGCGGCTTGTTTCTCTTGTGCAAGATCATCTTCCTGTCTTTTAGCTTCGTCTCTGTTTGAAATGGTTAGTGTTTAAGATTAAGAGTATCCAGAAATTGATTCACTTACTCTAGCCTTCTACTTTCTGCTTCCTGGGCCTCTTGCTCTTGTCTTAATGCCTTCTCTTTTTCTTCCTGTTCTACTTTTGCTTTTGTCACAAGATCAACATCCGCGGCCCTCTTGGCCTCGGTTTGATCGGTACTTTCGGCTCTAAACTTTCGCGACGGAGGCGGCGGTGGCTTCTTCGACATGCTCTTGGCTTGTGGTGGAGAGGGGGCTGATGGAGTTTTCTCTTGAGCTAGACGTCGTTGCCTTTCTGCCTCACGTTTGGCGTCCTCTTCCTCAGCACGCTTACATCGCTCTTCCTTCTCAAGTCTCTCCCTCTCCTGTCGTTGTGAAAAAGTCTCACTCGTATCAGGGTTCGGCTTTAGGCCTGCAGCCGCCATTCTTTCGGCAATGCGTTTCTGCGCTCGCTCACGGGCCGACGCAACACGCTCTTCGTGAGTCATTCCAGAGACAGACGGCGAAGCAGAAGCAGAGCGGAGTGGGGATGCTCCACGCTGAGAATCACCATTGGCTGGAGAGCTCTGGTAGCGGTCTTGAGGTTGTAAGTAAGAAGAATTATCGGTCCGGGAGGACCGATCCCTGGTAAAAAGTTAGTAAATTGGGGGTGATGAAGATAGCAGAACGCAAGGGAAACTTACTCCTTACGAACTTTTGCTGTCTTGCGGTTCCGCTGCAAATCGTAAATGAAATCTCTAATGTGATCTTCAACCCCAAGAGCTTCCTCCCAACGTCGTCGTTCGTGGCTACGCGTAGAGTTCTCATCTTCATCCCTCAAGCTATCATCTAGACTCACAGAAAACTCCTTCACACTCTCCTCAACATCTCGAGTCATTGCATCATGACGTTCACGCTCGGCAGTGACTGATGCTTTTTCTTCTTCAAGTCTTCTTGCAGCAGATCCATCATCCGTCTGTGGGGCTGGCCTGCCAGCCAGTTCAGCCGCTCTGGCCTGCATTCTTTGCCGAGCACGAGCCTTAATACGATCTGCTTCAGTTACAGCTCCTCCAGGGCCTGTGCCAACGATTTCTAGAGCAGCTCCTGGGTGTAGCTTAGCATCTTTCAAACGGAATAGCTCAAGTTTGCTGTCTGCAATTGAACGTTCTAATTTACGAACATTGGATGCCAACTCAGGTAGTTGGTCTTGGAATGTCTGGAGCTGGCGTCTTAACGTACGTCGTTCAGCACCGGAATCGGAAATTCGGAAGGCGGCTTTAGGATCAGTGTCAATGTCATCCTGCACCCGCCTGATACGCTCCATGAGTGACTCCACTTCCTTTCTGTCCCGTCGGTTTAGAGTCTCGTCTTCTTCTGCTCGATTCTCGTCTCTAAAATCCGTGGCATCAAGCATTACCTTTGTCTCTCGAATTTTCTTGTTCAACTGATCAATTGACAAGTCATCGCTTACTTTTTCAGAGGGAGTAGACGAAGGGGATGGTGAAGGAGATTGCGCTGCACCGCCTCGTCGTCGAGCGCTAGATTTGTACGCCGCAACATCGTCATTGTTTTTGAAGACAGTAGCATCCTTTCTACTAAATCCTGGGGATTGTGAACCGGAGCGGAAAGAGTGAGTTTTTAAGTAGCTTACTCCAGTTTTCTGCGGCTGAAGAAACGCGCCTGACGTTTTCCGCAGTTCAGCATCTTGCGAGAGAAGCGATTTAACAGTGCCGATCGAATCGTCTAGATTCCGTGTTGATGGCGGCACTAACTCTGGTGGGAGTCGGTTTGGAATGGGGTATCCATTGAGCTTTCTATAGATTAAATGCATAGCAACGGCAAACTCATCCATGTTCAAACGACCTCTATTATTCGGGTCGGATAGAGTCCAAATGCGCTCAAGGTCATTACGGTCTAAGCCACTCTGCCCCATGATTTCAATGGCCACATCTCCACCAATAAAACCCCTATTAAGCCCATCCCAAGCACGGAATAGCTGGTCATAGATCTTCTTTTCTTCTTTGGTAACAGCCCAGGGAATGGTAGCATTTCCAGCAAGACCGGCAGTAGTGTACCCGCCTTCACGACCAGATTGAGGCATGAGGCGCTGCTTCAATGCTTCGATATTGGGTAGCCCCGTTGCTGGTGTATTGACAAACCCCCACTGACCGGGCATTCCTGTCGGTTGAGCAGTCAGTGCTGTAGGGCCAGGTTGCAAAGAGGGCATGTTGGAGCCAAATCCGGTTGGCATAGGTGGCATAGGAGGGCGTGGGCCTGAGTAGCCAGTGGCTTGCGGATTAGACATAAGTCCAGTAGGCTGAGCTCGGAATGCGGTACTTTGGCCCGGAAATCCTGTGGGCTGCGGTGCAACGATTGATGGAGGCTGTTGGAAGTTTGTGGACTGATTGAAGAAGCCTGTTGGTTGGGCCGTGAGCTGAGAAAGTAGTTGCGAGTTAGAGGGTTGCTGGGGTTGTGGCTGTTGGGGAGCGGGCGGAGCGGAGGTATTTTGCATCAATGGCTGGTCAAAATTCGGTGCGTTAGACTTGGGGATAACTGGAGGCCGGTCATCGGGAACAGCAAACGAGATAATATCCACCATGCTGGATACTTCATTTTGAACTCGTTCCGGTAATGTTGCAGGAAGGTCGCGGCCTGTCAAACGCAAGTTGCATAAATACATAGCCAAGGCAAACTCGGGGAAAAGAAGGCGACCCGACTTTGTAGTATCGGACAGAACCCATATCTTAGATAATTCACTGCCGGGCAGTTTCGATCGTAAAAGGAGATCCCTAGCAGTGTCTCCATCCATCGATTGAGTGTCTCCAACGGCAGACTTGAAAAGTTGCTCAAATTTCGCCTGGTCCTGCGCTGTGATAAACGACAATCGCATGCTCGGAACCTTCGATGTAGTAATCTGGGAAGAAAGGTGTGTAGCGGGGGTGGGTGTAGTTTGAAACGACTGTGCAATCTGCGAGGACGTTTGGCCGGCAGGGTGTACCGGAAATGATTGTGATTGCGGAGGCTGTTGTTGCGCTGGCTGCGCTTGTGGCTGGAATTGCGGAGTTTGGTTCTGAGGGGGATAACCCGTCATCTGTGGAGGTTGGAGTGACTGGAACGGAGGCTGCTGCTGCTGCTGCTGGAATGGCCCGCCCGGAAATCCGGTGGGCTGAGGCTGCATCTGCTGCATCTGCCCGCCTGCAAAGCCAGTTGGCTGTGGTATGAACCCCGTGGGCTGCGGCTGCTGCTGTTGCTGGAACCCGGAGAATGGCTGTTGGGTCTGGCCATATTGCTGTTGGCCAGGCCTGGCAGCATTGGGGTTTAGAAAAGAGTTAGGAGAAGAATACATTGCGTTGAAGGAGTATGGCTATATAGAATAGAACAAAAGCAAACGGAATGCCGCTAGGCAGAGCTTCGATGCCCAGTTGGCACCAGCCTGGGGAGACTGCCTGACGTTGGAGTATAGGAGAGATGACGCTAGGCTTTATCTAGGAAAGCGTCATGCGTAATCATCACGTGATATAGATATTAAAGCTTATGTAATATGTTACAATGCAGAGTACCAGAAACAACATTGACACCACACAACGCCTGTCATCACAAAAATCAAACTACTTTTTGGATAGACCTAAGCTCCATTCTGTGCATTCTGTTGTTGCAACTCAGCGCTGACCATCTTTCGCAATACAAATTCTTTAGTAAACTCGCGGCTAAGTGTGCCGAGATCCTTCACCAGTTCATGACAGGCAGCCAGGACTGCATCCTTGGGAGTGATGGTGCCATCAGTTTGTACGCGAAGCATGAATTTATGAACTAGAGGATGGGGGACCTATGCTGGGAAGTGAGTAATATATCAAAAAAATAGGCAGCCTGAATGTCATACCTTATATCCTGCGAATTGGACGTGTTGACTCTTCAGGAGCTGAGAGCGGATCAAATTTCCAAGGGTGTGGTCTTCCTTATTAAATGTAAATATGGCGGTTGATGGAAGGCCTGTTAATAACTGTTAGATAGATATAATATGCATTTTTTTGCACTGTCACTGTGGGTTGACTTACGAGTATCCGGCTCCATTTCAACTTTCTTCTCGCCAGGGCCGAGAACAAAGGACTCAAATCTACAGAAACGACGCGTTAGTGTCATATTAACCAAACGCAGTTCCTTCCAGCTCCTAAATTATGAACAAGACGCGACATCCCAGGGAAGTCATGAAACGGAAGGTAAAACAGGGAGGGCATAACTCGTTAACCGAATCTTTTGAAGGGCGAACTTTAGTCCTGCAAGGGTTCTGGCGATAACTTGAGCTGGAACAGTCGAAGAAAAGGCCTTTGAAGCGCCGATCATCATCAAACATTTTTGTGATATGCTAAAAATCAAAGTACAGGAACTGGAAGTGTAGAAGCAAATAATTTGTGTGGAATAGGAGGTTATGTGGTCATGGTGGGGAGCTTGGGAAGTAATTTGCACCAATAACACATGATGTCGGAAGAAAGTAGAAGGGTAGCAAGCCCTAGATTTATGATTATGGCAGGCGTAATACAGTACTCTGTGCAGTCCAGGGTATTCGTCCACTTGGTATATTGAATTTTGATAGATCAAATACAAAATGTAATGGAAGCAGAAATATAGAAAATTCTTACCTATCAGGAGCATTCATTTTGAAGGAAAAAAGAGATAGATGTAACCAAAATGTTAGGAGAGCAAAATGACCCCTGTTTGATACAGGAGAAAGCGGGCTCTCTCAGGAGCAGAAAGTTGGGTGGACAAAATCACGACAGCAACCGGATATCGAACAAGTCCTTAAATGAGCAATGGAGATACTTTTATGACATGCGCGCGAGGACTTCCCACCAGGGGTATCAAAGGGATCTGGGAAAGATTACGCCGGGTATCTCCAAGCCAGGCAGCGTACTATTTTGATTTATTTATGCAAGTGTACAGCACTGCTATAATAGCTTTGGTGCTTCTAAGGCGGGCAAGAAACGGCAGGTTAAAGAAACGAGGTTGGTGGTCGTCGAAGAATCAGTTCGCTGAGTAAGCGTCGCCACAGTGTCAATGAAGCGTGTTTGTTCGGCGCAACACCGACGACGAGCTGATCTAGTAGTTGGCTTCCAGGATGAATCTGGATGCTTCCCATGCTTTTTAACTACTTCCAGACGGATGCGGCTAGCAGAGCACACGAAGGGCCGCCGCACGGGACTTCGCGCGACGTCCGTATGATGGCTGCGGATAACGTCCGGATGGACAGTATCAGGCGTATCAGCCTATAGGTATTTAACTAACCAGTTGAAGTGCTGTTCAGCTTATAGTTATATACTACCCATTTACTTCCGGACTCCAATATCTAGCCTTCAAGCAACACCAAGTCTAAACACCAACATAACTACCTCTTTCGAACTATGGCTCACCCAACCACCACCACCGCCCTCGCCACGGCCTACCCGTGGACGAAGTCCCCCATCATTGCCTCTGCTCCTATGCTTCGCATCGCGCTTGCCCCCCTTGCAGTTGCTGTCTCTCGGGCGGGCGGCTTCGGCTTCCTTGCGGCCGGCTTCGACATGCAGGAGCTCGCAAATACCTTTGAGCATGCTGCCACCCTCGTCCGCCAACACCAGACCACTGCCGACACCCCCTTCACCGGCATTGATGCCGACGTCCTCCCCGTAGGCGTTGGCTTTCTCAACTGGGGCGCAGACATCGACCAGGCTATCCCCCTGATCCGCAAATACCGCCCCGCAGCGGTATGGCTCTTCGCTGCAGCCCACCCAGCCGATGCGTTGTATATGAAGTGGGCCGAACAGGTCCGCTCCGCTACCAACGGCAAGACCAAAATCTGGGTGCAAGTCGGCACCGTGAGAGACGCCATGTCCACCGCAACCTCCATCCGCCCGGACATGCTGGTCATCCAGGGCTCGGATGCCGGCGGCCACGGCCTCAAAGACTCGGCGAGCATCATCTCCCTCCTTCCCGAAGTCAGAGACGCACTGGATGCCGCAGGTTTTGGCTCTATGCCGCTCCTGGCGGCGGGCGGGATTATGGACGGGCGCGGCACCGCCGCGGCGACATGCCTAGGTGCTGACGGAGTTGTTATGGGTACGCGGTTTCTTGCGTGCGAGGAGGCGAATGTGTCACCGGGCTACCAGAACGTGGTCCTGCAGGCCCATGATGGCGGGCTGGCGACGACCCGCACGACGGTGTATGATCGGGTACGCGGTTATAATAGGTGGCCGGTGGAGTATGATGGGCGTGGAGTGAAGAACCAGACCTACTACGATGCGGAGAAAGGTATGTCAGATGAGGAGAATAAGAGATTGTATGAGATCGAGATGAAGAAAGGGGATGAGGGGTGGGGTCCCACGGGCCGCATGACGACGTATGCTGGGACGGGGGTAGGCTTGGTGAATCATGTTACGTCCGCGGAAAAGATTATAAATGAGGTCCTAGACCAAGTAGGGAAGATACTCCGTACAGTATAGTTGTATGCATATGTGTATGTTGAATGGATGGAACCGGTGTGAATGGGGAGATTAGATTACTAGAAATGTATGTACAGGGACAAGCACTGGTACATACTCCGGGAGGCCCAATATATCTATGCAGGAAACAAAACAACCCAGAGAGCTAACACAAGACCAACAGAATAAAACAGACCCAAAGCGCAGAAACAGTAACAGGAAAAAACAAGGAGATATCTAGATACAAAATCAATTACTTCCCAAACTCAAGAAAATATGTATTAAATTTCGCCATTTTTTTTGGAAAAAAAGGTCCATTTCTCAGCTGTTTTCATTTTATGGCAGAGTATCTTCCCCCTGCACAAACTCTGCTGATTGCAGTCTCAGAACTTGTTTGTATGGAACAAATCTCCCAAACTAGACGACCCCTTTTTAAACCGCCAACCACTCTTATTCTTCTCCCTCGCCTTCGCCATCTCCGCCCACCCTTTCTCGTCATCGTCATCTTCATTAGCATTCTTTGCCGACGAAACCAGCCCGCTCACCGGCCTGATTGTGCTATTCAGCGGCTGCTGTCTAGCCTGCGGGCTGGGGGATATAAACGACGAATGCCGCGCCTCGTTCAACCATGGGCGAGGGGTTGACGACGTGAAGGTAGATGAGCGGTTTTGCAGCGGCTGTATTGTTGATACAGGGCGATAGCGAGACGCGGTTCCAACGTTGCTTCGCTCCGAGGGTGCTACTGACGGCGCGTAGCCCGGTGCTCCCATTGCTGCGCCATTGCCCATGTTGCCCGACGCTCCCATATCCTGGGGGGAGGGGAAGAATGAGGATCGTCTGTTCCATTGGCCCATGGATGGGTCAAGCATGCTCATAGTTCGCTGGTCTGCCTGTGGGGCAGCAGATGGGAAAGTATTGAAATTCGATAACATTGAAATAGGACGTGGCATGGCACCACTAGGAGGCTGGAGAAGGTTTGGGTTATTGGCTGGCATCGGTTGACCAAGCTGCATACTTTGCATCTGCATCATCTGCTGCATCCATTGTATCTGCATTTGCATCATTTGGGTCATTTGTTGGGATACTTGGATCTGATTCTGGTCTCCTGGAACCATTGGCATCTGCGGCCCTGGAATCGGTACCCCTCCAATCTGTGAGATTAAACCGCCTTGACCGGGGGCAGAATTCACCCCAGGAGTGGCGTTGGGCATGTCGAAGGTGGCTTGAGCATTCGGGCTGCCCCTTCTCATCGCTCTTGCACGCTCTTCATTTGCGATGACACCGACTAATCCGCCAGGCGGCAAGTTTGGCGCCGATCCTCCATAAACGGATGGCGATCCACCTCCCATGGCGAGAGATTCTCTCTTTGTTTGGTTGACAAGGCCTGCCCCGTAATAAGGGTCCTGGGGCAAATTTCTCGCGAAAACGGGTAGGGTTTTCCGTTTTGGGAGTGGTGTGTCACCGGCAACAGATGGAGGAGTGTGCAAGAATGAAGATCGCAAATTGGGATTCGAACTGGAAGAAAGCAACTGAGACGGAGGTCTGTTCCTATTTGGAAATCCATGGGCAGCCAGAATAGCAAGAGGAACCTCATCATCCTCGTCGGCACCAGTGCTTTGCGCTCCAGGTGAGGTCTCCGGCATTAGAATTGACTGGCGATTCACATTTCCCGCTGGGGCTGGGGTTGCGGCATCCAAACTTTCGCGCTTCGCCTCGAGATTTGGAAGCTTCATTTGTTCGCCTGTAATCTTCATCATCTGCTGTCTATACACCGACAAGTGAGCTTCCTGCTTCTTTCGTTGGTTTGCTGCTTTTCGTTTCTTCTCGGCTTCATCTTCTTCTTCTTCTTCTTCTTCCTCCTCTTCGCTGTGGTTATCTGAAAATATGGACGATGCATTGCTCGGGCGTCGCATCAGCTCTTGTTGTTGTCTATAGCGCTCAAATTGAGCGGGGGTCATTATTTTATTCGGCTTTTCGTCATTTTTCATTGCCACCTCTTCATAGCGAGCGGCGAGGCTCGCCTCAACAGTAAGGGAGTTGTCATTGTAGCTAGAATTAACCGGCTTTATACTCGATTCTGCCGACATCGGCTTTCGACTTCGGGAATTCAGCGGAACAGTGGTAAAATCCTTGTCACTGCCATACATGGATGATACTTCAGGGTCAGGATGGGGACGTTCAATCGTAACCGTCGGCATTGGAGGTCTATCTGGCATTAAAGTCGCATTGCTAGAGCTAAGAGAATTGTGATCCTGGCTGGTACTGGAGCTTGCTGTAAGGTTCCTACTACTATTAGCAGCATTCCGGCTGTCGTCTTCGGAGAAGCGAAGTTTATTGAATTGCTGGACAAGGCGACTTGATTGGGGTCTCTCGGGGGAGCCGGATGAGATCAGCCCGTCTGCTGAAGTCTGGCTATTGCTAGGGGATGGCTCTGGCACTGCAGTTGTAGGCTGGTTTGTACGGATAGGAGAGAGCAAAGCAGCATTATCTCCCTGTTTGCCTTTTCGCGGTACTTCGGGTCGTTCTAAGGGGGTAAGCTGCTGTTAAAAAAAGAAACATTAGCAGGAATAGCAATAAACAAAGAAGTACGCAAAATGAAGGCCATACTCTCGGTGCCGACGTAGGCGACGGTTTCGAGTCAAGAGTAGTCTGACTCTTCCTCTTCTCAAACCCTTCAAAAATATTCGAGAAATCATCCGACATGTCTAAATTCAGATCCGAATCTAAGAGCCTCGGTGGAGTGGCAGTGCTATTCGTACTTCCTGTTAATGCGCGTTCTCTTGTGGTAGACTGACTCTGTCGCGGGGTGCTTGGGTTCGGAGGGACGATCTTGGGAGGTCTGCCGCCGAACGAGAATGTCCTTCCCGCAGCACGCCAGGCAGAGGCAAAGGAGGATTCGGGGATCGGAGGGATTGGAATATCGTGGGCAGAATTGTCGGATGGTAAGGTGGACGACGAGCTGAATTTCGCTGACGACGAGCTATCGTACAATCTGCCGGGCGACGACGAGTTGTTTGTGCCTCCACTCCCAGTCGAGCCAGTCAGCTTTCCAGCTCGGGGCCTCGGCGGATGATTTTCTTGGGCATAGTGGTGGACACTGGGGGGCCTTTCTATGCCGGCAAAAATGTTGTCCGGATAAGGATCGTCCAGAGAGGCGTTCCTCTGGGGCCCGCTCAGGCGGTTCAAAGCGGTAGTGCCGTCGAACGACTTGCTCCCTCCTTGCGGGCGCTCGAACACTCGAAAGGAGGGCTCTACCGGAGCCTGCACCTCCTCCAGCGCATTGCCTGACGACTTTCGACGCGCAAAGCCTTTTGGAAATTTAATCGGCATGGAGAAAACACCGGGGTAGGGACGGGAGAGAGGGTTGAGTAAGCTTCAGTAGCGACGGGCAAACCACGGAACCGAGTCAGGAGCACAGTCCCAGGCCCAGGCACAGAGGGCAGACGGGGGGCGACGGAATTGGGTTGCTCGCGAGCTAGGCGGCGGATGTAGGCGCTGAGGGCATGAGGGGTAAGGAACGGGCGACGAGACAACGAGCGAGCGAACGCTGCAGCGACACAGTGAGATTCGATCAGTCGTGCTAAAAGACAGTCGGGGAATGCATGAAACGATGGAGGTTGGCGACAGGAGAGTTGTGGGCTGGCTGTGCAGGGTTCACAGCAGAAGCTTCCAGAGATCCTCCGGCGTCGCGCGCGCGTGTCGCAGCAGCAGCGAAAGAAAGAAAGAAAGGAAGGAAGGAAGAGAGAGAGAGAGAGCAAAAAGAAAGGCAGCAGAAAAAGAAGAAGGAGGAAGAGGAGGCGATTGGGAGCACAGTGTCACTGAATCCCCGACGACTGGTGGGCAGGCGAAGGAGAAATCAGGCGGCAGGCGACGGACGTACCTTGTGTAAGACAGTGATCGCCGTCGCAGCAGACGAAGCGAAGGGGCGGGACGAGTCGACCAGCAGGCCAGGCGACGGGGCAGGGGAGGGGAGCAATGGCTGGGCGAGAGGGCGGGTGAAGGGGCCGAGAGCAGGACAGCGCGCTCCGGGACGTTGAGGTGTCCCTTTTGGCGGTTGGTGGTGGTGGGCGGGCGCCCGCTAACTAGTCAGCTCACTAGCTATGTAGGTAGTTAGTTAGGGAGTGGGCGCGCGGGCTGGTCGGCGGCGATCGGGGACAATCACAGGCGCACCATCAAAAGCACCATAATAATAATAATAATAATAATAGTCAGTCAACTAACGAACTAGCTCGCCAGCCCAATGCGACGATGCGGCGGCGGGCAGAGGGAGCCAGCGTGGCGACCCCCATGACAGCGCCAGGACGCGGGCGAAACGCCGCCAATGATGCGGTCGACTCGCTCACGTGGCGGCGGTTGGGCAGGCCGCGATACATCGCTTTAGATAACTACCGAGTACGGAGTACGGCACTTGTCTATCTTTCTGCAGCGTGGACAGCGAACTAGCTACAGAGAAGCTACAGCTGGTTACGAGCTAACTATCCGTACCTACCGGGTACCACACGGCCACAGCACACCCAACCATCACACGGTCTCCAGCAAGCTGTTGGCGTTCACGCCACCAATCAGCGCCACTCCCGCCGGTACCTGGGGCGTGCGGATGTTGAAGCATGCAAACGCCGTCACCTTCGCCAGCGCCGGGCAGCACCGCACCATGCTGTTCACCAGGAAGTCGTCTACGATCGTGTGGAACGACACGTCGATCTCCCGGAGCCTGGGGTACGTGCGGCTCCCGTCGAACACCGCCGAAAACGCCGCGAACGACACATGCCGGCACGAGCTGATGTCCAGTCGCTCCACCCTGTCGCCCGAGTGCTGCATCAGCGCCTGGAAGCCCGCCGACGCTAGCCCAATCGCCGTCTCGGGCCCATCCGGCGTCAAGCTGTCCAGGTGCCGCGCCCGCGACACGTCCACCACCCGCAGCCCCGCGTTCTGCCATCCCGTGAAGAGCGCCGCGTACGCCCTGTCCAGACACACCGCATTGTCCGAGAACCGGAACTTACTCAGCCGGCTGCACCGTTGGTGAATCGTGTCCAGCAGCAGATCATCTGCCAGCTTGAACCCCTGCAGTGATAAGGTCTTCAGTTTGGGCCCGACGTTGAAGACGAGCGTCTGCAGCGCCTCCATGGAGACTTCCTGCATCAGGTTCAGGGAAAGATGCTCAAGGTGCGTCAACATTGAGATCGCGAGCACTGAGTCGTTGCTGGGCCTCCAACAGTCGCGGATCTTCAAGCGCCGCAGGTTCGGGCAGTGCTGCACCATGTGCCTCACCATCTGGTCTCCCATAGAACAGTCTAGGTTAGACAGCTTCAGGCTCTCTAGCCTAGATCCACAGGTTTCAAAGAACTTTTGCCAGCAGCCATCAGATATCAGATTGGCGGAATCCAACTGCAACTCCTTAATATGGCACTCCCGTTCCATTATATACTCTATGACAGGATCTTTCAACTGGCCAGCAAAGCGAAGATTGACCTTTTCAAGGGCGGGCATGAACGTAAAAATCTTCTGAAAATGCTCGGTTTCCAGTTCTACACTTCCATTAGCGAAAAATACTTCTTTTCCAAAGCCGTAATGAAGGAACTGAACCCACTGGCACAATCAAAAATCTCAATGCATTTAACATCGCGGCGAAGAAAAAGATCCAGTGTTCTTGGTGTCAAAGCACGCCTCTTGGAGAGAATCTGGCTCAAACGGTGCAGCAGCACCGGTGGGAGGTCTCCGAATTCTTCAATATCATGTATATTATCCGCAACTTTCTAGACAACTTATCAATTCGAGATTTCGCCAACATTTTCCAATAATAGATCTCATACCTTAATACACAGTTCCAAGAGGCTAAATGCACCTCGCTGGGCAATGCCATCCAGGAGCTTACTAAAATTTTGGCGGCGGGTCCTTTTCGTTGGTTTGCGGGCCTTTGCCTTGGCTTTCTTGTCTTCTGCTGTCTGTTTCTTGGAGCACTGCACACAAAGCAGGCCGCCATTAGGCCCCGTCTTGCTGTAGGGGGTCACAGTAAATCGCTTGCTGCAGATTTCGCAATTTGCTAGCTGTCCCGGAAGGGATTTCTTCTTTTGGTACATCATCTCCCCGAACTCATCGTCGCCGTTGTCGATGTTAGCCTTCTGTTTCTTTTTGGCCTTTTCTGTTGCTGCATTTCGGCGAGTCCGTTTTCTGCTAGTTGTCACAACTTCCTCGGAGTCCCCGTCCTCAACTTCTTCTGCCACCGCGTCCTCCTCGTCGTCTTGAGGAATGAAATCTTCCTCTTGTTGGCCAGCTTCAGCAATTCGTTGCTGATAACTCTGGCGAATCTCTGCTGCTGAGATATTATGTGCCTGTTTGTGTTAGTCTCCTAAACAGCACGAAATTACAAGAGTATTGCTGATGATGCATGTAACGATGTACACCAAAGAAACTCCAAAATTCGGCAAAAGTGCTCGCAGACTCACCGCAAGGAAGTCTGTAAGTGCGGAATGGCTGCAGATAGACTAGTAAGCAATGAAACTACTATTCGGCCTGATGACATAGTTCTACATACGGGCCTTGTATGTTTCTCCTCGGCCGATTGCTCGCCCTGTTGAATGGGTCAGCACATAGTTACTCGCAGGCGCCAGCAACTTCGCTGGCGAATCAGAGGCACTCACATTGTAAAATGCTCACTCTCCAAAATCCACGCTTCACAGCTCGCTGGTAAAAACGATTGACAAGTTTCACGCTCACCCTTAATTGATTTACGGGTCACGTGGGTTCGCGGCTCGTGTCCGAGAATTTGCCTTCACGCGTTGGCCTGAGAACGACGGCTAGGCAACAACTCGGCCCAGACGTGAGAATCTGGGCTTCTTGATCTGTGGGTGTGAAGCGAGGGTGCTTTTACTTTCCTGTCTTTGTCCAAGTGCTGGTTCTTCAATGTGCAGACCAGAAAGCTTGCGACCCGTCACCAGCAGCCCCTGAGACACTTTGTTGTTTAATGCTTGCCACCTGAAATGCTTTGACAAAAATTTTGATTCCTTCCTGTTAGGCTTGCTTGTGTTGTGCAACTGGATTTGAATGCTCTGCTAGCCAGTGACCTCTAGCTTAGTAGGAACCTCCCATTTCTGTTGTTGTTTTGGCGGGATCTGCCTGGGCAGTTGCCGACAGACTCTCCCTAATTCTGAGCATTTTCATGCGGCAAGAGTGAGATATTCTCCTCCATCAAACAAGCACCATGGCTCCGAAAAAAGGTGAATATAATACTAGCCGACACCTGTCTGGCTTCAAGCACACACAATCTAATGCATCGTCAGGGAAAGCTCCTAGAGGCAAGCCTGGTGGCTCCGCTCCACCGCAAAACGAACAAAATCCCACGGAGGGGTCTAGCCTCTCTCTCGCCCCGCAAAATCGAACTTGCACCGAGTTGCAAGCCATCGCAGTTGAAATCCGGCCATTGGCTTCTCTCGCCATCAGTCCTTCCTCATGCTCGACCAGCGGAAGTGCCCATAGTACCTCAGGCGGCTACAACACCCCTATGACAACAACGAATCCCACACCCACTGAGTCTGACAGCATGCCTTCAGCCCGTCCGAAAAGAGTTAGTGCCTCGGTTCGTGCTCTGGAATTACGAAATAGCTCATTAGGTCTCGGGACCCGCCGTAAGAGAGGTACGAAGGAGCTCATTGTGCCAGACTCGTTGAGCGAGAGCTCTGATGCACGTTTGGCCCTGGCTTTACAGGCAGAGGAATACGCCCAAGATTTTGACCCAAAAAGGAGAAAGATCTCGACTTTTTCTTCCGGCAACAGACGCGAAGTTCAAAATTCCACGGATGACGATGATGCGGATTTTCCTGATCTCTCGTCCCCTTTAACTAACGATGGACATCTTAATCCGTCCAAGTCTACTCATCATACATCAATGTCACGTACCATCTCCCGCGTGATTCGGGATACCGAGTCCCCTCTCACGGATATTGATATCGGAAACAGCCCTATCGACTTTAACTATAGCGATGACTCCGAGAATTGGAATGAATTTCATCACTATGGAGGTCTCACGGAGTCCGATGTCGACAGTCTCGATGGTTTGAACAGTGACATTAACAATCAACCCATCCCGAGTGTTACTTCTTCAATTAATCAAGCAAGACAGCGAAGACGTCTTACAAGAGTAATTCTCGATTCCCAAAACCCTATAAACAATATACTGACATTGTCTGCAGGCTGAAAAGGAAAGAAAAAAGCTTGAACAGCAACATCCAGCTGTCGAAACTATGTGGGAGGATCTAGAGAAAATTAGAATTCTAGCTCCCCCGCCAGCACCGCAGCCGTCGGGTATTTCTCGCAAACTGAAACCTTTTCAACTCGAAGGGTTGAGTTGGATGATGGAACAAGAAAAATCAAAGTGGAAAGGAGGTTTGCTTGGAGACGAAATGGGAATGGGCAAAACCATCCAAGCTGTCTCCCTTCTCATGTCGGACTATCCTGTTGGAATTCCCTCCTTAGTCGTTGTTCCTCCTGTCGCGCTCATGCAATGGCAGGCAGAAATAGAGGTACGTTCTTTTCCCGGAAGTCATGGGTCTAATACTAACTTTCCCCAGTCGTATACAGACGGCAAACTCAAAGTTTTCGTCTATCACGGTTCTAATTCGAAGGTAAAGAATATCACGGCTAAACAGCTCAAATCCTACGATGTTATTATGATCTCGTGTTCGTCTTCTTCATCCATTATGAAAAGTCAGCATGGATTTAACTGACATTTCCTTAGATTCTGGTCTCGAATCCATGCATCGCAAAGAAGTCAAAGGCTGGACCCGTGGCAAGGGACTTGTGAAGGAAGATAGTATGTCATCAATATTCAATATTTCATACAACTTCCATTTCTTACATGATACAGGCATTATTCATTCTATTCGCTTTCATCGCCTTGTTCTTGATGAGGCCCATAACATCAAGGTATCACAAATAAGCCTTCACATAATTCCTTGCCCGTGACTGACTCCATTTCAGCAACGTACTACCTCCGTGGCCAGAGCTTGCTTTGCACTAAAAGCCGAATATAAATGGTGTCTTTCGGGAACTCCCGTTCAGAACCGAATCGGCGAATTCTTTTCGCTGCTGCGCTTCCTCGATGTCAAGCCGTTTGCATGTTATTTCTGCAAGAAGTGTCCTTGTGAACAATTGCATTGGTCACAAGACGAACATAAACGATGCCTTCATTGCAACCATACGTACGTCCGCTTTTGATTCTACTCAAATTTGTCACCATATTTAACACATAGCAGTGGATTTGATCACGTTTCCATTTTCAACCAAGAGATTCTTAACCCCAGTACGTCGACTATCATATATCTTCGTTTGCTATAGACGGTTACCATTGACACTATCTAGTAACTACACCCGGCTCTTCGGGTAAACGAAAAGACGCGCTAGACAAACTACGTTTGATCACCGATAGAATTATGTTAAGACGAGTTAAGAAGGACCATACTTTTTCAATGGAATTGCCACCGAAGAGGTAAGAATACCTAATCTTCTTAGCCTGAGTGTTTATTGACTTTGTATCTAAAAGGGTTCAAATCCACAACGAATTTTTTGGTGAAATTGAACGCGATTTCTCAACTAGTATTATGACAAACAGCACAAGACAGTTTGACACTTATGTCAGTCGTGGCGTCATGTTGAATAACTATGCCAATATCTTTGGTCTGATTATGCAAATGCGTCAAGTTGCAAATCACCCTGATCTCATCCTAAAGAAACACGCCGAAGGAGGTCAGAATGTCTTAGTTTGTAGCATCTGCGACGAACCAGCAGAAGAGGCCATACGCTCTCGGTGTAAGCATGAGTTCTGTCGTCAGTGCGCAAAGGAGTATATTCAGTCATTTGAATCCCGTGGCGAACCAGATTGTCCACGGTGCCATATTCCACTTTCCATTGACTTTGAGCAGCCAGATATCGAACAAGAGGAAGGCGAAGTTAAGAAAAACTCGATTATCAATCGTATCAAGATGGAGGACTGGACGTCATCGACTAAAATTGAAATGCTTGTTTATGATTTATACAAATTGAGGAGCAAAAAGCAAACCCACAAATCCATCGTCTTTTCGCAATTCACTTCGATGCTTCAGCTTGTCGAGTGGCGACTTCACCGGGCTGGTATCAGCACCGTCATGCTTGATGGCAGTATGACTCCAGTTCAGCGACAAAAGTCAATCGAGTATTTCATGAATAACGTGGACGTAGAGGTCTTCCTTGTGTCTCTAAGAGCTGGTGGTGTTGCTCTAAATTTGACCGAAGCTTCTCGAGTGTTTATTGTTGACCCGTATGTTCCACCGCTGGTCTATGCAGCTTTCGCATTGGATACTAACTCAATGTGCGTGTTTAACTAGATGGTGGAATCCCGCAGCAGAATGGCAGAGTGCAGATCGTTGTCATCGGATCGGCCAACGTCGGCCATGTGTAATCACCAAACTCTGCATTGAAGATTCTGTTGAATCTCGCATGGTTCTTCTACAAGAAAAGAAGGCCAACATGATTAATGGAACGATTAATAAGGATCAGAGTGAAGCTCTAGAAAAACTAACACCGGAGGATATGGAATTCCTGTTCCGTGGAACTTAAAGTCATTTTTGATGGTTCCCGGACCTCAAATAATGGCAAAAATCAGGGGATTACTGATGGGGAAAAAGAGGGAGGATGCTAATGCCACGCATAATAGGGTGAAAATATATTAGCATTTCCCTTTTGTTGATCTTTTATTAGTTCGATACATTTGTAATCTGGCACCTCGATATTCCCACCAGATACCCGATAAAGGGGCTAAAATAAATACAATGTCCTCGGTTTTTTGCGGGTCGCGCAGAGTGTACTATTGTTTATTTTTTATGTATATCTATACCCCATACCTCCTTATACATGTCATTCTTGTCGCTATGTTAGTATCCTGTCTCTCTATACAGGTATATTGAACATTCCCACCCCTGCACTTGCTTTATGTCTGATATGCATCGCCTAAAATTGAGTCGGTTTGGAGATGGGAAACCGGCTGTACATCGCTACATTGTGCTACAAGTTCGAATAGCCCCTGACCTTGATGACTTTAACCATTTGAACATACTTGAGATTCCCACGGATACACAGAACAACTACTAATTTCATGGAATGCCTTGTAATGAGTGTCTGTAAAAAGCATCCCACATCAACTTGTAATGTTTGTCAATCTTTCAATTAATTTATTTACGCAAGGCCTGAGTCCGCTATGAAATGCTTTGTTCTCAAATTCAAAATCACAAAAAATAGCTCAATACCTCTTAATTCAACTTTGACGAGCCTTAATTGCCCAGCAATTTTCAGCTATTTAGGCTTCACCCTATATAATAAAAAATCAAACAAACTTTATGCGCTTATAAGCTTCCCATGGAGTAGTTACTTAGGCGATTCGGCGGCTATGGCGGCAGTCGCGCTAGTTAGTCAGTCAATTAACTAGTTGGTCACCGTTAGCTATGTAATGCAACCACGGAGTACTTCGTATGTCTTAGCATTTTAATCAACGGAACTTCTCAGTCGTTATCTATATCATCTTACTTGTAACGGCATTCCCTCCCATTTTTACCTGGCAAAAAGGGCTTGTTATTTTGTGAATCTTATGCCCAAGCGCCTAGCTTACGAGCTGATTGCTGCCTGCTATGTATTGCCAGAGCTGTCGCATCCCTCTGGTAGAGTCATCCCTCGACACTCTCAACCCTGCGTCTTTTGATATTCTCATAGGTAGGCAACCGCCTGGATTAATATTAGGCCTATTTATCAATATTTATAGCTTCAACCGGTAAAATACGCCAGCCGCCCTCGACCAAAACTGTCCGATCTCCCCTAATCCCCGAAGATCGACCTCCGAACCGAGTAACAGCACCCTTGTATGAACGTGAAATTCCACAAGCCCGCGCCTGCGATGGCCAGATACAGTCGCCAAATTCCAAGGATACCGGCATGTCATTTGTTGTTCTTACGAACTCCCAAGTCCTCCCAACACAAACAGTTCTAGACACCAACAATACCCTTACAACTCAACCAGCGCAAAGTAGTTTGCCAGAACATTTAGATCTGAAAAAAAGAGTATATGGAATTGATCAGTCCAATCCCCACGTGGAAAAATCTAGGCACCTATTTGAGATCATCTCTGCTCGATCCGACATTGACCAGCCAATTTGTATGGAGTGTACTGAGCTTCTTGTGAGCGGCATGCAAAAGCAGCTTTCCACGGCAACAAAGGAGCAGGATGCATATATCTCTTTCTTGAGAAATGTGGGCGTTTCCATTCCGTCTGAGGATGAAACTAGGGACGCTGAGCGATCCTTAGAAGCTGCTTTGAAGGCCGAATCCAGTCTGATTAAAGAGCTTCTAGCGCTGGAAGAAGAGAGTGCCGCAATTAACATGGAGCTCCTAGCTCTAGACGAGCAATGCCAGCAACTCAGTCAAGATGAAAGGCAATTCTGGCAAAACCGAAATGCTTTTGCACTTAGCCTAGGAGATTTTCAAAATGATCGAGACATGCTCAATGTTAAGTATGATCACGACTCTCGACAACTTGAGCGATTACAGCGCACAAATGTCTATAATGATATGTTTTGTATCGGCCACGATGGTTATTTTGGTACAATAAACGGGCTTCGACTAGGCCGTCTTAACAACCCTCCAGTTGAGTGGCCTGAGATTAATTCTGCTTGGGGTCAAACTGTGTTACTTCTTACAGTCATTGCAGACAAGTTACAATTCCAATTCGAAGGATACAAACTCCATCCATTAGGCTCAACATCAAGAATAGAGAAAACGGAAGTGGACCGAAGCTCTAATGCTCCTGCGCACAATTCCACTGGTTCAAAAGTTCGCACGGCGTCCCAAAAAGTGGCCATGCTGGATCTCTTTTTCTCTGGCGATATTCCTCTGCATCTTCCTTGGCTTTACCAACGTTTCAATGCTGGGATGGTCGCTTTTCTTGAATGCCTACATCAGCTTGGTGCTCATGTTGAACGCCCCGGCCTGATAACAAATCAATCTCCATCAACAGCCACAGCACAGTGCATGAACTGTAATTCTCAGAAACAATGTGGCCATATTCCAACCAATCATATTGGTTTAAAGCTTCCATATGACATCAAGAGAGATAAAATCGGAGATTCAAGCATAAAACTTGGTTTCAACCAGAACGATGAAACATGGACTCGTGCTTGCAAGTACACACTTACTTGCTGCAAATTTCTGCTGGCACATGTGAGCAACATTTCCACGGCGAAAGTCGACAATACCACAGCTTCATAGCCATTAAACGCAAGTTTAAATCATTGTGCTTTGATATAGCGCCGGCGCTGATGAGGCGGTATGATTCTGGCTATACAATCTCAATCGCAGTGAGCTAATACTGAAATGTTTACGGAGAATATTCACCCTACGCTCATTATGGTTGTATATGGCCGGAGATATCCCGTCCGCTTCCCGAGATGACAGAGCCGGAAGAGGAAACGCGAAATAGTGTATATATCCCGAAAATAACTACACGCCCGTTTTTTGGCTTACTACCCGATACACATTCCTTCACTTCATAAGGAAGTCCGAGACGCCCGTAATGACCAAGGCTCAACAATGCCTTTGCCCGCCTCTCTAGGTTGCTTAATCCTTTTGTCAACGGGCTTTTTTCCTCCTTGCAGTCACCAAAGTGCGGAGCTTCGTCTTAAGAGCAATTTAAACCCCAAGTTTCTGGCCTTTGTGGTTTGGTACCTAATCTCTATATCAAGCTAGGCCCTCTTTCTCTGTAGTACAGGACGGTGTTATTACAAATCCATGAGAGGCTCATTAAGGTATTATGGATTACCTTATCTCTGAAGCAAGAATTTCGCGGCAGTTTCTTTCAAAAACGCTCCAAGGTTCTAGTAGAGAAACGATGGGATCTTCTCTTCTATAGAATCCCTCACGCAAGGAACAGCCTTAGTACTCCAAGATTCTCCGTATTCTTAACAATATTGCCTCTGTGACCTCATGATAAGATACGTAGCCGTATGCTTGGATTATGTATACTTTAAATACAAGGATGGGTTTTTGACAGTGTGTATGCTTCATCTGGCAGCCCCGCCCTCACTAAGTAAAAATATACTGACATCTTCAAGGCAACAATCGCGACCTTTGCACCAGGGAAAGTTCGCGCCTTGCAAACGACCTGTACCCCATCAGAAAAGCTCCCCAGACTGGTTTTGGCGCTGGGGGCTATCTACCCTCTTGGCAAAGAGACGTATCTGTTGCTTTGATGTTCTGAAGTGGATCCTGAGCCCACCCGAAGCCGTACCAGCCCGGCTGGCAGTACTAAGTGAAGAGCAAGCAGTACGATGCCGGTGCGGAGGATACCCAACTGCGGAGTACTTCTTACATACATAACCCCCATAGAAGTCGTAGCGAAATAGGATCCGGAATGGTAGCACACCAGACAAGGATGATAGATGTGCTCCGTATTTGTGCTAGGCCGCATCCCCAAGAATGCCCGGCGCCCAGAGAGAGGCTGTTCTGGTCACCGGGGGTGGGGCGGGGGCTTAGGAAGGAGCAAGCGACGGAGTGGCTGATGCCCGCCCAGCCAGCCATTACGCGGCGTATCGCCAGCGTGGGCGGGGGGGCACCCAGAACAGTAGCAATGCAACCTCGGACGCGACTGGCAGATCGAAGCGTGTGTTGCCAGCCGGGCGCAAATAAATTAGTAATAATAATAATTATAACAATCCCCAGCCTTCCGGACCGACGCGCGCCGCTGGCTGGCCGTCCAGCGGAGCGCCACGCGGGCTAAGCTTTGCGGTGACGGAGGCGCTGCGGCTTGATCAATGGACGGTGTGGCTGAGCCCACGCGCGCGCCCACACCCGCTGCTTTCCCAGCTTGGAAGGAATATTGGCGAAGGAACTGCCGGAGTCCGGTTAGGCGTGGCTGCGGCCGTCGAATGATTAATAAAACAAATGCTTCCCGCCAGGTCCTCGCCTGTTGACCTTCCGAACCAACCAGCCAGCCAGCCACCCCCTCGTCGAACGGCCTCTTTCCACTGATGGGCCTTTTGCACGCGGCTCCCGCGCCCCCAGATGCGGACCGCGCAGACCGGCCATCAACCGCTGAAAAAGCCACCGCCAGCCATGAATCCCAGCCTGGCCCTGCCGGCGGCTTTGACGAGACGCCCTTCCCGGACGCGCCCCCAGGGTTCACCCTCAGGGTTACTATCCACCGCGCCCATCACCTGCCGATGGGTGACTTTGGCACCATGTCGTCCGACCCGTATGTGGTGATGATCCTCGATACAGACCTGCCACGTCGCCACAAGCAGGATCCAGACATGACCTTCCGGACCCCTACAATCCAGCGTAACATCAACCCTGAGTGGAACTGTGAATGGATTGTCGCCAATGTGCCTGCCTCTGGCTTCCGTTTAAAGTGTCGGGTGTACGATGAAGACACCGCTGATCGCGACGACAGGCTCGGCACCGCCTACGTCAATGTGAGCAAGATCGATGAGCAGTGGACAGACATCAAGGAACAGTCCTTCCGCATTAGGAAGAAGACCGCCAGTAATAGGGCCTATTTGCTCCGATCCATTGCCGCAACGTGCTCTAGAAATATCAGTGTGAAAGGCGAGCTCGTCGTGAGCGTCGAATGTTTGGGCAAAACTCCTGGGGAGGAAGGCGGTCAACTGTACACAGTTGGTCCAAATTATTGGACACGACATTTCTCGCCCATGATAGGGAGACTGGTTGGCACCAAAGATTCCGTGCAGTCGGAGGCCGGCAAGAGACCAGTGTCGAGATACAAGTAAGTCACAACCAGCAACGTTCCCCGCCGCAGAGAGGTGTTGATTGCTTGTCGCATTAGTTTCCAGGCCATTCAGATCCAATTGACTGGCCCGGTTCCTTCGAAGCTTTACCATCGGTATGTCGAGTTTCGGCCGTTTGTTGCCGGAATGTTCAACGCTCAGAGCATCCGTGGCCGCCTTCTGAATCATACTCTTCATCATCAGCACTCGAGGATATATGCATTCGATCGGTCCACCATGTATGGCTCATTTGACACCCCCTGTGTTGAACTAGCTCGGAAATTCCTCGAGTTTGTACATTACGATCAAGGTGGTCGGATATTTACTTATGTTCTCACTTTGGATGGACAGTGGCGGTTCACAGAAACAGGGAAAGAGTTCGGAATCGACTTACTGAGCAAACATACCATGCACAGCAACGTATCAATCTATGTTGCGTACTCTGGCGAATTTTTTGTACGTCGAATTTGCTCGCATCAACAGCCACACCACCAGCAGGACGAGAAAACAGACAATTTGGTCACATCTGATGAAGCGCATGCGCGCTCCGAATCCACTGCCAACAGTAATGGGGCGGAACAGCTTGTCGTCATATCAACTAATCCTGCTGATTACGAACTCGTAATTGACAATGATAGTGGTACATACCGTCCAAATGCGGCTTTACTGCCACTGCTTAAGGAATTCCTTGAGAAAAACTTACCATGTCTCAATATCATGACCCTCGATTGTCAGAAAGATGCTGAGAAAATGGGCAAACTGAAAGATGAACAAAGGGAGCGCAAAAAGGAGGCCGGTCGGCATATTACATATCTACAACGCCGAGCCAGCTCAGCGGCATCCTCGATTTCTAGCTCAGATGAAGAGAACCTTGAGCGACGAGCGGGTCAATCGCAACAACATAAAAAGCGGCACCCTTTGGCCCAAGTGTTACATCATGCTAATCATCCTAAATCAACGTATAAGCAATGGCTGGACACAGGCCACGTTCGTCCTGTTTCAGTAGCTGACAACCAACCTCGGCCAGCAGCAGCATCCAGCCTCTTAGCATTACCACAAGACACACCACCCTCACAGCGACCTCATTCTGCCAGACTATAACGAAGATTTTACCCGAAAATCCTATGTATTTAGGTTTATTTGTCACTACATATTTTCTTGGGTTTTTTTTTTATTTTTATTTTTTTTTTCATCCACTTGGCGACTTAGCGAATACTCATTTGCAAGTGCATTCTAAGTTGCATCGAAAAAAGCCATGAGAATATACTTATTGTGTTCTCTGGATTGAGATCTAAATAAGAGGACTTCTTATCTTTGTCTTGAAATTGTTTAGTTGAAATTCTTACCAACTATTCCTGCAACACTCTGCTCCTGTTAAACATTCTAGGAGTTGAGCAAAAGAAAAAGAAAACCCAAGATTAGTTAGTTCCTACACAATAAACCATTAGTTAAGTACTTTGTAGGCTTGAGTACCTGGCCACAGCATTGCCCGGCCAGAGCCACACCGGGGACTTACGCACCAACTCTCACCACAGATAACCAGGCTACTGTTTTGCCACTGCAACGAGTCAGAATGGCATGGCTACTTCTTAAGGGTATATATGTCATGTACAGAACAGAGTCGGATCTTGTGATATGAAACTTTGACAAGGGTGAAGGGGCAGCAGACGTAATTAGTTAGTTAACTAACTAGTGGTTGGCTAGTTAGTTAGAAGTAATCAGAATCAAAAACATATTCAAATATTGTATTCTCAAAACATTTCTGGCACTAATAGGGCAGGAGGGCAACCGTTGTTGGTTCTTCATTAGTTAACTAGGTAAGTAGGCATTTAACAGGTATTCTATACAGAGTACTCTGTACTTAACTAACTAGTTAGTTTAGTTTATCGATAAGGCTGGCACGCGTTCCAAAGCTTGTGATTCTTGGGAGGTCAACCTGTCAACCACCCTGAAAGCTGTCTCTTCATTGCTTCTCTTTCTCACACCACACCAACTACCTTCCACTCTTTTTTCTCCCTATCTCTTGATGTTTCTTCCCACCTGCTGACTCCAGGATACAGTCTTTGCGCACTTTCCTCCAGCTGGCAGAAGTGGTTTGTTCCTGAATGTCGCCGCCATGGGGAATGTGAGCAGCAAAGTTGATGACCCCGCCGTCCTCTATCTCAAAGATCAAACAAAGTGTATGATGCCAGTAGATTCTAAGCAATCTGTCACTGCTCACCAGCTAACTCATCCTTCTCTTGCGTGCATCTAGTGACAATATCCTCCTTGAAAATCACCAACCAACGCGGCAACATTGTTCTCCATGTCAACCCTAATTCCTTCCCCGCAACTCGCGTTACAGCAAGGAGAGACGCGGGCGATGATGCGCCAGTGGATTTTGTTCTTGTATGTCAACATGTGCGCTTCCAGAAGCATTTTCATCAGTTCTAATTCCCATGATGTTGTTCCAGGACCCAGATTCTTTGCCTACTAGCCCGCCTTCCTTTCTGCTACGATTGACAAATGAGGATGAGTTGACATTCCGATTCACATTTATTATTCGGCAAACTCAGATGGCGCCATCCACAACTGCTACAATCAACGGCGTAGCGAGTACTCTGCCCGAAGCCTTTGACACAACACTCAAAGGTGTCACATTTGCTCATGCATCAAACTCGAAGGAATTGGATAACTTAATTACGCGAGAATTCCACGCAAATCCTAATTTACAGAATAATTCGAATGTTCGGCATGTTGGTACCTTCTCTACAGATGGTAGCCCTTCGGTGCAGTTTGATTGGTCTTGGACATGGAAACCTCCGAAACGTGCGGAGGACCGAGGTGGCGGGTGGAGAAACTGTTGCAGTTTTTTAGACTATGACCAAAGAACCAACCGGCTGAATACACTTGCTACATTTACTTTCTGGGTTCAGAATGTTGCTCGGCCTCTATCTAGCCCGGTGATGTTGTCCCCCAAGTTTGAGCTGGCTGTACCCCCGCGCAATCGCAATGTCTCCGCTCAGTCTGCCATCTCACGAGCAAGTGAGTTGGAATACGACTTAAACGCGCCTCCGTCTCCGGTTGACCCTGCGGATCCATTTCCCAACAGTTTACCGCCCTTTCCTGTTAAGCTGGATATCTGCCAGCGCCCAGGAGAGGATATGAGTGCAGTTGAGGATGGGCCACTTTTTCGTGCAACAATGAAAACGCTTGAGCAAAAGACAGGCAATATGCGAATCAAGATAAAGAAGCTTTTGAAAAAGGCGGAATCTGCCCATCAACGACATTCTGCGTATATTGAAGCTATGAGCGCTTTTATCACAGCTCTAAACGAGGCTTCCACATCCAACGCCAACGCGATCCAGCCGGCTATTGAGCATTATTTCGATAAAATTGCCAAAGAAATTCTCATGTGGGAGCAGAACAATTTAATGAATCTCCAGAAGCTTATCATAGACCCGCTAACGAGACTGTATAACAATGATATCAAACAAGCTGAAGCGAAGAAGAAGGACTTCGACGAAGAAAGCCGGGATTATTATGCTTATGTCGGTCGCTATCTAGGACAGCGTCAGGACTCACTCAAGGAGAAGAAACGAGCTGAGAGTGATTCAAAATACCAAACGAAAAGAAGAAATTTTGAGTTGAAGCGTTTCGACTATTCTTCCTTTATGCAGGATCTTCATGGAGGCCGAAAAGAGCAGGAGGTTTTGTCGCAACTGACAAAGTATGCGGACAGCCAGGCACAAAGCTACCTCTCTACGGCGAAGAAAGTGGAAGAAATGGTCCCCGAGCTAGAAGCTTTGAAACACGAAGTGTTTGAAACCGACAAAGAATATCAATTTCAGCGGACGGAACGTGAAGAAAAGAGAAGAGCGCTTGAACAAAGTACTAAAAAGTACATTGAGCCCGAAGGCGTTCATACCAGTGGTGTTCCGCCTGCCACACCAAATGCGGGGCCTTGTACCTCTGATTCGGACCTTGGTCGCGCAGACAGTAATAGTTCCCAAGCGAAAGGGGTCGCCGGCGGCCGCCCCTCATTCTCTTCAACTTCTAACCCCGGGACAGCTGCATTGAGTTCTCTCAGTCCTTCGGGGCAGAATCGGTTTAAAGGAATTCGCGATTTGGAAGAACGCGGCCATTCTAATAGTACTATTGTGGACAAAACGAACGTGCAGCAAAAGAAGGAAGGTTTGTTGTGGGCGTTGTCGCGTCCTGGTTCTCATATTGACCCTAAAGGCATTAATAAACAGGCTTGGCATAAGTAAGTCTCCTCGTACTAAGTTTCCCTAATACATGGCTAACGAATATGATAGATTTTGGATCGTCTTAGACCAGGGAAAGCTTTCAGAGTACAGTAATTGGAAACAGAAATTGGATTTACACATGGAGCCCATAGATTTACGGATGGCGTCTGTTCGAGAGGCTAGAAATGCAGAGCGGCGGTTCTGTTTTGAAGTCATTACTCCGCAATTCAAGCGCATTTACCAAGCTACATCAGAAGAGGATATGGGGAACTGGATTACAGCTATCAATAATGCTTTGCAGAGTGCTGTTGAGTCTGGTCGAGGAATTCCTCCTCCTTCTACAGCCGACGGTTCGAGTCATAAAGATATCGGATCTGTTTTAACTGGAAAGACCACTTCATCCTCAAACACGGCCAATGTTAGTCGCAGGACGACGGTCGGAGCTCGCCCAAGCTACGTTAGGAATGACAGCAGCTACGACGATAATCCTTCTAAATTGCTTCAGTTAATTCGCGACGCTGACCAAGGAAACAATTGGTGTGCTGACTGCGGCTCAGCGTCAAAGGTGGAATGGGTGTCCATCAATCTTGGTATTGTTCTTTGCATCGAGTGCAGTGGCATTCACAGGTCCCTCGGAACTCATATTTCCAAGATTCGATCCCTTACATTAGATATCCATTCCTTTTCCAACGACATTGTGGAGATATTGTTGCAAGTTGGGAATAGGGTTAGTAATATGGTGTGGGAGGCGCTCCTGGACCCAACTTTGAAACCGACACAGCAGTCTACTCGGGATCAACGGCTTAAGTTCATCACGGCAAAGTATAGTGAAAGAGCCTTCATACGCCCGTTGTCACCGACGCTCTCGCGCTATGGAACAGCAGACGAAACGCTCCTTGCATCTATCAAACAGAACGACATCCAGGGTGTTCTTTATGGGGTTGCCTTGCGTGCGAATCTCAACGTACCTGATCGATCTCGAAATACACATGCAGTGTTCTTAGCTTTAGCAGCGGCAGACCCAGCATCCCCTTCACACTCCATGACAGGTCTGTCTGCTCAGTGCCACTCTCCTAAACCCTCAGCCGGAATCAAAGCAATTCCATTTCCAATCGCGGAGCTTTTGGTTCAAAACGGAGCCGAAATTCCTCTAGAAATGCCAGCAATTCCATTATCACCCGCTGCCCAGCTGTACATCAATCAGCGAACCGGTCGAGTTGTTGGCAGTGGTACTGGGCCTGTGACTACCAGTGGAGGCGATACACTAGGGGCATTGCCGACTATCCACGGCTCTGGTGCGGCAATCAATCCCCCCATATCCCCATCCCCTGCTGAAATGAACAGCAAGGAGCGGGAGAAGTTGCATAAACGTGGAAGTGCGGGGGCTCGGTTTGCAGGCAAAGTCGCATCTTTCGGGTCCTAATACAGTTATAGCTACCCTTTAGTTATTTTCTTTATTCTTTTATTCTTTCTCTGACGCACCGACCTGACTCGATGGCACTGATGACACTGCATACGATATCTTCGGGGAACAAACAGCAAATACGCGGTAATGATAATTTGGGCGGGAAATTGGGCGGACGTGCGCATGTAGGTGGTACTATCGGAAGGCATCATTGGGTTTCTTCTGCTATTGCGTTTTCCTTACCTCCGTTTCTTCTCTCTATTCTTTTTTCAACGGTGTGCGGTCGAGTCAACGGCCGTTTTCCCGTTTTTTCGTCTTCAGTCAACGGCATGTCGATCTGACGATGTCATTTTAAACCCAAACCCTTTTTAATTTACTAGTTATTCCTGTGGCCTTGTGTTCCCTCTACTTACACTTCATACTTGCTTCTTCACACTCCGGCGCACTATTCGGGGTCTGCGGCTTTGCACCACCGATAGAAGACCCAGGATGTGCGTCTTGATTGATTCTGGTTCCGCTGCCTGATAAACTTGGCGCCCGTCCGCCATCCCTGTTTGCGCCTTGGTCGCTCTTTGTTCGACGTGCAAGATTTTCGCCACTCTTGGTCAAGGGCGAGACCAACCAGCACAAGGCCAGGTCACTGCCCCTGTAAATTCCCTTGTGCGGTACTTTGAGCGGGGGCGCAGGCCCACCTCCCTTCCGACCGAGTCAGTGCGGTGCCGCTGGGCACGACCATGTAGCCAATCACAGAGCTCATAGAGTCAGCAGGATTCACAGCTAGTCCCAGATCAGCCTAGTGGCCGATGTCCACTCCCCACATCGCCAAATCCGGGGTACAGGGGGCGTAACATACCGTACCAGACGGCGTGCTGGCCGTACATGCTCGGTATCGATACGTCATCGACGACTGCCTTCACGTGCGCGCCAGGCACGCTAACTGGTTCAAGCTTTCCTCAGACCACTGCAGTCCTCCTCCTCCGCTTTATATCAACCTCATCCTCCCGTGCCATTCTTGACTCGCAGCTCGCATCCTCTGCTTCCTTCTCAATTCCCTTTCTTAAAAACCACGTACACCCCCCCACCCTTTGCCTAAAGCTTGAATTTCCTTCTGCTTGCATTGCAATCCCGCCCGACTTGTGGTTCCCTCTTTATCGGCCCGCCATTGGACGTCTTTCCCTTCCCCGCAAGCCAACTAAACCTTGCCACCGTTCATTAGGGTTGGCCCTCTTTTCACGCCCTTAATATTCCACCCTGAGCCAGCAGACAAACTTCTCGTCTGTAACTCTTTCTTCGGGTTCTGGGTTGGAGCTGCTGCAATTTACATGGTACCTCGACGGGGTGCTATTTACCATAGTCAATTGTCTTTTACCACTCGCTTCTGCTTAAGAACTCGGCACTTTACTCGTATTGTTACTCCACACGTGAGACCACACCCACACCGGTTGGCACCATGTCCCACGAATCCAATTCCCCTCCCTCCGCAAATTCCTCGCGCCGCCGTCGTTCATCCTTCACAGAACTCTTTCAGAAACAGGGTGGTACTGCTGTCCTGCCCACACCCAATACCCAACCTCGGCCGATCTACACTGGTGCCAATGCTCAGGCGTCACAGCGTCGGATGTCCCTGAACACTTTGGGCCTTTCAGGCTCGCCCAACCAAGCCACTCCCTTCACAGGCGGCTCTATGCGTCGTTCCAGCGTTTCAAGCTCCGTCATGTCGACTTCCCCTACTGTGGACCAAGCTGTTGTGGAAGAAACTGAAGAAGAAAGCGCTGCTACAACTCCACCAAGCCCCTTTGCTCGCCGTGTCTCTTTTGGAGCACAGGCTCTTCGTGGAAATTCCAATGGTACATCCCACTCCCTAGGGGAATCATGGACACAGAGAAATAGATCTTCGTCCTTGTTTGCGAGCTCATTCCCTAGTGATGACCCTGCACCCACCGCAAGTACCTCACAAGAATTTCTCAAGAATGTTAAATCTAACCCATCTTCTTACCGCCCATTAGGAGAAGGTTTTAACTGGCCTGAATCCTTGAGAATCAGAGCTGAACGGGCCCCCTCAATCGGAGGCTTTCCCCCTACCTCTCCGAATATGCATCATCAGCGCTCTGCTTCTGTTGCAACGATGGAAGCACCACCTCCTGAGCGGGTGGAGCAGCAAAGACAGGGCCAACCCAGAGCAAGACCGAAGCCGGATTACTTTCAGGAGAAAATCTTGCGAGCTGATTTTATGGACTAGCTCCATGCCTTTCTATTCTTAAGAAAAATCAAACGTCCTCTTTTACTTATGATTTGCGGCTAAATTACGATCCTGGACATTAAGAGTTTTGGGCATTTCAGGGTTTTCTTGCCTATATTTAGTGCTGAGAGCTTCGGTCCCTCATTAGGCAAATCTGGAGGAATAGGTGGCTATTGTAAATTCTTTCTAGCATCGATTTGGCCCTCTATCTTTTTTATTTGAAGCTGGGTGGAAATTAACTACTGAACGATATTTCTGATTCAACCCAATTTTATGCAGCTATGGTGTACATGTGTGATGTTATGATTGGGCCTTGGAAGATTTATGATATTCATGGCTGCACCTGTCTTCATTCACAGATTTTGCTGGACTGGCTCCTCTTACCAGGTTGTTCAGATGTGTCTGTGTCTCCAATTCTGATTTCTTACCTTACATAGGTCATGTATGGTTGCTCCTCTTTAGGGTGTGATAGCATTGTGCTTTTGTCACACCACAGCCATCGTCTTTGTTTCTAGTAGCAGATTGAAGTGCAGTTGAGAAGTGAATCCCAATCCTAAATTCTATTTCAACATGATACTTGCCTTTGTTAGCATTTGATGTGGGACCTTTCACCATCTTGTTGACTGACACAGATGAGATGGGCGATGATATTTAGTATTAAACAAGAGAGAAACAGGGGCCTCACGTATCAGCTGTAAAAGGCAGGCTTTACAGCAGGAATGTAGTGCAAAGACACTATTTAGAAGTTATCTTCATTCAAATTCACATCTTACTCACTCACATCATAAAGGTACGACCTTAAAAATAACCAGATACTTTATAACCTATCTTGTCTAACACTTGATTGACAAATAAGAAAAGTATGCGATATAAAAAATACTATATGGTAACCCTCCAAGAAAATGAATTTCAGCACTACAAGTGGATTTACCTAATATGGAATACTGTTTGTCAACAACTGGAACTGGTCATAACCTTTGGTGGAAATGCTGGCATAACTCTTGCGAATCAGCTCCCTCATATGATGTGCTGCATCATACTCACTCTTCTCCAGCACAAACCTGTCGCGAAAATTCTTTAGAGTATCTGGCTTAAAGCATGGCAGTCCGCTATCGAGCATCAGCGTGACAATGTGTGACAGTCTGGACTGATACGGACGAGACGCTAGGAAGGCTTTCACAACAAGCGCTTCGAACCAACGATAAGATTGGGAGCTGAGTGGATTATGTGAAGATGTCCCTGGAAAGGAGATACCACTACTGCTCTGTGCCGAGTGGTGGTGATGGGGAGGCGTTTGGCCCCCCATGACAGCGATCATTTCGGTAGTCAATTTGAAGGGGGCTCGCTCAAATCGTATTCCACCCGGGGCGATGTCAAAACAGAATCCAAAGTCGATGTGTATTATGTGGCCTGCATCATCAACCATAATATTCCCGTTATGCCTATCTTTGAATTGGAGCAAGTATGAGATCACAGAGTAGGCAGCCATAGATTTGACGAAGTTGCTTCGAGCTTCCTGAAACCGAATCGAATCTTCGCCGCCATATTTGGAAACAAAATAATCATATAAACCGTTAATGGCTTCTCGGCCGAGCATATCACGCGAGATAGAATTCGGGAGAACGTCGATAACTCCACAACCTGGTGCAGTGGCAACCACACGATATGGAAATACGAAAACATCCAAGCCGACGCTATTAAAAATGCTACGAAAAGCTGCGATCATCTGTAAGGCTAAGACATCCTGCCGGCAATCGTCGCCAACTTTAAAAATGGCCGACTGCCAAACTTCATATGTTGTCTCTTTTTTACCATTCTGCAACTGGTAACTGACCTCACCAGTAGGACTCTTATCGATATTGCCATTGTCTCCATTTATGTCGCTGTTCATTGCCTCTTTGGTTTTTTGTATTCGGAAAGTGGCCATGTAGGGGGCTTTCGCGTGGCTTTGCAGCGGTTTGCCCGATTTCCGATCTATGCCAACGACAACGCCGTCCGGGTTACTTGGAAGATAAACCCCAACTTCTACTTTAATCTTGCGTAATTCTTCTTCTATCTTTTCTTTTTTCTCGGGTTTGCTCCGCTTAATATATGGTCGAAGTTTTCCCGATATATCGGTAATTTCATGAAAGAAAGAAAACTCCCTTTCGTAGAAGCTTCTATCCGCTTCTGAAAAGCTTGAGATTAACTCATCCATAAATTTATCAAGGACTGGCTTGACAGGGTCCGGCTGGTGATTTGTTAGTGCGTAATAATGGGGTCTTTAGATATAGTAAAACGTACAATCTGGGAATCTTCGTCCTTAAATGCGTTTGCCTTCATATTCCATATTACCTGGTGCGCGAAATACGGGGAAAGCTGGGCAGTTTCGAGGAGATATCGCTCAACATAGCCTAGAGCATCATAACGTAAAGCTTGCACAAGTTGCGGAATGTAAAAAAAGCTAACATCCACAGAGTGACTCTCCAAAGCACGCATTGCATATTGTAGGATAAATGGGTGGTTACCATACGCTGGGAGAAAATAAGTCACGGCTGCTATTGGGTTTGTAGGTCCCCAGTAGAGAAGATACTGCCAGAGAAATGTCAGAATTCGTAAGAAGGAGTTTGCCAAGAAACATACCTTTAATTGAAAGGTAATGTCTTCAGGTAGTGCAGGGCCGAGAAGTATCTCCAAACAATCCGGCTCATCTATAACCTTTTCCGGGAAATTGAAAAGCAACCAACGAACATCATTTTGGATTTTTGGCGAAGGAAATCGAGAAGCTAACTGAATGGCCAAATTCGGGTTTTCTGTCCAAGCCAGTCTTAGTAACCCAGATATCACAACCTACAGAAATATTAGAACAAGCAACTCCAAAATAATTTAGGGAAACATGGACCTCTGAAGTTCTATTGACGCCGTGGTGCCGCTTATCGCTATCGAGGGGAGATAGCCATACTCTGAGGCGCGCCCGTTCATCACCGATAAGGACAAGGACAAGGTCTTGCTTAGTTTTCAGAGATTTCCTTGACGTGGTGTCCCCAAGATCAACCCAAGAGCTAACACCTAATATCGATTCGATATCATATAGAATTTTATCTTCAGCTTTTAGTTGCAGCTTGTTCGCCCCGAAAGACCACCTAACGAAAATAAGTTGTGGTCTTACTAAAATACAGAAGAGTAGGTACCGACCTGGGTGGATGGCTAAACCAACTTAGAGCAGCGGAGAGAATTTGGTCCTTCAGTTTCCACAACGCAATTTTCGATTGCCCTCTACAGTAACGAAGAACTTTAAGGCTGAAAAGAATAGTGTGAAAGTGAATTTCTCGAGCGAGTGGATGTGCGGCTGTGCTTCTGATGGCGTCAAGTGTAACGCTTACCAGCCGTCTAAAGATTCTTTGGATATGAGAACTAGCTAGCCTGGTAGCGTTAAAGTGGCTCTCGAAAAATGTAAGGAGGCGTAGGTGAGGTGAGATGATATTTTGAGCTTTTCTTTGGCGTTTCATCATCATATTTTTATCGGAAGGCAAAGACTCTGTTTTTTCCATGAAAGGATCTAAATACCTAGTATCGATCTTTTAGTTATGTCTTCAAAAGCTCATGACTCAAAGAAAGGGCATACTGAAAGTTGGGGTCAAATATGCCCCTTTTTCGTCTTATGGTGCGTTCCCAGGCGTGTGCGACTTCGACTAGTATTCTCGGTTCCGTGTCTGGGTTTTCATTAATTACACCAAGCCATAACGAAATACCCATTTTGATAGATTCTTTGGTAAAGAGTTGGAATGGAATGTTAACCAGGTGAGAAATTATAGAAGGCTGAGGATCTTCACGGTTACACAAAATGGTGGCCGTTCTTCGAAGTACATTTCGCGGCATCTCCACTGGAATCTGTTGGTCTTGCGAGATCAGAGCTTCCAGTTCCACCAATACTTCTAGGATATCTCGAGGGCTTGTTTTGCAAATTTCACTTTCCGTTTCATTGACTGTTAGATGAGTCAGAAAGAAGTTCCGTGAAAGAGCAAAGACCGAGCTCACATGGTGCAATACGCAAACGCAAGCTCTCGCCGGCGAGTGAATGAGTCTCAGAGAAACGATACTCTTGACGAGTGGTATATTGCGCGACGAAATCAGAGGCCACATTTAAAATTGTATTGCCACTGCGTTCGATAGAACCTAGTTGTCCGTAATGAGCATGTTCCATATAAAAGAAATATACATGAGGGTTACCTAATCTTTGGTCGCCTGCAGGTATCATTGAGCCCATCTCAAGTGCGAATGATCGGCCCATAGATGTATGTCCATAACCACCATCATCATCATAATCGGAGAGATAAGTCTAGAGAAATTAGAAGTTGTTATAGAAAATATGGAGAATAAACATGTACCTGAAGTAGCCCTTTGACATCTAAAGGTGCAATTTTCATAACTACAGATACCCAAGATCTAGCCAAGTTGAACAAATTATTCAGAGTATATCTTCGAAACTCATAATCGTCGGACAATTCAACTTGGACCTTGCTTGTCGCACAAATAAACGTCGACCTCCATTCATATTCGTCCAATTCTTCATCCAAACAAGATGACCATAGAAGGCTTAGGAGGTCCAGCAGCGTAAAAAGTGACTTTTTTTCACATAGCGCTGAGGGACATTTGGCAATTAGCTTCGACGCAGCCGATGATGCTACTTGTTGGATCCTGTCAATCCGATGGCAGCAGGCAACAAACATATCCGCCAGCTGCTGTGAAATGAATGGGGCAGAAAACTTCGCCGAATCGCTGGATAATGTTTTCTCGAGGTATATTGTAACAATCTTTTCGACAATGGCCTTCATGCAATCCACGATATCTGGGCTGTTCAAAGTAGGATCTAGAAAATACGTGAATACCTTTGTGAAGTTGCCGGAAGAAGCACGCAGACTCTCCAGAAGCAAAGTGGCATTTAAAAAAACAATTTTGGGGTAGCTCAAACGCTTTATCTGGTATTCTAAAGCCGGAAGTTCTTGGGTTAGGCTTCTTTTCTTCTCAAACATATGTGTAGAATTCATCCCTCGTCTCAAAACCGTATTTAATTCAATATCGCTTTCTAGGAGCTCAGACCAATTTTCTGAAACTAGGGGGGGGGAGTATTCGGCTAAAATGCGAAGATCCTCTTGGTGATCACAGCCAATTTCACAGCCTAGAGAGACATCATGGGCGGCAATGTTGAACCAAGCATCGCGCAAAAGAGATAATATGTCGCTATTCTCAGAAATGCCACCTGGAAAATCCTCAATCGATCCAAGTTTCGATACAAGACAGGTAACCGGCCGCAAATACGGCAAGATATCGCTGGCAGAAAGCTCAGCATCTTGAGAACGGTTTTTTTCCCGATCCGTAGCTCCTCCTTTATTCACAATACTTTCGAGAAGGAATGTCAAAAATATCCTAAATAATACATTGTCCTTTTGAAGATGTATGGAAAGATGTTCCCTTGCCTTGTGGATCTATTCAAATGGGTATATTAATAAAAATTCACCAAAAAATCACTCTTGAGTACATACTGCGTCGACAACGAGCGAATTGCCCTGAATAGCTGCATCCCGATAAAGACGTGAGTAGAATTTAAGTAGAACCTGAAATTCAGCGGGTTCGCTTTTTAGAGCAAGAGCAGCAGTCTCCTGGACAAGACAGGCATCAAGTAAAACGTTCACTCTGCCAATTTTTTGTAGAAGAACAGATTGTGCTAGCGCCACTATCTTGCTATCTTCAGAGTTCGTGGCGATAATGATAATCGCCTGTACTACATTTCTGTAGGCAACTAATGTATCTTCGTCACCATTCAGAGTAAGCGAGATGAAACTGTCATTCGATTGCTGAGAATTTGCCACTAAATAACGTGAATAGGTATTGATATCTTCTGTTGGTATACTTGTAGGTTGGTGTATTTTCTCATGTGTCGGGGTAGCACTAAGGACATTTCCTAGAGAGTACAATGTTCCAATGATGGTATCCTGGGAGAGCAGCTGGAGAGTCTGTGCTAATGCACGAGCAGCCGCAATGAGAATAGCACCGCTTTGGCCACTCTGAACTATGAACCGCAATAGGGATCTTGTCAAATTCGGCGCGTTGAGGCGAGATAGCTTGGACAAAATCACCAAGGATTTGAATGTGACTGTTGCCAGCGCTTTGCTTGCCATTTGGTCAAAGTGAAGCAGGGTGGCATCTAGCCATGACAGCAAAAGGTCAATATCGGCAGAATCCTCATCTAATATCACACAATTAACAAAAGTGACCAGTGCAAATGATTTGACGGTGAAGGCAAGATGTCTTTGCCATGGTTCTCCCAGTTGCAAATAGTCAGAGCCGTCTTCTAATAACTGGATCTGGTCGGTTGCGATTTGTGCACAGTATTCCGCAAGAGCAGTCGAATCTTTATCATTATACCTCATGGGGTCCAGACTAGTGATGTATTGATCTAACAATGCATCGACTGATATTATCCTCCCGTCTTTCCCAACTGGGGACGTACATGACAACACAAAGCCCAAAAACGCCTTTTGCATTAACATTGAGCTGATTGGCCGCCCAGCGGCTGCAGAGAGTCTAGCATACCGACGCCAGTGCTGAAGCGAGAGATCTGAACTTTGAAAATTGCGAATTGTAGATGAGGTAGTTTCAACGGCAACCAGAAACTGCTCTGAAAGCACCATGCGTAATTTTTCAATGGCATGCAACTGTTCGCCAGGGTTGAAGAAATGGGCAGACGTCGACATTCCATCTAAAAATCCGACTAGGGAGACTGCAAGAGCAGCGATATCGAAAACTATTTGATAATCTCCATATTCTCCCGTCCGAGTAGCCTGACTATCAAGGGTGGGCAAATCCCGAACAAGCTGATGGCAACGCTCTATGTATGCAAAAATGCTCTTCTTTACCAGATCACGATGTTGCGGGTGCCGCAGACCAATTACGAGCAATGCTGTCACAAGATTTCGGGTTAATAGCTCCCATGGCGAGGTTTCGAGACTGTAGAGGAATGGGGACGAATGTAATATAAGAGACTGGCAATCTGGAAGATAATCTGCAAACAAAGGGACCAGTTTTGTAACATCCTTGGGATGGCATGGCGATTGCGCAGCCTCGCTGAGCGCAAGTAAAGCATCTAGATCTCGAAATCGCTGCGTGGTGTCAGCAATGCTGGTATTTAAAATGAAAGGTTTGAGAGAAATTGCATACAGTGGGAGCTGGGGATGCTCTTAAATTGAAAACACCATCAAGAAAGCCAGTTGGCAATGCCTTTGGACACTGGCAAGTGCTCTGCAGTCGATCAATATCAGACACTGCTGAGTCACGAGTTGAGGGGTGCTTCGTCGTGAGAGTTGCGAGTCGCTCAAAAGCGGCGCGGCGGATATAGGGGGACTGCCTATGTAGACAGGGTTAGATGGTGTGGTAAGCAAGAGTGAAGAAAACCCCCATACATGTTGATCTCGCAGCTGGATGCCGTTCACTACGTACTCCATTGGGCGCGTCTGACGCCTAGGGCAGCAGGGCAGAGCTCACGTCGTTAGCTCCGAGTCGTTTCAAATACGGAGTACTCCGTACTCCGTACTCCGTATGTAAGTAGGTTAACTAGTTAGTTACATAGTTAACTTGGTTAAGTGTCTTTGACTCTAGGGAATGTTTTGTACTCCGTAGTGAAGTGCAGCTAGCTTTAGTGGGTCAAGGTATCATACTAGGCCCAGTATAGACTAGTCCTTGTAAAAAGTATTGGCATTGGGCCCACTAGAGCTTAGTAATCAGCCTACGTGCTCTGAGTAATTAGGTAGCTACCAGCCTGCCTGCGCGTGTACTGTTTTGGCATAGTAATTCTACAGCCTGCCAATCACCGTACGGGGGCCCCATATAACACGAACTCTAACTCATGCCGCCAAGCTGGCTGATAACCGAGTTATACTGAATGGGTTTGTTAGGGGAGCCGCCGTGATAACCAGGTTATCAGGGCTTGGCAAGTTATAACTTCGTAACGCGGGTCGGTGATAACTCGACGTCTCATTTGCCCAGGTCACGTTGGCTCCTGACCAGGCCAGGGAGAACAACAGGGCTTGCAGCCGGCCTGTCCCTTCTAGTCTGGGGCTCAAAGACCACATCTGTTGTACTCCGTACCGCTGCCCTAGAATTCACCACTACCTCCTAACCTGACACTGTCACGCTGGCTAAACTCAACGGTTGACGATCCGCCCACCGTCTTTCGCGCCTCTCCCATACTATGCTCCGCAAAGCAATGCTGGAAATTTGCACACCATTTTTTAAGAATTTTTGTTGAAATTAACGCCCTCTAAAAATTGCTGGCTATATACCAGTTATTATTGTTGCTAATAATCCATCAATTTTACCATAACCATGCCACCACGGGCGGAAAAGAGCTTAAAGCGAGCAAAGGTAAGTGATGGTTATTAAGGCTTCAACGTCCCTTGGGTTGTACTAATATCTGAGATATATCAAAGCTCGGTGCTGGTACGAGAGAACAAGATGCGAAAAAGCCCCGACGCTCCGAAAGAATATCCTCCCAATTAACTCGGCCACAAGTAGCTCCGGCCAACATGCCTTACCTTCCTTCTCCCCTTACGTTCCAGGAACCTATAGTCAGCGGAAATAATAAAGATGTCACAGCTAGCCCCCCAGAAGGCCGTCTCAGTCAGCTTCGTCATCAAACGCCTAAACCGGAGCATGTAACACAACTTTCGTCGCCCCCTGGTGACACTCAAGCCTTCTCCCAAGTCCCACCCCAAGCTTTTGTGGCTGGCGTGAAAGACGAAGAGGCAGAAGGCATTTGGGGCTATCTCAATCCTTTGAATAATACATACGACCACACTGTGGTGCTCAAAAAAAGAGATATTTGCACTCCGTCGGAGCTAGATGAAGAAATAAGCCGGGGCCGGCGTAAAGGTAAAGAGAGGATTGCTGCACAAAATGTAAATCCAAGCGGTTATTTAATAGGACGCCATGCGGAGTGCGGTAAGTCTCAAACTGGCCTAGAACAAACAGGATGGATGGCCTGTTAGTATTTAGAAGTTCAACTAACCAGGTATACCGATACTTCTAGATGTGGTTATGAGTCACACCACCATTTCTAACCGGCATTGTCTGATATTTCACGAACATAGGAGGGGCGACTCGGTAGCTATTCTCGAGGACTTATCCAGTAATGGTACCTTTGTCAAAGGGGCGTTAGTTGGGAGGAATCAGAGACGCGAACTGGAGGATGGAGATGAAATCAACATCTTAGATCAAGCTAGATTCTCTTTTCATTACGCTCGCAACCGAGAAATCGGCAGGTTCCAGCAGCAATTTCGCATCTTAAGCCAGCTGGGGAAAGGCCAGTTTGCCACCGTGTATCTGTGTGCAGAAAAGGCCACCGGAACGAAATATGCAGCAAAGCGATTTGACAAAAAGCCAGGCGGTTACAGCGAGTCAGATCTCGCCTCCCGCAACCAAGAAGTTGCAATACTCAAAAGCGTGAATCACAAAAATCTGTTGTGCCTGAAGGACATATTCGATGAGAAAGACGGTGTCTATTTAATCTTAGAACTAGCTCCAGAAGGCGAGCTGTTTAATTGGATTGTTTCTCACGAAAAGCTGTCAGAGTTTGAAACTCGCCATGTTTTCCGCCAACTGTTCGATGGGCTGAAGTACCTGGTAAATTGCCCTCCCCGCTATACACTTAGATAACAGTTCGTCCTGTTAACACATTAATTTATAGCATGACCGTAACATTGTTCATCGAGATATCAAGTCGGAAAATATCTTGCTCATGGACAAGCGCCTTACCGTTAAATTGGCGGATTTCGGTCTTGCGAAAATAATTGGAGAAGATTCATTCACCACGACTGTGTACGTTTACCTCCATATTCCCACTAAATTCAGCTAACCAGGATTTGCAGGTGTGGCACACCGAGCTGTAAGTTTGAGTACCTCTACCAACAGACCTGACGCCTTATTCTAACAAATATGAATAGACGTGGCCCCGGAAGTGTTAGATATGAAACACTCTCGAGCTGTTGACATCTGGTCTCTTGGTGTCGTCCTTTATATTTGCCTCTGCGGCTTTCCGCCTTTCTCAGATGAGTTATACTCACGCGATTTCCCCTACAGCCTAGTGGAGCAAATCAAATTGGGCACGTTTAATTATCCATCACCGTATTGGGACAGCGTGAGCGATCCAGCCCTCGATCTTATTGATAGGATGCTCACCGTATCCGTTGATGATCGCACTACTATTGACGAGTGCCTGCGACATCCGTGGCTCACGGGCGGTGGTATTGGCCTTACGGACAGCACAGATGGATTGACAGGGGCAATGGGAAAATTAGATTTCTCCAAACGCAAAATGAAACGGGAGCGGACCTTGTTGAGTAAAATAAATAATGCTCTGGTTAGTCAGGTCATTGATGGCTCTGAGCATGGCTATAGCGAAGTCAAAGCATTTGACAACAATGCCGCCAAGCGAGTGCATAACAAGCCCCCAAAGGAAGGCATCAACCCTCCCCAAGAACCAAAGCCAGATTCCAATCGGCACCCTATGGAATTCATGCAAATGGGAGGCCGCGGCGACCAACTTTTATTTGGACACGATACAAACACTCAGGGTGCAACTTCTAAAGGCAAACGGAAGTGACGCAGCACTTCTTACATATTCTCTCGGGTTCGTATTGGTTAGAAGGAGCTCTTTTTAGATTTCAGATAATTCTTCCCCGGCATTACACATTCCATGGATATTCTCCTATCAGATCAGATCTCATATAGCCGCCGAGAGCCACTCACGTCACGCCTAACAACTGCCAGTGTTGCTCAACACAGAAGCTCCGTATATTGGTTTATATGTTTGTTTTGGATCTGTAAGACATACGGAGTAGTTACAGCCAATACCTTGCTGCTAGTTGCCAATTCAAGCCTGTCCGGTCGATCCAGCTTCCATGATGGCGTGACTAAACCTGTAACATGAGCTTATGTAAGCGTTTCTGTATTGATGTTTCCGTACGGAATCCCGTGTAACTAGGTAACTAACTAACTAATGTGTACCAACCATTCGAAGCCTAACGCATTATTTTTCTCCTGAAGGATCTTCGGCTCCCCTTCCAAACGCTGTGATTCTACAGTAGTTCTTTGGGCAGATATGGGACTTCTTGCTGATTTTTTATCGCATTTTTGCGAAACTTGCTCGACCCAATCTCTCTGGGTATTGTCCTCGTTGGCCCTAGGCTCATTTATTACCATCTCTGTTATCGTGAACGTTTTAAAGCAGACTTTCTTTAAAAATCCAAATGAGCCTCCATTGGTATTTCACTGGTTTCCGATAATTGGCAGCACGGTTACCTATGGCATTGATCCCTATAAGTTTTTTTTCTCCTGCCGGGAAAAGGTATGTTTTGGAAAAAGTGCCACTGGGGAAAGCGTCTTGGTTTGAATTGAATTCTGATATTCTCTGGACAACAAATAGTATGGCGACATTTTCACATTCGTGCTTCTCGGCAAAAAGACTACTGTTTTCCTAGGAACAAAAGGTAATGACTTTATTCTCAACGGTAAACTCAAGGACGTTTGCGCGGAAGAAGTTTATTCGCCTTTGACAACGCCTGTTTTCGGCAGGCATGTTGTTTACGACTGTCCCAATGCCAAATTAATGGAGCAAAAAAAGGTAATACTGAACCTTTTGCTTTGAAATATTTAGAGCTCATTCCTTCAGTTTGTCAAGTTTGGCCTTACTTCAGAGGCACTGCGTTCCTACGTCACTCTCATCACCAAAGAGGTTGAAAACTACCTTGATAAATCGGCAACTTTTCAGGGGAATTCTGGTATTTTTAACGTCGCGAAATCCGTTGCTGAAATTACGATCTATACCGCTTCTCGGTCACTTCAAGGAAAGGAAGTCCGGGAAAAATTCGACTCGAGCTTTGCTGAACTGTACGCCGATCTAGACATGGGCTTTGCTGCTATCAATTTTATGTTTCCCTGGGCTCCGCTGCCACATAACCGAAAGCGTGATAGAGCCCAGAGAAAAATGGCACAAATCTATACAGACATTATTCATGAGAGGAGGGCCGCTGGAGGCAAAAAGGACTCGGAAGACATGGTGTGGAATCTGATGTCTTCTGTTTACAAGAACGGAACTCCAGTTCCTGACATCGAAGTTGCCCATATGATGATTGCAATGTTGATGGCTGGTCAACACTCCTCTTCGTCGACAGGTTCATGGATTGTTCTTCGACTTGCAAGCCGCCCTGATATCTTGGAGGAACTGTACCAGGAACAATTACGAGTTTTAGGCCCCGATCTTCCCCCATTGACCTATGAGTCTCTTCAGCGCCTCGAGCTTCACGCAAATGTCATCAAGGAAACTCTTCGACTCCACGCCCCCATTCACTCGATTCTTCGTGCTGTGAAATCCCCAATGCCTGTGGAAGGAACTGATTATGTTATCCCGATTACACACAATCTTCTTGCCGCACCAGGTGTTGTATCACGTATGCCCGATTACTTCCCGGAGCCCATGAAATGGGATCCACATCGATGGGAGAAAGGTGGCGCTGTGAATGCCACAAGTGCATCAGATGATAGCGATGAAAAGATTGATTACGGTTATGGTCTTGTCAGCAAAGGTGCAAACAGCCCCTATCTTCCCTTCGGTTCTGGCCGCCATCGTTGCATTGGAGAGCAATTTGCATACGTACAGCTAGGAACAATCACTGCGGCGCTAGTAAGGTCTCTTAAATTGAAAAAGCTTGACGGAGACAATCAGGAAATACCTGATACAGATTACTCTGTGAGTGTGTCTGAAAATTTTTATCAGGGCCCGATTCACTAATGATTGCTAGTCGCTTTTTTCTAAACCCTTGGGCAACCCGAAGGTATATTGGGAGAGACGCAAACAAATGCCTTCGAAACAATGATTCTTCCCTTCCTCTCTACGCATCGTGGCACAGAATTTTACTTAACAGAGGTTTTAATGTCCTTCCCGGTACGACTCCGTACTTAGACGTATAATTTTTACATCCCAACACCATGTATCTTGTAATTGCTTTTTCTTTTTATATTTGTATTATTCTTTTTCTTATCTAATGTTTAGACTAAAGTCAGCTTCATAGTACTAGATACTGTACGGAGTACCTGGAGTACAGTGTAAGTAACAACTTGTCAAAGTATTGAGTACTCGGCTTTTGTAAAAGGCTTCAAAGCAGTCGCTAAATCAAATCCATTTAATGTACATACATATACAAATGCGGATGGCACATTATACTCATGGTCACCCTTTCTTTGCCTCTGCAATTCGTCGCTTCGCCCGGACCTCCGCTCTTCGCCTCTCACCGCCATCAATTTTTCGGCCTTGCTTGTGCTCCCATAACCCCTCTTGCACAGAAAGACTTGCTGCGGTTCCATTTGCGCCGGGGAGTAACTTGAGGTAAGGGCCTCTTATCTTGTTCCCACGATAGAGCTTAATTCCGGGGTATTTCTTTATTGAGAAATTCTCACTATTCACTTGAGTCTCGCCAACGGGTAGGTTTACAATCACCCATTTACATCCTGGAGAGGTTGTAGCAGTGCCTAGTTGGATAAGAGGAGGTATTCCAGTATCGCTGCCACTTGTTTTTGTCATTATTTTCGGTCGCGGAACCTCAACAGCACGAAATTCCGCTACTCCATCCGTGACATGATCTGAATGTCCCCCAACACCATACTCCCCGCGCCGAAACTTTTCCACCCACCGAAGTAGGTACCGTCTTTGCCGTGCAGGTTCGATTCCAAGGTCGCAAAATCCCTGTGAGGAGGTTGTGAATAATTGCTCCCAGGAGTTTATTTTATCGCTGAATTTCGACATATTGCGGCCGATGAGCGTGAGAAATGTCTTGGTATCTGGAACAAATGGAGTAGGAGGAGGAGGAGGGCTCCGTCTGATTGTTTTGTGGAGATGACGAGCACATTGCCGTGGGCCAGATAAGAATTTGGGAACGCGAAAAGAGAAAAGTGAGATAAAGGCAGATTTGTTGGTAGCCATATCAAAAAGCAGCGAGGCAGTAGTGCTGGCAAAACCTGATGTCAAATCGAACAACTGATCATAACCGTAGAGAGACGGAAAATATTCTACCAACGTAACGCCTTAGCTGATTCTCTTAGAAGCAGCTTGCTGGTGCAAAAAATGGATCAAAATGGTTGGGTAAGCGACGGAACTCGTAATAAATATTTTCCGCTCATAAGGAAATTAACTAGGTAGTTAGTTAGTTAACTAGTTAACAGGTAACTAGTTAGTTAGTTATGTAACTAGTGGCTCTTGTGAACGCGCCATGTTTTGGCATTTTCGCGTATAGTTACGGAGTACAAGTAAACAGGGCTGAACTCCTGGCCTTTCTTGACTGTCATGTCATCTACATTACCATCTCTCCCCTCGCAATCCGCCCCCCGAAAGAGGCCCGGAACCCCAGAAATCTCTGGTGGTGGGTTCCGGTCGACCGGTGATCTAGTTTCTACCAGATCACAGAGTAAGGGCGGTGAGGAGTTCATTCCCACCTTAGATCGAACAACGCGACGTACATCTCAACGCAAGACGCAATCCCTCACCTCTCAGACTCGCAAGGCCACTATGCCACGTTCAAGGGTTAGCTCGCCTACTGATCTATCACATCCCCGTTGTGGAGGCCCGCCTCCCCCTCCTAATTCCGGAGCTGCCTCGAGGTTACGGCGAAACACAACAAACTGGAGCGCTCGTATGTTTTCAGCCAATTCTGCCATGGATGTATCCTTTTTCCCAACCCCGGCGCCCTCACTGTCTCCAGAACCTAGTCCCCCTCTCTCCGCTCACATTACTCTTAAGCATAACGAGTCTTCGCTGGTTCTCGCAGAGAGTAGCAGCTCATTAGCTCCACTATCAACAAAGTTGCGCCGCCGCAGCGTAACGCCTGGTGTTTCCAAGCCTGCATTCTCCTCGATACCATGCCAACAGGAGCCACCCGTCTCCTCTTTCAAGGGGAGTGGAATAGCATCAATTGATATACCAAAGCCCAACCATTCATATGGCAGTGAACCATCTTCTACAATAACAACCAACTGGCGGCCTTCTATAGGAGAAAACCCGATGGATAGTCCAAAGTCGAGTGCTGCCCCAACGCAACGGTCTACGGAACTGAATACCCGAATGGTTATCACACATTTGGTTTTGACCAATTTCAAAAGCTACGCTGGTAGGCAGGTTGTTGGCCCCTTCCACGTGTCATTTTCTTCTGTGGTCGGGCCTAATGGCTCCGGTAAATCCAATGTGATTGATGCGTTACTTTTTGTTTTTGGCTTTCGTGCAAGTAAAATGAGGCAGGGGAAAATTTCGGCACTCATTCATAACTCTGCTAATTTTCCCAGCCTTCCTTTTTGTGAAGTCGAAGTCCATTTCGAAGAAGTCTTGGATCTCCTGGGAGGGAAGCTCGAGACCGTTCCTGAATCTCGGCTTGTAGTTTCTCGGCGGGCCTTCAAAAATAACACAAGCAAATATTATATGGACTGCAAAGAGACTAGTTTTACAGCAGTTACTAATTTTTTAAAAGATCGGGGAATTGACCTGGATCACAAGCGATTCCTCATTCTGCAAGGCGAAGTCGAGTCCATTTCTCAAATGAAACCAAAAGCTGCTAACGAACACGATGATGGCCTGCTTGAGTACTTGGAAGATATCATAGGCACTTCGAAGTATAAGTCTCCTATTGACGAAGCTGCGGCTGAGGTTGAAACGCTGAACGAAGTGTGTGCGGAGAAGAATAGCCGTGTTAAACATGTTGAAAAGGAAAAGTCTTCTCTGGAGGATAAGAAAAACAAAGCTTTAGCATTCATTAGAGATGAGAATGAACTCGCTGAAAAGCAATCCTCACTTTATCAAATCTATATCGCCGAATGCAATGATAACAGAAGGGTTACTGAGGAGGCTATCCTGCAGTTACAAGAACTGCTGAATCTCGAGCTCGAAAAACATCAGGGCAGTGAAGACGGTATCAAGATTCTTCAGCGCCAATTCAAGCAGCGAATAAACGAATTGGAAGCTATGGAGGCAGAAACACAGACCGCCATGAAAGAGGTGTCGAAGTATGATAAAGAGTCTGTCAAACTGGAGGAAAAGCGCAAATTTATGTTTAGTAAACAAAAGAAACTGGAAAAAGCAATGCAATCTAGTCGTCTGGCAGCCTCGGAGTGCGCAAGTTTGGCAGAAAAACACAGGGACGACATTGAGAAAAAGGCCGCCGAGATTGCTTTGCTTGAGAATGAAATGAAATACGAAGAAAAAGAACTTTTTTCAATCCGCGAAAGCCTGAAAGGCAAGACTGAAGGCCTTTCAGAACTGATCGCTGAGAAGCAAAAGGAATTGGAACCATGGAACAAGAAAGTAAACGAAAAAAGGTCTGCAATAGCTGTCGCCCAAAGCGAGCTGGATATACTTCGTGAGAAATCTGGTGCAGGTGCGATTGCTTTGGAAGAGGCTCAAGCCAGGGTATTTTCCTTTCAAAATGGTGTCATCGCCAAAACCGAAGAGCTAGAACAACGTCGCACAAAAAAAATTGAGCTCGAAAATGATGCGCAGACTGCCATGACTGAACTACGCAAATTTTCCGAAAAGGAATCAGATTATCGTTCTCGCCTATCCAGTGCTAGACAAAAAGCCGAGGAGGCGAGGGCTAGTTTAACAAGCACTCAGAACCAGGGGAATATTCTTTCTGGCTTGATGAGACTGAGAGAATCAGGCCGCATCGAGGGATTTCACGGGCGACTGGGCAATCTAGGGACAATCGACGAAAATTTTGACGTGGCTATCTCGACTGCGTGCCCGGCACTTGACAATCTTGTAGTTGATTCCGTGGAAGTTGGCCAACAATGTATCGAATACCTTCGCAAGAACAATCTTGGTCGAGCCAATTTTATCTTGTTGGATAAATTACCTCGTAGGGACATGTCGCCAGTCTTTACTCCGGACAGTGTACCCCGATTATTTGATCTAGTAAAGGCTGTCGACCCGAAATTTAGCCCTGCGTTTTTCAGTGTTTTGCAAAATACGCTTGTGGCTAAAGATTTAGAGCAGGCGAATAAAATAGCTTACGGGCCTAGAAGATGGAGGGTTGTCACCCTCGATGGTCAGCTTATTGACCTATCCGGTACGATGAGTGGAGGCGGCTCTCGGGTTACTAGAGGAGCCATGTCATCGAAAAGGGTTGCTGATGTTTCTAAGGATCAAGTGCTTAAACTTGATGCGGAGCGTGATTACATGGAGAAGAGGTTCCAGGCATTCCAGGAGAGACAACGGCAGTTGGAGGTATCAGTTAAGGAAATAATGGATGAGATTCCTAAAATCGAAACTGTCATGCAAAAGCTTCATTTGGAGATTGAGAGTAGCAGACGGAATTTAACAGATGCCAATCGTCGTGTGAAAGAACTAGTTGCTGAACACAAACCATCACAGGATGATGACGACAGCGTTACTACCCTTGAGGAACATATTTTGACTTTGGAAACCCAAACAGATCAATTAAATAAAGAGAAAGGCGGCATAGAAAAAGAGATACAAACCTTGCAAGATAAGATCATGGAGATTGGCGGCGTGAGGCTTCGGGGACAGAAGGCCCAGGTTGATGGACTTAAAGAACAGATTTCGCTTCTTACAGATGAAGTGTCAAATGCCGAGATAGCAAAATCGAAAACAGAAAAGTTGCTTGTGAAGCATGAAAAGTCACGCTCTAACTGTGAAGCAGAACTCGAGCATTTAGCAGAGGAACTTGATAGACTCACTCAAGAAATAGAAGGCCAGGTAATCACGACATCGAAAATGAAAGAGAAGGCTGAAACTTCACAAGACGTAAGTATTCACATTGAAGAATACGTAGCTCGCTAATGCTGTTTTAGGCCTTGCTCGCCAGAAAGGAAGTTCTGGCAACCCTGAAAGCAGAACTAGATGAGAAAACAATCGAGCTTAATGAAACTCGTGCGAGTGAGATAGAGATGCGGAATAAACTAGATGAAAACCAAAAGGTTTTGGTCGAAAATCAGAAGAGAGGCAAATACTGGGAGGACAAATTGTCCAAGTTAGAGGTTCAGAATTTGAGTGATCTCGGCGAGGAGCAAATCTCGGACCACCTACCCGTTTTCAGCAAAGATGAGCTTTCTGGCATGAATAAGGAATCATTGAAAGCCGTCATAGCTGCTTTAGAGGAAAAAACTCAGGATACCCAGGTGGACGTATCAGTTTTAGGTGAATATAGACGTCGAGTAGCGGAGCACGAGTCTCGATCTGCCGACCTAGCGGCGGTTCTCGTTTCTCGAGAAAATGCTAAATCTCGTCTCGACACCCTCCGTTCGCTCCGCTTGACCGGATTTATGGAGGGATTCAATACGATCTCTCTTCGCTTGAAAGAAATGTATCAAATGATTACCATGGGTGGCAATGCGGAACTCGAGCTTGTGGACTCGCTTGATCCATTCTCAGAGGGTATATTGTTCTCTGTTATGCCACCGAAAAAGAGCTGGAAGAATATTAGTAACCTCTCAGGAGGGGAGAAGACTTTATCGAGCCTTGCCCTAGTGTTCGCTTTGCATCATTATAAGCCCACTCCGCTGTACGTCATGGATGAAATCGATGCCGCTTTGGACTTTAGAAATGTAGGTACTTTGCAGGAGCGGACCTGTAGGCTTTACGTTGACGTATTCTGATCTTCCAACAGGTTTCTATTGTTGCCTCTTATATCAAAGAGCGCACAAAGAACGCGCAGTTTATTGTTATCTCCCTTCGAAATAATATGGTAAGTGCGCAAAGTGGTTGCTTATTCACTATGATGGCTGATGCTTGTCCAGTTCGAACTCGCTTCTCGACTTGTTGGTGTGTATAAAGTGAACCACATGACCAAAAGTGTCACTGTGGAAAATAAGGATTATCTTAAAGTCTGAGTTGCTTTTTTTTGCTTTTTGTTGCTATGTACTTCTTGACAATGGGAGATATTACCTAAAACTTGGTTGGAAGAAATGCATCAACCTTTGAGCAAAAGAAAGGTTTGTGAGAAAATTCAAAATTTCACAACTGTTTTCAAATTTTATTTTTATAACACTTGTCACTTACTCACTGAGTTTGAAATGTAAATATGCTACCTGGTCTGGAAGAGCTATGGAATGTCTGTGCAATTTTGGTTGTGTAGTAGATGATTCTCCATCTCCCTTCAAGCTTCATTGATAGGCTTGAGGTACTTACTAACTAACTATTTCTATCTAGCTACTTTCATAATTATGTACAGTAAGGGAGGCTCCATGTCAGTTATCACAGAATATGTTTTAAAGATCAGTGTCCTCACTGAAAGCATGTGCACTGAAAGTATGTGTTGTTGCTAGAGTTAATAATTATAGTAAAAGAAGTCAAAAAAGAATAACATTTTCTCAATAATGACTTTGTTAATGAATTTTATATGCATCATTGAATATAGAAATTTTTTCTGAGCTAGAGTAGACATGATTGACTGCATTAATACATATATTTTAATTTATCATTGTGAATATCATTCTTCATTCAGTGTTGTGAGAATATAACATTCTCAAATATAATCAAATTTATATACTATATATTGTCTTAAATTACATGTGTATAACATGTATAACTTCTATAACATTTACAGAGTCATATACATAAATCTTGATTAAATATAAAGTTTGATCTATAATTCTTTTGAGATTAATTCAAATCTTATTCTATAAAAGTTTATTTCAAACTTTATTTCCTAATAGAGTTACAGCAATAAGGTTACCACCGTAGTACTGCTTGTATAAATTATTAATTGTGAGAATTGGGGTTGTGGATAATGTGATAATGATTCATCAGTCTTTGTAAGTGAGATTAGATTAAGTGAGAAAAGATTACAAAGAGATCTAAGTATGAGAGAGAGAAAGATAACTAGTAGTTATACAGAGAAAGAATAGCATGTGTTATAATCTGCATTACTATGTAAGTTATGCCAAAGTGCTGTCTAACTTTAGTGAGGGAAGTTATCATACTAGGTTCAATATAGTCTAGTGTATTTAAAAGATCTTGACACAATGCACACTGAAGCTTAGTAATCAGTCTGTGTGCTGTGTAGACTTCTGATCTTGACATTATGTGTGGTGAAGCTTACTAATCAGTCTGCATGCTGTGTAATCAGCTGTGTAATTACTAAGCTCTCTAATTACTAAGCTATCAGTCTGTCTGCACATGTACTGTTTTGGCATAGTAATTCTACAGCCTGCCAATCACCATATGAGGGCCCCAAATAACACAAACTCTAACTCATGCTGCCAAGCTGGCTGATATTCAAGTTATACTGAATGAGTTTTTTAGAGAGACATTGTGATAATCAGATTATCAGAACTTGACAAGTTATAACTTCATAATACAGATCAGTGATAACTATTTAATTACTACTACTGTGTGCATCTATTTATCTTGAGTCCTAGCTTTATAAAAGACAATATCATAGACAGTTATATAAGAAGAAACACTGATTAAGACTGACTCTCAACTTCACTTTCAGATGTCACTACTTAATCTTATTTCAGATGAAAAGAGTGTTGTGTCTGCAGAAATTCTTCCAACATACTATATAGATAGTAGTCTATTGTTTATGAGAAACAATGTAGACTCACTGAACAAATTACTATAAAAATCTCAAGAAACTAAACTGAACAAAAAACACAACTCAGTTGTTTTCAGTTTTTTCTTAAAATTTGATCATCAGTTTCAATTTCAGCTTAAAATACTCATAAAAGTCTCATTTTTTTCTCAGTTTTAAATATGTTTTAATTCTTTTTCAGAAGTTTTCTCATCTCTGAAAAATTTCAAATTAATTATTCATGATTTTTGAATTCTGTAGAACAGTAAGAACTTTTTAGTTATCTTTTATGCTTATATAATAAAGTTACAATAATTGAGCAAAAGTATTGATGAAGTTCTAAATGTAATTCAACTGCAGAATGAAAATATTTAAAATCAGTTAATTTGAATATAGATGATAGTGATACTTATAAATATATTAATAATAATTTAGAGAAGTAAAATTTTTAATTACATGTGTCAACACAGATGTCATTCATTTAATTGTGAAAGTAAAAGTATTGATGCTAATACCACAGATTATACAGAGGTAAATTAGTATGTGTTATAATCTGTGTTACTATGTAAGTTATGCCAAGATGCTGTCTAACTTTAGTGGGGCAAATTATCATACTAGATCCAAGATAGACTAGCTGTGAATGTTACATCACTGTACAGCTTGTCATGCATGATGATGATTTTGTCAAGCAGCTCTCTGTTGTTTTGCATCATACAGAACAGTATATAATCTCCATGCTCTAGAAATATGACATCTATATGCTGAGAAGATTCAGCAGTTTTACAAGAGAAGCTATAAGTAGCTTTAAATATTAAGTTGTTTCAGAGTACTGAGAAGACACTGAATGAGATTCATATGAACTGATTAAAGATCACACAGAGAGCATACAGTGCAAAGCAGCAGAAATGAAGAGTGAGTGAGTCTTTACTTACTACTATGCAGCTCTGTTAAACTGTGAAATTGCTTGCTAATGATCTGACTCTTGTACAGCATGCAGAAATGATGTACTGAGAAGAAATATGAAAATGAAGAGATGATTACAGAAGTAAAAACAGCATTATTTCTGCAGAAGAAAATCATTGACCAAAAGATTCAGCTCTGTTGTCATAAAAGAGAGTGTATGAATAGAGATGACAATGAAATCATACAGACTCTGAGAAAAAGCTCTGTTAAGATCTACTGTGCAGCTCTTATAAATCTCTGTCAATATTAAACAAGTGCTGAATTTAACAATCATTCTACTTCTTGTGTAATCATATTGTTTTCAATTATTCATGTCCATTTCACTAGAGAGCACAGATGAAAGTGAGAGCAGTATATGAATCATGAAGTTAATACTTTACAAAATGAATATATCACAGAGATCTTCATATGAATGATACAGTACTGCTGAACAGCTAGAAGTCTAAAGACAGATTAGATAAAATGCTATTTTTATATAGCAGCTGATCTTCTGATGAGCCACAGTCTTCTCTTACAGAGAGAGAGTCACTGTATGACACAGATAACTGATCTGTTTACAGTTTCTCAGAGAAATGAGAGATTAATATCTTGCAATCTCTTGATTCTCATCATGAATAATGAAGAAATCAATTCTTTTGAATGACTGAAGTAGTTATACAACACAAAGATTCTCTGCTTTACATCATAAGTATGTTGACATTCTATCTCTTCATATGATGAAATATATTAAAAGAGTCTGTTCTAAACTTTTAGTGTTGAGAATTTTGATATGACAATCATATTCTGAAGAGTATAAATCTCACTGTCTCTCTCTCATACAATTCTCACTGTTACTAAATTATCAAGATCTTTAAGGCAACAAATCTTCTTTTTTTAAAAAAAACACATGTCAGACAATCTCAAGAAGCAAAGCATGCTGGACTTGCTGATGTCAGTGAGACATAAATTTATCAGAATGATCAGTAAAATAGTGATGCACTCATCAACTGCTATCTCAGCCACATTCTTCAGAAGTTTGTACAAGCAATAACAGACTTTTGTTCAGAAAAGCAGAAGAGCTACTATTTGTCTCATACAAAAATTGAATTATCATCAGCACTGAAGAAGACACTCTGATCATAAATGAATGAGTGAATAACTTAATTTAATTTCTTTGAGAAGACATTGCAGTCTACTCTTCCATCATCTTCCATATGATATAATGAAAAAGAGAGAGATCAGAATGATCTGACTGCACAGAGATACTTAAAACTACTGAATACACTGTATATGATTATTCTACAGAACTCTGTGATTCTATGGCATGAATTCTCTGCACATATGGTCTGAAGTGATTTTATTTTTGTCAGATCAGATGACACTAAGTTCTCACAGCAAGTGCAAGTATCTCTGTTCAATGTGGAGAATTCAGAGAAGATTTAAATTTATTGTATGATGTCAGTTATTGTCTCTTGTCTTCAAACAATTGAGCAGTCAATATCTCATGCTGTGACAGTGACACAAAGACAAAATGTCACAATACTGAAACAAATAGATGACAATCTGATGAATCTGCTCAATGATACAATAATTTTCATCATACAGATAAATAAAAGAATGTTTAATACTGCTTCAGAGCTGTACAGAGATTTCTCTTTCTTCTTCACAGTATCAGATGAAATTGACTGAGATGCTTTCACTACTATCACTACTGTACAGAGTGAAATGAATGTTGAGAAGACTCAGAAATCAGCAGTCTTCTCTTTCACTTCTGTAAAGTTGTAAGACTCCACACTGCAGTCTTCTTATATTCATTCCATCATCTAAAAGAGATTTGTAAAATCTTCTTGATGCTTAGATGATCATGCTTCATGACATCTAAGATTTGTAAACTTTGTGACTGATTACATGATCTCACTAGCAAAGCTGAACATACAAAATCTGCCACAGATGCTTCTTTATAAAGATCAGTGGCAACATATCTAGAGACTCTAGATACTGTTGTAGTAATATAAGTTATCTCTCTCTCTCTCTCATGCTTAGATCTCTTTGTAATCATCTCTCACTCAATCTAATCTCATTTATGAAAACTGTAAGTCATTGTCATGTTACCTGCAACCATTCAATCCTCACAGTTTGCCACTTAAATAAGTAGATAGCCCAACAATGATTTTCATAAAACAGAACAACTGAGATCAAACTGAATTCTCAACTTTTTTCTCAGTATCAGAGTTAACTGAAACACCAAGTGTGACAATAAATCTGAATGAAAGCATAACTCAGACTGAGAAATCATCTTCAGAAAACATAGAATCTCTTGAGAACTTAAGAGAGCAGATACATCTTATGAAAAGAATTTAAGAACTACAGCAG